TCGATTAGTTGCTGTAGTTCTGGCGAGGCGAGGTGATGGCAGTGTCGTTTCGCTTACCAAACCCCAAACAGAAGCACATTATTGCAATCACCAGTCGTCACGCACATTCTATTTAGTTTGGTTTGGTTTCATCTAATAATTATTATATGCCTCTCCGCTGTCGGAGGCTGGAAGAAGAAGGTGAGTGAATTGTGCTGCTGCTGCTGCTGTCGCGGGTTGGTCACAGTTGTATTGTTGAGGTGACGATGCCGTCCGAGCTTTTCATCTTTATTACTTAGTATGTCTGTGATGGCGCCGCACACACACTCACGTCGGCCGTTTATTATTCCTAAATTCCTCAGACGGGCGGGTTAGGGGAAGCAGGCCGGGGCCGCGCACAGGTATTTCGTACGGTAGACAGAACAGAAGACGAGCCGCCTGTCTATGATTGGCAATCCCGGCATGCACACACGCAATACCAGCAGATCATATCGTCGATGCTTCACTAGCAGGCCTTTCACTGAGAGAGCGGGAGGAAAAGCTGCATGCTCTCAAAGCATCTAGCATCTTTGCCGTGTGCGTTGACTCGTCGGCTGGCGCGACTGGCTGTAAGCACTCCGCAAATGAGAAAAGGAGGGGATTCATGTGCGTTCGGGCGCCCCTGCAGCTGGGCAGAAAGGTTGTTAATTATATTATCCCGCCGTGTGCGAGTGCAACTCGTCTCCTTTTTCTCCAAGCATAGGAGCCGACATTTTGTGGACTTTTTTACGTTACCGTTGCGCCGGTTCGCTGCGAACAGCCACTGTCTCAACCTTTCCTTTTTTTTCTCCCTATTTCTAGCTGCCCAGTACATGAACGCACCGAGCTCTGTCAAGCGTTCTCCCATGTTCAGCTGTGTTACTTGACATGCCCGAGAGGAGGGTTTGGGTTGTGTTGGGTGTCGTGGAACTCTTCCATTCCGCTTCCATTCCCACTACACTAGAACAACCCGGAGGTCCCGGTCAAGCCAGGGCAGCTGGGCAGCGGCCGGAGCTGGTCAGCAGAAAGCGTTAACACGTCCGGCGCCGCTAGCGGTTCATCTCATCAATCAGAATCCCAGGGGAGAGACTCATGCGCCGCCCAATTGCCCCCCCCCCAGATCACGGACAAGGTCCAGGCTTGCGGGTTCTCAATCGCGAGACAGACAAGCCCCGATCCCGTCCCCACCAATTGGGACGGGTGGCTGCCCACTTGTCATCGTCTCAGAGTCTCCTCAAACAAGCCAACCTGAGAGTCTAAAAAGGTCCGATAAGGCCCAGGCCTTCTCCTTGGGGAGACTCGGGACACGAGAAACAAGAAACAACGGCATGCTCCATAGTAAAGGAAAATGCCACTCCGGCCGGTCATGGGACATGGGATTAGAGGCCGCTCGAACACTGCAAAGCACGACACGGACCTGTCTGCACATGTAGCTAAATTAGCTCCCCTAGTCGGCCACGTTTTTGCTGAACGTGCGCCGCCGCGCACTGGCGCTTTGATGAGGGTTTTCTTAAATAGACCAGACGATACGCGCAAAAGAGGGGCAAGAAGGAAGAGGCAGAGGCATACGGGGGGAGGGGGGAGAGGGGCTGAAGAGGCCGAAGAAAACGAAATGGACAAAATGACCGAAATACAGCTACCAAACTTAATCGATTGCTGGGTTGCTGTGCATCACCGGCGTTCCATTTCTCGGGAACGGGGAGGGCCAGGGGTTGGGGAAACGGCAACACCCAAAATAGCCTCAGTCAAGGAAAAGAAAAGAAAAACAAGTGATTTGATGCGTGCACGAGGCAGCAAAAGATCCCGACCGAATCTTTAGCTGACCCGGTGGGTGATGGTTCCTGCTTCCTGCACCGTGAGCTTCCTTGCCTGCCTGGTCTGCCTGCCTGCCTGCCTGCTAGGGACTTACACGAGGAATTGAAGCCGCACGTCCACGCCACGGCGCTGAGTCGCCGTTCTCGGTGGGTGCTAAAAAGATGCGCGCACGTACACTTACAGGGCCAAATACTGAGCAGATACGGAGTAGCCTCTTTTTTGCCAGGTACCCATGCCGCAAAACTGCAGGCGACAGCCTCGCTTGGATGCGCGAGACAGCCTCTCAAAGCAAGGATAGGATTTGTGAGACGAGCCCAACAACACAAGCCTTCAGATCCCCGCGCCTGGTCCACTGACGGGCACTCTCACATTGGACAAACTAGTTTCTGCTAGGGTACCTTGGTAAGGTGTAAACCACGATCTTGTCACAAAGCCCTGTTTCTCTCCCGCCCGCCGCCATGGGCCGGTTATGGGTTTCTGTCTTGTCAAGTCCGGACGAATCGAAGACAGGGGCCTAGGCAGTCAAGGTACGGATACATTGGACGATTAACGAACTCGGCAGGCCCAAGTCTCGGCCGGACCGACCGACTTGGAATAGCGTCCTATCTCCTTCCTTAGCGGGTGCGGGTTCCGCCTGACCGGTGCGTGCGGCAAGGTTCCGTATCACAGCTGTGCAACAGTCAAGTATCGTTGACCCTTGTGGGAGAGGCCTTGTTCGTGATTCCTTATTTGTTGCTTATTTCTGACATTCCGACGTCTTTGGCTGACGGTTTAGAGTAGGTACTATTCTTTAGCGAACGTCCAAGAACTGGGCTAGAAAGGTCCCAAGCAGAAGGATTCCCAAATGTCAAAGATAAGGCAGACCAGGACGGAGTGAGGTATCTCTCCCACAAGTGCCCGCAATGTCTCTGGCGGATCAACTGGTTCACTATAGAAATGGGGTCGAGGTTTGGCATCTTGTCTCATCATCCCGTCAGCGGCTGTTTTATTCAGCATTTAACTTTGAGATTACGGGCGAGTGCCGTGGTGCTTCGGGCTATTGTCACAGCTGTGATCATATAATAGCACCGACGCATATAACTGTCGAGGTCGGACCCTCTGATTATTTTGCGGGGCCGCGATAGTCAATGTTAGTGGCGTCCTCCAAACCACGGCTCTGGGTCAAACTCTTTAACAATCCTTAGGCCAGGCGGGGTCGACGGCGAACGGACCTGCTTTCAAGTTATCCGTAATGATGAGGGGCAAGGACGGTAAGGATTAGGACGCTGTAACTGAGCTTCACAAAGCAGGGCTATCTACTTCTTCATTTGACTTGCTCAGGGGGGTGGTATTGCTTCAATGCGTGAAGCTGTGATCGGCCTAATAACTGGGCGGGGAAACTTAACCCTGCCAGGCTGCCAGGCCAGAGAGCCATGCCTAAGAGAAACCCACGAGAAACCGCAAGGCAATACTCCGTACAGCCAAGAGAGGGGGGCTATCGGGCTACTAGGCTTCCCTAGTCCTCGACAGCACAGTAGGTTAGAGGAACGAAGGCCGCTTAAAGGTGGATGAGTTCCGTGCCCAGGTCCGTGCCAGCAGCCACATGCAAGTGCTGCAGAACAGAGCACCAATTCCAAGTGATAGTAGGTGATGACTGCCTTGGCCTACTGCTTGCCATAGTTGATCGGCTTGCCGTGTTTCGTCGATCAATATTGGCGTTTCTTGTATGCGCTAACCCCGGATCTTCGGTGCCTCACATGAGACGACCAAGCCTTGACGTTATTCCGTAGACTGCGGCACAAAACGCAAGCATATCTCGGCCAATCGTCGGATGTCAGCAGAGCTGCGAGGCAAGAAATCGAGAAAATGCCAATTCCAGAGCTTGATATCGTATTTGCCGCCTCAGTCGTGCTGCTAGCCATGAGCGACTCGTGACAAGTCCGTCGGGTGTCGAAGCAAGTCCGCCTCCGGACACCGGGACCGGCGACGGGACCGGAATCGGGCCAAGCCTCAGCCAGCCCCAGCAGGCTGAAGCTCAAGCAAGCAAGCCGGAGGCGTCGAGCGCGCGTAAAAGTACTGTACTCTATATGATGAATGATCTGCTTCTTGTCTGTAGCCGTACCAAGATGTTGCGTGTCACCTGGCAAGGGCTAGTCGGATCCGACGACGATGACGACGAGTCGGTCCAATTGCGGGATTTCTTCTCTTCTCGAACGTTTGCGACACGAAGCATGTCCTGTAGCCTGGAGGCGAATGACAACCACAGATACTGTCGCCCTAAAGCTATGGCCATCAATCAGAACCTCGCCGGAACACCACCGTCGCGATGCCTTGGCCAGCTCGCATAAGAAGCTTCGGGTCAGGCCGCGCCCCGTAAGCACGTCGCCGACCATACTTGGGACGGCAGTGGACTGCGTTCGTCTCAATAAGACGGGCGGCCAAAACTTTGGCTCGCGGAGGCACAGAAAAAGAAACTGGACGTCCTTTCCATTCTTCCTCAGATTCCTTCCCGCGGCGGCGCCCTGTTTTGATCAGTCACGCGAAACCAAGAGTAGGGAACGCGGGACCAAGACTTCTTGAAGACCCAAGCTGCGATCCCGCCGCCATTGCACTTGCGACGACGGTGTTTCAAATTAATGGATGCTGCAAAACGGCCCTGTCCCTCCCATTCCCGCCCGGCTGTGCTCGGGGTTTGAGGGCAGACCAGCAAATAGAAGCGGCAGGTTCAGAGTTCGGGATCAGAGTCAGAGCAAGAGCCAGACTCGGAGCCAGAGAGTAGAGGATGGCCATCCCATCCGATGAGCGTCGAAACATGTTTCGTGTCGCGACTCTCTCGCTCATTGGACCCTACGACAGCAGCGCCGCTCGCGCCCGCCCACCGACCATTGCAAGTGGCTTGGACACAACCACAAGTTGCGGACTGACCTGGCGAGGAATCCAGGGGGAGGAAAGAAATGCAACGAGCTCAGAGTGGGAGAAAACAAGAGACGGGAAGTTGAAGATGTGGATGACATGTTTGCAGCAGCGGAATTGACCACGGCGGCGGGAGATGGACGCCCATAAGGGAAGTCGAGCCCGCTCAACTTCAGGTGGTCTGGTGCCGCAGTGATAAGATTGCACTTTAGTGGGGTTCAATGTAGAAGCGCGTGACTTGGCATGTGATATTTCGGATTTCCGATCCGGCGCTCGTAGGAAGGTGCGTCGGAACTCGAATTGGGAAGTTGGGCAGTTCGATCATCGAAAATTCCTAGAATTCTTATGTGGGGATTACTCCGCTCTAGAAGGGCCAAAACCGCTCAAGAAACAACGGCACATTTGACAGCCGCGAAATCGTGCCTCTCTCATCGTCGTTGGTTTGGTGTCGCCAGTGCTGGAAAAATGGCTCCCGTTCGCGATCCCAGCACGCTCTCCAACTATGGCGAATGGCGGACCAAGCACACCACAGCCAACCTGACGCTCAACTTTGCAGACAAGTGCCTGCACGGGTCGGTGCTTCTCGAGCTCGAGTCGCTGACCGACAAGGCCAGCACCGAGATCGTCCTCGACTCCAGCTACCTGGCCGTGTCGTCCGTCAAGCTCAACGCGGCGCCGTTGCCGTGGGAGGTCAAGCCGCGCACAAAGTATCTTGGCTCGCCCGTCCACATCGCCCTGGCTGATGGCGCTGCCAAGGGAGACGTTGTCAAGCTGGAGATCGATGTAGCCACCACCAGTGATTGCACCGCCCTGCAATGGTTGACGCCTGCCCAGACTAGCAACAAGAAAGCCCCTTTCATGTTCAGCCAGTGCCAGGCCATCCACGCCCGCTCCCTGTTTCCCTGCCAGGACACGCCAGATGTCAAGAGCACCTACGACTTCAACATCACCAGCCCCTATGTCGTCGTTGCCAGCGGCGTGCCCGTGGCAAATGCGCCGCAAGAGATAGATGGCGGCAAGCTGTACAAGTTCCAGCAAAAGGTCCCCATACCCTCTTACTTGTTTGCCCTTGCTTCCGGAGACATCGCCACTGCCCCTATTGGCAAGCAGTCGTCCGTCGCAACAGGCCCGAACGAGCTCAAGGCTTCGCAGTGGGAGCTGGAGCACGACATGGACAAGTTCATGGACGCTGCCGAGAAGATTGTATTCCCCTACAAGTGGGGCGAGTACAATGTTCTTGTCTTGCCGCCGAGCTTCCCATACGGAGGTTCGTGTTCGCGTGCACTAAGTGCTTGCTTGAGACGTTGGACTGACCAGATGTAGGAATGGAGAACCCCATCTTCACGTTCGCGACGCCCACCATCATTAGCGGTGACCGGCAAAATGTCGACGTCATTGCTCATGAGCTTGCCCACAGTTGGAGCGGCAACCTGGTCACAAGTTGCTCTTGGGAACACTTGTATGTTACTTTTGCCAGGCCCATTTGAGCAGGCTTCCATGTTCCAGAGACAGGGAAACCCATGCGGGAGCAATGTCCGACTAACCACCTGCTAGCTGGCTGAACGAGGGATGGACCATATATCTGGAGCGCCGTATCCAAGCTGTGGTCCACAACGGCGACGCCCACTTTGATTTCTCTGCTATTCGGGGATGGACCGCGCTCGGTAGGTCTCTTCTTCTTTCCCTGTGCCGATGCAGTTTCCCCACTGACCACACACTGCCACCAGAGGAGGCTATTGGAGGGTTCGGCAAGGATCACGAATTCACCAAGCTGTGCATCAACCACAAGGATATTGACCCAGATGATGCCTTCAGCGCGGTGCCCTACGAGAAGGGGTTCCATTTCGTCTGGTATCTCGACCGCCTTGTCGGGCGAGAGAACTTCGACAAGTTCATTCCCCACTACTTTGGGAAATGGGCCACCAAGTCGCTGGACTCGTTCGAGTTCAAGGACACGTTTCTTGACTTTTTCGGCGCCCCGGAATACAAGAGCCTCGAGGACAAGATCGCGTCGATTGACTGGGAGGGTCGCTTCTTCAGCACCGGCCTCCCGCCGAAGCCCAAGTTCAACACATCGCTTGTAGACGTGTGCTTCGAGCTAGCAGAGAAGTGGAAGCAGAAGGACTTCTCGCCCAGCACCTCTGATATCTCGTCCTGGATCGGCAATCAGGTCCTCGTATTTCTCAATTCTGTCCAGGAGTTTGAGGAGCCTTTGGCCGTGGAGAAATCCGTACGTTTTCCGCAAACTGGTCCCCGAATCGGGCGAGAGAAAGCTGCTCCCCTTGCGCCCTTCCCTAAATTCATGTGCTCAACGACGATCGGCTAACAGCATTGTAGCAACTGTTGGGCAAGGTTTACGGTCTTTCTAACTCCAAGAACGTCGAGCTCAAGAGCCAATACTACCAGATTGCAATGCGCGCAAAGGATTCGAGCTCTTACCAGGGCGTCGCTGACCTTTTGGGCGAGGTTGGGCGAATGAAGTTTGTCCGGACTCTATTCAGAAGCCTGAACAAGGTCGACCGCGAGCTGGCCCTCAAGACGTTTGCGAAGAATCGCGACTTCTACCATCCCATCTGCCGCCAGATAGTCGAGAAGGATCTTAGTCTAGCCGAATCAAAGTGAGGTTGAGAGGCCCGTTGCCCCTATTTAGCCCATGTCGGCTTTCATACAGTGAAACTCCTGGCAAAGATGTGCGACGAAGGGTCATGTCGTGTGGTCTAGTCTTGTCGTATGCAAGACAGCGCACGCAGATGACGAGCTTCCGGGCTGTTACACTGAGCCCTATGCCTTTTGTATCGATGTCCTGCATTGTACAAGTATTTTCAGGCTATTAGAGGACACATTTTACTGCTTCGACTCCCTGCGACTGTTACGCCGCACGTAAGTGCCTATCCCTGCCATTTGACGCCCAACGTGGTTTTGAAGACACTGCTTAGGAGGCGACCCAGCCTGGTGCATTTGAACAGCGTTAGGCTGCTTTGGACATGACGGACATTATCAAGACAAGTTGGGCCAGCGACTGATATAATAGCACTATGTAGGATAACCTAACCTGCTGCCAAGTCTGAGATGGGTGATCTGGAGAAATGATATACATAGAGTACACGTGTAGGTGTGATGATATTCTTCAACTCCGACCTTAGATAGCTGCCGAATGTAGCACCCACATGCATCCATTGTTCTAAAACAGATGCAGCTTCGCGAATCGCGACCCAGCAGACGGGTCAGACATCAGGTCGCGTCTCGGTACCGGAAAATCGCCGTGACTCAGTCGCGGGGTAAATACAAAGAAACGTTGCGAATCAGGGCACTCGAGAACCTCGACGGCCCCGAAACAAAATTTCGGATAATTGCTGCTGTTGGCTGCTCGTCCTTGGTTGAAGTGACGTAGGCACATAACATACGGATACCCGAGCTTAGTCCCCGCCAGCCGACAATGAGTACCAGATACAGGTATCAGGTACCAGGAGGAGGCTTACAGTGAACCAACGAGCGGCACTGGGGAGACTTGAGCGATCCTCCACGGCAGCTGCAGCTAGTAGTGCGTTGGAGGTTAAAGGTCATGTCAAAAAGTCAACAAAAAGGATTAATAAGGGGTGCAGACCGCAGTTGGCTGGAGCTGCTGGCCTAAATTCAATCAAAAACAATCCATGCGTTTGTCGAGCTTGAGCAATCTGCAGGTAATTTGGTATCATGAGACGAAACTCGAGCGACTTTTTGGTTAGCGCGTGCGATGACCCGTCATAAACAATTTTGCCAGATGTCTGATTCTGTACCTTGCCTTGCCCCGGGCCCCAAAAGCTATAGATCTCAGTTTGCGGACAAAAAATCCGGCTACAAGAAAAGAAGATTAGCGGAGGTTAATAAGACGTGAGGCACAATAATGCCGCTTCTCTAAGCCGTCTAAGCCACTGCAGTTCGGGCGTAGAGCCCAAGACAGTGAGTACGTTAATATCTAATATATATAGGTCAAGTGGATCGGGTAATAGCTAGCGAATAAAACGAAGTCAGTAGGATATAGTTTGACTAGCGATATAGAGATCTGACCCGCTTTTACTTCTATAATTGTCCAACCTGGGATTTCAAGAGGCAAGTAAGGGGAGAGGAAGTGAAAAAATATTTAGAGCCTTATCCCCGAGTATATAAAGCTTGCTGAGATACTCTACAACCAACCTAATAACCTAAGCGACGAGGAAATGGCCCAGCTAAGAATTACGGTTCTTGGCTTGTATATAGCCTTGTACGGCAAGAGAGAGACGGTGGTTAAGTACAACTGCAATGGGCCGAGAATGCAATTTAAACGCCTCGTACATCAAGTTTCATTGAACTCGAACCCGAGCTTGAGCCCAAGCTCGAGCTAGACCCTTTCCCTTACTCATGGGAGCAACCCAGTGTTCCGACTGTGGGGCATGGGGCCATATTAATCCGGCTGCGAACCAGACCCTACGAGCACGGCACTTGGTTGTCCTCGACACGGTAGCGGCAGCTGATTCAGAGACACAACGATGGTACAGGTGCCAGAGGGCTGCGAGGGAGAGGAATGATACTCGGTAAGATAAAATGCATGAACCTAGCTCGAGCTCTATAGGACTATGGCCCTCTCTATATAGGATTAGCCGTGCGCCTGCGCAGCTCCCATGACAGCTCTAGCCCCCATAGACATAAATCAACTAGATTGTCGAAACCGTCGGAGCTTGAGCTTCCGAGCTCGCCTCTCCTGAGCTTGTTCGGATGTCCGAAGTGTAATTGTGTGGACCGACTGAACATGGTTTCAGAAATGATCTAAAGTATGCATCTGTATATCCTTACACCTCTTATCATTACATGTAATAGGTTGACCAAGTTGTTCGGAACGTTCCTTTGCCTCTAAGTGGTTGTCGTCAAAGTAGTCATTTATTTTCGTGGGCCGACAGTACCGGAAGGTCCGTTCCTCAAGTGGTTCCTGATTAGTAGCACAACTTCTCTAACTGGAACGGCGATAGATCGATGTCAGGATGCGACTCGAACCTGCTGTGGGCGGTGATCCGAACGTTGTGTTTCACTACCAACGTAAGCTGCCGCTTCATGCCCTTTTCCAATATGGATGCAGCTACTAATTTAGTTTATCCTTTCCGTACAGCCTTGAACGACACCGGATCCAATGTCCAGACTATTTTCCAAGTCGACTTCAACGTTCTAAACCAGGGAGTCCAAAACACCATCGCCATGCCGCACTTTACTTTCCCCGGCGCTATCACGACGGCCAACAGTCAAGTAGCCGTGCTTAACACCTTCCTCCAGCTCTTCGTCATCGCCCAGACAGGGGACCCTGCGAACCCTTGGAGGATCCTGATGGACTGGCAGAATCACCTCTGCGTCGTCATGCCCGCTGGCCCCTGTTTGTCTGGCGACGTGATGCGAAACCGCCTCTTCTTCTGCACCAAGCCCAAAGGCACTCGTGCACTCTACCTTGCCGATAATAAGACTACCCTCATTAATTATATGCCCGCCAACTAAAGCTTGCGAGCTCTGCATGATGAATATGCTTACACACATGCCTCTATTGTGGCATTGATGGAACCGTGTTTAATTTTGAATTTCCCGGCTCTAGTAGTTTGGGCACTCTCTGAGAGAGTGATATAAATAGATGGAGTGCGTATGTATGCATGAGAAAGATCCCCTGCCACTAGTCTTCGCAACAATAGGGGCGAGATGAGGGAGCTTAGGCCGGTCCTGATTAGTCGATACCAATGAAACAGCAATTCTTTACACTCAAATCCTTGAATGCTTGTTAGTGGAGGGCTCTCCAAGATTTGAAAGGCCTTAATAACTTACGGCTGGCCCTGAAGGTTTTTCGCTGAGGGAGGTAAAAGCTATTAGAATCCCTATTTTGGAATCTTGGAGGCCTTTCTATATTCTAGAAATACCTATTAAAGGCTCTTCCTGGCTGGTGTACGCAGTATTTTGCCCAAGTACCGCGCTAACAAACATTCAGGGATTGGATTGTATTTTGCTCTCGCCAAGTGTCATCCCTCTGCCAAGGTTACACAATATACTGATATAAGCCTATCAATCAAACAGAAACATCTCTAACAGATATTCTGTTTGCGTAGTACCTTAGTTGTATCAAACGTTCAACTTCAGTCCGTAAGACTTCGGTCCGTAAGTCCTGACGATTCCGAATAAAGTGGAGGGGGAACGGGAACGGGTACCTATACGAGAAGTGCAGGTCAAAGCGAGCGTGGATCCCATCTTGGACTACAATCAGTTCTCGTCATCTATCCCCAACGCATGTATTATTTCGTCTGAATAAGGCTTGCTTAAGGAGGGACTTCATAGTTAGATCTATTATGAAAGTGAAATGACTTATACTTATTACCACGTACATATTAAAGGTTAATACAGGTATTAGCCGCGGTATAGTAAAAAGTCAAATAATTGAACGGTACCGATAGAGTTATACCAGAACCTTATACCGCCGCAATGTAAGGTCAAAGTTTTCGCCTAGGGTTTATAAAGCACACCGAATGTCTGGCCATGCAGGATCGCTCAGGACCATTCCCTCACTAACAAGCGCCGTCTTCCTGATCCAGCACACACCCATCAATCCATGCTTTAGTCAGCTCGCGCGACCTAAGCGCCACATCAACCAACGCGCCAATCAAGCGTTCAGGTATGCCAGCAGGAAGGGCATTTCACCGCTATTAGTAGATGATATTGTACGAACCCCTCTCTAACTACTGCCTTCACTGCTAATGTAAGGAGGGCATACATTACCCTCCACAAGTCTTAGTCACGGTGGCAGAAGGTGTTAAGACAAATAGGAAGTGTCGACTGGAGGCAAGCTAGGGTTCCTCGTAGCTGCATTCACAGATCGCGCCATTATATCCAGGCCGACGAAGGAACGGGTGGAGCGACGCGCAATACACGAGTGCATCGAGGTAGACCGCGGACGGCCGCGTATTAGATATAAAGAATAGGCCGAATACAAGATTCTTTAATGCTCGTCCGCATGGCAAGCGCTGGACGGCCGAACCAACGCTGAAATGTTGGGTGGTGAATCCGATGCAAAGTGTAGTTTCCACGACGTTTCCCAAATGCGAGCCAGAGATTCAGCTTTGCATATGGCTCCGAGTGATGGAGGGAATGGGGCTCAATAGTGTCTCACAGAGAACAGCCCGACATCCCGGAGCCGCCACGAAACACTCACTCAAAGCTGGGCGCATCAACTACAGAGTCGCCAATGTTGGTAGCACAAGGTAACAGGAGGCGATCGGGGTGGTGGGTGTTGCTCAAGGCAGGGAGGCAACAGGCTAGGCTGACTGCAAGCTCCAAAGTGCACTTGCTCGGGCGATGGTGTGCTCTCATCCAACCAATTATGCGCTGCGGCATGTGGGGGCTTCTTTCAATTTCCTCAGTGAGGCCACCCCGCACCAGAGAGCTGCCCATACTCAATCACTTTGGGGTTGTCCCACTTTTAGCCTCAGGCATTAAGTCACCCGATGTGCTCGGCCAAATACAAAGCCAACAGTTCTCTCCCATAACACCAACGAACCGCCCATCCCCCCCGACGGCCACCTGCAACTCGGCCAGCCTCATCAAGCACCGATTAACTCGTCAGCCTTCAGCACCCATCGCATACCCTCATGAACGGCCGGGTTGAGAAGTTGCGTCGCAGCTCTCGTGCGAAGCTCTCCAAGGCTTCTCAAGCACGGCTGCTGGACGCTGCTTTGAGTCAAGGTGCAGATACACCTCTCGTTCCTCATCGTGCCAAGTATCTCGGACAGTACGGCAAGTTAACTCGTGTACAGGACACGCAAAAGACTGTCGAGAAGAATTTGCAGACGGTTTCGCTCGGATCGCAACGCTAGAGCCGTCAAGAAAGAGACGAATCGACGCAACATCTAACGTTGGTCCCTTGCCTGCGAAGCGAGCCTGATCGGCGCGTACGGACACGCAACGGCCTGGAGTTGAGGACGAGAAAGCAGAGCAGACGGCCGAGGTATGACAACGTTCCCTCATGCAAGCCAACGACTAATGGCGGAGCTCGCGCAGACTTTACAACAGTCAAGGCCAGAGCAAGTCTCTCCAGCCACGCTGTTGCGGAAACGGCAGATCGACAGCGACGGCGACGACGACAAACACCAACCAAAGCGGGCGCGGTTGACGCGGAAAAACTTGGCCGTGTTCAACAAGATGGTGAAGAAGGGGAAAAAGACGTCAGCGTCTGCTCCCCCGGACTCCACGGTCGAGTCGTCAACAACAAAGACCGTCTCAACCACGACGTCTGGTTTCGCTATCCAAGCTGACGAGAATGGCATCCTCCAACCCCGTTACTCCAAGCCGCCCAAGAATGTCGAGGATATCGTCGAACGACTGGCCCGGTCCCGTGAAACCGCTTCGTCGCCTGAGTCAGCGTAAAAACGCTACGTCAACACAGTCGAATCAGCCCCCAACGAAGCGACCATGGTCTTCGAGGTGGGCGGAAAGCTACTAAAGGAATACGATAATGACGGTTATCAAAGGGTCTTCAACCAGGCATTCACGGACTTTCCAAAGGACGTCGGCTTCAACAACAGCCTCTCCGCTCCGCAACCCGACTTTGTCGAGGGGCTTCAGATGCGAGAATACCGCCCGTTCCCGGTCGGCAGACAAGTCAGCGGGGCCGTTCTTTACAAAGATGACCCCAATTCTCTAGCACTGCCGTATGTGGCTGGGGAGTGGAAGGGACGCGGAAAGGATATGGAAGAAGCGAGGGTGCAGAGCGCCTATGACGGATCCGCCCTTGTCTATGCGAGGAACCAGACCCTTTCCTATGTCAGGAAACCTGACCCCGCCGGCCACGCAGAGGTCATGACTTTCACCACGGACGGCACCAACATCAACTTCTTTGCACACTATGCTGCTCTAACAGAGGACGGCGCGCTTGAATACCACCAGTATCCCATCACCTCGACGAACTTGAAGAACTCTCACCAAGAGTTCAAAGAGGGCCGGAGACAACTTAGGAACGCCCAAGACGATGCAAGGGAGCGGTCGTATCAGCTCAAGGACCAGCTCAAGGAGAATTGGAAGGCCAAAAAGTCCCAGCTTGCCCCCCTTCCCCCCATCGAAGACGAAGATGGCTACGAGGTCATCGAGCAGCAGCCCACTTATCAGCCCACGCCACCTATATCATCCAAGCCCAACCATGGCAAGGTGTCGTCCTCGCGCTCCTCGCATTCGACCGTGTCCTCACCGCCGCCTGCTGTGGACTTCGCAAGCGGCAGCGGCCACAAGCGCAAGATCCCGTCGCCGTAGTCGTCGAGGTCTAGCAAGAAACTGGACTACTGGCAGGTTGACGATCTCACTGGCCGCCATTTCCACGTCTATAGAGACGGAATAGTCACCTGGAGGGGCTGAGGGGAACGGCATACATGCCTAGTGCCTGGGGGAAACCCGAAACCTGACGCCATGCGTCTGGAGTTCGAAGCATTGGCGTACTTGGCATCTGCTCTTGCCGCGAGTTGGAACTGTGAGTGATTAGGCAGCCTTGGGTTGGCCGCGGCCTTGACAAAGATTGGATTGGATCTACCGGCCGAAGACTTTAGCTTGCAAATGCGCATTTCTCCATCCCCAACTTACAGGGTGCGTGAGCCCGGGTATCACGAAGCCTGCCTGCAGGCTCCGCCAACCAGCATGTTGGCGTGTCACACGACGCCCTACTTCGATGTGACCAGATGACTTACCTAACGACGGCGGAATAGTTCAAGCCGCCGCTGATGCAGCCCCCGAAGCTGTGATTCGCTGGTTAGAGCTTGTAGTATTGTCTTAAGACGCTTTCTATACAGTGCGCCTGGGAGTGTTCCATTACACTGGGACGAATGCTGGTTGGTTGTTCTGTCTTTCCGATGAAATTTTCATCTAACTGGCGGCTAGGCGTGACACTGACAAGCCGGACTGCATGGCCTGCGTCTCTATTGCATGTTACACGATGTCTACTACTACCTATAATTGAATAGTAGGATGCAGCTTCGTCTCCCTTGGGGTCTGTGTGATGGAATTCACGCAGGCTGCCATGATGGGAACCAGCGCCAGGCGGTTCACCGGGCGGCCAAGGCTAGGCAACTATAGCGTCGCCAACTCCATTCTAAATCTCACCTCGACTGAGGGCTTAGCTCCAAAAGTCTGGTTCGAAGGTTGGCCATGGCCAGGCCATGAGCGGCCGGATGGAGTGGTGAACCAACGACGTCGTGATGCAAGCAAAGGAAGTGTACTGGCACACCTTCTGACTGCAGACGTACACTAACCACCTTTACATTGGATATTAAGGTCTCGGACGCAAAACAACGGATTTTTCCTGTCTTAACACTGCAGCCACCAATATTCACTTGTGATGCCTACTTGGCACCCTCTGTATACCCACCCAGGAAATGGCCCCGCTCTGCTTGATATCTAATGCATGAGGCCTTGTACGGTATTAGGCACCCTCGGTGAGTTGCTGCAACGCTGAGGTGGAGTAAATGCGGGATCAAGCTGCAAGACCTGAATATTGACTCCGCGTTGGAAGACGGAATGCCTGTGTTGAATCTGAATTGAGTCGGCCCGTCTGACATAGCCTCAACCCCTACAGTTCGGGTGCAGTGTTATCGTTCCCCGAACTGCGCTCAGGTGTCAGTGCACCATGCAATATTATCTATTAGTATGTAACTAAGGTGCGGAATGGATGGAGCTCCTCAGCTTAACCACCTCGTTCCACGAGCCGACGAGTCACAGTAAGAGCGAGGACCTCGATGCAGAGACGCTAGTGAGCTAGGGCGAACCACTCCCTCGGTACCCAATTAGTAGTCAGCGCCCTTTGTGCACCAGATGCAGTTGGCGGAACGGCTTGGCCGTAGCTCCCTGACTTAGCGGCTCTGCCGTTCTTGGGGAACGGGTGGTGCAATCAAAACGCTCTGCTGATTTGAGAACTAACACTACTGGACGTTGGATTGAGGATTAACACAACTGCGTTGGTTCGCGCACAGAAGTTACCGGCAGTGACATTTCCTTTTCAAATCGGCCCTCCTATGGCTTAGCCACATCGCAGGTCCTCGCATCAAGTGCTAAGAGAGCCCACTATTTTCCCGTCATATGAAGGGCCACGCAAGTAATCACGCAGGCCGAAACCGTGACTGCCGGGGCGTTCTGGTAATGCGAGGAGCTGTTAGGGGGGTCGATTTCTTCTGAGTTGTGCGGTCTCCTAGTCTGGAAATAACAGCTAATGCCTAAACCTCCAAGCCCCCATGTACTCTGGATCTCTCCCACCATGATACGCAAGTCTGCTAGGGTTGGACGCTCCTCCGGCGTCAGACGCATGCACGCTTCGACGATGGCCTGGAGCGGAGGTGGAACAGGCCATTCGACGAAGTGCGTGATTGGCCCGTTCCAGTAAACCATGCTTTTAATGCAGTTTCTAATATCATATATATCGGATCTAGCGGTCCACCCCGAGTCCTCCAGCCCTCCTTGGAAAGCGACCTCCGGCGCCGACCGCTCTCCCCAACGGCTTTCGAGATCGCAAACAACCAGACGCCCCCCGTCGTCTGAAAAGAGAAGGTTATCGGCGCGTAAGTCGCGATGGACGATGCCAACTGAGTGAAGACAATCCAAGGCGTCAATGAGTTGTAGAATCCAGCTCCTGTAAACGGCCAAAGAGTAGAAGCGACCGAGGGTGCGCGCGCTAGACGACAGCTTTTCGAAGACGAGCTGCCCGTCGGCGGACCTGCCGAGAAGCTGGATAATGTTCGGAGAGAGTGGATGGCCTGGCACAGAGCCGCCCTGGCACTTGATGAGATTCTCGATCTCGCTTCGGTACTTGCCCTTCTTGACAAAGTGCTTCGCTGGGTCGACACGGACGAGAGGCAGCTTGGTAACGAGCTCACTCACGTCCTCAAAGTCGTCCTCTATGAGCTCGGGATGCTCCAGACAGCAATTTAGTGGACGTATGTCATCGCCATCGATCTCAAAGTGACCTGACAAGGGGGGCAAGTTGCGATAGAGCCGTAGGATATCGCCCGAGAGTACCGGGAACGTCAAAGATGCGAACGCACTGGCCATACTTGGTGCCGTCGTTGAACCAGTACGTCATGTAAGACTTGTCGCTGCGCTGGAGTTCCATTTCAAGATGTGGTCGACCGCCAGGTGGATAAAGATTGGTAGTAACGCGACGGTGCTCATACTCAGCTCGGAAACGGAGCACTTCTTTGCTGAACGGGTCGTCGACTTGACTCTTATTAGCTATAGTTTGGTGGTCGGCGCTGATTCTGAGTTAGAAGGCACGGATGGTGCGGGCGTTTGGGTTGGGGGTTGATGTTTGGGGGCGGGTAGTCGAGCTGGACGGAAAATTTTCTGGGAGGAAAGCTGCAGAACCTGTGTTTGTACTATGAAACCGACGCCGGGAAAAATGAAGGGCTGGGGGGCCCAGGCGTCCAAACTTAGTGAGCGTTACAACCCGCTGTACCCATTGGCGCGTTCCACAACGCGTCGCCTTCTAGATCTGTTTGCTCACCGCCTACCAGTTTCGTTTACCGCTCATCGTTTTCGACAGCTATTTACAGAGTCCTTTCGAAGAACCTAGCTCCGGAGAGCTTGTCTGTTTCCCAATCCTGTCGCGGTTGGGACTCTGCTAGCAGCGGGGCTCTGACAGCGGGACTCTGCCAGCAGTGGGGGTTCTGCCAGCAGCGGGTTCACAAGGAATGTCCAGCGCGCGGCCTCGCAGTTGAATGTCTATTTCTGGACATGGGGGCGAAAGAGGGTTTACATCCCATGCCGAGCAAACCCTCGCCGTCCCAAGTTGGCCCGGCATGCATCGCCAGGGGACCAGAAGTATTGGCAGCGCCGAATCAGTCCGTAGCCTACCACGATTACCCGGTGAAACAGAATGCCCCAAAGTCCAAAACAATTGACTGTGAGGGTGGGCCAGACATTTGAGGTGATTGATGACGACAATTGGGCCAAGTGGATAGAGAAGGCATTTAGACGAAGACGATAGGCTGTGCATTTATGGGCTGTGCATTTTATGGCGAAGGGGTGGTATAATCCGGATAATGTTAATTACGCCATGTGTGGCCAGCTTTTGGGACCCTTCCCTCCCGCGGGTTGTTTTCTTCTAAAGGTGGAGGGCTTAAGAAAAGGGCGCCCCCTTTTTTTTTTGTCGTCCAGCTTCTCGCCCCGAAGTGTTGGGAAACGTCTGGGTCTGGCCTTGGAAAAAGGATTTTTTCTTCTAAGACCACATCCGTCCATGGGATGTCGCGACTGGTGAAAACCTGAGGGCAGAATGCAGAGAGGAATTCTCGCGCACCTGCCCCCCAGGGAGCGGGATGGGTTTTCTGTATAAGGTTCGCGCCAGGACTCCAAGCTTGAGCTCGTCCAGGCCGCTCCTTCCTTGGATCCGAAAACTTCCCCCAAACTTCCCTCAAAGAAACTTCGGGCGGGGCGCGAATTCCAGGGTGGAAACTCCTCGAGATAGTTGACCACCCGGAGCACAAGGAGGGCATTGAGGCCATTCTAAAGTTCTACGAAAACGGCGGCGCCATCCCTACCGCCGACATCATAGTATGGGCGGCCTATGGGCCCTGCGTCAGGCGTGGTACTCTGGAAGAGTTCCGCAATGATGCCAAAGCCAACGGCAATGGCAGGCTGCCATACACCCATATGGGAGGCTTTCAGCTCGCTCAACATGATGGCCTCGCTCAACACGATGGCCTCGCTCAACTCGGAACTAGTAGCGGCGGTAATCAGAACGGCCTCAGCAGTCAAGATGACTCCAACCAACAACAGGATGCCTGGGAAGGTCGGGAGCTCAAGCGGCTACGCCGTCAGATGGTTGACCGCTCGGAGTACAAGGAGAATATCGAGGCCATTCTCAAGTTTTACGAAAACGGCGGCGCCTTCCCCATCCGCAACATCGTTGTATGGGCCTATGGGCCTGGGCCCCACGTCGGACGTGGTACTTTGGAAGAGTGGCGCGATGATGCCAAAGCCAACGGCTATAGAGGGCGGCCATTCATCCATAGGGTGACCCCTTGACAGATGGCCCAGTCTACTGTTTACGGCCCTGGTGTCGGTGACACCTAGTACATGCACCTGGTAAGTAGGCTTCAGGTCACACCCTCCCGACATTCCTCTTCGTCTTGATTTTTCAGCCGGCTGACCCAAGGCAACTCTGGACCCAATTCCGCCTTCCTGCCGATGGCGGCGGTCAAGACGACGTCTTCATTACACGCCAGATCTCGCACGATATCGGCTCTTCGCTCCAGACTATTTATCGCGACGACTGGGACACCCTAACGTCAATCGTATACCGCCGACATACCGGACGGTTACCATGGCCTCAGGCGTTGAAGACCAGATGGAAACCTTTGTTGGCGAGATTCGCATCGTGAAGTTCGATGCGGGAAATGAGATGAAGACTCTTACCGACTGGCTAATGGAGACTTTTGTCATTAGAGACCCCGTACCTGGCACGTTGCTTCTGTCTGGACTGGCAATGAGGAACGAGCTCTACTTCGCGACGTCTCCGGGAAATGCCAACCTGTACGTCTCGGTAAAGAAAAATGGGGTGGTATCCTAGCTCCCAGTGGTATGAGCGCATAATTTTGCGAAATGTATATATTCATTGCTCAGATAGATGTCCAACCGGCGTCACACTTGAAAATATCTCGTGTATTCCTACGGTCCACCGAGGTTTCGTGCAGAACTCGAATCCATGAACTGATAATGATACAACGGTTTAACCCTGAACATATCCTTGACCTATTTCTAGCCGAGGGCCGGAAACAGGGCCTTCAGGCAGCTCAGCCTCAAAGCGGCGAGAGCTCAGCCCAAAGTCCGAAAACGGATTTTGGTGAGCTTGAGTTTCGTCTCCGGATTATGTGGTATTTTTATGCCTGAGATGCCTGGGCTACGATGCTCATCTTTCTGGGGAAGGCGCTGAAGAAGGCCACCTGAAGCCTTGACACGTGAAGGGAGCTTAATTTCCAGGTCCCTATGGCCTATAGGCGGGCCTCCTTACCTATATCGGCAAGTGTCAGCGACCGTCGCGTGCAGGCCGCGCCTCGCGTCCCTTGCCGCCCCCCCCAAGGACCCAAATTTGTTGACACGGGACTCTCGTCATTCCTGAAAGCGAGCGGCCAACAACTCGACTTGCGACTGCAACCAACACGCCACGACATATCGCCTGAACAACATCAGCTTTCCCTCAGATTCCTCTGTGGCGCGCGAAACAGGCTTTGGGGGGTTTTTTATGAGCCGCAAGCCGTCTTTGGACGTATACTTAACCCAGGGTAGCTGACAGAGGGCCAGTCCCGAGCAGCTGGCAGCCAAAACCCACCAGTTTACGGAGTACGGAGGTAATCTCGATTAACTCAAGGGTCCACGACACGCACCCACGCCAGCACGGCTTCTGCGGGTCGGCTCGCCCTAGACTTTCCGTCGGCGACGTGAGCGAGCAACCACAGCTTGTTTACTTTGGGACAGGGGCAAATAGAATGTGTGCGCATGGTCTTGCTGCACGGCTGCCTGGGAACTGGAACTGCTACTACATGTTGTTGGGCATCCGAGGCTTGCTGCATCCGCAACTGCAACTGCAACTGCAACCGCAACAGCATCGATATATCCGTAATAGAACTTGAAGGCGGAAAGGAAAGCAAGCTGGCCCACTCCCTCCTCCACCTCCGAGCACCGCCGACTTCGAGATCGCTAAACCCTCCCTGCGTGCCTACCTACCTACCTACCTACCGCCTCGCCCATCCGCTGCCGCCCCTATTTGCTCCCTCGAAATCAACCACTCCTTAGTTACGACGACAACCTGATCGCCGCAGCTTGGTAGCTTGTCCCCTGCCGCCCGCGGCGCCTTCGTCGGCGAGGGTGCTACCATGGCTCCCGCCGCGGCTCCCCCCGCCGGAGGGGGAGGCGGAGGGGGAGGCGGAGGGGGAGGGAACATCAAGGTCGTGGTCAGAGTCCGTCCTTTTAACGGGAGAGGTGAGAAGTGTGCCCCGTGGGATGCTACATGTGCATAGTGCTATTCTTCTGTCGTGAGAGCTTCGTAACTAACCAGTGCTGGCTTGCCGGACAGAACACGACCGCAGTGCGAAATGCATTGTTGAGATGCGCGACAACCAGACCGTGCTCACTCCACCCCCCGATGCCTCCTCCGGAGGAGCTACGAAAGGGAAAGACCAGGGCCAAAAGGTGTTCGCCTTTGACAAATCGTACTGGTCCTTCGACAAGAAGGCGCCCAACTACGCCGGCCAGGAGAACCTCCACGAGGACCTGGGCAAGCCCCTGCTCGACAACGCCTTCCAGGGCTACAACAACTGCATCTTTGCCTACGGCCAGACGGGCTCGGGCAAGTCGTACTCCATGATGGGCTACGGAAAGGAGGCGGGTATAATACCAAAGATCTGTCAGGACATGTTCAAGCGGATAGACGAGATGCAGCAGGACAAGAACCTGCGTTGCACAGTCGAGGTCTCGTATCTCGAAATCTACAACGAGCGCGTGCGCGATCTGCTTAACCCTGCCAACAAGGGCAACCTCAAGGTCCGAGAACACCCGTCGACGGGGCCCTACGTCGAAGACCTGGCTAAGCTGGTCGTGGGCGGCTTCCAGGAGATCGAGCATCTCATGGACGAGGGCAACAAGGCCAGGACGGTGGCCGCGACCAACATGAATGAGACGTCGAGCCGAAGTCACGCCGTCTTCACCTTAATGCTGACCCAGAAGCGCTTCGATCCAGAGACCAAAATGGAAATGGAAAAGGCGGCCAAGATCAGCTTGGTCGATCTCGCCGGTTCGGAAAGAGCAACATCTACAGGTGCGACGGGCGCCCGGCTCAAGGAAGGAGCGGAAATCAATCGCTCCCTTTCGACCCTCGGCCGTGTCATCGCAGCTCTCGCCGATCTCTCGACGGGAGGCAAGAAGAAGAAGGGCGCGACAGCCACACAGGTCCCCTACCGAGACAGCGTACTCACCTGGCTTCTTAAGGACTCGCTCGGAGGAAACAGCATGACGGCCATGATCGCAGCCATCAGCCCGGCCGACATTAACTACGACGAAACACTCAGCACGCTCCGGTATGCCGACTCGGCGAAGCGCATCAAGAACCACGCGGTCATCAACGAAGACGCTAATGCGCGCATGATTCGCGAACTGAAAGAAGAGCTGGCGCTCCTCCGCAGCAAGCTCGGCGGGGGGGCTGTGGGCGGTGTCGGCGGCGGCGCGCCCGTGCCGACAGAAGAGGTCTATGCGGAAGGCACGCCGTTGGAGAAGCAGATCGTCAGCATTACGCAGGCTGACGGCAGTGTGAAGAAGGTCTCAAAGGCCGAGATTGCCGAGCAGCTGAACCAGAGCGAAAAGCTGCTGCAGGATCTCAACCAGACGTGGGAGCAGAAGCTGGCCAAGACGGAGGAGATCCACAAGGAGCGCGAGGCTGCGCTCGAGGAGCTAGGCATCAGCATCGAGAAGGGCTTCATCGGTATGTCGACGCCCAAGAAGATGCCTCACCTGGTCAATCTCTCCGACGACCCCCTCCTGGCCGAGTGCTTGGTCTACAACCTCAAGCCCGGCCTCACCACAGTCGGCAACGTCGAGTCCAACGCCGAGCACCAGGCCAACATCCGCCTCAACGGCTCCAAGATTCTCCACGAGCACTGCGTCTTCGAGAACGCCGCCGACGGCACCATGACCATAATCCCCAAGGAGGGTGCCGCAGTCATGGTGAACGGCAAGCGCGTGACGGACCCGACGCGGCTCCACTCGGGCTATCGTCTGATCTTGGGCGACTTCCACATCTTCCGATTCAACCACCCCCTCGAAGCACGTGCCGAGCGTGCCGAGCGCGCCGAGCAGAGCCTGCTGCGCCAGTCCGTGACGGCTGGCCAGCTGTTCGACAAGGCGGCGTCACCGTCCCCAAGCCCCAGACCTGGCCACGAACGGAGCTATAGTACAGCAGCCTCCGAGTTCGGCGACAGCCGTCCCGACTCGCCGGCCCCGTTCCAGCGCAACACGAGAGAGTCGGACTGGTCCTTTGCACGGCGAGAAGCAGCGCCCGCCATCCTCGGCACGGACCAGAACTTTGCTAAGCTGACTGACGAGGAGCTAAATGCCCTGTTTGAGGACGTCCAGCGGGCCCGCGCCGAGCGGGTCAACGTCCGTGAGGGCGACGAGGACATGGAGTCAATGGCGTCGTACCCCGTGAGGGAGAAGTACATGTCGACGGGCACGCTCGACAACTTCTCTCTCGACACGGCTCTCACGATGCCGTCGACTCCCAAGCAGGGCGAGACCGAGGACAAGATGCGCGAGATGCGCGAGGAGATGCAGAACCAGCTCGAAAAGCAAATGGACGAGTACAGAGAACAGCTCAAGAGCGCCGAGGCCGCCAACGTCGAGGTTGAGGAGATCAAGAAAGAAAAGGCTAAGATGGAGGAGACCCTCCTGCAGCTCAAAACCGACATGATGAAGCAGCTGGACGTGCAGCGGCGGGAATACGAGCAGAAGATCGAGAAGCTCGATCCGCTCAAGCGGCCAAGGGCCAGCCCAAAACTCTCCCAAGACGAGATCGAACGGGCAAAGGCGGCAGTCAAGCACTGGCGAGGCCGCCACTCGGTGGAGATGGCCGAGGCGGTCCTGCAGCACGCGTCAATGCTGAAGGAGGCCCAGGTCATGAGCCACGAGCTGGAGGAGAGCGTCGTGTTCCAGTTCACCGTGGTCGACGTGGGCCACGTGCTCTGCTCGTCGTACGACATGGTCCTTAACGGGCTCCCGGCCGACGGAGACGACATCGCCCTCGAGGAGGCCCCGAAACCGTGCATCGGCGTTCGCGTCATCGACTACAAGCACGGCGTCGCCCGGCTGTGGAGCCTCGAAAAGCTGCACAACCGGGTGCGGCTGATGCGGCAGATGTACCAGTACCTCGACCAGCCGGAATACGCGCAGCACCTGAGCGTCGACAACCCGTTTGTCGAGGACTGCATGCCGCAGTACACGCTGGTAGGAGAGGCTGACGTGCCGCTCAAGGCCGTCTTCGAGAGCCGGGTCCAGGACTTTATGCTCGACGTCGTTTCTCCGCATACGACACACGCCATCGGGCGCATCAAGCTAGCCCTAGAGCCGTCGAGCGCGCGGGCGCCCACAAACACTCTCAAGTTCAACATCGTTATGCACGAGATGGTTGGCTTCGCAGAGAGGGAGGGCACCGAGGTGCACGCGCAGCTGTTCCTGCCCGGCATCTCGGAGGAGGACGGCATTACTACTACGCAGATGATCAAGGACTTTGACGAGGGCCCCATCCGGTTCGAGAGCGTCCATAGTATGAGCGTTCCGCTGTTCGCGCCCCTCGAGACGACGCTGCGGGTGGCGATATTCGCCAAGGTGTCGACCATGCACCTCGACAAGCTGCTCAGCTGGGACGACATCAGGGATGGGGTGCCGGCGCGGCCCAAGACGGCCAGGATAAACGAGTCGCAGTTCTTCCGCGAGGAGAAGCACGACCTGCTCGCACGGGTCAAGATCCTCGAGATGAACGAGGACGGCGAGTACGTGCCCGTCGACGTGGCGCAGACCAGCGAGCTCGACAGCGGCACGTTCCAGCTTCACCAGGGCCTGCAGCGCCGCATCACCATCAACCTCACCCACAGCTCGGGCGACGCGCTGCCGTGGAACGACGTGACATCGCTGCGCATCGGCAAGATCCAGCTGCTGGACGGCGCTGGCAAGACGCCCGACATGAGCACCACCGCGCCCGACCTCGCCCTGAGGCTCGCGTCGAGCCCCGTCTTCAAGAACAATGCGAACGGGACGCGGAGCGTGACCATGTCGGGCCAGTGGGACTCGGCGCTGCACAGCTCGCTGCTGCTCGACAAGGTGACGGCCGACAAGTACCGCGTGCAGATGACCGTGTCGTGGGAGATCAGCTCGGAGAAGCTCGCCGAGCCCATGAAGTTCACCATGAACGTGTGCTGCCAGATCAGGTCGCGGTCGTTTGTGCGGCAGACATCGATCCTCTCGTCGCTTTTCCAGCAGGTGCGCTTCGTGCGCTCCAGCACCGCCATCTTCACCGTGCAGCTGCGGCCCGCACCCATCAAGCGCGCCAGCGACCTGTGGCGCCTTAACAGCCAGCACGACTACGTCAAGGGCGAGGAGAACCTCGTCTCGTGGACGCCGCGCGGCGTGTCGCTGGTGGCCGACTACATCAACTCTAAGAAGAAGCGCAGGCTGGTGTCCGAGGTCGCAGCCGTCCAAGCCGTGCTCAGGCGGCTGGGCATCCAAGACCCCAGCGAGCAAGCTAGCGGTAACGGCGTGGACGGGACAGAAGACGCAGACCTGCCGCCGCCGCCGCCGCCTGTGATCAGCGACACCGACTCGATTGCCGAGCTGCTCAAAGACACGCCCGACGGCTCGGAGGCGTCGTCTCCAGAGGTGTCGCAATTGGACGAGGCCGCGCCGCCGCCCGAGAACGAGCAGCAACCGGAAGCGCCTCTCCCAGTACCTGAATACACGGGGCAACAGACGGCGCTGCTCGGCAAGTGCCTCGGCCTCTGGCGGCGGTATCCCGACCCCGCACTAAACATCCTCGGCCCGGCCAACACGGACCCGCCGGCCAACGGGGTACTCAGCGGCGGGCCGGCGCAGGACTCGTCTTCGCCGCCCGAGTTCGTCGCCACGGTGATCCGCGTGCTCAAGACGCCCGCAGTGCTCAAGGGCGGCTACTTACTGGTGCCCAACAGCGAGGCGACGCGGTGGGTGCGACGCTTCGTCGAGCTGCGGCGGCCCTACCTGCACATCCACAGCGTCACCGACGGCGAGGAGATTGCCATTGTCAGCCTGCGCAACGCCCGCGTCGACAGCCAGCCCGGTATCCTCGGACTGCTGAACCACGACTACGGCCAGGACAGCCACACCCACAGCAACGGCGACGACCAGGCAGACACTGCACCAGCGACGACAACAACAAGGCCGCGAGCGGGAGGCCACCGCCGCACGCAGTCGGGCCGCCTGCCCTTCTCGGGCTTCCTCGGCGGCGGCGGCCTCGGCATCTCGCCGTCCGGTCTTCTAGGTGGTGGCGGCACCCCACCGGGGGGCATCAGCAAACTCAGCGAGCGCCTGCAGGCCGGCGTGTTTGCCATTTACGGGACGGATAACACGTGGCTGTTTGGCGCCCGCAGCGAGCGCGACAAGATGGATTGGATCCTGCGCATCGACCAGTCATTCCTGCTGTCGTCGTCTGGCGACAGCTCGAGCGCCGCGAGCGCCAGTGCGAGCGATCTCGCAAGCGGCGCTGTGAGCCCTGCTGTGGGGAATGGCCATGGGAATGGGCACGATGGGGGCCGGTACTAGTGAAATAAATAAATTAATTGCTTGCCTGCCTGCCTGGGTATGATATGTATGTATGTGTATGGGCATTTTACGAACGAGCCGAGACGAGCAAAGAGATGTTTTACATCATGTCTTTTTCTTTTGTCTTCTGTATTCTACTCTACGGGACGAGCGGCGAGATGGGCTGGTTGCTTTTTTTTACCCTCGTTTTCCTTCCTTCTTCCCGTTGTTATAACATACATAACCAGCAGGAAGGGAAGAAAGGAGAGAGAAAAGGGAAGAAACACAAGCGGCTTACATCACTTTATCTTACCTTGCCTAGAATTCAGGGGGTTTCTTTTTTTCTTTCCGGTTTTATTCCAAGGGATATACCCAGCGAAGGAGAGTCAGCGAGTGACATAAAAGCGAGAGAGATGAAATAACAAGATATTCACAAGGGCTTTTTGAGAATGGATCGGAAAGGAACAGGTCGGAAAGGAAAGGAAAGGAAAGGAAAGGAGCTCGGGAAAGGAACGGAAGGGGTGTTTTTATTTTACTTTTAAATAGAAGATATTTCCGGCATCCCTAATAATTATCCATCCATCACCCTATTACTACCTACCTAGACAAAAAGGCTTTGCTTTTCGCGCTTTCTTCTTTTTTTCTTTTATCCTGCCAGTCTTTGGTCTGGACTTTCTACTGTTGTTGTCGGGCTGGTTTATTGCATGTGGATGGGTGGGTGACAGGATTTCCGTTTCCATGCAGAGCGTACGATGCGACGGACGCAAACGAGGTCTCGTGGCTCGTCTTCCTTTCTCTTCTTCATTTTACTTCTCACTAGTCTTTCAGCTCTCTTCCACGCTCTCTCATATCCTTTGTAATTTCCCTTGGTTTCGTTTTGTGAGACTTGGCTTCTTGAGCAATGAATAACTAACGATCGATGTGTGTGTATATATCTCCTTCTCTTTCTGTCCAATATTTTTATTTTCTATCTTCCATGTCGTGTGTAACAACAACATCAACATTACGAGGGATGGGATATATATATAAATACTGTACTATATGTATATTTGCCATCCCGTGGTGGATTGGGCTGTTGTTCGGGCGTGTGACTAACTAAAAAAGCCCGACGGAGAAGAGGATCTTGAGTACTCTCTAAGGAAAGAAAAGAACAACTTTCGAGCGTAGCGAGCAGCCCGCCGCAGGGGCCCCCGGAGGGCCGCCAGAGGCAAGAGAGAAAGAAAAGGCCATTCAGCTATCCCTCTCTAGAGTTAGGTATCATATTTTACCCCTTTCTTAATACGTTCGAGGTTGCCATTGAAGCTGCCATCCTAGTAGCCAGCCTTTTCTAAACAAAGATTTAATCACCTCTCTTGGACAGTTTAAGTGAGTCGTGGACAGTATTGTGACCTGTTTCCAGAACGGCCGGTTCGTAATCAAGTCACTGTAGGGGCGCATTAAAGTTATATATCCGTCTCCTGAAGAAATACAAAAAACATGTCATTTTGAACAGATCACTTTCCTCCACTACCACTCCACAGCACAACTTACAACCAAAAGCCACTCCGCACACGACGACACCGTCACTGTCAATGTCACGCCTCCTCGACGGACGTAGGTAAACAATCCAGACACGGACAGCACATCCACATCCATTATATCAATACGCATATCAATATGCAATCCATTCAATTCCATTCCATTCCAGTCCATGCACTGCCCCCCGGGGCCCTTCTTAATACATACCAAAAAATAAATCTAACCTACCTACCCCCTGCTGCCGAGTCTATGTAATCTAGGTAGCTACATCCCTCCCCATACGCGCATCTGCCTACTAATAGGTAATGATACAATAATATACAAAGTCGAAGAAGGAGAAGAAGAAAAAGGCAAAGGAAATACATAAAACTTGCCCCATACACAATGTTCCTCTCTCGCGAGTAAGCAAGAAAGAAAGAAGCTGACAGGCAAGCAGGCAGGCGAACAGGCAGGCAGGCGAACAGGCAGGCAGGCGAACAGGCAGGCAGGCGAACAGGCAGGCGGCAGGCAGGTAGGAGTGAAATACCGCAAGACGCAAAAAGAAACAAAAAAACCCAAGACTTGGATCTCTGTCACGTCTGTTACTGTACTTGGTCCTCTGCCTCGTCGCGGTATTCCCAAACCACAAAACACAGTCAAGCCAAATTTACTCACGCAGACACACACACAAACACAAAGACCGTGGCATCGCCAAACCACCCATTCTTCTCTCCTTCGCCATGCAAGTAGTTAGGAGAGGCGTACACGCACTAGGAATAGAGATTAGCCACACATGAAATAGGGAGAGCCTAGGTCTTTGGTCAAGTCTAACGCATTGGCCGTTGCGTGTCTTCAGTCAAAGTCGGACTCGGGTCTGCGCTTTGGGAGCGAGACGGGGTAGTACACGCGGTTGCCGATGCCGCAAGTTAGTGCAGACGAAAACTGCTCGGCCGATAAGCGCTTGGGTTTGAGGGAACAGACAGGTTGCTGGCCCCCCTGGAAGGCGTGATCCAAGACTCGCGCATTGTCTGCACTTTTGCATGCCTTCCCTCTCCCGGCAGAAAGGGCAAAGTGCGCGCAAAGCAGGCCCCAGTCCTTAGGCGGACTTCTTGCGCCGCGGGAGCCCCTGCTCCCTCCGCGTCTTGATGTCGCCCTCTGCCAGCCACCTGCTCGCCTTGATGAGCTGCACGACGTTGATGAACTGCTTCAGTAGCATGATGGGGAAGCTGATGGAGGCAATAATCCACGGCACGGTCGAGTCCTGAACAGCGGGGGGGGGGGGCTGGTTAGCGTGACAGATCAAGTCAACGCGAGGGAGAACACACCATCTTGTTTGCGCGGGCCAGCTCGAGGGCGCCGGCGCTGTAGGGGCTGGCGTAGATCTGGCCGACGACGGAGGGGTTGACCTCGCCGCCCTTAATGATGGCCGAGGCGGCGCTGTCCGAGACCTGGTGCAGCAGGCCCGGGGAGAGCAGGGGGCTCGAGAAGGAGAGCAGGTAGAGGGCGATGAAGAAGACCTCATTGAGGGCGCAGAACCAGAACAGCACGGTGCGGTTGGTGTAGTAGAGATTAAGAATCCAGCTGCGTGTCTTGTCGACGTTCTTGTGGCTCTGGTTCTGGCCGCCCAGGCTGAGCGTCGCGTACATGTGCGTGTAGTGGCTGGCCATGTCGAGCGAGATGAGCAGCTGGAAGACGATGCTCCAGCGCGGGAAGGCCGAGGCTAGAAAGCACAGTAGGCAGCTCGTCGTGGCGCGGTCCGTGATCATGTCGAGCACGGCCCCGAACTTGGTGCTCTGCTCGAGCAGCCGCGCAAAGTAGCCGTCGAGGGCGTCGAGCAGACACGACACGCTGTACAGGATCGAGCATGTGCGGGGGTGCAGCGGCATGAAGTAGAGCGATGCGATAGCCAGCACGATTCTCGAGAAGCCTAGGCGCATGGGCATGGTCAGAGCAGGTAGGCGCAAAGTAGGGGTTCTGGTTCATACCAATGAGGTTTGGCACAAACAGGAAGATGTTCTCGTGCGGGTAGTCGTCGTCGGCGTCTTCGGGGGTGTCCTTGGTAGCTATCGAGTGTGCCTCGCTGCTGCCGTTCCCGATGACGACTTGGGAGTCGGTGCTGGCAGCCTTGGTTGCCAAGGCTACCTGCCGCCTTGTTTTCGCCCCAGACATGGTGTCGCTCTGCTGTCTTCAGCTTCAATTGAGTGTGTCGTCGAGGCCGAGGTGCGTGTGTGATGTTGGAAGAACGGCGGTCGTGGACTTGGTGCGAGGGCCGGAGGATGCCAGGAGCGGCGGTCGAGGGATGAAATCCGAGGGATCCGGTCAGCAAACGCAGCACCCGCCGCAAAAAAAAAAAGTATTTGGAACAATAAAAGTGACGACGCGTTCGGCTCCAAGAGACCTGGGAATAGATGCGAGAGCAGTATAACGATATTCAACGATAGAAATGAAGTAAAATACAGGTTGATAGGTCGGTTTAGAGGGTTCGGCCTGGGTGGCAGCTAGGGAGCGTGCGTTGGTGTGGTGGTGCTTGCTCGCTGAAGTCGGCCTGCGGATATTCGAAGCTTCCCAACACGGCCAAACAAGACAGCGGCTCGAGGTGGGCCGATAACCGATTACGATGACGTCCCACATGGTCCGTGCGTATCGTGGATTTGATCTCGCTCAGGCCATGCATGCTGAAGGCCACGCTGAAGGTCACGCTGAAGACGTGTCACCAAACGTAGCTGCTTTACATCCTTACCGAGAAAATCGAGCGACTCTCAGCGCGTTACAAATGGCAAAATGGCGCAACTATCGGCTACAAATATGAAGCAAAATTGCAATATCGTCACATTTAGCATGACAGGCATGGACATTTCAAGGCCGCAATTGTCGACGACTGATCGAGGTTGAGGTGAGTTGCCAACTCTCGTGATCAATCAACTTCAACATTAACCAGCCTGAACATAGTACTTCGTACCTTCAGACATTTATCTACCTAAGGCACCGAACCTTACTTGATACCATCGACTCTGCAAAGACTGCCCTTCAAGTGGGATCTGATACTTGATTAATTACAGGAAAAGGGGCAATTACAGACTGCCAGTCCTCAATACCACCCCCCCTTTCCCTTTCCCTTTCCCTTTGGGCCATGCTCGTGGTCGTGCTCCCCCGGGGACGGGGCGGTCAGGTTCGCTTTTGCCAGGCCCTTGAAGGTGTCGATGAGCACGTCGTAGGCCGGGTGGACGGTGAAGTTGTCGAACCACAGCAGCGCCGCGCCCTGGCCGGGGAACGTGTCTGGAACCCAGCTGAACGGATCATAAAAGTCCCACAGCGTGATGCCGACGCACTTCGGCACGCGCACGCACGCCGTGGCCACGGCCCGGTACGAGTCGGCCTGCCACGCCAGGTTGGTCGCGTTGACGGGCATCTCGATGCGCACGTCGAGCTCGGTGAAGGCCACCTCGGCCACGCCCAGCGCCGTGAAGGCGTTCATGGTGTCGACGTGGTCCTGCGCTGTTGGATGTACATCGGCGTGTAGGTGCGCCTGCATGCCCACCCCGTCGATGCGCACGCCGGCGTCGCGCAGCATCTTGACCAGCCGCAGCGCCCCCGCCGTCTTGACCGACCCCGGCCGCTCGATGCCGTAGTCGTTGTAGTACAGCTTGGCCCCCGGGTCCGCCTTCGCCGCCGCCTGGAACGCCAGCTTGATGTATTCCTCGCCCAACACGTTGTAGAAGAGCGACTTGCGGTACGTGCCGTCCTCATCGAGCGCCTCGTTGACCACGTCCCACGCGTGGCACCGGCCCTTCCAGTGGCTCGCCACGTTGGCCACGTGGCGCGTGATGGCGGCCCGCAGCGTGTCGGGCGTCCACGTCGTGTTCTCGACCCACGGCGCCAGCTGGTTGTGCCACACGAGCGCGTGGCACCGCAGCGTCTTGCCCGTCGCCGCCGCCAGCCCCGCCACCACCTCGCCCTCGGTGTAATTGAACACGCCCGCCTCGGGCTCCGTGAACAGCCACTTCATGCCGTTGGTCGGCGTCGTCTGCCCAAACTCGCGCGGGTTGGTCAGGATGGCCGAGTACGTCGCATACGTCGCCGGGAACGGCGCCCGCTCCCGCTGCCCCGGCGTGTCCGTCGCCGCCCCAAAGTACTGCAGCCCGGCCTTCTTGGCGTAGTAGTCGAGCTGCCCGGCCACCAGCAGTGGCGCCGTCAGCACCACCGCCGCGAGCGACGAGCCTGGCAACCGCATGTCGAGGCGAGACAAGGCAAGGTTGGTGTTGGTCTCTTTCTGGCTTGGAAGCTGGCGGGAGCAGGTAGGTACGCAAGGTAGGTAGCTCGACAGAAAGAAACGGGGATGAGAGATGCAGAACCCGGCCTATTTATTTAATTAGATCCTAGGCACCAGAAATAAACAATACCAAAACATTAACTCGTGTCTAATCTTCCAAACGACCATGCACCCGGTTCCGCGGACACGGGCCCAGGCGGGCATCCCCATATTGACATTACCCGGGCGAGAGGGGGCGGGCACCAATATCGACGCAGGTCCGGCTCCGCAACCGAAATCGAAATAGGGGCGGGCGGGCGGACGGACTGCCGGACGGGAAGGGGGGAAATGAATTATCAGACGAGGAGAAACGCTTGTCCCGGGACGGACATAGTCCAAAAGGGAATGGTAGCCTCTTGGTCCTCTTCAGCCGAACCAGTAAACCGAAATAACTAAGAGCGAGAGAAAAAAAAAGTTGCGCGCCCGAGGGTATATTCGCGTCTTGTTGATGCGTCATCGCGTTGCGTTCGGCTAAAGTCGTGCGTCCGTCCGGCTGCGTCCCCTCTTTCCCCCGCCCCCGGCACGCCGGGCCGGGCCACTTCGGCCACGGCTAGCTTGTCGCTCGCTCGGTCACGTAGCTACCTACCTGCCTAGGAAGTTCTAGCTCTAACTCTCGTCTTGTCCTATCTGGGTTGGATGGAGGGATGGATGGATGGCTTCCGCCCAAGTTCGAAGCTGACAGGTTCTGCTCACCTCACCTCACCTCATCTCTGTATACTTGGGTACGCCGGTGGGCTAATTAGGAGAGGGAGTCGAGATATGTCCTCCCATGTATTCAGTCCCTATTACCTTACCTACGTACCTATTCCCTAATCACCATTCATTGCTACGATGTGTTGGGTTGTTGGATGTCACGGCCCGGTCAAAAAGCAGCTACGTAATATGCCCATCCCCCCCAAGAGGCATGAGTACCTACCTACCACCCACTCCTATCTGTGTCGGCGGGTCTATCTATCTAGAGATTGGGTGTAAGTAAGTAACTAAGCCAACGAACGAACGAACAAACGGCCTGTGTTTCCATCGACCACGTTGCTGCTCCACTCCACTGGGAAAGGACGGCAGAGAGAGCTCATATAGACACCTACCATCTTTGATGGTAGGTAGCTTGTGCGTGTGACGGATGTCATTCAAATAACTATTTTGTTTTGGGACTGAGATTTATCAGACCGACCTTCTCGCAGATTTATTTCGAGATAACGGCACAGCCCCCCCCCCCAGCCCCCCCCCGGGAACTATTAATCCCGACGGAACGAGCGGGGTTTTGGCATCCAACTACACCGGGGGTGTCTCTCTGCCCCTGGACTAATAGACTAGATAGAACGAGAAAAAGAACAAGTACGGCCTTGCCATTCATTGATCTGTCTTTCTCTAACCCTCGTTTCCTTGTTGCGGTTTTCCCTACCTACCTACCTTACCTAGGGTATGTTCCTTTTTTTTTTTGTGCTGAGGAAACACTGGGAAGGCAAACGACGACGTTCCAAGCAACCTCGAGCGAAGAAAAGACATAGAGGCCCGTGATATTAGTTACTTACACGGACCAGAACACAACCAACTCGTTAAAGTCGCCGATCTATAGTTCGTCGACGGGCCTTAGGTCGCCAGGAACAAGTCTCTGCCGCATGTTCCACGCGCGGGCCAAGGGCTCATCTCCAGCGCGAGTGTTGCCCTGGAGGACCAAGACGTGGCCGAGCATGAAAGTCACGCGCGCGAGTTCAGGCGCGTAGTAATGGCCTCGGCTGAAGACGCGCGACGCCTGGTCCAGAAGCACGCTGTGAAAGTCGTCAACACTGTTGTTCTCCACTTCAACTCTCTTATCAAGAAAGGAGAACTTACACAGTGTGTTCGTAGTCTCCGAAGCGCAGGTAATGCATGGACAGGTTATAGCAGGCTTTGGCAGTGAGGTGGTGGTTGTCGCCAATGCTGGACCTCAGCTGCAGGAGAGCCCGCTGGTGGTAGACGAAGCTCTCTTCGAGACGGCCCTGGCTTTGGTGGACGCTGCCGAGGGAGTAGAGCAGTTCCCCAGTCCTGTGGGAGAAAAAAAATATCAGCACGCGTCAATAGAAAAGTGAAGAGAAGAAAAAAGGCTCGCACAAACCTAGAACTCTCCTTGTCATCGCGACCAAACGCGAGCTCGCGATCACGAAGAGCACTGAGGAGAAGCTCACTGGCTTCTTCATAGGCCCCCTCGTGCCAACGCACAAGCGCCAGGCCGCGCAGAGGGTTGAACAGCTGCAGCCTTTTGAAGCCTGGCAGCTGCTCTCTTATGGAGATGGACTTCTCGAACATCTCTGCCGCCTTGGTGAAGATGCCGCACGCCATTAGCGCTCTCCTATACTCACTGTATCCGGCCGCGAGCTTGTTGTTGAGCTTGCCGTCCTTGGCAAGCGTAGCTTCTCGAAACGCAACATTTTCTTCCTGGTGGTATAGAGCTGTTTCTGTTTCGTTCATTTCCAGGCCAATAGAGGACCGAGTGCCGTGGAGCTCGGCCCGGATGAACGACAGATCCTCGAGAGAAACCTCGGTGAGCTTGAATCCGGTTTTGATGAAGTCGAGACATTCCCTGGGGTTCGACCGCTCAAGGTGGTACCTTTATAGGAAGCAGGCGTTGTAAGCATATATTGTCTACCAGCCTAGGTAGTGATTTGAGAGCTCAAAATGTTGGGGTTTAATGAGATTATGAGTCACACATACCAGGCTCCTTCGGCCAGTAACCAAACAAAATCAACCGTGGCCGTCCTTTGCTGTTTGCTCTTGTCGAAGTCGTTGAATATTTGGCGCAACCGCACCACGTGTGGTATCACTCGCTCGCATTGGGTCCACCTATCAACCTGATCGAATGCGGGGTATCCTGTTCGAGGTGTAGTGACGAAAGGCCATACAGAGGATACAAGACGAACGGTGGCTTGGAATACCGAACAAACAAGGTCGTCGGTTTTCAGGAGCTGAGACCGGATCACGTCTTGGACCATCCTATGGATCGACAGCTCGTTTTGGTCCGTGTTTCGGTGGATAATCGATGATTGGGTCAAAGTTGACAAATCCCGGAGGAATGCTGGTTTTGTTTGTGGGAAGCTTTCCAGCGATGAGTCTTGCGGTGCTGTGGTGAGGATTTCCTCGACAATCGAGTCGGGATCTAGAAGAGCCACGACAGACAGAATCTGCCTGGCGCCGGGGTTGAAGCCATTAAAAGCCCATACCGAGCTTAGAGTGAGGCCATATCCATGCAGCGTCCCGACTCTCAGCTCGTGCAGCTCGGTCCTTTCCTCTTCCTGACAATAGATCTCGAGAAACTCGGCAAGTGACAGGTTGCGCCGACGTATTATTCCTGCCATTTGTACGATGGCCAAGGGATAGCAATTCAGCTTTTGCACAACATCCATCGAGAGTTGTTCTGACGACTCCCTCCCCTCTTGCCGAGACAATTTTCGAAGAAGGATCGCAGCCTCGCTTTGGCCGAGAGCATCCAGCTCGATCCCCACGTTGCCGAAGAACATGTCGCTCTTTGACATTGGATCCCGACTAGTCACAAGGACCGAGCCTTGTCCGTCTCTCGGCCAAAAGCCACCATCAAGAAGCTCCTCGGGCTTGTCGGCGTTATCAAACACAATGAGCCACCTGGCGTGTTTGTTGTCCCCGGAGGGGCTCGGAGCTGATGACTTGAGAGGATCAGCCAGCCAAGCCTTCACAATCTCGCGGCTGGCAACTTGGTCGTCAGCCGATTCCTTGCTTTCAAGGCCGAGCTCAATGGCAATACGCGCAAAGCCAGCCGAGAGTGTGTCTGTTTGGTCTGCCTGAAGCCAAAAGATTGCGTCGTACGAGTCCCGCTTCGAGAAGATGTATTCAACTGCTAACTGGGTCTTGCCGATGCCTCCGAGGCCATGTATCACGAATGCTTTGGGCTGCTTGGTCCGATTGTTCTGGCCACCACTGGGCTGTTCTGGAGGCAAGGCTTCGTGAATGAGCTGCAGCTCCTCACTACGGCCTCGGAAATCTGGATTTTTCGACGTGTGCGGCCTGGTGTAGCAACACGGGAGGTTGATCTTTCAGGGTCGCCTTGGGCCCACCATCTCGTGGCTGAAGTTGGACTTGAGAGAGTTTTGAGGGGAAGCCGAGAGTGCATTGGTGGATTCGCGGCGAGGCGAAGCAGATGAAGACCAGTTCATGGGGCTCGTGCCAGGCCGGTTCGAGCCTAAGTCTTTCTCGAAGATCAGAATGGCACCTGGTGCCCACGCCGTAGAGAATACTGGCTGATCCGAAAGTGGGAAACCTACCCTGAACGATAGCAAATTCCGAGTCCACCATGCTAGTTTTTGATCTAAGGCTCGATACGGCTACACCGCCTGTATTTCCTAGTCAAGGTCAATACCCACGCAAATTCTAAAGTCTGTTGGCATAACGCAACACATACTCTTAATCTTGAACACCTGCTTAATTCTCTTGCTGGTAGTAGACAAAGTGTTGCGTAGGAAATTAGATATCCGAAGATGGATGACAGAGTCTGCAAGATCAAAGAACTTGGTGAGTTCAATGTCAATTGCCGCTAAGTTTTCCTCTGGTGCTGAAGTTTTTGCCAACGAGTCTGGCACGAGCTAACTCTAGTTGTTAAGGAAAGGTCATACTCAAGATGCTAAATAGGTATGGTAGCTAGGAGTAACCAACCACTGCTTTTTTGGAAAACCAGAACTGTGATCGGAGTTTCGTAGACACAGTCTCATAACAGCTCAGGATAGGGATCTTCAGCTTCAGCTCCTCAAACTGCCAAGAAGTGTAGGCAAGAGCTGAAAGGTCGGACTTGGAGAAGGCCTTCTTGGGGTTTGCCATAAGATCTGATCGAAGTACCAGGGACAGGAGCTTCCCCGAGTCATCGCTTGAGTCCTTAAAATGAGGAGTGGCCAGGAAGACGATTCCAGACACCAATTCGATTATGTCTCGGAAGCGATTGAACTGCTGAGTAGCTCTCCAGAGCATCTTGGGGTTAATCGAGTCAGCAGATAATTATAGAAGAATGTTATAGAGTCCGAGCGTATACACAACTGCTTGAGTGCCCAACCGCTGAGGGAATGGCATATGAAGATGATGGGGCGACGGCTCGCCTAAAAACGAAGCAGTTGTTTTAGTTTCCCTAAAAGGAAACGCAGATTTCTAGATATGGCGGAACGAACTTTTGCCAACTGATGGAAGTCGCAGACTGCTTCCAACAAATCACCCGCCCGAGTCGACAGTGACTGCCATCCTCCAATCTCATCAAGACGGACTGCCAAGTCGAAGCCTAAAATGTTGGAATTATTTAGCGCCAAGGCCGACACGAGTGACTGCCAGGTTTCAGTTCCATCAGGGCTTGAATGGACAGTGACACCATGAATGAAGATTACCATCCCCCACCCCCCACCCGATCACCCCTTTTACACCAAAACACTACATCTTTGAACAACGACTACGTAGTCAATTATGAAGCTATTCACAAGCTAATGACGGATTTGGTTAGCTGCATGCATATATTTTAAGCTTAATATGGATTTGTCAGCCCATGGGCCCTACAAATGTCTTTGGCGCCTCGCAAATGAAGCGTAATTTAACTTGTGTTCTCTTGTCCCTACCTATGAGTGTGTATTATATTGTACTGCCACAATGCCTACCTACACCGAAGACGACATGGCGAATGCCTACCTAGATGTAACGGATAACAAGCTTTCTATTCGTCAGGCTGCTCAAAAGCACGGCGTACCGTACACAACACTGAACAACCGGCTCAACGGCATCCCGGCCAAAGAAGAGAGCGTTCAAACACCCCCTAGGCTTACAGAGCCTCAAGAAAAGCGGCTCGTGGAGTGGATCATCAAGCAAGAGAGCCTCGGCTATGTGCCTTCCTATTCACAGGTTTCTAGCATGGCTGAGAGGCTCTGCAAATCAGTAGGCGATTTAGAGCCTATTGGAAAAAACTGGATTACTGGCTTTAAAGCCCGGAATCCCGCTATTCAAAGCAAAGTAGGCAAAAGAATGGAAGCGGCTCGCTTCAACGGCTTTACTCCTAAGGCTGTCAACTGGTATTTTGACATCAGGGAGAAAGAATACGGCTAGATCAGTCCTCGGCTTACCTTCAATGTCGATAAGGCCGGTATTATGGCGGGCTTTGGTAAGAAAACAACGCCTATTGTCTCTTCCTATGTTAATGCTATATAGGGCTTGATTCATTGGTCCTAGGGACCTCAGAGACGAAGAAAACCTTCCTAAAAAGCGACTAAGGCTGCGGCTGGTCTACTATGATTGAATGCATCGGTGCTACGGGTACTCTACTTAATCCGGGCATTATTTTTAAAGGAAAAGACCTTCAGACCTCTTGGTTTGAGCAGGAGATGGAGAAAATTGCGCCCTGGCGCTTCGTTACCACTGAAAAGGGGTGGTCTGACAACCAAATAGCGATCAGGTGGCTTGAGGACATATTTCTTCCACAAACTGACGCCCTACTGGAATACCCCTTTGAAGCCCGGCTTATTATTCTCGATGGCCACGGTAGCCACACAACTGTAAGAGACAAGTCCCGTACCCTCTTTGGCCCAGTTATCTCATAGTATATATATAGGATGAGTTTATGACAATGTGCTTCCTGAACAACGTATATCTATGCTTTCTTCCGGCCCACAGCTCTCACGGCATACAGCCGCTTGACAACGGACCGTTCAATGCGGCCAAGGCTTACTATAGACGTGAGCTAGCTAAATTGGCGAGTCTAACTGACTCAGCACCAGTGGACAAGATCAACTTTATTCGCTGCTATAAAGTTGCTAGGGAGGAAGCATTCACGGAAAAGACCATCAAATCATCATTCCGAACGACTGGTAACTGGCCTATTAGTAGGCAGAAAGCCCTGAGGCACCCAGAAATACAGCAAGACAAAGAAAAGACCCCCGATCCCCCGGTACTTACCGGGACCCCTAACACCCCGACTACAGGGCGTCAGGTCAAGGATTTGGGCAAAGGAAGCAGTCCAGGTACAAGATGGAAATTTGAGAAAGCGGCTCGGGCCGTTGAAAAGCTTCAAATGGAGCTTATTATCAAGCAGACTCGCATAGAGGTGCTTGAGGCTGAGCTGGAAAGGCTGAAGCCGAAAAAACGACGCAAAATTCCCAATCCAAATAAGCGATTTATGGATTTGGGTACTATTTTACAAGGCGGTGAGCTTCCCGCAGAGCCCCAAATTGAGGCTGAAGCAGAGCCGCAACCCGAAGAGGTTGAAGATGAAGAGGATGACGAAGATGAAGAAGATGAAGAGGTTTTGCCGGTAAGACTGACCCGATCTGGCCGTGTAACGCAAATTCCGGCTGGCTATTATAATTGAGCATGTAATTAGCTACACTTTGATATATTTGGTATACGGATAGCTTCAAAATTGACTGCGTAGTCGTTGTTCAAAGATATAGTGTTTTGGTGTAAAGGGGTGATCGGGTGGGGGGTGGGGGATGGTATACTTTGCTCGGATCAACGTATTAGCTACTGCGCAACAAGACTGGCGGACAGCCTTACTCAAGTCCTGATGGCTCGACATGAGTCGATCCAGGGAGTCTTTGGAGCCTCTTCGACGAAGCCATTTCTACAAAGCCCTTGATCTCAGACGTGATACTTGTTGTTGGTTTGTAAGCGCTTGAGTCCCGAAAAGAGTGAAACTCACGAGGTGGGGCCACAGCAAACTGCACGGGCAGGAGGCCCCGCTGGCGGCGGTGGTGGTTGTGGTTGGGGGTAGAGCCGAGCTGAGCCACAGCATTGCAGCCTAGCCGTTGCTAAATCTAGGGAGTGGGATTGCCCGATAATTAGTTGCCGTCGTGGGTCTGCCTGCCTTATTGCCCGCTCTAGACTTGGGAACGTTGTTGTCGGGTGCTCGGAGGAGGGGTACAAGGTCGCATTTTTCTTGACCGAAAAGGTTTTGGCGAGCCGCAGAAGGATGCGTAAGGTAATTTAGGTATTGAAAAGGCGGGGGAAGGAACGCAGGACGGGATGGAGATAAAACCGCCTTTCGCTCCACGACGGGTTTCTCATCGGTGGTCAACCCTGTGATCAAGAGTCACGGTTTTAGTCAAGGGTATCACACACCTGCTTATCTATCTCTGTGAGTAGTGCCACGCCCTCTTCTCCACAGTGCCGATCTGCACACTCTCAAGGCTGCCGTATGACCCGTCCTCCCTTTTGCGGGGTCCTTCAAATGGAAGATAGAGCCCGGGACCGACGAACCATGGACCGTACTACAATTAGGTATTGAGTGGTAGAATCTTCCCCCCACAGTTGGTGAGCGCCAGCAAGTATTGGCAAAGAAAACAAGAAAAAAAGAAAAACAGAAAGAACACGGACCACAGCCAACAGGTACGACGACTTTGGGAACGCTGCCTGTTCAGGTGTAGCTGTTCTGTCAAAGACTGCCCACTTACTAATTACACTGGAAAATCCAAGCCTCATCGGCACCAAACACAGCATAGCCATAATGGCTTCTCTAGCAGAACGTTTTCAGCCCTGGAAACATATTGGTAGGCTCTTGAACTTCAGACCTCGCCTCGCTTGCTGTTAATTGCTCAAGTACCAATGTTCATTGATCAATAGAAAAGTTAATCCGTGGACCAAAGGAAGATTGGCCGGCTTTTGGGCCGTCTTCTACCATCAAGGCAGAAATCAAGCTGAATGCGGTCTACAAGTGAGTGCCAAAGGAAACGTTTCGTTCAGCAGCAAGCGCGGGAAGCTGCCTACCTTAGCTAGGTTGGCCGTCGCCTCATCCAGTATCGGCATACCCCTACACTCTCATGCCCTACCCAAACGTCCTGACATTCGCGTCTCTTAAAAGGAAAAGTGATCCTGCCATCGCCAAATCGCCATCTACCGCACGGACACCCTTCAAATGACTGTCTGGGTTGTTAGCTTCGTGCGGGTGAGGCAGCAGATCCATGCAGGTTGTATCACATGGAGAGGTCGATTTGGGGAGGGGGGATCTTGTTTTGACTTCAGTCGAAGTACAAGAGCGCTCGAACCTCGATACTTTCTCGAGGGCCGTCGGGATCATTGGCTTGTGTAGGTAGTTGGAACGATGCATGCGGCACGCCTGAAATATTGCTTTAGAAACGTCTCTTAGCCTTTCTAAAGGGGGGAAGGGGGGGTTCATCATTTTATTTATTTACCTGGCTTTCCTGAAGAATCGCATTGCCGAAACACCCACAGCTCCGAGGGAAGCTGTTCGCTCAGATAGTACCATCGCTGATTTGCATTGAAATGGACCATCAAATTCTCTCTCGCGGTAGATGGATCGAAGACCGTATCGTGCTCGCGGAGATCCGATGAGTCAACTGATGAAGCATCGCACAACGCGAGAGGCCACTCTCGGACTGGGCCTTTGAGAGGTTTCCAGACGCTTGACCGGCGTCAGAATATATATGGCTTGTTGAAAGAGTGGATAATTACCAGATGAAAACGTACTTGAGGTACATGAAGTTCCCTTCAGCAAGGCGGCTAGCCTTCTCCGGGTCGTTTAGCGATCTTATGAGCAAGCGCACTGCCTCGGGTGAAGCATCTTAAGATCATGATGGTGAGAATTAGGTCGAGCCGAGAGGTGCCACTGTCAACATTGAACTAACCGATATGAGCTTGCAGTGCAGGCTGGTTGTTGACCTCGAAGTTAACTTCTAGGAAGGGGAAGTCCGGATGTCGACGTCGGATCTGCGCTTCAGTAAGCAATTGATGATCACCAAAAAGAATCCCGAGCTAGTCTATAGAATAACTAGGAATAGATAATTACCTGGACATCAAAAACCTGAACTGCCGCCGCTTCGGTATACTTGAGCAGGCATGCAGCTACCTCTTGGCAGTAGACATGTTCAATCTTGCTGCTATCCCTGAACTCGTCGTATGCCAAACTGGTTTGCATATCTAGCACCGCAAATCCATTCAGGTCAAAGGTGAAGTCTTGTTCATGGCCCCTGATGTTCTTGACGAGCAAATTATCAATCTTTTCCGGCACGGCATTAGAAATGGGAATTTCATCGCTCCGAAACTCAAGATTGTATGTTTTGATGGCATCATACAGATCGTCATTTTTTAGGAACCTAATCGATGTGTGGATTCCGGAAGCTCCTGCTTTGGCCGCCATCTCGACTGCTTGCTGACGTCTTGAGCACCTAATTATCCTTTGGCAGGTAGATGGAATGCTTTTTCCGTATATGCCAGGGTTGGCAGTCGAGAAACGATAGGTGCCTGTATAGATCTTGTGTACAGCAAGTCGAGGTGGTTTCCGTGCGTGAGTGGTAATTTGGTCTTGAAGGGTCCGTCCTTGTGACCCGTCCAAACCTGCGCTGGTGGGCAGGCAATAAGTAGTTACGGTAGGTAGGTAATTACCATCGGATTCTGGAATTATTATCTTCCGGTCCTCGGTTGTTTTTTAACCAACATGTAGATATATTTTAAACCCGAATCTGCGGGGATTTAGTACAATCTTTTCTTTTGACTTTCTAAGCGCTCTATATTAATTAACAGAGCCCAGGTTAAATTCTTTTGGCTGTTTCTTTTTCGGGTGGTGCTTGTTAGCTCGACTTCTTGACTTATGCCAGCCACCCACTCACTCAATTAACAAAGTTTATATAGTAGGTAGGCACCATACCTACCCTAGCTTTGAGCCACAACTCTGGCGTTCGACCTCTGAGCATCTCAGCCACATTATCTAGCGTTCTAAGGCCATGGGGCGAATCTTGTCAAGTCCTCGCCTTATCTTGCCACTATCCCAAAGGAGAATAAGAATGGAAAGGAGCAACATAGGCACAGCAACCAGTGTCCAGACCCAATAACCCTTCTTTTCTTCTTCAAATTGCAAGAAGTTCATGCCGAAAATGGAAGTTGAAAATGACAATGGAACATATGTAGACGCCAGAAGGGTTAGTTTGAAGACCCTACCAGATAGGGCGATTCCACTTCTGGCTTCTAAAATGTTCGCATTATTCATGATTGTTGTCAAGGCTCCCTCGCATCGCTTCTGCAACAAGACGTTCCGGGCAACCAGGTACTCAAAATCCTGTTCGGTGCGCGCTAACGCATTCAAAGCCTTGGTCGTTTGGCTTTGTGGCCATTCCAGCTGGTCCCGGTTTTTGATGAAAGCCAGAACTTCGGACATTTTATGCGATTGCGCTTCTAGAACTCTGCGGTAGTGCAGCAGTTTGGTTTGAGCGCGGGAAATTGCCATTGGGTCCATATCGAGCAAGTCCGTATCCGTGTCGTCGAGTCTTGCAGAGATGACATTCAGGAGTGTAATCTCGGACGTGGACACAAATGAGAAGAGTTCGGTCAGCGCGTAGACTGGGTTCCGACTTATTGTAGCAGGATGTAGTGATCTCCCGTAACATGTCGACAGCAGGTTGGCACTTTGGTGCACCGAATCTCTTGCAATCGATCTTGACGGGGCGGTGGCAATGCGTTGGCTAGGAATTTGATGGTCCTTGAATGGTATGTTTGGTTTAAAGAGAATCGTGGGGTGAAAATAAGTGTGGAATCCAGAGCGTGACGACTCAAACCATGGACCTTCGGGGCTCTGGCTCAAATCACTTCCACAATCGAACCATATAACGGCTAACAATTAGTATCAACCCAGTTAGTGCTTGGTAGAGATGCAGACGAGAGGAATTAGGTAACTGACCGATCCATCTCTCGGAAGCCTTATTGATTCGTGATACGTAAACTGTAACCTTTTGCTCGACACTAAAAAGCTGCTCGTCGTGAACGGTAAATCCTCGCACAACCGAGTTCCCACATTCCCAACCATGTCCAATTCGCAAATTATGCAGATATGTGTCCATCTTGGCGGAAGCGTTGGCGCGTGTTGTGGGCATATTGGAGTGGTCGGCGTTGGCCTGAGTTCCAACCGATATCAAGGGCATTTGGAAAATCGTCCGCTGAGAGGAAGGCAACACGAACGACATGTTCTGTTGCTTCTCAGCACCACGGACTAGAAAGGACAGGTGTCGATGATAAAACTCCGGGTCTATGTTGTACTGGGATCCCAGTTCGTTGAGCCATTGCGGTGATGGGTAACCTCTCAAGATCAGCAGGCAATTGTCTTCCGAAGTTGAATGGTGGTTGCCATTTCGAGAACCAAGAGCGAGTATGCTTGCAGATGCCGGAAGGTCTGGCCGGAGCTCATACAGCCACGCAAAGTCACGGGTCTTCCGTTCTATGGAGCTGTGTGTGAAGGTTTCGTGATGGGTTGACTCGTAAGGCTCCCATAGGAATCGAGCGAGGTTATCGAAGTGCTGCCCGGAGTACAGCGAATTGCTGATAGAAGTCTCCGAGTGATCGCGCACTCTTTCAGCATATTCCTGGGGATTAAGTGCTTCAATTCTTTTCAGCTACTTGGCTTCTTCTAATATATGGAATTGAATGAGGCTGAAGAGAAACGCAAACAACTAACAAGAGAAGGTACTGTGGCCTTTGCGTGTCTGATGATCTTTGCCATCCGTGCAAGTGGATAACTCTTCAATTCCATGATTACTAGAACGGCCACTTTGCGGCGGTGGTGATCTAGATTGACTCATTAAAGATTTAAACCCCAGCTGGGTCGAGAATGTGATTAGACCGAGTAATAATAGATCCCGTTGTTCGAACAGTAGGTGCAAGGAGCACTACCTAGAATACCAAGGTACCCTACCTAGGTAGGTAGGTAGGTACTTATGGATGGTTAGGCATGTTAGGTAGGTTAGCTTTAGTGCAATCTGACCTCTGGAACACGCCTAGATATCCTCCATGTAAAGAGGAGGTAGGTAGGTATGCACCTTGGGGCACGTAGGAGGAAGCGAAGGTGGTTGAAGGCGACAAAGACTAGGGCAGTGGACTGTTCTTCTAAAAAACACTAAAAGTATTTGTGCTTAGAATCAAAACAATGTGAAAGTCGATCCATGTCAAGATAAAAATGACCCCAAAAACAAGAGAGGGGTCGAATGCACTGTCGCCTGTCCACTGTCTAGTACTGATACAACCTAGCCGACTGGCGCTGATGGCTAATCACGTTGCATGGTTGCGTCGGGCGGGTATGGTCTGTGTCTACTTTCAACCACTGCGCCCGCATCCACTGGCAACCTAGCTGCTAGTTTCCTCTCTTCCAATGATGTGCATCTACAACCTACAATGGGCGCTGGTGGCGCAGTACTGACGTTCAACGCCCTATTAGCGAGCTGGATTCGAATAATCCGCATATGTGTGAAGCCAGGCTCCAGGCGCATGCGGGGTCGATTACGTACAGCGTAATGATGCCTAACAAGGCTGTGAGAACGGCGAGGTTGTACGGTATGTACAATACAGCACATCTAAGAGGTTACGAAACGTACCGGGCAGCAGGGCATGGTGAGAACCATGAACGGGCTAGTGCTCCCACTTTCCGAGGAGCAAAGCGGATTGAGAGCCTCTCCGAACATCAATGCCGTCTGCAATGCGCAAACCATCCCGAAGCCGCCGATATCAGAGGACAGCTTGATGATAGAATGTGGCCGCAAGTTTGAGTTCTTATTTGGGCTGTCCACTACCAACAGTCTAAGGGCAAGGCGTTCTACAATGACGACGAAGGTGACATGTCGGTCAATACCGTCCAGGACAGGGGTCATGGTGTAAGTAAGTGGACGCGTCAACGACGTAAGACGTGACCGTCTCTGTTTCGAACCAATGATATTGCGTGCCAACAACCCACATATGCTGGTCAAAAAGTGACTAGCAAATACGGAGTACTATGGAATGGGACACCAGCATCACCCCCAAAACCTTAATCATCACGCAGCGTCGATGACAACCTACCTTGACCCACTCCACAAAAAATTGAACCATAACCTAGGTTGACTGGATCCGGCATGGCGCATCTATCTGTCCCGTGCCCAGGCGCCGAGTCGTTTCCGCTGGCCGAGATACTCCCGAACGCCGAACCAGACGATGACGCGATTGTTTTAGCGCCTGACTAAGCCTCGCAAGTCAGCCACTTCCGCGAAGAACTCCGCTTCTGCGAGACTGATGGGCAGCGATATGACCTATGCGTACAGAAACGAGATGATTTGCTTGACCAAGACACGGGATTACAGATCTTAGTCGCTGCCTGCGAGCATGTCATGTCGATTGAGTGCCCCGAGTACAGGCGGCGGAAGCAGACTAAGAACCGAGACTCCCACTCGGCCCAGCCGTTGCCGGCAAATACGGAGGATGATGCAGCGCAGTGGCATCGTTTTTGGGGGGTTGCCTCGGACGGATCCAGGCGTCTCTCTGCTCTGAGGGAGGTGGTGCGCTGCTGGGGTCGAGACGTTGTCCAGCACTACCAGTGGGCTTCCAAGGGAGAGAAATACTGGAACCAACTTCGCACCACAGCGCGGAGAGTCCCTGTGTGGGAAGAAGCTGTGGTTGGTCTGAACTGGTCGATGCTCCTGCGGTCTAAGCATGTCCGGCGACAGCCCGTAAAGGCTTTGGTCAACCCGATCGAACAGACTGATCTAGACAGTCTTAGGGCTTGGTCACGCGAAGATTCATTTCCCTGCCAAAGGCTGGCTGTAAAAGACTTGCCGTATGCCTTTGGGTTCGATAAATATGGTCTCATGGTCCGCAAGGAATTTGCTGTCGACCTCCCCGACCCCGACGGTACGGGAACTACGGAGATCATCACAAGGATGTCGGGGCAGAGCGATACCGCCATGAACAGACAAGCACTGACAGCATCAGAATCCGGTCATACGGATACGGGCGATATTGCAGCTGAAGTCACCAATATCTTCCTTGCTGAGACTGTCGATGGCGCAACACCCGCCAGCCATGACCAATTCTTTGGCTCTGCAGAGGTCACGTCCGCAACGACTCAAGAGGCTCTTCACTTCCCAGATAACTCTAACAATACGAATACCACTCTTGACAAGCCTGCTGGAATGGCACTCCGTGCACGCAAAGAGTTGTCCTATCAGGAGCCCTCAGGTGGTAGAAGAACATCCAAGTCCAAACAAGCCCAGCTTTCTTCAGCCAAGCCCCCACAGATCCCACCACGATGTTGCCCAGAGGAGGTCCCATCAATATTCCTGTCAGCCCTAGACAAACTGGCTGTGTTCGGGCCAGAGGCAGTAGAGCAATTCTCGCCTTTTCTTACGCAACTCTGCCACTCACATCTCCAGCTTCTCGCGACAGGGACATCAACCATTGCCCATGCCCAAAAACTGACCGCGACGGGGAACCAAGACGTCCTAAACGCGGCAACGTCCTCTGGTGCTGATCACCCTATCCGTCGGCGCGCCGCTTCACTGCCAGATATCACTCAACCTGTATCAAAACGGCCGCGGCTTGACGCGACTCCATCATTCCTACCTCTATTCCTTTCTACACCCATGGCGGGACCAGATGTTGCTGGAGATCGGCCGACGCACGATCGCATAACAGATGATACCTACCGGAGACAGGTCCTCGCTGAGCTGCGGGAGAAATCTAGCCAGCACATGCCATCAGCAGACTCCCACGGCAAGGAAACCGACCAACTTATTCACAGCCTACTAGAAAAGGTCGAGCAACCGAACACGGAGAGCGGGTCTAGTTGAGGCCTTATTCTGCACCGGTAATGAAGCATCAAGACTGGCCGAGTCTGGATCTCTGCATGACGCCCTGATAATCACTAAAGGGCAACAACAATTCCAATGGAGTAAGGGCGACCGACCGATTATTCAGCTCTTCCGGCGTATGGGTGGTCTTGACAAGTCAGTCTCCGTACAAATACCGTCTCGCAAGGCCAAAACCAAGTCATTCGAAGTCCGGAACCTACGTGAGGTCCGGAATCGGTTCCTCGACCAGAACAACACAGGTGACCCGTGGAACATTCTAGATCTACAAAGCCCCCTGCCGCAGTCTATTCTACCAAACTTCCTAACTGGGGAGAACTGCCAACTTCTCCTTCAAGTTCGCAATACGGCCCTGATGGAAAATAGCGCCGAAAGGGTAGTGGCATCCACGCAGCAATGGAGCGAGTGGAAGAACGTGCTAGAATGGGCCCTATTATCGGAGGGGGGCCATAATACGGCGCCACATATGGACAGCCACGGCTTTGCTACGTGGATCACAGTCCAGGAAGGGTCAATTGGCTTCGGCTGGATGTCATTCCCACCAGAGGAGGAGCGGAATTTGTGGACGGCCGACCCGTCCTACACCGGTGGCCGATGGAGATATGTTGTCCTCAAGCCAGGCCAGTCTGTCTTCTTCGTGCCAGGCACGATTCACTTTGTTTTCCGCACGCGCGAGCGACAGACTTTGGCTCTTGGTGGCCACATTCTCCAGTGGTCGGACATCAAGCGATGGATGCAAGTCGTGCTCGCTGAGATGAGGAACCCGGCCACTACTAACGAGCACATGAAGCGGAGCGCGCCGAAGCTGGTCCGTGTCGTGGCGAAGGTCGTCGCAGCCAGAGTGGCGGATGGGGAAGCAGAGCTACTCGGCGGTGAGGCTGCAGTCAGGCAGTTCTTCGCGCTTGTAAAGGTAAAGACTGCCATGTGGACGTTTTGAGACAAGAGTGCTAATTAATCGGTTTAGGAATCCGATCAAAGACCAAGGCGCCCCCTGCCCAATGGTAGAAGCGGCGGTAATGAACACTGGCCCCGCCCTTTTGTCCATGCAGAATTACCGTGATTGAGCTCGTATCTCAGTTGAAGATAGCTTTTCACGGCCCCCAGCCTGGTCGGTCTCGCCCCAGAGCTGTCATCCTAGAGGCATAATTACTGTATGGCCCTACATAGACGTTAGCACCCCGGCCAAGCCTATATTTCGGGCATGTGTCAACTTCCCTAGTAAGACGGGAAAGAGCGTCGAATGGGGGCTTCCCTAACTTTTTACAGGTACCAAATGTCGGACCAGTGCCGTTCAGTTGTTTGACCTTTTGCTGTACCGCGGCAAATGCGTAGGTAACTAAGTTCAATTTAGCATGTGCATGGTGAAAGACGTGTAACTTCGTGATAGATATAACTGTGAAAGTTCTTCCTTGAGCAGACGAAATACAATATTTTAAATGTAAGGTAAGTCCACGAGCTACAGAAGAAAGTTTCTCGCATTTAGGAAACGGCACTAACTAAAGATGAAAGCTAGGTAGGTATTTATTGCAACAAATATTATCTACTAGTGGTTCTGCCAGCGAGTCGCATAATTTTATTGTTAATATCTTGGTCACTCCTTTAAACTCCTGGCGACAAGGCCGTTCAGACTTTCCGTTATGGGACACACAAAACACGATAGTGCTTCTCGTCAACCCCCTAGCGCGTTTTCGGTTGTGTCCCCGTCTCTCGGCGCCGCTCAACGCTACGCCGATCAGGGGTTCAGGGGCCGGGATAACAAGGGGGTTATTTATTTACGCCCTTTTTACCTAATGTAATTTAGTACGGTTTCTTCTCTTGGCCCGCCGCCCACTCTCCCCCTGATCAGACGCCGGCATCGCTCTTTACCTTCTTTTTCGGACCTTTCTAGAAATAAGGTCTTTTAGCACGTAGTAGTCCTTCTTTCTTTGCCGTATTTGAATACCCGGCTGTGGCTATCTGTGCCTGTACTCTGAAAGGCTCGTTCGCCTTACAGTTGCTTTTGTTGTGTTGTCATGTCTTTCACCGCTTCAACGCCATCGCTAATAGCAGGGCAAAGAAATCCTCCCTTGAACATTGTGTCATCGGGGGCCCGGGGATAAATGCCAGCGATTTCTAGCGTCTCGCCCAGTTCGGCGTATAACGGTGCTTATACAAGCTTCGTACCCGGCGGGACTACACCGTTAGTCATATCCACGCTTAAGGTTGTGGCACAGGCCCGCCAAAATTATATGGGTTTTACTACTGCAAACCAATTGAGAATAACAGTTAAGGGAAAACTGGTCTCATATTAGCATGTCTAGGTAGCTTGGAGAAATTCTCGTAATTACCGGTTAGATACTGTTATTAGCCTTGGACGAGTTCTTTCGGCTTGCTCTTATAGTGTGGTACCTATGCGTAGCACATGTCTGCTTTACACAACAGGATGCACGCGATAGACGCAACCAAATCGAGAGGGTTCGGATAACCTAACTGCTGCCTAACCAAAACCTGGTTTAGATCTGAAGCAAATGCGTCCATGAATAATTACTCACTGCACAAAACCCCGAGACTCGAAAGCCATGACAGCCCGTTCCCAATACACCGAGCGAAAACTTCTGGCACATGTCCAGTGGTGGGATGCCTCAACAGTGAAGGTCCTCTGCCCAGGCTGCGGCGAGATCCACGGCCATGGCTTTTCAGGATACGAGTCAGGCCGGAACCTGGAGCGGACCTCGGACTGCGGCGATCCTCGGTTCAGTTGCCATTACCGGATTCACTACCCGTTCGGCGAAGCAGGTTGCGAGACATTTGCCAGCTACGAAATCAACAAAGACAGGGCCATCTTCATAACTGCTGGCGTGGATCTATCCAAGCACTTCCCCGAGCCAGATGATGAACTCCTCAAGCAGTGCAGGGACGAGGCCAACAGACGCCGAAAGTGGACTGAAGAGACAGAGACGAAGCCCCAGAGTCTCCTCCGACTTGTCCTGTCCGAAATGGTCCAAGGCGAGATTAACCCTGTCCGCCGGCACCTCAATACCTCGGCAGAAGCAGATCTATTTCTCAATGGCGTCGAAGCTGACACCATGACCGGGAAGACCGCTTTGCACTTTGCCGCCTGCGAGGTGTATCCCGAAATTGTGGAGCTGCTACTGGAGAGGGGAGCTGATCCGGATGTGAGGGATGTCGAAGGCCGCACTCCCTTGTCAGAGGCGGCGTTGTGGGGCAGGCTCAAGAACGTCGAAATCCTCCTCGACCGTGGAGCCAATCCCCTGCTAGCTTGCATAAGAGATGGGAAGAGAGTTCGGGCTGTCGACTTCGCTAGGGACGAGGAGGCTAACACAAAGTAGCGCAGTCGCAATTACGGCCCGTATTGGGAAGATGTCTACGAGAGAAACCTCGACCGCAGAGCGATAGTCAACATGCTTGAGAGTCGATCCGGCTCAACGGGAACGACGGCACAAGACCCCTCAAAGCTGGGAGATTTTGCGTTTACCAGGGCTGCTACTCCTGGGAGCTTCCTGACACTCGTCGCTCACTTCGACGTCCTAAATGAACGGAAGACGGTTGGCGTTTTATGCTGCGGGTCTCACCTCCCGCCCGTCGCCGCCCTGAGTGTCTGGGCACACAAGGACAACCCAGCAGCCAACATCCAGATTGCCGGAAGGGAATGGACGGACGAGATCCGCCAGCTCTGCAATTACATCAGACATGACCTAGCTCCGCACGATTATGACCAGGGCGAACCGGGACGGTTCCACGCATGCCACGCCGAGAAGCAACTCGTTGCATACTTTGTGAGTGAGCATTTCTTTCTCGAACCTGTAGCTACGGAGGAGGAATCGACTGGGAATGTCACTGACGGGCCGGACTTTGGGTTGCACAAGCTCTCGCTCTCGACCTATGACGCTTGGGACGTTCCTCCCATCGTCAGACTCGCAGAGTTGCAACCCCTTGTATCACTGCGGAAGGGTATCATTATAGTCAGCTGTCCACAATGTTGGGACTGCTAGCGCTTCACGGCACGCGTGAACAAGGTACTTAAGCTTGAGATCACGGTAGTGCCCAGCAGCGCCGTGTAGGCGGGCAGACTAGAATTCAACCAAAACGTTCCTCTGATATTGCTTGCATATTTTATATCGCATGCTGCTTTCCTTGCAGATTCGTTGGGCATCCTGGTTCATCAGTGTTCGAGGTGCTGGCGATCACGCTATGGTTGGGAATTGACACCTTATGCGCTCTACTAATTACCGTATGTTCCTGACGGGAGTCGCAATGAGCCTGCCTGGTGAAGTCATGACTGCACTACCAAAGAGACCAGTCATCAAGTACATACATTCGGGACGGAGTAACACGACATCCTGCGGTGATGCCTAGCCGGGTTTATCGACGAAGCAATTGGTGGGGCAAGCGTGAAACGCGCTTTACTGGGTAGTGGGTACTTCGTAGTGGTGCGGTCAAAGGTGTGTGTCCGGGATTTGGCTATTCCCAAATTCTTGGAGAAAACAAGTACACAACTGGTGGACTCTGTGGAAGTCCCTCCTTGAGGAAAGCCTCAACGAAATATAACACAGACTAGACTCTTCGAGAGTCAAGCAAAGGATGAGTGAAATGCTACCAAGACTCTTGGTTCGAGTAGCTTTCACGTATACGGATAATTATAGAAAGATTATAAGTCGTATTCTTAGTCTTGTCCGGTCCCGTATACCACTATAATGGAGCCTAGTAGGTAATATATAAGAGAGCTTACGCTAGCGTTAATTCGTCTAAATATAAGGGATGAAGTCTCCCTGCACCTACAAGCCATTCGGTCAACCTATACGTAATCAGCCTCTACGTAATCAACCTCTACGTAAGTAGGTTGCACGGGCTAGTTAGCTAGCCTGTCAACTACAAGACAGTTGCCCGGGTCTTGCAGTCAAGCAGGGCAGTCAGGGCAGTCAGTCAATTACAAGGCGGTTGCCCGTGCCGGTCAGTTACAAGGCAGGGCAGTTGCCAGGGTCTTGCAATTAACCTGTGAACTGTAACCTACGTAGGAGTCTCTCCTATAGCACTTCGTTAAGGTTATGGCGTGGTTTCGGGAGTTAGGCGTAGTTGAACCTGCATTCTACTAGCCATCTGAAGATAAGTAGTTCGACTATTAATCTATTCTTTTTTCGCGGGGAAAATAGAGGTTTCGCTACGATAGTGGCTTAACAGAGATTTCAATGACCTTTTGGCTAACTACGGTCCGAAAAGACGTTTTCTACAGTCCGAGTAGACATTCCCTTGATAATAAGTATTTAGGTAGTAGATAATATTCTTTATCAAATTTAAGACGCAAACAAAGTCGCGATGATTATAATTCGTCGGTATGCCTTACTTCGCTCTTAGGTCGGCGTGTAGACAATCAAGCCCTCGCCGTCTTTTCTTTTAGTAGTAGATCATCTTAATTAGGTAGTTCTACTTACTATATTTAGACGAATTAACGCTAGCGCAAGCTCTCTTATATATTACCTATTAGACTCTATCGTAACGGTACATGGGACGGGATAAGACTGAGAATACCACTTGTAATCTCACTTTGATTATTCGTATATATATAACTACTCGAACCTAGAGTCTTGATAACATTTTACTCATCCTTTGCTTGACGAGCCATTAAATTCCCTTTAGTCCATCCATCTTCTATTCACAAATCCAGGCCCTGCCGCTACTACAAAGTACTGCTCATCTAGCACTACATTGAACAATCTAATTGATGGGTCTAATTAGTAGCTTGCCCCCGTGGCGGTCGCCGTGTCAAGCGGCAGCTTCCCATTGCCGTTCACAACCACAGGAGTCCGACCAGCGGCGGCCGTAGCGGCCTTCTTCCTGGCTCCCGGACCCTTCTTGTACGTGGCAGCGTAGAAGGAGATGAAGAGCACCAGGTAGGAGCTCAGGATGGCGATGCCTGAGAGGGCGGCAAACTCCTCGCCGGCGCACGAGCCGACGTTGGGCAGCCAGGGCCAGTACCGGTTGGAGAAATACGTGTAGGAGGTGAAGTACACGAAGCCTGCCCAGGTGATTCTTTAGCAAAACTATCTTTTTTTCAAACGCCAAAGCTGAGAAAGATCGAGAGACGTAATTACCCAGATCAATGACAAACTGTGCAATCTGCAGCCGCGTAACCCACTCCTTCCACCACACGCGGATGCCGCGCGCCGCGAGAAAGTAGTAGGCGTACATGACGACGTGCACCGTCAGGTTCAGCGTGATGGGCACCCAGGAGACGGCCGTGGACCCGACGAGCTGGGAGTAGCACAGCAGCGCCGTGGCGCCGTGGTGGTAGCAGTGGAGAAACGCTGAGCCTGGTTAGCATTTCGCCCGAAACGTTTGAGGTACAGACACAAACTCACTCAGGGGCTTCTTCTTGAGAATGAGAAACGCCGTGTCCAGCAGCTCCACGTACTTGGTCAGGTAGTTCAACTGGCATCACGTCGCGCGTGTTTTCGTCAGCGGCTTGTTTCAAAGTTTCCATAATTAGTCGACCAAGAACAACACGTACGTAGTAGAGCGTTACCAGTGGCTTTGTCCAGCCGCCGCCCGCTTCGCAGATGGCATAGTAGGTGCCCTTGTTGTAGAGGGTTGGCAATAGCTGCTCAACGTAGAGGGCTAGCAGGAAGGCGCTGAGGGCGCTGAGGAAGAAGTTGTGGACGAGGAACGGGCCGTGCAGCTTGAAGGGCTTGCGGTGGCGCATCCACTCCTTGCCGCTGATGATCATGGCATAGTAAAGCGTGATGAACATAGCGCTCTCGTTGAGTGTTGAGAGCGGCGTCATGCGCGGCTTGAATTCGAACTCGGCGGCCGGGTAGCCCACGACGGGCTCCCACATGGCCTCGAGAAGACTCCATAGCGACAGGCCCGACGACTGAGCCGGTAGCCCCGGTGCCGCCAGAGACATCTGGACGGGCTTCGAGGCCGACGACAGGTTTGCCATTGTTCTGCGTGAAGCTAAGGCCTAGCCGTATTGTAGGTCTCGTCTTCAGGGGTGGTGTGCCAGGCGTGATGTTGGATGACGACAACAGTGTCAAGAACCCAGCGGAATAATGAGTCCCACAAAGAGCAAAGGAGGAACGCAGAAGAAGAGTTTCCAGTCGGCGAGACCTGTGCCTTTGGGAACAGACGCAATAACAACTAGGCCGGTTTTGACTGGGCGCCGCCGGGTGAGTGGGCCAGTGAGAGGTGCAAAGTCTCAAGTCACGAACCCATCGACGGCAGGACATGCAGGACTCAGGCTTGTTGGGCAGGCAGATCACCACTGGCTGGATATATTGTGGCACATGTCAGATTCCGGAGAACATATCGGGCAATAATTCCAGTGACCAGTCTAGTTACCAAAAACGGAAGGCCCTGTCTCGTCTGTCTTTGCCGTCCTGTGCTCGCTGCCCAAGCCCCGAGTGATTCGTTGGGATCTCCCCCTCCTTCGGGTACCTCCCTCGAGCGCGTCGGCGACTTCGGCTGTGGACTTATCTGTACGTACAGAACAGTACAGAAAGCAAGCAACATCAACATGGTCTCGCCGGGCAAAGCTGCCTGGTGACCCATGTCTCGTCGATGTGGCGCGCCGGTTCCTCTTCGTCGTCCCTCAGGAAGACCCCCCCCCGGTGCTTCGCCATGCACAATAAGCTCGAGAGAGACGTCGGCGCCTCGCGTCCCCAATCTCCAGCCCCGGTCTCCACCCCCCGGTGATACAGATTTGCAAGTGACGGTCTAGGCGGAGTATGCCATGTCATGTGATTTGACCCGCGTCGGGCGTGTACATTGGGCCCAAGTACCTCGCGTGCCGTGCAGGGCGCTCTTGGCTCTTGGCTGTCAGATAGCTTGCGCGTGTCAGCAGGGCGATGTCACCATGGCAAAAAAGTGCCCGACCCGCCCCCGTTAGTTGCATGCTGCATGCCTGCTTCCACCCCCTTCGCTGTTTATTAGAGGCGGCTAGGGTGCGAGTGAGACATGCAGTTCGTAGGGGCAAGCGAAGCTGCGCGCCATGCCGTCAGTGGCGGACCGGCGACGAGACTAGCGACTCTTTTTGGAGGCCGGTGGCTCGAGCTGGAGATGACTGTGCTGGGCCGGAGGAGTTGTCGCCCTCAGCCGAGCGGGCCGGCGCGGCCGCTAGAATCGAAGGTCACCTCTTGGAGTTCACACCCAACACACCGACATTGGTCGTTGGCTTCTAATTGGGCCGAGGCCAATGCCTTCCGCCAGCCCCGTTTCCGCCGATCCACTTGGTGAATCCCTGCACCGTGTGCGAGTTGAATGGCCATCTTTCCAAATCTGTGAGCTCCCGTTCGCATTCTAGAGCCCTGGAATTGAGAGTGGAGCTGATATTCTGACAAGCGTCTCCCAATCCAGCTGCGCTTTCGACACTTCACCCCCATGCCGTGGGTGCACCAAGCGCACTCCCGTCCTTGTCGTCGTCGGGTCGGGTGGGGGGCTGGCTGCGTCTTTGCCAATTTGCCTTGGTGCCTACTGCGTTGTTTGCTCCTTTTGGGCTTTGGACGAATCTTTTTTTTTGGACGAACTTCCATGGTCTTTGCACTGACAGAACCCCGTCGAGTAGCCGTCATGGATGTCGCGTGCACTTGAGAGCGGCAGCACTTTCCTTGGCCGGGTCGGAGTAGTGTTCAGACCGTGACTTCCGGTTGTGGATGTTGCCTTTCCAAGGTACCGCCTACCTTATCTACGGTATCTAGGACCTACCTTACCAGGGCACCTGCTGTTTTCGTTGCTGTCGCTGTCTCACGCCTTCCATTCCCCCTCACTGTCAACTGATTCGGGGCAGATCTCTGGGAGCGCCTTCTCCCTTTCACGCTCTCGCCGGGCTGTCTTGTCTTTCTGATCTCTTGCCTCCCTCCGCTCCCCAATCTCTGTCTCCCAGACGAGAATGGCTCCTAACCTAAGCGAACCCGCACAGGTGCGCCTAAGACCGCGTCCGAGCTCTCTTACCCTTCGATCCGAGTCGGCGATGCAACTCAAACGCCTGCTGAGGAAGGGGCCGATCACGAAGGACCTTGAAGTGCCCTTGGAATGGTGGAGGAGGGCCCTCATCACCTTTGCCCTGGGCCTGGCTGGCTTTTTGGTCGGACTGGACCAGACCATTATCGGCAAGTCCACCTCAGGGTACCTGATAACACCCGCACAGGGGATTTAGGCGCGAGCCCAGTGCTGATGATGGCCCCTTACCCCCAACTAGAGCCCGCCCTACCCACTATCGTCGCCCAGTTCCAGTCAGTGCACGATATAGGCTCCTATACTTCGGCCTATCTGCTGCCCCAGTGCGTGCTGCAGCCGCTGTGCAACAAGCTCTACTCCATGTTTGCCTTCAGCACCGTTTACATATCGTCGACTGTGCTGTTTGGAGCTGGCTGTCTTGTTAGTGCCACATCCCAGGGCTCGCCCGCCTTCATCGGCGGGCGCGCTCTCTCTGGCATCGGCGCTGTCGGCTTGAGCATCGGCGGCTTTCGCATGTTGGCCTTGATGCCCGAGACCAAGGGCCAAAATATCTCCATGGGCGCCTTCTCCCTTATCCTCGGCTCCAGCATCGTGGTCGGGCCTATAATCGGTGGTGCCATCACCGATTCCATTGGCTGGCACTGGATCTTCTGGATCAACTTGCCCTTCCTCGGCTTGACTCTTGTTTGCATCTTGATCGCTACCTTCTTCGAAGGCCCTGACCTCCGCGGCGAGAACTACAAACTCCCGCTACGGGAGAAGGTGACTAGCCTCGACTGGCTGGGAACGGCGCTCTTGATTCTCACCCTTGTTCCCCTGATTTTGGGCATTGAGTTCGGACAAACAAACGGCTGGAACAGTGCCAAGTCCATTGTCATGTTTGCCGTCGGCGTCGTGTCGCTCGGCCTCCTCGTCTATCAACAAAAGACTACAAAGCGGGAGGTCATCTTTGACCCCAAAGTCATACTTAACAGGAGTGTATGGACTACAGGAGGCTTGTTCTTCTCGGCCCTGTCCTCTGTGGCTGTCTTGGTCATGTTCCTACCATTCTTGTTCCAGGTATGTCTCCGTGGTTTCCCTTCTACCTCTGGTCAACCAGCTGACGCGAAAGCCGACAACAGCAAGAAAGGGGCCTCTCAGCCCGGAACAGCGGCTTCCTAACTTTTGCTCTTGCAGGAACTCTTGCTATAGGCACATTTATTTTTTCCATTGTATCGACTCTAGTCCGCTATTTCAACCCGTTGGCCCTCATCGGGACGGCAATATTCCTGGTTGCAAATGCGTTGTTTTTTGCCTTGAGCACCGGTTCGACATCAACCTCCACTATCCCTCCCATTGTTGGCTTTGAGGTCCTTGCCGGCGCTGGCTTGGGCATGGCCTGGCTAGCGGAGATTATCTACCCTCGCGCAGAGCTGGGTAAACACCAGCTTGCCACTTCACTTGGCTACACCCGCATGATGCAGCAGATTGGCGGAGCGGTCTCGGTCCAAGTCGCAGCAGCCATATTCACCAGCAAGCTGACGAGCGAGATTGAGGCTCTACCATTCCCTCGGGATGTCCTCATCGCACTTGTTCAAGGCGCCGCGCCCGGCGCCAGCGCTAGGCTTGACGGTCAACAGCTGCCCGAGGATGCGAAGGAAGCGGTGGCCTTGGCGTACGGAAAGGCTATTCGTGTCGGCCTCATACCTGCTGTCGTATTTGCGGCAATATCACTTCTGTTTGCTATGGCACTGCCCTGGACAAGACTCAAGGGCGGCATAACAGACCGAGGTGAAGTCGATCCAATCAATTCGGGCACCGAGGAACTTGGTCCTAGGGAAGGTGACGAGGAGGGCGGGGGTAACGAAAACACCCATCAGCTAACACCATTACCAGCCGCTGTTGACAGTGATGCGCACGAAGAGAAGGGGTCGACTAGCGATCCTACGTCTGAAGCTAAGGTGTTAATGAATGTGGATAGGTCCGAATTGACACTAGTGGCGCTAGCTGACGACAAGGCCGAGGCAAAAGAAGTCGTAGAGACGCCACAGAACAAGGCAGGAGAGGGCGAACCAATGGCTTACGCTTCGTTAAAAAGTTCAAGCGAAACTGACGGGGCAATTCAGGCGCCCCTAGAAGAGAAGACTGGCGAAGCAGTAAGCACATTAGACACAAGCGAGAAGACTGGTTAAATTCATGAGATATTGCCTATCATTTAATTAATCTGGTACTAGAATTGTAATGAAGCCTAGGTGTATATGTATATATCTGGATGACCAAATCATATTAAACTTTTCATTCGTGTTATCAAATTGAGTTGTAATTAAGATCGTGCTTAAGAAGAACGTAGACTATCAATGAGGCATGAGGTTCAGATAGACTACTCGAGGTTTAACACTAGCTCTCGATCGAGTTGGTAATTAGGCGTAGATCCAATCTAGGACTAGCAAGATAAGGTTGTTGTCGATAAGTTAAGTTGGCAGCAGCGGCGCGGTCACCAAAGACACGGGCTACCAATCCGTATTTAAGCTTTACACGCAGAGAGAGACACAAGAGTTCGAAACTCGGGAAGAAATCCGCGGAGATGAATCCCAACGCACGGTGGATAATTTGTAGTCTGCGCGTACGCCACCTAGGCACTCCAGGTTTCAACTCGGGTCCTCTGTCAGTCAATTACAAAGCCAGTTTTACTCGGGGTCCTGCCTGTCTGTGTCTTGGGCAACCAATCAGTTAGCAAACTTGAAACTTGGCAACGGGATTTTTCTACTCGGGTCCCGCATGCGGCCTATCAGGTGCAAGCCAAGCCAAGCCAAGCCAGAGCAGTTACGTGGTTGCCTGGGCCAGGTGCCAGTCAAGCCAGACGAAGACCAGTTGGCGAGCCAGTTGGGAAGCCAGTTGCCAACCAGCTGTAAGGAACGTAGTTAATTGCCCGAGCAGCGTTATACTGAGGAGTTTGTCAACAGAATAGGAATTAATTATTAGGAAAAACTATAAACTACAGGTACAATACTGACTAATGATAGGAAACAAGAGGGGGAGGGAGAGAGAAGTAACCAAGAAATATATTTAAGGTTTCTATGTAAATCGTAATTATCCCGAGCCATTTAACCGTCTTGCACTGATTGCTGATGTCCTTATACTCTAGACTCGGGGGTTAGTTTAGTAACAGGACGTGCGTGTGCCAAATGCGCACCCAGTCTCTATATTTACCTCTGCCAAAATCTCTCCATTGTTCCTCTTCGACTTGCTTGAGATACACGTAAAAGTGCTGCAAATAATGTAGTTGAACAGATTTTAGACGTGAAATGGCCAGGTCTCTCTCTGTTTCCGTCACACGCACTCTCTACCGCCATGAATTAGCGGGCGGCCGAGTCGGCCGAGTCAGACTCCTTGGCGGCGGGATCGCCCATCAGAGCAGTGGCAGGACGGCCCACGGCGTCGTCCCTGAGGAGGGAGGCGGGATCGAAGACGAGGAAGACGGCGACGGCGATGAACATGAGAGTCGCGTCGAGGCCGATGAAGTAGCCCTCGTGGGTGATGAGGTTGCCGGTCCAGCCCTGGGCGAGCTCAATGGTACGGTAGATGCTGCGGACGTAGATCATGATGAACGAGATGAAGACGGCGACGAGGACGAGGCGGATGGGGCGTGTGAGGAGCGCGCGCTTCTCGCCGGGACCGCGGCGAGATATGCGCTGGACGCGGCGCAGGAAGTCGACGACGAACACGGCGAAGATGCTCATGGTGAAGAGCTGGAACGCAATGCCCGCCACCATGGTGTTGGTGCCGGGCGCGGTGTTGCCGTCGATGCTGTCGGCCGCCTGGGACGCCATGGCACCGCCGACCGCCTGCACGACGAGAGAGATGACGTCACACGTGCAAAAGACGATGGCGTACATGCGTGGAGATAGCATGCTAGTCTCGCGGCCCAGCCTCGTGATGAGGTTGTGCAGGAGAACGTACAGCGCAGCAGCGAAGAAGGTGGGCGCGATGATGAGTGTCGTGATCTGCATCAAGAATGCGTCGCGGTTGTACGGACACTTGGCTGACCACGTCCGTCCAGCCCAACCGATGGCTTCGGCTATTGTTGCGTTCTGTATCAGCAAACGGCATCTTCATGGTCAGGTTTTGTGGCAAGGGGGTCGCGGTGCAGAGAGGGAAGCTAAGGAAACAAGGCAGAACATACTGGCCGCGCCGAGGGCGAATAGGATCGAGGTCCATTTTCTGAAGCGGGCGAACTGAATAAGATGGCCGATCAGGGCTATACCGAAGAGGACATCAAAGGCGATGCCGGCGCCGAGAGTTGGCCAGTAGCTGTAGCTGTTGTCGATGCCGTCGACCAGGAAGGGGAAGCAACCAGTCCTGATGTGGAACAAGCCCTGCCAAAGGTCGGGGTCGACGCCAGGAGGCGCGGGGGGTATGGGACCAGTGCCATTATAGCCCGAGAGGTCGAAGGGGTCGGAGGAATTGCCAGAGGTAGACATTGTCGCGGGGAAGCAGTTTAACGCTAGACAAATAATTAAGAAATATATAATAGTACTGCGAAGGTCGGTCGGTCGGTCGGCCGAAAGTTGTTGTTGATGCAAAGTTGAAGAGAGGGAAGATTTAGTGGAGAGGAGAAGAATGCGAGAGGATCAGCGCGGAAAGGAGGGACAGGCACGAGCACGATGGTCGGTTGTTACGGATTTCTCGGAACCCGAGACAGGACAAAGCTGAAGACGATCTTGGCAATTAATTTGGACGAACAAAACGTGCACCGTAGCGCGACATTGCAAAGGGACGAAAACGCCTTGACAATGCAACAGAAAGAATGAATGAGTGAGGTGCGTGTGTGCGACACAGGTGGATGGTTCCGTTTCACACAGCCTCTTTTGCCCGGGTTTCAAAAGGCAACCAGCACAGGAAACGCGTTGGAACTGGTGGGCCGTCCACCCGTCAGCGCGCCCTTTCGTCAGGTGAACCATACAATAAGGCTGGGCTTACGTATACCCACCACTGTCTCTGCTGACCGGCGCTAGAAAGAGCCAAGGGAGTTTCCGTCGTATGGTGAGAAGAGGATCCGATTTGCCCAATCCCGCAGCGTTTTAGTATCTTATGCCCGCGGAGTTATGACCGAGCTTTGCGAGCTTTTGTGCGTTCCGTTTCCGCAGATTGGGCTGAGCCGCTGAAGGGCTGACACCTGGTCCAGTAAAAATTCCAATTATGCAGGGGGATCCCTACCGACCCGGAAAAGCCCATGCAAATTGATGGGCATTCTATTTCACACCGGTCTCGCTAATTTATCTAGAACGGGAATAGAATATCAGTCCCCTTCCCTTCTAGGAAAGTAGCTAGTGCGGATAGCTGATATAACGGCCGTGTAAGTCAAGTCAGTCGACGGCCGAGACCTCGTTCGGCGTATCACAACGCAAAGCAAACATTCAAAAATATCCACCTTGTTGTCTCTGCTTTGATTCCTCGTGTAATTCGAGCTATTTTCTCGAGGTTAAGACATCGCATGAAAGTTAAGCTATGTATTTTTATCTCGCATTACTGGTTAGCGCCGCCGTGTGCTGGGCGGGCTTCCGCCTAGTTGAGCTCCTTAAACTCCGCGGCTTTGCTCGGGCACATGGCTGCGAGCCGGCCCGGCGCATGCCGCAGAGCGAGCGCATCGTCGGACTTGGGCTCTTTCTCGACGATGTGGCGGCGGCCCGGGAGCACCGGACGCTGCAGACGGCCCAGCGCCGGTTCCGCGAGCTCGGCAACACTTTCTCGGGCGTGTGCATGGGACAGCACTTCCTTACCACCGTGGACTCGGATAACGTGCGCGCGCTGCTATCCACTCGAATGGAGGACTTCAACAGTGGAAAAAAGTCATTGTTTGGCCCCTTCATCGGTGACAGCATGCTCACTAGCGACGGCGCTGTGTGGCGGCACTCACGCGCCCTCGTGCGTCCCCATCTCGCCCGAGACCGCGTCGCCGACCTAGGGAAGCTCGAGGGCCACATGCAGAACTTCTTCTCTCGCCTGCCACTCGACGGCACGACGGTTGACCTGCACCACCTCTTCGCACAGCTGACGTTTGACAACACAATGGGACTGCTGCTCAACGAAAATGTCTGCAGTCTTCTGAGCCGGCCCGGGTCGCGGTTGGCACAAGTCGTCGAGGCTTTTGAGAGCGTGGGCGGCTTTGTCAACAAGAGGGCGGCGTTGGGACCTCTTTTGCGCATTTACCGCGACACAGAGTTTGAGGCCAAGTGCAAGGTGCTGCATGATTTTGTCGACGAGATAGTGCGCAAAGCATACAACAACAGGGGATCACGCCAATTTGGCTCCGAGGAGAAGGACCGAGGATTCCTGGCGAGCATCCTTGACGATACCGTCGACCTCGTGAAGATACGGTTTGAGATTCTCGGGTTGCTGCTGGCTGGACGCGACACGGCGGCCGATCTGATGGGTAATCTTTTTTTTGTGCTCGCGCGCCGGCCCGACGTCTGGGAAAAGCTGAAGAAGGAAGTCGACGACGTCTTGCAGGGGCGCAAGCCGACGTATGACAGTCTGCGAGAGCTCACCTACCACCGCTATGCCATTGAAGAAGGTGAGAATCCAGCCAATTGTCGATGCCCACGCAGAACTTAATCTGACCGCCGTCACAGCTCTGCGCCTGTACCCGCCGGCGCCCGTCTTGTTTCGAGCCGCCAACAGGAACACGGTGCTCCCGCGTGGTGGCGGAGCGGATGGGCGGTCGCCCGTCGTAGTGCCGCGCGGGACCATTGTGAGCTGCTCGACGTTTGCGCTGCATCGGCGCCACGACGTGTACGGAATCGACGCAGATGAGTTCCGGCCGGAGCGGTGGGAGGCTATGGAGAAGCTACGAACGAGGCCGCGGTGGGAGTTTCTGCCCTTCAGCGCCGGGCCGCGTGTGTGCATGGGCCAGACGTATGCCATGGCCGAGATGGCCTACATTGTGGCGCGCATGGCACAGGAGTTTGACGCCATCCAGAGCCGGACGGGTGCGCCGTGGCTCGAGAAATGGAGCATCACACTCTCGAGCGCGGCCGGCACAAGGGTTGGACTGGTGCCGAGACAGAAATGAGATGGAGTGCAGCTTTACATGGCGAAAATAGTGCTGGTAATTAGCTGGGAATAGATAAACAAATAATAGCGTGGTACATTTCGAGTTTTTTTTTGGTCATGGACTGAAGGTCCAGACTCCTGCCAGCGACACTTGGAGAAATGATCAGGGTTGTGGACCCTTACTAGGAGGGCAGCCAGGCAGCAATGATGAATTGATAAGGGCACTACAGTCTGCTGTTCTTACAAAGCTAAGTCATTCCAGAGGTGGTACCTGCCTCGGGACTCGGGCCGCAGTACCTAATATGGAATCGGACTCGTACTTCCCAGTTCCTTACCTACAGTAGTCTATTACAAATAGAACTGGCCATCTCCCAGTTCTCTTGTTTCAAGTTATTGCGTCAAATCCATCTTCATTTCCCACACGGTCTAGCCAAAACATGGAATAAGGAATTTTCATCTATAATATACTGAAATACTACCGAACTATCTTGATTACCTACCAGGCACCGACTAGCATACTATATAAGCTTGACTCTCAAGGAAACCCGAACAACAAGCAGCAAGCAACATCAGCCACCAGCAATCAGCCGCGGCGCGCATCCATTCCAGAACGCAAAAGGTGGATGCATACAACTCAGAGCAGCGAGACCTTGACCTTGAGTCCCTGTGGCTTGAGCGACGTGCCTTTCTGGATTGGCGGGTGCCAGCCCGGAATGGCCTCTTCGAAGCGGAAACGGGCCACGAGCACAGTTAGGAACACCTTGAGGCTGAGCGTCGCAAAGTCCTTCCCGATGCAAATGCGCGGCCCGCTCGAGAAGGTCAGAAACGCCTGCGATGACGTGGCACCCCCGCTGTGCGACGCTTCCCACCTCTCTACACGGAACTCGTCGGCGTCGTCACCCCACAGCTCACGCGACCGGTTCACGGCGTACGGACTAACCATGATTTGCTTGCCCTTGGGAATTGACAGTCCGCCCACCGTCGTCGCCCGCGCCGGCTCCCGCATCATGGACGGGAATGCTGGGTACAGCCGCAGCACCTCCATCAGGAAGCAGCGCAGGTACGGCAACGAATTGATCTCGTCAAGAGTCGGCGCTCCGTCGCTCCCGATGCCAGCCGCTTGGGCCTTCAGGACCTCTGCCCGTAACTTCTCTTGGACACTGGGATGCTGCGCAAGCTTGAAGATGGCCCACGCGAGGGTTATGGCAGTTGATTCGTGACTATCGAGGTCGTGGTCAGATGGTCATCGCCGGAAATCGGAATACTGCTTTACCCAGATGTTCACTTACCCAGCTGCGAGGATAGTCAGAATGTGGCTCAGAATCTCCTCCTCGTCTTGGAGACCCGAGGCAACAATGGCCGACAGAATATCTTTCTCTCTAATCTCGGAATCGTCCATCTTCGCCTCGTCAATCTCTCGCCTCTTTTGGCGGATCTGGTCGAGGCAGAATGTGCGCAGCATAGCGATGCCTTTGTGGAATTCGCGGATCGGCTTCAGCGGCAACTTGAACAGTAGGTGCGGCGAAATGATTGCCGGCAGCGTCGCGCCGAAGAATCTTTCAAACGCATTCTGGGTCTCCAACGACGGGAAGACGCGCTGGTAGGCCTCGAGGATGGGCTGGTCCGGGTTCTGCACCGAGTTGAAGTCGACGCCGAGAGTTGTGACTCCGATGACATCGAGCGTCGCAGCCATTGTCAATGGATGCATGAACATGATGGTCGATTTGACCCCGGATTCCTTGACAAGATCCCGCATCCTATCGGCGAGCACCACCGATTTGGCCCACATCTGCGGCACTAGGCGTCGGTTGCGGCTCAAGCCAAAGATTGGTGTAAGAAGCTTCTTTTGTCGCTGCATGCCATCATCAGAACGGGTTCTACTACACACAATCATGTTGCGGTTGTACGTACGCGGTGCACATCGCCCTCGGCAGCTACGAGACCGACGCCGAGGGTCTCGACCAGGCCATCCCGAACTGCAGGAGGCTTCTCAAAGACGTACGGCTGGCTCATGACAGCCGTCACAGCCTGAGAGCTCTTGGGGATCAGGAAGTCGAACGGGCCGAGGAAGACACGATAGAAACCGCTGGGAGATGCGCTGACCATTCGCTGCCAGCGAGCCAACGGGAACCCCCATGGTTCACTGAGGAACGGGATCAAGTTTCCGAGAAAGAATGGGGTGCCCTACGGAAATGCGAGGTCAGTCAACTTTGCCGTCTAATGATACTATACCATGGAGAGAATATATACCTTGGGGTGAGGGAGGTCCTTTGTTGGAGACAAATACCAGCGGTAGATGAGGCTCGAATACCCCAGATAGACGGCTATCTGGGCCACGGAGGATGCGACGAGACCGAGGACCACGAACGGATACGAAGCCCCGGAGACCTTGAGATAGGACGCTAGGGCGATGGTGGAAGCCAGCCCAAGAAGCGATGAAACAGCCATTATGTCACAGCTGGTCGCGAGACTGGTCAAGTGCCAATTGCAGCAGCAGAAGCAAGAGCAGAAGCAGCAGAGTCTGCACACCGGGAGTCGAGAAAGGGTTACAAAGAAATCCGGGAAGAAGAAAAGACGCTTGGAACGACGGCTGCTTCGGCATGAAGACAGGGAGAACAGCAAAGGGAGACAGTCGTCAGCCAACCCTAACCCCGGCTATGACAGCTGATTGCATCCCTCTCCAACGAAATTTTTCAGCAATAATAAACGTCAAAAATAAGAGCAAAATAGCAGACCGCTTTGAGAAAAAATCTTACCGAGAGATCTCATTCGACAAGGCCCATATCCGGTGTGTCAGCCATCAACAACTCCGGTTTACTCGATTTGGAAGTCCATATTTTGTGCAATATAAAGTACCTTGTTTGTCGTGGAGCTAGCCAGTGAAGGATGCAGTGGCTTGTGAGACCTGTAGGCTATGTCCCGCCACACCACAAATATCCATGCCCGAGCCAGGGCTCTCTTGAGGGAGCTCAAGCTGGCGGGATTGCGATATTGCACTGCAGATTGCATGGGTCTAAGATCATGTTTCCAATACAATGATATGCAGCTAGCCAGAGTGGATGATGGACATGCCCTTAATATTACCTCGGACCGTGGGAGGGGGGCTTCTTGGGCCCTGCCCTGGACACGGCATGTCGGCTGACTGTACCGACTTCGGCCCATTGGCAACCTGGGCCCTGAACCAACAACGTGCGCAACTTATCTCTCGGCTGTGAAGCCGGGAGACGCTCAGATTGACATTCAGATACGCACAAGTACTAGGGAATTGCGATAAATAACCGTAGGGCTCTGGGATCGGCGGTCTTGGGAACGAAACTGGAGCCCATTCACGAGAGGATTCACGTCCCCGCCTTGGGGCCGCTCTCGACTCGCCAGTTCCGGTCTCCCGAGCGCTGACAGGTCGGAATGATAGACTCACACCGCGTCATCTTACATCCCACACAGCATGTCCCTGGGACGTGGAGTGGCTCGGCAAATATCCAGGCAACAATGAAGAAGGAAAATTTTGTAACAAAGTGACACAGTGACATGGCGGACACTGACGAAATGACGGCCAAAAGTCTGATGCTCATGCAGACCAAGTTCCAACCAAGGTCAAAAACATAGACGGACGTGCCACTAGCATTTCTCTCTCTCCCTTTGCCGCAATCGTTGATGCCGGCCTTGTCGTTTCCCTTATTTTCCCCCGCCGACCTCAAGCATCTCAAGGAGGGGTTAAACTGCCAAACAAGACGTCACTAACACCCGGTCTCGAGAGAGCCAGTCGTTTTTACCATGGACATTGGCATTAACGCGTCCACCGATGCAGTTGGCTCGGGAAGCTTGTCGGGCAACCATAGTGTCTCAAGTCGCGCTTCTCTAATCTTTGCTCTCAGCTTTGGCGCAGCGCTCGTGGGTTGGCACTACTTCTTCGTGGCATCTCCAAAGAATGGAGACGCCAAGGAGCCGCCCGTATCGAGGACCCTCATTCCCATTTTCGGGCATCTTCTAGGCTTCTACAGACTTGGTGTCTCGTATATGGAGACGCTGCGGTAAGTCCTAGCTCCGTATTATTGTCTCGGCGCCATCTGGTTCATCGCTAACCTGGCACCCCAAGCCGTCAAACGTCATGGCCAGCATATACCATGAAAGTCTTGAACATGAAGACATATGTCGTCACATCGCCAGGATTGTCCCACGCGGCGCTGCGGAGTCGTCACATGTCGCTCGAGCCGCTCAGCGCCACTGTGGCCGCGAGAATGCTGGGTCTTAGCAAGAGCGCTAATCGCCACCTCGGCGTCGACGAGAATGGCAAGTTCATCGGATCGGATGCCCTGACGGAGCGTCGCCTCGAGTTCACCAGGATGCTCTCGACAGGCAGCGCGACCCTCGAGGAGCCCAGCAGAGTGGCGTCTAGCGCTGTCGCTTCGTCTGTCAACACGGTCGGCACGGACTGGCAAAGCCGCGACCTGTTCAAGTGGCTTCGCGACGTTATCACCATGGGAACCGTGTCAGGCCTTTACGGCCCCAAGAACCCCATTGCCCTCGACCCGAGCTTGGCCGAGGATATCTGGTATGTCGCCGCTATGGGGTTTACCGCGTGATTGACCGCTGACCAGATATCCAGGATCTTTGACGAGAACCAGCTGCGACTTAGCATCTGGGGCTTTATGCGGAACTGGGTTGCGCCGGCTGGCGTGCGCGCGGTGAACAGCATTTCCGCTGCGTTCGAAACCTATGTGCAAGAGGGACGTCACCAGTTCGCCAGCGAGGCAGTGAAGTCGACTATTGCATCGGTGCTCAGTCGGGGCATCAGTCCCAATGACCTCGCCCGGCTTGAGGTGTTCAACATCTCGGTGGCGACGGTCAACACTGTTCCGACGACCGTGTGCATGATTTACAACATCCTGGCCAATCCCAAGCTGCACGCAGCACTGCGAGACGAGATCAAGGATGTTGTGAGCGAGGTAGAGTCTGACAACAGCAACAAGAAGAAGATGCAAATCGACATATCAGCAGCAACCAAGACCTTGCCGCTGCTGGTGGCATGCTACCAGGAGGCGCTGCGCATTGGGAGCACCCCGACGTGCAACCGGGCCGTGCTGAAGGACACGGTGCTGGAGGACCCGGAGTCGGGGGTAAACATTTTCATGCGCGCTGGGGGCCGCGTGTCCATACCAACCTTCATGCTGCACAGCCGCGACCAGATCTGGGGCGGCGACGCGACCAGCTTTGACCCGTGGCGCTTCATGCCGGGCGGCGCGGCGGCCGACACCAAGGGTCGCGTGCGCGAGCAGGGCTTCGTGCCCTACGGCGGCGGCGTCCACCTGTGCCCCGGCCGCCACCTGGCCAAGACAGAAATCCTCGCCTCGGGCGTCCTCATGGTCATGGCCCTCGACTTCCGCGCCGAGCGCGACGGCGACCACATCGAGGCCCCCGCCTACGAGGGCACCACGGGCGCCAAGAAGCCCATCGCCCGCACTGTTCGCATCCGCCGCCGCGAGGGCTGGGAGGATGTTGAGTGGAGCGTCAAGATTTGAATTTGATTGACCGGAACTAGCTGCTAGCTTCTTGTCGCTATTCTTTCTTTCTCCCGTTGCTTATCTGACTCTATGCAGTGCACCTATGATAGAACACGCCTATGATAGAACGAAATGAGATAAACGGTGTTGGAACTTTTGAGTTTGAGGTATGGGTGAGCATTGCAAGTGAAAGGCAATGAAACCCTTTAGAAGTCTACGTGGTAAGTGAGTCGATTGTGAATTGCTCGTGAAAGAATGTATAAGATCCCAAGAGCTTTGATTGGCTATAGACCCTTTTGCAAATCCTCAGCGTGATTAGCATGATTGAGCAGGAGAAGAATAACATTAAAAATATGAGGTCAAATAATATCGCGTCGCTGTAAATGAGAATGTTTTCAGTCTTATCCTAGAGAACTTACCTTATTCTGAAGGTTTCGGCTAGGCTGTATCTAGTATTATTCCAGGCACACTAAGGCACTAACGGCTGGGTGGCGCAATGGTAGCGCGTTACTTTCCGGTTAAATGAACTCTCAGTTGGTAAAGGCTCTGGGTTCGAGTCCCAGCTCGGTCGAAGTATTTTTTTTTGGCTTTTTTCACTTTAATTTTCTTTTTTTATAGATTCTCCTTCTATTCTGGCTTTGCTTGGGATTAGATAAAGGGATCCTCAGATAAAGGCCTCCTGGCCCGCCGATATAATGTAGGGACTGCCCGCTACAAGATGTCGATTACCTACTTACCAATCAAGAGGACCGGAAAAGTTGGACAACGATAATGGTGACGCGTACCACTAGATAATGGGCGGACGATGCATATTCCGTACGATCAGCCAAATTTGCGATTCTCACCACTAATTACTTAACGATGTGATGCCAACACTTGCAGAATCGGCGGTGGAACAGCAGCCAGTGAACACAAGCGGCCAGAATGCACCTTCCTCGCCAGACTTGACCCTCGATGATGCGGCCTGGGTTTTTCCATTCAAAATTTTGTTTCTGATTCGTTGCCCTTGATTACACTTCATCGTCTGCTGCCGTGCTCGACAGGTTGAACAAGTCCTTAAATACAAAGATTGCCTATCGTCAATTCCCAATCCCATCTGGCTGATCCCACGGAATATCAATGGAATTAAATTCATTTGCTAATCCATCGCTCTCCTCTCCCTAACACTGCATTACAGCTCCACGTGCGCATCAGTTCCTGAGCCGTTTGCAACCCGAAGATTGACGCCATCGCGGCCCCACGCCTCCAAGGCCAGGGAAGCTGCCTTCCCCACCAAGAAGTGCACGTCGCCCTTGCGCCAGACCAGCGCGGCGACAGTGACGAGCCACACAAGCACGAGGGCCTTGATGGCAGCAAAGCGCCAGCGAGGCAGCCACCAGGCGCCGTCGGCGATGTCGGCGATGCGCTCCTTGGCCTCCTTGGGCACGTCGGTCTCGTCGGCCGTGGTGGCACGGTACCACTCGTCAAAGGTGTAGAACCACATCAGCCACTTCCACTGCATGCCGCACTCGAGCAGCACCCAGCCCAGCGGCAAGTAGCCCCAGGCGCCAAAGTAGGCCAGCAGCTCGGGGTACCAGACGTTGAGGTAGATGCTGCAGTAAAAGGTGCTGGCCACGGTGGTCACGGCCAGCACGGGCAGCAACAGCGTGAAGTACAGGTACGCGTTGGATGCTGACGACCGGAACCACGTCTTGCGGAACTGGTACAGGAACACGAGAGTCGTCGTCGTCGCCCCCGAGATGGTGGCCCCGAAGAAGACGAACTGGATCAGCAGCCGGCACAGCAGCGCGTCGGACGGCGAAAAGGACGAGAAGCTCGTCCGGATCCAGAGCAGCAGCGCCGGCCCCATCATGTGATGCAGCGTTGCGCCCTTGTCGTTGCGTGTCACGGTCAAGTCGACAATGTAGGCGCCAGTCAAGATGGCACTACATGCGTGTTAGTGGTGAGTCTTCACCTTTTTCATTCAATGGCCTCATTCACTTACCATGAGAGCAGAGACCGCGCCGTATCCTGGCTCGTCCACTCCTCCATGGGCGAGAAGCCTCCAATCATGATTGGCAGAGTCAGGTAAAAGAGCACAATTCGCGATGGGATAACGGCAACCTCGACGGCCAGCCGGCTTTTGATGTCCTCCCTGAGCTTGGACCATTCAGGCATGGTCCGCTCGAAGTATTTGCGCCCATTGTAGCGCACCACGGTGGTGATGACAGCTACAATGCCGACGACGGCGAGGTCGAACTTGTATGTCGTCTCTCCGGCCATGGTGTTTACGGCAGCCGGGCTATCGACTGGGAGTTGGGCTGTGTGTAGGAAGGTGCGTTTTTCCGGACTAATGGTCACCAAACCGGGAAAGTCAGACGAGAGGGCACCAAAACCAAAACTCAGCATTGCTAGGGAATACTACAGGCCGACAATACTTTTAGAGATGGGACACTCTCAGACCGTGGGTGGCACATCCAGCATTCTCCTCCACCAGTCGAATTCTCAGCAGACACCGCGGGGTGGATCTAACAACCACACTCTGCCTTGTCTCGCAAATCTAGTAATGGGGAGTCGGGCCGGGGCGAAAGGAAACCCGGGATATTCCATCATGCCTATCAACCCTTAGGCCATGGTGGGCGGGTCGGAAACGCGCCCCGTTGAGCCCAAATTTCGTCAAGGGCGCAATTCGCGAAACGTTCCATCATTCTCGTGGGAAGAGCGAGGACCTGTGGCCAAGGGCCAAGCATCTGACTGCATTTGCATGGTCCTGTCATGGAAGCCAACGCTTACATGCTGCGTTCTTCTTCCACTAGCAAGGCTCGAACCGCACAAAAAAAGAACATATAAAGTGTGACATGGTTAAGAGCGAGGTGTGGGGGGGAGTCGACGGGAGATTCCGGCACAGCCAAGAGTACATGGCCGTCAAGTACCTTGACGAACCAACCCCCACACCCACCTAAGGAGCCTCGACGCCTTCATAACCCCGATATATGCAAATTGAGCCGCGGCGGCACCTGAGGAGATGGGGATCAGCAACGATGCAACCAACCATGCAGCAGCCCTGGGTTCCGTTCTTCTTCCCGCACGGCTTGCCGATCATTGCCGCGCCCTTCGGTCGAGCCTAGAGCAGCCAGGCCCAACCAGCCCAATCAGTAACACCGACCTCCATAGCGTCAAAACTAGGCTTCAGCGCCATATATGATTGACAATTTAGCATACTGCGTAGTGCCTGCCGTTTTTGCCGAAGACACCATCACAAGAATTGTGGCTAAGGTTCATGCACAGAAAACCGGTAGCTTTCTACCCCACCGTGCTCCTTTTCACGCTTAAATCTCACGCCGGGTTATCCGATGGATTTAAAGTTCTGAATTGTCAGACGTGTACTGTTGGCGCAGTGCTGGCGGTTACCTCGCAAGCACGTTAATTACTAAGCATTTGGGCTTGTACGCAGACGTCGCGGCATCTAGGTCTGATCGCGTATCTACCGGCGGTCCGGCTGCTACCTTCCGTGTCAGGGCTAGAAACATAAGCGCTTCTTCCTTCGCTCGCATAGCTGACCGGCACTTGCAGGCATAGCCCGGAACACATTGCTTACTCTTGATTGTTTCTTGGGAATACCAGTGTGCGTGTCCCTGGCCGGGCACCCTTTCTCGATGGCCGATGGCAGGCCGAAAATGGCGGGCCATATCGAGTGCTGAAGTTGGTTAAAGAGATATTTATCGATGCCTCCCGACAACAATAGGTATTATTTGCCCGTCCAACACACGACTGCAGATCCACGAGCCAGGGTGGCAGCCCCTTGCATCGCATTGCATTTCTTTGCAAGTTTGCAACACCATACCACGCCCATCCATGTAATGTCGATCCTGTACTCCGCCCTTGGGCCTTCGCCGGGTTCAATTCATCTACTGCTGTGCTGTAGGTATCTTATACCTTTCATTTGGGCCTGTGTGTGGGATAGAGGACCGCATCCGATGGGTTTGCTGGGACATCCCGCATCCCGACAATGGCCAATTGTCGCGACGAGCACGAAACGACAGGTCACAATGCCACTTGTTACACACCGTGCCATTCACCCACTATCTACGTATATGCCTACCGGTATTTGGCTAGGTGTGAGGCCATTTGCGCGTGAACTTGTCCAGGCTGAAGCTATTCCGGCAATGATTTTCTCCCTCCCTCACCGCCGACGCTAGTTACGGCAAGGTAGTCAGGCGGCGGATCCCCAATGAGTGAGCGGTCCGAGGCTTAGGCCGCGGAGAAAAATCAATAACATTTTCTTTTCTTCATTATCTATCCTCCGCACCCCTCCACGAGTCTCGGGCAATACTCCGGAGCTGATGCCCCGTAGAGAGGGGATAGTGACGGTCTCTGTTCCGCTTTGTCTACGGAGGGGGAGGGGGTGTGACACGAAGTCGTGCGTACCGCCGTATCTTGTCTCGCGCAGTCGAGTGCCTCTCTGGCTCGCTTTCTCTCTCCTCTCTTTCCCTCTGCGCTGGCATGCTTAGCCAAATCACTGTTGCGATATTCAATATTACTCATGCTAGGCGATGAGCTGAGCGGGTGGCGAGGACGACTCAATGCACACATGCTGCAGAATTCACGCACACCCTCACCGACTTGACCCAAGTCGAGCCCGCCCCTGGCACAACCGGGAATGTTCCGGTCCTGGGATGCGGGTAGGGAAAGGTAAATGTAGTGTAGTGTATCATGGCCTTAAGTGGCAAGTGACGCTGCGGGATACGTGAATGCTAAGCAATCAAGTGAGTCTTTGCTCTTGGCAACCCGGCCGTGTGTCTGCTCATTTGAGCGTTAATCAGAATAATGCCGAGTGGCTCTGGGCGGCGGCGGCTGTTTAACAGTTACACTGGATATCCAATAGATTGATTGCCGAATCATTGCATGTACGGCATATGGTGGCACCGCACCGCACCACACCACCTGGGGCGAGAGGGCGACGAGCACGAGATGCAGCAAGTGCGCAGCTATCCGGCTATCTGGCTATCTGTCTATCTGTCTATCTGTCTATCTGTCTATCTGTCTATCTGTCTATCTGTCTATCTGTCTATCTGTCTATCTGCATAACCACGCTTCTCTTCCTTCACTCCATCGTGTAGTTAATAATTTGTTGCCTAATTAGACGAAAAATAATCATAGATGGCTAGGCTTGGGAAATGTGGACTCGTACTAGTTGATTGATTGATTGCTGCTTTAGGAAGGATAGATTGCAGGCAGCGGAGCTTGGGACACGGGAATCGACCCAATCCTTGTATTTATTTTTTAGACCCTGTTTAGACTATGTAGAGAAGCTGCGGCCGTACCCAGTCACCCATTCAGTAGTTGGTATGCGCGAAAATAGAGTACCTGTCCACTTACCCTACCTAGATTAATTACGTGCCGCGCCGCACTGCACCGCCTTGTTGGATGCACGCACGCAGAATTATATATACATATATACTCACCTTACCCTTGCACCGTTGCCCCCCCGGCACTCGGCGCTTGGCGGGGTGCTTAGCGGTGCTCCTTTCCCTTTTCTTCTCTCTTTCCTAGGTTGGTAAAAACTAATTGATAGGGAATTATTCAACAATCGGGGCGTGAGCGCGGCGCACTTATTCTCTATACGGAATTAAGTGCTTGCTTACCTTTGGTGAAGCACGACTTGATACCTATCATTATTAATTAAATTATTCGTCAAGTCTCCGAAATCGCCGCAACCAAGGGGGCAACCAGGAGCTTGCTGGTCAGAGAGAGGCGTTTTGGTAATTGGCCCTGACGAGCACCTCTCCTCTGGGGTAATAATCGTTATGAAAATAAAATACAAGGGGGTTTTGTGATAAGCGCCCAGCCTTGTAGTCTAGCCGCGAACCGTGGTTCCTAACCTGCTGTCAGATTCTCGAGAGCGAGCAGGGAGTGCGACGTGGTGGCTCGGCGGCGCGCTGCCCTATCTGACTGATAATTAGGTAGCCAGGGCACTCGCGCGTAATCGCCGACGCAAAACGAAGTGAAGCGAAGCGGGTCGCTGCGAGCGGACGAATCAGTGGTGCTTACTGAACTCTGGGCGCGGGAAGGATTAGATGAGATGAGATGAGATTTGAGATTTGAGATTCGTTGGTTTTTTTTTCCCCGTGTCTTACGGAGTACCTGGGTAGGTAGACTCGGTAGAGATTACTAAGATAAGTTACGAGGGTTATTTCTCCTTTTTGCTGCTAATATCTCCGAGCATGCATGGGCACCAGGACAGAGTCGCACTCCAGTCAGATTCTTTAGTAGGCGTCCGACGTGTTGTACTGAATCCTAAACGGCATCACCGCCGGCTTACCGGGGGAACGACCCAACTCACAAAAAACTGTCGCAACGCAATACGCAGAATATACAGGCAGTTACACAAGCAAATATAGGAGGCTGGTGGGACAATCTATCCGCCACCTGTCTGCGTACGTAAGATAAGGCACGTGCGACAGCGCTTTGGGCGTAGAGTGAGACGGTCAATACCACGTCGGCGACACGTTGGATCGTGTTTTCGCGGGCGGCCAAGGCCCCTCTGTCTAGGTATGGGCTTGTCTTGTGCTGCGGACATGGACAGGACGACTTTTTTTATGGCGGCTTCGGCCAACAATGGGCAAGAATGGCCGGGTCTAGATTGTGACCCTGGAGAGTTGCAGCAGTCATAGTAAGCCCCCCCTCCCCTATATGACGATCTCATGCCGTAGGCGGATATCACGTACGTCTATGCACCAAGGGGGGAGGGGAAGGGTTATCCGGGTCTCACCTTTTCAACACGCACACAGTCGCGCCCACACTCACACGTTCAAGGCCCTAAGAAGCCCCCCTGGACTGAAAGAAGGAATGGAGGCTGACGGGGGTGGGGAGGGGGGGGGGGGAGGAGCGGCGATTTTGTTCCAAATGTGGCACCGCCCGTCGTGTCGTGTACGACCATCCATACGCCACCAAACACAGCAGAGCACAGTACAGTACAGTGGTACCGAATTATTACATGCACACCCCCTTCCGAGGAGAGGCGTGCACGTAAAAATAAGACCCAACGACCGGTCAAGACATCAAAGTCCTATCTGTTTGTCAGTATCTTAACCAAGCAAAAATACCGCCTTGGGCTTATTATTTCGTGATGGGCGCGCTATGCAGGTGAACCCGGCTTCGAAACACGCCAAACCCGGAAAAGGCACTCTGACTGTCCCAAGCCACAGTGAAGTGACTCGTCATATTTTCCATCCCCTTTCTTTTTGTCTTGCCCTGCTATCTACCTGTGATTTACCTCCTTGGGAAGGTGGGCGGGTTTCTGTTTTCGGCCGAACCTGGGACGAAATAAAGATATGTACCTATGTATGCACATTTACATGGGACTGGGCTGGTGATGCCTACACCTAGACAGACCTAGTCAAGATACCCGGGCAGTGACAGTCAGATCCGAAAGAGGGATTGCGACGGGGGGCTTGTCTTGGGTATTGGGGAATGGATTTCACTGTCTGTCGTCTGCCTTCGTACCGACGACTTGCCGCAGTGGTGTTATTCACACCCCCTTTTCCCTATTCACCTCCTCGTGGACGTGTGGACGACTTCGGCAGAAGCAGATCTTGGGACTGACTCCCTCCTTTTGTGTTCTCTGTCTCTGCAGATCGTTTTTGGGTTTTGGGTTTTGATCCGCGTGTGTGGCATGCAGTGCATTTCATTCTCTCTCACCACTCACTAGTCACTCTCAACAAGAATTGCTTTAGCTGTGTGTTGTGTGTGGTGTGCTTGGAATCTGGTCTCCCCCCTTCCCGTCTAATAGGCATTTGTTGTTTTGTCTCTTCGTGTTTTTTTGTGCCCCCCCATCGCGGAACAGCGCTCCCCCCCGTTCCCGTCGCTCCTCGCGGGAGATACCCCCCCCTTCTCTTCTTTTCTCTGACATTGGCAGTACCCACTGTCCTGGTCGACTCAGAGACACAAACACATAGGGAAGGACACAGTAGAGAGAGAGAGAGATAGAGAGAGAGAGAGAGAAACCAAGCACGCCACCCACTACCTCTCTCAACATCGCCTCTATCCTCCTTCCTCTCTCCATCCTCGCTGCTGGCAGGGTGCCGTTAGACCCCCCTTCGCCTTCCCCCATCGGCATCACCCCTAATCCCGACAACAACGACAACAACGACAACAACGGCCATGGACACCCTGACCACCTTCAGCCGCAGCTTCGACAGCGACGTGCACATCGCGTCACTGGCCTTCATCGTCACGGGCCTGCTGTACCGGTTCGCGCACGAGCAGCTCGAGGCGCGCCTGCCCAAGTGGACGCATTTCCCGCAGACGCTGCGCGACCGCATGGCCGTCGAGATGGCCTGCATCCCCGTGCGGTTAGGGCTGATCGTCTTCACCCTGCCCTCAGTGCTGGCCGCCTTCTCGCCCGCCGCCGCCAACTGGTCGGCTGCCGACACGAGGAATGCGTTGGTTGCGTGGTATGTTTTTTTCTCATCTCCTCTGTGTTGGTAAATAGTGGTTAATGAGAAGCAAAGCGCCCTCATGACGGGCGCGTACCTGTTTGACCTGATCATCTACCGCGAAGACATGCTCAGCGTGCTGCACCACATGATGGGGCCGGCGCTGCTGGTGTGGACGCGCACGTGCTTCAGCAGCTTCACGGCGGCGGACGCGCTAGTCTCGCGCAGCCTGATGATGTTCGTCTTCTTCGGGGCGGCCACGGGCGGCATCGCCGCCACGTCGGGCGTGTTCCTGCTGCGCGTCGGCAAGAAGTACCTGGCGCGGCGGCGCCTGTACGGCTGCTTCGCGCTGTGCGTAGCGTGTCTGACCGTCACCACGGTGCTGAGCTGCTACGTCAACGTGCTGTACTTCCTGCACACGTGGGACGAGGCGTTTGCGTATTTCGGCTGGTTCGCCCCGCTGCCTGTCCTGTGGGAGTCGTTCGAGTGCTACCTGCAGTGGCGCTGGCTGCTGCGCTTCTACGAGCTCGAGGCCAAGCTGCGCCAGCCCCGGCGTCAGCATGACCGGAGCAAGACCAGCAGTGGCGGCGACGGCACGGTGCCGCGCAGCGCGTCGCCCGACTCGTCCGACGACCAGGTCATGGCGGTGCCGGTCGCGAACGGGGCCGACGACGCCGACGTGCTGATCCCGTCCGTGTTCCCGCGGTGGACGGTGTCGGTGCTCAAGATGCTCGTGTGGCAGTGGGTGGCGCTCATGTCGGGGCTGTGGTACAAGCTGGTGCAAGACTCGTACTTGGCATGGACGGGCGGCGCGGCAGCAGTGGCCGGCAAGATGGTTGCTGACAAGATTGTTTTCAACGTGACGGCGTAGCGAGATGGGGATGGTATATCTAGCTTGCTTTTCATCTTCTCCTTTTCCCTCTTAAATCTTTCCGGTTCGCTTCGGGGCGTCCCCCAAGGGCAGCTGGAAGCAAGCGCGGGTGGAACAAATTGGGTGGCAAGCAAGCAACCCCTACCTGTCAGTTAATGAAATCCAACAAGGCGCGACGTCATGCCTTGTGAGCACCGTGAGTTAGGTTGGTCTCTAGTTTTCGGCTAGGTAGTTATTGTGTATATATTTCATCTGGAAATAATGATGACGCATGACATATATCTCAGACCTGAGACTTGACCAAGAGTTAGTTATACGCCGGACGAGGCCTTTGCTGTGTTTGGTTTGTTTCCAAAAGTGTAGGCACAGTCTTATCAAATAGCCTTCACACAAAGGCAAAATAGGAGACATCTCATGTGATAATTACCTGAGGCTAGGAATGGTCCCACACTTCAAATTGCCCTCTATATTTCCCAACAACATCTTCCTCATCATTATCTGATCATTTCCACCCATCCAAGAACCGGAAATGCCGATGGGGTTGGCCCAGGAGTGCCAGATTGTAGCCTATCAACTACGCAAAGGCCGGAGTATTCCCTCCTTCATCACCTTTACCTTGAGATGATCAACACGCATCAATGACTTCAGCAAAGGCCGCAACGAGTAGCGACGCCCTGAAGCGCTCCATCTGCGCCGCCTCGAGCGTAATGGCAAACTCCAGATCAGCGCCGTTGCCGCCCTCTTCCGTCTGATATCTCGGCCTCGGCGGAAGGATAACAGCAATCGACGGTATGACAAGTTGCAGACATCTGATGGCCTCGCATTTCATCCCTTCCACAGCCACACCACCACTACGCGCCCCCCAGTCCTTGCCGTAGAGGATTCCCTGGCCCACCCAGCTCGACACATAAAAGTCAAACATGCGCACGTCGGGCCAGCGCAGGGCGCCCACGTCGTCCTGTGCGGCGAGGTAGCGCACCGTGTGCTTGACGCGGGCATTGTCGACACTGCCGATGCCACGGCGCAGTGCGGCCGCCACGCGTGCAAGCGGCACCAGCGACCCGCCGTCGCCCGCTGCCGCCACGAGTGTGCCGCGCGGGATGCCCACCCACGCCACGCCAAACGCGTTGCCGAGCCAGTCACGGCGCAGGGGCGGGCTCACCCTGGTGCGCACGTCGACGGCCATGCCCGTGGTACAAGTCTGGTTGTCGTCTTGTTCTGTCCCAGATCCCCGAGTAGCCCGCCGCCACCACCAGCGAGAGGGAGAAGACAAAGTATCAGGGGGAGGAGTCATGGCCAGTGTGGCAGCGCTCCAGATCAGCGCGCTGAGAACATCGTGGGTCGACACAAAATCGACGCCCAGTCCCAATCGCGGCGCAAGACGGCCGATCTGCGCTTTGAGTCCGGCCAGACTGGCGCCCGATACGCGGTACAGCGTCGTGGCGAGAGTGAAGGGCGGCGAGGGCACAGCACTGGTGACAGGCGGCGGGCGCCGTGCTGTGGGAAGACTCAGGCAGGGGCGGACCACGCGAGCGATAAAGTATTTTACTATCCGCATGGCATGGTAAGATTCAGTACTGGTTGCTGCCGCGTCGGCTGGCGTTTCGATGTAAATGTCCGACGGCTTGGTCACGATATCACTCCCCGCGGCGAGAGGCTTCATAGAGTCCTCGACCAGGGCCTTGCGGTCGATGCGCAGGGGGTTGAGGGCGACAGGCTCGTGCTTCTCGGGGTCGAGATGGCACGAGTCGGCCCAGAGCGCGAGCAGCTCGGCTAGTGAGGCGCCGTCAAAGACGCTGTGATGCACTAGGACGGCCAGCGTGAAGCCGCCGGCAATGCGTGTAGCCTGGGCGCGCAGCACGGGCGCGGGAATGCTACCATGAGGCGGGATCTGGGGGTAGAAGACGCTACCGTTGAGCACACCGATGGGGAAGGAGGCGGCGCGCAGCCCCGCGTAACTCAAGGGGTTCTTCTCGTCGTGGACGTCGTCCGGATCGGACATGCCGTTGTCATTTTCGTTTTCATTGACGATGGTGTCGCGGTACACCAGCATGTCGTTGATGCTGTCGAGCCCGCTCTCAGACAGGCGTATTCGCCCGCTGCCGCTGCCTGGCGACTTGTCCTCGACGACAAACGACGTCAGGTAGGGGATGCTGACTGCAGTGCTACGAAGGCCATTGCGCAGCACATCAAAGGCGCGTGGGTCGGTCGAGGGAAAGCAGAGAATCTGACCAAAGTAGCCGCGTGGCATGAGCTGGTCGAGGGGAGAGAGGTACTGCGGGTCAAAGTCTGGCGCCATGGCGCTTTCTTTTTTCTGTTCTTTTTCTGGGCGAATGGCTGCCATCTAACTCTTTGATGAAATTACAAGCACTGAGTGGTGTGCACAAAAGGAAGGCATGGCCAGTGGAGTGGTGCCACTGGAGATTCGAGAGTGAGTCAGATGGTAGGTGTGAGGGCGAGGGCAGGAACGTTGCGCATTTATATGCACCGATCCAGAACAAATGCCGTCTTATTAGGCTTAGCGGCCCCTCTTGTTTCCTAATACGGTGTAGTGGCATTCCTTTGGTCATTTTGCCTGCTCCTCCACAGCCACTTCACGCAATCCATTAACCCTATGAGTTCAAAACTTCTCACCATCAAATGCTAGGCAACAGAACCAAAGCTGAACCGTCTACTTGACCAAGGCAATTAATATCGGAACAGAAAAGGAGTTGGCGTCGGCAAGGTCTGCAAGTACGAAGAAGAATAAGCCGAAATTGAATCAGCGCTCTCGACTTGGACTTGGCTTTAGAGCCCGAGACCGCGCATGAAGACGACGTCGCCTCCAGACGGCAGGCTGACGCACTTGGCCCCAGTGAGAGACCTCACTTCGCTCAGCATATCGCACATCGGTATCACGTACGCCTCCCCAAAGCTGTCGACCGACACAACGTGGCCGTAGACGAAGCCGTCCTTGGCCCCGACGACCCGTTGGCCGCCATCACGCCGTGTTTGAAGCCACTGCTCGTTAGGACAATCACCACGACGTGCTTTGGCAAGCGCTGTGGCGCGAGTCGCAGCTCCGTGTTTCGAACAGGCCATGGCCCGTCTTTCTCGACTGCCTAATAAGCCTTACTGCCAATAACGCTGGACCCAGTGGACAGCAATTCAACTAGGAGGTTCGGTTTCCACTCGCGGCGATCAATCTCCACCAGTACCCAGTCGCTATTGCGTGGTCTGTGTACCGATCGGCAAAACGTATCAGGCACCCTCCCAATGGTTCTGGTGAAGTCGTGTTTGTCGGGGACGTGGGCCAAAGCACTAGCGGAAACGTCTTCAACGCTCCGGCGTAGCTCGAGACATTCATCGTCGTCATCCGGGCCAGACTCGTCTTCACATTCCTGGTAGAGCTTTCTCAGAGGATGGTGGGCAGTGATGGCGTACAGAGCCGGCAGGGTCCTTTCGGAATGCGTCACCAAAATTAGGCCGCCGATGGTGGCCGCCGAGGAAAGCGAGGCTTCCACGTTGGTGAACTGGACTTTTAGCCTACACAGCGTCTTCCGACAGGCCTTCTCGTCGCCGCGGGTCGACGTCGTGCTAGGGTCGCCGCTTATGAAGGCAAGCGCACAAGGCCATTGTCCACGATTTGCAGCTGAAAGTCGCGCTTCTTGAGGTCTTCTAGCACGTTCTCCTGGTTGAAAAACTTCTTGACTGTCTTGGCAACTCTCTTGTCGCAGTGGACGACAATGTGCGGTTGGGCAGTCTTCTCATCGACCCCTATGTACTTGAGGCTCATGGAGACGTCCGCCGAGTTTGACTTAGCCTTTGAAACAGCCTTCCACAGAGGCTCAGAGTACAGAATCTTCAAATCGATGGAGTCGTCAATCAATTTCTCGGAGATCTCCTTTTGAAACGCTCAGCCCTTGGTATCTGATGAGACTTAAAAGACCTTATGTTTTCCTCCATTGAGGGGAGGACTGGGATCTGTTGCCGAATATCCCGGATCCTTGGTGCTGTCCTAGCCGAGGACTGTAAGAGGGTTGGATGGCTCTCCATAGCTGCTCTGTTGCACGCGATCGAAGTTGACAGCGCATTGAATTGTCTGCTCAATAGGTCTAAATGTACAGAAAAGAACGCTTCCTTATACTCATGGAGAGAGGGCAAGGGAGGCGTTGTAATCAGCCCGAAAGAGGGCATTCCGAATGAAATGAGGACATTCCGAGTCAAGAATGAAGGAAATAACAAAGAATGAAGGAAGCTCAGAGGCATGTCAACCAGGGCCTGTCCAATTCCATGAAAAGTGGGTCAATTCCAGACGACATGCTCTCCAACCCAGGGAGTGTCGCATGAGGCTTCGCGAGTGCGTCTTCGGAAGATTCACAGAGAGTGTCGTCGGGCTGGCTGACAGTAGGCAGCTTGGGAAATTCTGTCTCCATCTTGCCGGCGTCTGGTATACGAGTTGCGTATAGTGTAGAGATGGCGTGTTTGTTGTCAGTGTCGAAATGTTTGAGCAATATTCACGTCACGGGCCGAGAGCCTTGAGCGCGGGTTCATGGGCGGACCCCTCTTCTGAATTCGCCCCAGCCTCAACGGGCATGATGGAAGATGGCCGACCATTGGGTTGCACTGGGCCTTGCACTATTGGATTTGGATTTCGGATGCCGCATGTCAATGTCGCAGTTGCTGAGTTGACGCCCGCATTAGCATTGTACCTTTGGCACAAAGCATTGAAAATATCATCAACACGGCACTCAGTTCAAGCAGATACCCAAGATTCGCATTTCCGCTCTGGGGGGCTGAAAGGGGGCCCGGACTTGATTATCTGCGTGGGGGCTTGAGAGCGAAGCAAGGCACGTCAACATTAATCGTGGCCTAATTATTTGCATCTTGTACAAGGAGAATATTGTCTACACGCTATCTAAGTGCTAAACCTAGCGAGTTTCTCACGCTCGTTCTCATCATTTTTAGAAGAGCAAAGTGTCATATTTATTGATCAGACATCTACTTTCGTGCCTCACTGCGATTCTATCTATTCCCTTGACTAGCTGCCTTTAAATCTAGTTGCATGTGATTCTTTCCTCCAAAGATCTGGGAAGACCCAAATGCCGAATCCCACGCGCACAACTTTTGACACGCATGTTCCAAGGCCGTGAACTGATCTAAAAGAGAAACAAAGAGACAAGAGGGCTTCAGTGGCAAAGTGCTGCCAAAGTCAACACTCACTCCCTGAGCCAAATCCACCACAGGGGCAGACATAATACCGTCAGCATGATCTCATGTAATTATGTGGGCGGCAAAACCGTCATGGTCTAGACGGGCTGCACTGTTTCGTGGCAGTGCAAGGACCATTCGTTCGGTTGATATTTCTGACAACGTAAAGAGCTTCTCATAGAGCGGGTCATCGCCCGGCAGCCCGTATTCCCACAAAATGCATGGAAGGCAGGTCCAGACATCTTGTCGTCTATCGGCATGCCGACGAACTCGTGGAACTCGCAAAATAGGCATGGTTTCTTAGTATGCGTCAACAGGGTAGTCTGAGATGGCGCAGTGTCGTTTCTCAGGAAATGTTGGGATCACCAGGTACCAGTACTGGAAGCAACAGGGATCACCAGGTACCAGTACTGGAAGCAACAGGGCGTAACTGCACGCCGAAAACTGGTAGTTTAAGTGATAGATTTGTTAATGTCTGTGTATCTCTAGAAGACAGAGGGTGGAAGTAGCCTACGGCCACTTATATAGAATCTATGGCCCTGTGCCACCACAGCCACCTTCGTGGATGACCCTCCGTGGCTGATTAGCGCGTCATCCCAACAGGAAACGAGTTCGTCACCGTCCGTCCATTCTTCGATGGCTAGTATGGTGACAGGGTTGAAGTGGACTCCCCCCATGAAGGCACGCACGTGGAGAACGTTCTACACGCATTCCCAGCCATTCGGTTAGTTATTTAGTTGCCTGGGCAATGGAAGAGATTCTGGGTGAAAGGATATACCATGCCTTATAGGCGGTACGATGGCCATCGCAGAGAGCTCCGTCAATGGTGCTGGGCTTGCAGTCGTGGAGCTGGCACTGCGTACGGTTGTGAGGTGCGTACATTGTTGCAGGCGTTTGTTTCGTCCGTCTCCGGGCGTACTGTATCAAGCCACAGGGCAAACCACGGCTACATCCTGTCCTGGTTCGTGGTTGTCGCACGGCCACCATGACACAGGTGGGAGCCGTCCACACGTTCGAATGTTCCACAATCTATGAACCTGTGTGTCGTCCAGTTCCATGTCGCCTCTGGGCTAGTCTTGGGACCCGGGGCTGCGCCGAGGGGTTGGTTCGGATGTGGTGGATGAGAACCACTCCGACACTTGTTCAGGCCCTGACACTTGCTGAGGGTCGTGGCCAGCTGGATCGACGTCTGTCGATGCTGAGCTCGGTGAGGATCATATGGAGGTGTTCCATATAGAAGTGGGCTATCGGTTGCTCAATGAGGGCGGATTGGCTCTTTCGGATAGGAGCACTCGGGTCTGGGGCGAGTAGTATGGCCTAGTTATCCCCCTCACTCTTAAGGAGTTGGTAGTTCTTCCGCCAAAAGTCACCTTTCCAGGCAGTGACGAGATCTTCGGGGCCCTTGTCGGCGCCGAGTCCCAGGTGCCTATTGGTTGTTGTTGACATCAGCCCAGGGGCGGGCGATCTTGAGGTGCCCAAGTGTAAGGCGACGCAAAAGATCGAAACTCGCCGTGCGAGTGTGTTTCTGAAAAGCTGGTTGCTGAATCGAGCGGTGGTAGAACCATGAGAGTGCGCTGAGCTCAGCTAGAGCCAGACTGCACTCGACGTGATGTTGTTGTTGAAATCGGAGGTGTGGTATATAAGAGAAACAAACAATCAAAGAATCAAAAAGGTCAGGGATATAGAGGAGCAGGCGCACGAGATACAGAGCAGAGGCCAAGGCCGAAGCCCTTCTCTGGTCCTGTCTTATTCTCTTCGTTGCTGGAGAGAATTCTAAAAGAGAAAGAAATCAACGGCGATGCTGCTCCTGATATGCACCTTCTCGGGCAGATCAGACTTGTCGTCCTAGACCCCTCTCGGTTGAAATTCGGGGTGCGAGTGTGACAAATTCACTCGTGTTTGTGCTCTCTTCTATGCGTCCTGCCGGGTGCGACTATGTGTTCCCGTGTTTTCTTTTCTGGGTGTTTGTTGCATGGCCCATTTCTCGTCCTCAGCGTCCAATCGTTCCCTCTAATTATTTACCTTGACCCCTTCCCTACATTATCTCGGACGGAGGACGGCAGGCTGATGACCGCTACATTCACAACACACACATTCATTCATACTGCCAACCAGTCTTGGCCCGATCCGATCATCGGTGAGAGAGAGAGAGATGGACCACACGAGGCTCTGCGCCGCAGCGTGCGTGTGTGTGCAGCAGCGTGCCGCCGTCCGTCTAACGTCTTGGCGGTAGCCCAGCTGGGCGTCAGCCACGGCGCAATTCTCCTCCGCCGACTCGCCAATTGGGCCGTTTCAAGACCGCCAGCCTGGTTTTCTTTGCATCTCCCCGACCTGACCGACCCGTGAGAACTAGGGGACCCTAGGCAAGGAAGTTTCTCCACCATACCACAGCCACCCCCGCCCGCAGCGCAGCTGCATGTTTTCGTTTACGGGGTATCATCACTGACAGGACGCCTGCCGGTGACCAAGATGGGAAATGAAAGGGACAAGGAGGAGGCTGAGATGGCGGGGAAGAAAGGAATAAGAAGCGATGAAGGGGTCACCCTGCTCTGAACGGGGTTTGGTTTGTTTGCTGTTGATTAATGTACTTGGTGGTAAAATTATTGGGCAAGATGAAAACAACAGCACTGTCAAAGCTCGCCGTGATAGCCGCGGCTGCCGTTGGCGCTGCCTTGGGCGGCTCCGAGCACGGCCGCGATGCCGAACCCCCAACACACGCCCTGATGATCCGGGGCGCCAGCAACCCGCTCGACGGCCTCGCGCCGGCCGTCGGCGACGCGTTTGCGGACAAGAACAACGGCACGGGGGGCTCTTTGCTAATCTTCGGGCGGCAGACCCTGACGTGCCCGGCTTCGGCGCCGGCGCGGTGCGGGGCGGGGTGCTGCGGGGCGGCGGACAAGTGCTGCACGACGTCGTGCTGTCCCATCGGCAACGCCGGCACGTGCTGCCCGCTGTCCATGGGCGGGTGCTGCCTCACCACGGAGAACTGCGTGCCGCTGCGCGACAAGTGCTGCCCCAAGGACGCCCAGACGTGCGGCGGCTCCTACTGCTGGGCCGCCGGGGCCACGTGCTGCGACGGCGGCTCCTCGGCTTGCGCTGCTGGCTCGACGTGCTGCGGCGCCGGGTGCTGCGCTGCCGGTAAGCAGTGCTGTGGCGCCGGCCAGGGTTGTTGTGATAGTGGCGAGACGTGCTGCCCCGGCGCGTGTAAGTCTCTCTCTCTCTCTCTCTCGCCTCTCTGATACTGGCTGAACATGATATTTAGGCTGCCCGTCTGGCTATGAGTGCTCCACCCGCTACGGCTACTGCAGGCGCAAAACGGCGCCGAGTCCAACGCAACCGACGCAGACGACGCCCACGGCCAGCAGCAAATCGTCAGCGCAGCCGACGGCGCCCAAGCTGACGACGCCGAAGCTGCCCTCGTCTGAGCCGGCCCCAACGACGCCTAAGCTGACGACACCCAAGCTGTCAACACCCGACGCGTCCTCTGCAGCCCCGTCGACGGCCAACACCGCCGTCACCAGTGCCAGTCCCAGCACCAGCATCAGCACAACAGGGTGCCGGACGGCGACAGCGCTAGCGACGGCCACCTCGGCCAACCTGCCGGTAATGGAGTTCAGATATGTCGGCAACGGCATCGTAGACGACGTACGCCGCTTCGCCCCCCCTCCTCTTTCTCTCTCTCTCTCTCTCTCTCTCTTTCCCTCTCCCTCTCCCTCCCCGCTCTTGTTCCTCTCATGTGAATCTCGCATTATCTCCGCACAAACCACAAACCACAGACAGAAGAAAAGACCAAATCCACTAACATCACCCCCGCCTCGATCTCCATGTACGGATAGATCCCCACAAACATCTGCCTCGGCATCGCGCACAAACTCAACCGCCCCTCGCAATCCATCGTCCTCACCTACGCTGGCGACGGGCGGCGGTGCACGCGCGCGCGGGGCCGAGCCTCAGGATGCAGGGGCTGCTGCTCCGGAATCCGCAAACCCGTCGGCTCCCCCAACGCCGGCGACAGCACCGAGTGCGACGAGTTCCCGTTCAAGAGCACGGTCGAGGGCGGGAACTTCACCAACGGCGCGTGGACGCGCTGCGTCGCCGGCTGGCAGAACCAGCTGCAGGGCTATTACCTGTCGTCGTGGTACGCGGATCACGGGATAAAAGGGGGCGATCAGTTCGTGGTGCGTGTCGTCGGGCTGGACTGTGCGGCGGTGAAAGAGGCGGATCTGCAGGGGTGCCGGGCCAGTGGAAGTGGAAGTAGTGGTGGCAGCAGTGGAGTGGTTCCGCGGGACAGCACGGTGCTCGGATCGGGATCCGAGACCTCGGTGCGGCGGTCGCTGGACAACACGACAGACCTGGTAGTGGTGGCGTTTGGCGATCTCGACGGCGGGTCGTTCCAGGCCGTGGCGCGCATGGCGGCAGGCCGGCTGACGCGCGCCACGGTGCTCGACGGCGACGGCGACGAGGTGGCCGCTGTCGGCAGCAGCGACGTCGGCGCCCTGAACGGCGCTGCGGGCCTGCAGCTCGACTTCGACCTCGACGACTATGTTAGCGCTATTGGTTTGCTTGGTGAGACGACCGACACGATGGTCAACCTCACGTGGCAGCTTGATGTGGAAGACGACGGCAGCGCTACTGGCTCGTCTACCTCTATTGCGGCGAACCCGAGTGAGAAATCTGGGGCGGGACGTTGGGAGCCGGCGAGGGGCGTGTCTTGGGCTTCGGGGCTAGTGGTGTCGGGGATGGCGGCGCTTCTGCTTTGTTGATTCGTGTTAATAATAGCCGGCAGAGATGCTGCACGTAGTTACGGTACATATGTCAAAGCGTGAATTGTTTGCACGACCAGACACCAACCCAACCTTCAATAATCTATGCCATACACAACATTGACATGTGTTGAGACAAATCTTGAAGAGCATCTCTGCCAACTTGGTTCACCACGACATTCCATCCTCGCCCGATCATGTCCACAAACATAACAGGTACCTTGAGTGTCGCACCCACGAAAGCAAAGCACGCCAAACTCAGACCCATCCCGTATCCCAACAACAAATCAACAACAGAGCTGCGGTAGAAGGTACGAATAGCATTGGTGTTGCTAATCTCAAAGCAAATAACAATGCGGCCCAACACGGGCCGCCAGGGGTACTAGCTAGGGTGAGACCTCTCAACGAACGGTCTATAAACGCACGAAGAAGAATCCCAACGCTCAAAGACAAAATCCATGTCATCAAAAGAAAAGAAAAACTCCCCATTTCCAGCCGTATATATCTCCTTTTACTGCTCAATGGCGCCGAAGCACGTCTCCATAATGATCCCCGTGATCTGGTAAGGATCGGCGTTGCTCGCGGGTCTCCGGTCCCTGTGTAAGACGCTTGGTTAGCCGATGCCCTTGTAACTGCCATAGCCGAAGTAACATACTCAAAGTAGCCGTATCCCTTGGCGGCGCACTCCCTGGGGATGCGGATCGATGCTCCGCGGTTGGCGACACCGTACGAGAACTGGTCAATAGATCCAGTCTCGTGGCGGCCCGTCAGCCGCTTCTCGTTGCCCACGCCGTACACGGCAATGTGCTCGTGGTGGCGGCCCTCGAGCTTCTTGATGGCAGCCTCGATGTACTTCATGCCGCCCTCGACACGCATCTCCTTGGTCGAGAAGTTGCTGTGCAGGCCAGCGCCGTTCCAGTCGCCGGGGATGGGCTTGGGGTCGAATGATACCTTGGCACCGAACTCCTCAGCCACGCGGTGAAGGAGGAAGCGAGAGAGCCAGAGGTGGTCGCCCACTGTTCAAGACGTTAGACGCGGTTAGGGCTAGGGTTGGCCAAGGCGCGCAAACTCACTCTCAATTCCATCGCAGGGGCCGACCTGGTACTCCCACTGAGCGGGCATGACCTCGGCATTGGTGCCCGAGATCTTGATGTTGGCGTACAGGCAGCACTTGTAGTGGGCCTCGACGATGTCACGCTGGACGACCTTGCCAGCGCCGACACCGCAGTAGTAGGGGCCCTGAGGAGCTGGGTAGCCGTTCTTGGGCCAGCCGTACGGGCGGTCGGTGAGATCCAGTAGAGTGTACTCCTGCTCAAGACCGAACCACGGAATGTGCTCGGCGTGCTTCTCCATCAGCTTGGCCGCCTCGTAGCGGTGGTTGAACTTGTTGGGGGTGCCATCGGCGTTCCAGCACTCGGACAGGACAAGGATGTTGGGATTTCCCCTGAACGGATCCGGGAAGACGGCGACGGGCTGCGGCGACTGTTAGCAGCTGCTCCTACCACCAAGTTGATTTGCGGTATGGCGGAGAGCCAAGGAGCTTGCTTACCTTGAGGTAGACGTCGGAGTTGTCACCAGGGGCCTGGCCGGTCGACGAACCGTCAAAGTTCCAGGTCGGGAGGTCCTTGGGTGTGTAGCCCTCCTTCAGCTCTGGGAGAGTCTAGAAACATGCGGTCAGCACCGTGCCTCTCGGGAGCCAATGCAGGCAAGTATCGCCAAGCAAAAAGGATGCATGTGCGCCACCCATGAAGCCCAATGGCAGCGCATGAGACCTCGGTCGTTGCGTTTTTCGACAGGGGCCGGCTGTTCCTCTCGGACATTTTCCAACGAGGTTTCGGCTCGACTAAGCGGGCGCTGGCGGGGCAGCCGACGAGAATCGAGGTTTCGCAGTGGCGGTTGCTCATGCCGGGTCTGCCATGCTGCACGGCATTGGCGGAGTGGACTCGGTGGGGTGGGGGTGCAAATGAACGGTGTCGTGTGGTGCGAGAAGTCGTCATGGGTCAGTGGGCGAGGGCGAGGCCGGAGCCCTGTGGAAGGGCTGCTCCCATGCGGTCCGTCATTCGCAGGCTCGTGGGACCGGGGGGAGTCTAGGGGGGGTTTCGGTTGGGCCAAAAAATGCCACACCGAGTGCCGCGGATACCGAGTCCCAAAAGAGTCGAAGGTTGGTCGGGAGCGACGACGGAGGCACACGACGGCAGGGAAATAGCATAGAGGAAACCAAAAGGCAACTCACTCTCGACTTGGACCGGACACCACCCTCGCTGTCGATCCAGATGTACTCGACCATGATCTGGCCATTTTGAGGAAGGCGGAGGTACTTCTGGAGGTTCTCCGTGTATGAGGTGAAGGATTCTTGGGTCGCCTACAGCCAGGGATCGGTTAGCTGGACTGGCCCTGACAAGAGCGAAGCGGGCGTTGGGATAGGGCGCCCGAACTGCGGGCTGCGGGCTGCGCTGGAGATAGAGCCGCGGGCGACAGCGATAAAGGAGGGGGGATGAGGGGTTCTCGGGCTTGAATCTCTTGGCTCTTGGGTCAAGAGCAGCGCAGCGGGCAGCCAGGGCCAGGGCCAATGAGAGCGGGGTCGTTGGCTTAATGCGGACAAAACTCACCATTTTCGCGATCTTGTGGGGGGGGAGGGGGGTTGACGAGGGAAACCAAGGAATGAGGATATCTCAATGCTAGAAGACGGCTTCGTGTCCGGTTTTCCAAAAGCTCAAAAGTGTCGCGACGGGGAATCGAAAAAGCAGTTAAGGTTGAAAGAGGTGGAAAACGGACGGAGTCGGGGAGGTAGCGGGGACTGAGGCTTTTTATGTGCTTTCTCTACAGCCGTTCAAGGTGCAGGCTGTGGGAAAGATAAACGCGGCCAGAGATAAGAGAGAAGCTTTCCCGCTGGATGCAGGGGTCTGTGGCTGAGCCGGTGGAGTCCTGGGAACGAGAATGTGGAGGGGTATGGTATCGGCTTCACTTTGGCCTGCTTGGTTTGGGAGCACCCAAGAGAGACTTGCGAGAGACTCACAATGAATGGGTTGCTGGGCGTGTGTCACTCGCCAGACACACTCTCGAGAGTTCACCTCCACGGTTGCGTCTCTTGCCTCGTCTCAGACAACCAGCAAGGTGGGGAGCCAAGGGAGCTTGGTGGGGTGGGAATGCCTGCTTGCCCGCCGATAGGCCAATGCTCTGACAGCCCTGGGGCGCGCAGTGGGTAGTGGCCCGACATCCACAAGGTACCGCACCTCTACAAATCTGAGGTACTCCACTGTGTACTAGAGGTACCACCGAACGGGGGAGCGCCCCACGCGAGCACATGGAAGCGGCGAGGCGACGCGGCGAGGACCTTACTCCCTACTCAAGAGGCCAGGGGCTGGAATCCCGACAGAAATTCCTCAGGGCGAAAGGACCTCGCCGCGCTCAGTTCATACCTGTTGGTGACAGCTGGGGGTTTCAAAAACAGCGCAGTCCTTTCGGCGCTGCGCTACCTGCAGTTTCTTCACATCGTGTGCCGTGGTTTCACTGCCGAGCCGCGTGCACATCTTTTGGCACTCTCGTCTTGGGTTGCCTTTCTATACCGGGGTTGTCCCCGCGCCGCAGCGTGGTCGAACAAAGAACGACACACACGAGAAACCTGAAAAACACGGATTTAAATCATCACCCACTACCCACCAGGGGCCACCCGTGGCCGGCCGGGTCAAGATAAGGTAACGTCTGCCAGGTTGCCCAGCAGGGCCGAGTCCCCGTGAACCGCGAGCGGGATAATGTTTTGCTCGCCGAGGCTCCTCCTTACCTATTGGAGGCTCGTGTACGAGCAACTAGACTACTGGTGCTAGTGCTACTAGCGGTCGTGGTAGTGCCCCTTCCATATCGGGTGATTCCACAGGGCAGACTCGCTCTGGACCATTTGTTGTATATGTATTACTGTATGTGTATGTGGGCGGCCTGGACTCTCTCTCCCTCGGGGCCATGGTTACAGGTCCCCCATCACACCTGTATTGCCTGATATCCCATAGCCCCCAGTGCTACCTTCATATTCATTGCTTTGGGTAGCCATGCCATGCAGACCGCGGTATAACCCTGGTGTGTACGCATATCGTTGAGCGTCCACGCCACTCAAAAAGCCCCGCACTTTCATCCCGAGGACAGAGGACGACGTGAAGGAAATGGCGGGGTTGTCTGTCGTTGACGGCCAGGCCCCCATTCGTTACACAGGTTCCGGTAATATCTAGCCCGCTAGGCGGAATTCGGCTAGCATGTGCCCTCACTCAGGCCGCTGGGTGATCAGCAGACATATCGAAAAAGGCGCCCTTTCAATATTACACATTGCACACGACGATGTCATCCATGTTTCTTGTCCCTCCCCCCCATTGTTCTTTGAGAGCCGCAACGAACAACAGATCTTGATGGGCGCGATGAGGGCTTTTCTTCCGTATCCTTGCACTTGGCCAGTCAGTCTGACCTGACGTGTCGAGAAGAAGAGGGAATTAATCCGTTGCAGACGACAAGGTGTTGTTGGTTGGGAGGAACTAAGTGATGACAGGATGCACACAACACAACAAGCATCTTACGAGACATACGAGACACAGACACGCGGTGTAAGCCGGCGCTGAGTCGAGGAGGAAGGACAAATCGCCGTCAACGTATGTACCCCAGAAAATTTATATGCCACAGTAGGCATCCTGATCCGCAACTCCGTGGGATGGGCTGGTGCATTCCACCCGTAATCCCGAAGTAGTTTACCTCTGGCTGGCCAGCTGAAAATAAGAAAGACGGAATGAAACAAAAATGAAAGGCCAAGATAATATTAAAAAAAAAGCGAGCGAAGAGGTACTTGACAAAGTCGCATGCATACTGTATGTATTTCAGAGATTGGGGGTCATAGTCCCCCAAAAAAGCACAACGACACAACCCAGCAGCAGCAGCCTGCCAGCCGGTGGCAATAAGTCACCCATGGCTCGACAGCCTCGACCCGTTCGAGCGAAAAGAATGGGAAAAAGGGTGGGGTGATGCCTGTTGTGCAGCACTCCCTAAAGGTAAGGTACCTGCTAGAAGTCCTGTCTAGTTGTCTAGGTACGACTCTAGTTTCAACGTCAGTTGCCGCTGGAGCACCCGAGGTTGGAGCGAGTAATTTTCGAGTCATTGGGGGGCGCAACTTATTAGTTACCTACCGGAGTTTGCCAGGTGGTTTTGTTTTTATTTTCAACTTCTTTTCTCTCTCTCTCTCTCTCTCTGTTTCCCCAGACATGCTGAAATACGATCTAATTGTTTTCTTATTAACACACACGTACTGCACTACCCTAGCACGGGTGGTTTCCGTGGTCTCGCTCTCGAAAAGTAAAAAAAAAAAAATCCGAAAGCAGGGTACCTTCCTTACTATTTATGGGGCACGCATATGCTGAAGGGGATTGGGGCCCATTACGGGATGTGCGTAGTAGGTAAGGTATCCGTGCTCCGTAGGGTGGGTGGGGTTTACGTTTCGTTCGACTCACTCACTGCCCCTGAGTTGCCGCCCTAGATGTGGGCAAGCTGCGTATCAAAACAAAACAAAAACAAGAAATGATTCAGAACAGCCCGTGAGAACTCAACGCCATGCTTCACGCAAGCCTCACTTTACGGCTCGCTAGGTTGCACAGACAGAATTCGTAACCCGCGTCCTTTTCCTTCTTTATTCTGTCTTTGCTCGTTCGTACTTCGCAACCCAACTCTACCGCCACATTCAACCGTGGTATGGATATCTGGAGGGTTCAACCCCGCAATCGGCTCCTCCAGGCGTGGAGAAGCAACCCACACCCGAAAAAAGCCAGCCCCCATCTGGCGCTCCGCAAGTAAGTCGTCGCCTGCAACCGACTAACCGACCGACGGCCGTCCCGGGGTGACTGAAGCCACGCCCCGGCAACCAGGAATTTCGGGACTTGCACACACCTGAAAGAGAAACATCCCAACGAGTTTAATCCCCTCCACTTTCTGTCCTCTCTTCACCCCCCTCGCCCACTTCGACCGCAACCTCAGCTGTCCAAGGCTTAGGCAATAGTTTCCGTCGTTCCGCTTTCGGCGGTACCCCCAGATTTCTCCCGAAAGCTGTCAGGTAAAAATAATACAATTCAATCGTGCAATGCTTTGGACGGAGCTGTCGACGTGGGCCAATGGCAGCCGAGGATCGGGCACTGGTTCCTCCCGAACGCCACCAGCAGAGCTTAAGCCTTATCAGGGCCGTCTCATTGGCCAAGAGACCTGCATATGACTAAAAAAGCCATCGAAAGTTTTTTTGGGGAGCATATGCGTTTTTTAAACCCGTCCCTCCAACCCTCCATCCCCCCCTCGTCGTCGGGGTCCCCGCATTGAACGACCGATGGGACCGAACGAAGCAATGAGAGACGACTCTGCAGAGACGAGACGAGAGACATTAGAGGATAATCCCTCAGGCCTAGCCGCTATAGCTGGAACTGGCGCCTTGTTTGTCTCTCAGCTTATGCACATGCAGCAGCATTGCAGCCTTGAGGGGTTTCTTGTGCTGCTAATACCTGTCGTGCCATTGGCCGAGAATAAACGCGGGGTTTCGATCTTCAAATGTGCGGGCCTTGGCGGGACGAGCTCCTAACTAGCCCCGGGCCTGCAAAACGCGAAATGACCATTAGCTCGCCCGGGCTTTCGAGCTGGTTCGAGCCAGGAGAGTAGCCACATTGTGGGACAGACACTTGCCGTTGACGCGGGGAAACGATGAGAGAAGGTAAGTAAGTCGGCACCAGTGGAGAACGGAGAAAGGGGGAACGGGGGCGAGGCAATGAGTCGGATAGCTACCTAGATAGCTAGATAGTTGAACTCCAAACTTCGAGTTTACCATTTACCATTACTCTACTCTCGACTCTTGACTGGCTGGCTAGCGTGTGACATGACTTGACCGCTACATCGTTTGTTCAAACGCCCTCCTTTGCCAAGGGCCGGTTGTTTACAGGGCGTCAGGATATCTTGTTAGCAAGGAACAATCAGCAGCCTCCGACAAGGTTAGATACTAAGCTAACAACTTCAACGTTAACCGAGGCTTCAAGCGTGCCGAAAACAGCACCATTTCAGGCCAGATCAAGGGACCCGAAGAGCGATGGGCGCGTCTCGCCCACATCTTTAATATCCTCGATGGGGTCCGAGTTGTAGCTGGGGAGAGCCCGGATATTTGCCTGGCCATCGCGGGCACGGATCTTCCGTCGAGCCCTTCTATTCCCTACGGTGCTGACTGGCATCGGAGCCTCATTCAGACGTTTCAAGCTAGACCGGCTGCCAACGGAAAGCTTGGGCGGAACAAATCGATCGTTGACCCCCACCTTAGACCGCGCAGGCTCAACGGCCAGCGATGTCGTCGACATCGCTGGGTGCGCTAGCGTGTCTGACATGCTGCCTCCCGTGCTTTCTGTAGGGTCGGGGCAGGGTGTGTCTGATAGGTTGAGACCGTGCTAGGCTAATGGAGCCAGGCTGCTTTCCGCGTACCGGTCGTCGCTGTGATTCCGGGTGGCTACGTCTTGGCCCGCCGACGTTGGATCTGACATCACCCCTGTCGAGGAGGGTCTCAACGTGGCTTTGCGGCTTGCAGAAGCTCCGGCACTTGACAGGACGTCGTTGGCAAACCCGGATGACTCATCTCCATTGGTGTGTACTGTTCCTGCGGCTGCAATGTTGCTGTCCCAGTCTGATAAGGGTTTATCGCCAATGCAGGACGAGTAGGTCGACGGTTGAAGATCTCGTGCTACATCACGCTTTGCCTCATCAAATGCTGCCTCTTCGACACCGTCAGTGCTTTCACCGCCAAATAGGAATGATTTCCACGCTTGATCCGGATCACTTTTGCACGATGGTGCAGCAATCTGCTCTGCAGCCGTGGGTGGAGTTTGACGAGAGACATTTGTCTGCATATTTCCGTCTTGCTGGTGAGGGGCGGGATCATCGTCAGGCACGTGCATCTGGGAATCCAAGGGGGGCGCCTCCTTTTGGGTTCTGGTCTGCTCGTGGCGTCTATGTATCCTGGACATGAGATCCTCGAAGCGACTGAGGATTAGCGAGGAGCTGATTGAGCCGAATGCCTGGCCTAGGCCCTCTAATCCAGAAGGCTTCGGGTCTGTAAAGCGGTTCAACGCTGCATCTGTCAAACGGGGCTGTGACTGTGATCGTTCTCGGACTTCTCGAGAGATCTCACTGACACCAGGGCTGACTCTTAGGCACTCGACGGATTCTTGGCTTCCTTCGACAGCCTCGACGCTGTTGATCGGACTGCTTGGCTTCCGAAGCTACTTCCTCCATCTATCATTCTCTCCTTTCCGAGACGGTGGGACAGGTGAGGCCACTCGGCCGACCTGTACCAGAACACTGTCTGTATTTGCCGAATCAAAGGTTTCCATGGGATAAAACGTTGAAGAGAACGCTCGTAGTGGAACCGGTTCGCGTATCTCCGGAGTTGAAATCACGCACGGCTCCATTCGACCCGATATCAGCCGCTCTTCTCGTCTTGGATTCTCTCCGGCAATTTGGCTTGAAGAAAGAGGCAGGCTGCTAAGCGGTAGCCGCTCACGAAACACTGCGTCGAAATCGGGGTTGTCTTGCATCCTGTTAGTCTAAAGCACAATCAGACGCCCTTAAAGCCAGTGACATACCGGTTGAATTGCCTCTCGGAGGCGCTTCAGGTCTCCCTTCCTGGCTTCCAATTCTGACTACCATGCCCTGACGGGATAAAGGTTCATGTCTCCGTTTCAAGTGGCCGTGTCCACCTCGTGCAATGTGGCTCGCCGTTTCTGGACGTCTTGGACGGCCTCGCCCGAGGTCTTGTTACCCGATGCCCGGTTATCCGACACCTGGTTAGGACGATTCTTGGCGGGACCCAAGATTGAACGCCGGGAAACTCCCCAGTCCTTTTTCGCAAGCGGCTTTTGCCTCATCCGCTCCAGAGCTTGGTCATCATACTCGGGTTGAGTGCCAACAGGCCCTGGCGCCCCGACGCCCTGGGCAGACTGCTCTTCAAAGAAGCGACTTATCGTTGGCAAAGGGGGTTCTCGGGCGGTGTCAGTGATATTGGGACGCTTCCTGGGCGGATCAGCTTGCTTTTGCGTGGCCGGCTGAGAGGCATGGCGCCCAGCCGAAGAGCCCGACTTGTTGGAAGTACGAGAGCAGCGCGACTAGGAAGAACTCGAACGGAGGAAAGAGATGGATGGAGGGCTGTTCTCGACAGAGTTCTTGACCTCGGCGGCACGAGCGCGGGCGTTGGCAAAGTACTCGCGCTGACGCTGGCGAGCCGGGTTTGCCTTCCTCAGTCGGCCGCGGGTCGAACGGTGGAGCTTGACCTCAGTCCAGTTCATGGCAATGAAGCCGGGAGCCCGGGGGATTGCGCAGAGCTCTTCCCATTGAAGCAGGTCAAACGATTGGGGTTCCATTGTGAATTGTAGAGGGAGGCACGTCACAGACGCCGAGAGAAAGGGGAGCAGCGGTCCAAGCCATGCCACAGGGCACAAACCAGGGCAGTGTCACTAAGCCTAAAGATGGAAGAAGACGGAAAGAAAAGAGATTGAACTATCAAGCAATCTAGAACAGAGCCCTCTTTGGGCCCGCAAATCTTTGGGGAGGTCCTCGGGGGGGAAGGAAACTCCAAGAGGCACACGATCGACAGCGTCAGGTGTACATCTCGATTGGGATGGAAGGGGAATTTGGACGAAATGATATCCCTGGCCGTTGCCCAATTGGCGAGCTGGCATTTGGCGTCGGCTAGCATCCAGGCAGACAGCTACCCCTCCTCGCTGTGGCTCGCGACTTCCTGGGCTTTCACTGCGGCGTTTTGATCCGCTCCCATTACCCAATAAGCACCCCGCAGCACGCCAATTGGGGAGCCCTCCTCCCGCGCAAGTCCTCCGCAACGGCCGGCTCGACGACAACTCCATCCCATCCTCCGGCTCTTCGACCGAGCCCTCCCGCAATGCGGATAACAACATCAACCATAAGGCCAACCGTAAGACTACTACTTTTCCGACCGCCTCCTGCACGCCCCAGCAAGAAACCAACACTAACACGCCCAATAACCACCACACGAGCACCGCCACCAAATTTCTTCCTCACCCCCCGACCCCTCTCCCAACACCGCATCATGTCAACAATCACACCAACCCCGCGCCCGCTGCTGCTCAAGAAGCCCGTCAAGCTGGCGTGCGTGCAGCTAGCAAGCGGCGCCGACAAGGCAGCGAACCTCGCGCACGCGGCGGCCAAGGTCGCCGAGGCAGCCGCGGGAGGCGCCAAGATCGTGGTGCTACCCGAGTGCTTCAACTCGCCGTACGGGTGCGAGTTCTTCCCGTCATACGCAGAACCGCTTCTCCCGTCACCACCCCCGGCAGAATCGAGCCCGAGCTTCCACGCGCTGGCGGCCATGGCCCGCGACAACGGCGTGTACCTGATCGGGGGGTCGATTCCGGAGGTTGCCGAGTCGAACGGGAGGGACAAGAAGTACTACAACACGAGCCTGACGTTCGGGCCGTCGGGGGCGCTACTATCAACGCACCGCAAGGTGCACCTGTTCGACATTGACATACCAGGGCGGATCCGGTTCCGCGAGTCGGAGGTGCTGTCGGCGGGGTCTGCAGTGACGACGGTGGAGCTGGGCGAGTACGGGCGCGTAGGTGTAGCCATCTGCTACGACATCCGGTTTCCGGAGCTGGCCATGATCGCGGCGCGGCGCGACGGCTGCTTCGCTCTCGTGTACCCGGGCGCCTTCAACACGACGACGGGCCCGCTGCACTGGCGGCTGCAGGGCCAGGCGCGCGCCATGGACAACCAGATCTACGTGGCCCTGTGCAGCCCGGCCCGCGACACGACCGCCGGCTATCACGCCTGGGGACACAGTCTTATTGTCGATCCCATGGCCCAGGTGCTGGTCGAGGCCGACGAGAACGAGACCATCGTCAGTGCCGAGCTGGACGGCGCCAGGATCGAGGAGGCCAGGAGCGGCATCCCGCTCAGGGACCAGCGGAGGTTTGACGTCTACCCCGACGTCAGCCAGTAGGCAAAGGCGTAGACCCAAACTGCTACTCGTGTGCCTTGAATGTTCTTACACAATCCTCATGCTGATGACGACAGAATATGGGCAATTCTTGTTCGTGACGTACGTGTACATATGTGTACGTGTTCAACTGAGGGGCAATCAAGTCTATTTGTGAAATCTGACATGCCTAAGTGCGACGAGGTTCCCATGGCCTCTCTCTATCGTCATTGTTTTCAGTCTTAAATGGCCAAAATCTACCAATTTTTTTGTGCAGTCTCACGCCTGAAGATTCAGTAAATCTACCCTTAGCACCGATTTTTCCATTATACCTCTTCAGATGTCCCCCCGTCTCAGCCTGCTTCTGTTTACTCCAAAACAGGGCAGAGCTCTCTACTTCAGGGCATGGGCGGCAAACGTGGGCAGGACGAAGCTGGCCTTGTGGATCTCCGAGCTGTAGTACCTGCACAGCTTGGCCTCCTCCTCAGGGGTCCACGACCGCAGGGGAGCCTTGACGTTGACGTTGGCGTCCTTGCAGCACACCATGAAGCCAATCTGTCCAGACGGGTACGTCGGGATGGTGGTGTAGGCGTACTCAACGACCGGGAAGATCTCCTTGCAGTCCTTCTTAAGCTTGGTGATCAGGGGCAGGTGAAGCCATTGGTTCTCGGCTGCAGCTCACTCATTAGCTTCGTGGTCAGAAGAGAAAGGCTTTCAAACACAATTATTAAAGGACACGGAAATTTTAAAAAGGGGTAAAAGGCACTAAAACGGAAGGAGAGAAAGGGGCGAGAAGAGCGAAAAAAGCCATAGCATGCGCCAAAGCCGAGACGAACTACCACTTGGTAGACCTGAGATATGGCGCAGGAGAATACAGGCACGGTGTTAAGCCTGCCCTGGGAACCATTTGCTCTCAGAACCCCGACTTTCCTGAGTAAAGGAGACGTACAACCTTGGGTGGTAATGACACCGCCTTCGCGGAGGGCGTTGAATAGTAGCTGGAAGTAGGGCTTCTGGAAGAGCGACTCGGCGGGTCCCTCGGGGTCGGACGAGTCGGTGATGATGACGTCAAACGCGTTCTTGTACTCGTCCAGGAACTTGAAGCCATCGCCAACATGAACCTTAACCTTGGGATGGTTGAAGCCGGCCGACATGCTGGGGAGGTACTGCTTGGACAGGCGGATGACAGCCTGCAAAATAGGGGGTGTAAGTATGGTACCACAGCGTCTTTCTCTCTCGGTTCCGCGGAATGGAATAAATACCTCGTCAATGTCGCAGAGGGTGGCCTCCTCGATGCACTCGTGCTTGACCACCTCGCGCAGGACACCGCCGTCGCCGCCGCCAATGACCAAGACCTTCTTGGGGTTGGGGTGCGAATTCATGGCTAGGTGGGTGATCATCTCCTGGTACGAGAACTCGTCACGCTCGGTGCACTGGATGACATTGTCCAGGACCAGGACGTGGCCGTAGTCGGTCGACTCAAAGATCAGGACATCCTGATACTTGCTCTTCTCGTGGTGCAGCACCTTCTTGACCTTGAGGGTCATGGCCTGGCCCGGCCACATGTCCGAGATCTCGCGGAACCAGCCATCTAGATGCAAATCCCGGCGAGAGGGGGCCTCGTTAGCACAACTGTCTCACGCTTTCATGGCCGAAACGTGCGTCTCTCATGGCAAGGCAACAGCGGCAGCGGCGGCAGACTCGGGGGGGGCGGGTGCGTGTGTGATGATGTGCATGACGAATTGGGCAGCCGTCTTTGGACCGGATATTCTCATATAGAAAGCCATGCCTGCAAGAGGCACAATAAGTCACCGAACCGTGGCTGTAGCCCTCTCCCTCGTGGTGCAATGCGGCGCAGCATACGCGGCAAAAAACCCAAGGGACTCCAAGTCGGGGATACAGGGCTGGGAGGGTGATATTTTCGTATTTTTACATTTGGAAGTCTAAGTGCCGTGTGAGGCGATGGGCATGGGTCTGGGGGGAGGTGAGAGGGGATCTGTGGCACAGGAGATTGTGAATGGCGGGGCATCAATGGACCGGAGTAGCACGTCCAAGCATGTCCGCGATCCAATAACCCCGCGGTGATAAAGTTGGCCGCCGCTTAGCAGTAGCACTCGACTCACTCACCTTTGATGGTTGCATGGGTGATTTCGTCAGCCATTTTGTGAAAGTAGCCGAGATATCTCGGTCGTCTCGGGAAATGTGGAGGCGTAAAGAGAGACGGAGACAGAGGCGATTTGCAGAGGCGTCTGGACCAGAGTGAAGCCAACTTGAGCAGGAGCAACAGCGCAAGTTTTTAATAAGAGGGGCTTCAATCGGCAGGGCACGATTGCGATTTTGTTTGCGGGCGGATAGCAGATTTTTTTTTCTGGGAAGGTATGTTAGGGAGGCACGGGTGAGCGAATAAAAACGTGTTTTCGGAAAGCCAGAGCCAATGATGCTTGTCCGCTGTGTGCTTGTGTGGAGAGGTCGGTTGACTTGAGAGCGGTGACACCAGATCTGCAGCGAGACGAGAAAAAAAATCTAGACGGAAAAAGTCCCCGCGGTGAAGAGCAGCAAATTGAGATTGAGCCGCTGCTAAGCACGACACGACGAGGCAGGACAACGGCACTTGACTGCTCCAATTCGACAATTCGCAGCGTTGCAAACTGCAGATGCATACGGCGCGAGTCTGATAATTAAGTAAAAAACGTGGTTACGGCGCAGCACGGCCGGCATGCACCCGTCCCAGCACACTTCACACACACAGCCGGCCATGGCTGCCAATGGTGATCGAATGCCATCAACTGCTCCTCATGGAAGGCATGCCAGGGAGGCACGGGCAACAGCTTGAGAGGATTGCATCAGAAGCATCACCAACAGTGGGCGAGCAAGTGACCAGGAACGAGACTGAGGAATAGGACTGAATCCAGAAGGGAAGGATTGCCTCAGAATTACCGCCAACCTCCGGGTTGATAATCGGGAACAAAGGCCGAGAGACACGGCATCTCGTAGGATTGCGGCGCTGCCTCGGGCAGGGCGCTCTCTTTAACCGCCTAAAGTCTAATTACAACGCTGGTAAGATCAGCTCAGGGCTTTCGCCGGGAACACGGAAAACCACACAATGAAAAGGACAGTGCCGCGAACAAGTTTTTTTCCCTTCGTCGGAAGAGGCAGGTAGCGTTGCGATCATTTCGCGGGCGTTGGATGAAACAGCCTTATGGTGTTGAGGTGACCGGGGGACCAATCGACAACAGCTGCCGGCGCTTGGCCGGGTCTGGAGACGATATGATCCCGAGGCCCGAACTGAGACGGGTCGCAAGCGGGGCCACACGGAAGCGTGCTGGCGGCGGCGGCGGCGGCGGAGGCGACCCCAGGTACAACCCCAGGTTTCATTGATCATCCCGCTGTCAGCACGGTCAGGTCAGGGTAGAATCGCGAACAGACACTGCAGACACCACACTTAGCCTTCTGTGCGCTGCAGTGGTTCGTTCGTCTGCAAGCCCCCATTGGGGCAAAGTCTGGTGCACCATTGAAAGTCATGGCTGGCCAGCAGGTTCTAGCGGGCACGCGGGAAGATCGCTTCCCTATGGCACCAGAGCGGCCGCCCGTGCGTAGTGCAGTGATCGGAAGATCATCGAGGTTGTAATTGGGATCGCAAAGCTCGGGACACTGGACGGGAGGCACTAAGTTTAGGGGAAGAAGCTTGAGAGATGCGCACGGGCAGCCAAGTGAGTTGTCCATGGCCCATGTCTATGGGAAACCCCACGACGGGCAAAGCCATGCATGCCGTCGATGGCGAGTTGCGGCTGTTACGGCAGCAGCCATTCACAAGGAAAGACGGGCGAGGATCTGCCATGATTGCCATCGGCCGGCGCACTAGTACCAGTCCCGATGTTGTAGTCGGCTGACAGAGGGGGGTTACGCCAAAGACTGTTTCGTGAGACGCGATGGGGGGCGAGGGCAACTCGGTCTCGGCCATGTGCTGCGATGTGCTTGCCTTGCCTTGCCTCGCCTTTCGGTCAACAAGCGCGTCTTACCCGCAGCGGCGAAACAAGTTGCCACCGAGCCAATGTCTTGTCTCTTCAAAGGACCAAGTAAGCGAATGTGATGGGCTGACTGATGAGTATTCTAACGCTTCAGCGGGGTCAGCATTCGATAAAAACTCACGGCGAAGCTTCTTTTTGAGCTGTCACTTGGTTTGTCAAGCAGTCAGCTCTAGTCTTTTGCACCGCCCTCTCATCAGATTCCGAGGGGAAGACATCATATTCACTAGAGTTTTCTTCCGTAGGCACCTAGCAAGCTGCTCGAATGCATCTGTGGACCATTCAACGAGTTGGGAGGAAGTTGGGAAACGGTGAGCCAAGAAGACCAAACCAAGAGCCCGGAAACAGGAAGCTCGAGCTCGAGCTCGAGCTCGAGCCCTCGTGCATACACCAGCATCCAGTGAAAATCCAGCGCGGTTGGGAAGTTGGGATGGTGGGGAGCGATGTCGAGTTGTGGTTGCGTGGTTGTAGTTGCGGTTGCGGTTGCGTTGGTCAACGCCTGCCGCTCGGCGAAACAAACTGCCCAAGCCACCACATGGGGCACCCACCACACCACACCAGTCAGACCGCCAGCAGTTCAAACGAACAGCGAAATGGCTACAGCAAGCGAAGAAGAGAGGAAACGCCCGAATCAGACACCACCACCACACAAGTCATGGCCATGTGCGCAGGCGCATGGCGAGCTGTTTCGCGGCAAAAATACTCCATGCAGAACTCCAGACGGAGTGAAGCCACGCTACGCTACTGAGCTGGGGGCCGGGGTCCTGGGCAGCAGCCGCATCCGCGAGACTGCCCTGGCCCCGCTCCGGGCGCTGGGACTGGCTCCTAGGCCCCCTGGATAAGGGGGCCGTAGAGCTCGCCATTGGCCGCCAACGATCTCTAGCCCCTCGTTGCGCCAAAAGGATTTCCGGCATGGCAGCCCGAGATAATAACTACGACACTACTATGGTCTAAGGGTAAGTTTTAGTTCCCTGTCCAGTGCCAGCAACCATGTCTTGGTCAGTGCCGTCCCTGCTAGCGCTGTACTACGAACCGAACGGGCGCTGTAATTTTGAAATCGTGGCGCGCCGGGGACCTGGTCAGTACCCAGGCAAGCGGTTGACAAAAAAAAAGCGAACACTCAAAATCAATGGTCCGTGCGAGTGGCGCTGCACTACCATACATTACCAATTTTGTAACAGTTCCATGGCATTCAGTGGAAGCAAGCCCAAGGACTATTTCAATACGCCCAGCTCCCCGGATTTATCACCAATTGAGAATTGCTGGAGGGCTGTAAAGCGGTATATCCGTGCCAATCTTCGAATTGGAGCAAATATCATGGACCTGGCGGTTGAAGGATGGAGCCGACTGAGCCAAGCGAAAATTAATGGGTACGTGGATTCCATGGTAAGGCGGATGCAAGATGTGTTAGAGGGCGAGGGTCTTTTGACTGGGTGGTAAGATTGTAGTACATAACGGTACCTATATTTGTACATGTACATATATTTGGCCTGGAGAGAAGTACTGCGAATGTGTTCGCCTTTTTTTGTCAACCGCTTGCCGGGTAGGGGATAGAACTTTTGCTCGTCATCTTAGTAGAGATCCTCAAGGTTATTACGGTCGTGGGCCGAGCGCCTTTGTGGACCTTGCGGACCAAAATAGGGGCTACTACTCTAGTCTCCGCGGATGAAGGAAGGAAGGGCATTAAAGTTGTTCTAACTTCTGGCTTCTGGCTTTCCATCGCTTCCATTCCGCTCCAACCGACGGGAATCGAGATGGATGGCGCTGGCCTGGGCGCTGGCCTTGAGTGCAATTCATCCGTTCTCAAAAGTTTCAAATCGTCGCGTGCAGCCCGCGTGGCGGAGGCACTCCTATAAGCGCTGTACCTCAAGGAGAGACGTGAAAAAGCAAACACGCCGCGCACTTTGAGAAAACCTCGTTCCATTCGCTATTTTATTCTCTAGCGAAGAGCGGTCAATCCGGTGGAGTCCAGATAGACACTCGAGACACGGAACCCAGCGGCCGGCCACATTCAGCTACCCTAGGTTTTCTTCAGCGGTCGTTAAAGATTTCTTAGATGACACCCAGCCAAGTACCTGACGTAAGTCCTGTGCACGTAATGTACATGGCTTGCCATGCCATGCGCGGACGGAAAAAACCACCTTAACCTTAGCCCTTAGCACCCCTGTCGGTATGGGGGGGCCGCAAAGGGCCCACAGTCAGTGCCCGCCATTCATTTGGATTGAAGGCAGTCCAGGCGATTGCACCCCGCGACCAGCAGCTCTGAGATGGCTGTCTGCCCTTCCTGAGCACTGCACCGGGTCGCGCCCTCGAGAGCAATTTGGGTGTAAACGAGCCGAGAGTGTTCCGCAATATATAATTACAGTAGGGGAATATATAAATGGAGCGCAAGGCAGCCTAGAAGCCCTCTGGAAGCCACCATGCTGGTGCCCCTGAACTGCACTGACCGCCCGAGACAAACTCCGAGTGGGCAAGCACACCTCATGGCTCCTACCCACCATGCTGCGATGAAAGCCCATGCTCCAATTCCGAAGCGGGCGATGCATGCATTGGGTAGGTGGGGCCCATGAACGGTGTGGGACCAGTGCAGTGGTGGCTGCACTGCTGCAGAAAATAATACTGCTTTGCGGTATGGAGGTGCAGCACAGCAGCACAAGTCGCAGCACCGACCATTCGTACCCGGCGCCGCTCCATGCGTGCTGCTGCTTCTATTTGCTCTTCAAATACTAGTGATAAGCTAGGGGGGTTCCAGGTTGCTTTCGGCTTCCAGTCTTTTTTCCCTTTTTTTTTACTCTTTCACCACTGTCGCTGCTGTTGCTGGTGCTACGCAATATTTTATCTCTCCTTTTTACTTCTTTGCCTCAACTTCGACACTCCTAGAGCTTCTGGTCTCGTTGCATTGTTCTCCTCGTCCGGTTCATCCCATTCTCGGGCAAGACGGGTGACCGCAGCTGCTCCACCCGAGGCCGGTACTATTTCTGACGCTTTACATCATCGGGCGAGTGGACAAGGCCAGCTGGACAGGGCACCCCAAGCCATCTTACTTACCTACCCCCCTACGACGACGCAATACCCGTTCCGTTACCTTGCTGGGTCAACCATCACACGGCCTCGTCTCGACAGAACACAGCAGCAGTGTCGTCTATCCGATCCGGTCTGCCTCCGTCCACCAGCTGCTGCAGGCGGGGCACCGCGTGGCACTCCGCCTTGGCCACTTAAACCGCCGAAACCCGCCAGACTGGAGCCTCTCCGCCCGGAGCGGTCGACACAACGGCAGTTACGGTGACGGTGACATCCACCTAACTTTTACCGAGAACCCTCACCCGCATTTTCGGCCAGCCGAGCGGTGTAGCGTCCTTCAAAATGTGCTTCGGTGGCCGTGACCATGGCGACGACGGCGGCGTCGCCAGGTCGCGTGAGCTGGACAAGGTCATCCGCGCCGACGAAAAGCGCATGGCCAAGGAGGTGAAGCTTTTGCTTCTAGGTACGCCCCCGCTTACCCCTAGGGCCCGAACCTCTTGCGGCACCAGCCGGCCAGCAGTGGGTGGCAAACTTGAAGGCTAACCCGGGCGCTGCAAACAGGAGCTGGCGAGTCGGGAAAGTCGACGGTCCTGAAGCAGATGAAGTTGATATATTCGCAAGGGTTCAGCAAAGGCGAGAAACTAGAATGGAAGCCCGTCATCTTTGCCAACATTGTTCAGTCGTTCCGGATGATCTTCGACGCCATGAACGAGCTGGATATCCATTTCGAGAGCGAGGAGAACGATGTATGCTTTCACGCCCTTGATGCGAGAGTTGGGGATACGGTTGCCTAAGATTGCAACGCTCGATACTCTTGCGAGTTTCTGCGCAACTGCTAACCGAGCTGGCGCAGAAAAACATGGCCCACATCATGGTGGACTACGAGATGACCGCAGACGAGCCCCTCCCGACAGACTATCTCGAGCCGATAAAGAAGCTCTGGCTTGACGGGGGCGTGAGGGCAGCTATCGAAAAGGGCAACGAGTATGCCCTGCACGACAACCTAGACTAGTGAGCTCAGTCCCAGAACCACCCCATGACCCTTTTGAAGGTAGCACGGCGTAAACTAACCGACGCGCGTAAAGCTTTTGCGCCGACCTGGATCGGGTCTGGGACAAGGGCTACGTCCCCACGGACCAAGATCTTCTCCGGTCTCGACTACGGACAACGGGCATCACGGAAACCATCTTCGACCTTGGGCAGCTCACATACCGCATGTTTGATGTCGGCGGCCAGCGATCGGAGCGGAAGAAGTGGATACACTGCTTTGAGAACGTCAACTGCCTTTTGTTCTTGGTGGCCATCTCGGGCTACGACCAGTGTCTCTTGGAGGATAAGGATGGCGTAGGCTCATATCCCGTCACTCTTAGTTTTTGTATGAGTATGCAGGCTGACATAAAGCTAGAACCAAATGAACGAGGCGCTGATGCTTTGGGAATCGATCGCGAATTCGCACTGGTTCACAAAGTCGGCGCTGATCCTCTTCCTCAACAAGATGGACCTCTTCAAGGAGAAGCTGAGCAAGAGCCCGATAACAGCGCACGGTTTCACAGATTACCACGGACCGCCGGGCGACTTCAAGCAGGCCAGCAAGTACTTCATGGACAAGTTCCGGGCGCTCAACCGCAACCCGGAGAAGGATATTTACGGCCATTTTACGAACGCGACCGACACGAACCTTTTGAAGATCACCATGGGTTCCGTACAGGACATGATCATCCAGCGCAACCTAAAGCACCTCGTTCTGTAAGCAGACGCGAACCCCCCTGCATTCGGCGCATACTTTGGCTCGGTTGGCGACAGCGACGGCAGAGATGTAATCATCTCGTTGCGTGCGATATGTAGCTGATGCCGCCCCGCCGTCAGCATATAACCACCAGACACTCAGCCGACTAGGATGGATTCGCTCGAGCCTAACAGCAGTGTTGTTCCTAGTACATGATCGCCCATCCCGATGCGGGTATTGACGGCGATAAGAGGTTGATGTCAGCGTCCAGTATGCTTGGCACGGCCTGTGCATCCCCGCTAGCACTGCTTTGGCATAAGCTATTCTCCCCATAGACATGTGTTATTTCTAGTGTTTATATTATTTTCAACCTATTCACGAATAGGGCACCCACAATACCACAGCGGTGCGGTCGACGAACGGATTTTCACGCACTATTTCGGCGCTTGCTTTTTACTTTTTGGACATGGGACGTGCGGGTCTCTGGATTAAGGCGGTCATGGGAAACGCTGGTTGACGTTTTTGCGCTTGAATTATCTGGGCAGGATTTTGCAGACGAGCTGCTACTGACTTCCAGCCAAGCCGAGCAAGCCACGGCCCAAGGGATTGGGAAGATTGGTTGTGGCCCGGGCAGGGCATCCTCGAAGGCTTGAGAGCCAGGTCGGCCTGGTCTCTACACCATAGTATGATATTTACAGGGGGATCTCCCTTTACATGTTGACTTGGAGAGATATCTAATGGTTCGGTATTCACAGCCTAGCGGCTTTGTTTGCCTGGGCTGTTAGATGCGGGAACGAATCGAAGATTTCCAGGTAGTAGAATTCAAGTACTATAACGGAGTAACTTACCCACCCATGGTGCTACACATGGTGTTAACAGGTTTCAGGCGGCCCGATTGGGAACCAGCCAGCCCCCAAGGCCCAAGGCCCTCGCCGTTCGCATGCATGCACATGGCATGACATTCGAGCGCTGCATGACGGGGAAGGTCTGCTCTGCCTACCTTGACTTGTGGAAAGGCGTGCTCGAACTCGAACTCGGGTTGGTGTTTGTGGCAGTGTCGGTGATGTGATGGAACTTTGCACAGCCAGCTTGGGACTCGCAGGTTGTTCTAGCCCTTGGTTTCTAGTTTCTTGGGCTGCGTAAGTAGTTTTTTTATTCTTTGCAGCTCCGCACGTCCTAAGAATCCAACTCGGAATCAGTAAAACTTGCTGGACAATGCCCGCCTCTTTACCAAAGATATGTAACTTCGAGCTTGCCCCTCCTCTGCTCACTAACAACCTAGGTATTCTTCTCTTCAAAAGAAAGGGCAACTAGCGATTGGTTGAAACGTCTTGAATTATACGGTAGGTAGGTAGTTTTACTAATGCCGAAGTTGGCTCCTAAGGAGATGGACTCATGGGAGGCCGTTTTACCGCTCGTTCAGTACGTGCTCGGTGCAGTACAGATACCGGTATGCCAGGTCAGTGATCGGTAATCGGTGATCGATGATATGAAGGCGATTATGATTCTGATAAGCTGATAGGCGCGGACAATACATGTAGGGGGCCTATTCCTTTGCGGGGTGAGGGGGGGAGGTTTTCTTGGGGTTCAACAGCGGGGGTATTCCGTAGGTTTGGCTGGGAGGGAACGGGCCGCCGCCGCCACCACAGCCGTCGCCTCGTGTCGTGTCGTTCGTCGCTGCGGGCGGGTGCCCCCCGCCAACCGGCGACGTAATAACTAAAAACATGAGATGCAGCGATTTGTGTGTTGCTGGGCTGCCCGCATATCTCCTCCCGCCTGTTGTATGTTTAAAATAATAATAATAATACTCCGTATATCTATAATCGATTTTTGCATCTTATTTCATTGTCGGGCTGCCTGCCGTCTTGCGCATCAAACTGCGAGCTGTTGCAAATTGAGTGTCCTTATGTAATCGCGTAGGTACTGTACTACCACTGTACTGCCGAGGTACGGAATACTGTGCCTCGCGAGCCAAGCACCAACAACATACATTACTGTCTACTTTCGTGTGGCGTTACTCCGTAAAGAATCTAGAAATAGTAAACTATTCGCACTAAATAGTTCCATGTCACCTTTGAGTGTCTTTCGTGACTATAGCGCCAACAAATCTTGTGGGTAACTGGCGCTCCCAAGGCGGCACAGGAAGGGAATGAAATGGAACGGGCGCGGTTTAAAATTGTATTTTACCTCTGTGCTCCTGGTAACTTTCCAGCAACAAACGAATGGATGGGTTCTGCACGGTCTTGTCTCCCTACCGACATTCATTTACCTTGCCCAACCCAAGCAAGGGAGGGATACGAGAACCAAAACAAAACGACGCAGGCATTGGACCATCAACTCTCTCTCGACCGCACCAATCTTTTCCGGTTATTCTCTTCTTGCCTATCCCGTATCATCTGGCGATTTATTAAATTGCAAAGCGACAGGCAAGCTACGTTTGTACGTAGGCTGCACACGGTCAGGCACCTGACTTGGAAAGAAAGCTGCAACCCAAGTCAAGTCCAACCAAGTCAAGCAAGAGGAGAGACGAGACGTCGACGGAGTGGGGGGGACACAACGTAGCAGAGGCCCGAGTCGCACAACCGCCACGCCGGGTTTTGCGTGTGTGTGAGGTCAATGTGAAGTGGAGGAAGTGAAGGTGAGGTACCGCGCCGCTCTTACATCTCTCCTTTTAACACTTGCTTGCCACTCAGGATCATCGACTTACAATTAAGCGATAGACACACTCTCGCTTTGAGGAGCATCTCGTCATCGCATCCCATCATCACCTGGACGGTAACCATCACGGCACTCACTGCACCAGGTACTAAAACTACAACACCAAAAAAAAATGTCGTCACACGAAGAGGCCCGCCTCAGCCCAGAATCGCTGAGCAGAGCTCCCGAAATCGCCGGCAAGCCCGAGGCCGCAGCCGCAGCCGCAGACGTGGGCGGCGTGGTCAGCAGCGGCGGCGGCAGCTGACAATCAAGGATGGCGCAGCGCCTCCAGTTCCTCAAGCGGAAACGCTACGCCTTCCCCATCGGCCTGCTGCTCATCATCGGCGCCGGCCTGGCCGGGCTTGCTGCTCTGCGCAATGGCGGCAGCGGTCCGGGCTCGGCCGCTGACTCTGGCGATAGCGGCAGCGCGGCGGCCATCACGAGCGACGTGCACTTTTACGGCCAGTCGCCGCCCGTGTATCCATCTCGTATGTTTTGACTCTCTTTGTCTCTGTATCTGCCTGTCTCTTGATTTGTAGGAGTGAAAATCACCTGCCTGCTTGCTCTAGACATTGGATACTGCACGAAGGACGGAACGCTGACGAATGGCCCCGCCACAGCAAACATGACAGGCGTTGGTCCCTGGGCGGACGCCTTTTCCAAGGCCAGGGCACTAGTCGCGAACATGACGTTGAGCGAGAAGGTGTGTTTCTCTGCCTCCCTCTTCCTACAAGTACAAAAACTCTGACCCCAGCAGATCAGCCTGACGGGCGGCACGAGCTCCAATACGAGCTGCCCGGGCTTTGTTGGCGCCATCCCGCGACTCAACTTCACGGGCCTGTGCCTGGCTGACGCCGGCAACGGCGTCAGGGGCACCGACTTTGTCAGCAGCTGGCCCAGCGGCATCCACGTCGGCGCCAGCTGGAACCGCGCCCTCACGCACCAGCGCGGCCAGGGCATGGGCGGCGAGTTCCGCACCAAGGGCGTCAACGTGCTCCTGGGCCCCGTTGTCGGCCCCGCCGGCCGCGTCGTGCTGAGCGGCCGCAACTGGGAAGGTTAGTCGTTTTTCTCTCTCTTCTCTCTTACTCTCAAGTTGATGCAAAGAGGTTGCTGACGTGTGTTCTGGCTGGGCGTAGGCTTCTCTGTCGACCCCTATCTCGCTGGGGCCCTCGTCTTCGAAACTGTCCAGGCCGTGCAGGCTGTCGGGGTCACGACCAGCACCAAGGTGCGATAAACCCCAAAACTTTCATGGGTGGCGTTGTCGCTAACAGGGTCTTGGCAGCACTTCATCGGCAACGAGCAAGAGACCAACCGCAACCCGTCGACCAGCAGCGGAGTGACCACGGAAGCCGTGTCGTCAAACATTGACGACAAGACAATGCACGAGCTGTACCTGTGGCCGTTCCAAGACGCCGTGCGCGCCGGCACGGGGACCGTCATGTGCTCGTACAACCGCGTCAACAACTCGTACGGCTGCGCAAACAGCAACCTCCTCAACGGCCTGCTCAAGACGGAGCTGGGCTTCCAGGGCTTCGTGGTGACCGACTGGGGCGCCCAGCACGCCGGCGTGGCCACGGCTCTCGCCGGCCTGGATATGGCCATGCCGAACCCCGACCCCTTCTGGGGCTCCCACCTCGCCGCCGCCATCGGCAACGGATCCGTGCCCGAGAGCCGCCTCGACGACATGGTTACGAGGTAAGCATTATATGCCACCAGCCTGACCCCCTCGCATGTGCGCGTTCTGGGAAGCTAAAATCCGACAGGGTCATCGCGGCGTGGTACCGGATGGGTCAGGACAAGAACTACCCCGCGCCGGGCATCGGCATGGCCTCCGACCTGCTCAAGCCCCACGCTATCGTCGACGCCAGGAACTCGACGTTCCGCTCGACGCTACTCGACGGCGCCATCGAGGGCCACGTGCTGGTCAAGAACACCCGCGGCGCCCTGCCCCTGAAGACCCCCCGGATGCTGTCGCTGTTTGGCTACTCGGCCAAGAATCCCGACCACAACTCGCCGTCGGCGATAGCGTGGACGTTTGGCGCCGAATCTTTTAGCGTTTCCGACCTGCTGGCTGGATTCATGGGTCCTGGGACCGTGGGTACGGTGCCCGTGGGGATCAACGGCACGCTGTACTCGGGCGGCGGGTCCGGCGCGCCGTCGCAGTCGCTGATGGTGTCGCCATTCGACGCGCTGGTGCAACAGGCGTACGACGACGGGACGGCGCTGTTCTGGGACTTTACCAGCGCCAAGCCGTCGGTCAACCCGGCATCGGACGCGTGCCTCGTGTTCGGCAACGCCTTCGCCACCGAGGGCTCGGACCGGCCGGCGGCGCGCGACGACTTCACGGACGGACTGATCCGGCACGTGGCCGACCAGTGCAACAACACCATCGTGGTGCTGCACAACGCCGGCATCCGGCTCGTCGACCAGTTCGTCGACCACGCCAACGTCACGGCGCTCGTCTTCGCCCACCTGCCCGGCGAGGCGTCGGGGAGAGCCCTCGCCGCGCTGCTATACGGCCGCGCCAACCCGTCGGGGCGCCTGCCCTACACGGTCGCGCGCAACGAGTCCGACTATCCGGCGCTCAACCCGGACCTGCCGGCCGGCGACTTCGCGCGCTTCCCCCAGTCCAACTTCTCCGACGGCGTGCTCGTCGACTACCGCCACTTCGCCGCGCGAAACATCACCCCGCGCTACGAGTTCGGCTTCGGCCTCAGCTACACCGCCTTCAACTACAGCAACCTGTCTGTCGAGAAGGCTTCCATTCCTCCCCCCAACAGCACAACCACAACAAACACAACCCAGCTCTTCGCGCCGCACCCTTCGGGCGCGGTGCGCGAGGGCGGGCCCGAAGATCTGTACGACACGCTAGTCCACATCTCGGCCGACGTGACCAACACGGGCGCCGTCGCCGGCGCCGAGGTCGCCCAGCTGTACGTGCGGCTGCCGTCGTATGCTGGCGTGCCGCAGCTACGCGGCTTCGACAAGCCGTTCCTCAACGCCTCACAGACGGCTGCCGTGCGCTTCGAGCTCACGCGCAGAGACCTCAGTGTCTGGGACACGGCTGCGCAGAAGTGGCGCCTGCTACCCGGCCGCTATGCGGTTGCTGTAGGCCGCAGCTGCAGAGACACGCCGCTTGTCGGTGAGGTGGTTATTCCGTAGTGGGCTGGCTGCGTTTTTTCTATTTAACGTGTTTCGGGGCTCTCTCTCGAGCGTTTCGCAATACATCATGGGTACATACCCACGGCCACTTGAAATTCAAGCAGTTAGTTAGTTTAGCGTTGGGCGTTTAGGAGCGGGTGGGGGAAATGACTAGGAAGAGACTGTAGTTGGAGATAGGGTTCGATGTCCGATGGTGGTGTGGTATCCGGGGAAACAGTGTATTCATTCCAGTAATTGTAATGTGTCAGCAAGGGTTGCTTCCACCTTATTTTTGTTGTATTTTATGTACATATAGGCTCGCCACATTTGTTGGGGTTGATCTGCTTGACTATATGTGAAGCGGCATGAGAGTTCGGAGCAAAGTTACCACCAGCACCCAATCCACAAAAGTAGCAAAACAAAGCTTAATATTGCAAAGCGCACCGATGCACCATGCTCGCTCGGTAAATAAGAATCCCTAATCCAAGGCTAAAAATCTTGAAATGCGATAGCAATATAAAGAAGAAGAAAAAAGAAGAAAAAAAGAATGCTCTCCCGCCGGGAATTGAACCCGGGTCCCGAGCGAAGCCAGCACCCGAAGGTGGAATGACAAGCTCATATACTAACCACTATACTACGGAAGATTTGCAAGTGTTGGACACCTGCCGTAGCGCTTGGTTGATTGGCGGTATTCCCTCTAATGGGGTTTATATTAGCAGCATGCAGCGCCAAGTGTTTTCTATAAGGAGTGGGGGCCTCTTCGACCGACTTCAACCACGACGACATCTTTCATGTCCTTGACACGGCCTCCTTTCTTCTCCCAATTATATTTCTAACTCGAAAAACTTTCGAGTAGGGGGTAGTTACTTTTAAATTATAGATAAGAATTAGTCGATCGGATAAATAATAAGGATTTAAGGAAAGAACGACTTTCGAGCGTAGCGAGCAGCTCGCTGCAGGCGCACCCAGAGGGCCGCCGGAGGCAAAAAAGGAGAAAGAAAAGGGGCCGTTCAGCTCCCCTTCCCAACTTGCTAGGTAGCGTAATTTTAACTACCTACTTCTGAGTAAAGTGAAGAAGTAGGGAGTTGCAGGCACATCTATAATATCTATTATAATTACAATACTCTTTTCCTACTTGTAACTATGTTATGAGTAAATCGACGTCTTTTCTTTCCAAGACCGCCGCCAAGTGCGTTAGATAGACCTAATAATTATGAAAGACCTTTCTAACTCTCGCTAGTCTAGATAATTAGTTCTTCTACTATACTATATTCCCAACCAATCCGAGAATAAGAATAATTCCGAACCCCTTTTCCAATTCTGCCTCCCCCCAAGGAATAAAAACAAAATTACCAGGTAAACATCATCAGCGCAGGGTTGAGCAGCACGGGGAGGGCGAAATGCGACACGACAACGGCGGCGAGCGGGTAAATACTAAAAAAAGCGTCGATGCGCCAGTTGTAGGGCGTGGCGAACATGCCGGCGACGATCAGGGCCGTGCAGGCGAAGCAGTAGACAAAGGTAAACTTGAAGCGCCGCAGGATGCGCACCATCTCCTCGCCAAAGTGCACCTCCTCGATTTCCTTGGCGGTCGCGCCCCACGCCATATCCAGCTCGAAGAAGTGTGACAGGATCGCTTGGGATACGTGCAGCGAGACGCCGCCGAGAAAGATTGTGAACATGGGGATCCATTTGATATTTTCGAAGCCTGGGACGGAGGTTAGCCTTTTTCTCTTTTTTTAGTTATGAAGGCAAGAAGGGGAATATACAGGCAGATATCAGCGACTGCTCGTTCAGGCGGTACCGCAGCACGGCCAGCGCCACGTTGCCGAGCCCGGTGAAGACGACGATGATGGAGATGTAGATGGCGAACGAGTCGAGGTAGAACTTGTCGTACACCCCATAAAACCAGCCCGTGATGAAATAGTTGGCCAGCGACAGGGACCAGGCAGCAGCAATAGCATAGTAGGTCCCAATGTATGCGCAGATGGTGAGCTTCTTGGGCAGCGGGATGCTCGAGGCCAGGAAGCGGCGGAACAGCGGCGTAAAGGGGCCGCGCACCGGCCAGAAGCGCAGTGGGTGGAACAGCAGCTCGTTGCAGCCGTAGGCGTACTTTTCCCAGCGGGCCAGCTCGTCGTAGACGGTCAGGCTGACGCCCTCCTTAAACCCTTCACCCGTGTAGGCCGCGTAGCGCAGCGAGTAGCCGGCCACCTGCAGCCGCAGCGCCATGTCGAAGTCCTCGGACACGTGCGCCTCGCTCCAGTACTTCTCGTAGCCGTCCGCCTCGTCCATGTACGCCGCCGCGTCCTGCAGCGCCCGCCACCGCAGGATCGCGTTGTGGCCCACGAACGGGCACGCGTCGCCCGACGCCACGGCGAACGTGATGGCCGTGTAGATGAGCCGCGTGAACCAGGTGACCCTAGAGGACCGATCTACGCATCAGTACATACATGAAAGGGGAACAGAAAAGGGGAACAGAAAAGGGAAGAGACAAAAACCCACCCGCTCTCGAAAAACGAGTCGGTCACGTTCATGACGCCCGAGGCAAACTGCGTGATGGCCACCTCGGGGCTCTGCTCCATCTCGCTAACAGCATCAAGTAAACAATCGGCGGGCACGCGCGTGTCCGAGTCGATGAGCAGGATGTAGTCGCCCACCCGAATATTGCCGTCGGCCCACGTGCGCCCGGCGTCCTCGGCCAGCACGGCGGCCAGGCAGCCGTAGTAGGCGGCGCGCTCGTGCTCGTCAGTCCACCGCGCGTGGCGCTGCACGGCGCTGCCCGGGCCCGCCAGCTTGTCCTCGACGCGGTTGCTGACGTGCAGCGCGTAGTTCATGTTGCTCGCCTTCTTGAACTTGCCGCGCCGCACGAAGGTCTGTTCTCCCTCTGCTTCGCCACCCTTGCTCTTGTCCGGCTTGGGCGGGTTGTGCGCCGGGCGCGCGACCCAGCCAATGTTGTGCTCGTCGTAAAAGTCGCGGCGCGCCTGCGCCTCGTCGTCGGCCAGCAGCTGCATGCCGTCGTCGTTGACAAAGATGTTGGCTGACCCGCCTTGCATCTCGTACGTGCTGATGGCCGCCTTGAGCGACACCACCGTGGGCCGGATCACCGCCGCAAGCCCCTCCTTGTACACGGGCATCTGGATCGTGACGTGCGGCAGCTGCCCCTGCCCGTGCCGCCGGTGCAGCCGCCGCCGCGGAGCCCGCCCGCTATAGTACTTGCTGTTGGACGTGACGGCCGAGATGGGCCCGAAGATCTGTGCGAGGTTGCCCACGAGCGCCTGGAAGAAGAACTGTACGCGGCATCCACATGTTAGTGTACTTCAAACAAGGGGACAGGAGAACAGCACCCACCAGGCTGACAAACATCTGCGCCGGCGACACCACCAGCAGCGCCCACCGTGTGTAGTCGCCGTCGACGGCGGACTCAAGCGCGAGGGCGCGCCACCCGAGGCCCAGGCAGCTAATGCACAGGGCGAGCGTGATGGCCACGGTGACGGCGCTCTCGAGTCGGACTGGCCGGTGCTCGGCAGCCTCCTCAAGGTCGGCGTCGGCATCAGCAGCGCCATGGGCCGACGAGCCCGGTCTCCTCTTCTCTCCCGCCGCGGTAGACGACGAGGGGTGGGACTCGTCCGCGTCGTCGTCGCCGTCGGCATTCTTTCTCGCCTCGCCGCCGCCCCACACCATCTCGATGAAGCGGGCCTCGAGGTTCTCGGCGCGCGCCAGCAGCTTCTCGGGCTCGTCGTCCCACACCACGAGCAAGCGGGCGTTCTCGACAAAGGCGGCGAAGTGGTGCAGCTGGCCGCGGGGGAGGTCGGCCATGGTGGGCAGGATCTGGACGCGCAAGCCGTCGGGCAGGGGCACGTGGTCGGCCTTCTTCTCGGCAGCGACGCCCTCGCAGAGCGTGCCCAGCAGCGCGCGCACGACGGGCGTGTTGACCGTCATGGCGCAGCGCACGTTCATGGCCGACACGACGGCGAACAGCGAGTCCGGGATGGCCGCCATGTGCGGCGGGCAGCACGTGAAGCTGCCGCGCGCCTTCTTGAGCACCACTCCTTCGTACGGGTCCGTCCACGACGCGTACTGCTTGCGCAGCTGCTGCTCGTACAGGTGGTTGACCATCATGTCGTTGCGGATCGCGTGTAGCGTCTCGGGCTGCTCGTTGCGATTGTCGCCCGCTGGGAACACCGAGTGTGTTGTCGACGCCCGGGACAAGCTGCGGCTCCTTGTCCGCTGCTGCTGCTGCTGCTGCTGCTGCTGGCCTGCCTGGCCTGGCTGAGCCTGGCTTTTACCTGGCGCCGGGTTTGTACTTGTTGCCCGCGCCGAACTCTCTGCCGGAAGCGGTGGAACATGGCCGCGGGGGTCACTCTGGCCACGGGGATCGCTTCGACCACGGGTCCCCGAGACGGCGGCTGGCGAAGATGGCTGCCGGCCTCGCGCCTGCTGCATGGGATGTAGTCGATGTGAGGTTGCGGCGTCGGGCGACTTCAGGTTGGACCTCCTAGGCCGGGTCTGCCGTAGCTCGGCCGCAGCCTGCTTCTCGGCTGCTACCCCTTGGGCGGGCGTGGCCGGTCTCAGGTAGGACCGGAAGGTATTCATGCTGTCAGACTGCGGCAACGACGACTAGGTCGGCGAGGGGCCGGAGGGGGGTTTGTTCTAATATACACGAGAAGGTTGCTATTTGCAGCGGAAAACAACTAAACAAACAGCCCTCGGGTCCTGCTTGCGGGCTGGGGAGAAACTTTTCACAGGCCGGGATATACTTTCTCGGCACTGCTGTCTGAGGAGAGGGTGTGTATGTTGGCCCGGCAGGCGACCCACACCACGGGGGGAACAAGGTTTTGAGTATGCACTGGGAGATTAAGTGAGCCCGAAGAAACACATACGACAAAAAGAAAAGAGGGACTAGCGGCTAGGACGAGAAGGTTACCGATCCTTCTATCTATCAATCATCAGCACCAGCATACTAGGGGGCTGCCAAGCGTTGATGGCTGCGAGCCCGAAGCCGCCCAGAGGCTCGAGGGTTGACGGCGTTTTCGACGTGGCTGGGGGTATCCCAAAGAGGTCCGACTGTGATGGTCACTACGTATTGTCCTTTTTATTGCCAGCTCCTTGGCCATTCCCTATCTCTGATCTCTTGGCGAAGCAGGAGTCTGCAGGTAGGCATCGTCAAAGCGCCAAGAACCTAGATAAATACACACGCACCGACGGTTCCAAAATCCGGGCAGACTGGTTCAAGAGAGTCCCAGACGAGGCTGTGTTCGCCAGGCCACTTGGTTGGAAGAGAACAAGAACTTTCACTTGATCATCCAATACTTTAGGGACGTTTCCAGAGAAGCTACCTTTTCCCAACATGCTTCACGCAGTGTTGAGTGCAGTTGACATAGAGAGACCTTTAGGCTGCTCCGCGAGTGTTCCGGAACAGACAGAGAAAACCAAAACAATACCAGAAAAGAGAAGTAATGCCATCATCCGCTGCAGGCTTTGCAAATCTCGGGTTAAAAAAAAGTCCCGACCCATCCAACCTTCTGGCAGGAGGGACCGACATCAAAATAGCGGCCTCTAAGGGTCTGCATACATATCAGCATGTCGTGCTACTAAGCAATCACGTCCTATTGCAGATATATTTTCGGCGTCTGCTGGGTAACCCGAGGGGTGAAGAAGCTGCAGGTAGGCCTTATGGTCTGCCAATACTCAAGTGTCTCCATTGGGAACTGAAAGCCAGATGGCACAGGGATTCTTCTCACTGGGGGTGGGCCAAAGTACGAGGATAGCCTGACCAGATGGCCACGTCCGTACCCAACAAGCCCCGTGGACGATGCGCCAGAGAATGTCGGTGTGCGGTAGTTATCTTTCACGATGGACACGGCTGTATCCCATATTATGAAGATAGTAATGCCCGTACTCGAGCGACGTTGGAGCAGTGTAGAGCGGGCGGTAGCATTGCTAGCTGCCGATATCAATCTCAAGCGGTGGTACCATAATCACCGCGGCCAGTCGGGAGCCTGCTTGATCTGGCTGTCTCACCTATGTTGTTCAGCTGGCTCAGTGCCAGACCACTTGTGGGAAGCTTGTTCCTGTTCTCAGTACTCGAGGCACGGGCGGCTGCGTGTGTATCTCGGGTGCCAACGTCGAGGTCGACGCCAGCCACGTTCTGCCGTTGCCGTAGGGTCCTCGGAGCTGGGCCAACCACATGAGCCTGTTGCACCATGCGGCTCTGGAGCCAGCCGATAAGGCCACGATGGCTTAGGGGCAGAAGCCTCCCCCCCGGTCGAGCAGCACCCAAGCTTGCTCCGTGGGTGCGGGTTGTCGTTGGTGCCCTCTCGACGCTAGCAACGCTATCGCGATCGGATGCTCGGGATGTGTGGGATATTCTAGTATGTAACAGTATGTGTAGCATTCGAGAGTTGTGAAGAGTGTAGAAACAAGCAAGGCAATTGTGGAACTGTCCATCGAGACCGGCTGTCGACAGCGGGTGCAACGCTTGTCAAGAACGAGATCACCAGAGGAGAGGTGTGCTCCACGTGGGACCTGTCGCAGCTGTCAACTAGATGTAATCGTCGTACGAATACATACCTGCCTACCTACATACGAACCACAGAGGTGGCACCTGGCGGCTAGGTACATGGTCTAGAATATCGGTGTCTGTGTTATTCAGCTCGACGGTGATCATCCCGAGTGTGCAATGTTGCACGACATCTAGTAACAACCCGTGTCGCTGGGCCGCCCAATCACGACAAAGGTAGTCCCGCGATGCTGTAGGCTCAAGATAAGGTTCGATGAGTTGTCTGGCCAGGTCTTGGAGAGATTTGGACGGGCTGGCCAACGAGAATCGATGCCGCGTGCAGGACCCCAAGATAGGGGCTTGACGAGGCTGAGACAACAACGTCCCGCTGGTCAATTCTCGGGATTTCCTCCCGATTCCTCACCGCATTTGGTTGGGCGAGGTGCTAGTTGCCAAAGAATTGCCGGGAGTGCGGAATGAATGGATGTCATGGAAGCCGCCTGCCTACCTTTACACAGCTGCTTCCGATTGCGCTTGCCTTGGGAAGTCTGAGACACTCTTTTCTGTTGCCAAGGCCGCATCAAAGGCTCCGCACCTCCTACTTTGAAAAGAATAAATACTCTACTCTGTCGATAAAGCATCGCTTACTGGCTTGGTCACGTTGAACTGTTTGTCTTATCAGTGTTGTTGAAGGAAGGGCAGTGTCCACTGCTGTTGCGTTGATCGCGATTTGGCTGGTCGTAGACTGTGAATCTCAGCAGCGGCTAGAGTCACGGAGTGAGCTCCTTGCGGTGGGGCCCAAGTTCTGGCCCCACTGCTGTCCCTGACTCCCGGGTGGATCTTGGTGGACTCTGAATGCAGCCGTGCACGGACCAACTACACTGCATATATAACCGCGCTCCCCCTCCCACCTTCTAGACTTCTCTTTTTTTCTTCTTCAGCTCTCTTTGCCTTTTGGCTTAGATCAAGTGTAGTATCTGTTCTTTTCAGTTTAATCTCTGAAACCGCTCTACGGAGTGGAATCTTGATTATTCCAATTTTTGTCAACCGGTAGCTGATCCGCTGGGCTTGCCTATGATCGGCCTCCACTGTGTCCCTGGTATTACACTGCCTCCAGGCGATGCGAATTTTTTTCACTGTCTTCGCGGGCAAAGCTCGCGATTCGGAGAAGAAAATATGCGTTTTGGTAATCGTTCTACCATTCGAGCCTTGAATTGATACATTGCGCTGCCGTCGACCCTAGACCACTCACGCTCTTTGCTAGGCAATATCGTAATATTTAAGCTCTCAAGACGCGCATGCCCCCGGTTTCTTTCTGTGCCACATTCTAGGGGAGGGTGCACATCCGATTCCAAGATACGAGCCACAAGTGCGAGCGAGTCACCGCCGCGAATAATCGTGATAGCGATTAATAGCCTTGCCTGCTGCCAACCCCCGTGCAGTTCAATCACATCCATGCTGAAGCTGTCACAGGACGAAGTTGCAGATTCGACACGATGCTCGGCGGGGAGCTCCCCCACCAAGATCCGTTCGTTCCTGGCACCAAGCAAACAATTTGGAATGTCACATGCCCACTAAAGCGGTTGTGGGGAAGAAGGTACGACGCGGAGAGCGACACCTCTCAAGGTCGCGCAACATCGGAGCATCGAGCAAGTATTGCACAGTAACCCTATGCAAATGTCAATGCGAATCACAGGAGTTAAAAAGTACGAAGCCATTGCCGTATTCTGCTGCAATTTTCTTTTGACGTTCTGCCTCATCCTCTGTTTAGATGGTACTGAAAGGGGGAAAGAGCAGCCCCCGGAACAATTTTCTGTAGCGGGCTGCAGTTGGCCGGCATTGGCAGCAGCACGCACTGATGAATGCAGCCCGTAACAGATCCCCCCGCGCCGCCCGAGAGCGTGGGAGGTTTCGCATGCAGCAAAGAGCCCCAACCTACTCCGTATCCCGGCCGGAATCCAGTGTCCATCCTCCACCTTGTACAACTTACAACCCTCGACGTCAAACGGTATCAGGCCATGTCAGACAGCGCCTTATGACGATGCGCCCCCCGTGCTGCTGCTTTGGTTTCTTTTTAGCCTCTTCCATGTTATAACCCTCTTCTTCTGCCGAGTCCGTCGTCCTTTGTCTACGTTTCTGGCCACTTCCGTGTTCATTCGTACCCCGCCTGCCTTCTTGAGCTGTCGAGGTCTATTGTCCCTGTATTGCCCTCGACGTCACCACCACTTCCACTTCACATATCCGCCCGTGCATCTCTTCCGTTATGGCCGTGCTTTTCGACTTGGACGCCCCGGATGTCGAGCAGCCTCCGTTGTGGGCCATGGCCAATGGCAATGCGATTGGCATCGGCAATGGCAGCAATGCCGTGACGGGCGGGCTCCAGCCACTGTTGCTGCAGCAGCAGCAGCCGCCAGAAGATCAGGGCGAGCGGGACCGGGAACAGGAACAAGAAAAGCAACGCGACGAGGCTCACGAGCCCGTCGTCAGGGAGAATCCGAACCAGAACTCCATGACGCAGGCTTTGGGGTGCTATCCGTAGGCCGCGCCCTCTTAGACCCGCCCCCCCTTCACCTTCCCTGTCTCCAGCATGCTTCTACCTGTCTACCTACCTAGCATGGCTTTTCGAGACTCGCCTTGTCCCACAGTGGAAGAAATCAGGAGGGAAGCTACTGACTGACTGGCTTCTCATCTCTCCCCGCCCCTCGCGCAACAGCATCGTCAAGTCCGTAGCCGCGTCGCTAGACCTAAACACGCTCGACAACCTGTCGCGGACATGTCGGCAGATACGTGCAGGGCTGCTCCAGTATCGTAAGCCGTTGCTGGTATCGACCCTGCACTGCTCGCGCGAGCACCTCCCAGTTGACCCCAACGAGGCGCTGCGGTACCGCGCCAGGGCCAGCAACTGGTTTTACATGATCGAGGACGTCTTCCGCTTCAAGGACACCCCCAAGGCCGGCCAGTGCGCTCGGGATATGGTGGCCGAGTGTCGACGGTGCGGTACTGTTATCTGCCGGGTGAGTTGGTCCTTGCTCCCTGACTGTCCTCGACCCCAGCATGTAGTCTTGGGGACAAGGGAAAACTAACCGTCCGGGGTTTCGCTCTGGCATAGAATTGCGCCGTCAAGCCTCCGGCGCCCATCATCCTACGGGATAGACATCGACGTCTCTGTGTGCCGTGCACCAAGGCACCGCTTGGGTTGCTCGTCAAACCCCAGCTCAGGCCCGAGTTCTCACTCGCCTCGGATTATATGGAGCGTGCCATCTGCAAATGTTCTTCTGATGGTGTGTGGCTGTGCCAGCCATGCGGAAAGTCTATTCGCACCAGTGATGGTGACTACAATAAGTGAGCCGACCCACCCTCTTGTTTTCTGCTTTGCTGTCTGTAGTGTCGTCGAAGCGCGGCTTTGAGACCTCCTAACCTTTCCTGTGTAGCATCTGGAGATGGCGCTATCAGTACACAGAATCGCTCGGCGGGCTTGGGACTGGCATTGGCGAAGGAGACCGCGGCGTTATTTGCGGCCGCGAGGAGGAGTGCTGTGGCGGTCGCGAGCGTGAAGTCGTGACAGACTGTGATGCCGAGGACGCGCGCGAGATGGAACTGCAGCAGTCCGAGGCGCCCGGCGAGAGCGACAACCGGGGGCTTAGCCTCGAACCTATAGACAGCCACGCGAGCAGCAGTGGCAGCATCAGCAGTAGCAGCGCTAGTAGCATTAGTGCCGGCGCGGGTAGCAGCAGCAGCGTCGGCGGCAGCAGGAGCCCAGCCCTGAAGAACCACCGCGTCACTTACCATCATCGCACTGGGCTCGACAGCGGAGATGGCAGAACGCCGAGCCCCACGCTGCTGGGTCCGGGGTACGAGCGGCACGAGATCGAGGGCATCGGCGGCGTCGTGAAGAAGAAGCTAGTCCGGATGGTCAAGATTGGCGCGTGCGTGCCCGAGTTCGACGATGAGCGCGTCCGCGGCGAGAAGCTGGGCCGCGAGATTCGTGGCGAGCTGCGGAGCTGGTGTGGCTGGTGTTTGCGCGTCATTCCCGGCAAGAAGGACTACGAGGCGTCCAAGGCTCGTGGGAAAGGGAGAGATTAAATAACCGAGAGCGTAACAGCAACACGAGACAGGTAAATAGCAGGGACTGGCTTTCAGGAACGCGAGGCTCTGGTGACAACGAGCGATGAACTTTGACATACCGCGGCGAGCGTCTCTGGAATTTCCAACAAAGTCAGTAAGGTAGGATTTCGGTGTTACACATACACATGCTCACATTGAATGAAGGTTGACGCTGACTTTTGTAACATCCGATTTGGGTTAGCCACCTTACCTAAACCTCGGTGTTATAAGGCATTAGCACTGTACTATAGCAATAGGAGGTATATATCTATACTTGCTTCCTTCTTAAGTCCTCGCAAACATTGTGTCACGTTAATATTGATCAATTTAATATTGATCCATTTAATATTGATCCATTTAATATTGGTCCCTTTAATATTGATTCCTTTGATATTGATTCCTTTAATATTGATCCCTTTGATATCAATCCCTTATTATATTATTTCGTCTACTCAAGGGGGCTCTGCCCCAGGAGTGACTTACACAGTTAGATCTGTCACACGAAAGTGAAATGGCTTTCACCCATCACCACGCACACACTAAAAGTGGGTACAGGATGGATCCCTCTGATACTGACGAGACAGCAAGATTTTGTACATGGATTGCAAGAGATGCCTCTCCCAGACAGCTACTTTACGAAAGGATATATACAAGAGAAGAAGCCTGGGGATAGAGAGAGCGGGTAGAATGCATGGTGATGAAATATACATGATATAGAACAGAAGGTAGCGTTTCTCCGAGTTAAAACGGGCAAATGCCGGTTTCCTTCTTTTTTGTACAAGTGCCTCTATATATAGCCGGCCCCCTTTCCCAAACCAACCCGCCCGCTTCTATGCTTGCTACCCTCTTATCTAACACCCAAGAGATTCGCGTGAGTCCCTCTTTAGGTAATCGTACAGAGGCCTCGCCGTCTCCTCTTACCTCTTCATTTCCTGAAGGCCACCATGTAGCAGCCTTGCCTCCGTGCCCAGCTTGCAAGTCGGGCGTCTTATCAGTGACCTTCTGCTCCCTCTGGCTGGCTGATTGTGCTGCGCAGACACATGACCGCGGGCAACCTGGTCTCAAGGGCCACAGCTGCCGTAGCATGGAGCATGCTTATCTCATGGCCAAGTCGGTGTCCCCCAATTGACTGACACGGGGTATGGCAGGAAAAGGGCAGGACAAATAGCAGAAGTCGTCTCTCTCCGCGACAGGGCGGGGGGAGGGAGCTGCCTATAACTCGCCGCGGAACAACATGCCGAGACGCCTGGCACGGTCCTCGCGGGCTTGGCGGCGGCGAGGGCCCCAGCGGGCTTGCTTGTCCTCTTTCCACTTTTTCAAGTCGTCGTAGTACTCCTTCTGCACGCGTATGCCCCTTGTGGCGTAGCGGATGAAGCTATGCGAGACGTTGAAGCGTTGGGCCATGGCGACGCCAGAGTTGGTCCATGGGTCCTCCACGCGCAGGCGGCGAATCTCGGCGACCATTTCGGGCGTAACGGCGAGCTTCTCGGTGCGGTACCTAGCAATATCGGCGGCGGGATCGACCGCGGGCGGCAGGGTTGGGTCGTCCTTAATACCTAGGGGATTCGGCTGCGGCTTCTGGAACTTGTACGACTTCATGCCGCCGTGGTAGAGAGGCGGCACGCTCTCGGGCGGGTTGCCGATCGTGATGCTGGATGGGCCGGCGAGGCCAGTGGTCGGGCCAAACTTGGTTGTGGTGGACGAGGTAAAGAGCGAGGGGAGGTTCGCGCGGCGGCGAGGGTCACTTTTGGGCAGGAACTTGAAGGGCGTGTTGAAGACGGATGGGCTCGACGACGGCGGGTTGAAGATTATGCCTGTCGTCTTGTCCTGCCGCTTGGCGAAGGACGGCTCGGGCGGGACGTTGAGCGCACGTTTTGTTCGTGATGTCGAGGATTTGAAGCGAGCTCCTCCAGGAGCAGCGGCCGGAGAGGCAGTAATGGTCAGCCTCTTTGAGGCGGAAATCAGCTGCTGCATGCCGCTGCCGCTCGCCGGTGCCGCCGATGCCGCCGACTGAAGAAGACGGCAGCAGCAGCTAGCCACCGGTCTCCTTACGAGGTGAGCCTCCATTTTGTGTGTAGGGGGACGATGGGGGCGGCGATAAATAGGAATAGGCCTCTCGAGATTGAGGCGATCGGGGCGAGGACGGAGTCGATGGAAAAGGGCGACGGGCGACTGTCGATAGCCCCAGACGCCACATTAAAGTTGACTAGAAGAATAAAATAAAACCCGAAGCCCGGCCCGTCGAGGACAATGGCAGGGGCAGATACAGAAGCAATTGATGACAGGGCCCGTGAACTTTTTCCCAAGATGCAGACCGCCACCTCCTTCACGCTTCGTCGAGCTGTCGCGAAGGCCAATCCCGCAATTGAACTTTTCTCCCTCCACAGCTACGCACTAGTGTACGCATCACGTGAGCCGACAGTTACCCTCCCGGGAAGGAACGGGGTTTACAGGGGACATTGGCTAATCAGCAATCAGCCCAACTGCTGAGCTACCGGAGCTCCCGCCCCACCTTTCTGCAGCTTCGGCGGCGCTGACATTGACGGACGACGAGCTCGGCAGACGAATAGTAGTTTAAAAGGTATGGAATATATTATATGGATTATATTGATATCCTGCAAGTCCACTGTCTCGGATATCCATATATTTCAGCATTAAAATCCCCATTCTCTCAGTGAAGAAAAAAATTAAGTAGAACCCAACTTGGCCTTCCAACCTCACTCTCCTCATTTCAGTACGTACAGTACTCGCACATGAGAAATAGAGTACTAGGTAAAGACCAGACTCGAATATCTCTTACCGGCTCAGATCCCAAAACGGAGTCAAAAGTAAAAAGGTTATTTGGCGCGCATGGCATCCTTCTTCTTTCCGTGCGCTATTCTCCCAAGTGACAGCATGAGGGTACGTAAGCTGTCGTACATATCCCGAACTCCGTACGGACACTCGACACAAATCAACAGGGTCAGCTGAATGCTTAGCGGAACGCCCGCCAGCCATGCTGCCTGCCTACCTGCCTATATCTAAGAATAATAGGCGTCTAAGCCGTTGGTCTGACTCAACTCTCGCCGCGAGGCTGGTTCAGGAAGTGGCGGTCGTTTGCGATATATATATATATATATTTGAATAATAGAATCACTCACTGTGCAGAAAATATGACACCCGTATTGTTCGGTATGCAGTTCTCGCGATTCATCACTGATGAGAACCTGAATGCTGAGTGGTAACACGATCGGCCCGTAGCTCAGTGGTTCAGGGCTGTGAAGGTAATGATGAGTGTTGAATGTGTCCTTTCAGCGCATCGGTGCCTTGCCGCGTGACGTAAGTTGGGTCAGTGCATGGCATGGCATGGTGTGGCATGCATCAGGCACATCACCTCCTATTTCTAATCGCAAGGGGCAGCGCGCCGGCGCCATTTCCAACCCCCTCCTTGGTCCCTTGGATGAGATGCCGGTGGGCTGACCTACGAAACATAGTGTAGGGAATTCAGGCTGCGTGGGTTGGCGTGCGCCCGGCGCGGGGCGTTACCAACGAACAGGAAGTTATAACTTGGAAATGCCGACGTTCTAAAGAGGAACTTCAACTTGTGTTCCATAGCTGTCATACACGTATACCTAGTGATAATTGAGGTAACAAACGGGAAAAGATTTCTACAGTTTGCCTGTTAGGATTTCCAAAGCCCCAAACCATGGATACCACGGAATGCTTATGGAACGGAAGAATATTGTCGGTATCTGCAGGTGGTGGGGGAAGTGGGGTGTTTGCCAGTGTGCCTTGGCCGAGTTCCAGTGTGGCATCCCATGGCATCCCCAGGCAGGGCGCAGTCAGGGGGAATGGATGTAAGGCAAGTAACCTACCTTGGGCAGGTCTCAGGGACCGCGGCCTGCGACGGCTGAGTTGGCCAACTGTAGAATCCGTTGCAAGTTCCACGCCCGCGATGCAGTGGCCGCGGGCAGCTCTCTGGGCCATGGTTGCAACTTGTTGGCTGTCTAATACGGAGTATTGAGGTGGAAGATTGGACTGCATGTATTCCGTACCCGTCCAACAACGTAGAATGTGTTTTGGAGCCACATCAAAAAGGTCAGGTGAGGCCAGGCAAGACGGCGTTGATTGCTATGGTTTATGCGACAAGTCTTGATCGGGCCAATCGGCAACCCCTCTCCATCCTCCGGAGCTGGGCTGTCCTGTCATCGGGTCCATCAGACCATGCCAGAGGAACGTATACCGCTAATAGATATATGACCGCACTAACATCGTGTACGTGTACGTGTAAAATAAGATTTGAACAGTCAGACGGACTGCAGTGTCATCTTGGAAGGAATACCCAAGGGGATACGGAGTGGGTACCCTTACCTAACCTGCTTGAACAAAGACAAGGACGAGTAGCTCCTTCTTCCCCTGGCTTTGCCCTGCGGCCAAGGCACAGCCGGCAAGCCACAGACGCAGCCCTGTCCCTGGAAGTCCATGTTCGCCGTTGAAGGAAGGGGAACGGTGAGTGTGCAGAAACATAAAAAGGCTTCGAGTTTCGAGTCCGAACAAAACCGCACACCTGGTCAAACAAACTGGCACTGCCTCGGACTCGGATCCAAAATAGGCCCAAAACTAACACAGACAGCACACACCGGAAAGGACAGCTTGAACTACCCCACGATAAACCACCCGGCACCTTCCTGAATTAGGCCGAATCTTGGCGGCCTTTTCGTGTGACCGCTCAATTACCAATTACGTCTTGAAACCGAAAACTGCCCGTCCTAGCGCTCTCACACTGTCCACCCCTCTTTTTTGACTTGGAATGTGCTGAAGCATCGTCGTCATTCCCTGCCGGCCCGTCCTGTCGCCAAAGCAAAGCAAAACACCGACCTCGAGAACAAAGCCAGAGCCGTCCGTCTCCATTTTCGTCTCTATACGGCCGCCCCATCCGTCTCCGCTGCCTGCCGCTCACCCGCCAAACGCTAGTTTTCTCATATTGAAACAAAACAAGCAATTGCAGCACGGGTTCACGGGGTTGCATTGGGCCCGCCCGGACAATCTGGGAACGGGACGCCTCGGGGCAGACAGACAGCCAGCCAGCCAGTCAAGAAACCTTTGAGAACCCTTGGAACCCAACCTTGGATCCGGAATCAGAACTTGTTGGTGTCGGTTTCAGAGACGGGAGCTTGCCAGTCTGCAGTCGCACCACCTTAGTTGGGTCAGTTAGGCCAGCTCCGCGCCCAAGAACAGGTATGTATTACCGTGCAAACTTTCAACGTGTGGTGCATGCCCTCCTGGTTATTGGTCCCCCGAGACGCAGGCTACTTTACGATCGATATACTCGCGGCGAATCGGGGAGCCGGCCCACAGGTCACGCAGCCTTTTTTTTTGTTGCGAGAGAAACGTTTTGCTTTACCCCCCTCCGCTATTGCTCTCAGCCGAGATTGAAGCTGGATGTTTTGTAGTAGCGACTAGCGAGCGGCCCCGTATTCCGCGATGGCATCCCGCTGACCACCCCTCGCGCCACCTTCTAGGTTCTAGATCGATCCGACTTGTGGACAGCCAAAGAGCGAGCCTCAACACATACCTTACCAACCTACCTGAGCTGAGAAACTTGAGACTTGCGACTCGATTCCAGCCCAGCCCGACTCAATAAGCCGTTCCTCGTCTTTCCTCCCCAACTTCCAGAGACATCCCTACATCTACCCGCCATGAGTCTAGCAAGCGGAACGCCGCTGCAAAGCGGCCAGCCAATCCCCAGATTGGCAGAACCGTTCGAGTCGGAAGTCGTCGGTGGTGACATAACCCCAAGAGCGGTGCCCGACGGCGAGGAAAAGAAGGGCAAGAAGCGCGGCCTATTCGGCTTCGGCAAGAAGAAGACGGACGAGACCACCAAGTCCGCCACTAAGACTGGAGCCACGCCCAAGGACATCGCTACGGCAAAAAGGACCGCCACGTCGCCTGTTCGCTCCATGCCGACCTCGCCCGGCCGTGGTTTCCCGTCGTCGCCCCGCCTAGCGTCTCCCGCTGGCAGCCAGATCTTTGAGCGCGACGTGCAAGAGAGCGCTGTGGTGATTCCAAATTCGCCCGCGATTCCCTCGCACATCCAAACCGAGAACTACATCCCGCCTGTGCTCGACGCTTCGTCCGAGGCTATCACAGACAGCCATCTAGACCCTGACAGCGTCGAGATCATCACACACGCCTCGCACCAGCCCGCCGCTATGGGAATGTCCGGCATTGGCATGGGCTCCGGCTCAGGCCTGCTCGAACCGAGTTGGGCCGACGAGCTCGCAGCCTTCTCCTCAGACGCTGACCGCACGGTTGCCGACAGCGCCTCCAACTACGGCAACCTGGACACAACCGACATACGACGGCTGAGCTTCATCTCGTTTGCCGACGTAGTACAGGCAGAGCACCAGCACACGGCCGGAAACGGCCTCGGCGCGGGCTCCCGCGACAGCATCCACATGGCCGGCCTCACGAGCCTAGCATCGGTCGGCATCACGAACCGCTCACCAAGCCCCATTCGCTCGCCCGTGTCGTCCGCTGGCGGCCCTGGCACCAGCCCCCCAACGAGCAAGTCGGGCTCCGTCAAGGGCCTCGAGATGTCGCCCAGCCGGAAACCCCTCGGCAGCCCCACCAGCATCGGACCCACGGTCACGGGCGAGCTTTCCATCGAGACCATGTCCGAGGCCCTGAGAAGGACAGGCAGCGGCGATCTTGGCGGCGTACGAAGTTTCCCGACCAGCCCGATTTGAGACGGCGGTAGGTCCGGATACGGGTAGGAGCGAACATCGGGGAGCAGGGCCGGGCTTGCCCGGTGGCGGCCGAATATATAGGACGCTTTTATTTTCCGCTTTTTTTTCCTTTTCTTTTTTACGACTTTTTTGGGGAAAGACTTTCGGATGGGAACCATGATACCTAGCTGCTGGCTACTTTCTTGCTGATGTTTGGTGCTTTTGTTTTCGTTATCTCCCTTTGGAATGGACGGCAGGTGAGAGGCAGAATATTCGCTTCTCTGGAGGGGAAGAGGGGGGTGAGGGACCGGATGGAGTATTGGTTTTCTTTTTGTACGCTGGTTTACTTTTTCTTCGTTTCTAACGACCATACCTTTTTTTTCTATTCACCTTTTATTTCATTTCGCCCTTTCCCCCCGATTATGTGTCCCTCATTACTTTATCTTTTCGTTCTTGCTCTCCGATAACTTTGTGCTGGAACTGGCGCTGCTGGACGTATACATGTTACATACTGTCATACTCACATTGCTCGCACTACCAGGTACGAATGTTAAATGATGTGTGTAGAAAAAAACAAAACAAAGACGAGAGGGATGAAAGAAACGAGGTTTTTTTGCGGCTAGGGGCTTTTTATCAATTTCTTTTATGTTCTACTTTTTCAAGGTGGTGTAATTGGTATATGAATCTGGTGCTCCGTCCTCTTCGTGTCGGTGGAAGACTAAGAGATTCGGTTTGTCTGTCTGTCTGTTTTATTTGTACCGTTTTTCAGCTTCTGTTCTGGAGAAACATGTGAGCGGAGAGATCGAGAGTGAGACAATGAGAGAAACCAGTCAGCTTGACCAGTTCACAATGTACGTGATTGTGTGGTGAGCAAGGTAGTTTATCTAGGTACCTACCTACGTAGCTGCCGTCTAACTTTCTAATTAGGTATTTCCTTGATCCTTTTCCGGGGTTTGTGGTAATTGTCTGTTTGAACCCAGCGGGTGTGAGGCATGGTTGTTGATGGTTCGTGTAGGGGTAGTGTTCACGGCCAATCTTGATGAGATTTGAAACGTATGATAAGGTGCATTGCTTTCCCCCGCTGTTACTTGTACTTGCAATTGATATCTCATTGCCGTAATTGATGGTTGGGTGGTAGGGAGATAGTCAGAGACCCTTTCCTTGAGATGAGGGGATGCGGTGGTGGCCAAGTTCGTTATTTCAACGGGCGCCTCTGATGAATGGCGCCTATAAGTAAGGTATTTGATCTACGTCGTATGTATATATGTCTTGTGCCCGTTTTTATCAATATAAACCACAATCTTTCTAGCTAATTGTATGGGATTTGTCAAATCGATGATGAATTCCTTCTGTAGCACCTCACTTAATAAAGAAGGAATGAGGTTAAATCCAGTCAAGGTCTAAATTAGACACGGAAAATACACCCAGGATTGATGTAAGTTGGACATTTACATGAGTCGGAGACGAAGATAATAACGAGCGGAACTCTGGTAAAGAAGTCCGAGTAGACAAGATATTGAAATTTCCTACGGCTCAAAGACGACACTGAATGCAGGCGACGAGATGCCACCGTCAAAGCGAAGAATAAATCTACTAAGATGAGAAATTGAGTAATTACTATTAGACGTGGCGACCCAACAAAGAAATCGCCCCACAACGAAATCTCTGCCCCTGTCATCTAATTTCCCGCCCTCCAACTTCAAAACACCACAACTTCATTAATTCAAGCCCGAATTGCTTCAAAATAAGCCATATCGAACCGCCGTGAGCAGCTCATTCAAGCTGCAATACTTGCTGTTGAGCAGGGCGCCTCACAGAAAGACGCCGCTAAGTTGCATGGCATCCCTGCCTCCACCCTCTGCAAACGCATCCATGGGGCAGAAAATCGTGCCAAAAGTAAACAAGCCGAAAGAAACCTCTCCGATGCGCAGGAAAGCTTCCTAGCCAACTGGTGCCTTAATGAGGAAGCTGCAGGGCGCGCTCCTAGCCGTCGTCAGGTGCAGAGATTCGCTCAAGCTATACTCAATGAGGCCGGCACGAAAAAGACCGTTGGCGAGCGATATGTGGATCGCTTCCTACGCCGCAACCCTGCGGTAAAGATGAGGAATTCGGCCTTGTTGGAATCGTCTCGCGTTAAGGGCTCTACTCGTGAGGCTTACGAAGGTTTCTACAAGCGCCTGGCCTTCCAGATCAAGGATAAAAGGGCTATTGCTGCCAACATCGCCAACATGGATGAGCACGGCATGCAGGAGCTTGAGACCCAGGCCAGAGAGGTCATCGGAAGCTCCCTGACAAAGCGGACCCACGTAAAAAGCTCTGATGCAACTACCCGGGTCTCAATTATCGAATGCGGCACTGCAGAGGGCGTTCGTTTGAAGCCCGTGGTCATATTTACCGGGGCCAGTCTACAAGGACAACACTTTCCGGATAACTTCAAGCTAGAGGACAAATTCCCGGAATGGAAGTATGATTACTCAACTACAGGCTGGAGCAACGCCCAAATCGCCTCGCGGTGGCTCAGAGAGGTCTACCTGATCCAAACCGAGCCCAAAACGCCGGGCGAATGGCGTATATTGATCCTTGACGAACATTCCAGCCACATGAACGAATAATTCATGTTGACGGCATGGAAAAACAAGGTTCAGCTTGTCTTTTTACCCTCACATACATCGCACAAGACGCAGCCTCTCGATCGCTCTGTCTTTTCACCTTTGAAGAACTACTTCAGGCAAAACATCAAGGCTCTAGCGGGCTTCACATCGTCGGCACCTATCAACAAGCAACGGTTCCTTTTTTGCTACAGAGATGCCTCGGCCCAGGGTATGAGTGCCCGCAATATACTCTCCGGCATCCGGAATACGGGCATTTAGCCGTACAACCCGGCCCGCGTACTAGATGACCCGGAGGCAGTCATCCAGGAAGATGCCCTCCCTGCCCGGCCTTCCACACCACCATAGGAGGACCTGCATGACGAAGACAGGGCATTCAAAACACCAAAAGGAAGTCAGGATATTCGGAAATACCAGGACAGCATTCGGAATGCCCTCAGTCCGGCTCACAGGCGTGTGAGGGTATTGTTTACTAAGGTCGGGAGGTCCCTGGATCTGAAGAATACCGAGATCGCTTCTTTGAAGGCACAAATTACGCATCTAACGACCGAATTAGAGGCTTCAAAGCCTCGCACGCGTAAGAGGGTATACGAAGATGGAAATGACAAATTTGCACGCATTGAGGAAATTGACAAGGCCCAAAAAGCTAGTCAAATGCCCCACAAACGAAGAAGAGCGGCCCGGGCACCTGCGCAGCCACATGCAGTCGAAGAGGCCCGGGAAATAATCGCCCGTGGCCTTGAGCAATATAGAGAGGCTGAAGAAGAGGATTGAGTATTTTTTTTTTGCTAGTTATTTTGTGTAGAAATGGATAATTTGCGCCCGTAGGGTGGGTGTGGGCATGGTGTGGGTCAATTTCGTTGATGGGCGATTTCGTTGTTGGGTCGGCTTTTCTAGAATCTATTTAGAATTCGTCGTTTCCCGAAGTTAAATCTAAGACCCTGCGATACTCGAGATAAACCTTCACGTACGAAGTAAGGATTGCATCCCTTCAAATGCCAAGAATACACGCAGTGTAGGCGGAAAACTCGAGAACAAACCCCCCGCCCTTCCCCTCATAAACTGAGCATACAAGCGAAAAGCGGCTTCCGATTGGAAGGTCTAGAATCCGTTTGCGAAACACTATGATTAAATTCCACTCCGCAAACTCTAAAACCCCACTAATTAGTACGTAACTAGCAGCGGAGCGCGTAGTATGAGACTATACTTACTAGATTCCCGTGTTAGTTCCACAACAACACCAAAAAAGACACAATGTCCGAGTGGTTAAGGAGACAGACTTGAATAACTCAATATTCAGGGCCATCTGTTGGGTTCGCCCGCGCAAGTTCGAATCTTGTTTGTGTCGTTACATTTTTGCATCTTTTCTCGAAAATATCTTTTTGTGACTTTTGGCTTGCTAGAGATTTAGAGTGCCGCCTCTTATGGTCGCCGCGTCTTTTTTTGGCCAGGCTGCAACACCTACCGTGGGTATCATGGGGGTCGTTTCGCGGCTGCAACTACACCAACATGGTGGCACCCTTTTCCTTCCACAATATGGTAGGTAACCACCAAATATGCATTCGACCGAGTTGCGATGCGATCGTCGTTCACCGGCCTCGTATTTCATATCTACTCCATACTTTTTTCTTCTTCTTCAACTTCATTTTTTTCCTTTGCTCTCGCCCCCTAACAGTAAAATCAAAACCCCCAAATAGAAGACATATCATCACCATCTCCTTCACCCTAATGCCGCATCCTCTTCCCTCTCACGGCACAAGAATTGTGCCCCGTCTAAGCTCATCTTAGACAAGAAATGCGCCAGTGCGCCTAGGATCGAGCATTTTCAAAAGATATCGGAAAAGAAATCAGAACAGCCAAGCAGGCTTAAAGCAGTCAGCTTTGTGCTGGATGGATGGCTGTTAGACAGGAATATGGTCAGAGGGATGTAATTAGTTAGGATGGCCACTATTGATAATCTCTTCTTTTTCTACTATAAGCGGCAAGCACTCAGCCCATTGTTCTCAGCACACATCTGGCAAAGAAGCGCCGCAATTGACCAGCAGGCAACTGCGCCGCCGTCTCCCTTGGTATACTGTCACGCGCATTCATAGGGCAACGGAAATGAAGCATTTGATGCAGGGAGGTAAGGCTTGAATTGTCTGAAAAGGTCTAATCTCTTGTTTCCTTTGGCAGGGCCAAAAGTCTCTTTTTTATAGTTATGAATAGTGGCAAAAGCTGGTGGCGAAGAATCACATAGCAGCTTCTAGATCTTTCTTGCTCAATAATCCCAATATTGTGACATATACTAATTATACAGTATTCCCAAACATGATTACCCGACTGACCGAGACATTACGTATAAACCGGTTTCCCAAAATATATATACAGCCCGAAGAAGAATGAAGAAATACACGGAGTTTAGTGACTCGAAACACCTCAGATACTCATCTCGCTCTTCTCAAAGCCTGTCGTCACCGGTGTCGGTGCGACACCGCCGTCCTCGAGGCCGTTGTTGACTTGGTCCTCGTTAGGCTTGAAGGTGCCCTTGGGGAGCAGGTTCAGGCGGTCCTCCTCCTTGTCGAGGCCGCGGAACTGCAGGTAGAACAAAATGCCGCCTATAGTAGCCGCAACCGCCACGACGCCGTAGTTCCAGATCAGATAGGGGTCCTCGGCGAGGGGCACGAGCGCGAAGCCCAGTGCGCTGGAGATGGCGTTCATGAAGAGACAGATAGACTGGACGACGGAGCGCAGGTTCGCGGGCGCCTTGGAATGCGCGTACTCGAGACTGGTGATTGAGGCGAGCACCTCGGAGAGCGCGATGAGCACGTACGAGCCTGTCTGGGCCCAGACGATGAGGTCGACGTTGGGGCAGTCCGAAGCGTGCGAGCCGCAGTCGCTTTTCTTGTAGATATAGTACTGAATAACGATGGCCCAGACCATGGCTCCTGCGGCGACAAAGTAGCCCGCGGCAATGCGCTTGATGGGGGTGAAGTTAAGCCGCAGTTTGCGAATTGCTGGGTACACAAAAGTGTCAAGCACCGGGATCAGGATGATGAGAGAGAACGGGTTCAGATTCGTCAGCACGTCGTTCGGGACTCCGGCCAGACGCATCGTGGAGGCCTGCGAGATCAAGTTGTTGTTGACTATAGATGAGAGAAATGGGTTAATATTCTAGCACAGCGCTGCGAGAGAAAGGTGAGGGCAATACATACTCTGATTGTAACAGAGCCAGTAGAGAGGATACCACATGAAGACGGCGCATGCGCTGAAACCTCGAGAGACCTCATCGACCCCTAAATATACACGCGTTAGTCAATGCCGAGTCAAAGAGCCGCGTGGGCGGAGCCGTAGAGGGCCACTTACAGGCATCGTTGAAGTCCATCCACTTTGGCTTGGAAGCCGCGTCGAACTTGGACGGCTTGACCGATTCCCAGAAAGTGCCGTCGTGCAGTTGTCTGTACGTCTTGACGGGGTTGATAGACCAGCGGCCCTTGTTGGCAATGCCGAACAGCTTGAACGCCTTGCCCAAGACAGACCCCTGAGGCTCGACACGCTTGTAGCGCTTGCGGCCGTACATCATGACAAGCGGGCAGAAGCAAAGCATGGCTGTGGGGAGCAGGAACGACAACCAGAAGCCAACATAATGCTCGCAATAGACCATGCCGATCTGACCGCACAGGGCGCCGATATTGATGAACATATAGAAGTAGTCATAAACTCTAGAAGCCGTGACGGCAGGGTCGACGATGACCCTCTCGCCCGTCTTGAGGGTCTTGACAGTCATGACATCCATTTCAAGCTGCTCGACAATTAGAGGGTTAACGTTGGGCTTGAAGCCACCAGTGCCGAAACCCATGGTGATGATGCCGATGATGAAGGCGGCCATGGATCCATTGGGGTTCTTGATGACGGGGGGGATGGCGGAGATGACGAGAACGACGTGGCCGACGAGATCGATGGCCAGCGCAAACGCAATCGTCTTGAAACGGCCGAGGTAGTTGTCGGCGACATAGGCACCGAACAGAGGCATTGTGTACTGCCAGAAAGAGTTGAACGTGGTCAAGGCAGTGGCGGTGCGCTGGCCCAGACCGAGGGCACCAGCCTGGCCGCCGCCTCCATCAGCACCTGTCGTCGACCCTATGGGAAGGGCGTGCTGGATGAAGTTGGTGAAGCAGGCCGTGGTTCCATAGTATGAGAAACGCTCAACTGCTTCGACAAAGGCAATCGAGTAGATGCTCCACGGGATCTTCTCGGAGACGCGCCGCAGAGTCAGCAGCTCCTCGTCTGTGGGGGGTCTGCCATCGAGACTGAGGTCCGTCTTCTCGTACGAGGGAGCTGGCGACAGAGCCGGTGCCGCAGAAACCTCGCCCTTCACAAAGTCGACGCCAGGGTCGAGGGTCGTTAGATCCTCAGCCATGGTGGGCGAATGGCATAGGCAGATAGTCGATTATCTGGCTTCGGCCTAGGGAACAGTGATCTGGGGATCTGGGGATTTGTGGACCTAGGGATCGATCTTGGAAAAGTTCCCCGCCTGGCAAGTGCCACGAAAGCCGGTGGTCTAGTCGATGGAGGAAAACGGTTCTCTGTTGTGGCTTGTCTTGGGAATGAGTAGCGCGGAGAGAGTGCGACATGTATAAATAATGGAACATGTCTAAGCTGCGGCCACGCTTGGCTCCACAGCATTCTTGAAATCCACCATCTGCGCCCTGGCAGAAAACCAGCCTTCCCTGCAGGACAATGGAAACGGTGATAAGGTTTCCGATGGCCGGAAGTTAATCAGATGCTGCCGGAGACGGGGCTGGCTAGTTCCCTGGAGACCGACTCCTCACCGTGGTGAATGGAGCTGATGAACCGGGCATGCTTTTGGGCTGCTACCTAGACGCCCACGTTTACCTAGAGCCTCCATCCACTCAGCCCAGCATAGCATATTATCAACGTGGCTGATGAGCACTCGGGTCTGCAGGCAGAGAAAGGCAGTCTCACACTTAGCAAGACGCGTCGACAACAGAAGAAGAGATTGGGCTCGGACTATTGCGTGTGCGATACCCGCCAAATTGTAAGCAAGAAACACACTGCTTGCATAGACATGTTATTTCTCACCGAGGTCAGCCACTGTCTTTGCCGGGTATGAGTGACTGGGGAAGCCAAGCCGGGGCCAGGGGCTTTCAAGGATCACACCCATTCCACTTGTTTATGTATTGCTGGGTCTCTTCTTGGGACTAAACAGCAGGTTAAGTGCCGTCCGTACCTAGATCGATCTGGGCCTGCATGGCGTGCCCGGTAGAGCCAGAGCAAAGCCGTTGGCGGTTGCTCTGAGATTCTTGCCAAGGATGCCGAGCCGGGACTATGCTGACAAGATGGTGACTACCGAGGAGCCGCATAACGGCGACAAGTGCCCGCACCCTTCGGCTCGGCTCTGGATTTAGTTTGAAGATTCTTAGTTTGAGTCTAGCTCGAGGCACTAGAAGATGTCGAGAACTTCATGAAGAGCCGAGGGGTGGGGGTATTCCCATGGAACTCCATCAGTGCATGACTTCCCCTAATCTCGAGCAAACAGGTAGGCAAGCGTTGCATAGATAGAAATTGGGTAAATACCTGTCGAGCAAGCTTCTCGCACCGCATACGAGCATTGCGCACAATGAAAGTTGTGACTCCCAACCTGGAAGTTGACTGATGCTCGCAATGGCCAGTAAATTTCGGTGCGATAGGGCACCAAGGCACCTGGACAATAGTAAAATGAAATCTGGCACCAAACTTTGTGCCTGGGCAGATCTTGACGAGCTGAGATGGGGCTGCGAAAGACAGAAGAAACTTTGCCCCACCGAGCAGTGATTTCCACTCGACCACTGCGATCTCGGGGAGAATCTGAACCATTGACTGTCGAATCTCGAGTGCGAGGAAGCTGCACCCCACCTTGGCTGCGGAGACGGAAACAAAAAACGAAACTTCTTTCCCGCTTCTCGGGGAATTGGTAATTCCTCCCTTCCATCTGGGGCCGGCACTTCTGTCGTTCTTACCTTGGGTGCTTCTTCCAGGTTGGCTGTTGATGGTCAGCCGGTACAGTACCCGACCGCCACCGCCATCGAAGCAGCTCCTGTCAATCTAGGAAAGGCACTAGGCAAGTATCGGAGCAGAATGAGCAAGAGCCTGCTGTACCTACAATATTTACCACCATAGCCAGGGCAGAGCCAAAACCATTGACAGACTCTTGTAATCAATTTTCGCATGCTGAAGTACTGGGGAGACTAATTAACTCAAAATCTTTGCATAAAAGAAGAAGGTTTACGTGCCATCCTCCCCCTTTTCCCCACGATTCCCAATTCCCGACACGCATGACTGCAAAATGGGTGCATTATCCGAACCGCCATGCAAGGCGCCGCCTAGCTTCCGGACATAAAACAAAAGAAGGCCTTGTCTCCGGGGAAGACGTGCAAAGATGGGGTAAACGGTCGATTTAAGGTGCTGTCGCCTTCCTCGGCTGCTTGCCCCTTTCCCCCTTTCGACTCAAGCGCCGCCTTCCCTGCTTTCTGTTACTATGCCTCGGCTATCATTCGCCCGGCCTCCGCAAAGCGGCGCCGGAGCCATGCTGCTGGCGTTGTCACTGGCAGGGAGGGTATATCCTCGCAAGTTAGTCCAGGCAGGAAATTGTTCCCATCCGCTTGCACCAACCAGCGTGACCACATCGTCGACTCTCCTCGGTCATGATAACTAGAGCCCCGGCATCAGCTTCGCCAAGCCTTGGAAACCACCCATGCCCCCTATCTGAGCTTATCCCTACATAGCAAGAAAGCAATGGCTATCCGCTCTGCCAAGGACGACGGCCAAGCTGCTCCGATTGTGACTATGAATGCAGAGCTGGAAGAGGAAGAGGTCGGTCTAGACCGACTAGACCAGCGAAGACGACAGGAACAGGATCGGAAACATGAAGAATCCCAAGCCACTGGCATCTGGACTGGCTCGTCCGACCTGGAACACGACTCAATCAACGAAGAGAGACGCGGAGACAGCGACCGGGAGCCGGCACACGTGTCACTGGGCCAGGGCAACCCGGTAGAGCACTACAGCTCCTTCTTCGAGGTGCCCGACGCCATCTACGACAAGTTCCCGCCCCACCGCAAAGCCATCATCGTGGCGCTGCTGTCATTCTGTGCCTTTCTGTCGCCCATCTCGAGCACGTCGGTGCTGGCCGCCACCCCCGAGGTGGCCGCCGAGTACAGCACCGATGGATCCATCATCAACGTCGTCAACGCCGTCTACTTGCTCATGATGGGCATCTCGCCCATTATTTGGGGGCCCATGAGCGAGGTATACGGGCGGAGAAGGGTGAGAAGCCACAGCCAGAGAGGACCTTCTTATTAGTGACAGAACCAAGCGAGGCTGACAATGGACCAAAACCCCCTTTCACGCTTCAGATAAACCAGATCTCTGCCGTCTTATTTTGCGGCTGCAGCATCGGCACAGCCCTGGCGCCCAACCTGGTCGCTTTCTTTATTTTCAGAATCTTGACGGCCTTTCAAGGGACGGCCTTCATCCTCGTCGGGTCGGCATGCATAGGGTGAGCTGAGAACGAGTTTACTATTCCATTATCTACCAGGTGGAGAGGGGCAGAGAAGCATAGATTGCCTTCTATATTTCAATATGCGAAACTCACATGTCGGAACAGCGACATCTACCGGCCTACGGAGCGTGCTACAGCGCTGGGCTGGTTCATGTCCGGAACCCTCATCGGGCCCGCCTTTGGGCCCTTTGTCGGGGGCATCATCGTGACGTACACGTCGTGGCGCGTCATCTTCTGGCTGCAGGCTGGCCTGGCCGGTGTCGCGGCAGCGGGCACGTTCACAGCGCTTCTGCCCGAGACGATCCACCAGCGCAAGAGCGACCACCTGGTTGGTCTCGGGCCGCGGAAACGGGCAGTCGTGCTCTGGAGCATGGTCAACCCTGGGCGGGTGCTGGCTCTCCTGATCTCGTACCCGAACCTCGCCGTAGCCAGCATCGCCTCGTCGGCGGCTATCTGGAACATGTACTCGCTACTCACGCCCATCCGCTACGTGCTAAACCCGCGGTTCGGGCTGGAGACACCCATGCAAGGTGGCCTCTTCTATCTCGCCCCCGGGTTCGGCTATCTCGTTGGAACTACGGTTGGCGGGAGGTGGGCTGATCACACTGTTAAGAAGTGGTGGGTGGTCTGCTTTCATTTAAAAATATCCTCTGACAGCCTCTTTTTGCCTGGCTACCTTGCACCTACAAAGAACGAACCGGGCATACGGAGTCTAACAAGATGCCGCTAGGATTGCTTGCCGCAATGGTGTGCGCGTGCCCGAAGACCGGTTGCGTGCGGCGGTGCCCTTTTTGGGCATCGCGATACCCGTGTGCGTGCTGATCTACGGATGGGGGGTGGAAGAGAACGTGGGCGGGATTCCGCTGGCGGTGGTGACGCTGTTCCTGCAGGGCGTGTCGCAGATGTTCTGCTTCACGTGCCTCAACACGTATTGCCTTGACGTTATGCAAGGGCGAAGCGCCGAGGTGATTGCGGGCAACTACTTTGTGCGGTACTCATTCGCGTGCGCCGCCACGGCCTGCGTGCTGCCGGCCGTCCGCGCCATCGGCGTCGGCTGGTTCTCGACCGTCAGCGCCCTCTTCCTCGTCGCCGCCGCCGCGTCGACCCTCGCCACCATCCGCTGGGGCAAGGGATGGCGCGACAGGGTGGACGCGAAGCGCAGGGTCAAGAGAGCCGCCGACCACGCCATCACGAGCAAGGAGCTCGGGGAAGGGAAAGCGGAGGAAGGGAAGGGGGAGGAAGAAACCGGGGTGTAATCACTCAAAGGCTAGGCTAGTAACAACACGCGTATTGCAATAGTTTGATAGTGGCTCAGCTGTGAACTGCGTAGCTTGGCCATGTGATACTATGTTCGCCATGGACCTAAACCGCAGTGGCTGGAGGCCGTCCAGAATAGTTTTCCCCGAAGGTCTTAAACCTCCAATATTGAAGTAGAGAAGTGTTGCCTTGGTGACAGGGGGCAAGATGAATATCAGCGTGCGTCATCCAACGCCAACAAGCTGATGCTATCTAAATGGGGTGCATGGCTAGATCAAGGTAACACAAACGCCGCGAGAAGGCTGACGCGTATAAGATCTAAGATTATCGCGGCAGTGTCCGAGTTCAAGTTTGTTGGATGGACGACGAGAAGGGCGGCAGCAGGGAGGGGCTTCACATTTGGAGAAAAGGGGTTCAAGCATAGATGTGTAGGTGCTCCGGATATATCTGTGCTTTGAAGAGAGAGTGGCGGGAGGAGTAGCGCTGTGCTTGTGCTTGTGCTCGGACACTTTTATTAATATCCTTTTGCCATAAAGAGGGCGACTGGCTACCGAGCCTCACGTCTTCGCTCACAGGCAGGCAGGGATAGGGGTAAGATAGATAGGTACGGTAAGGTAAGGTGGGCAAGTACTAGATAGGTGTATATCTATTCCTTCGTGATCGTATGTAGGAAAGAGTGTGTGTGTGTTGACACGAGACTAAGAGGCAGATAAATGTTGGGCATTCTTCTTCCAACCTGCACACACGTGTAGACACCCATCCATCTACACTGTTCGACAACGGCTAAATGTTATACGCAGAAACATATACACTTGTGCGATAATTCACCAGCACGAATATGCCCGGGTGCTAGCTGTGGTATTTTGGCCGTGCGTGTATGTTCATAGTATACGCACGCACTGTCCGTTGTCACGCTGGAAAACTTGGGATTGACAGGATAGGGGCCTTGCTTGGACTGGTTAGGTAGGTACATATCCCTTGGATATGGATTGGGAAAAGTACCATCCATCTCTCTCGATGTCTAGCAGTCCGCATGTGTGTGTGAGAGGAAGAGAGAGAAGGGTAGAGGTCGGCGCGAAGCCCCCTCCTCTATCTCCCATTGCCTAGGACATAAGAAAACGAAATTTAGATGTTCGGTCTTCGATAGAGTTGACGAATAAATAAATTCCGTAGGCTGCGCACCTACCGGTTTTGTTCGCAAGCGAGCAGCCAGCAAAACCTTGATTCGTGCAGATTACGCACCCCTCCCCCGGCTTAGGTCTAAGCTCTTGGTTAACGTCAAGGACCCGAGTGCTGAGAGCTGATGATGGTAGCGGCGGAGAAGGGGGTGGAAACTCTAACGCAGTTTGAGCGGCCCGTCAAGGCGGCAGATCGCCAACTAGACTGCTAGGTAAAGGTAGGTATATCAACGAGAAAGCTTGCTCCTGTTTTTATTGTTGGCTCGAAAATCCAACAATTGACGGCGAGGAGGTATTTTTTCCGTTCTCTCTTTTTTCCATTGTCCTCCTCTCAGAGAAGATGGTCTCGCCAGCTAGGCACCTTGGCGGGTTCTAGCTTTACGATGTGAATAGTTGATATAGTCCTTGACATCAACCAGACAGAAAGGGTGTTTGGAACACCGGAGTGTCGTCATCCCCATTTTCTCACCAAAGAAAACTGGGTCAGGGAATGCTTCTCGAAGACTTCTGATGGGGGGCTGGGGCGTTTTCTGCCTCGTGTGGTCAAGGCCAAAGAAAGAAAGAAGAAAAAGGGTCTGAGATGTGGAAAGTTTGCCGGCCTCTGTTGGCCTGTTCATTCGAGCGACTGTGGGTGTGAAACCGAGCCTCACTGTCTCGTTGCGCCTTTTTGTTTCAGCAGCTTTTGTGAATGGCGTGTTGCTATCCGTCTAGATGTCTGAGCATAACGGCACCCCCCCGCCCGGGCAACCATGCGACCCGTCCACAAGCAAGATGGAATGACAAGCAGGAAAATAACAAGATGATAACAAGATGATGTGCAACGGTAATAACTGCCCATAGACCGGCCAGCCAATTTTAATTTCGACTCATGTCGTCGTCGTCGTCGTAATTTGATGGCTGGGGGTCCTTTCTATTTTTGGCTGTATTCTAGCAAAAGACGGACACTCAGCACGGATGGCTCCCGCACAGGCGTGCGCAGCTTGTGCAGAGACCCATCCCGCTGGATCGCCCAGGCAATCCCGCACGACCGAGCATGATCTGCCGCGTGCGGAGAGAGATGCGAGCTTGGCATTATCGAAGCTTCCTGGATCGGCAGAGCCCTGAGACAGCCGACGCTGGGCCGCCGCGACGGTCGGTGGGATGTTTCCTGTTACTCGGCAGCCACGGCCTCGGCCACCCGGCCTGATTCGGCTTTACTTGGTACCAACAGCCCACGCAGTTCCAACTGAGCTGAGCCTGACACGGCCTCAGGCTGTCCGCCATTTCGGATTGGCATCCCAATTAGGGCGGGCTGAGGCTGAATTCTGCAATCAACTTTGTTCGTGGCAAGCTATGCCAATTGTCTTGTGGAAGAAAGGCCAAAGGCGGCCGCTGCAAGACGGTTCGATCAGCAGCTGCAGGGTTGTGAAAGGCGCGGCGCCAGGCGCTGCGCTCAGCACTGCTCAGCGCTGTCTGTACAGTACGGAGTCCGGAGTACGGAGTACCGTCGGCAACTGGGCGACACAAACATACCAAGACGCAGTCGGACACACAATGTCCCTATAACGGCCACAGAGCACAAACCTGAGGACAATCAAATGGGCCTGTTCCAGGTCCAGGTGAGATGTCACTCACAGGTTGTGCCCCTCCACTCCGAGTCGCCAGTTGGTACGAAAAACGGTGAAAAAGGGAGCACGGTGCCGGGGATTGGAGCGTGCTCCTTCTGTGTCCGTATCTGACTAAAATTGCTAGTTACCCCACCATTACGTAGATGGGACCGTGAGGTGGGACCAAGCAGTTCAAGGGACAACCTCAAACTTGCTCTGGGTCTCGAGCTCCTGCCGTACCAAACGAAGAGCTTGTCCGGTGCTTCCACTTCAGCTTGCTTGCTCGAGGTACAGGTATTGCTTCAACCCAATCACCTGACTTCCTAACCTTCAATTGGAAACAAGCCGATTACGACAGACAGGCTGAGATACCTGCGCAAGCGAAATGCTAGCTAGAACTCAATCTTGGAGCTCGATCCCCTCCCCAGGTTCCTAAACGTCTGCTCTCTGACGCTGTAAGAGCTTCTTCGTCCAATCACTGAACAAAAATTGGAAACCGCACGCCCGACAAGGTCGTCTCTGTTTGTGGCGTAGGAGAATTAAAGACCTCATGGCCGCCGGTATCCGAAGCCTGGGGGGAAGGGGGGCCCAAAATAGGTCCCTAGCTGTGTTCGTGACAGCCAGCAGCCAGACGACTATCGCTGACGCCCCGCCCCAGCCCGAGTCGGACGCTTGATCGGGAGTGGGGGACTCGGGAGGGGGTAGGGGGGAGGGGCTCGAACCAAGATGCACGATCTGAGATCTAAGATCTGAGAGATGCATCCACTGGGTGGGAGGCCGGGGCCGGGGCCGGGAGGGTGTCGAGCTATCCCGCCTGTCCGCGCATCAGTTCAGCCGTGGGCCAACATGCAATGCTGTCGGCCTCTTAAACTCAGGTCGCCCCAGAACTGGTACCTGGTACTTTCCCCCCAAGACTTGGAACCAGTCTATATACCTCCGTCTGCCGTCCGGGCTGGGTGCGTCGCAACCCTCATAGTGTTGGCCTAGCTGGTAGTGCTGGCCTGGTCCTGTAGGCGACTTCCACGTTTCTCTCTCCCATACCAAAACTACTAGTATGGGGGGTGTTTCTTAGAGTCTCATGCTCTCCCCCACCGCTTATCCCCCTCGTTCCCGCCCCGCCTCCATGCCTGTCCGCTGATCGCGCATGGCCCGTCTTGGTAGTGCCTTCAACAAGCTTCAAGAACTTTCTAATATTCCTCTGCATCAGATCTTCGAGAGTGGGTGCCCTGTGCCTCTCGATTATCTCTCTGACTGACGTCTTCTCTTTCCCCGAGCAACACGTCTGCTTGTTTACTCGTCTATGCACCCTCCTTTAAACTCGGTGGCATTCCTTTCCCGAGTCGGATCCCGCTCTCACTCATAGTCAATGGTTTTTTCCTTTTTTATGTCGACACTATTCGCCACCCTACTCTCACAGACCTACCCGCGACTGGCCTAGACGGGATACAGCCCGTGTCACCCGATCTTTTGAACGACCGCGCTTGGCAAGCATCTCGCAATGGAGGGGGGCTCGTTTCTCGGAATACGGAAATCCACGTCCTTAACTAGTATCCTTTCCACCAGAGACGAGAAACTTGGGCTCCCGCTGCCGGCCCACCAGCAACAGAAGATCAGAGTGCGGACCATTTTAGGCCATTGTCTGTATCGAAGGGTTCTACTATGGTCCGCTGCCGTTCTCTTCTTCCTCTTCTTCGCCCTGTCGAGAAGCAGGACCCATCTGCAGCATGGCAGGATAATGGATATGGTGGACTTCGCCCAAGGGGAGACGGAGAATGTCAGCAGCCTAGAAGTGGTCGAGCTGGTACCACCGAGCGAGGTCCAGGCCAAGGAGAAGACCGACGACGAGAGCGATGGCTCCAAAGACGCAGGGTCTCACATGCCCCACTGGCTGCGGTTCAGGCAGTAAGTCTATGCTCTACAGGTGTCTCGGTTCCAAACCTATGTTGACCTTGCCAGCCTTGACGGATACTTCAACGGTATCAAGGCCATGGTGTCGCTCAGCGAACACAGGCCAGAATTTCCAAGGAAGAAGGGAGAGAAGTCGCCTTTCCCTCTGACGGTGACTTACAATAGCTTGCCAACACCCACCCCCTTTGTTCCTCAGCCCGACTACAAATCACCCGAGTACACGAGCAAGTATCATGCAGTTGAACCTTGCTACCTCGACAAGGATGAGAAAGTCCCCGTCCCAGACCTCTACGCCTACAGCGGGGTCGTCCAGGGCATGCCGCTGCCGGCTATGGGGTCCCACAGTCTGCTCGGCCTACGAGATGACATATGCTTCGATCGGTTTGGCAGATACGGGCCATACGGACTGGGCTACGGCTTCGGTGAAGGGGGCGTGGAAGTGGGCACTGACACTGAAAACGAGTCAAGCCAAGCGGTGTGGTCCAAGGGAGGCAAGATCAACTACGACAATGTCGACTGGGGCGACGCCCAGACACGGTGCTTCGAGTCTAACAAGAAACGTTTCGTGGATCCCGTCACGGAAGACGACCAGAAACCCGAGCCTCGAAGCAGCACATCTAACGAGCCCGAAAAAATTGCCCGCACGGCCATCGTCGTTCGAACTTATGTCGGGTTCCCATGGTCACAGCATACGGTTCTCAACTTCAGGGCCATGATCTCGGAACTATCCTTGCGGTCGGGAGGCGAGTACACGGTGCACTTTCTACTCCATATACGCAGCAACGACGAGCCCATCTGGGCAAACCCTGCAACGGCACAGCATATTATGGACGAGAACGTGCCCTACGAGTTCCACAGTATCTGCACCCTGTGGTCCGAGGCACAGATGCGTCTCATATACCCAGGTCGCTTTGGGAGTTCGGTCGCGAACCCGAGTAACGGCGATATCCACGGCGTCTACCGCAGCGCTCAGATGCCGTTGCAGAATTTCGCTGCCAACCATCCAGAGTACACCCACTTCTGGAACTGGGAGATGGACATGCGCTGGCTTGGGAACTACTACGAGCTTTTCGATCGTCTTGCCACCTGGGCCAGGAACCAGTCCCGGATCGAGCTTTGGGAGCGGTCACAGAAATATTACATTCCCAACTTACACGGGAGCTGGGAGAATTTTAGCAATCTTGTCCACCAAGAAATGCAGGACAGTGGCCGCAAGACCATTCTCGGACCTGTGCGTTTTGCTGGCCAGACATCGGCGCACGCCGGCAATATCATTGAGGAAGAGAACCTGCCGGCGTCGTGCACCAACAGCACCAACATGTCCCAGTGCGGCGTGGGTGAGGAGGCAGACCTCATCACGCTCAATCCAATCTTCGATGCCGAGGAGTCGGGCTGGGTTTTTGCTTCGGACGTGACTGGATACGACAGTTCTTCCCCGACGCCTCCCCGCAGATGTGCAATCATCACGGCATCCCGGCTCAGTCGCCGTCTGCTCATGGCGATGCACGAGGAGACTTGGAAATACCACCACACCATGTTCTCGGAGATGTTCCCGGCGTCGGTGGCCCTCCATCACGGGTTCAAAGCTGTTTATGCGCCCCACCCCGTCTATCTCGACCGCGGCTGGGACCTCGAGTCTGTTGACGAGGCTTTCAACGGCGGCCGGGACCACAGTACTTCTCGCCATGGCAGCCCTTTTGATTTCCAAAACGAACACAACCACAAAGGAAGCACCTGGTACTTCAACAGCGAATTTGCCGGGCTATTATGGCGGCGTTGGCTTGGCTACGCGCAGATGGACGGCCGCGGAGTCAACGGCGGCCGGTCCGGCGAGGGCACTTTGCGCGGAGGCATAGTCGAAGAGAAGAGCGCTGCAAGCAGCGGGCGTCTATGCCTAAAGAGTGTCCTCCTCCACCCAATCAAGTGGGAGCATCCCAGCGAGATGTGGTGAGACCGGAAAGCTCGGGTCCATGTTTCTTTCAGATCTAGCGTGAGATCGACCTCCGCATCTGTTTCTTTTCAGCAGACACTGACTGCGCTGACACCTGGGTATTCTGGCACAACAAGACGCCTGCCCTTTGGTGTAATTCACACATCCACACCATATACAGGATATCACCTATGAAATTATGGCGTCTATTGGATTTGGCTGCATTGCATTGTATACAATGGGGATTGGATGGGGCAATAGACCCCGGTTGGGTGAAGAACGGGTACATAAAATTGAACTACCCGTGGTCAGGTTGGCATGACCGGCGTCGATGGGGAACAACTTTTCATGACTCAGCGCTGAATTACTTTCTCCTATGTATAAGTTTACTTTGCTTGATCCGTTGTCCGGATCAGCGCATAATATATTGTTTTTCAATAATTGTGACAACTTCAACCTAGAACACTGTTGCCTGAGAAATGACAGTACTGACAATTACCAAAGTCTCTAACCCCTCACCAAGCACGGAAACCTTTCGAATCCATAGTATCCTATCCAATTACGAAATTGTCACTAACGGAATGGCTGGACCAAGGACGGCCGTTGAGCGAGTTGGATAACCCCCACGCCCTTGTCGATACGGTGTGAGAAAAGAAAAAAGCAAGCAAGCAAGCTCGCATGCGGGGCGCCCGAGCCCGAGTCTGTTCTCTGCATGTCACGCGCATAGTCGACGAAGCACGAGACTTTCAGGCTTTTTTTTACGTCTCTTCTCTTGTTCTCTCCAGGTCTGTTTCGTTTGCTAGAACTCCGTACCGAGCACGGAGTACGGAGTACGGAGTAGGCCGGATTGTTTTTCGTTACGAACGTGTACCACTTGTCTTGTACGTCTGTCCGTCTGTATATTTGAAACTCGGGGCCTATCTTTGTCTACCTATCTGTCTGTCTTGGTAGCAAACGGTTGGCCAGCGACTCGGGACTCGGGTTTATTATTATTTATTTGAGGGATATGGATAGAAGACGAGTTGAGACAAAACAACGCATCCCGCATCCCCTCAACTTACCCCGGAAGCGTTGAAGGGAGGGAGGGAGGGAATCGTGGGGTAATCGGATTTTTTCCCCATATGACTGAACGCCCGCGGCCTGCGCGCATTTCTAAATGGATGGGTGAGGTGAGGTGATTGGGTAAATACGATCCTTCAGCCCTGCGAGCCTCATCAGCTGCTTCCAGATTCTTTTTTTTTCCCGTTGCAGAGTTTTTTTTTTCGGGTGAGAGAGAGACTAGATACTTTCTACCCTCGGCAATGCCATGCATGCAAAGAGTTTTAGCCAAGGTGTGCGACATGCATCCATAAGTACATAGAGTGACAAGGCAATCAATTCTCTGTAACCCCTATCCAACGAGCGGAGTGCTTGTTGGTGACATTGATCGTCTTTCATCTGATTATAAACAAACACTCTAACAACCAACCCGCCAGTGAGTGAAACAAGAAGGGTACGGATTATCCATCGCCAATTGGGAACCTGCACTACACTACGTCGTCATAGGTGGATCTGAAACCACTTAAACTTGCAGGATGCAGCACAGCAACGAAAACAAAAACCAACCCGTGGGGAGAGGTCCCCGCTGCTGGGTGGCAGACAGACAGGTGGTGACGACAGTAGGCTGGGAACGGTCCATGTTGCGGGCCGAGGTTTTGATTTTTGATTTTTTTTCCCCGCAGGAATTGAGGTTTCAATCTGTAGTCACTTATCTCAGGTAAATAAACAATTAGAGGTATTCCGTAGTTTGAACTAGATCCTCGTTGTCCGTAGGGCACATAGCGATGGAAGGAGCTCCCACGCTGCGGGGTCAGGGTCTGGCGATACCGACCAAAGAAGCTGCACTTGGCACCACAGCGACGGGTTTGCCACGATCTGCGATCCCCGCCGAGATCTGGCCTGCAACTTCGACCACGGGCAAGGCAGTTCACAAGAGAACCCTCGCCTTTATTAATTGAAAAGTCTCACCAAGCTAGCAGTAATCGATCGGGCGGGTCAGCATCCGCCCTTGCTTTCATCGCATCACCGGCTGAGCACCTTGGCGGCCAATCGCAATAGCTGGACCCTGGAAATAGGGAAAGTCAATATTACTGCTCGGCCACCCCTTTGTCAGGCTCTTCACACCCATTCGCCTTCAGCGCGTCCCGAAAAAGGTATACAGCACAGACTGTGTAGCGTGACTGGTAGCCGTGTCGTTTTGGGAGAAACAAAAACACCGAAACAGTTTTCGCAAGCATCAAGCAACAAGCAAAAAGCTGCGCGGAACAGAGCTGTTTCGACTTTCCGGCTGAGCCCCATCCTCCTTTCAGGTTGGCGGTCTTTTAATGGGCCCTCGTGATCAACTCGGCGATTCCTCCACTCTCGCTTTCCCCAGGCCCGGCAAGCTCCCAAATTTCCCGCGCTCTTTTCTTCGGGCCTGCTGATAAACCCCCCGTATCCGAACCTAGCGCTGTCAGCCCCTGTGGGCACCTCCGCTACGTGACCCTGTCACCCTAGGACGCCAACCTAACCTACAGCATCCCACCTCCCAGCCACGACCCCGAGACTGGAACTTCTCCTCTCGGCCCTTAGTTTTGCTTTTATCTTTTCCTATTTTCCTGCTCATCTTCCTATTGCAACAGGAAGTTGGGTCTTTGCTGCCTTGAATCGCCCCCTCCCTCCCCTCCGCTCGCATTTTGGGCCGTAAAGCAACCTAAGCGTCTCGAACGAGTGTTGGCCGTGTTGGAAGCTCCCCAACGGAGATACGTCACGTCAGCCAACCCCACTATCTACCTTATCTTTGCCTCGGAGAGTGAGCGTCGGCCTACAGAAACCCACGATCATGGCCGCGCAACTTCCGGCTAGCGGTCTAGGCGGCACGCCCCGGAGAGGCGGCTCCACTGATGATTCGGGCGTCTACGACGATGCCAGAACCTACTACACCACCGAGCACCGCCACGTGAACAGCCGTGCCGGCCCTCGCACGCGGACATACTCACAGGTGCGGACGCATTGAGCCCGTCGGGACCACGCAATTGCCTCCAATCGCTAACACGGATTGCCCAACAGAATGGCCTGGTCAGGCAGTTTGAGCGGATGGGTCTACAGGAGCCCTACAGGCGAGGGAGCCACGGTAAGGCCGTCTGCTAGCAGCACGCGCCATTAACTGCTGACCATTGCCGCGTCTAGACGAGTCGACGATCCCCCACGGGCGCAAATTCCTTATCCAGGTCGACCCGACACTACACAGCTTACAGACGCAGGAAGACACGGACGGAAATATGCAGATCACCATTGAGGACAACGGCCCAAAGGTCTTGACGCTCCGCACGGCAGCATCCAACGGACACAACCGCTTCGATATCCGCGGCACCTACATGCTCTCCAACCTCCTGCAGGAGCTGTCGCTTGCCAAGGAGTACGGTCGCAAGCAGATCGTCCTGGACGAAGCGCGGCTAAACGAGAACCCCGTCAACCGGCTGTCGCGAATGATCCGTGACCACTTCTGGGAGGGCCTGACGCGGCGGATCGACGCTTCGAGCATCGAGATTGCCGCCCGAGATCCAAAAGACTGGACAGATGACCCGAGGCCCCGTATTTATATCCCGCGGGGGGCGCCGGAGCAGTTCGACTACTACACGAAGCTGGCGTTGGAAAAGCCCGATATCCGCCTGGATGTGCAGCTTCTCCCCGAGGTGATCACGCCCGACGTGGTGCGGGACATGAACGCTAAACCGGGCCTCCTGGCCGTGGACATGGAGGAGGTGGTGGACCCCAAGACGGGGGAAAAGACACTGAGGGGCCGCCCGTTTGTCGTGCCCGGAGGCCGCTTCAACGAGCTGTACGGGTGGGACAGCTACATGGAATCCCTCGGGCTGCTGATCAACGACAAGGTTGATCTCGCCAAGTCAATGGTGCTCAACTTTTGTTTCTGCATCAAGCACTACGGGAAAATCCTCAACGCCACGCGGTCTTACTATCTGTGCCGATCACAGCCCCCATTTTTAACAGACATGGCGCTTCGAGTGTACGACAAGATTAAGCACGAGCCGGGTGCCTTGGATTTCCTCCGTACCGCTATCCTTGCGGCCATCAAAGAGTACCACAGCGTGTGGGTGGCCGAGCCCCGCTTAGATCCGGTTACGGGCCTGTCCAGGTACCGGCCCGAGGGTCGTGGTGTGCCTCCCGAGACTGAGGCAGGCCACTTTGTCCATATTCTAGAGCCCTACGTGGAGAAGCACGGCATCACCTTTGACGAGTTTGTCCACGCCTACAACGAGGGCGACATCTCGGAGCCCGAACTGGACGACTACTTCATGCACGACCGCGCCGTGCGCGAATCTGGACACGATACGACATACAGGTTCGAGGGCGTGTGCGCCGACCTCGCGACCATTGACCTGAACTCGCTTTTGTTCAAGTACGAGTCAGATATTGCGCGCACCATCCGCAATGTCTTCCACGACAAACTCGTGATCCCCGCAGAGTACTGCGTCGGCAACCTGAAGCCGGGCCAAGTCGAGACATCGGCTATCTGGGACCGCCGGTCGAAGCGCCGAAAGCTGGCGATGGACAAGTACCTCTGGAACGAGAAGGAGGGCATGTTCTTCGACTACAACACGGCCACGCGCAAGCAGTGCACTTATGAGAGCGCCACCACCTTCTGGGCCCTCTGGGCAGGTTCTGCCAGCCCCTCGCAGGCAGCCGCCATAGTCACAAAGGCGTTGCCCAAGTTTGACGCCTTTGGAGGACTGCTTTCTGGCACTAAGGAAAGCCGCGGCGAGATTGGCCTCGAGAGACCAAACCGACAGTGGGATTACCCGTACGGCTGGGCTCCGCAGCAGATGCTCGCGTGGACCGGCCTGTACAGGTACGGCTTCACCGACGAGGCCGAGCGGCTGGCCTACAAGTGGCTGTTCATGATTACCAAGGCCTTTGTCGACTTCAACGGCGTGGTCGTCGAGAAGTACGACGTGACGCGGCCTATTGATCCGCACCGCGTGGATGCTGAGTACGGCAACCAGGGCTTGGACTTTAAAGGTGTTGCCAAAGAAGGGTAAGTCTTGGGATTTGGGTTCATTTTGTGGTGTTAATAGACTAACTAGTGGTCTGCAGGTTCGGGTGGGTCAACGCCAGCTACATTTACGGTCTGCAAATTGTCAACGCCCATATGCGTCGCGCGCTCGGCACCCTCACCCCATACGATACTTTTATCAAGGCAATCGACGAAAACCGGGACAAGGCCCTTGCCTCGCTTGAGTGATTGTTTTCGTTGTCTTTCTCTTTCTCTCGTGGACTTATCACCCAGTCTCATATGAAGGCGTCGACGCTTACCAGATTGCCGTTGGACCGTGGGGGTTAGACCCTTTGGCGGCTTGTTCATTCACATGCACATGGCATGACATGACATGGACATCGAGCTGTTGTTTCTATACTGTTATACTTTGTTTGCTCAGTAGTGGTAGTGCTGGAGGTTGTCAAATGATTTGGCGTGGCTTGCTATTTGGGTGTGGTTTATTTTGGAGGTGTTGACGCGACAAAAGAGCGTTTAACGTGGAAATTGAGAATTGAGAATGATCATCCCAAGAAGCTAAGCCACCCAGCAAACGGTGGGTCAGCCATCTGCTTGCCTACCTAGCTAGTTGATCTGATAATAGAGCAACAGGTTGATAGAGTCTGGCCTGGTTGGACGGGCGGATAGAGTTGGGGGATAGAGCGTCTGGAGGTTAGACTGAGGACCGCGTCCTCTCCCTTGGAGGTAGGAGACCTAGACTTGCAACTTTGTTTCCACACCTATTCGCCGTTCCAATTGTTGTTTCCTGCGTCACGAACTCAGCTTTGCTATTCTCGAGCATAAAGTCTCAGTTCGCAACCACTCGTGACAGCCTAGGTTTGGGGGGGGAAGGATAGCAGGAAAGGGCTTCCACTGCCAGAGTGCCTTCTCTGGTGGTATTGATCGTGGCTCCTCGCTAGATCGAAATTACAGCCAAGGGTTATGTACTTATGGCTACCTAGTTGATCCTGCCGAAAGAAGTCAGCGAGAGAGTTCACTAGAGCAGGGTAGCGCTAGCATTCACGTTAAAGACCTAATGGAGAAATCTAGAGCCGTAATAGAGAAACCAAACGGCCTCGTGTATAATACCTCCATTTAGACTATTAAAAACGTCTTGACATAGACTAGATAGAAGATACGTCTAGTATTCACGTCAAGGCCTAACGGAGAAATCCAGAGCCGTAATCAAGTGATTCCATCCTCGCAAAATCTGACCAACAAGCCTGGGACATCTGATTTACGGCCTGGGGCTTGATTGTATAAGTTGTGTCGGATTGATGACATATTAACTTAGTTGATGAATATATTTATAAGATATTGGTGGAGCTCTGTTGGAACAGAGTAGTCTAGTAGTTCTGCTGTTCTAATAGTCTTTTAATAATCTGGCGAAATGGAGGAGGCTTGCAAAAATCCGGGTGAATGGGGTGTGTTGGTTAGGTACCTAGGTAGGTTGACAATTTAAGGGAATCTGGCAGAAGCTTTGGTTAGCTATCAGAAAACCCGAGCAAGACAGAGAACTACTCGCTATAAAAACAAATGGCGAGAAGTATCCAAAGCGTATGTTAAACTCCTTCCTGCTATCCTTTTCTACCCAGAACCTAGGCTGTCACGAGGGATTGCCAACTCCACTGTGGCTCACTAAAGAAAGCTTCTGCTAGTTAGCTTCCTTTAAATTGTCAACCAACGCAACTCCATTCACCGAGATCATTGCAAGCCCCCATCCATTTCCCACTCATTACAAGATCATCGGAAATACGAGGCCACCAACACACTCCATTCACCTAGATCGTTGCAAGCCTCCTTAATTTCGCCAGATCATTAGGACATTAAAAACCCGCGACTATTCCATCACAATAAAGTGCCCGCCATGGCTCGCCTATTTCTTTCCGCGACACGTTCACATCTGATGCGACCTCCCATTATCCACACGTCGATCCAGAGCTATTCAAGCAATTCCTCGCGAAATCAGAACGCCAGCCCAGAAATATCAGGTATCCATGCCGATATAGTCGACTCAAAAATCCCCGGCGTCGAAACCAAGCACCACGGCCTCGAGACCAAGCTTTCTGGCATTGAATCCAGGCTTGTTGGTATTGAATACAAGCTTGCCGGCGTCAGAACCGACCTTGCCAGCATCGGGACCGACCTTGCCGCCGTCAGAAACGAGCTTGCTGGCATCAGAACCAAGGTTTTCGGCCTCAAACCCAAGCTCGAGGATCACAAGAAGGCTACCCAGCCTAGGAACGAAGGGTCTTTCTGGGACTGGCCCTGCATCTGAAAGGCCTCAGCACCCTACGGGTCGCCCTCAAGGTCTTTCTCCGAGGGAGGTGATAGCTATTGGAACCCCTATTTATTTTAGAACCTTAGAGGTCTATCTCCTAGCTATAATATTTATTCTTTAATAGCACCTAGACACCGAATAAACACTTAGGGATGAGACTACATGGTGATAATATTAGAAGAAGCGTATGGGTGAATCTAGTAAGGGGAATAGGGGGTAAAAATGGTGAAAATGGTGAAAATGGGCTAACTCGATTGATGATAGCTACTAGGTGTTGTATGGACGTAAAATTCCTAAAAAAAAACACTGCTATGGGGCGGGGGGTTGTATCCAATACTGGCGTCCTATCCATGTGACCTGTCCTTGCCCCAATAGACTCGTGAGAATGCGAAGACGCGTGAGCGGTTTTGATCCCCTTCTCTCTTAATGAGAAAACGAACTCCTCAGAAACAACTGCTGATCCAGGATCCTGGTATACAGCAGCAGGTTTCACAGCAGTTACCGACTGCCACAGCGAAAAGGCCTTCAAAGCGTCCGTTACTGTGGTCTAAGGGATAAGGAAAGCCCAACAGAAGCGGCAAATGTAGTCGATAGTGACCGTATTTCCGAATTGAGATATTGGAAAAGGTCCTACATAATCTATTCTAAGTTACTTAAAATGGGCTGAAGATCGTAAAAGGCTGGGGAGGAATATGCAGTGTCCGAGGGCCGTGTTTTGCACATTCTAAGTAGCCCGCCACAAAGCCAACCACATCTGACGAGAGATTGGGCCACCGCGAGTTTCTGATCACTAAGGGGATCTACTTCTCACCGTCCGTACTAGGCCTAGACTCGGCCGTCGGATTAATAAGGTACCTAGTGTCGCAATCCGCATGTGTCTGACGCATTATAGACTATTAGAGACTTCCCTCTCTCCTAGAATTATATACAATATTTATTCTTCATAAGTACCTAGATAAGGTACCACGTCAAGAATATTTAGGAGTTGGGCTATGAGGTGATGGTAACAAAAAAAGGGGGGGGGGGTCTACTTGGTTCTCGGCGTCTGCTTAACATGTAGTTAGAAATTCCGAGGCATTGGATCCGGAGGTACGGTGACTTGAATGCTCTACATGCTTACGGACATGTGTGTAAATGTTATTACCCAAGGCCCCTGAGCAGGGCAAGGTAGAGGTCTAACAGAAGCCTTTGCCTATCTGTCTGCCTCCCTCATGACCGGCGCCGACGGCGTAGACTGTTACATACGACCATAGGTGCTAGAGAACTCGGGATCCCGTCCGCTCTCCCCTAGATAAACTAGTGACCGCAAGTTTATCTAGCGGGTAGATGAAAACGCCGTTGAATTTGCGGCACACTGTTTAGATGACCGTTTCGCCAGCTTCGCCGGATTCGCTACTAGGTTGAAACTGGTAGGTATTCACATCATCGCAAACGATTCGAACAAGCGCAAAAGACATAACAACGGGAGTTTAGCGTACCAAGCTACGGAGAGCAGGACGATGTCACCGATGATGGCGACTCTGCGCCTTCGTCTACGCAGTCAACTGAACAGCTTGTTGGATGCGAAAACGACCTCTTCATCCCAAGCAGCTGCGAGATCAAACGAACGTTCTTTGTAGCATAGTTCTTTGTAGCATAGCATACCTGGCTCTAGTCTGTTTCTCATGCCAGAGCTAATTCGCCTGCTTATATGCCCTGCAGCATCTACGATCCCTCGATAATGCTAAAAGACGTCCCTGCGTTCCCGGAACTTGTCCCGCGAAAGTTCACTATGCAAGGAGTGGCTGTCTGGCCAACACGAAGGAGCGAGGATGAGGAGTCTTTGGTCCACGGCCTAGGAAAGTCCCCTTTTAGCCCTAAAGCCGCTTGCCTGCCGCCTATCATCGGCACCCGATTTTCGCTATTATAGAGGGACTCTTTCGTCAGATCCCCCGAGAGGACTCGGGATTCTCACCTTATGCTAGTCATACATCCTATCGATGAGACTCCTTAAACTGCAACGACGGCCGGGAAAGTATTCCAACACTTATTGTCTATAGCCGACGCTCGCCACCGAATATATCGCCAGTCTAACGGATATTTTCGACCTACGTATTCCGGCATCCTGCCGTTTGGTGCGATGGCTCTGCGCCGTCTTAGGGCCAGGTCTTGGTTGGCAGGTTGGCGGCTCTCTACCTATATAGATAGCGTATAGTTTGGGAGATGCCCGTTTTGTTACCCTAACCGATAATAAGCCAGTCTTATTTAACCCGAATGAATAACCCCCGAAGGACGAACGGCGAGGCACAAATAGAGTAGCTTTTACGGTATACGACGCGTTAGGAGTCTTAGTTTGGATTGGTACCTTGGAGTCCACCAAGAGGTTTGTCGCCGTATCAGCGGCGCCCTGCTGTTGGATGGAAAGATACCACTGTACGGAGTAAACGTAGCTAGTTCAAGCCAAATGGAAACTGCATTACTGCCTAGACGATGCCTGTTGCCTAATATCAGCTCGTGGGCTTTGTATCCGCCAGACAAAAGGTACCGGCGTAGGCAAGATAACGCACGAACGCCCTACAGGTGCGGCGTTGAAGTTATACGATAGTCGCTACGGATAGTCGTCCGTAATATAGTCGGCTGACTAAAGGGATTGTTAAACTAATCGTAGTTTTTGCGTCGGGGTAACCTTTACGTTTGTCAACCGACTATAGTATAGACAAGGTGCTATGGGCTTCCCATGAGCCGCCCCCGCATTCTTGTTGACACACGGTCACGCAGAGCGCCTTTCGACCAATTGAATATACTCGGTAAAGAACGCGGAGGGCGTTCCTGCTGTCGGCAGGTGGTCTGGGCGCCGGCGCCACGAGCCGTAAATCGAAGGCTAGCTTGTTGTCGACTCCGTGGCCAATGGTCGCCCCAACTTTTTGATGCCTGAGGTACTACAGCATAAATTGGCCAGGTGAGATAGCTGGGAGGCTCCATTCAGTCCAGCGGTTGCGCTGGCAGAAACCCACCACGGCGGTCAACGTGCCGGGAAAATGCCCCTCGAAGTGAAAAGGTGGTCAAGACGCCCAACCCCGCACGCATGTTGGAGCCTAGCGGCCAATCGTTCCTAGCCGCCGCCCCCACGCCTTGCCGCCTAAGTAGTGGATTTTCTTGTCGCCGAGTTCCAAATCACCTCCGACCAAACCAACTCTTTTGCGACTACTTGTAACAAAACGAACGACCTTACAGCGTAAAGTAGGCCTTTCCATCGGCTAGCCTGAGCCCCCGATAAAATTTCCATCCCCCTGCGCGCGTCAGCACGTTCCTCGTCATGAACGGTAGAGTTTCCAAGGCCTGGACCCGCGGCTCTCGTGTACAACTCTCCAAGGCCTTGCAAGAAACGCTGCTGGACGCTGTTGCGGGTAACATTGCGGGTGCGCATGTCGATATCCCCAGAGACTAGGAAGACTTGCTGACACATTAGGTACAGAGCTTCCACAGAGCTACCGAGAGCAGTCTCCATAGAGCGGAGATTTCGCCGGGGCCGCGACACCCGTACAAGCTCGGAAAAGGCGACTCGACGGGACAGAGAGCGATCCGTCGCCCGCGAAGAGAGCCCGATTAACACGGACAGACACGCAACAGCCTGGAGTTGAGAAATCAGAGCAGGCGGGCAAGGTATAACAACTATCCCCCACCTACGTCCACAACTAATGAGGCAGCTTGTGCAGACGACTCTACAACAGCCAAAGCCCAACCAGCATCCATACGCCTCATTCCTCAAAGACTTTGTCGACCCCGTACATCCGGCCCCCGGTCCCGCGTCCGTCCACACCTTTGTTTCCGAGTGGCTCGAATCGGTCGGATCAGATCGAGATAAGCACTGCCGGTCGGACAGCCATTTGCACCATTCAGACGGCGATCACATTTTGAGACAGCTCACGAGATCGGCGCCGGAGATGGGTTACACACGGTACGTCGATGGGTTTGCGGTGCCGCCAACACCAGCTTCTACCGGGTCGCAGTAGTACCGAGCGTCACACCCCGGATTGGTCGCGCCCTCAGACCTGAACGGCGCTACTTCTGGCTCAGGTCGATCGTCTGGAAGGAGCCTCGTCGAGGATCCAGATTACAGGGATCTGAACCTGGCCGCAAATAATGTCTACATGCGCCATCCATGCGACCCAATCCCGGAACACATTACCGACCTTGTTGATTATGTCGGCCAGGACCGTGATTCTCCAGGTCCGTCAGTAGATGAAGTCAGGCAAGATAGGGATCTGCATGATCTCTCGATGGGCGCCGGAGAACCTCAAGTGGAAGAGTATTTCCGTACCAATATTTACCCTTACCCTAAGTCGATAGAGAGCCTACAACGTAGCGACAGACAGCCGATGGCTAAGCACACTATCCCGAGTACCGGATCTATACTCAAAGTCAGCAACCTAGTACCCGACATGCTCTACGGATATAACCGCCATGGAGCATTTCCTCAGCAACAATCCCAACTTATATCCATGGGGCGTGAACCGAGGGCGAATAATCAGGGTCTGATATACCCATTCTTCGTCATCGAGTTCAAGGGTGACGGCCCTACCGGCGTAGGGAGTATGTGGGTGGCGACGAATTAGTGCCTAGGGGGTTTATTCTCCTGCGTTAATATCGCTGAACACCTTAACCGCCAGCTGAGGAACTGCAAGAACGATGAGGTCCGTCCGATTAATAGTGCCGCATTCAGTGTTGCCATGAGTGGAACAGAGGCGCGACTCTTCATCTCGTGGAAGCATGATGAGCTTGAGTACTATATGGCGAATGTCGAGAGTTTCTTGCTCCAGAGGCCGGATCACTACCTGGAGTTCCGCAAGTACGTCCGGAACATTATCGACTGGGGGAAGGACAAACGACTGAAAGAGATCCGGAATTCTCTGGACAGCCTTCTGGAGGAGAGCAGGCAAAGAGCTTCCGAGGCGGCGAAGTCCCGCCTACCACCATCTGATGGTTCTGCCACTAGCAGCGGCGAGAAGCGCAAATCTTCATCGTCGCGACGAAACAGCAGTAGATCCAACGGCGTGCAAGAACAAAGCGGCGGAGCAAATGAGCCGTGGGAATGGACTAAGACAACTCTACAAGACGCCCATAGTAAGGAGCCGTCCTACCCACCCCAGCAACTACAAAGCTTCCTTGACCCTAGCTACTACACTACACCCCAACTCAATGACGAGGGACTTGCTCTTCCCGAGTATCTCCCAGACGACTAGCAAGACCAAGGTCAGGAGGCACTTGTATCGTTTGGCTCGACCGTAGAACCACTAGCAATCTTTACGATGGATCCACCAACCGAAGAGCCGCCGACGGCGGCCGTAGATGATTACTGGACTTGGAGTACCAGTCGCAGGAAGTAGTATCACCTGAATGAGGATGGGTCTCGCGAGGTGTACAAGAAACTGCAACGAGGAAGTCACAAATAACCCACAGAAGAGCTATCGCCATTGCCATTGCCCTTGCTGTTGCTAGCCATTACCGTCGCCAGCCATCGCCCTTGCCGTCGCCCTCGCCGTCGCCAGCTATCGTCGTCACCCTTGCCGTCGCTAGCCATCGTCGTTCCCTGGCGAGCTCCCTGATGCTCTCCCTGATGGCCATGTCCCTGCGGACCCTTATGGCACGGTGGCGACGGCGATGGCGACGGCGACGGCGATGGCGCCTGGCCTCCTGAACGGGTTTCCAGCTGACTGCCTCCCTCCTAAAGTCATTTACACCTCTAAATCGGCCTTATATATGTCAATTAGCGAATAGGCCTGCAGTTAAGTAAAGGCTATGCCTTTACTACTAGGAGGATGCCACCTGCCCGGCTATTAGGACGGCTGGACGACAATTACAATCTAGAGAATGTGCGTCAGAAGAGATCAATGCGTGGATAGCTTGCGCTGCTGACCGGCGCTGCGCTCGAGGGGGTCGCTGAGTCGGAAGGCGGTGCGCTTGAACGAGCTGGGCGGCTGGAAGGCGGTGCGCTTGTAGGAGCGGCCGAGCTGGATAATACCAGTGAGTAAGTCGCAATAAAGTTCTTGCACAGATAGACGTTGTGTTGCGAGTTGTAGTTTACTCATTCGCGCCAACGGTACTACGTACATCGTTACATAGAGGTACAGTACGCAGTAAATTATGCCACCCTAACCCAGAACCTAAGCCTGCGGAAGGCAACACAATCCTTGGCACCACTTTCCCGGTCTCGTCCCGATGGCTTAAGCCACTGAACGATCGGCCAATGGATAAGGCCTCGCCAATCTCGATAAGACCAGCGGCGAGGCCTGCATCGGCGCTGCCCCGCAAATTGATGCATGCCCCTCCAAGAAAAAAAATTTTGCCCACCCTCGGGAGAGTGTCAGGTACTTGCGGTATGTACTGTACAGTACTGTACAGGATGCGCTGCCACTATCCGGCAGAGAAGGAGACGCCAGAAATGGATACCGACTCCGATTCCAATACTTGCCACCACCGCTCTTACCGCCCTTCCTCCCGCTCGCTCTCTTTTAACAGAAACAGAATCAAAATGGGCACGTTCATGTACACGGATTCCACCGCAGTACCCCTCGCCAAGTAGCGCGCCCCCGCCAAAGTAGCCTCCTCCTCCACGACGCAGATCAACGCCTCCACCTCCTTACCTGATACTGGGTACGGATAAACCGTTGGCCAACGTCGAGTGCTGTGCTCTCTCCGGCAGGGACTTCAGACTTCAAGCCGCACCAGCTAACTGTCGACCGTCTGTCACATTGACCCTTCCATCCCCTCGACTCACCCTCGCCTTCTCCCCCTACGAGAGCCGTCACCATGTGCGGCATCCTAGCCCTCATGCTAGGCGACTCGGCCAATGCCGATGCTGCCGTCGACCTGCACGAGAGTCTCTACTATCTCCAGCACCGGGGGCAAGATGCTTGCGGCATTGCTACCTGCGCCACCGGAGGCAGAATATTCCAGTGCAAGGGCAACGGGATGGCCTCAAAGGTTCGCGTCCTCCTTCCCCCCCAAGGTCTCCGCTGATTTAGTAGGTCTTTGACGACGGAAGGCGCGCCGCCGACCTTCCGGGCTACATGGGCATTGCCCATCTGCGCTATCCCACAGCAGGCACGAGCTCGGTATGAATTCCATGTCCCCTCGTCTCGCGTCTCGCGTCTCGCGTCTCTCAGCCTTGTGCGCCCGTCCAGATATGTCCTCGTCTGCCATGCCGTCCCAGCATTCTGGCTTCCCTCCTTGCCAGCTAGCTTGTTCGCAGCCTCGCCCCGTCCAGGAACTAGATGCTGACCCGCCGCCCCGTGCCCAGAGCGCCGAGAGCCAACCGTTCTACGTTAACTCGCCCTACGGAATCTGCTTTGCCCACAACGGCAACCTGATCAACGCCCCGGCCCTGCGCAGCTACCTCGACCAGGAGGCGCACCGCCACGTCAACACGGACTCGGACAGCGAGCTGATGTTAAACATCTTTGCCAGCGCCCTCAACGAGACGGGAAAGGCCCGTGTTAACGTCGACGACATCTTTAGCTCGCTGGCCTCGACATACCAGCGGTGCGAGGGCGCGTGGGCCGCCACCACCATGATTGCTGGGTTCGGAATATTAGCCTTCCGCGACTCGTACGGCATCCGCCCCCTCGTCATTGGATCCCGGCCCTCGGCCACCCTCGAGGGCGGCGTCGACTACATGCTGGCGTCGGAGAGCATCGCCCTCCGCCAGCTCGGCTTCCGGGACATCCGGGACATCTTGCCCGGTCAGGCTGTTTTCATCCAGAAGGGCGGCAAGCCCCAGTTCCACCAGGTGGTCGAGAGGAAGGCATACTCTCCCGACATTTGTATGGCCTCCTTTTTCGTCGGAAGCGCTCCCCTTGCTGACCCCAACCCTAACCCTAGTCGAGTTTGTCTACTTCTCCAGGCCCGACTCGGTAATGGACGGAATCTCCATCAACCGGAGCCGGCAGAACATGGGCGCCAAGCTGGCCGGCAAGATCAGGGAGATCCTCGGGGAGGAGGGCATCAAGGAGATCGACGTGATAATACCCGTCCCCGAGACTGCCAACACGGCGGCGGCCGTCGTGTCGGAGCGCCTCGGCATACCCTTCTCCAACGGCTTCGTCAAGAACCGTTACGTGTACCGGACCTTCATCCTGCCCGGCCAGAAGGCGCGGCAAAAGAGCGTGCGCAGGAAGCTGAGCGCCATGGAGTCCGAGTTCAACGGGCGGGTCGTGTGCCTGGTTGACGACTCCATCGTGAGAGGAACCACCAGCCGCGAGATTGTGAGCATGGCGCGCGAGGCGGGCGCCCGCAAAGTCATCTTTGCGAGCTGCGCGCCACCAATCATGCACCCCCACATTGTTAGTATCCGCATGTGTCATGTGTTAATCTACGTCGTTGCTAACTGCTGCTGCTCGCAGTACGGAATCGACCTGGCCACGCCCCAGGAGCTGATTGCGCACGAGAAGACGCGGACGGACATCGCGCGGCACATCAACGCCGACGAGGTCATCTACCAGGACCTCGACGACCTCAAGGACGCCTGCACCGAGGCGAACCCCGACGGCCAGGTCAAGGACTTTGAAGTGGGCGTCTTCTGCGGCAAGTACAAGACGGCCGTGCCGGAGGGCTACTTTGAGCACCTCAACGAGAGCCGCGGCAAGAAGCGCAAGACGGCCTCGACGTCGGACGAGCCGGCCGCCGGCGGCTCCCCGTCGGTGGTGGCGGTGGGAAACAGCGGCCCGGTGGGCGTCGTCGACGCCGCGGGCGAAACCAGCGAGGCCACGCTGCGGCTCAGGGCCGAGGCCCAGCAGGAGGCCAAGGACTCGCAGAGCGACGCGAATCGCGAAGACATTAGGTATGCTGCCCCTAGTACAAGGATTTTGTGTGTGGGCATTGCTAACGCGTTCTCCCTACACAGCATCCACAATCTGGCAACAGACTTTTCTAGTCGGTAGAGGAGCATTAGACAGGCTGGGTTAGGTAAAGAAAAAGAAATAGAAGCGGCTGGGTTGTCGATAATGCGATTTTCCCTATCATTTGACTTATCTATGTTTTGTTGCCTGAGTTATCATATCATGTCTTGTCTTGTTTGATTACCGTGGGCGAGATAAGAAGGGCTGTGTGTGCTGGGACAGAGAATATAAGACGTGGGAGGGCTGTTCATTGCTGCGGGTTACATGTTAGCATTTTGACAGGAGAATAGACGCAGATTCACTACTTGCCGATATGTTCTATTCCTCTAACTAGGGATGCACAGTACTTAGTACCAAGCACAGCACGAGACGGATATATAGACATGTATAGAGAGAGAGAGAGAGAGAAAGCAAAAGTGCGATGCGATGCGATGCGACATTTTCTGCATCACATCATCTAAACATTGTCCGGAATAATTCCTTCTCCAAGTTAGACAGACATGCAGAGAACAAAAGAAAAACAGCTTGAATATACACGGCAACGCAACGTATGTAGGCAGACAAACAGACAGACAAGATACAAAAGAAAGAGAGACAAAAATGCCCCGAGAAACCCCCGTGCGTGTATGCACAGGTGCCACCTCACTTCACTTCACCTCACAGTCATTTTTCCAAAGACACAACGCAACACAACGCAACACAGCACACGTCTACATCCCCCATTCCCAAACCCGTCTCTATCCCACTCAAGAAAGGAAAGGAAAGCAAACCTCAATGGAACTGGTCCTCCGTAACACCGCTCCCCATCGCGGCCGTCGAACTGACGCCACCAGTAACCATCTTCTGCAGCTCGTCGACATACGTCGCGCCGCTCCACTTCTGGTGCTTGACCACATCGACCCCAGCATCCATCTCGGGCTCCTGCACCAGCTCACCGTACGCGCGCATGCCATGCTTCGCATACGCGCTCGCGAACCTGTCCGACGCGAGCGCCGTCGTGTGCAGTCCCGCCAGCGTGATGAACTGCCAGCAGTAGCCCAGCTGCGCCAGCCGCGCGATGTACGTCTCCTGGTCGGCGCGCGGCATGGCCGTCTTCCAGTTGAAGGATGGCGAGAGGTTGTACGCGAGCTTCATCTCTGGGAACGCCGCGTGCACGCCCGCGGCGAAGTCTTGGGCTTGCGCGAAATCCGGCAGCTTGCTCTCCATCCAGATGGCGTCGCAGTACGGCGCGTAGGCCACCGCCCGGTTGATGCTGCAGTCGCACCCGCCCTGCAGCCGGTAGTAGCCCTCGCGCGTGCGCGGGGATTCCCAGTCGAAGTAGATGTCGGCGCCGAGCAGGCCACGGGCGACGGCGCGCGCTTCGCTGTTGGAGAGTTGTTTGCCTTGGGTGGCAGAGCGGTATTGTTGCGCGAGGCCTTTCGGGTCTGGGTGTTGCGAGGCCGCGATGGCGGCGAGCACGGCGTCGTCGAAGCGTTTTAGGTGCGCCTGCGCCATCCAGCCGTCTTCGATCGCTTGCAGCTCGGGCCCGGTCTTGCCCGCGCGCTCGGCGGCTATCATCAGGTCGTTGAGCGGCTGTAGGTTCGGGTTCGTGCTGCCCATGATGAAGGCGTGGTCGCGCGGGTCGATGGTCGTGGTGATGAGCGTGGCGGCCTCGGCGTCAGTGCGCGCGATGGCCAGCAGGTCCGAACCTGATTGTGTCTGTCAGTCTTGTTTGTAACGAAAGGGAGACACGGTAAAGAACTCACCCATGATGTCGGCCTGGGCGCGGATGGCAACCAGGCGGTTGATGTGCTCGCCAATGGGCACCAGCACCTTGCCGGCCATGTGGCCGCACTTCTTGGTGCCGGGGGCCTGGTCCTCGATATGGATCCCGGCGGCGCCCTTCTCGATGAACAGCTTGGTCAGCTTCATGACGGCGGTCAGGCCGCCGTGGCCCGTGTCGGCGTCGGCAATGATGGGGCGCAGGTAGTCGACGTTGGCGAGGCTCGCTCGCTGGGCCTTGGTGGCCGACAAACGCTCCTGGCGCTGCTTGCGGTCGTGGAAGAGCTGGGCCATGAACAGGTGCTGGACCTTGTTGGGCACGGTGGTGTAGGGGTAGTCGGCCAGGTCGGGGCCGGGCTCGTCCGAGGCGGAGGCGGTGGACGACGACTGCCAGCCCGAGACGTAGACAGTATCGAGGTACTTGGCCATCTGGGTGACCATGGTGGGCTCGAGGCAGCCGTAGGTGTAGCTGGCGTCGCGGTTCTGGAAGCGGCCCTCGAGGATGCGCCACAGCTTCTTGGACTGGGTGTTGCTGGGGTACTCGATCTTGAGGTGACCCCTCTTGGACACGATCTGCTCGGCCGTGAAAGGCCGCCTTGTGTAGCGCCACCTCGGGTCGGACCACCACTGCTTGACCTCGGCGACCTCGCGGGCGAAGAGGTCGTCCTCGCTGTTGGGGTCGACGGCGGGGTTCAGCATGTTGTTGGCGGCCATGCTGGGCGGTGAGTATGGTAATACACGGAAAGGGGAAAGGGGAAATGGGAAAGGGGTATCAAGGCGGTCGAGGACGGGAGAGCAGGTCAGGTCAAAGAGAGAATCACGGGAGAAGAGAAGGGAAGGGAAGGGGAGAAAGAACTCGGAAAGGCAGTCTAGTAGCACCTAAGTAATAGAATTAGTCTGTCTGAGTATCCGTCTACACTGGGAACTAGTTAGTCACGAGATAGACACAGACAGAGGCCGGGCTAGGCCTGGACAGCAGCGAGTGCCGTACCGTGCCGACGGCGGGGCGGGGAGCGAGACGCGAGACGAGGATCCTCGGGAGAGATCGGTTCTAGCGGCTATTCCATCGCTCCCACTCCATTGCCATAGGGCCGGCTGCTGACACTGGCACTGTGTCTTACGCAGTACAGTGCTCGCTGTGAGTGAATGACTCTTTTGCCTTCAGGCCCTGGAGTATCCATTCTCCATGTATTCCCCATCCCAGAGCAACCCAGTGTTTGGATAGTGGACACACTTGTAATTCTCCACCCTCGCCGTCGCGTCGTGTGTGGCGTGGCATGGCGTGTCGTGGCGGCTACCGTCTCGCGTGTCTGTTGAAGTCCAGTCTTGCCTTGCTATGCTTGGTAGCTGGCCTGCGTCGGCTGGCCGGATTCGACCAATACACATACATCGGCAACGAGAACCCGAAAGGTACTGAGTACAAGAAAAAGCAGGAGGCATGTGCTCGGCTCAAAGGGAACGAACGTCCCCCCTTTCCCCCGCGAGTTACCGAGCGAATGCCGGGGAATTTGGCCTCTCCCCATTGGATACCCCTGCAGCTCCTTCCTTTGCACTGGAGCCCCTCCCCCTCCCCCGCAGCAGCAGCAGCAGCGCCGCAAAAGTTGAAGTGGGGATGGATCAAACGCCTCCTCCAGGCCAGACTGCAAAATAGAGCTAAAAGAACGTCAGTCTGCATCAATTGCATAACTGCCTGCGCGTATCAGTGATATTGTTGCCCGAGTGCATTAAGGTTCTAAACAACAAAAGGACTTACAACGAAAGTCTCGGCACATGGGCGGCTAACCCAAGGACAGGCGTCTGTCTGTCTGTCTGGCCGATTGCGGAATCCCATTCGATTTCGCAGCCAGTCACGCATTCGTCCGGTCCCAAGCGTCGCTCGCTCCAGCGGGTGTGTGGGCAGGGCTTGTGGGGCTGAGTTCCGGGCTGGCATGTGAAAGATGCGTCATTGCACTGTCTATGCCGTACAAACACACACCGTGCACTTATAGAGGAAACGCTCTCGCGTGGAGGCGCCAAACACCCGCTTGAGCGGCGCCCATTCACCTCTTAATGTCGGCTGACTCAGGGACTAGACTGGACTACCTCGGCCGATCCGCTGCTCCTCCTCCTCCTCCTCCCCGGAGTAGGTACGTATCGGGTCAGGGACACCTAAACTCGGCAAGCCGATCACATGCACTGGCCATGGACACACAGTGTGCAGACAAAAAGATTCAGCGGAGCTCCAACACTGGGTCTGTCGACAACGGCCGTCATTGTGATTTAACAGCCATCCCATTACCTTTTTTTTATATGCTCGGTACCTACAAAACAGAAATAACTACCGAGATAGGTTTGCTCTTTTTCCAATGCAACCCTGCCTTGCAAGACTTTAGCCATTTACATACGTACATTGAAAGTGTATTTATTTTGTTTTGACAATACATGCCTCAGTGGCAGCTTAACGTATGCTCCATATTACGATTCATGACTTCAGGTTGTGGAAAAGAACAACCAGTAGACAAAAAATGAACAAATCAATATCCGTGGTGTTTCAATTTTGAGTGCTATTCTCTTCTCTCAAAAAGAAACCTCGATTTAAGAGTCTAAAGAAAGAACGAGTTTCGAGCGTAGCGAGCAGCCTGCCGGAGGCAAAAGGAAGAATAAAAAAGAGCCGTTCAGCTCCCCTTCATGACCTGGTAGTTTCAACACTTCAAGTTCAGTCTTCAAAATACGGACGTAGAAACAGACAATCGTATCGGTACCAATACAACACCAGCAGCAAGGGTATCAATTCCTGACCTCTAAAAACGCCATAGGCATAGCTGTATAAAAAGGAAAGAAAAGCAGAAATAACCCCCCCAAAAACCAGAAACGGAAAAAAGTCAAAGCTCGTCGTCATCGTCGTCGTCATCATCATCATCGTTATACAAAAAAATCCCCGTCTTCTTGTCTTCAGTCTTGACACCGGCCGCAAGCGGCTCCGTCTTCCCTTCGAACTGTTCCTCCACTTTCTCTATCTTACTAACAACACCCCTACCGCCCTCGCGCTTCCCAGGTCCATCCACGTCCATGAAATCCACACCGCCGCCGCCCTCTTGCTTTATCTCATCCCTCTCCGCCTCGGCCGCCAGCTTGGCCTCGCGCAGCCGGTAGAACGTGTCTAGGCAGTTGCGGCGCTGCTCCTGCGTCCAGCTCTCGACGACGAGCGCAAAGTCGATGGCCGTCGCGAAGCCAAACTCGCGCGCCATGGAGCAGAACTGCCGGCGCCTGACGTCGAGCGGCGGGTTGAACTTGTAGTGCGCCTTCATCCCCCCGTACCCCGGCACGCTATTAGCCTGGCTGTCAGCGAACAGGGCGCTGTTCAGGTAGTTGTCGCCGGCCCCCCCAGGGCTTTGTGAGTCGTCGTCCCCCGCGGCGGCCAGCTCGGCGCGCCGTGAGAGCTGCGCCTCGACCTTGCTCGTGCCGATGACCTCCGAGTTCTCGTGCGTGTACTCGACGCCGGCCGAGGCCAGGATGGCGGCGATGGCATCCGTCTTGGGCTTGTTGGCCTTGCGGACCAGCTCCTTCTGGTCCTCGGCCGTGAGGATCTTGGCCAGCTGCCGCATGCCGCCCTCGTCGTCGTCGTCCTCTTGCTTGACGAGGCCCAGCTCGTCGTCGCCCTCGTCCTTGGCTTCAATCTCGGTCAGGTTGACTCCGGCCTTGGCCTCGGCAATGTTGGTCTTGTTGACAATGTCGCGCAGCACCACCTGGTCGGCGCGGAAGCTGAAGAGGTTGTTAAGCCCAAAGATCTCGCCCTTCCGGTTGCTGTCCTGCTGCACACCCTTGAAGTAGCGCCGCTCGTTGGACGCGTTGTAGCCAATGTTTGCCTGCTGCTGTTTGTAGATCTGCCGCGCGTAGACAATCTCCTCGATGGTGCCCGCCGAGACGAGCCGGAACACGTCCACGTCGCGCACCTGGCCGATGCGGTACGCCCTGTCCTGCGCCTGCAGGTCGTACGACGGGTTCCAGTGCGGGTCGAAGATGACTACCTTGTTCGCCGACGTGATGTTGAGCCCCATGCCGCCCGCCTTGGTCGAGATGAGAAAGACAAACTGGCCGGGGTCCGAGTTGAAGTCGTCGACGACGCGCTGCCGCTCCTCGAAGCTCAGCGACCCGTCCAGGAAGCTGACGTTGTAGCTCGTGTTGTGGAAGAGGTGCTGGAGCACGCGCAGCAGGCGCACGCTGTGCGAGAAGACGAGCACCTTGTCGCCGGTCTCGTGCCAGAACCGCAGAAGCTTCTTCAGGATCTTCCACTTGCCGCAAAACTCGGGATTGGCCAGGCTGAGCATCGAGTCCCGGTTCCGGTAGAGCTCTTCCCATTCGTCCGGGACGCAAGTCTGCAGCGCCCTGAGGGCCGACTGCTGCTTGTCGCGCGGGTCCGACGAGGACGGGATGAGCAGCGTCAGGTGGTTCGCTAGTTTCTGCAGCGCCATTATGCATGGGAACACGATCGACATCCAGCCCTTGCCGTCCGGCAGGTTCTTGTAGCAGCACCAGCCCTTCTTGCGGCCCGACTGGCACGGGCACGGATCCGAGATGGAGTTGATGAAGCCCACGTTGAACCCGGCAAGGAAGTTCTCGTAGGCGTCTCGCTGTATGTCTGTCAGGGGGCAGAATACGACCTTGTCGCTCTTCTTGGGGAGCTGGTCGGCAATCAGCGTCTTCATGCGGCGCAGAAAGAACTCGGGGAGCAGGTTCTGGACCAGCTTCTTTGCCGTCGCCCTCGACAGGCTGAGCTGCTTGACAGTGGCGTCGTGAGACTGGCCGACAGCCAGGGGCTTGGCTATCGTGTTGTTCCACTCGGCCAGGGTCCCGAAATGGCCCGGGTTGGTCCAGTTCAGGAGCGTCCAGAGCTCCTCGTACTTGTTCTGGATGGCAGTCCCGGTCAATCCTATCCGGCACAGCGAGTTGATCTGGTCCATGGCTTGCGTGATGCCCGACTTGCGGTCCTTGAGGGCGTGGCACTCGTCGGCCACGACGCAGTCCCACTCGATGCCGTTAACAGCCTCGTGGGATTTCTGGTACGTGGTAAACGTCGTGATCATGATCTCGAGTCTCCCGGCCTTTGCGGTTTGCAGTACGGCCTCTCTGTCGGGCCCGTGATACAGATCGACGTGCCAGAAGCCCCAGCGGTTGAGCTCGTTCTTCCAGTTACGGATCAGCGAGCCGGGGCACACGATCAGGACCCGCGGGTACCACTGGTCGCCGGCGCGGCGCATCTTCCGCATCCGCTTTGCGTCACGCTCGTCACCCGTCTTACCAAAGGCGGCGGCGAGGAATGCGGCGATCTGGACCGTCTTCCCCAAACCCATGTCGTCGCCAAGAATGCAGCCTTTCTGGTAGACAAAGCGCTGATGCAGGAACTTGACGCCGGCGATCTGGTAGTCGCGGAGGTACTGGGCGATTGGGGCTGGGATGATGCCGGCCGAGTACTCGAGCTCGATGTCCTTGTAGGGGCGGCAGGGCTTGATGCCGCTGATTTCGTCGAACTTGGGGCGCTTGTCGAGGCTGGACAGGCGCTCGTCGTCGGAGAAGTAGATGTCGTTGTAGTCGGGAGGCAGCTTCAAGCCTGCGTCCTTGAGTACGGTCCGGTCTTTGTCGAAGCGCTGGCGCCTCCGTCTGAGGTATTCGGGGACGCGTGCCTCGGCATAGTCGCCCTGGGCGCTCGACTCTTGGACCTCGTCGGCCGAGGCACTCAAGATTACACTTGCATTTCTCGACGGCTTGGGTCTGCCACGGGCGCCACGCACACCACGAGCGCCACGAGCGCCACGGGTGCGGCTGGCACTCTTGTCTGCCGGGGCCTTTTTCTTGGTTGTGGCACGGCGCTTCGTTGGTCTGCAGTTTAGGTAGTAATCATGGCCGTCGCTATCGTCGTCCTCTGTCCAAGCAACCTTTTCTTCGATGTCGGGGCTTGGCTTGCGCTTTTGGGTCATGTTCAAGTTTATATTTGTGGATGCAGTGCTCTCGCCGTCCGAGATTTCGATTGCGAGAGCCGCCATTGTCGAGGGGTGGTCATGTCGCCGCTGTGCAGTCGGTGGGATAGCTGGCGTGGCTTTTGTTTTTTGGAAGTTGTCGCGTAAGGAAGGTAAGGTGTGGGTATATTTGGCGGCGTATGGGCACCTGACTTTAGTTGCATGAGGCGGAACTCTCCCGAAGACGCGGCAGGGGAGCGAACTCACGTGAATCGGCAGAGCTGTGTGCAACGTCAACGTTGACCGCTGCCCGGGCCCCAAATACAGTAGATGCCTGTGAATTGCACTGGTGCGGCCTTTTTCCGCTGATGGTGCGGGGGAGTGCAGGTGAGGTGCAGCGGGGCCCCGCTGACTGTTCCAGCTGGAGCAACCTCGACCAAGCCCCGCCAGTGACAGCCCAGGAAGGGAAGAGCGTCGATGCCATGGAATATTACCGCGGAGCATATCACGGGCAAGAATGGAACCGGGCTGCCGTGCGTATCCGTAGCCTCGGTCGGCTCTTGTTGGCCTTGAGACCCTTCTTCTCTTTAATTATGTAACGGCCTTTTGATGCAACCATGGTGCTTAGATGTCAGGCCCGGGTTGAGGGGATGGTATTCGTTTTGATTGCTTGCTACAATGCAGCTTTGAGCTGAATTCGGCTTCCTTGCTTGCTATACTCGCCATATCCTTTTTTTTTTTACTTTCCTCTTTAGGTACATGTACCTTACCTTGGTATGGAGCCGTCAAGTCCCAACAGCGGCTTCTTCCAGCAGCTGCCGGTGCTCAAGAACCAGTTCCACGACGACGCCAGTCTGCAGCGCGTGGCCAAACGTACGAATTTGGATATTCCAGTCCACCTACACTAGCACTTTGATTAACATAAAAAATCTGGCAGTGTTCCTTCCCACGTCGCTTCTCGAGCATATTGGGCCCGAGACTGCGCAGCTGGGCGACCATGTTCTGTCCCAGGACATCTTTGACCATGTGACTGACGCCGAAAAGAACCAGCCCTACCTGCGCGGCAGCGGCCGCGATGCCTTTGGGAACCCCAAGAGCGAGCTTGTCGTCACCGAAGGCTGGAAAAGGCTGCAGGACTTTGGGTTTGAGAAAGGGTCAGCCAGTCCAGTCCCTTGTATCACCTTGCGTACTTCCATGGGTACCCTGCTGACCTTGTTCTCGAGTTCGTATCAGTGTTATTGCCCTCAACTATGACACCGACTATGGCCCCTACACCCGGCTGGTCCAGTTCATGAGGTGAGTTTACTAGGTACCATGTAAAAATACAAACCCCAGCAATTCAACAACACTGACACTGCCAGGTGCCATCTCTGGGGAGCGTCTTGCGCAAACACGCTGTGTCCGGCAGCCATGCAGGACGGCGCCGCCCGCCTTCTCCAGCGCCACCTCGCCAAGCAGGACAGCAGCAGCATGACGCTCACACAGCGCCGCGTCTTTCAAAACGCCTTCGACCACTTCACCTCGCGCGACCCGACCAAAGCCTGGACGAGCGGCCAATGGATGACGGAGCGGACCGGCGGCAGCGACGTTTCCCTGACCGAGACCGTCGCCACCTACGACCCATACCCCGCTAGCGACGGCAACCCTAGCACCCCCTGGGCGAACCCCGAAGAGGGCATCCCGCTGGGGCCCTGGTCCATCACCGGCTTTAAGTGGTTCTCGAGCGCCACCGACTCACAGGCCACCATCCTACTAGCCAAGACGGAGCCCGGCAAGGGCGTGAGCGCCTTCTTTGCCCCCATGCGGCGCCACAACCCCTCGCTGGTGTCTGCCACGGGCAGGCCCGGCGGCACCGAGCTCAACGGCGTGACCATCCAGCGGCTCAAGAACAAGCTCGGCACCCAGTCGCTGCCCACGGCCGAGCTTGAGCTCAAGGGCATGCGCGGCTGGCTCATCGGCGACGAGGGCAAGGGCATACAGGAGATCAGCACCATTCTCAACATCACCCGCGTCCACACCACCGTGTCGTCGCTCGCCTACCTCGGCCGCAGCCTGGCCGTGGCCAAGGCCTTTGCCCTGGTCCGCGAGGTCGGCGTCGGCAAGGGCAAGCGCGTGCCCCTCTCCAACCACCCCCTCCACATGCGTACCCTCTCCGGCATGGCGGCCGAGTACCACGCCATGATGCTGCTCGTCTTTTATACGCTGTACGTCCTCGGGCTGAACGAGAGGCCGCCCTCATCCCCGCCGAGCCACACCGTTCCCGAGACCTCCCGGGCCCCATCGCCCCCGCCGCACCTCGTCGCCCCGCTGCTGCGGGTCCTCAGCTCGCTGCACAAGGCGTACGTGTGCGAGCACGTGGTCCCGCTCGTCTTTGGCTGCATGGAGGCCCTCGGCGGCGTCGGGTACCTGGTCAACGCCGAGTCGGAGCACCTCAACGTGGCCCGCCTGTTCCGCGACGCCTGCGTCGGCGCCATCTGGGAGGGCACCACCGACGTGCTCTCGGGCGACACCCTCCGCGCCCTCAAGCACCCGGCCACGGGCCGCGACAGCCTCGCCGCCCTCGACTGGCTTGTCGACAGCGCTCTCTCGTCCTCTGGTGGCGAGGCCTCCGCGAGTATCAAGCGCCAGTGGACGTCGCTGCGCGCCCGCCTCGTCGCCGAAGACCAGCCCGCCCTCCTCCCCGACGCCCGCCAGCTCGTGTTCCGCCTGGCCGAGATCGTGATGGCCGCCCTGTTCGTGCTGGATGCGGCCGCGGACCCGGGGCCAGAGGTCGAGGCCATGTGCCAGCGCTACTTGGCCAAGAAGGGGCTTGCAGGCGCTGCTGCTGTTGCTGTTGATGCAGCGCAGGGTCTGTGCTTGGACCAGGCTATAGTGTATTCCGCTTCTTCACTGCCGCCGCTGTCTGGAGTGCGAGGAGAAAAGGGGCAGGGATCGAAGTTGTGACGTGCGTCCGTGAGTGCTAGAGATGGGCCTCCAAGAGGAAGCTCTACTGGGCGTTGATCTAGATGTGGTAGATATTTGGTCTGAAATTAAGGATACTATTCAATGTAGGATGTTGTCGAAAAGGTGCATACGGATATAGCTTTCCATATTGTCAATGCTGGTTAGCACACCTTGAGCCGTCTCAGATCATAGATGCCGCTGTGTCATTTCCTTGTCACTGCCTGTGATATTCTATCCGTCGGTTTATTTGTTTATCTGCTTATCTGCCTGTCTCTATTAGTGTTTGCTATCCTCGCCAGGTCGCCAAACGATGGTGTCCAGCTAAAACAGAAAGTTCTGCTTCTAAAGAGAGTAGTAAAGCAGCCGGAGAACGAGGACACTCGACTGTCACTGATCCCTCCCAAATCTGACAAGCTCTCACGACGTCGTCCCCAAACAATCAATTCGTGGTGTAGTGGCCGGTCCAGCCAGCAAGCATCAAGTTGCTTGTATGCTGCTTCATTTTCTTCTGGCATAATCCGGACCAGATACCTACATCATCATCATCATCATCATCATCAGGAAGTTGGCCATCTAGATCTGGGGTCAGAGCGTCGATCAGAAAAGAAGCTCACGATCATCATAGTCGAAAGCTCTCTGTTTATCTATCCAAGCCGTTGAGCGCTTGGAAAAGTTGTTCTTTGAGGACAGACTTTGCTGTGGGAGAATCTTTCATCGCCTGTGGCAATCTGTTCATTCATTTGTTTATTTATTCATGTATTTCTTAGTTCAGGCAGTAACTAGCCCTCTGTCGGCGGCGCGTGCCTGCTTGTCTAAGTACACTTTAATTACCAAATATGGAAAATATTGGTCTAAAGAAACCGGCAGGTATGACAAGTCTTTAGTAGGTATATATCTGTAGAGAAGATATCGATAGACCTCTAAAATTCTAAAATAGATAGCTATTGCCTCCCCCCTTGTGGGAAAAACGTTGGAGAGAGCTGAAGGTAGGTCCTAAGGGCTTTCAGAGCTTGGAAAGAAGGTGAGGACTTCGTTGAATGAAATCTGCTTTAAGAGAGCTCTTTGCTAAGCTAGGGATCTATCTAGGTATCTATCTCCACGAAGGAGATGCAGCTTTACAATTCTTACTAGATAGTTGCAAAAAGCTGCCGCCCTCCCTCATTGAAACGCCAGAGCGCAACCACCCACCTACACCTACCATTTACGTCTTGGTTGGAAAATCCCATGGTAGCAATCACGCAGAGATTGGATTGGAAAGTATAGACGCAACTAGCATCCAAACAATCAATCCTACCCGATGCGCAGGATGATTCCGCCATCCAGTCAGTCAGTCGTCGGCAACAGATGAGGTGTTTGCTATTCGGGCAGCAAAACCGTAGCAAAAAATGACTAGAGTCTAGACCAGAGGAAAGACGGCGAGATGGGGTGTATTTTGATGATTGGTTGATGGCCGGATTGAGAACAGGTGGGATAGTCGACAGAAAAGAAGCCTCTGCTTCGATCCTTTAAATGCCTCTAGATCACAATCACAATCACAATCACGAAAGGACGGACACATCATTAGAAGAACTAGAGTATGATAGGTAAGCAATGCCAGCTAGCTAGCTACCTACGTAGGAGAAATGAGATAAGAAGACAGAAAAGGGGGCCCGTCCCGAAAACAATCCCCCTCGTCCGTCCGCCCATTTTCCCTCTCGAGGTTCGTCTTTCATGTGGTGATGTTGTTGTCTTCAAGGGAAACCGAGGTCCCAAGGCGGCCTGACGCGAACTTCCGCCTCTTCTCCCTCAATCTCCCTCAATCTCCTTCTCCCCTCAAACATCAAACCCACAAACAGACAAACAAACAAACAGCACAAATGAATGCGCCGATGTTGCTGTTGTTTTTCTCCCCCCTAGCTAGCGAAATGCATTAAACAGTTGCTGAAAAAAAAAGGAAATATGAAATGAAGAAGAAAAAAAGATGAACCAGTCCCCAAACTGCGTCATGAGAGAGAAAAAAACATCCAGACTACCCTTCGCGCTTTTTTTTATCTCTCTTCCCCTCCCAAGAAAAATAATGTCTTCTCTCTCTTGAACCTTGGTCCCAAAAACCCGCCCCAAGACTAGGTCAAGCGCGGGACACCTAGGTAGTAGATGAGTGACTGCATGGATAGTGAAAAAAGAGAGAAAATGGAAAAAGGAACCAAAGGCCGCCTGAAAAATTTCCTCCCAAGCCAGAAAATACCGTCCAAGTTTCTTCCCTCAAATCCGTGTATGCCGTGTGCCAATAAAGAAAAAAGGGAAAAGGAAAAATAGCCGACCCGAAGTATTAGACGCCGCAGATCAGAGACATTAGAATGAACAGGCTAAAGGACTCCCTCCCTCCCTCCCAGAGAGAGGTGGGTGGGTGTCCGACAAAGCCTATTTTCATGTTCGTGATAAAATGAAGTGCGGCGCCGCGATGAAGGGTGGGAAAAAAGGGTGTTTGTAATCGATGATGTGTTCTTTTCCGTCCTTGGCCCCAGATGATAAGAAAAAAAACTTTCAGTTAAGAAAATTCTTTGTCCGGAAACCGGTGATCATGTTCGTCTCGGTCGTGCCTAGTGATGGGTCGTTCGCCTTATCTTTCGTTTCAGCCGTCCGTCGCCTCCGTGGTGGTGTGCTCGTCTTTGGATGGAGATGTACTGCAAGGGATATAGACCCTAGGGATGGAGAACAAAAGGAAGACGAGAGTGTCGTGCCGTGAAAAACAGTCTCCCAAAACTCCTGATCTCCTTTATTGTTAGTCCCCTTTTGTTGTATGTATGTCCCTAGAAGCCTCGTGAATGCAATGCCTTTCTTTTCGTCGTCGCCCCCAAAACGCCGTGATTGATAAGATGATCATCGAAACGTCCGAGAAGGTAGAGAGAAAAAATTACTGCTGATAAAAATAGACGAAGCGACCCGCCCGATAATAGGCAAAAGCAAAGCAAAGCAAAGCTAACAAGAACGAATGTTGACTTGCTCCGCCAAGGTCAAAGGATGAGGAAGGATATATAAGAATGCTGATGGATGTGGAAGCTCAGTGTCGCTGGGATGCCGAGAACCGCTGATTGATGGTGAAGAGATAACAAGGAAAGATGAGATGTACGTCTAACAAGCTATTGCGTAGCCATCATATCGCAGCAATTATCGATCGCAATGCCGTGCCGGCGGTAGTGTTATTAGCGTTGCCGGTATGGCGACATTGTTGGTATGTGGTATGGGTTGTGTCGCGGCTTGGTTTAACCGCGGCGAGAGTAGGCGTCGGAATAGGCATCGCGACCAGCATTATTGTTGTTATTAGTGCCGTTCGACTCGTTCTTGTCAGCATTGGCAGGGGGGAAACCGTCGGCGCGCGACGTGTTGGAGGTCTCTGCCTCGTCAACAGCAGGCATGGTAGCCGGAGCGTTGGCATACGATGACGGCTGGGTGGCCGACGGGCCCGTGTACGACTGGTTGATCGACGGGGTAGAGTACGGCTGGTTAGCCGAGGGCGTCGTGTACGGCTGGTTTGCCGACGGCGCGGCATACGACTGGTGACGAGCATGATGGCCACCGTACGAAAAAGCAGGCGGCTGGTGCTGCTGATCATACGTTCTCGAGATGCGCGGGACGCCAACGGGGGTGCTGAGGTTCCGAGAGTGCTTAGCTCCGGCACCGATGGGACCACCCGCATGTGCGCCCGGCGTCTGGTAGTACGGGCCGTACGAGTTCGAATTATATGCCGCGGCCCAGCTGCTATCGTAGTGCGGCTGGGCATACGAGTCGTGGCGATTGCCGGCATTGCCAGCGTTGTTGTAATAGCCCCAAGTGGGAGCGGCCGGGGCGCGGTAGCCCGACGACGAGGCACCGTTCAGGCTAAAGCCTCCAGCATCTGAGTACGAACGCTGGTGGTTGTTGCCATAACTAGGCCAATCCGTGTGCGCATTGGGAGCCTCCGTAAAGCCGTTGTAGGCTGGGTGAGGGGCCGGCGCAGGCAAGGGGCCCGGGACTCCGAGATTTAAAGACGAAGACGCCGGGACCTGGCGCTCCGAGTACGGGCGATCGCTAGACTGGCGATCGCGGTCCGAGTAGTTGCGGGTTTCGGGCTGACGCTCCGCAGGACGGCGCGCCGAGTAGCTGAGGCCGCGAGACTCTGGTGCCGCAAGGTTGTCAAGCGGACGTGGGTTGTCGATTATGATGTTGGCTTCCCGGCTGGGGCGACCATAGTTTTGACGATAGTGCTGAACAGGACCGAGAGGTCGCATGTTGGGCACGACAATGTTGTTATTGCGCGGAGCAGTGCGGTGAGGAACCGCGCGGTCGGCATAGTAGTCGGCATAGTAGTCGTTACCGTTGCCAGCATTGAAGCGCGGGCGCTTCTGCTGATGCGACATAACGTCTTCATCATCGTCAACGACATGGTACCTAGAGCCCGAGTTCGGCTGGCTGCCGCGGCGGTTGTCCTTGTAGCCATCGTCGGGTTGGGTGCGCAGAGCCTCGTTCATGGACTGCGAGCGCGGAAGGCCGCGTCGGGGTTGCTGGACCGGACGGTAGCCGCCCGTGGTCTTGCGAGTTACTGCCTTGGGCTTGGGAGTCGGCGTCTCGGGGCCCTCAGTCGAAATGCGAGGCAGCATCTCGATATCCGGAATCTTCTCCAATGACTTTGGGTGGCGAACGTGGCTAGCATTTTTGGCAATTTGCTGGTTGTCGTATCCATAACGCTCGATTCCCTCCTGGATCTCGTTGAGGACCTCGAGGATCTGGCGTGTGGTGTAGTTGACTTCGGGATCGCACTTCACCAAAAGCCACTCGGGTACGGCCGTGGGAGTGTGATCGGGCATTCCATTAGAAAACTCGTCATCGTCACTCCCCAGCGACTCGTGGCGCAGAGGCAGAGAGTGCTGCTGGTCATCGTCCTCGGCATCGCGAGCACGCTTCTTGGACTTCTTGAGCCGATTCTGTTCACGCTTGCGGACGTCAAGCTTCCAGCCGTCGAGATGACCGGGCTTGCCGGCGCGGTCGTTGAGATTGCTCCAGGCCTGGATCTGGATCATGGTCTGGCGCACAATCTCACACTGTCTCGAGGCATAGTGGGTCACATTACGATACCGCATACGCTGGTAGTGTTTGCGACAGGCTTGAACCCAAACGTGGTCCGGGATCGAGCGAGTGCAGAGCTTGTTGCGTCCGAAAAGATGCGAGATGGCTTTGCGAAAGGTCGGGTTGGGAAGGTTGCATTCCTGTCCCTGGATCTGGCAGCTCTTGGGCAGTTCTAGGGCAATAACCAATTCTGCCTTTGCAAGCTCCTCTAGATAGCGCACCTCGGCCTCTTCGGGCGTCTCCGAGAAGGGGACAAACGGCTCAGTCGGCTCAATCGGCTCCTCGGGATCGTGCTCGCCGTCTTCCATGTCAAACTTGCGCTGAGAGCGTTCCTGCCGGAAACCGGCTCCTTGGTGGTCGATGTAGCCATAATCATCACTGCTGGCGGCTCTCGGCCGCGGGCCCTGGCCATACGGGAGCTCCCGCCTAAATTCGCGCTTTAGATTGCTGACAGCCCGTTGTGATTGACTCGGGAGCGGGCGTCCGTCGATATCCGAGTCGGAGAAACGCTCGCTAGTTGGCAGCTCATGGTCCACATTGGAAGACTCGTCAAAGCTGAAGGATTCGAAAGACCTATCCTCCTCTTTCAAGAGATGGGGCTCATTATTATCTGAAGACGAATAGGTCTGACGAACCGAGTAGTCGTCCGAAAAGTCGGGAGCAGAGTTGCTGGTGCGGTGATGGGGACGGGGCAAGCCCTCGTCTGGCGACACATCTCGCGCCTTGCTCCTAACCAACATCTTCTTCGCCATGGTAGCTGACGGACTATACAATCTGTTAGCGAAACCAATCCCCACAATGAGCGTGACTGAGTACAAGCCGGCAATGGTGGGCTACGATCACTGTGGTTGTTGACATTGGCGAGTGTGGGGTAACGGGATCAGGGGCACAACGATCAGGGGTAAAGCAATCAGGACGAGCGAAACGACCAGCCGCGATACCAAGACAACGACACAAGTTCAGTTCGGACAATTGAAAAGAGATGGCGACAGAAAGGTACCCCGCTCGTATTCTGAGGTTGCCAACAAGAGCAGTCAAGAAGCTCGAGATCGCTGCGTCGGCGAGGGCAAGCCCGCGCGATTCAGCTCAATCGAGTCTTGTCGTCCCTTGCAGCAGCGAACAGAGCAGAAGAAGAATTCCAGAGGCGGGGTAGTCAGGCAAATGGAGCTGGAGGCGCGCTTGCGACTTACGCAGTCCACCACGGCGAGCGAGGCCCACGATGTGTGTTCTGTGTGCAGGTAGCTGTTCGCAATGTGCGAGATGTTTTGCGAGATATCAGGGATAGCAGACGCGACGCGCACACGTTGACTAGCGATGGAGCGGGAGAGTTGAGCAAAAGAGAAAGCGATGGAGGAGAGTTGAGAAGGGGAACAAGATTGGAAGAGCTCAAGATTGGAAGAGCTCAAGATTGGCAGAGTTCTTGCAAGATTGGCAGAGTTCTCGCAAGATTGGAAGGAGAAGGGCGGAAGCAAGAAGCGAGGCGAGGTTGAGCGGGGGCGGGAGGTTTATTGGTACTTACGCAGCCAGTCACCCCGTCGGGGTGTGCGAACAAGAGTTGAGCAGAGCAGAGCGGTAGTGATGAAGATGCACTAGCGATGGAGGGATAAAGCGATGGAGGACGATCGCGAAGATCGCGACCAAGAAGACACGGCGCTGTGCGCTGTGAGATGCGCAAAGCGAAGTCAGAAAAGCAAACGCAACGCGATGTGCAGGAGGTGGAAAAGGATGTCGAAGTGTAGAGTAGAGGGGTAGAAGGTGTGAGGTTTGTGGAAGTGGAAGGGAAAAGGAAGCAGGCAGGTCGCCGCCAGAAACAGATGCAGGGGTTTTTTTTTGACCAGCCGCCTCAAGTTTCCTGTCCGCAGAAACAGATTGTGTGTCTGATTGTTTAGGTTGCCCGACGCTAGGCGGGGTGAAAAAATTGGTCAGGCGAACAATATGGGAGAGGGGAGGAGATAGGACCGGGCGGTCACGTTTGGCACTCCTGACGACGACGAGATGAAAGATCTTGGGCTGGTTTTGGGGGCAGGTGACGTCTTCGCTCGGTTCAGGCTGCTTGTTCACTCGCAAAGCTAGCTCAAAGCTCTTGTCCGCACACACTCGCCGGTCTGGACCACTGTTCTGCACCAAAGTCACAAGTATCTAGAGCCAGGGAGCCGGGGAGGGGTCCGGCTCCCAGCACGCAGCACGCAAATAATATCAAATAGCAGTAGCATCAACTGACCTTGACGTAGTGGCAGCTGCACCCGCTGCTGCACCCGAAGCCGCACCCGCCGCTGCCCCCTCTCCACGCTTAATCATGACCGCGTCGGAAGGCGAACTGGCATTCATCACGGGAGACGTCGAGGGCTTTCTCCCTCCACTTGCCAGGCCCCTGCCCATGCTGCCTCGGCCGTTTTCGGTGGGCGTGGACGTTGTTTCGCTGTTATTGTTATTGTTGTAGTTCAGTGACGAGGATGGCGGTGCTTTGTGGCTATCTAGCGAGAGGGATATATCGGTTACGAGTGATGCGAGATTCTGTGACTCGCTGACGGTAGATAAGGAGGATATTCTCGAGTGCGAGACTGAGTTTGTGGATGAAGAGGTATATGAGGACAGGCTGCTGTGCGAGTCTGAAAATTTATGCTTGGGGGACTTTGGGCTGGCCGATCTTGGATCATCTGTCGGCGAATCGCTGTAGAAGGCGGGCCTGGTGGCAGACGAAGTTCGGATCGATTTGGTATCGAGCGTCAAGGGCAGCGAGTAGCCACCCGCGTCCCATGGCGTCCGGTTCCTGGCTGGCGAGTACGCCCCACTTGCCCGTCTGGAGGGAGTGCGGTCAGGGGAAGGGGTAGGTACCGCCGTTGACGTTGCGGTAGTGTCTCCCGTGGCCGAGGGCGTTGAGCTGCCAACCGAGTCCCTCCGCTGCAGCGCCGCCGCCGCCGAGGCCGAGTTCAATAGCGAAGTCACGTCCATTGCGTCGTTGTTTGTCTTTGTCTGTAATAGTTATGCTCAGGCCATTCGATGGCAATCGTTCGATTCACGCAAGCAGATACAATGCCGCACACGCCGAACAACCAGGCTCAGCTCTCCAAACAAGCGCCAGACAAGCGGCCGTTGGATGGAACGGTGAGTGAGTGGCCCGGGCAAACGCTCAAGCTCTCAAACGTTTGGGGCTGCCAACTTGAGGAAAACTAATCCACAAGACCACGGTTACCCCTCGTCTCCTGCCAAGTCCGGATGATATTCGGTTTGGTAACACAGCCGATCCACAGACAGCCTTCGGGACTGACTGAGCGCGCGCTGCCTCTTCCCAAACCTAGGACGTTTCGAGACGGACCAGTCGCTTTCCACGGAACACAAGGCAAACCGACCTTGCTGTCGTCGCTCGAGAACCCCGTAAAGCGCCTCCAGGTCGACCTCGAATTCCTGCGATGCCGATGTCCTTTTCAGGCAACAATTCCCCGCGCCTTTGCAGAGATCCAGACACGCAAAGTTGTCAACCACCACTTCCTAGACGGTACCTGACTTCCTTTGGCGCGATCGTTGGGGCGATGATCCGAAATCCAAAAAAAAAAATACGTCGGCCGAATCTTCCTCTCTCTCTCTCTCTCTCTCTCTCTCTCTTCACACGACTTTGGACAGTTCCTTCGTCGAGTGGTCAAGCAGCACAGCCAACAATGACGTCCTCGTCTACGATCTGGCCGGCGTCACTCAGGCTTCCTAGCTCATAGGACGATTCTTCTCGATGTCGTCGTCGTCGTCGTCGTCGTCGTCGTCGTCGTCGTCCCCGTCGCCTTCCTCTTCTTCTCCTTCAGATGGGTATGTCGACGCCCAATCTTCTTGCCCAGCGCCAGTACTGTCGAGTCCAACACACGAAAAGCCGGTCCTTGGCTAGCTCGTCGTTCCCTTGGTTGCAAAGGTCGTCGGGAGATCGGGCTGGATGAGTTGCGGCCTAGCCACAGATATAACATCCACACAACGAAAATTCTAGGCGAGAGCGACAGGGTCGAGGGAGATCCTCCAGCTTATGTGCAGTTCATGGGACTCGACGGGGCAGACTAGACGAGAGTAGTGATAGTAGGGAGCGGACAGGACAGGATTATCAAGCCTCTCCACGAGATCGACGTTTTGAGATTCGCACTGACAGCCCCCACAGCACAGACGGGCTAGTGCTTGGCTAGATTGGACTGGCAGCACGCACACGAAACACTGATGATCCAGGAACCGGAAAAGGTCCAGCTCTTTCTCTTCTTTGCGCTTGCTCCACAGACGGGAGAGAAAACATCTATTTGTGGACGATTCCCTGCCAGTGGGCTTCGGTTCGGGGTGGATGTGAGAGGGGAGGGCTAGGGGGGAAAGGAAGGTCTGGCAGATCTCTGGCTTTTCTCTCTCTCCCTATCTCTACTTTCCCTTTTCGTCTCTACTTCTCTCTCTCTCTCCGTGAGGGCGAAGAGTAGGGTCGGTGGAGAAGGAGAAAACCGGATGGATCAAGTGGGTGACACACAGGCAACGCTGCTGACACGGCGAATAAAGAGACGAGACGGTCCGCTGATATATATCACGCTAGGATCCGTTGTTGTATTTTGCTGATATGGTAGCAGCATCGAGAAGCACCTGGCTTTCATATGTCGGCGGCTGATGTATGGCGAGTGGCCTTTGTTCTGATTATTGGTGGCCGTGAAGTGTCTGCCCTGGGGATGGAGGGCTTCGAACGGTCCACGATCTTCACGTCCAGACGTTGAGCGGTCGGATAAAGGAGAGAAGAGCTGTCGACAGCTGTTTGAGCTGCTGAGCAAGATGAAGAAACAAAAGATAGGATGAATGGGCCAGAGCAGCTCGAAGGAGTGGACGAATCGATAACCAAGATGGGGCACGACACAGGGTCTGGGCTGCTGTGCATGAATCGGCGGCACAGTCCGAGGGACAGTATGTGTTTTGGGGCTCGATCCAGAGGCGAGGGCTAGATGGAGTATCCGGGCAAGGATGCTTCTATCTAGCACAACGGGGGCCTTCCTTGACGGCGGCCTGGGGCAGCTAGCTCGGTGCGACGAACAACAGCGGGAGCAGCAGCAGCACAAGGGGAGGTAGAAACACCAGTCAGCAGCCGATGAGCCATGGGCGGACAGGCTTGAAGCGAGTGGGCTACCAGGCGGTCCTCAGGAACGAACAGGAGCATGATCGCTGCGGCTGCTCGAGTGTGGAGGTGGAGGTAGACGAGAGGCAGGTAGGTGCAGGTGGTAGAGGAGGGACAAGGGTCGTGAACAGAGTTTCCGCCTACGGCGCTGTGAGAACGACCCCCCTCGCATTGTGCATTGAGGAGGGCGTTAGTCGATGTTTAGACTTCCCCACAAGACCGGCGTGGATTCTGTATGTACGGGAATCCAAGTCCCAAGATATCCCCGACTGGCTGCACAAAAAGACTCGACCCCTGCCGGCTCCTCCCCTCGCGGCTGGGTGGCCCTGGTTTTCCCTGGTCTGGTCGAGAGGACGACTTAGCCTTGTCCCATATGCCGGCCGTTTTAGAAGCCATCCTCGTGCGTCAGATTGGTCCGTTGTCGATCATGGCGTAAGATGCCCGTCTGAACCACTCCATGATGATCTGCACAGGGGACTGTCCGGGCCAGGGCTACATCTGTGCAGAGCACCTCCGTGGGCCTGCGTGGAGAATAAGATACAAAGGTACGGTGGAGGTGCGGAAGGGTGTGAGGGAGGGTGTGAGGTTGAGGGTAAGGGTGTGCGTGGCCGGCAAAGACCCCCATTTTGCGGCCCATCCAATCCTCTGGAGGACGTCGAGCATTTTTCGATCGTGCGCGCGCGGGAGGGAACGAAGAGGCACCTGGGGCGCAGCAGCTGCGAGGATCTGCAAGCTGAGACCCCGAGATGGGGCGTGAAACTTCTCTTGGGAAGACATGTTTGACCATTTTCTGGAGGGGAAGGGGGTGACATGTCTTCTGTAACCGGATTGGCATCTCACCGCGCACGCAGCTAAACAGCACTTTGCAAGACGAATTGGATATCGAATCGCTACCGAATTGCTCCCTTTCCAATGGCAACAGGCAGGCGACGAGATGGCCCCCGAGCCTCTTCGCTACCATTGCTGGGGGCTAGGGTTGCTACATAACGGGTACGTGCCGGATCATCTCGACCACCAGCCAGTCTCAGATGGGATGGGCCAGGGGGTAGATTAGTGTGTGTACTGTACGGAGTGAGAGACTGAGAGTGGACCGAGCGAGAGTGAACATGGCACCGGTACAGAAGTCCCGACGCGTCTACGATACGGGGTGCTAGCTGGAATCCGTGCCCGATTGTATCCATCCACCTAGTCCGGTCCAGCGTCCAGTCTAGTCCAATCTGTAACTCTGTCTAGCAAGTACCTCGACGCTTGGTGCCGCGTCGAAAGTCTCCTGGCTGTGGTGGGTGGCACGTCCAACACCAGAGGCTAACGGCATGTGGACAAGGCTTAAAGGTCAAACATGCCCGGACGGCGGGTGGAAAACGGAGCCGTTGTCGCGGCTAATTTTTAGCTGTTAGTAATTCGTTATTCCCCTCGACCAGCGTGCAGCCACTGCAGGTGCACACGCACCACATTTCCCGGACGCGCACAGCGGACCTGGGCAGTCCAGCCCCAGCCCACCCCACAGTTACTCTGGATGTTACTGGCCCGACCGCACCTAAACCCCGGACCGACCAGTTGCTCAGGGCGGGCTCGAGATCAATCATGGGGAGACGAGGGCTGCGTAGATGGTGGGTCTCTTCCGAACCGAACTAGACCGTAGTATGGATCAATCCGCTGACTGTAATAAAGTCTGCAACGGGCCGCCGAAGACTGGTTCCCAGGCCTCGTCCAGTTGTTTGCTCGTCTAGTTTTTCCGCTCCGTCTGTCCGCTCTGTCTGTCCGCTCCGTCTGTTCGTCCTGGACTGCCGAACTCGTCTCGGCGCGTCAATATGCAAGCAATTCCTCTTCGCTACAGTTGACTTGCTGCAGCAGCCCAACAGGGGCCGCCCGTTGGAGATCCAGCACATTGCATCACACAGTCAAAGACCAGACACACACACAAGCAGGTGTTGTTCAAACCCCGACGGCCACTTCGTCAAGCTCAGCATCGCCAAGCTGCCAACTAAGCCTGCCTGAGCTTCCATCAAGACGAGCGAGTTGAGAGGGCCGAGAAACTCTGTGGTGGCTGGAGAGTCGGAAAGGTACCTGTGCCTCTGAGTTTCTCCACAACCTCGGAGTCTTTGTAATGTCATCTCGCGGCAATGGTAAACTCCGGAGAGGTTGCTTCACTGTAGCCTGGCTGGGCCGCACGAAAATGGGAGTTTGTGATGGAAACATCCTCTTTATTCTAGCAATCTCCCTCTCTTTGTACGGGCTGTTCAGTCTCGTGCCCACCTCCACTCTCTAGGCGACACCGCAGCGCCAGAGGATGAAAGCTAAGGTATGCGAAGAGAAGTGTGCCTTGGGTAGGTGATAATTAGGTGGGTGTCGCACAGTTGCATGCTGGCTGGGCCAGAGGAGCCTCTCTGGGATTCCGTTTAAGGTTGGACGGCAGCCCGCAGTATTTGGGCCCTCTACTATCAATGCCCGACATCGAGCAGACGGCAATCGTTGGGGCACACACCCACGGGGTGATAACCTAACCGAGGTAGGTATGTCCCGGCGGGCGGTCGGCGGATAGTCTAGGGACCTAGGCTGCATGATGGGTACCCTAGCTACTGTAGCTACTGTAGGTGAGGTATGTCGGTAGTGTAGGTAGTAGAAGAAGCCAACGGCAGGATGACTGCTTGTGTCTGGCGCGGGCCCGCTCGCCATTGGCTCGAGAGCATCTGCTTCACGTTTCAGATTTCAGAATGGAGGCGGCTTGCATATTTCGTACCTTGAACCACGGATTTGTTACTCTTTTCGAATTTTATTTTTAGTCGCACGTGCTGGTGTGTGTCTTGAGAAATATTCGTACCTTTGCACTCTCGGCCAGCAATGGCATAGGCGCTCGTTCGACTGCAGGCTTGCGACTTTCGAGGTTCCAGTTCTCGCAGTCTCGGTGCAAGCTAGGCGTCCGTACACTGGGTTAAGTCAAGACTGGGGATTCCGCAGCACAAAGAGGTGAGACAGGTCGATGGCATCGAAGTGGGTGCATCGATGTTTCAGCCGATGATGGGGAGGCCATTCCGGGGCTGCTTTTCCGAGAGAGACCCCAAGGTCAAAGCTCTCCGAGACAATCGCTACTACCTAAGGTACCGAGTGGTAATTGTTCTATTGCCTGGGCAGAGAAGAATACCTCTGACTGTTACTTCCTTTCTTGCCGTCTAACGGCACTCTAGCAATAGACATTTATCACGCAACAAAAGTCGCCCGATGGCAAGAGCGCCTTACACCCTACCTAATTTGCTTTTGGATCCCAATGGCACGGGGCGAGGTCGTATAATCTGGAAGTACCCAACTTAGGAAGGTCAATGATGATGTGCCTATGGTGAAGTGGAGTTTCTATGGAGTCTACGGAGTCGTGGGAGCTCCGATCAGGCATTTCTCGAATGCCTGCGGCACAAAGCTGCCTGCCTGGAATCTGGAACCCAAGCTTGGAAGCCTGGATATGGAGGCTCGGCGGGCACTGGAAGCCCGGCAGGAACGGATTACCTAACCACCCTGAGCGGGGTGGCCACCCTTCCTTCCCCACGCTGGCGGCTGCAAGGCGACGCTCGGGTCACAGTTTCCCGGACACTGGACGGTCCTTCCCTCCCTTCCAGGTTCTTTCCTCCCGAGCCGTCGAACATCGCACTCTTGCCCTGTGGTTTGTCTTAGGGATCCAACAAGGCAGGCACGAACACAAAGGGGCTTTTTCTGCGGCAGGCACATCTGAGACGTGATACTTGCCGGCAGAGGGACTTGGGAGGGGACGAACAATTCTCAGACCTGCTCAGAGAGGTACGGGAGGACTTCGTACCTCCACACCCTGATGAGAAAAGGAAGCTCATTCTTTTCCCGGCACGCCCAATTTTGCCCAGACGGCCCCGAGTAGTATATGGCAAGCAACCCAAGTCTCAAGGCCCGATCTGATCCATTGCACAAGGTCCAAGGCGCAGGCAGTGGGGATTAGGTTGCCGATTACATTCTGGTCCCGGCGTCTTGTCGGTCTCTCAATCGCAGAAGCACGGATGCTTCCTAGCCAGATATGGCGACAAGATCATTTTGACTCCTCCTTCTGGACGGGCGACCAGTATTGGCCGGCCATCTTGGCTCCTCTTGGATCAGCATGTTACAAAAGCTTTGTGCTGCACGGCGAGACCTCCACTGTTGTCGGCAATGTTGGAAATTAAGGTTAGTTCCGGCTCCTATTCCTTGGCCAGCAGCGGTGACAAAGCAAAATAGGATGGACAGACAGCGCAACCTTACTCTTGATGGTCTGGGCAGCGGGGAGGCTCTTCTTTCGCGAAGGCTCCGCACCTGATTTGTCGGCTCATCTGTCCCACTGAGCAGATGCACCAGCAGCCTCTCGGCGGGTTCGACAGGCAGGCAGCACGCACACCTCGCACATGGCTGTGCATCGGTTCTGTCGTAGGGCTGGGTCGGCTACAGGCCAACCATGGGCTGAGCCGCCGCCAACCTCAACGCCGTAATCAAACCCTGACCCTCAAACTTCGGGTCATATCATCTCAGCATCCTGGCGCGCGTGGCTGCTGACCTGACCGTCATCAAGCCTGTGTCACGCAAAGTGTGTGCCAACCTCTCACAACTTCCCCACGGCTTGGCTTCCACAGGATGGACGACGCCATTGTTGGCCATCCAGATCCAGGAAGCGAGGCTTAGACACAGGACGACAAGACTAAGTAAGGTACAGGACCGCAGGGCCACTGGAAACACATCGAGTTTAGCCATCCAGCAATGTGCGGGCTTTCGATAGGCTTTAGCTTCAGCATCGCGGGGCTCCGAAACAGCAGACGAATCCCGGCACTCCGGCTAGCGAAGTTCTCCGCTTGGTCAGGCATGCAGCTTAATGCGCGCTGAGCCTAATATCTACCGCGAATCTGAACTTAAATCCGCCCTTTCACGAGTCGTCTTCTTAATATCTGCAGCCTGTGTTGCATCTCGGTGACCTCAAGAGGCGGGATACCCCACCCCCTCCCTCTTTCAAAACATTGAAACAAATAACGGCTGATGGATGGGCGCTATCTCACGCATCGCCTCCTCTTGCTTCATGTACATTTTCTTGAAGCAAGTAGTTACACTGCCAACCTTTACTGTGGAGGACAACCCGCCAAATCCTCACAATCTCAGCCCACCCAGGACCGACCAAGATGGTGCTGTTCACCCACTTATAGCCCAGGCACATACCCCAATACCTGGCTTGCTGGTGTTTGTGCTTTCCAATAAACAATGGAGAGCACAAGAGATGTACGGCCTGACTCTATCTTAAGTCACAATTCATCCACGGGGCAAGCCAAAGGCAATCTCGCTTGACTCTTCCCGTTGAGCACGCTTTGCTTGGGGTTTGGCTCCACTTGGTACAGCTTACTCTTCAAGGAATGGCAATACGTTGTCATTCTTGTCTATTATGCCACGTGCTACCCACGTCATCCAAGATTGAGCAAAGTTTGGAATAGGCCGGTTGTGGGCCTCGACTCAAACTGACCCCAAATACACCAGACAGAGTAAAGGAAGCTAACAAAACACCACAACTCCTGCCCTCAAGACTCGATTTTAATATTCCTGGTCTCAGATCGATTCTCCTAAGTGCGAAGTGAGCGGCCCGGCTTTACCATTGCACAAAATCACGGCGACGTTCTGTGCTCAAGTATCAACCCATTTATAGCTGCAATCTGATATTCAGGCCATGGATGTTCACAAATCAGTTCAAGGACTACTCGCATCTCCATTCTTACCTGGTATCTTCCGAGAGCCAAGACTTTGTCCGCACGAACTGCCGTATCTCGGACCCTTTTGGCGGCCCGCCCGCCAACTGGGCCGATCTCAAACCGCTCCTTGAACAATAAGCGGCAACGCGTGTGGTGTTTAAGCCTTTAGACTTTGTCCGACATGCTCGGACAATGGGTCTCGAATACCTTCAGCCAGGAAACAGTTTTTTTACAGCTTTTCATCTGCCAAAAACCTGTTTCAGTCTGCCGCTACGCTCGAAAATGAAGGTTGCCAGACTCGTTGACGGCGGACACATCTGGCTAGTGTCGGTCTGGAGAATATCTACCTCCCAACACGAACCAGCCTTATCGCAATTGTTGCGGTGGAAGAGGCACAACAACTGCTACAGGGCTGGCCATGGCCACATGCAGTTGCAAGATCTCAAATCCACCTAAATAGGTCAAGTTTTTCCGGGCGTTCTCTGGACAGCCATCACAGGGCTGACCATGGCCCGGGCACTGTTACAATACTCAGAGCCCCGAGCTTTTCTTGAAAGGAAGGGGTAGCTCCGTAAGTTTCTCCTGACTGCCAGCGCCTTAGCATTGCCGCGTCGCGTTCTGCCAGACATAATTCCGTTGTTCGCCTGCCGAAGGTCGAGTCATGTGTAGTGCTGCTCAGCATGCACGGTTCAAGCCAATGACTTTCTCGGCAAAAAAGTCACCGTGGATTCTCCGGAAAACGGAGGCAGCCATGCCGTCACATTTTGCGGCACATGTCCTATTGCTCTGTCATCCTCCGTGAATCCTACCAAGTACCGCCTGGATTTTTTCACCGCTTATGGACAGGGTCGGAGAGGAGAGCCTCTGAGCGAACCTGTCTTTCCAAGCCGGTATTCATACCGGCATTTATGAAGTTGGGACGCGGACTTTGAGCCCTCCCTACACCACGCCTTCTCGCGCGATTCGTGTCATGGCAATGTCCATCTCGCTCGTCTTGGCGCCATGGGCATGGGGAGGATGGCATTTGTCATGGTATGTTATCCGGTGGCCAATCGTACAGACATGAAGTACGCATATTGTTGCACTAAATACAGACACTTCTTGTGATGCAAGCCGTACCGCAAGCCGTGTCCCGAGACGGCCGTGTCCCGGCAGGCCCCAGATGTTGCAGCCTAAGCGCAAATGCGGCGAGAACTAACAAGCGCTCGGAGCGGCGCTCCTTGGTATATAGTCAAAAATAGTCAGGGGCTTGCCCGAGAGCTCGGATGTACGACGCGGCAAAGCAAGCGCGGGGGCTTGATCGATTTCAGGAAAGCCTACCCCTGTCCAGCACATCATTTCGACATGCCGACCCGCTTCCGCATCTCGACTCGGCAGATTTACTCATACAAGCAGGAAAAGTGACGAGCCTCAACCAACAATCAGACAAGTCAAGATGTCAGAATGTCAGATTGATCAGCTTATCGACCAATTGGCCCGAGATGTTTGAGAGTTGAGACCACAAGTGCCAACTCCACCCGAGCCGTTTGGGTGTAATCTTGGCATGTTTCCTCATGTGCAATACCTGCCATTAGTCGCTCACTTGCCGCAAGATCCAAGAGCCAAGTGCAAGCTTTACGCTCCACGGACCACGGACCACAGGCCGCAAAAAATACACATTCAAACGCCCATGTGTACCAAACCCCGGCTTCTGTGGGGGGTTCGAGGAAGGCTATTGATCCCTTCGTAGGGATACGAAATGCGGGTCAGTGGCCGGCCGTCGGCCAGAAAGCGGATCGCGGACACACCAGGCATCTACCAAACAAGCCGGGCGGTTCTGTTTTCGTCTGCCTGAAGTGATTTAAGCACAAAAGTAGACTTATTTTGCTAACCCAAGGCATCGGACTGGAGCGAGGTACGCGCTGTGCCGCAATGCCAACCCATATGGAACGTAAGGCAAGGAAGGTCTACTGCAGGAATGAGGCGTCTGCCGAGAAGAGAGAGGGGAGTTGAGCAAAACCCACCGACTGTTCTTGCCCGGTGTAGTGTCTGGATGACGAGCCATGTGCCATGATCCACGATTCATGATGGGAATTTGCACATGTACGCACGTGGAGTACTACCAAACAAGTCGGCATTTGTTTCTAAAGTACGCTCTATTCTGTTTCGCTCCGTCACCCCCACTCACCCATCTGGCCAGAGATCCATTCAGAGATCCATCCCATCGTCCCTGTCCCTCCGATTCCCCACCCCCCGGAGAATGACGCCAGTAATAGACTCGTCTCGCGCTCACTTGCTCGGTCTCTCTGACGTGTTCCACATGTCATGGCCGTCCATGTCAGCCACGGTTTCAGATGCCCCAACCAACCATGTGTCTTTGGGACGATGAGGATGGGATGGAGAGGATGGAGGGTGATACTCTCGGAAGGCATCCCGATCTGCAAGTGCGGTAGCGCTGCATGCAGCCTACCGTACGTACCTTAACCACCCCCAAGCCTGCGCAACAAAAGAACGTTTCTCCATGTACTTCGACAGCGGGTTCGATAATTTGCAAGATATATCAGATTGGCAACACAGTGCTCCGCGTGCCCGGACTATGCCTCCGATGTGGGACTCTCGATCCGCCGAGTGGACGGGTCGACGCAATGTTTAGCTCTTCTTCCCAGCAGGACCAGAAACAAGGAGTCGATCACGCTGCCATGCCTCTTACCCACTGTCCGGACTGGCTGGTTGGTTGTTTGAAAGCGGGCAGGCCACACAGCATCATCTAATCCTCGATGAAATATGAGCCGGGCCTGCCTGCCTGGCCTGCCCTGGCCTGGTCTCAATGGAGACTCCAGTGCGGCCCCAGTCCTGGCCCTGGGCCACCCGCAAAGTGCGAGGGCCGACCCACCAGGCCGCTCCTGTGTCTGGCTCCCATGCGGCGGCCGGCCTGTTGCTCCGGATGGAACACGTTCAAGTGCGAGCTCTGAGGCCACGGGGACAGCGGCTCGACCCAAGGACTTTCACTCGTACAGGATGATGCGAGTGTCTTCCCTGGTCCGTTGAAAGGGTGAGTGGTGAGATCGTGGCTGGCTCTGCAGTGCGAAACCGTTGCCGGAAAGTGGGCGGCTCACTTTCTCTCTGTTTGTCTCTCTCAGCCTTGCCAGCCCGATGCGCGGCGGTTTGGCCCGTTGCGTGGGAGGATTGCATTACATGACGCATTCCTTCCGTGCTAGTGCCTACCTGTACCCCCATCCGGTCTGTCTCTCTGGCTGCCTGTCAGCGCGTACACACATGCCGCGACATCCACAGACGGTGCTCGCTGTCCCGCACAATGCCGACGGTGGGCAGGTCTGATGTGTCCAGCGACGAGGAGATGAGATGCATTTTGAGCCGAACCTATGGTTCTCACGCTCTACGCAGGCAGTCGTCCGTTGTGACCACCGCCGGGCATCTGGTTCGGCGCAGTGCGGTCAGACAGATGGGATGTTTGTGTCTGCCATGGTGGACTGGGTTGGCAGCTGTCGGGATGGTCCGGCAGCCAGGAAACAACACTACTACTACCACTACTAGACATGGTCGCACAAACTCTGGAGACCTTTCGGGTCCGCGGATGTGCTGCATGTTGTAGAGCCGGCTGCCTCAGGACAATATACACCTTATATCAACACTGCGCACGCCACTCCTGCAGCCCTGTCCGCCGGAGTTGATACCGTATATGGTATACTGCCCTTGACGGATTCGCGCAGATACCCGGGAGGCAGAAGATGGGGAGGTTGTATTGCCTGGCCTCTACGCAGCACATACAGCAGATAGATACAAACGGCCCTGCTATCGCTCCTTCTCCTGCCTGTGGCCGCGATAACCCCGCACGTGTATTGGGAGTGTAAGTGTATGTGTATACCTGCGACATGCAATCGCGCGGCAACTCACACCGCCAGAGCTAACGTGTCTCGCCCACTTGCACTGGGGTAGCAGCATTCCTTCCTATAGCTTGTTCCTTTCCATTTTCATTTCTGTAGGTAGGCTGTTAAACAAAAGCAAGGTGGATGGGTTCGTGCGTGTCGTATCTTCTGCGCTCCTTGTCTGCGACTGTGGCACACATGTCAATCAACTCGTATATACCATGTCGTGTCGTAAAGATGTGTAGATGGATTGGTAAATATGGCTTGCCGCGCTATGCTAGCTCTTGTGGTGAAACCGTGCTAGTTTTATTGTGATGCCGCGCTAGTTATTGTCGTACCATGCCATGCCAGTTCTGACTACCCACCTAGGTATGGTAGGCAGGCATGCTGTCGTATATCGTATCTGGGCGCTCTTAGTCAGGCCAGGCTAGGTTATTGTTAGCTAGAATAGGCTGCGCTAGACTGTGCTGTACTTGAGAGAAAGGAGGCTTTGTGCATCTACCTACCTTGCCTAGTGAAGATAAGATGTATGTGTGGATATGCATACCTATGTAGGTAGCTTACCTACCTTAACTACTTGGTTCATGAAAGACAAGGCAAAGAGAGGTCTAAGCTGAGGACAAGCGAGGATCAAACTTGCCCTTTCGTTGCCTTGCCTCACCTTGCATACCTGTCTTGCCTACCCACCTGCCTAGGAGTGTTGGGAATATATCCGTCCGTATTCCATTATGTTCATTCCTAGAACGGCGTAACCCGAACTCCCCCTTTCAGCTTCTTCCTTTGTCGTTACCGTTGCCCACCGCCCCTATGCTTTACATTGCTGCTACACTAGGTGTCCGTGGCACTCCCACCCCGGTGCCTTTACATTAGAGCAAGTCAAGTCGAGAGGTTCGGGCAAGGCTGAGCAGGGAAGGTATGAAGGAGATAGACAGACAACTTGCTTATTTATTTGTTTGCTTTTGGCTACATTTGGTCTCATGGTATGTTTTGGCTTGGACGTCCTTGGGGGCAATATTCCGAGTCTAGTGGGGGCATGTATGTATATAGAGATATCCAAGTGAGTTATACCATGATGTGTGGTGGCTTTCTCTGGTATGTAGACTGGTGGTGTATAGCTATTTGGGTAGGTACCATGTCCCGTAACACAAGAAACCGAGGGTAATTCCATCAAGAGATGTTGTGAGTAAAACGGAATACGTATAGTGCATGAGGGCATGTGTGGTTGAGCTATGGCAGAGGGCTATCGGTGATACCAGTACTATCATGTCCGTTCAACGGGGGGCACTGCATACCTAGGTATATATATCTGCCTTGTGCTGATGCCTGTTCAAGGGCTACGGCTACGCGTATAGACCAGACTCTACCAGCGGTGCTGCTCTTGCTTATATACATACATATACGTATTCGGAAGCTATGCGCGTATAGATAGATGCTTGGTTACACAACCAATGTTTAAGTAGTACCTGAAACCGCCGAGGCGATATCTCTGTACCGGACCTGGCCGTGTGTGAGGAGATAGCGACAGAGATCCCCGACACTGACACGGCATGAAGCCGAATAGCAAGTTTCATATTCGCCGTGTTCTCGAGCCTCCACGGTGCTCACATCGGCATGTGCGCAGCCATGCCAGAACAGGACGGACTCTAGACTCTGCAAGGTGACCGTGGGGCCGGGCGTTCGGGAAGAACGGTTGAAGAGAAGGGCTACGAGCCAAAGATGCAAGGAGGGGTCTTATTTAGTCGGTAACAACTCTTCTTGTCTTCACTTTGGCTGTCGTTATTTCTCAAAGCTGGGTTCAGCTCGGGTACAGGCACAAGCTAGGGGTAACCATTACAGCAACGGCAGATAGAAACCGCCTAAAGACCTCCAGCGACCAAGGATCTGAGGTAGTAATTTGATCAGATACCTACTGCCTCTATCGTTCTGCTATGTCATTGCGATCGATGTCCTGTTGGTAAGCTGGGATTCATCTCGAGATCTCGGCCCGTAGTCAGCCTCTGAGGCCGCTAAGAGACGGCCAACCGTGGATAGATGCGCAGGGGCAGACTATAGTTCAGCTGTCGAGTTTCCCTTGTTTTGCCGCTAGACACTGGCTGGGTTTTGTCTAGTTGAGCCATCTACCCCGGGACGGTAAAGATAGAAAATCTCATTAAGAGAGCCGTAGTAGTCTATCCAAAGATCCTGGGACCATCTAACTATTTATTGACTACCCTCGGTCTTGCTTTCCGCTGTCCATTTAAAGCCCCGGCTCTATCTGTAGATCTTTCAGCTAGCAGGTCATATTAGCCGAGAATAGCAAGCGTCAAGGGAGGCACCGCGAGGCAGGGTGGCTCCCTCTCAAGTCAGTCCTACCAAAGTCAGGTTATAACATCTAAACGTAGCCAACTACTAGTCGTTAGCTAGATAGACAGCCAGGGATTACGCCAACAGAAACTTCAAGACTGTGTACTAGCAGCAAAGCAGTGTTTGTCTTCTTCGAAACCAAATCCCTTTACTCCGTCCAGCCCTGGCCTCAAACAAGGACGAGTGAGGCAATCCCAGCAGCTAGATAAAGCCATGGTTATGGGACAACAGCCCGAACCCTGCCAGCCGGTGAAGGATGCGACTGTGTGCTTGTTTGGATGTCAGTCAGCTCCTCTACCTTCAACATCATCTGGCCCCAGCCTAACCGAGAGCAAAAACCAGCCTAAAGATTCAAGATGATGACAGAGATGTCAATTCAGTGGTACAATTTGCAATTCACAATCCTTCGCGGGAAAAACAAAGTTCCTCTTATTTGGGTTGTATGGTTTCTATTGTTTGTAATTTTGCGCCGCGCGTACATGGTTGGTTGGTCCCCATTGCGGGACGATGGAAATGGAGATATCCTGCCTACGTGCCTACTCTAATGAGTGAGGTGGAGCATGTGGACATCCCAGTGACGACAGAAGGTTCTTCGCTCGAGTATAGGACGACGCAAGGGGCTCGTCGGAGTTCTGTCGTCAGAGGTCTTGAATACCATTGTAGGTATGAAGGGGGGTTCTCATCCTTCATCCAGTAGTTTCACGGGGAATCTCTAAACCAGTGCTCTCTCCACGTCAGTTTCCAACTCTGGGTTGACTGCTCCCGCTTTGGCTTGATCAAGTGCGTGGCGTATGACAGGAGAGGAGTCTAAGAATAGGTACTTGTAGCCTTTCCAGTCGGTTGCATATTGCAGGCTTGAATGACTACGGAGGCGTTGGCGTTATCCATGGGCCGTCCGGTCTGGACAAATTCCCAGTTTATCTTCTATACATCCATCTCAATGCCGACTACTCGCCGTAAACAAGTGCTACCTATCTTGTGTGTGATTCGGATCTGCGGGTCTCGGCTGTACGTAATGTAGAAATGGATGTTCAAAATAATGTCAACGGGTACGGTATATATGAATGCTGGGAAGGTATTAGTAACCTTCCTTGGGAGGTAGGTCCAGGCAGAGGCACCAACGCAAGAGATATGTAGGCAGGTATACGCGAGGCAGGGCAAGACTAATGCCTGAAATACGTGCTCGGGCAGGGCACGCGTTGGGTTTCGTGTCTCGAAATAGGGGCAGTGATATTCTCCCTTTCTGCCGCTCTGTACACGTCCGAGGTAGCATGAGAGTTTAACCCCTGATAACAGTGCGACAAGAAGCATAGGTAATTAGAGAGAGACAGCAGGCAAGTAAGTGGTGGAGACCTCGCTTTTACATGCAGATGAGATTTTAATATGATTCTGATATGATCATCGGCGCCTTTTCTTTTCTGATATGTATCTATAAAGAAGAAAAAACAAGAAAAAAACAGATGGTGCCTCTCCATCCTTCCTAGGTACCAAGCCAGTGGACTAGGAGGAGTAGGCTGTTTATGCAATGCAATGCCAATGGATATCTCCCCAAAGCCTTTTCGAACTTGGTTCGTCAAATGCAGTATGTACAGACAGACGGACAGGCTTGCCGTAGCTGCCACTCGTCCCAATTATATATATGTTCCCGTCTCACAACAGAGGGCTGGCTCCTCTCTCATTGGATGTGCCCGTCGGCCACGGTAGCGGCGACGAGCGGCCAGCCGAGGAAGACGCCCATGAACGGGAAGTAGCTGCAACACAAACAAGTCAGTTTTACTGTTTGTTGACCAACCATGGAGACGACCATCTATGTGCAGGTAAGGCTTACAGGGCAGACTTCTTGGCCAGGCCCTTGATGGGCAGCGACCAGTCGAGCGCGTGACTGGGGGTCGAGGCGGGCAGGCGCTCGAACGGGTGCGACTCGAAGCTCCGTGCGAAGCTGCGCATCGACTGGATCATGGAGAACTGCCTGCGTGTGACGGTGCGCATGGCGGCGGCGCGCATGGCGGCTCGGGCGATGACGGGAGACATGATGTTTTTTGTTGGTGTTGCTGTGGTGGCTGAGATGAGTGTATGACAATAACCGTGGCCCCCCCCTTTGTTTTTTAAGTCTGGCCAATAGATCTTTTTTTTTACACAAGATGATGAGACCGAAGATGGAGTTGAGAGAGACACAAAGTACAGAAGACTGAATGGAGAGTTGAGTTGTCTTGGTTGGTTGGTGGGCTGATTGATGATGATACACAGAAAACAACACTGGCAGCAACAGGAGATGGTCACACATCCTTATATGCAATGGGTTCACGGGGTGGGAGGGAGTCAACAACACGAGCAGGGTTCAAGAAATCAGGCTTTCGCCAGCACAGAGCATCAGACGATTTCGGATGGGTTCGCAGGCTGGAGGAGCGGCGGGCTCCTCCTCCTCCCGCGGTCCTGGACCCGAAAGCCTGGTCGTCACCACCATACGGAGGCGCACGAGAGAGGAGGCCACATTGGGGGAATGGGCAGATGGGCTGATGGGCAGATCCCGCAGATGGGACTAGAAGCTGGAAAGGCGCAGATAGGCTCTGGGTTGTGTTCGTCCATACTCCGTACAGTAGCAGCAGGCCCAAAGCTGGGCCCAGCCAAAAATGCAAGGCAGCAGGCGCGCGCGCGCGGGTGTTGCAGGAAGGGAAAAGAAGTGATTAGATGTTTTTCCCTTTGCCATCATGCCACTCGGCCCTCGAAACCGTCAGATGGGTTCAGCCCTACGGCCCCCAGGGCCAATGGCTGCAGGCCCGCCAGAGGTTGCGCCTTCCAGGTGGGACGATTTACACCCCCCAGAATCGTCCCTTTTGCGCTGGGCGTGTTGCCATCGGAAGGGGCCGGTGCGGCTTATGATTGGCTATAAATGAGGGGACCTCCACTTAGTTGGTTGCTGAACGTGGAGCTCCAACAACTGACAGACGACTAAACCGGCCAGATTAGGCACTAACAGTGGCTCGTTCTTTGCTAATAGTGGTTAACATGTATTTCACAAGTAAAATAATAACAGTTAGCTAACATTTCTCTCTAAGCCCCTGCCAAAGATCCGCAAAATACACTTATCCTACTAACAGCAACATCTCGCTTGTCGTGGGAATTGCGTCATATGTTTGCATGATGAATGCATGGACACCATGGATGGGGATATCACGGGTTAATTGTCTCTCCATTTTTATTATTTTTTATTATTATTATTGCTGCGCGCGGATGACCTGGGTGCCCTCGGCGGGCTCGAGCAGCTTCCAGTTGCACACAATGTTCTGCTTCTTGAACCTCGCGATGATGTTGTTCGCGATCTCGTCAAAGTTGCTCGTGGCAAGCGCCAGGATCGTCGGCCCAGCCCCCGACAGGCACACGCCCAGGAGCCCCGGCTGCGTGACGGGCGTCATCGACTCGACAATCTCGGTGAGCCCGGGGATCAGCGTCTGCCGGTACGGCTGGTGCAGCTTGTCTTGCATGGCCAGGTAGATCAGCTCCGGGTCGGGCGGCGACTGCCCGAGCGCCGCCGGAAGGAGAGTTATCCTCTGCAAGTTGAACGTCTGTTTGCCTCCCATCAGCTGCTATCCGGCACCGGCGGAGAAGCAAGTAGGAATTGGTGGGGGCGGCAGCAGCAGCCTACTTACCACGTCGGGCCTGGGGTAATGCGACGGCAACACGGCGCGCGCCTTGGCCGTGGGCACCTCGAACTCCGGGATGATAGCCACGGCTTTGATCTCGGCTGCCCAGGGGAACTTGATGTGGTGGCCGATGCCGTGAGGGGGGTTAGGCGGCTTCATGCCCGTGTCGACGCCTCCGGCCGGCGGGAGCACCTCGCTCAGCGGGATCTCGGTCCGGGCCACGTCCTCGGGTGTCAACGGCTTCAGATATGTGCCGACAAAGCCACCAAACAAAGCAGCGCCAACATTGTCCGGGTGGCGCTCTGTTGACCACGTGATTGCATGGTTAGTTGTGGAGTGTCTAGAGAATATCAGGCTCGAAGGGGAGGAGGGACAGACCAATCATGAGACAAAAGTCAAAGAGGCGCTCGGGGGTGAGGTGGTCCAGACGGCCGCACTCCTTACCGAGCAAGACGCCGGCAACAACGGCGGCGCCCGAGGAGCCGAGGCCTCGCCCGAGCGGGATGGGGTTTTTGATGTGCACGTGCGTCTCGACGGGGAAGCTGCGCTGGTCGTGGCAGCGCAGCACATAGAGGGCAACACGCGTGATGAGGTTGACGGCAGGGTCAAGGCTGATATCGCCCGAGTCCTCGCCCTCGCCCTCGTACGTGATGCGGCAGTTGAGGGGCTGGTCCGAGGTGGCCTCGGACGTGTCGATGGTAACCTGCAGCTCGAGGTACATGGACAGAGCCAGCCCTATCACGTCGAAGCCTGGCCCGATGTTGGCGCTCGAGCACGGCGTCTTGATGGTGAAGGAATCGGACGCCATGGTGAATCGCGCTCTGCTCTGCTCTGCTCTGCTCTGCTCTGCTCTGCTCGGCTCGGCTCGGCTTGCTGCAACCCTTTTCACTTCTGGCTGCTGGGACCTGAAGTGTTTGCCGATACTAACTGGTGGGTGGATTTGCCGTGTCGGTTGACTTTACTGACCGTCCTGACCGTGACTTTTCCGGGTGTATTGTACTTGGCGAGCAAACCCAGATAATTGCTCCCGGTTGGCTGTCGTTGGCCTTGTCCGTGCCACTCGGTGCGGCACTGTAGTGACGTTTCGTACGATTAACTTTATTCGTCTTCTTGGGTTCGACTTCACCTCAGCCTTAGCCCCAAAATTTGTTGACCGATTACGGAGCGCGGGGTCCAAGCTATCATAGCTTCGAAGCTGCTGTGGGTTCCGGGCCCCGGTACCAGCAGCGAGCAGCTGCAGGCTGTCAGTTGCAGCGAGCGATGATAAGCGCGAGAATACCGTCCAATCCCTGAATATTAGCGGGGAACTTTCCAAGCTCCGAATGGCCTCAATACCTTACTCCTCGCCCTAACGGGGTTTTCACCGGAGGAGGTAATAGCTATTAGAATCTCTTTAACAAATCCTAGAGGTTTGTATCCCCCTAGAAACAACTAAAAAAGGCTTTTCCTGGCCGGTTCATTTGCTATAATATTTAGGCATTCGCCCAGGTGTTCCGTACCACGCCAACAAGCGTTTACGGATTGGATTGTACCAGTGGATGTTGTTCACTTACACGTCGAGGCCTCAAAAACCTAGGCAACCAAAGCATCATGCCATGATTGATATGGTTTACGCCTGCCCAGGTCATCCCCTCTCTTCAAGAGAGGCGTCGGTCGCTCCTTTTCTCTCCGTCTACACCATATTGCCCCTTCTCTCGCTCTGCAATTCGATGTTCACTACGCCCAGAGTAGACAGGAGTCCTGGTTCAGGAGGACCAGGACCCGCTAATAGCAAGCCCGCAACGTATCGAGCAATCTATAGGGTATCTAGATGCACGCATCAGGCTTGACTCGTGGAGCTTGGCCCGCCAGCTCGATGTCAACTCCGAGACCATAAGTAGAGAGATTACTCGCCTCGAAAAGAGCAGGGACAACCTCGCAAACCTCATGGATACTTTGGACGACATCAAGTCCAAATTGCATGACCAGGGGAATCTCGACAGGGCGGTGGGACTTCTCGAAAATATCGAAAAGAAACTGAACAAACCGCCGACTCAGTAGCGCAAAAAACTTAACTCGGCAGGCAGGATTTTCATTCAGGCGAGTTGGATCAAGTCCCCCAAAGAACCCCATACGGTTTTACTGATTCACACCCAATGATAGATGTAGTGCTTTGACTATTTGACGGGCGCCGTAGCCGTGAGTTGCTTGGTTGATTATAATGAGAGCGTAACCCTCCACTGTTAAATCGTCGCCATGCACTGTAAGTACAAAGGCGCCCAAGCGTTACGGCCCACCGCCCAGGAATATACCACATTTTACAGCCAAAATTATCGCGTTCGCTGGCTGCCCCGCTCCAAGCGCTGGCAATGCAGTTGTACCGCAATTGCACCTCGCCGCCGTCGCCAACGTCAACACACTTCCGAATGCGGTAATTCCATCTCAGGGCCGTAGATTCGCTCAAATCGTTCAAATCTACAATAAAAAGCGAAGTTGACTTCGTTGAATTCGCTTACATAACAAGGCCAAAAATGCAACAAAAAACTACAGGCCTACTTATAACTACTTACAACTGCATGAAACTGACAGCCTTACTGGTCCATGCCTTCCACCCGGGCAGTAGGTCGCGGGACCCTTCCACTTCGCGTAGGCCTTACAATACGACCTTCAGCCACTGCAGAGGCTGCAGGGCCGCGTGAAGCTCGTGATGTTGTGCCGCCCTGTGACGGCGCCAGCCTGCAGCACTCACTACCACTGCGCTAGAACCCCCAAAAGGATGCCAGAATTGCAAGTTGACAACTTGCAACCTGTAGTAAGCTATATAGTACTGTTACGGCCATTGCGCGCCGTGACACGCCCCGGCTAACACTCTGCGTGCCTTGGTGTTGAGCACTGCTTGCTGCCCTGCCGCCCCGGCTCCCTGTGCCCCGAGTGCTTGTTACCCGGCCACCCCGGCTCCCTGTGCCCCGGCGAGCGGCATCAAGGTTGTTGACAGTACGGTTATGAGGCTCTGTAGGCGCTTGAGTAAACCCGTCGACGTCGCCGTCGTCGTCGTCGTCGTCGTCAAGGGTAGCACCCTCCCACTGTGAGGTATCTCGTCGAATAGAAGGCATGAGCCTGGACTGCCTGCCGGCTGAGCGGTCCCGGACTGAGCGGTCCCGGACTGAGTAGTCGGGACCCGCGGAGCGTTCGGCTCGGCTGCAAAGGCAGTAGTGGTGCGCGGCCTTCCCCGAAGGTGTTCGACTCCGTCAAACTCCCGGTACTACAAGTAATCATCTTCATCAAGTAATGACCTTTCCAAGTACTAATATGGATGGAAATCAACCTTCTGAAGCTTTAAAGTACCTGCCCTGTGACGCTGAAGAAGCTCGTGAGCACAAGGGATGCCATACTACGCCCGGAACCGACCGGTACCGGGTTCGAGAGGCGCCCGGGGGTGGTCGCCGAGGGCATTTGTCATCTTCCGGTATTGATATGCAACACGGTCCAGGGCGTCATAACAGATGTTATATAGAGCCTCACCAAGCCACTCCTTTCCTAGGTAATCGAAGCGAATTCGTGTTATTTATTCGTGAGTCTCTTCATCATAGGCTTCCTTCATGCCCTATACCATATTGAAGCTTAGTGGAAAGGTAAGGTTCGGTTGCGTTATGGTAAAAAGTGGTAAATTACCACGCGGCAGAATCTTAAATGTACTGGAGGGCGGTGGGTAGCCAGGGTTAGGGTTATATGTGGGGGACTACAGTGCATGGCGACGATTTAACAGTAGAGGGTTACGCTCTCATTTTATTCCGTAGTAGAGCTTTGATGCGTGGACCCACCTACTTTTTTCATACTGCGTATGCCAACGCAGGGGCCGCTTTTTGTATTGTAAAATGCCGTATTCCATGGCAGCCACCCAACGCTCTACCGGGTACTAAGGAAGTTTTTGCTTATAGGATGCGGAAAATAAGTATCTACGGATCGAAAAGCCGGACAATGCGGCCGCGAAAGGTCGCCCTGTCAATCAGGGCGGTCCTTTCGAAAATGAAGCCATCCTGTCAGAGCCGCCAGCGCCGAAGACAAAGACGACAGCCCTGAGCGGCACGATCCACCGGGACGCGCGGCGTTACTATTCACAGTTCGAACTAGCTGGGCCGAGCCTAGAAGAGCGGGATGAACAGGATGAACAGGATGAAGAAGAGCTGGAGATTGACTCGGACTGCATCGTCGTCAATATAGGGCCAAGCCCAAACAAAGGTCGGAAGAGGAAGGCAACACAACAGAAAGGAAAAGGGAAAAAAGAAAGATAATGAAGAAAGCGAGCAAGCCTACCCGGGCAAGCTACATTGAGACCTCAGTTCCTAATCCTCACCTCTTTAACATAAAGGTAGCGAAATGGCGGGGCCGCAGGGCTCAACGCCGGCGCTTTTTAGGAGAATACAGCTCATACTAAAGAGGAGAATGACTGCTTCGATTCCGGGGATGAAGATGACCCTTATCCTCGTAAGAAGGGCGGCGAGGGTAACCAGGTTGACATAGACTAGGTTGCTAGATTGATAGACTCAATACCAAGGAATTGCATCACCATGTCAACAAATCAGGATTCAACAGATCATTCAGGCAACTGGGCGCCTGCCATAAGTGGCTAGTTTACGTACAAATCCGGGCCTTAGAGTTACTATTTGCAAGTTGCCTTTATTTCGAGGCTGAATCAGCAACGAAGAAATTGTCAAAATGGAAAACACCACGGTAAACGCGTTTTCAGGGCTTTTGAAGGCTTTGACGGCTTCAACGCTATTGACCCGGGCTTCCTTTAGTACCCGGTAGGGCGTTGGGTGGCTGCTATGGAATACGGCATTTTACAATACAAAAAGCGGCCCCTGCGTTGCCAGTTGCCAAGGACCCACAGGTAGGTGATATGAAAAAGTAGGTGGGTGCGCGCATCAAAGCTCTTATAATACCCAAGGTACAACCCATCGTCCATTGTCGTGATGAGTCGGCCAAGACTTGTTCTAATACATTCCAGGTACGGCAGACCGGCGCGAGGAAAGGAAAAGTTGGCCGTGCAGGAGAGAGAGCTAGCAGACCAGAAGAGAAAGTTGGCCGTCGACGAGAGGGAGCTAGCAACCCAGAAAAGGGCTGAAATGCATTTTCGGAACCCAAGACTGTATGGATACCTTCGGAAGGTACCTTCACCACTCAACATTGTCTACTATCTTACAAACATGCTGCTTCCTAAAGCAGGACGGCGGGTAAAAGCCCTCGTGTTTGCGTATGAGAAACGCGCCCTTCGGAAGCGTGAAAAGAAAAGAAAAAAGTTATTTCTTCCTGTTCGCATTCATGTCAGTGCCAGATCAAGCTTCAGGCTCTGAGCTTGGGGGAGAACTTAAGCAGAGTCTTGAAAATGGCCTGTGCGAGGCCAATGCAAACCCCTGCCCACTGCTTGGGCTGAAGCTTGGACCGCCCCAAGCGCATGCCCCTGCAGGAACACCCCTTCATCTGAAAGATCGCGTCGTGAATTTGAAGCTCCTATTTACGCTGTATCTGTATCCCGTAGCCGCACGCACGCACTACAACGCAAATAGCTTCAGCAACCACGACTCGATACATCAGGCACCGCACCCGCGGAACCACCTCTGGCCTGCCCTGCTTATGTGATATCCGCCTTGCTGTCGGGAAATGCTCGGTTCGCGAGCTTGAGCGTTGCGTTGCGTTGCGTTGCGTGGCTCCGACAATCCGCCCGCCCACCACGGCCCGATCTCCAATCGCTTAGAGGGCGGCTAGGTACTAGCTATTAGTGCTGTAGACTGACGAAAGATACCGACTGCAAATCCTCGTCCTCCTCCGTCGCCGCTTCATGTGCAGACGATAGCGTTCGAGACCGACCGACCGACCGACGCGAACCTAGCTCGCCCACCATGACGGACTCGCTGCACAACGCGCCTATTGTGCTCGACAACGGGTCCGGCACCATCCGAGCTGGCTTCGCCGGGGACGACGTCCCAAAATGCCACTTTCCCTCGTTCGTCGGGAGGCCGAAGCATCTGCGTGTCCTGGCCGGCGCGCTAGAGGGCGATGTCTTCATCGGCCAGAAGGCCGCCACCGAGCTGCGCGGCCTGCTCAAGATCCGCTACCCTCTCGAGCACGGCATTGTGACGGACTGGGACGACATGGAGAAGATATGGGCATATGTCTACGACGAAGGGTTAAAGACTCTTAGTGAAGAGGTAAGAGCTGCCCCTTGTGTCTGCAGCTTTGCCTGGGGACACGACACATGCCTAACAACTGCTTTCAAGAGCTAACGAGTTTCCTCCCTTCTCCAACAGCACCCCGTCCTTCTCACCGAGCCGCCCCTCAACCCGCGCTCCAACCGTGACACGGCGGCCCAGATCCTCTTCGAGACGTTCAACGTCCCGGCACTATACACGTCGATCCAGGCCGTCTTGTCATTATACGCTAGCGGCCGGACGACAGGGCTGGTGCTGGACGCCGGCGACGGGGTGTCGCACGCCGTCCCCGTCTACCAAGGGTTTACAGTGCCCAACAGCATCCGGAGGATCGACGTGGCCGGCCGCGACGTGACCGAGTACATGCAGACGCTGCTGCGCAAGAGCGGCTACATCTTCCACACAAGCGCCGAGAAGGAGGTGGTGCGGCTGATAAAGGAGGCCGTCACCTACGTCGCGAGGGACCCGAAGAAGGAAGAAAAGGAATGGGCGGCCGCCAAGATGGAGCAGGACAAGGTCGCCGAGTACGTACTGCCAGACGGGAACAAGTTGAAGGTAAAGTCGGACTCTTGCTAGCACCCCTTCACAGAGCAAAATGCTGACCTCATTTGTAGATTGGGGCTGAGAGGTTCCGGGCGCCCGAGATCCTATTCGACCCGGAGATCATCGGCCTCGAGTACCCCGGCGTGCATCAAATAGTAGTTGACTCGATCAACCGGACCGACCTCGACCTCCGCAAGGACTTGTACTCCAACATTGTGCTGTCGGGCGGCAGCACGCTGACCAGGGGCTTTGGAGACCGGCTGCTGACCGAGGTACAGCGCCTCGCCGTCAAGGACATGAGGATAAAGATCTTTGCGCCGCCCGAGCGCAAGTACTCGACCTGGATTGGCGGCAGCATTCTCGCCGGTCTGAGTACCTTTAGAAAGGTACATTTTCCCCCTGCCTCATAACTCTTGTGATGTATATGGTTCGCTAACACGTCGGACAGATGTGGGTCAGCATCGACGACTGGCACGAGAACCCAGACATTATCCACACGAAATTCACTTGAGAGTCTGCTGCTAGTGAATGGAAAGCCAAGCAGCCTGTCAGACGGGCCAAGGTTCTTGTCACTCGCGATTTTCTGTTTTCGCTGCTACCAATCGCGATGGGAAAATCTCATCGGGGCGGAACCAGCTGCGGGGACAGGTAGGATGGATGGCAAGCTAGCGCTGATACCCTACAGCCTTTCTAATTAAGCATGAAAAGGGGGGCGGGGGTGGTGTGAAGACTACTTATGACTTCTCAACTGTTCTAGCTCCGGAAATATATCAGAGTATTAAAACCCATGCGAGAGGGAGGGCAAGGGGCAAGAGGGTGACGAGTGAAGAAGGGGGGAGAGAGAGGGAAATAGCCAGCAAGTCAGCGTGGAGAAAAAGGGAAAGATTTTTTTATTAACGGCGGTGTTACTGTTTGTATCAGAAAGAAGAAAAATGCCTTTGCCGCATGTTTTTTTTCTTTTTTCTTCTTGTTTATGGTTAGAGAGAGAGAGAGAGAACGAGTGGGGCAGACAGGCAGGCAAACGAATGATACCCAACTTCTTCTGTTTGACTACCTACCTCCTACTGTGATATGTGGTTACATACCTGATGTTGCTGTGTATGAGAGAAAGAACTCTTTATTGGTGATTGTTTAATAGCCAGCCGCAGGATCACTCCGTATATACACACATGGCCGTACCATTATCTAAGGTGTCTTACCTTTGCATAGGTGCCTAGGTAGGTAGGTTTGCCTTGAGTACTATACATGTACACACCGTGCCCGGTAGGTAAGGTAGTATGGAGTAGCTACCGATTGTTCAATATCCGCGCGGGATGGTGTGATGCATGGTGCGATAGACGGTGTAAAAGGTGCAACTCTTTTCAAGTCTTTGACTTTTTACCTTTCTTCGAGTGGGTCGAAAAAAAGGGCCAGGCACAGATACTGCCTCGCCTGCTTCTATATTTTTACTTTTTGCTCTCCGGAACCTAGGTACCTTTCACCGTACCTTTCACCCTACGACAATAAGACCACGAGCACGAAGTAAATAGAGCATAAACATCAAAAAAGTTTGCAATTGGTTCACGCGGTGGTAGGCACGCGCTGTAATAGACAGTACGTAGCACACATGAATAGACGGAACATTCTAAATTTGGCCAGCTTAGATGGGGTGAATTATATACAGGTTACTTAGTAAGGTGTTCCGTCCGGATGTACGGTGGTGGCGGTGCCACCCGAAATAGGGGGTGGAACCCCTATTTCGCCGGCCCCCACCACAAAAACATCACGAGACTTGTTCGCCATTCGATGATCAATGCGCACATGTTTTGCGACTCCACAAACACATTGAAAAACAAACTACTGTAACAAGCAAAGACTCCACGAAAGACTCAAGGTTTCGTTTGCGCAAGGGTTTCCAGTTTGATTTAGTTAGAAATGCCAGACTTGAAAATGTAGTATTGATGCTGCAAGAAGACCACCACTCCTAGTTACCGAACCAGGTAACTACCTATCTAGTTACGGGTTGGCAATAACGCAGTTCACTCCTTAACACCTCGCCAGAAAGAAATGGAGCTATCACAGCCACAGCAGGTTGAGAAACCAAGAACCCAAAAAATCCCACGCCCCAAACTTTTCCTCTGCCCTATTCATCCTCTTCCCACATTTTCCCCGTAAACCCTATGTGTCTCGCCGTGCTGTGCTGCTGCTCTCTCTGCTTTCTTTGCTGCTGTGCTGTGCCTTGCATGTCGAGATGGGTGAACTATGAAAAGACCGGGAGTTTCCTTCTCCCCTGAACGCCGCGCCAAAGTGTGAAAAAGAAATGCTTGGTACAAAAGAGGCTGCTGTAAAACGCAATGCAAATGCCAAGCCAGGCGCCAAAAGCAGGAGGTATTAGGGCGTGCTGTAGTTACAACCAGGCGACGATGCAGGTGACAGTCGCAAGGCCGAAGCAGCCTGGGTATCTCAGGGGGATGGATGACCATACGCGAGACGCATAGTCATTGTTGATATTGTTGATGTAGAGAAGGAAGCCGTGATTCGCGTTTCCTTCTTCTCCGCCGCCGAGGTAGAGTGCCTGCCTCTCTTCACCTCTCGGCCTGTCGCCGCTGTTGTCATGGTCTCGAGCGTTTGCGCCAGCACCCGTCGAGCAGACCAACCCAAAACGTTCTCAGTGGTGGTTGGAGCCGACGTTGCTGAGACGCCCCCAGAAGCCGGAGCGCGCGCTTCCCGATGTGCTAGACGAGTCGCGGCGGCTCTTGGTGCTCTTGGAGCTGCTCCCGCTGCCACTTCCGAATACGTTGCCGGCGCCGCCACGGCCGACGTGGCCCATGGTGGCAGCTTTCTCGCGGATCTCTGCCCTGGAGAACTCTTCGTCGAACGAGATGACGGGGCGCTCGGAGGCTGCATGTGCGTTGCCAGCTCCGCCGCGGCCCGAGTAGAAGCGGCCGGTAGACACGGGCACCGTCGTAGTGGTGACGGGGGTGGGGACGCCGGTCGGGGCTGTGGTTGCCGGAGCGCGGAAGAAGTTGCCAGCGCCGCCGCGACCCGAGTGGGTGTAGCTGTTCTTGACCACGGTGGGGTGCGGCTCGGTGATGGTGTAGCGAGGCATGTTTGTCTCGGGTTTGGTTATGTTGCGGTGGTGAGGTGTGAAGACGGAAGCCGGAGCTTGGTCGCAGGGACTTGTTCAAGGTGGGACTTTATCAAAACTTTGATGCTGTCTTGGAGTCTCGCTGCGTGAAGTATGGGTTACTGGGTTGACTGCTGGAAGATGTGGAATCTGATGTGCGGAGCCATGTGTGACAGAGGGAGAGACGGTGATGGGCTTAATATAGCCAGTGCAGGGAGTCACGGAGTGGTAGGTTGTGAGGTGGAGGGCGGGTGGTGCGGACGCAAGCGAGGAGGGGTGTGTGTGCGAGGTGTGTAAGGGGCGGGTGCCAAGGATGGCCGGTCGACAAGGTCCTTTGACAGACGAACTCCATACTATACTCTGTACCTAAGGTAGGCGGTAGCTCCAGCAGGTACTCCATCCACGGAGATGCAAATACTTTGCATGAGGTGGTACAATGGATGCTGTACAGAGGACTTTAGGAGGTACAGTACTAGCAGCCGAGCAGGCGGCGCGGCGCGCCAGAGCATCTCGAGTCTGACCAGGCTCGGAACGACTTCAGACCAGAGGGAAGCCGCATGACTACAAAATCATGGACTAGCACGTTTGCAAAGCCAAAGTCGGGGAGGTACCAGCCGGGTACAGTGCGACCCGAAACCCGGCTTGGTTGGCTTGCTGCCTCGGTCGCTCCACAGTCACGACCTTGATGGCCGCCCAGGTACCCAGGTACTGCACTTGTACATCCATTGCTTCACTTGAAAACATAAACGCTGCAGAGTGCAGACTCCAATTGGCAGACGCTTGCTTGCCTTGGTTGGCGAGGTAGGTATGGAGTACATCCAGGGTGTTCGGATCCGTGTAGCAAAAATGGCCTGGTAGAGAGAGGCAAGGTAGGCATTGGGCGACCAGGCGTGCGTTGACAAATTTTCACGCCAGAAGGCGCAAGACGATTCTCTAATTCCATCAGTGAGACTGAGGCCAACAATGGAAGAGGTCTGATGACAAGCAGCCTGGAAGGAGCCTTGAAAGCGCCTGCTCGGTTACTCCAGCGCTTACTTGTGCTGAAAATTTCGAGCCGAGAGGCCCAGCGAGCTTTCCCTTAGCATATGGAAACGTAAGAGGTAGTCACGAGGTGCACCAACAGCCTATTTGTTACGAGATCATTACCCCATAGTTTGGAGCCCAGCCTTGTACCAAGCCCGCGTTGTTTGCGCTAGAGGGTACTTGCCTGCTCTTCTGGGCCGCCCCGCCAGGATCCGGCCGTCCATTCATGCAAGGGACGGTGACGACTTCACTTTTTTTTCATCAATTTCTTTTGTGTTTCCAAGGCCGCTGCAATCCGCCGGCCGCCGTCTACAACACATGTACAAGCAAACGCAGGCCCATGGCGCCGTCCGGCCTGGTACCGCCTTGTAGTTTTATTTTCCGAAATTCTGCTTCCGGGCACCCTGAAGGTCCGGCCATTGGCTTGCACCACAGGCCAACCAGGCCGCGTTAACTCTCTCACGTTTCCGCCAATGGACCATTCATTCGGCCCTCTTCTGGTAGCGCACTGCATTGCACTACCAGCGTCGGCACTGACCGCCATATGACGAGATGAACCGTGGCCGCATTGCACGTTACCAAGATGCTGGGTAAGCACAGCACAGCACAACGCTGACACCATCGCATCATCCCAAGGCAACTGTCAGCGTTGATCGTGTATTGCTGATATTCTGAGGTTGTCGCCCGATGCGGATTCGGCGTATTCTGCTCAACAGGCATCGGTTGTTCCTGAATCTTTTGCTTTTCGTCTTACCCACCCGGCATCCTATCGGCACAACAGATTAAATTCCATTTTAGCACTGCCGTTTCAAGACTTCCAAGACAAAGGGAAAATGCTTCATCAGCACGTGTATCTAGAGATGGAGTCAATCAACTTGGCATCTCCATCGGGCGATGCTTGGGAACCCCACCACCCAAAAATTTGACCATCGCAAAACCCCAGATTTTACCAGGATCACGGGGGCTACCTAGCTCCCAGACGTCGCCCTGCAAATCGAAACGCTTCTCGCTTGTGGCTCTCCCCGCATTCCTATGGCCAATGAAGCCGTCGCCACTACTGCTGGCACGGAATGGTCAGAACGCTAGAACGCCACATCAGGGGCATCCTCTCTCTGTCTAGCTCGAGGGGAACATGTCATGCTGCTCACGGGTTCTGGTCATGAGGATGGCACGTTGACAGACACCACCGCCTTAGAAGGCCGCTAGACTCTAGAAGATTTTAGTGGGTTGATGGGTGACGTGCCGGTGCGTTCGAGTTGGCGCCGTGTCGAAGTGATGGCTAACTTTCAAGATCTAGTTTTATTGCGAGCCGCGGTTCCTTGCCGACGTCACTCAAAGTTCTTCCAAAGCCGAGCCTCGGACGTGTCTCGTCTTAAGGTTTGTGCCGAACCGCCGAATGGCCGATGGCGCTTGTCTGTTTACGCTGTGGCGTTCGTCAGGTGACGGGAGACAGCGGCTGAGCTCGCCCCTCCCAGCCACGCAGCCCTAAAATTTTCAGCCCCTGCCCTAGTCCCCCTCTCGGTTCTAGCCGATCGGCTTGCCTCTTTGACATCACTTGCTTGTCAGGTGGCTGCTACCCGACGACTCTCATCTGGAAGTTTGGACTTCTCCTATTCTAGACCTCACCTCCCATCTTCTGCCCATTTCAGCTTGTTTTAGCCGTCGCTGCATCGTACTTCGTGGCCGTTGTTTGACGAAGGAGGCACTGCAAGAGCCACGTGTTCAACTTTCAACGATGCTTGCCCCTTGACAGGCTGTAAGCCGAGGAAGCGAGGGCCTACTCGACTAGCACTAGCATTCAGCACCACATTGCTCGCCTCTCCTAGACAGCCTTTCGGTGTCTTTCAGTGGTGTCTGTGTCATTGTCTTGCCATTTGTAAACAAAGCGAAGCAGGTGACTGTCTCGGCCATGCCGGCTGTATTCCGTACGTGGTGATGCGTGTCGTTGTATGTTTGTACCTGTCAGTCCGGACCGATCCGGCCTGCCGTGTTATCCGAGTGTCCCGTACGAATCTACAGAAATAGGATAACACGCTTACACATAATTCTGAGATTCAAATGGTGAGCCCTCGTTTTGGGACTTACTATGTTCTCGCCAAGACGCGCGTTACTTAGCACCGGAGTTGGTTCGGGGCTGCCATGTCAACCTGTGTCAGTTTGATCTGACTTTCAAAAGACATGAATCCCTCGCTTTGGATCTATATCGAGCTGCAGTCAGGATAGGTACTCGGTTGCTGGCGCATTATGTAGTTAGGTGATTTGGGATGGTGCAAGGCTAGCTTGTTTGCTCCTTGGCGAGGGCCATGAAGCTGAAATATCGAAAGAACAGGAGAGCAGAAAGCTGGACGGAGTGGAAAGCGACAGAAACGTCGCTGGTCTGGGAACCATGTAATAAGACCTACATTTCTGGTTACCGCCGGATGAGTTACCACTGGTGCCATGGTTTGAAGTGTTCTCGTTTCGGAGACAGCTCCGCTTGGGGCAAAACATGCTTGTATTTGAGACTCTTGTATTTTACTGACAGCTAACGCGTTTGCTAAAAGATACAGGATACAATATCGGCTCACTGCCATCAGGATCCTCAGACCTGTGTGTTTGTGTGTATATCTGTAGCGTAGCGAGAGTAACGCGGTGTAACGTGCCAGACGCCAAACAGTCCACGGGCCTAGGTAGGTGTCAACGGTCACCACGCTGCCGAAACTGGTATGAACAAAACTACCTCAAGGTACCTTATTTAGTAGTAGCAAACGGGAGAAGGCGAAATGGTTCCAGGAAACCCGCCAGGCATATGCCGTCTTACCTGTAGTGCTTTACGGCTTCCCAGTCTCTACACAGAATGAAACGGCGAACCATCGGTCGCGGCTCAGCAGATGCATTGCCTTGGATAGGGGCACACACCTTACATGCATGCGTACAGGTATGAATAGCTACAGATATATGTGTAGCCTACAGCAATATTCATCCTGCTACCGTCATAAAAAGGCCACGGCAACGATTAACCACCGATCACCTAGCAAGCAATACGACAGAAACAAGACCACGCCCCCGGAGCGGAATACTTGTTGCGCTTCCACTGCCTGACTCTACTCCTGCCTCCTGGCTGATGAGAAGAAATATGTATATCTGTCTGTCTGTTCTGTCTGTGTCCTGTCTGCTCGGTTAACTGAGTAGATTGGCAGATTGGGAGTTAAGGCAAGACAAGGTAAGGTAAGTATCTTGGCTGTCCTGCTTTCTTTTCCTTTCCATTCTCATTGCTGGTCTCTCCCGTGAGCGTGAGGATAAACAACACAAAAATCGAGAGAAAAAAAAAACACTGCAAGAACGAAAGTAGAGAGAAGAGGGGGAAAAAACGTCTAGAACCCCAAACCCTGACCTAACCAGCCAACTACCTCCCCAACCCAACCCAGCTCAACTTACACAAGGTAGCCAGTCAGTCAATAAAGCAGGCGAAATCAACTAAAATCACTCCACACCGTCATCCTCCTCCCATTTATCATCTAGTTCCCATCCCCCACTCTAGCCGATCAAGCTGGCGGCTAGACCTGGCATATAACTGGGCTAAGAAGCCGAAAAAGGCTGGGCAGTTCAACATCACTGCCCAGCATGCCATGCCACACCGTCCGCTGGTTTTGTGTAGATACCTTCCGCTTGTTCATTGAACCCGCTCGTCACACACTCAACCCTGGACGGTTGTCCCAAAGGAGAGAGCCCTCTGTCGGGCTCCCCCAGTTGCGAAAGGGAGAGAAGAAAAATGGGAAATAGCAAACCGAGGAAATTGCAGAGTGAAGCAGCAAGCATGCGGGGAGAATTTTTGTCTTTATTAAAAAAAAGAAAACGGCGACGAGGAAGAAAAGGCAGAGAGAAACACAAAGGCGGTCTCGTAATTGATACAGGGTGCCGAACTAATGCTGGGACTGGGGGTGGGATGCGGTCGTGCTTCAGCTGCGTCCATTCTTACGGGTGTACTAGCCCCGAGCATAAGGGTGGAAGCCGCGGTTGCTGCCTCCGCCACGTCCGCCCCCGCGGTAGTTGGCACCGGGCTTGCCGGCGTTCTTGGGGCCGGTTGGTGCGTTGGCTGGTGGCGCATTGGCCGGATCTACGGGGCTTGGAGAGTGCTGCTGGTGGCCCCGGTTCTTGTGGAAGCCGCGTCCGCCGCCACCACCACCACCACCGCCGCTCTGGCTGCCGCCCTGGCTACCACCGCCGCCTCCGTAGTTGCTTCCACCGCCCGCCATGATGGGCTGCGGGACGTCGTCGTACATACCCTCCCAGCTAGTCGGTCCACCGCCGCCCATGTATGCGGCTTGTTGGTTGTAGTTTTGCTGTTGCTCCCGGTTGCCGCCGCGGCGCTGGTCGTACTTTTGCAGCTCAAACTGTTGCTGCTCGAACGCGTTGTATCCCGGACGGTTGGCGCTGCCTTGGTTACCCGGTCCAGCTCCCTGGCTTACTGGGCTCATGCCGCCCTGGCCCATGCCGCCTTGGCCCATGCCTCCCTGTAGCATGCCGGCGCCCTGGCCCATGCCGGCACCGCCTTGCTGCATCATGGCCTGCATCTGTTGCATCATGGCCGGGTTCATAGCCATGGCGTTGGCGCTTTGCGGACCGCCGCGGCCTTGCTGTTGTGCCATCATCTGTTGCATCTGTTGCATCTGCATCATCTGCACCATGGCGGGGTTCATGTTGCGGTTCATGGCCATCTGCTGCTGCATCATGGCAAAGGCCTGCTGCATGCGCTGGAGGTACTGTGCCATGAGCTGCGGTGTCATGCCCGCCGTTGCACCGCCCATGGCACCCATGGCGCTCATGGCGTTCTGGTTGCCGCCGTTGCCGTCATCGGCGGCGCTGTTGCCGTTGCCACCTGGTTGCCCCTTGCGTCCGAACTTGCCGCCGTTCCCTCCTCCTCCTCCTCCTCCGCGTCGAGCCGCCTCCTCTTCCTCGCGCATGTTGCCGCGCGGCTGAGCCTTCTTGACCTCGATAGGCTTACCGTGGATCTCCAGGTCGGCCGCTAGGCAGGCTTCTACGCCAGCCTCGCTCTCAAATGTGACGAATCCGAAGCCTCGCGGGCGGCCTGTGTCCTTGTCCATCATGAGGGTGGCGTCAACGACGCGGCCAAACTGGGCAAAATACTCGCGGAACTCGTGGTCCGTTGTATCCTGGCTGACACCGCCGACGAATATCTTGGAAGTCTTCTCTTGCTCGTCGCGCGGAATGGCCCGCTTCGGGTCGATCTGAGCAAGGGCATCGAGTTTCAGCCCATGTACATAATGGAAACCCAAAGGAACAGACTTACGATCTTGCCATCTAAGTAATGCTCCTTAACCATGACGATGTTCACCGTCTTAGGGTCCTTGAAGGTTAGGAACCCAAACCCGCGTGACCGGCCAGTGGCGCCATCGCGCATGACTGTGCACTCGATAACCTCGCCAAACTGCGAAAAGTAGTCCCTGAGCGACTCTGGACAAGGCATCGCCAGTTAGCATCAGAGTCCGTTTGGAAAGAAATGGGAGGGGAGAAACCTACGGTCTGTTGTCTCCCAGTTCAGGCCACCAATAAACATCTTCCTACAGATTCGCAACATGTCAGTTTATCCCTCTCGTCATGGGAATTTGTCTAGTGTCTAGCGCTATAGGCATATTGTGAAAGAAAATGAAAGGAGTGATTAGTGCGCCCCGTCGCCGGTGCCACTGCCCACGCGGAGATCTGGACCGGCAAATACGCGGTTGGCTACGTCGAAGACGGTAGTATTATGACGGCAGGTATGGGCGAAAGGCGGACAGCGACGTCGGATCTCGCTCGAGGAGGGGGGCTAGGGCTAGCAAGAATCGCAGCGAGGCTATTTCCCACACCTATTGGCTTCTTTGTAGGCGACATTCTTATTCTTATTCCCCTAGTGAGTGCTAAGGGAGATGGCCTCGTACGGAAGGCGCGAGCAAGGTTTCATGATTCCTGGCGAAGGAGACCGGTCGCTGTCGGAACTATCGGAATCAAGTTCGATGTAGCTCTCAGAGTTCAGTGCTGGATGGTGCTAGCAGACCACGATTGAGCTGGCCATTGCTGGGCTGGCACGACGAGACATGTCGGTGACGTGACGGTTTTCTTTTTTCCTTGTGCCAAAGTGTGCCGTGAATAAAAGTCGTGAGCCAGAGTCAAGAACACGGGTCGAGAACAAAAGTGGCCAGCACAAGTCGGGTGCAGAAGTCGGGTCGGGTGGAGAAGTCGCGGAAGTGAGCCAAGGAGGGAGTAGGCCGTAGACGAGCACGCTACAGCAGTTCTCACAAGTGAGAAAAAAGATGCAGCGCAGATGCCAGGGATGATCTTTGTCGATTTCTCTTTTGTTCCTGTCTCGTGCTCTTGCTATCGTGAAGCTAGGTACTGTCTGTCCAGGGTGCTGCGCTATCCGCTGCCAAATCTTGATCTAGCCGCTAGAGACCTGTCGACCCTGACTCGAAGGTCAGGGGCCGCGTCGTCTCCTGGTGCTCTATAAGATAATCTGCGACTCTGGGCTATAAAAGACAGGAGTTTGTGCTCCTGGGCTAGTGTTGCGGGCGCTTTGTTTCTAGGCGTGTTTCTTCTTCTCTCTTTTCAGGCAAGAGCGCTCGCTCACAGTCCCGCCTCTTGTGCACTAGGTATGAGCTCGACATGGTATAGTTCTTCGTGTTTTGGTCATCGCTTCTGTCCACAAGGAGTCCTGGATTGACCTGATCTGAATCCACCAGAGGCAGGTCCAAACCCCGTCTTGCCATCAAGAGACGCACGCCTCGGCAGCCTCCAACCAGACAGGCCCTGCTCTTCAAGCCCTTCTTCGCCTTACCGAGTCCACCGCCAGTGTTCCGCCCAAGAATCCTCTCGAACAGTTGGAGTGTCCAGTGGCGGAAGCATATAGCTCGGTCCAGTCCGGCAGACGATTACCAACGCAGCGACACAGCCAGCGACGCGGCCCACGTCTTGAACCGGAACGTTACGGGTGAGGGGTGGGGGAATAGAAGTGCCATGACACGGCAAGATTGATACGGGAAAATCGCAAGCACTTACCCGTCTTCCTTAGAGTTTGGGCCCTTGACAGGCGCCGCAGCTGCGGGGGAATTGTGGAAAAAGTTCTGTTTGCTGTCGTCTTGGTGGTGATGTGCGCCCGCAGCAGGGGCAACCACTGGGCCGTCTCCGAGGTTGAAGTCGACATCGTCATCGTCGTCGTCCTCGCCTTGTTCGTTATTCCAATGCGAATCCCCTCCGTTGTTTCGCTCTTGATATTGATTCGTGTCGACAGTCATTTCGTACTGGCGGTTTTCCGCAGCCGCTGGGGCGGCTGAGTATTGGTCCTGGGCTGGCGCGGAGGCCGGCTTTGCCGACGACGGTTCATCGTCGTTATAGCTGCAAGTTGTCAGGGACTTAAACCGAGCGGGAGAAGGGGCACGGAAACGGGAAGACATACAGATCGGCGAAGAGCTCGTCGTCGAACGTCTCTGGTTCCGTCATGGTGGCAGCTTGAGTAGAGGACTAAAAAGCAAGGGGACAGATTAGGCGTGCACGAAACTCTCGAGATTACGCGCCGCAGGTGGAGAGTAACGCGTTTTCGCCGGCTCTGTACTCGTAGAGAAAACGATTGAAGAACGCCGAAAAGAAAACCCCAATTTTTAAAAAGAGGTCGTCAAGAGAGTTTATGCGGACTCCTTGATAAACGTCCCCGTTGTTTGAAGAAAGTGATGGGGGCGAGTTGTGCTCAGGTTTTATGTCTGGCGATGATAATCTGAGTGGGAGGCTGGAGCTCCAAAAGTCTTTTCGCAAAGGCGTCCTGCTAGGTGTGGGTCCCTAGGTGAGTGGCGCCAAAGCTTTAAGGCGGGGAATGGCCCACTGCACAGTGACAATCAGGCGGCTGCGGCCCCAGGCACACTGGGCGGGAGGGGCACAGGCGGGCAACCAGTGAGCGAACCCCCCAAACCATCACCCCGGCTGCCAAAGTTTGGCGAATAGCTGTTAAAGTTGGCCCACTTGCAGGGCATCTCCGATACTTGGAGACAAACACCACCCAAAGCAACAAAAGACCTGACACCAATCTCGAGGTTGCTTCCCGTCTCTCAAGGAGACAGACTCTCTAAACTCGTCATGCAAGTTCAAGGCGACGCTTCTTATAATTCATAATGTTTTCTTCTTCCGCTGGCGGCAAGAAGCCGCCCCCGCAGGTAAAGTACCCACCGACCAGCAAGGAAGGTTGAATTTAGGCTTCTGTTCCCTTTTGGCTGACATGAGCGCCCAAGCAGGAGATGGTGCAAGTTGGTGGGTGGTGATGCTCGTTCCCTCATGGACGCGCGCTCTTCAGTGCGCGAGGCTATCTACATGCTAATCCTAATGCCGTGATTTTCTGTGTCGCAGACAGGTCCGAGTATGTTTTCTCCCCTTGCACTCTGGGCGCATTCTTCCGCCCGCTGCGACACTGACCCGACCTGTGCCCGCAGTGCTGCTACGCCGTTCTGGCGCGCCCCTCAGCGAGAGACCCCGCCGCCTCCCAAGAAGACAACAAACCGCGACACTGGTCTGGTGGTTGGCGCTTCTTATTCTCATGCCGACATGCTCAGATTCGACACATTGTACGCCGCCCACCTGGCCCCTCCATAATGGTCCCTCCCTGCCGCCGTCGCTGACTCGGGGAACAGAAATGTGTCTGGGCGTCCGAGAACTCCACCACCCGCATCTTCGGCGATACACAGCAGCCACCCGGGCCGAAGCTCGACAACATCTCCGCCAGCAAAGACCATCTCCGGGCTCTCGTCGCCCCCTCTCAAGTCCTACATGAACTTCCTCTCCAAGACCAACGATGACTGGAACGTCGACGAGGCCGACGAAATGTACGGCTACGACGACGACGATGGAGACGACTTTGGCCTCCCCAGTCTGTCAAACATGAAGAGGCGCACAAAGCGGATAGAAGCACAGAACAAGTCAGGCGCTGGCAGTGCGCTCTCGCCCGACGACGGCGACGACGGTTTCGGTGGCCTGCACATGCGGAGGTACTCGGACAGCGCCGACATTGCCATTGAGCGGCCCGTTTCCGCGTACCCTTTGCCAAAGAAGAACGAGGGCAAAATACTTCGGCCCCAATACAAGGAGATCCTGCGAGACCCTGCAAATGCGCTGCATCTGATTAATCACCCCTCAGTGCCAGCGAATGCCCTCCCCAAAGAGGTCGACGCTATTAATTCTAGGATAACGAGGATAAATAAGTTCAAAAAGATTCTGCAGGCATCCACCATACCCTTGTCGGACCTCCGGGCGCTGGCGTGGTCCGGCGTGCCAGAGGAGGTGCGCGCCATGACATGGCAGTTGCTGCTTAGCTATCTACCCACTAGCAGTGAGAGGAGGGTAGCGACGCTCGAGAGGAAACGAAAGGAGTACCTAGACGGCGTGCGGCAAGCCTTTGACAAGGGAGGCGGAGGTGGAGGAGGGGGCGCCGGTGGCACTCCTACTATCGGCAGCAAGGGAGCTGCAGTTCGGGGCCTGGACGAGGCCGTGTGGCACCAGATCAGCATCGACGTGCCGCGGACCAACCCGCATATTGAGCTGTACGGCTACGAGGCGACGCAGCGGTCGCTAGAGCGCATCCTATACGTGTGGGCGGTACGGCACCCGGCAAGCGGTTACGTGCAGGGCATCAACGACCTCGTGACACCCTTCTGGCAGGTCTTCCTGGGCACCTACATCACGGACCCAGACATTGAGAGTGGCATGGACCCCGGCCAGCTCCCTAGGGCAGTGCTGGACGCCGTGGAGGCCGACTCGTTCTGGTGCCTGACCAAGCTGCTCGATGGCATCCAGGACCATTACATTGTCGCGCAGCCGGGCATCCAGCGCCAGGTCGCCTCCCTGCGCGACTTGACAGCGAGGATAGACGCCGGCCTGGCCAAGCACCTCGAGAAGGAGAGCGTCGAGTTCATCCAGTTTAGTTTCCGGTGGATGAACTGTCTGCTGATGCGCGAGATTAGCGTTAAGAACACGATCAGAATGTGGGACACGTACATGGTAAGTCTTCCCGGACATGAACCTGGGGAACCCATCCTCTCATGCATGGCAGCCCCGAATTTTAACACATGGTCCTTCCGTCCGTTCAGGCCGAAGAGCAGGGCTTCTCCGAGTTTCACCTCTACGTGTGCGCCGCGTTTTTAGTGAAGTGGTCCGACAAGCTGGTCAAGATGGACTTTCAGGAGATCATGATGTTCCTCCAGTCGCTGCCCACGCGCGAGTGGACCGAGAAGGACATTGAGCTGCTGCTCAGCGAGGCCTACATCTGGCAGAGCCTGTTCAAGGGGTCCTCGGCCCATCTGCGAGGGCCCGCGAGCCGGAACCCCTCGGCAAATTTCCAGCTGTGAAATTTAGATCTCCCCCGTCCTGTTTCTTTTTGTTCTTTTTTTCTGTCACTTTTCACGTAGACGTAATAGGTTGTATCCAAATATCTATATGTGTGTTACACGGAAGTAACGCCGAATGTAGAGTTGGCTCAAGCTCCTATGCTAGCTACTGTTCTATACCCTGGCCGTGTAGCTTTAAATAAATGCCAAAAATCGGAAAAAGGAAGATAAATTCTAATGGTACAGATAGGTGGTGATCACTGACAGCTGTACATAGGAGCTAGCCAAGCAATGGTTTTTCTTGCAAAGCGATTTCTTATTATGTTATTGTTTGTCTTGGTTTTGATTTTAGTCTTGATTTCGATGTGGGATAGGTTATACACCTACACTAGAAAGGAGCCGTAGTATTCATCTTCATTTACTGTGATCCGATCCGTACACACCTACCTAGGTAACCCGTAACATCCCCGAGCGAGTTCTTGAAAAAAAAAAAGGGATAACAACCGTTTTATACCACCGCTTTCCATTTCCCGTTTTCATTTACGTACGTATTTCCCCATCCATTCTTCAGAGACGGACGGATCCAAGGTTTGCGCAGCTCCGGTCCTCTGATAATCAAAAGTCGTACAATACACTAGACCTAGCAGACACACACACACACACTATCTCTCTCTCTCTCTCTCTCTCTCTCGCGCGTGCGCGCGCGTACACAGGAATGATTCCGCGGAAAAAGCCACATTGTAGAGATAAAGAATATCTCGCTCCCGCTCCCGCTCCCGCTCCCGCTCCCGCCGCCGCCGCCGCCGATACGTGTAGTACGTAGTAGCCGACCGATTCATTCCGAGGCTCCATCTAGCGCCGACCCCTTTCAACCTGGGTAGATTTTCTTACACAGCAAACATGCCCATCCCATATATTTCCCATTTCCCATCCCACCCTCCGCATGGCTGGCTCATACGTAAAATAGAAGACCCGCATAGCATAGCATAGCAGCGGTAGTAGTAGCAGGCGTTGCAAGGATGTAAACGAAAGCCGTGAAAACACAAAACATGACGCCAGACCGGAAGAGGGAAAGAAAAAAAAGAATACCGCCTTTTTTTTAGTTTACAGTCTCGCCCTCCTTGATCTTCTTGCTCTCTAGCTCCTCGGCAGGCTTGTCCTCGGCCTTGCGCTTTTTCCGCACCAGGCCCGACAGGTCTGTCGCGTTCTTCTTGACCTGGTCGGTGACCTCCTGGGGCTCCTGGGCGGCCTCGGCGGCGGTGGAAGCAGGGGGGAGACCCAGGGCAGCGTTAATGTCGATGGGCGGTCCCTTGAGGTCGACGAGGCGCTGCTCCATGTCGGCGATCATCTCCTTGACCTCCGTGATGGTCTCGCGCGTCGAGTCGTTCTCCTCGGGGTTGTGCAGCGTCGCCAGGTCCACCTCCTGTCGCTGCAGCTTCAACTTGGTACTGGCGATGGCCAGCTCCATCTCGGCCACGGCCTCGTCGCGCAGCTTCTGGTCCATGACGTTGTTGTCGCCGCCGGCTGCGTTGTTGGCGCCCGCGTCGTCCTCGGACTTGGTCACCGACGCAAACTCCAGCGCCAGAGAGAGCTTGAAGTGCGCCTCAGCAATGATCTCGGAATGCTCCGGATACAGCTCCTGTTTGTATTTGAGCGAGGCCCGGGAATCCCTAATTGCTATCGGATACCTGAAATGGAGGAAAATATGTTAGAGATATCTGCGCCCTGATGCGGTCATGAGGATGCGGATCCGTTAACATACTTTCCGTTCTCGAGCGAAATCTCGGCCAGCAGGGCGTGCGTGTCGGCCAGACGTTCCTTGATATGTCTGACGGCTGGGGACTCGTCGCCCCGTTGTCCTTCTGCGGCGTCGCCTTCTTCTTCGGCCTTGCGCTCTTCCTGGGCCCTGCGCTCTTCCTGGACGGTGCCCTCCTGGGGTGTTGTCTTGGCTTCTTCTTGTGCTAGCTCCAGTCGCTTCTCGAGGAGCACGCGCGCGAGGTCGAAAATCTCAAAGGCGTTGGCTAGGTCGTCGTTTACGTCGTCCTCTCCTTCCTCCTCCTCCTCCTCCTCATCTTCCTGGTCCGAGTCGGAGCCATCAAAGTTCTCGTCGCCCTCAAAGTGGAAGAGGGGCTTCTTCTTCTCATCGGGGCTGGGCTCGTCTTTCTTGGCGGTTAGTACGACCATGTCTTTGTGTGCGCTCGACGACGATGCGCCCTCGCCGTTCTTAGAGTCTGCGGTTGCGGCGCCGTTCTTCTTGGCCGGCTTCGCGGGGGCTTTTGGCTTTGCGTCAGGGGCCTTGCCGCCCAGGACGTCGCTCTTGCTCTGGCCGACTTTGAAGAGGGCGCGGCCGTACAGGAACAGGATCTCGGCGTTGTCGGGGCTCATCTCGCCGTTCATCTCGGCCTGCATCTCGGCGGCGTGCGAATAGACCTCGGCGGCCTTCTCATACTTGTTGTGGGCGTAGAGGGCCGTCGCCTTGGCCGACAGGTCGGCTAGCGAGACCTTGAGGCTCTGTGCCGCCTGCTCAGGGTCGAGCTCCAACGGCGTCGCAGTGCCGGTCGAGGGTGTTGGCGTGGCCATGATATCTGTTTGATTCTGGGAGATGGATTGAATTATTGGGATGATTTTATCTGGAGAAAGTGACAATTAGGTCCAATTGAGAGCATACAATTGGTGGTGGTGGTTTTGTTGGAGTTGATAGAATTGATAGAATTGATAGAATGAATCCTGAGGCGGTGGTCTGTCGCTACTATAACTACAGTAGAGCTAAATAGTTGGAGCTACGGACAGGTGCGACGGATGAGCTGCGAAAGCTTGTGACGTGAGCATGGCATTGTGGGCTGACGGTGGACGCGTCTTATTGGTTAATGCGTGGGTGAATCGCCAAATCTGGGGATTCAGATCCGCTTTCTCGTTCCAGGGAGAAACAGCGTCTTGGCACGCAAGACTCGGTGGAGGGCGGGCGAATATAATCCGTTATACAATTCAACACTGCGCATGTTGCCTTTTGGCTCGAGTAGCATTCAGTATTCCATCTAATAGATACCTTACAGTCTTATATCTGACTTACACAAGCTAACCTAAGGTACAATACATCTTGCGAAAAGGTGAAGGTGGGGTTAGGGTTATGACGTACATGTCGGTCCTGAATGAACAATAGCTTTGCACCCCTCAATCACCTGCAGGCCCGGGAAGGTGGCGTGCCACGGCTGCATCTGGAACGTCGACCTCAGGCGGCGCAAGACGAGAAACGACTTTCGGGCGGTCATCTAAACCCGAATATGCCGCTACAGTTTGGCAGACTTTGCAGCCCGGTTGCGGATGCATTGGGAACATGGATGTACTAGTTTACAGCTGGAAACGCGAAGACGACATGTAAAAGTTGCGGCATCGGTCTTTTGCTTTGTGGCCCGTTCCGTTTGTAAGCGAGGCCTGTGACCATGACGAGACCTACATAGTTAACTTGGAGTCTCGTCAACACAACCGACTGTTCAGGTATTTGAACAACTTCACGTATAACTTCACCGTCACGGAGCAGGTTATTTGTTCATTTACCCAGGTCGCTATCCGCCGATAAATTTCTTGACAGAACGGACCATCTCTGATTCGGACCCCGAAGGTAACACAACCCGTAACTTCCCGGTCCGCCCGCGTCTCGTCTCGGCTCACTCCATCAAAGACGTGCGTCTATCCTCGACATCTCGTACTATACCATAACGTAGCCAAGAAGACATTTATTGCCCGCCATGTTGCAGTTCGTCAGCGACTCGCACGACAACCAGCACGCGCGCGAACAGTCGAGCTCGCTGGCCAGCTTGACCGCCGCCCGCGCGGACACCCAACGCAAGCACCTGCTCCTCGCGTATGCTCCGTCTCTCTCCGATATATACAACGAATGAGAGTGACACTGACACTGACACTGACATTGCATATCACGGAACAGGGCTTCTGGCTCAGTGGCCACCATTAAGAGCAAGTTCTGCTCTCCAGCTTCAGCTTCAACTTCATAAGAAAATTGTCTGACCAACTTCCCCCTGATCAGTCCCCGAGATCGTCAAGGCCCTGGCCAAGCATGCCGACCAGCTGGCCATCCGCATTGTCCTGACCGACTCGGCCCGCAACTTCCTCAATGGCCAAAGCAGCGAGCAGCCCACCGTGTCGTCGCTGCTGCACCTGCCCAACGTCGAGGCCGTCTACAGCGACGCCGACGAATGGGGCCCCCAGCCCTGGCGCCGCGGCGCTTCCATCCTGCACATTGAGTGCGTAGCCCTCTTCTTGCTACATGACATACATCTTGCCCACTAATGATATCCCGAGTCAAATAGGTTGCGCAGATGTAAGTTGTTCTCCGCCTAGCCTCGAGCATGCGAAAACAAGAGTGCCAGCTGACGTCTCAACTCACCCACATAGGGGCCGATATCTTGGTGGTAGCCCGTAAGTATTCAGTGTCTCGGAGATTCCTAGGCCTGAGCTGATGAGGTGGACGAATATAGCACTGAGCGCAAACACGCTAGCCAAGGTCTGCGAGCATCCCCTACCCCTATTCCCGCACACTTCTGTCCCTGCTATACTGAAGAAACGAAACAACGTCCAGATCGTCAACGGCATCAGCGATAACCTGCTCACCTCGGTCATACGCGCCTGGGACACAGACACCACCATCGACAACAAGAAGAAGGTCATTGTTGTTGCCCCGGCCATGAACTCAGTATTCCCCCTTTTACTCTTCCCTACACTTTCTAGCTGTAAGGTGCCAAATATTAACCGACCCCTGCACAGGCCATGTGGCGACATCCCATTACCGCCAAGCAGGTCCGCGTCCTGGCTGAGGACTGGGGCGTCCAGGGGTATGGGGAGCCCGCTACCATCGAGGCCGGGTCCGCCACCGAGGCTACGGCGCCGGGCCAGGCCACCGGCGGTGGCTGGTTCCAGGTTATCAAGGTGAGCAATGCAACCCCCCCATTTTGACATATTGCAAGTGTTGCGATACGTCTGTCCGTTCTGTTCAAACTAGCACTGACATGTAGCCGTAGCCCATTACCAAGTACGTCTTGTTTATGTCATAAATAATGAGGTTGAAAGCCAGCCTTGCATGAAACTGCCAGCTTCTACGGATTGACTGTATTACGACCACGTCTTCGTGCTGACTTGGAGGCAATTTCCATCAGAACACTTGCATGCGGCGACACTGGAGGTAAGAGACCAGCCCCACAAGCCTTTCTCGCAAAGTTCCCCTTCCTTCCTTTCTTTCATGTACAAAATATGCTAACTAGGCTGGCGTTTGCACTAGATGGTGAGTACAATGTCCCCTCATCTTATCATTCACCGCAGCATTTTAGCCACCCACCCACTGAAACGGGAGAGGGAACCCCACTGATCCTTCGAATATAGGAGCAATGGCCTCGGTCGACTCGATCCGCGCCACCATCGAAGCCCGGCTTAGTCTTCCAGTAAGGGGTCTCGACTAAGAAGAGAGTCACAGAATGGAAATTGCTCTGGCAAGCTGTATGTATGTATTTGTGAATAGCCTTCGCGAGACGACGGCATGGACATGGGAGCCTCCGGCGATGACAGGCAGACAGACGGACAGGCGGATGCCAATCATGTGACCGTATTTTGGAGGCTATTGGGGGGGGGGGGGGGGCCTGTGACAATACACAAGCTTACGAATTTGCAGATGTCGAAGAGGTTGCAATGCCTGTCGAGTGCCTGTCCTGCCCAGTTAGTTTCCCGTAAGAATGGTTTCTTCCTAGAGGGAAAGGGAAATGAAATGAAATGAAATAAAAAGAGAATGTCTATTGGGCAATTAAAAATGCACTGTATCTAATCTACGTGAACAGGCAGACACATAAAGCCGATCCATAGAGGATGTACAGTCGTTCTAGTTTTATCTTGTTTTGTTCGTCTCGTCATCTGCCCATTCCCTCTCTCACAAGCATGCATATGTCCGTAACTAGGTAGGTAGTATTCATTTTCCCCTCCCCCTCGCCGCACCGGCACCCGATGGAGCGGGTCTATTCATTATGGTAAAGATACCCTAACTAGGTAGGTATATAACACGTAAGGCTTAAGTAGAGAGGTAGGTGGGTAGGCAGGCGGTGCGTGTCTCAACGGAACAAGTACTGAGGGGGTTTTAATAATTTCCAAACAACCCTCTCCGAAAGAAATATCTCCCCTTTTCTGCCTGCGTGCCTAGGCTTCTAGAAATAAATCACAATACCGATCGCGAAGCATAGCCCAGCCCTGTCCACCTGGCGCAAACGCCCCTGAAAAGCATATACGGTGTGAAGCCAACACGACCGACATTTTCCCCTAACCCGCAGAAGCGACTCGTACAATATATGCTCTACAAACCTTAAGCAGCCCAACACTCCAGTTGCATTTTTGAACCTAGTCGTGGCGGAACGTACACTTATCACCCTTGGCGCACTGGCCGCGGGCCCAGAAAGTGCACTGCTTGGTCCCGATGAGGCTGCGGTTGATGCCGCGGAGGTGCTCAGGAATGTCCGACTGGGACGACTTGGAGCCTGAGCCACTGCCCCAGCCACCACCGCCATTCGATCCACCGCCGCCCGCAGACCGGTTCCCGGGATTGTACCCGTCTTGATCTCGGTGAGATTGGCCATAGCCCTGCGCGCCGTAGGGCCCATGGACAGGGGCGCCCGTCTGGCCCTGGCTCTGTGCGTACGACGTGGCCGCCGCAGGAGCGGCGCTGGCCTGCGCCTGTGCTGGAGCTTGTCCGCTAGCCCACTTCATAATGGAGAGCAGGTATTCGGCGCTCTGGGGGTCGGCAGGAGCTGGGAGGCTCTGCGAGCCCTGAGGCTGGGTTGTACCGGCGAGGGCGTTCATTAGGGCCTGAAGGCTTGCTGAGTCGGCCGAGGGGTATTGCGGCTGGGCTGCTGCGGGCTGGTTACCGAGAACCGATAGGATCGCCGAGAGCTGGTTGCCAGCGTCTGCGTTGGGCTGCTGACCGGTAACCTGAGACGCCTGAGCTTGCACGTAAGGATTGGCGCCCTGGTTATATGCGGTCTGTTGCTGGGCATACCAGGCCGCCTGCTTTTGCTGCTGCTGCTGCTGCGGCTGTGCTTGCTGAGCGTAGTACTGGGCCCAAGCTGCCGTATAATCCGGCGCCGCCTCGGCCGGCTGCGAGACTTGCTGCTTAGTGGCGGGGACCTCGGCGGTACCCGAAGGGAGATACGACTGCGACTTGCGCAGCTCATCGACAATCTCCTCGACGAAGTCGACTGCCTTCTGAACAACGGCATCGACATAGTCGTGCCGCTGCACTGTCCGAGGCCGTGCTGGGTCAAATTCCTCGGGGTCCCTGTAATTCCTGGCCCTGTCTGACATGAGCGACGAGTATGTCTGCTGGTCTCGGGAGTCGGATCCGATAGTTTCCCAGTCGTCGCGAGCTTCGGTCTTGGGCCCTGTGTGCCCGTTGTACGAGTCGGCAATCGAAGATATCGATTTCAGAGCCTTTGTGAAGTCGGCATAGTCTGGATTGGACCGGGCATCCATGCGTACCTGGCTGTCGTTGGCGGCCCGCCAGAGCCCCACCTGAGTTCGGTCTCTCGCCCGCAGGCGAACCTCGTCGTACTCTGAGGCTGCTGGCAGCTGGATAGCTTCAGCAGGGTTGTCGTCAGCGAGCATGGGCTCGTAAGGTGGCGATTTCGGAGTGGGGGGGATATCTGATGGCTCCGTATAGACGACCATGAGCTCCGTCGCCTCGCGATCCTCCATGAACTTTTGCTGTTCAGTACTAAAGGTCGCGTTGCCGCCTCGTGTAACGAAAGCCCGCTCCCGCGCCTCCTGTGGTATAGCGTCGAGGTCGAGAGGATTCGGCTCCTCCCACGGACGGATTTCGCCCGCATGGCCCTTTTTCAAAGCCATGCCCTCCATCTTGTCCACGTCGCGGGCCGCGTTGCCTGGGCGGCCGCCAATCTCTTCGGGAAAGCGCGTGAATTCGCGTATCTCAACCAAGCGATCGTCGCTTCGGAACGTCACCTTCAAGTTGAGCCTCCGGCGCGCTTCCTTGCGCAGACGACGTTCCTTCTGCGCATCTGTCTCGTCCGGGTCTGTCGGAGTGAGTGGTTGAGGCACTGGCGCCTTCACCTTCTTGGGTTCTGCAATCTCTGCCAAAAGGGCCGCGAACCTTGACGGCCCTGACTGGGTTGGTTCGGAGACCTTAAGCTTTGTGATCTTTGTGGGCGCCGGGGCGGTGGGTGCCGCCTGTGCCGCCTGTGGCTTAGAGACAGCTGCCTTGGGCGCGTCGGTTTTCACAGGTTGCGCCTTTGGTGCCACTATTGGCTTGGCCGTGGCCTTGGGCGCCTCGACCTTGAGAGTCTCGATTTTTGGCGAAGCCTTCGGCGCGGGGCGTATCTTGCCAGGAAGTAGAAGTCCACTACGAGCTTTTGCTTGACTAGTTGCAGGTGTGGGCGCGGGGGCCGCTATTGGTAGTTTCGGGACGGGCACCTTGGTGACGGTCGCTGGTGGGGCTTTGGTGGCAGCGGACGATGCCTTTGAACTGTTGGTGCCGGGCGTGGACAAGTCGGCCGTAGTCTTCTTAGATGACCGCCCTTCGCTGCCGACATCGTCTTCACGGGCCCGTTTGCTGCCCAAAGAGGCCGTAGACACTTTGCCGTTGCCCTTGGAAATCTTTCTCTCGCCTGCTGACTCGATGGTCTTCGAAGGCACAGTTTTCGCGTCCGAGGCCGACGAGTCGCTTTCATCATTCTCGTCGGCATTGGAGAATATGGCAGCTACCAGCTTTCTGACTTCTGCATCCCCGTTCGACTCGAGCTTCTTGGCTATGGAAGGAAACTTCCAGCTCTCCAACTTACTCCGCTTCACGGTTGTAAAACGGCAGAAAAAGCGGAGGAGGACTTTTACTAGAGGTGACCTGGCGTCGTTGAGATTGATGTGGCGGATGAGGACGTTGAGAATGCGGGTTGGCAGATCCGTCTTCTCGCCCAGGTGCCGGAAGACGCGAGCATCGGCTTCCTTGAGGCCCGCAGCAAAGGCGGATTCCAACTGCTTCCCCGTCGGCTCGAGCTGGAGCTTCAAGGCTTCCTCGTCAGCGAGAGAAAATAAAGCCGGATTCTTGGCTCGTATTTTTAGTCCCTTGACAATCTTGTCGAATATGGGTGCATTCTTTCTGTACTCAGCGACTTTGTCATCCAAAATATCGTAGTAGTCATCCGCCGCCTGTATCAGCACCCGGCGGTTGCCCTTGTGAGAAGGGTGAATAAACAGCGAGGCAGAGACTGTGACTGCCGTGTTTAGAGGTTCAGGTGGGGGATCAGTCCGCTTGGCCTCTAAGTTTGCGTCCCCCTTTGGCAACTTCTTCCACCAGTCTATGGGAATTTCGGTTTCCGTTCGTGCCAGTTCCATTTCGAGTCTAGCATCTGCCTTTTGCCGGTCCAGGTAGGTTTTGGCGCCCTGGTAAGCAGCTAGATGGTTACCCAGACTCTCGGCTTGAGTCCAGCCCCAAGGTAGTTCCGGAAACAGGGGGTCCTTGTCGCCTTTCGTGGAAATAATAACGTAACGTTTCGTAGGAGGCCCCTTCTTGAGCTTTACAGGCGTGTCTCCAACAATCAGGTGTGGAACCCCAGCTAGGGTACCCCCAATCCGTCCACGGGCTTCTTCTAGAGCCTGGTTGTCGAGATAGAAGCTACTATTAGGTGGAGGAGTCTCTGTCTGCGTAGCCGGTGTCGACGGCGAGCTGGGGTTAATAGGGCCACCCAACACCCTGACCTTCTTAACTAACAGTCCAGGCTCCGGTGTTTCCGAGGTCGGACGCCGTTTCACTCCGGACACCACGTTTCTGTCCGTAGACTGCACAAATTGTTGGACAGGTTGGGGTCGCGCCGCAGACGACTGTATCGGAGCAGCTTGGACGGCGGCTTGGATTTGGGTAGGCTGAACAGGAGCTTGGACGTGAGCTTGTACAAAAGCCTGGTTGTGAGTCTTGATAGAAGTCTGGTTGTGAGCCTGTACGGGATTCAGGTTATGAGCCTGGACAGGAGTCTGGTTGTGAGTCTGGTTATGGGCCTGGTTGTGAGCCTGGTTATGGGACTGGACAGGAGGAGCCTGCATTGGGCGATGGATAGATGGCTGAACCTGCGGCTGGAGTGGCGGAGTGTGGGTTTGAGGTGATCGGCTTATCAGCTGCTGTTGTTGCTGTCCCAGAGGCTGTGCAGTCATGGGAATTTGTTGTGCTTGCTGCAATGCGGTGCGAGGGCTGCCAGTGTTCATTGCCACAGGAAGCTGCGCGACGGATGGCCGTCCCTGTAGCGGCTGCCCGTTCGAGATGGGGGCAAACTGTGGTTGATGTTGGCGAGCATCAACTGACTGGCGCGGGAGGCTTTCGTAACCCTGGATTCCCTGCATCACTCCACCAGGGACTGCACGGCTGACTGAAGAATAGGAGAGAGGCGATGCCCGGGGGCCGGGAGGCTGGAGATTGACCGTGTGAGACGCCGCGAGCGGGTTCTCAAACTCGGGGGTGGCGCCATATCCTGCGGACGGCAGTTGCTGCCCCTGCCAGTGTGAAAGGTGGGGATCGACGAGGGCGAATCGAGCATTCGCTGCCCGGCCTACATCGCCAGGAGACTGCTGGTTGGGGTAGTAGGACTGAGGCAAGGGGCTAGGATGGCCGTAGGGATTTGGCGTCGTTGCAGTTTGAGTAGAGCCCGACCATATGTCGTTCTGCTGAAAGTATGGAAAGGACCGATACATGGCCTGCTCAGGCTCGGACCTCGAGAGTTGCGCGCGTATTTGGTTCTGAGTTTGGGGGGCGGCGTCAATAAAGGCATTGGGGTTTTGGGTATGGCCGTGGTTGTGATTGTGGTTGAGACCATGGTTAAGGTTATGATTATTGCTGAGGCTGTGGTTGTTGTTGAGGCTGCTGCCCTGCATCTGGTTGTGGTTGTGGTTCTGTCCCTGGTTCTGGTATGAATGATTGGCGCCCTGGTTAGAGTCAAAGGCGAGCCCAGAGTCAGTGAACTGGTGACCCCATGCCTCGGGGTTGAAGTTCTCGGGATCCCATTCACTCATCCCGTTGCCGTGGCCTTGATCCATGTCAACGGCGATAGTGACTGTGAGGGTGGTGGAAAAGGGGGTGGTCACGTGCCTCACTATGGACAGGGGTCAGACTTGGCAATGCACAACTCGGGGCCCACACTTTGGCTTGTCACATACCGTGTTTGCAGCGGGGCAATGCTCCAAACCCACACACAATAGTATAGGTACAACTCCAACTTCCAGCAGCAGACAAGACGCGACCAAGACGAAAACTCTTGTCGCCTAGTTAAAGTCGATAGATACTACCTGATGCAGTTGCAGTTGCACGAGTTACTGACAGCACCCGCCACTGATGACTAAAATGTCACCAATTATTGCGGGCGAGTTCTTTGACGCGTCCCAGGACAGCTCCAAGGGACGGCCGAGGCGCGCGGTTGGTCGGGTCGCGTGCCGCACCCAAAGAAAATAAACCGCGGACGATGAAAAGGGTTGGGGTGGAGAGGTATGTATCGCCCAGAGAAGGCAGTGGGCACTTATCCGAGCTTTGCAGAAATCGAATAAAGAGTGGAAGGCCCGTGCGGAGCCGATCAAGCTGGCGATGGACCCGGATACAGGCTAGCGCAAAAGTCTAAGACGAAAAGGGGGTCAGCTTATCAGGCACCGAAATGTGCATACCCCCCTCCATAATCGTGCCACTGATGCAACGGCCGAGAGTCGACTGAGTTAGGTTGCAGCGCTCACTCCCGCTGACGGAAGTCGGTTCGTGCAAAAGCCCAGCCATCGGACCAGAGAGCAACCAGCAAATAGAGACAGAAATATAGAGCGAGCGAGAGAGATGGCGTTTGCGCAGCAGATTGAGATCAACACAGCCCAAGGATGCCAGGATTTTTGCCGATTTATGGTCGGAACGGGTTATCCATGTGCGATTTTTGCTGGCGTTCGTAATCCACCATTGTGGTGTTGAGAATTAAGGCGCCGAGGTTCAGGTGTTCCAGGTTTGAAGATGGGCGACCCAGGTTGGCGATCAGCTGGTGTGGGAGGGTTGGTGTGACTGACCAGGCCTTTCCAACAGCTTAGAGGTTTGCAAATAGCGATGTTTCTGAGCAAGTCGGCTCTGAAGAAGCTGCTTGACTTCTGAAAACCAGCTACCCGGCCTCCTTTTTTTGCTTTCCCTCCTCATTTGAATTTGGGTTCCATCTCCCATTTGGCTTTCAATGCTGCCAGTCTGGCGAAGTCAATCAACCCGTGAGGGCACGGAGGGGGGCGAGGTGTGCTGGGCAATGCGGCAATGAAAGGTCGGGACAGCGCTTTCAGGGAACTTGCGAAGGCCCCGCAAATACCTGTCGCATTTTTCTGCAGCAACTTAGCCCGGCAGCCCGCCCAGCACTCCATGCTCCCGTTCTCCTCCAGGCGGCAAAAGGCTGGAAACTGGATTTCGCGGCATAGGGCAATTAACCAAGGGATAAGGTAGACCGATGACTGTGTCAATGAAAATTATGGCCAGAGGCTGCAGGGCACCGCTCCATGTTCATGGAGATGGGTTGCGTCTCCCCTCAAGTCTGCTTTGCTGTGGCGCGCGCTCTCTCTCTCTCCTCAGTCGTCTGCAAGTCTCTGTCTGTCTGTCTCTCCGCACTTCCTCCACGTAACAGGATTTTATAGTGTTACTTGCAGGCGATGATGATGGCTGGGCATGCCCGCTGTCTGCGCTGTCGCTCTTGCAGTCCTTCAGCTCGCAGATACAAACTGAGAGATCCAGACTGTTCGATTGAACATGCATTCTTTAGGAGGGAGATACAATTATGCTGTGCGTGTTTAGAATCGGGGGGGGGGGGGGGAATGGTGAGTTAATGCATACCCTTAAATCGTGCTGTTGATATCTACAGCACTTGTCCTTCGCTGCGCGTCGTGAAGCCACGTCATGGTCTCCCGTCCTCCCTCGCAGGCGACGACACCAATGCCCACGGGGCGCCCTACCGCATTTTCCTCGAATATCTAGATAGAACCTGGGGAGGGGGCTTGACTAATTTTGCAAGCGACCAAGACAATAGGCGGCTGCAGGCCAAAAAGCAAGACTGTTCGATGGATGCTCAAGTTCAAGGTCCCCAAAGCCTGCGCAGCGGGCTCAATCGTTCTATACAACTCAGGCGCCGAGGGGAAGAGACAAACGCAAAGATCGTGTCCCGAGAGCGAAAAATATTAATGAGGCAGTTCAGGTGCTGGCTTTGTTGTTGGGAGACGTTGAGGAAGTGATGGCGCGAAGCACAACGGATTGTCGTTGATGGAGGAGAAAAGTTAAGTCTTCGTGTGGAAAATCAGTTGCGGAAGTGGAGAGTGGGCGGTAGCGCTGGTTTGGTAAGGGTGAAGGCCTAAGCCCGATTGGTTCCTGTTTTTTCTGGGCAAGAGCAGAGCAGAAATGAGGCGAGTGCTTGCGGCCTTGTGCACGAGACCGAAATGCCTGGCGCGCTAGTCCCAAAGCAGTGAGCAGCGTGTTCCAGCCTCAGCGAAACCCCCCAGCCGTCAAACTGCCTGGGTTGAGCAGTCGGATTATCGGACATCAGAGTTCCGGTTCTCTTGCACAAGCTTAAGCCCCTGTTACTGTGGCTCTGCCAGCACCCACCAGCTAAAAGGCCGGAGGTACCAAGGTACCTGTTCGCTAGGGGACGTAAAGGTGTCAATGAATTCATCCAATGTGGGGGATCTCGAATGCTGTGGCTATCGCGGACCAGAGCATGTAAGTCGAGACAAGCCCGAATGACCAGCCCAGCAGCAAGCAGTTCATCGTTTCGATCAAGCAAAAAACTATTCGCCCAGGAACATAACTGCAATTGAGAAGCGCATGGTTTTCTACCTGTCCGCCCAGACCTGTTTCTTCCCCAACGCAAACAGCTTCTAGGAAGCAGCTCCTCGGGTCTTGGCCTTCGTCCACTTGCACTGCGCCCACTGCCTTTGCGACCACCACGCCCTCGCGAGACCCTCACATCTGCAGCACCGATGGCGGCACGCGGCAACTCTCTGCGCGATAAGCAGATCGGTTTGTACGCCCTTCTCCGTGTGCGCCTGTTCGCGGAGAGCTGACACGTGGCAAAGTGTCTATCAAGAAGATCCTAAACCTCAACCAGGCGGTCGAGTCCGGCGACAACGACGATCAAAATGCCAATGGCTTTCTGGCGCCGTCGGCGCCCATACTGAAGGACGGGCTTCCCATCTGGAAGGTTCTGGTGTTTGATGTAGGGCCTCCACTGTTCCTCTGCGCTTCGGACCTGAAGACGGTCCCCGGATTGTTTTCAGTTGAAATGCGGTCAAACTAACCCCAGCTGTAACCCGCGTAGGATCTCGGCCGCGATATCATCAGCCCAGTCCTCCAGGTATCTGATCTCAGGTCGCTGGGGGTGACGATGCATATGTGAGTGTCTCGTTCGTTCCTTGGCGGCAGATCCAGAGTGCTGACGACAGTAGGCATATATCGGCATCTAGAGCACCCATTCCCGACGTCCCCGCCATATACTTGGTCGAGCCGAATTCTGCCAACCTTCAGGCGATTACGAATGATCTCCAAAAGGGCCTCTACGGTTCAGCCAGCATCAACTTTCTATCCTCGATCCCGCGGCCTTTGTTGGAGGACTTCGCTGCGCAGACAGCGACTGCCGGAACCTCTGAACAGATCTCACAGATATACGACCAGTATCTCAACTTTATTGTGACCGAACCTGATCTCTTCAGTCTGAGCATGCAGAAGGAGCACACATACTGGGCCTTGAACAGCGCAAAGACCAAGGACGAGGAGCTCGACCGCGTGATAGACAGGATAGTCAGCGGGCTATTCAGCGTTGTGGTAACAATGGGTATGTTTACTCTCCATGCTCCGTTTTCTTGCACCGGACGCTAACTATGTTCCAGGTGTCATACCGATTGTAGGTTTTGAGTGGTGTTCAGCACGACATTCCCCTTCCATCCGCAGCTGGCTGCAATTCCTCCGATGTACCCCTTTACGAAGGTATACATGTTAACACACAATGTCTCTTGTAGATACGGTGCCCAAGAGGCGCTGCAGCGGAGGTGGTTGCGACCAAGCTGGATCGCAAACTCCGCGACCACATCCTCAACTCTAAAGACAATCTCTTTTCTTCACAGGCACGCCCAGCCTCATCTTCCACCGGAACTCCGACGTCTAGACCTGTGCTCATTATCTTGGACCGCAATGTTGACTTGATACCCATGTTATCTCACTCCTGGACATACCAAAGTCTTTGTTTTGACATATTTAGAGTAAGAGCTTGTATTCCTCCAGCACGGGCCTCTGTTAATTCCTCTGCTAGTCGGAACTCAACCGCATCACCATCGAGACCCCAATCGACACAAATAATCCTGCAAAAGGCACCACTAAAAAGAGCTACGATCTAGCCGCCAACGATTTCTTCTGGGAAAAGAACGCGTGCATACCGTTCCCCCAGGTTGCTGAGGATATTGGTAAGACCAACCGGAGAAGACTTTGGGCGGGGAGCGTAAATTGAAGGTAGCGAGCTAATATTGTATAGACGCCGAGCTCACAAAGTACAAGGAGGAAGCCGAGGCGATCACCAAGAAGACGGGGGTGACTGATTTCGAAGACCTCCAAAATGATACGAGTGCCAGCGCCCAGCACCTGAAAGCAGCCATTACGCTCCTGCCAGAGCTCCGGGAAAGAAAAGCAACTCTGGACATGCACATGAACATACTCGCTGCGATCTTGGGAGAGATCCAAAACCGGCAGTTGGACAACTATTTCCAGCTTGAAGAAAACCTGGGGAAGCAGACCAAGGCCCAGATGCTCGAGTCGATCAAAGGCGCGGACAAGGGTAAACCGGCCGACAAGCTTCGACTATTTATCATCTGGTACCTCAGCGCAGAGCAGGATGTCTCTCGGCAGGAATGGGTCCAGTTTGAAGAAGCACTTACGGCGGCAGGTTGCGACAAGACATGTCTGTCTTATATTCGACAGTAAGCGGCCAGCTCTCCAGTAACGTCCGAATCTCGAACGCGGTTGCTAATGCTTAATTATTCCAGGGTCCGGGCCACTACGAAGATGACACAGCTAACTACCATCTCCAACTCTACGTCAGCAACTCAGCAACAATCTGGATCTTCGGACCTTTTCCACCGGTTTTCGGCCATATCGAGCCGGCTCACGGACCGACTGAAAGAGACGGGAGTTCCTACTACCGCCCTGTCTTCGAACGTCGCGTCACTTCTCGGCGGAATCAAGAACTTCCTGCCGGTCGATCGTGATCTGACTGTGACAAAGATCACTGAGTCTATCATGGACCCGTCGAGCGCAAGCTCGTCGGCAATTGCAAAGACGGAGCACTACCTGTACTTTGACCCCAGAAGCGCGAATGCGCGCGGGACGATGCCGCAGCCTTCTACGATCCGAGCGGGGGGCTCTGCGGGGGCATCGGCGCCGGGCGGACTGCCGGGCTCAGGCCTTGGTGTGCAGGGCCCCGGGACGGGTGCCAGCTTTGGGCAGCGGCGGCAGGGGTTCTCAGAGTCGCTAGTTTTCATGGTTGGAGGCGGCTCTATGGACGAGTACGGAAACTTGCAGGAATGGGCGACTCGGATGATGGCGGGCGATCGCGCAAAGAGGAGAGTCGTGTACGGCGCCAGCGAGCTCGTCAACGCCAGCCAGTTTATCAGCGAGGAGCTTGATAAGCTTGGCAAGGAAATATCCTAGAGTCTAGTCTCCTTATTCATGGGTTGTGTCAAGAGACCGCGTATAATCGACCTCTCTTCTTTTTCTTCCGGGGCTGATAAAAGCGAGCGGTTCCGTCGCTGGTTTTGACTCGGGCCTGCCTACACTATGGGATTTAGAGTTTGGTCTGTCTATATAATAACCCTCGGACTTCAAATTTCGAACTTCAACCCTTCACCTTTCTAAAAAAAAACCACATCGTCTGCTACCTCCTTCGTTTGATCGCGCCGAGCTGCGGAAGACGATCCCGAGCCCCGAATTCTGCAACACAACTGCATCTAGAGAGCGTCATACGGATCCTTTTTTGCATTAGCACTCCCAGTTCTGCTCCGAAGGAGCACTCAGTGGCCCGTGGTTGCAACCCTCTTTCCTTGGCTTCCGGGCACGCTCTTCTCATCATGTTAAGCCCTGCGCCCATCATCTCCGAGCGGCGCTCGTCTCTTGATCACCCGACGTTCTCGGCTGCGGGCTCCCCTGCTAGCGTCTCAGAGATCTCAAAGCGCTCGAGCAGCAAGAAAAAGACTCTCTACACTTAACATAGCGAGCTAGTTGACAAGATCAAAAAAACCGGAAGAAGCTCAAGCCCTCGTCGTCATTTGATTCCAATTTCTGGTCCAGCAGTGCAGATCTCCTTACCATGGACGCGGAGAGAGTTGGGCTATATAGCTCACTCCAATTCCGTGAATATCAAGAAGGCGGCGGAACCTTGTCGAGAGAGCGCTGGGAAGAGGTGGACGAGAAAGGAAGAGAGTGCCTGCTTGAGTCTATTGCACTCGCACGACAAGCATCGATTGCGAGGGAGCAGTCCGAAAAGCTGAAGTCTCCTTCTCCCTTTTTAGATTGTTGTAACGGGTTCCTCAAGCTCTTCAACTCTTCCAAGCTAGGGTTCGACCTCCCGGATGCTGGATCCAAGGGCCGGCGCGAAACAAAGGACCAGTCAATGATGAGAGACTTGATGAGGCAGGCCTATTGCCCTGGCTCCGGTGGTATTTGGGAGCCGGTGCTTGGGACTTGGATCGATGGGACCTTGGCCATCGCCGCACATCTCTTCCCTTAGCGTTCAGCGGACCTTATGGACTCCATCTTCGGGACTGGCGCCCGCGACGAACTCTTCTCGCCATTTAACGGCATCTCTCTCCATCCGGCTATAGAACAGGCTTTTGATAGGGGCTTCTTGGTCATCGTCCCTAATACCAATTTGGAAGCAAAGGATTCGGCAGCTCCGTGGAAGGATAAAGACGAACGGCACCAGGCCCTCAAGGATTGGGAGACGACTACTCCCAGAGAGTACCGTATCATGGTCTTGGACGCAACGTCTTCGACTATGCAGCAGGCAGTATTCTCAAAGGAGGTTTACAATCTCGAGTTCAACAACTTGGCCGGCCTACACGGACGCCGGTTGCAGTTCCTGAACGAGTCGCGGCCCAGGACTCGATATGTCTGGTGGACGTTTCTCAACGCCACTACGCAGCTAACCTGGAAGGGGTCGCTCAAATCCTCCAAGTCGTTGATACAGAATGAAGTTCTCAAGGGGACAAGGTACTGGGGTACTCACGGAAGATACGTGAAGAAGAATATTCTCCTCGGCTTTGTCAACGAGATTGGACACGACGTCAGCAGTATCGCTAAGTCAACCATGGAGCACGCTATTGAGGAGGAGGAGGAGGGAGGACCTGCCGATCAGGGGCCTGACCAGTTAGGGCTGGCGGTCGTCGCGGACCGAGTCGTCCGCCGGGCACAGGAACATGACGGCTTTGACTATGAGTTTGAGCTAGAGGATGAAAGCGAGGAGGATGACTAAGGGGGGAATGTTCACATCTAGTACGAAGGCTGGGGCAAAGAGAAAGGGCCACCCTTCATAGTTGCCAGAGACGCCAAATCCACCCTTTTGTCCCCCGAGATGCTGTCGGCCTTCTGGCTCTCCAGCTGAGCCAGCCATCTCTCATCAGAACGTCGTGACTTGACCACCATGTCTCCAGGCTCGATCCCCCATAATGGCGGTTTGCCATGTAGTTTCATATCGTCTACATGTAGCTTCCTCCGAGGCCCCGGTTTCCGAGTGTGCTCCACGATACATGTTCTCGGCATCACCTTTTCCACGACTCTCCACGGTCCAGACCAGTTCGGCGTAAACTTGGACTTTTCCTTGCCCAGTTTGTCTCTGACCCAATCTCCGACTCGAAACACGTTGGGACATACGTCTTGGTACTGATTCCTCTCTGCCCGGCTGATATGAACTTCGGCCGCCCGATCCCGTGTCTCTTCTCTAGCTTGGGAGCATGCCAGGACGTGGTCTCCCAGTCCGGCATAGTCTACGTCTATGTGAATGGTCTCATCCTTGTTAATAAGTTCCTGGATGTCGTCTGCCAGGGTTCTCTCGTACACGGAGTCGAATCCGAGGAAAGCTTTGGCTGTAGCAACTCGGATGGAATCCTGGTGTCTGGTATTGATGTTCACCATCCGCGACCCCACAGCCGTATGCCATTCCGGCAATCTGTCTAGGACCTGGTTTTTGAAATGGGATCCGTTATCGGTCTATGTCTGTCGCGGCCAGCCGATAATGAGTGCCTATACTCGTATGAAGGTCACTCCCACCGTATATGCGGACGCCGCCGGCAATAGCTATCCAAATACCAATCTAGAAAAGTAGTCGACTTCCGCTAGAATATATATCGATCTATCTACCGCCGGGGGGTTAGTCGGATTTATAAAGTCTATCCTAAATAAGTCTATCTATTACAAACCACTCGACTGTTAGGGTCGTCTATCTGTAAGGGAGCGCAGGCTCCACAGGATGCTGAGTTGGTAATTATGAAGATAGAACAAAGGGCAAACTCCTATCGCACGGGTAATACAGTCAAATCGGAATGCCACTCAAAGTGTATGAGTGTAGTGAATGTGTATTGCTTGCTTGAGGAACCAAGCAAGAACTATCTAAGACCGTGGCTACGGTCGTCGTATATATATCTATCTAAGGCGGGCCAATCCAAATGGTCCTACTGTCCCGAGGCCCCGAGGCCGGGCCATCGGCCGCCCAGGCCAGTCCCGCAGTCCCGACCTTTATTGCTCGGGACTCTGGGACACCCCTGATTGGTCAACACCAAACTGGGCCTGCCCCACTACCGTGCGTTTCCTCAGGGATTCGTAACATTATGTTATGTTTCGTCTGCTCAAGGAGTGACTTCCACAGTTGGATGTATCACAAGAGTGAAATGGCCGTGCCCATCACTACGCACACACTCTGAAATGAACGCATTTAAGCATTTGCCGCGGTGTAAATCACGTTAAAAAAAAGTGCATTGTCTTGGGTCGGGGTGATGAAACCTTGTCGAGCCGCAACATGGGGGGAGGGACTCGGACCCGATTCACGATGCGCATCCGCGGCGAGGCGAACCAAACGACAAAAATGCCAGGTCTCTTCATCCTTTTTGAGGGGGAATAGGGTAATTCTTTCTCATACTAATAAGAGAGGGGAATGGAAATATTTAGGCGCGTACAGTTGGATAGGTTTCAAGGTTTTTCGTCCGACATCCCCGAGGAGCATGTGGAGGACTTGTGCTTCGGATAGTGTTCAAGTCGCAAACAACATAACACGGCACTCTGTGCCTAACACCATGGATACAGGGCCTGGCTGGCAATGCTTGGGGCTGGCCAGCTGTCTCTCTCATTATCTGTAGAAATTTTGGCGAGTTATTAGGTAACTTAGGTAGCTACGCGATTCTAAAAATGCGCCTAGCCGCCCCCAAACCGTCGAAGGGCATTGCATGGCCCCGTCACATAAGTGGCCTTTAATATTTAGCAACCAAGTCTGTTCCACGACACTAACACCTGGATCAAGCGCAGCCTGCGACCAACCGAAAGGAAGGGACACAGCGGCTACTTGCGTGGCCGCCTTCTCAACACCAAGCGCGTCCTCACCGAGATGCCTGCCCGATGTTTGTCGTCCTCCGGAAGGTCGCGGCTTGTTTGGACTTTGGAAGGATGCCTTTTTGGAAGGACGTTGGCGCTTGTCTCTGAGGCAGACCAACACCTATTAATAACACCTCTCGTACAATACATACGGAATCACCAAGGCTCGCCGTATTCCATGGTACTTGGTATAATAGCACAGTAGGCAAGGTAGTATGCTGGAGTCCTAGCACAGATGGCAAACAAGACGATCACCGAGAGCTGCAGTCAGTTACGCCACCCTTGCTTGGCACAAGCAACAGAGGCAGTGGAGTGGTCGTCACCAGTCGTCGTCGACAAACGTGGCTTGTGCAGATATTAATGAGGCGGTGCTTACCGACCCGGTGGCCAAACTCGGCCAACCTGGGCTTGGACTTGGGCTTGGATATTGCCGTTTTCTCACCAACAATGAAACACGGTGTATTATTTTACTCTACTTTGTCCATACCTGGAATTATTCCCTAGATCATCATCTACCAAAAAGGTTTGCGCCGTCTGTTGTTGGCCGTGATTCCCGGCCAAAGAATAATAAAGGAAATTTCCGTCGGCCGTTCGTCTGTTGATCTGACCTCACCTCACCGGCCTGACGGATCTGATCTGACCCGGCCCTAGGCCTAGACCCAGGGGGCAGCGGCAGTGGCAGCAAGCAAGCACGCAGGCAAGCACGCAGGCAGAGGGGCTGCGGACAAAGGTCAACTCTACAAATACCCGTAACTGCCTATTTATTATAACATGCGCCTCCGTCAAATCTTAACATGGGACAAACAGAAAACGGAAAACGGATAACCGAAAACGTCTACGTTTGTTGTCAGTGTGATTGTGGTGTGTGTCGGATTGCATGCCTTCCTGGAAACAACATGCTAGCCCGTTTTGCCTTAGTTATAGGGGAAATCACCAGCTGGCTACGTTGTAATAATTGGTACAGGCGCAGCTTATCGACTGACGAGGCGAAAGCAGCCAAACAGCAAGGCTAAGAACACTTGCGCGGGCGTCGAACGATACGATAAGGATGGATGGCCAGCCTCTTTGGCTTCCATTGCGGTTCGGGTCCGGGGGTGCACAGCCTGGGCACTAACGGTTTTCGCCATAGGTCCCCTACATAGTATAACGGCGTGGAGGCCGCCTCTCAGCTGATGGGCTTCTGACGGCCTTCCCACCTCTTGTTGGGTTATTATTATTTTTGTTATTCTCCAGGTACGGCGACGATCGCGGTCGCCCATCTTATTTGCAGCATGGTAGCGCTGTATATATGGACGTGTAGAATAGGCTGGGCTGTTGGCGTCTAGCAGAGGCTGTTCCCCAAGAACTTGGAAAACGCAAATCCGGATTCCCTCAAAGGGCGATCCTGCCCAACCGTGGAAAAGATTCAACCAAATAATAGGGATAAATTTATCAGGGCCGCATCCCTGGCGACCAGCCGTACGTCCACCTCTCCCACTCTGTTGCTGCTTCTTAGCCCAGGTGCCCCTTTAAACGGCTGGGGAGACCCAACCAGCAGATGCTCTTGCCGTTTTGCCAGTGGGCCGACGTCACACCCTTCCGTCTTCAGTGCTGAAACAGCAGTGCACCGCCAGGCATTTCCCTTGGATGCATTGCCCCTTCATTCGTCAGACCCCCCTGTCGGCTGTCCATTAAGCTACCGTCACCTGGCCGGAAACGAGCAGCGTGAAACCAAGCGACTGTTTCCTGCCGCCGAATAATATCGCCCAGGAGCCCGCTGCAACTTGCAACAGCGCCCGAGCATTAGCAGGACGTTGCGTTGCGTCGCGCTTGGCAAAAGCAAAACTTTATTCTCGATCGATCCCACGCACGGCTCCAGCATTGCTGCTCGCCTCTGTTCAGAACCCAAGGAAGAACCCAAGACTCGAGCGTCTAGAAGCGCCGCATCGCTGCAGGGACCCGACCCTTTGAGACTGCCGAAACTATACCCACTGGCGACCGTCAACCGTCGACCGCCCACCCACCAGACGAACAAAGCCGCCCGCCGCGCAGAGCAGCTCCTGTTGCAGTTGCAGTTGTTGCAGTAGTGGTGGTAGTGGGAGGGCCGGGCGCAAAAAGGGGCTCAAACAGCTGCCCGCCTACCTCGACGGCATCGTTGACGGTTGAATCACCCACACACACGAACGCCTCGCCCGCCAGAGGGAAACAAACCAACAAACGAGAGCCGCCGCGACGAACTGGCTGGACAATAAGGGACCTACTAGATAGAGGGCGTCGACTTCGGGCTCCCGCTTCCGCTCCCGCAGCGGTGCTAGTGCTAGTCCAGTGTATAAGCGCAAGCGCATAGCATACCACGGCATCGCATCGCATCCCATCGCATCGCATCCATTCCTGGACCTGAAATTCGCCTCGACTCGCGTACGGAGCTCTGAGACGCGCAACATCCCAACTGGAAACTTTGTCCAGCGCTGGCATTCCGCTGCCAGACTGCCGCTCCCTGCATACGTTCAGATACTTTAGGATTTCAGAGATAGCCGACCTAGCAGGCCGCCACCATGTCGTATAACCGGTTAGGCAAGTCACCCTCTCCTGAGTCCTCCTCGTCTTAGTCCTAGTCTTGGTGTTTGCGATCCCCTATCCCATCCCCATCCATACCTATCCACACTCTACCTACCCCTTCCCTTGGACCCTCGGCCTCTGCCCCCCTTCTACTACCCCTGCCCCGTTTGTGCGCGCTCGAGTGTGTGCCACGTTTCCCTGTGCCTCCCTCTGCTCATTCCGCCGTCCGCCGTTGTGCAACTCCTTCCACTGAGCCTGTGATTGCGCCGTGTTTTCTTGTTTCCTTGCCAGGCGCAAGCTACCTTCTTGCTTCTCGTCCACACCGAAGCCACTACAGACACAGCAGACGTTGTGTCAAGTCTAAGGCGCAGGTTGCCTTTCTTCCTTCATAAGCCGCCTTCTTGGCCTTCGCGCGGACTGTCTGCGAGCGGACGCCTTGGCCTGCTGCCGATCTGGGATCTGGGATCGCTTCGACTTTCCTTGCTTTGCTTCGACGGATAGCGTCTAGAATACAAGATATAATTCTAATATTCCTGCCCGCTCTCAGACGACGACTACTACGACACTCACCCCATCCCCATGGACAACCGTCACCCCATGGAACGGGTCCACAGGACGCCCTCGCCCGGCCACCCTCTCCAGCACGGCTACCACCTCGAGGACAACCCGTACGGCCACTCGCAACCGGGCCTCGATATCCCCGCTGGCGGCCCTGTCAGATACAATAGCCCAGGCGACTCGCTGCACATGCAGACGGCGGTAGGTGCCATCCATTTTCTGTCTCGCCCGGCAGAGCATACTGACATCCTCACCAGCAATCGGTAGACAACCTCGCCGGTTACCAGCACGAAGACCCAGCAGCCCACCCCGGAGGCTATGCGGTTCACCCCGAGCAACACCACGATGCATACTACAACACACCCTACGAGCCTCACCCAGTCGAGGGTCAAGGCTACGACTACGACGACAGCCGCCCCATGTTGACACATGACGACTCGCAAGTGGCCGCCACCGATCCCTACCACGACAACCCGCAACCGCCGACGAACAACGCGCCTATCAAGAGGTGGAAGACGGTGAAGCAGGTGCTGCTCTATCGGGGAAACTTGGTGTTGGACTGCCCCATCCCGCCCAGGTTGCTGAACCAGCTACCCCATGGCGAGCGCGACGAGTTCACCCACATGCGCTACACGGCGGCAACCTGCGACCCCGCCCACTTCTACGAGGAGGGCTTCACCCTCCGACAAAAGCTCTTTAGCAAGCCCCGCCATACCGAGCTCTTCATTGTCGTGACAATGTACAACGAGGACGAGATCCTGTTTGCGCGGACTATGATAGGCGTGTACAAGAATATCGAGTACATGTGCAAGCGGGCCGAGAGCAAGACGTGGGGCAAGGACGCGTGGAAGAAGATCGTCGTGTGTGTTGTCAGCGATGGCCGAGCCAAGATCAACCCCCGGACACGGGCGCTCTTGGCCGGTATGGGCGTCTACCAAGAGGGTATCGCCAAGCAGCAGGTTAACGGCAAGGACGTCACGGCGCATATCTACGAGTACACAAGTCAGGTCGGCATGTCGATCAAGAACGACGTGGTCCAGCTCATACCCAAGCAGCAACCCGTCCAGATGCTGTTCTGCCTGAAGGAAAAGAACCAGAAGAAGATCAACTCGCATCGCTGGTTCTTCCAGGCCTTTGGCCGCGTTCTGGACCCCAACATCTGCGTGCTGATCGACGCTGGTACCAAGCCCGGAGGAAATTCTATCTACCATCTCTGGAAGGCGTTCGACCTCGAGCCCATGTGCGCAGGCGCTTGCGGCGAAATCAAGGCCATGTTGGGGCCTGGCGGGAAGAACCTCCTTAACCCGCTAGTGGCGACGCAGAACTTTGAGTACAAGATGAGCAATATTCTGGACAAGCCCCTGGAATCTGCCTTTGGCTTCATTTCGGTCTTGCCCGGTGCCTTCTCGGCCTACCGCTACGTTGCGCTGCAGAACGACAAGAACGGCCAGGGCCCGCTGGAGAAGTACTTTGCCGGCGAGAAGCTCCATGGCGGCGATGCCGGCATCTTCACGGCCAACATGTACCTGGCCGAAGATCGTATCCTCTGTTTCGAGCTCGTGACCAAGCGCAACTGCCACTGGATTCTGCAGTACGTCAAGTCTGCCACGGGCGAGACCGACGTGCCCGACACGGTGACCGAGCTCATCCTCCAGCGCCGTCGCTGGCTGAACGGCTCCTTCTTCGCCGCGCTCTATGCCATCGTCCACTTCTACCAGTTCTTCCGGTCCGACCACTCGTTCCTCCGCAAGATTGCCTTCTTTGTCGAGTTCGTCTTTAACACTGTCAACATGATCTTCGCCTGGTTTGCCATTGGCAACTTCTTCTTGGTCTTCAAGATTCTGACGGCCAGCTTGGGGTCTGATAATCTCCTGGGGAATGTCGGTAATATTCTCGGCGTCGTGTTTGCCTGGCTCTATGGCGTCTCGCTCATTACGTGCTTTGTACTGTCTATGGGCAATCGGCCTGCCGGCTCTGGGCGCTACTACATGGCCATGGTGATCTTTTGGGCTATCATCTTTATGTGAGTATTTTTCTCGTTTGTGTCTCTTAATGTTACTAATAGTTTTTCAAGCTATCTCATGTTTGCGGCCATCTTCATCTCGGTCAACGCCATCAGGACGGATCTCAGCAACGGCCTCAGCCTCTCGGAACTGTTCAAAAACAAGATCTTCTACACACTCGTCATATCCGTCATGTCGACGTACGGCATCTGGTTCATCGCGTCGCTGATCATGTTCGACCCGTGGCACATGTTCACGTCGCTCATCCAGTACCTACTCCTCAGCCCGACGTACACCAACGTGCTCAACGTGTACGCCTTCTGCAACACGCACGACATATCGTGGGGCACAAAGGGCGACGACAAGCCCGACAAGCTGCCCTCGGTCAACACCAAGGACGGCCAGGGCAAGACGGACCTGCCCGACGAGGGTGACCTCAACGCCCAGTACGAGCGCGAGGTGCAGGTCTTTGCGCGGAAACCTGTCAAGGAGGTCAAGGCGCCCACCCCGTCGCAGCTCGAGGAGAAGCAGATGGACTACTACAAGGGCGTCCGTACCGTCACGGTGCTCCTCTGGATGATCACAAACTTCGGGCTGGCCGCCGTCATCCTGTCTACCGCCGGCCTCGAGCGCATCACCACCGACGGCAACACCGAAGAGCTGCAGGACCAGCGCGCCACCATCTACATGAGCGTCGTGCTGTGGTCCGTGGCCGTGCTGTCGGGGTTCAAGTTTCTGGGTGCCATGTGGTTCTTGATTGTGCGCATGTTTAGGGGCGTGTGATTTTTTTCCTTCTTCATGACTGGGCCCGCTTTTGTCGTTGTATATGTTGTGTATGTGAAAAGGGAGACACTGAGAGAAAGAGAGAAAGGCGGCCTACTCCATTTTCTAGTTTCATTGTTTTTTATTACCCATCTCATCTACCTAAATAGGGTAGATATGTTAAACACGTTGCCTGCCTTGTCTGCCTGCCTTGCCTTTTCTAGGGGTAAAACTAGACATATACCACGGAATGGAATGCGAATGGAACGGGACTTGCAACTGTGGACCGAAAATGATTTGATTACATGGGCCATGGTTGGGGTTATTTTTTTCCTTTTTCTTTTCTACTTGTTTCTTGATTCTTGATACTTGATACTTGATACTCCTTGTTGTTGTCGTTGTTGTTGTTGTCGGTTTCATACCTCTTCGCGTCTAGCCAATTCTGGCATTATTTTATTTTACATTTTCAGTCTTTCCCTTGAAGTCCTCCCGTGTCCTCCTATTCACACTTCTAGAAACCTTGTGCGCATAACTCGCTGATATGTCGTAGTAGTAGTTAGTGGAAGTGCTTCATCGTTGCCCCCCAAGCAAGCAAGCCAATGCGGATGGATCAAAGACAGACAGACAGACAGACCACCACTTGTTAGAATGCCATGTGTCTGTCTCTAGAGATCTAAGCATTCAGATATCTAGATTCCTCTCTAACTGCTGGCATTATTTTTATGCTCGCTTAGATGCATAGGTATGGCCTCGCTCGGTCCATACACGTTAGACCCTCATAACCTTAATTCCCTTTGCGCGAGGGAGTAACAAGGGCAGAAAGCCTGTCCCTGAAAAAGAGAGTAGAGAAAAAAAGGGAGAAACGCCAACTGCTATTCCCAGAGCATGATATTGCACATTTGAACGCAGCAAAAGGACGAAACGCGATTTGAACGCGTGACCTGCCGGACTGCAGCCGGCTGCTCTACCCCTGAGCTATTCGTCCTTGGGTTGTTTCTTCCAGTCCCACACTTAAGTTAATACCGTGCGTGCAGCAGGAGGCATATGTGCGCGTGGTTGTGGATAGGTGGATGAGTATGTGGATGTGGATGCGGATAGCTTGTTATTGGAGATGGGGTTTCATCCTATTTTCTGGGCTGTTATTCACGTGATTACCTAGGTAGGTGCCTGGTGTATATATGTCCCTATGTTGGCTGGTTCCTGGTTTTGTTGTATTCAAGTGTTTTGAGCAGGCTCGGAAAAAGCAGGTTTGTGTGTTTTTTTTATTTTTTTCTAGTCACGCGAGTAGTCATTCAACTGGCGTAAGAAGGTCAGGAACACTTGGTTCTTTACTCATCATTGTCAGGACAGCCACTGCCAGCGATCCACCTACAATCTACCTAGCGAGGTGTGGATTTGACAGTGTACCTAGTATCGGCATAAAAGACCATTTGGATTGTTTAAGTGAAGGAATAGCACTGCCGAATGTCTAGCTAGCTTAGACATGTGAAAAACGGAAAACAAACCTGGGCCTAAAAAAAGGTACTTCGTTGGCAATAAAAGAAAGACAGAACCCGAACTACTGCGATCATGAAACCAAAACCACTACGTCGTGTACGTAGTTCTCTAACTCCAGTCTCTCCACAGGCTAGCCAGCGCCCCACCCGCAGGCCCAGTCTTGAACCACAGCTCCGAGTTGGTCGGGAGGCGCGAGATGGTAGCCAGGGGGCCACCCGGCACTACGGTGCTGCTTGGAGCTCACTCGGATGCAGCCCAGCCAACCCTGTACTTCCAGCCCAGGTACTTGATGGCTCCGGCAGGGCTGGTGTAAAAGACCTCGAGGTTGTCCTTGTTTCTAGAGACAGCCGTGATGCCGCCGGCGATGCCGTTTCCTGCTTGGCCGGGCACGGCAGAGCCGTCCGGAGCTAGCGTCCCCTTGTGCCAGCCATTGCCGTCAAAATCGAACCACATTTTCTGGACGGCGCCCTTGGGGGTGATGAGTACGCCCCCATCGAGTGCTCGTGGGGCGCCATGGCGCCGATGCTCGAGTTAAGGCTGACGGATCCCGGCGGCGTGAGCTACTCGCCGGCGGCCCATCCCTTCGCTTCTTCGTAGAACTAGGTGTGCTAGAGGGACCCGGCCTGGTTGACCTAGAACAGCTCGATGTGGTCCTGGTTGCGCGAGATGGCCTTGATGCCGCCGCCCCCCGTGGCAGCAGCGCCCGGGTGCGCAATCTGGAGGAACCTCCAGCCGACGCCGCCGAGGAAGCTCGCGCTCTGGATAGACAGGTTGAGGCCGACCCGGAACACGTCCATGCACGCGGGCTTGCGGCTGACAGACGTGAGGCGCGTCTTGCTGTATGCCTTGGGAGCGCCGTCCAAGGGGGCGTCCTCCCACTTGCGCCCCTTGTACCAGTACGCGTGCTAGATGGCGTCGTTGCCGCCGACCTAGAAGACCTCGATGTGCCCTGGCTGGCGGGACACGGCCGTCGTGCCGCTGAACTTGGTAGCAGTGCAGCCAGTGAGCCGCTGGTAGTACCAGCTGCTGTTCCACGGCTCGCCAATGTTGTCCTGCCATCTGTCGACCTGGACCGTCCCGACAAGCGCGTCGCGCTTGAAATCCAACGTGTACACCTCAAGCTCCGTCGGCTTGTGGCTGATCAGTACCACGTCAGAGAACCAAGCGATGTCGGCAGCGTTATTCGCGTTGACGGTCGAGTACTGCCAGGTGTTTGAGCCAGGACTGTCCTCAGCCTTGGCAGGGGTCAATGGGGGAGCGCCCGCTAAGGTGGTAGTGGCAGCCATGAGGGGATGTGTTGAGAAATAGGTAGTGATAAGTAGATTGATAGGTAAGAATAAAGTTGCAATAGGCTCTGAGAGGTTGCTTGTGTGAACTGGTGAATGGATTTGAAAGACATGATTGACGAGGAAGTGGAGTGGACTTTATATTCCCAGCTTCACACACAGCACTGTCTTGGAGTTTGTTGACTGAGAGCCAATTCCTGTCACCTCTCACACTCCTTCGCTCTGGTCGGCAGAGCTCTCCCTCCCCAAAGCTAGAATTTTGCCGCGGCGTCAACCAGAGAGGTGAAATGGAGGCTTTTGGGATCTGAATGCTGTCACCAAATGGCAATATCTCTCCCCCAGCCGCCGTCGAGGGTCGAATCAGCCAACTCGCCGTTGTATCTTTGTGAATTTAGGACATACGACTCGCCGCTTTACGGAAACTGCGGCACGAAGCGGCTGTTGCAGCATCATGGACTGGGACTCGAATGCATCTTGCCTTTGTTAGAGCCATGCCATAGGATAGCGTACGGTCCGCTCTTGTTGCCGGAAAAGTTGGAAAATCGTGGCTGCCCGGATATTGGTCGCATGGGATTCGCTGATAGTCGCTGATATGCCTCATGCCTCTGAGGTATTCGACAGCAGGACTAGTGCTGCCGGCGACACCAAGATTGGTGGCTAGCTGGACAGCCCTACGTGTTCGTAGTGCTGATTGAAATACCGTTTCGTGCAGGAAGTTGGGCACATTCTCAGAGCCTCAAACTCCGTAGGCTAGCAACTAATGATAAGCCCACTGAAATCCTAAACTTAGGAGTTGGTATGGCTGTTTAGTTAGCCACCGATCTTGGCACTGTGGTGGCACTGATCCTGCTGTTAAATCTCTGTATAATAAGAAAGAAACAGGTAGGTGTGCTCATCGTGTCTCATTAGCTGGTGATATCTTGTGCTGGTCATACGCCTGGCGGATACACCTTAGTGAACCCTTGCTCTGGTGGCTGCAGCCAGTTGCGCCCGTCATACACGCTGCCCTCGCCGCCTTCAATGATGTGGAACGTGTAGATTATGCGGCCTTTTTGGCTGAGGTTCTTCTCGCTCTTGTGCAGCAGGTTGCCGTGGATCAGCACGAGATCCCCCGCCTTTACCTCGCCCGGCACGTACTGCCCCTGTTCGGGCTCGCTCTTCTTGTCCTCACCATACTCGGCACCTTCGGGAAACCGGGCGCCGTCGTTGGACACCATCTTGGTCCCGCCGGCGCCGCCCGTCTTGCGCACGAGGCGGTGCGTGATGGGGGCCCAGCGGTGCGACCCGGGCAGGAAGCTCAGGCAGCCGTTTGCCAGCGTGGCGTCCTCGAGGGCGTACCAGAAGCCGACGGCGCTTGGGGGGTTGGTGTAGAGGAAGGTGCTGTCTTGGTGAGGGGGGACGGCGCCGCCAATCTCTGGCTGCTTGAAGATTACCATGCTCTGGAGGCAGCGGGGGTCGCGGAAGCCGAGGGCGCGGGCGACGGCGGCGGGGCGGGCCTTAGGGGGTGCGGAGCCTTCATGGTTCAGCAAGGCGGTAAAGGGCGGGCTTAGAGCATGGAGGTAGTGGCCGATCTTGTTGACGGCGCGGTGCTTAGGCTTAGCCAGGAGGCCCGTGGCAGGGTCGAAGGCATCCTCCTCGAGGAAGAAGCGGATCTTGTCGCCCGACTCGAGGAAGTAGGCGTCACCAACGTGGTCCTCGCCGGTGGCGCCGCCTGTCGAGAAGCGCGTCATGGGGTGGTCGTCGAGCGACAGCTCCTCGTCGAGCAGGCGGCGCGTCTCGACCAGCAGGGATTCGACCGTGGCCGGCGGCAGCACCGACGGCACGATGATGTAGCCGTCGCGGTCAAAGGCCTCGAGCTGGGCGGCCGTGAGCCCCTGGTCTTGCCTGGCTGTTGACATGGTCTTGCTGGGGGGGTTATTCAGCTAAAACTAGATTTCAAGACATAAGATGGCCAGATACGAGGCCAGCAATCGCATGCAGCACGTGTTAGATGGGAAATAAACCACAGCCTGAATAAACAATCCTGTCATTTGGCTCGGGCCGTTCGGCTCGGGAATGAAGCTGACGGACGGTTTTAGGTTAGGCTGTGGGATGGACGAGAGGAGAGCTGTGGAGGAGAGCTTGAGAGCAGCCATTAACCCCACCAACCAACCCCTCACACAGCTTGACCCGATAGCTGCCTGGGAAGGAGCATCTGGGTTCTGACTAACTATTTATTGGTAGGGAAATTGTCAACCTGTCCCACTGCCGCAAGAAAGGAAGAAACAAAAAAAATAAAGGAGCAGGCTACAGGCTCATAAACACACAGAAACAAGACGGCCAAACATGCAGAATACATGGTGAGAATGTGGCAGAGAGAGTACTTTTATGAGGCTCTGAGCGAGCCTAATTGCTTGCAACCAGAACTAAACATTCATTCAATCCAATTCACGGCACCAAAGGTACCCGCTGGTTGACCGCAGTTCCGCGCTCTGTTCCCGTATGCAGTCAATGCAACGACACCCTTTGTTGTTATTCAGACGGTCACCCGACCTGGCAACAAGCCCGTTTTAAACCCCACTGTTGAAGCCAAACCTTGGACAATGGATGTAAAGACTACCCTACCTTCCACAAGGTAACCACGAAAGAGAAGTGCACCCAGCCAAACTAAAGACTAACAAGAACATCGACCAACGACGATAACGAAGAGCGACCAACACTCAGCGAACTCAAATCGAGGCAAAGACCAAAAAAAGGGGGGTTCGGGCTCGGCAAATAGAATTTCATCGTCCATATACACTTGTTCCATGATATAATTTTCCATCTTTCCATCCATCCACTTCATTTCATTCCTTCTCTGGCAGAGACACTTCTGTCGCAGACCTCGGTTTGTAAAGGCAACAACAGCACCAGCATCAACATCAACATCAACCAAGACCACGACCACTGCCACGGCCTAGTAACAGTAGCGAAACCCAAGGTCCAATCAATCAATCAACCAATCAATCAATAAAGAGAGATAAATAAATAAAATGAAAAATTAGACAAGAGGGCTAATAACTAGGATGATAGATAAACCGGAGGGGAAAAATGTCGGCGGGTGGATGGTGATTGGGGAAAGGCGGTTAAGGGGTAGGTGTAGATCATCGATAGGTATCAGCGCAGGAACATGGGAGGTGTGTGTGAACTGACGCCGGGAAAGCGAGAATAATAATAAAAGCAAAAAGAAAAAGGGAAAAGGGGCAGGAAACCAAAAACACACACACACAAAACGACAACGCCCGAAACTCCAAAATGAGCAGGAACCCCCCCCCCCCCCCCCTTTAAAAAAATCCATCCATATCGCCCTCTGGCTCAGCAGCCATTTTCCTCCCCCTCCTCCTCCTCCGTCATCGTCATCCCTCTCATTCTACACAATCCCCAACGAGGAAACAGTCAACAGTAGCAAGAAGCTCATCACTTCCTCAACACGGCATCATAAACAGCCGTCAGGCCCGTGATGGCGGACCCGACGAGCACGCCCTTCCAGCCGCTGTAGAGGGCGGTGTTGACGCGGGCGACGGCTTGCGGATCGAGCCAGCCGCCGAACGTGACGCCCTGGGCGTAGACGACGTACGTGGCGAGGGCCTTGGCGATGCTGAACGTGAGCGGGTCGACGACGTACTCTGCGCCGGCGGCCGCGCGGGCAGCAGCCGACGATGGGCGGCCGCGCGTGTTGTATACACTCGAACCAGTAGTGCTGCTGCTGTTGGCTGCCGCGCTGAGGTTGAACAGATAGCCCAGCAGGCTGGGGACGAGCCAGCTGGTGAGGGCCCAGGTGAGGGCGGGGCCCCAGAAGGAGGCCGTCAGCAGGGCGAACATGTCGGGCAGGGACACGGGGACGTCGGGGGTGCCGAGGAACTTGATGGCAGGCACGGTGAAGGCGTAGCGGTCGGGCAGGACCTCGGGGCGCAGGAAGTACAGCTCGAAGGCGGCGACGGCCAGCACGACGGCGCGCACAGTCGACAGCGACTCGCGCGTGGCCGCCGTCGCCTCGCCGATCCCCGACCCCGCGTACAGCGACGCCACGCGCTCGCGCACCACCACCGTGCCCCGGTCCACCGCGCTCGCCACGTCCGCCGGCGTCGCCGGCAGCGGGATCCGGCTAGCGAGGGCTAGCGCCCGCCCCGGCGTGCGCGCCAGCGCCGTCGACGTCGACGACGCCGCCCGCGACGTGGCTGCTCCTGTGGTGGCGGCGGCGGCGCCTGTCGTTGTCGACTGCGAGTCTTCGTCGTCGCTGGGGGTTCTGTTAGACATGTTTTTTTTGGGAGTGTCTATATCTGTCTGGGATAATCCACAGAGCGGCGCGTGGGGGTGGGTGTATGTGTGTGAGTGGATGTGTTGTTGTTGTTTACTTTCCGGTCCCGCATCCCCTCCCCCTCCCTTTCGGGGGCAGGCAAGCAGGGCAAATCAAACACACAGACGAAAACAGTGCCAAAATGACGCGCAGTAAGACATAAAGAGGAAGAAAGAAAAAAAAAACCCACTCAACGGCTACAATCTCGTCGGCGGCTTTGGTGGCCCGCCGCTTGGACACCTTGAGCTCGGGGGCCTCACGCTTGACGGGCGACCCGGCGGTGCGCGCGCGAAGGTTGAAGTAGGGTCCGAGGCGCGGGTTCGACTGGAACTGCGTCGCGTTTTCCGAGAGGTACTCGTCGAGCTGTAGCTCGAGGTCGTTCTTCTTGAGGGACTCGTAGCTGTGCGCGCGTGTTAGTATTTTCGTTATTATGCGACGCGCGCGCGATCCTCTCCTCTCGTCTGAGTCTCTTGACGCTCAAAGACAATGTCCACTGTGCTTGCATGCATGTATGCATGTCGGCAGCAGGTGTACAAAGGAAAGTTCATTCCTGGTACACACACAGGGCGAGGCATCATGATAATAAATAATAATACGGGACGAAAACCCCCATCGATGGATAGACGGGAAGACATCGCGACGCGACCAACTCAACTCCAACACCAAAGAAAACACGACCGTACGAGAGCGCAAAAACAATGCCACGGTTTCGTTTCGTTTTCACATTCATAATCAGAAGAGAGGGAAAAAAAGAGAGAGAAAACGTACTCTTGCAGCCCGATAGTCTGCGCCAGCTCGACCAGGTCCGACTTGCGCTGCTTGGACAGCCAGCTGTTTGCGCCCGACATCTTTGCGTTTTTATGCGTTTGACGAGGAAATATAGGTATCTCGATTATCGAAGTGCTCCTAGGGTAATAATCAAATATCTGCTCGATTCCCTTTTTTTTTTTTTTCTTTTTTTTTTCGCTGTCGTCGTCGGTGGCGGTATCCGAGTCGCGGCGGGCGGGGGTGAACCTTAAATGCGTTTTGCGCTTTTGCGATGCGATATGCGATGCGATGCGAGGCGATGCGATGCGATGCGATGCCCGGAGTGCTGCACGAGAATAATTATCGCGTGCCTTGGGAGTGCGATGCGATGCCGTCGTCGCCGTCGTCGTCGACGAGTGCAAGTGATTCTATTCGTAGATTGTGTGCACGTAGATAGGTAGAGCAAAATAGTGTAAGCCTGCTGTGTTGTTGGAGCTTGCGAGAGCTTGGGCAAGCGTGCGTGGTGGTGGAGTGTCAGTGTGGTGGGGAGGCTGGTAAGGCAGGTGAGGTGGTGTTGGCGGCGTGCGGAAGGCGGGTAGCGTCAACAACAGCGGCGGTGGGCGGGAGCTTCCTGTTGGGGGAGGGGGCTCTCTGCGTTGTTTACCTCCACTGCCTGAGGTCTGCTTGCTCGGGCGCTAACCGGCCGACTGATGACTGACGCCAGGGGAGCACCACCAGACTCTGGGGCACGCCCCGTTCTAGCCTGGGGCTGGATGGGTGGGGGAGGATGGGGGAGCTCAAAAATCGAGTGGCTGGGGATCAGAGAATAGTGGGCCCTCGCTGTCTCTGGCAGAAGATGAGCTTGCTCCCGACACGGCCAATCACCACCCGAGAAGATGAGAGTTGCGAGATTGAGAGGTTCAACCTGTTGATGCCATCACCGGAATACCGTACCGTAGGCACTTGTCGAATTCCCAACCGACTAGTAGGGGTCTTAGCAAATGAATGAGTGGGTGATAGATATTCACCATATAAATCTGTGGGTATCCTCTTCCATATACGGAATACGGATAGTTGGTTGCGGGTTTTACAAGTGCCTGCCTACGGGATCAACTGACGCGTTGCCATCGTGTCAGTATTCCCTCTGTGAAACAAGAAAAACTGTACATTTAATTCGAGGAATTCAAGTATAAAATAAAGCATCTGCACGGAGGTATATACAAGTGTGATCGAGTCTATCTAATATCCAATATCCAATGTCTAATATCCACCATCACAGTGGTCTCGCCGTCTTGTCTTCACAGTAGCGCGGGGTCGCTCACAAAGCGCTCGCGCCCGCGCTTGACGACACGCACCGGGACGAACTTGCCGTCGTGCAGCTTGAGTGTCAGTATGGAGGTGGCCTGCCGGAGGGTGTCCCTGCTCCTGTACTGCGCCTTGGCGTAGACGCGGCGCCGCTCTTCGGCGCCCATGGTGCCGACCTCGTCGTCCGTAGCCAACTCGTCGACGGCGAGCTCTATGCTGTGCCTCTGGAAGATGGTGGCCACGGCGGCCACCATCTCGACCATGGCGATGCGCCGTCCCAGGCACGACCGCGGCCCGTCGCTGAACGGCACGAAGCTGCCCCGCACCGGCCGGTACAGCGACGCGCTCGTGTCCGACCCCTGGAACCCGCCGTAGTCCTCTTGCGCTTCGTTCGCCGCCGTGGAAGGCCCGCTGCTGCTGTTGTTGCTGCTGCTGCTGCTGCTGCTGCTGCTGCTGTTGCTGGGCGTCAGACTCGGTCGGAACCAGCGCTCGGGCAGGTAGTCGTCGAGGTCCGTCGCTGCGCCCGACCGCTCGCTCGGCCTGGTCGGCCACCACCGCGGGTTGCGGTGCACCGACACGGCCAGGAGGCTGATGGTCATGTCCACCGGCAGCACGTGGGGCTTGCCGTCGATGGTGATGGTCTGGTCGCCGTCGGCCGACACGATCTTGGGGATGCCCGTCACGGGCGGCATCAGCCGTAGCGTCTCATTGACGCACGCGCCGATGTGGCTGGCGAGCACGGCGCTGATCTTGTCCTCGTAGTTCCACGCCGCCGGGTCGCTATCCCCGAACAGCGCGTCAATGTCCTGCTGCAGCCGCCGCTGCGCCCCCGGGTTAGTGGCCAGTTCGATGAGGAGGAAGTGCAGGATGTTGGCCGTCGTCTCGTGGCCCGCGAGGGTCATGATGAAGGCGTTGCCGACAATGTCGCTGTCCTCGAGCTGCTTGGCCCCGTCCGACTTTTTTAGCTGCGACTGCTCGTACTTGGACCGCACCAGCTGGCCCATGATGTCCATGCCCACCTGCGCGTTGTCGCCCCGGCGCACCTCGTCCAGCTTCTCGCGTAGGAAGTCGTCCATGTACTTTGAGTAGTTCTCCTTGGCCGACCACGCCTGCCTGGCCCACTCAAAGGGCAGCAGCTTCAACACGGGCACGGGAAAGACCAGCAGGGCAATTATCCTGTGGAGCACCGTTGCCAGCGACGTGGCAAAGTTCATCGTGTAGCCGGGGGGGGGCTCCAGGCTCCCGTACTTGGCCAGCTTGGGGTCGATGTCGCCGGGGAGTTCCTGGCCGGGCCAGAGCAGCTGCAGGCCAAAACCGACGTAGGCGATGGTGTTGAGAGCCCAGGTCATGGCGTCGTGCTCGAGCGAGGTGATGGTTCCAGTGGTGCCGGCGCGCTCCTGGGCGGGCGAGCCGAAGTAGGTGCCGATCAGGCCCTGGGTCTGGGCGATGGCCTGGGCAAAGGTCTTGGCGGCGTTCTTCTCGTTGAAGCTGGCGCTAGTGACCTTGCGGTGCATGCGCCAGAGGGCGCCCTCGGTGGTGAGCACGTTGCGGCCAAACATGGCGAGCACGTCATACTTGGCCGTGTCCTTGGGGAAGGCCTCGCGGCGGTGCATGACCTGCTCAACGACTTCGGCGCTCTCGCTGAACAGCGTAATCTCCTCGGCGCTGACAACAAGAAACGACTCGGTCCCCAGCCTGTCAAAGTTCTCCTGGCGCGTGTTCCACGCCCAGTCGGGGGCCATGACGCTGCGACGGCCGGTTAGCCTTGATGCCATGTGGGAGTATGTATGGGGGACGCGCACAATAGTTGCCGCTCCCACCATGGCTTTGGGAGGAGCCGCCTGATCAGGGGCAGCCAGAACCAGGACGTGAGCTGCCAGGACAGGTTGAAAGGGTGCACCGCTGAGGGCATGGTAAGCAAGCGTCTGGGTGCGGGAGTGACATGTGAGGCTGAGACCCGACTCACGGAAGACAATGTATGGAATACCCGTCTGGCGAGCCTTGAGGATATTGCGGCGCAGAGCCGTGGTGAAGGCGTAGGCGCCCCATAGCACGAGGGAGCCGAGGGCGAAGAGGACTGTCGAGACCATGGTTTCGGCCTTGCCCTGGGTTTGTGCGAGTGTGATCAGACAATTTAAAGATGAAGATGGATAGGCAGCCGTCCCTGCGCTGCACTCATAAGGTGAGTGAGATAGCTATCTCCAAAGCTATCCGCAACGCCAAGATATTTGACTAGACTTGGATTAAGGCGTAAATCTAGTTCTGGCCAGGGATCAAAGGCTCATCTCATCCAGCTTCTCAAGACGTCGGGTGTCGTCTGTTGTGGGGGATGAGTTAGGGCTGAGGCGTCCACTAAACTAGTAACTGGTGGTAGGTCCGTAGGCTTATTCTAGCTATGCTCCAAGGTAGGTGGCGTTTTGTAGATACTTGGTCTGGACAGACACTGGCCGCAGTCGAGGGGCCCTGAAACGGCCGCGACACCGACTATCGACGGACCGTGCGCTCGGGACGGTCAGACAAACACTGTCTGGGCACTGCCTGGGTGCTGCCTGGGTGCTGCCTGGGTTTGGTACCCGATAAGCCTATGTGCTCTTCAAAAGAAGGCAAACACGGAGAGACTGCACACTGCGGATGTGTGCGTTTTTTGGCATGCGCTCTTTGTTTGTGAGGAAGCCTTGTGGCGGGGTGGTTGGTTTCGTGCCTTATCGCCTGCATCTGTTTGTTCTGCTGTCCTGCTGTTCCCCACGTCGCCGTACCTCCTTTCTCATACCCGCCCGGCAGGACGCCGTCCCACTGTAGTTCTAGCTAGCTGTACTTATTCTGAGAGCCCTTCTCTGAACCAAGGCCTAGCCCAAATAGAGACTAACACTATTTACGCCCGAGAGCGGAATTCCAGCGGCACCCGGAGTAGTAGTAAGAAAGAAGAGACGAGGAATTATTCCAGGCTTTCACACGTGAGATTCAAATTCACGTTGGGGCCCGTTGTGGTGGCGCTGTCGTCTACGGGGGTGACAACCGACAACGTCCCCTAGCGCTAAGCGGGCGGATTCTGCAGGGGTCATCGAGACGACGAGACAGGGGAGGTGCAGGCCAAGAACCGTTCTTGTCCAGATCGATCTGGTTGTCGTCGGCGGCTCTTTCCCGTTTCCACAGCCAACGCCAAGACGGAATACCTTGCCACATTGTCCTTCACATTGTCCTTCTTCACATTGTCCTTCTTCACATTGTCCTTCTTCACATTGTCCTTCTTCACATTGTCCTTCTTCACATTGTCCTTCTTCACATTGTCCTTCTTCACATTGTCCTTCTTCCTCTTCCTTTGCCTGCCTGGCCCGTATAGACTTGAGAGACCCCGGCTAAACCATATATCTGCCGAGACACGTCGAGTGGATAACCGTTCCCCTTCTTTGCTGTCCCCCGACCCGTTGACCCCATACAGGTGCGGATACTTTCCACCTTTCAGTCTCCACTTCCCCATACCTACACATGTATGTGCCTACTGTACCGTACTTGGCCCGCCCTAGTCTCGCTCGGCTGCTCAAGTCAAGTTTGGCATGCGACCCAGTTGCCATTCCATCCATGTTGGCCTTCTGGAGAGAGACTCCCGTCCTCAGGGGGTTTATTGCGTGTTTGACGGCGGCATGCCTATAGAGTTCGAATGTTTCCGTAGGTATGCGGCTAGATGTATGTACGATAAGCTGGGAGCACAGCTGCCCTGCCTTGCCCTGCCCTCTGAGGCCTCTCCTATCTTTACTTTCTTTCTACATGGACATACTAGTTCACATCTTATTTCGTCTACTCAGGGAAGGACTTCACTGTTAGATCTATCGCCAAAGTGATTTAAACGGCTTAATAGATGGACATGCAGATACACAACATAATAGTAGAAAAACCTAGGTACCCAAAGACTTCTGAGGCTATGCTGTGTGCCCCGCCTATGAAGTTTGGGATCGAATGACGCACTTACACTAGCGAGCGCTCTTTTCGATAGCGAGAACTAACCCTGGCGGTGAATAGCGGCAAAATATGATTACAAGTCAACATCCGACGGAGACACTACTATAGTACTATAGCTAAGGTACGAAGTAGTTGATAACCTTTGGCTGCCTGCTAGCTCTTGGCCAATGTCTCCGGATGAGATCCACCCGAGTCTAAAGGCAAGAGGAGCTGGCTGTGAGGGCCTGGTCCTCCAGGCCTCCCAGACGCTCTGACTAATCAGACGCCAGTTGGGTGGATCCACCCGACCAGCCAGAGCCCCCACCTTGAGACGCCCTGGAAGAATCTCGCGAGGGGAGGCTTTTGAGCTTCTTTTCCCTTTTCCCTTTAGTTTAGAATCTTCGTCTATAGCGCCCAATAGAGGAGTTCCGCCCTCATTCCAAGCCGGCCGTGACACTGGCATCCGAACAAGACAAGACACAGCCGTATTCTGGACCCCTGGCTTGGGACAAAGGGGCACTTGTCCTAATACAGAGTACGTAGATACAATACAGTGCTGCTCGAGTGTACAGAGAGTATGCGGCCTCAAGTCAAGAGTTCCAAAACGGCAAACGCAATGTATGCACGGTATGCATCACGTAGGTAAAAAGTGCAAAAAATAAATAAAAAAATGGGGACGGAGATTTCGCTTCGTAAGTTCGGTCATCATAAAGTCGTTCCTAAAATCCCCTTCTTCCCCCCTCCCCCCTCTTCCCTCTCCCTCCACCATCTCTCCTCACCTCCCGTAGCCATAGAAATATAGTCAAGAAGGGCGCCATACCCGCCGGGGGTCCCTTTTTCTGTCTGTATGTGTGTCCTCCCAAATCTGCCCCCAACCCAGCCCGACTTTTCTCTTCTCCTCTTCTCGCCTTTTCTGTCCCATCTTGCCTCGAGACAATACTCCCGCAAATACACCAATCACAAAACATGGCCCGGATATCTCTCTTCTTCCCAAGCTCGCTTCCGTAAAAGGCTAAGTAGGTAAGATAAAGGGAGGCAGGCAGGCAATACGCATTGGGCATAGTTCCCCACCGCGCACTGTTGACATCATATCCAAACAGGATTTGTCTCTATAAAGTGGCGTGGCAACTGGGTAAAATAATGAAAATGACCGGAACAGAGCATCGTGGCCTACCCCGCCAATGGAGCCCACACTGCCAACTGTCCCTCGGGAATCCGGCTGGCCCATCCTTCCCGCATTTCATCCATTAAAATGCTGATAGGAATAGTATAAACGGAAATAGGCCATCCAGCAGCCCGTGAAGTGGCCGTAAACGCAATTAGTCAGTCACTAGGTGGCGGCGAGGCCACGACGAATCACTTCAAAAGTGCCGCACACCCCCGGCCAAATCCGAGAGACGGCTCTTCTCCTAAAAGGTGTCCGTCTCGTGGGAGGCAATAGTGCCAAATGTATCTGTTGCGCACAAATGGTCAGCGTCGTCTACAGCACACCTGGGTATTCTCTTCGCGCACCTCTCTTCCTCTTCCCCTCTCCGTCCTCGCTCATAGGGCTGACGCTCATGGGCCGAGGTCCACTGGGCCGCCGCGAGACGCCCAACGCGCCGCTGAGGTTGCGGTTCTCGAGACGGGGGCTCCCGCCGTCACGGCTCTGGCTAATGTAGCTGGCGGTTGGAACGCCGTGCGTCATGGTTCCGTAGCCGCTTTCAACGCTGTGGTGCGGCAGTGGGCTCTGCTTCTGCAATTTGCTGAGCCGCTTATTCTGCGGCGGTGTACCTCCCCCCGGGCTCGAGGTGAGAATGATTGGTTCCTTTGGCGGGCGCGGCGGCCCGGCAGTGGCGGTCATGTTGGCTGCCCCAGGCGAGGACGTCCAATGCTGCTGGTACTGCTCTCCGCCCGAGCCATAGCTATCCCTATTCGGATTGCGAGGGAACCGGTTCAAGCTGGTAACCGAGCCAGCCCAGTCCGCCGACCTAGGGCTCAAGGATGAGTCGTAACCCAGGGCCTGCGACTCGAGTGCCGCTTTGAAGCGCTCCGTTTGCCCTTGACGCGGCTGAGGGTGCTGCAAATTGAGCGAGTCGCGGTGTGCCTTGTATTTAGGGTCCTCAGGCGTCATGCTGACGAAGTTTAGACCCAAGGGAGGGGGGTGTTGGAGGTTTGTATCCGATCCGCCCTCGTAGAGGTCTCCACCAAGGTTGGGCTCCGAGAAGCCTGTGTGGAGCTGGTCGCTCTGAACCTGGTGGGGATTTGAGAATTGGAAGGTATCCGAGTAGCTACCAATAGATCCCGACCGGGATGGAGCGCTGTGAAACTGGCGATCATCGGCCCCTTGGAAGTTGCCGTCGTCGTCGTTCTTGCGCGAGTTTCCACTTCGCCGTAAGACTTGGGCGACGCTGGACGTCGTCGTCTCAGACCAGCGCGAAATTTTCGTGATAGGAAACCAACTGGATCTACCGCTCTTGTGCTTCTTCCCCTCTTCTGTCCGAGGAGTATTCTCGTTGCTCAGCGATGTCTGGACCGGAGCCGACGCTTCCGGTGGGGTGGCCAAGGGGACCGAGCTGCCACGTTGATCTTGCGCAGGTGTCATGAGCATGTCTGGCTTGCTGCTGTAATGGGGACTCCCACGAGCTTCATGGACGTTGCCGTGGTCATAGTCTTCTTCGTTGGCCTCGGGCACGGTACTTATCCTGTATGCCGACACCTTTCGATCGTACCCGGCCTTGCCAGACGTGCCTCGGGACTGGATCGAGAGGTGACCCGACTGGGAGGCGTGACTTGCTGTAGAGGTGCCAGCGTTTCCCTCCGGCTCGTAGCCGTGGTCCTGCTCGTATTGGACCTCTGGTTGTATGTGGTCATATGACTGCTCCTCTCTGTTGCTTCCATGGACCGGTTCGGGGGCAGTCTGGGCCTTGAGCACGTCCACTTCTGTCAGTAGCTGCATCAACATATCTTCGATCCTGCCCAGATCGTTGGTCCCTTTAGCACTCAGGCCTTTGAGGGCACGGCGGAAGATGTTCCTCTTCTTTGCGTTAATGTCGTCGCCATTGACTGTGCCTGCTAGCGAGCCGCCGCCTTGTAGCGACCGAGCACCGCTGCCGGGGTAAGGCCGTGGGCCGTTGATGGCCCGCTGAACTGTCTTTTCTGTATTCTCCTTGACTTCGGTGATGATGACATCCTCGGTATCCGCCAGCATCCTCTTGATGTCTTCAAAGTTGGTGCGCATATCAGTTGCGCTTCGAACCAGGGTGACCAAGATCTCCGTGTCTCGCGCACTTCGTTGGGCATCTCTGACCATCAGGTGTTGCATCAGCGCGACGATATCTTTGGACTCGATTCTGTCGATACCCATGCCGGTGGAGGCGTCGTAGAGCGGAGACCCCATCCCCTGCGACATGCCGCTGAGGTGTCGCATGTGCTTTGTCGTGTAGAACGGATCATCGATCATTCCAGCGCCGCCTGTGGTTTGAAGGGTCATGTCGAAGCCCTTGCCCTTGATGTTCTGGATGTCTGGTGTCTTGTTCGGGCCCTGCGAGATGTATCCTTCGTCAACCTTGTGGCCAAGTGGGCTGCGCGCCGCATAAGCATGGCTATAGTCCTGGTTGTCAAACTCAGACTGTCCCAGAAAATCGTCATTGATGCCGGCGAGGTGAGCGATGGGGCTCGCTCCTTCATAGGGATTCGTTATTAAAGTGTCGCGCTTTTTGTCGTCTGAAGTCCGATACCATTCATCCTCTTGCTCCTGACTTGGCTGGCGGCTGTGGTGTTGAGATGCGGACAGAGCAGCAGCAGTTCCTGCCGCCACCGCTGCCGCGGTACCCGCAGCTCCAGCAATGCCTAGACCGTGGCCGCTGCCTCTCTCATGAGCCGCTTCGTTGTCTAGTTGCTCATATTCAATGTCATCTTGAGCGTCCAGAGCCCGTTGCCTAGGTGTCGTGTCGCCAGGCCAATGCTGGTCGCCATGCTCGCCCGATTCTCCATTGAATTCCGAAGGATTAGTTACCAGGTCATCGTACTGCCAATTTTCGGTCTCCGGTAGAGGATTGCTGGGGTCGGGAATGCCACTGTATCCCATTTTAGGCTGCTCGTGCTGTTCGTGCTGTTCGTGCTGCTGATGCTGCTGATGCTGCTGATGCTGCTCGTGCTCATCAACGAGCCTGTCCGCGCTGAATTTTAGCTCGGTTCCGGGGTGCTGGCCATGCATGGCCCGCTCCTTGAATGACCGATTTCGCTGAACGCCGGCAGGCTGATACCCAGGTGCGCCGTCTTGGCCATCTTGTTTGCCTTTCTCATGCTGCGCGCGGAGAACGGCAGCAGCAGCGCCAACAGCCGCAAACGCGATTGCCTTCTCCGACTCGCTGGGTGAATGTCGATACTTCGTTGCTTGAGGGATCTTGCGGCCATAATCGTCAACCTCATACTCTGCAAAGTCGCGCGATCGTTGGCTCTGTTGGCTGGCTGACACGGGTGTTTCTGGTCGTTCATCTGCGTATTCTCGATGGCTTCCCACAGATCGTTTGGTTGGGGTACCGAGATCCCGAGTAGGCTCTTCCTCAAGCGTAGCCATCGATTCGCGGCCGATGTAGTTCTGGTTACCCACTGCGCTCGAGTCACCCGTCAAGGCGGATTCGTCAAGCATCGAGCCGTCAACTAGCGAGGCGACGTTCGACTCAATGCCGAGCGGATGGACGAAATCTGGATTCGCCCCCACAGCGCGAACAGCCTGACCAGAACCAACGCGTTCAATCTCGCTGCCCAACGCGCTCATATCGTTCCCCTGGTCCAGTGCGGAGCTTCTCATGCTCCGGTCATCATCTCCAAATTCTCGGCCCATGAGATTGCTTGGGACTGAGCTCGGAGATTGCATGCCTCGATCAAGGAGAGGTGACTTCTCGGGTGATGAGACAGAATCGGCCGTGTGTTGTGTGACCCTGGAATCTCGGTTTGGAGCCTCACTTCCGCCCTCGGTGTAGCCAGAAACGCTCGGGATAGGGCTGAGGCCACGTCTCTCGGGTTGATACGGAGTATACTTCAGAGGAGGCGGAACATCTTGAGTGATGTAGTAATCATATGCGCTCGGCTGTGCGTATGATGGGCCGGAATCGTCATATTCTTCCTCCTCGTATTCCTCTTGTTGAGCGGGGCCGGCCTCGCCATATTCGTTGGTTTCATAGGCCCCGAATTCGCCAGTCCGTCGGCGAGGTAGAGTCTTGAGATCGCCGTGTGAGATGTTGGCGTGTTGGGCTCCCAAGGCCTGCAGGGTTGAAGACCTGGTTGGTGTCGGGCTGGACTCGGCAGATAGCTGGCCTCTCGATAGGTCTTGAACGGGAGTGAGCTCCTCGCTAGCTGAATGTGGCCTATCAACATCGGTGTCGGCCGACAGAATGGACGCCCTTGTCACCTCGGAAGGGTTGACATCGCCCATGAACGGCATCGGGGGACCCGGGGATAGGAGGTCCGAGCCCTCGTCTTCGGGGCCCAGATCAGAACCTTGGCCTCGTAACTTTGCTCTTCGACGCCTCCTGTGCTTATCGTCCGAAGGTGATTTGAGAGCCTCGTGGGCAGCAATGGCTGCCGCACCCAAGCCGGCGCCAACAGCTGCAGCTTTCAGGCGATCCGTGCTGCGCATGGGAGTATCGTCAATGTGACGAATATCTTCGACTGAGTCGTGGCTGAGGGCACTTTGAGACGGACTGTCGTCGAAATCATTGCGGGCCTCTCTATCGCGCCTGTCTTTGCTTTTCAAGCTGTCTCGAGGGGTTGCGATATTCTTATCAGTCCCGGACGATCGACGCCTGTCGCTTGCATAATCTTCGCGAGAAGCTGTTGTTGCGCTCGAAGTTGTGGATCCCCTGCGATCCTTGTGTCTGCTCTGCTCTCTCTTCAAAGCATTCAACTCAGGCAAGATGAGACGCCGGATAGCATCTTCAACAGTTTCGAGCAACTTTGGGTTGTTAATGGATGAGGCTTTAGAAGTTCCTGATCGGATCGAATGTTGATCCATTGACCGATGACTCGGCGACAGGCCAGAGGACACAACGCTAGAGTCTGCCCCTGAAACAAGCGAGTCGGTCTGTCCCTTGCTCGACCTTCTACGGGGAGACTTTGGAACCTCAGCATACATGTCGTCCTTGGAAAGGCTACTTGTTCGGCTTTTGGATGATTTGTACTTGCGGTCCTTCTCCTTGTCTCGCGTCTTTGAAACAGGGACCCTGTCTCGGTCTCCGCTCTTGCTGTGGAGCTTGTCGGCGGCGGCGGCGGCAGCTAATCCAACGGCAGCGCCGGTGATGTAGTCTCCTGTGCGCGAGGGGCTCCTGCTCCTGCTACGCTTTCCCTCCGACATCTTGAACGAAGTGGTGGGGCCAGATCCGTCAAGGAAGCTGTCAGTTGGGATGCCAGAGATGTCGCTCATAGTTGGCGGCAAGTAGCTCGACTTGCTGCCGTCGGCGGGCGGAATTAGCGGGCTCGCTGGGCGGCGGCGGCGGACGTTTCCGCCTCGGTCAATCTCGATATCAATTGGGTTCCGGCTGACGTTGCTTTCCTCAGTGGCCGAAGCATACGAGCTGGCGTCCTCAAAGTCGCCGCTGAGCGCCGACAGGGCTTCGGCGTCGGCGCGCGAAGCCTTGGCAGAACTGGCCGGGGCGGTTGTGCGGCGAGTAAGGCTGGCCTTTCTCGACTTTGTCTGTGTGATCTCGATGCGATCCCGGTCCGAGCCGCTCTTGGTACGGTGCTTGCTGCTCGGTGTCAGGCGCACGCGAACGCTAGGCTTGCGCTGCTCGCTGGACCCGGATTCGCTCGTCCCCTTGCCGCCCTCGAAGTACTCTATGAGGAGAGAGGTCTGCGACTTGCTCGCCCGGTGGCCCGTCTTAATGGTGACGGGAGTGCCGTCCGATGGGAGCGAGTAGGATGATTTGTCGTCGCCAGGACGGGACACATCGGTTCCCAGATCGGTGGGGGTGGCCGTCAGAATCGTCGACTCGGTCTCGGTGGGCGCAGGGAGCGGCGGCGCGGTGGATCTCTTCTTGCCCTCAACACCCATCGTGGTGTTGAGAATCCAAGTGCTGTGGTGTTGTTTAGGTACCAGCAACCCTTTCCGGTTTGTTGCCCAATTACTCCCACCCTAACAGTCGCTTCGCAACGGGTACGGGAGGAAGCGGGGAGGGGGGAGAGGAAAAAAGAAAAAAGAAAGTGCGCTCGACTGGTAGCTGTCGCTTGTATCTTTTTTTCCCGTCAGGGAGACATCAGGTGCGGGCAAATCTGCAGAATAGTAAAGCAAGTGTGAGCGTCAAGTCGTCCCATAGGCAGGGCAACCGAGCCATGCGGCGGAGGTGCAGCGGAAAAAGCAGGCAACCAAAAGCAGGCAAGAAAAGAGGGAAGGATGCAGCACCACTGAGGCTGCAGGCCAAAGGAGGCGAGTGTGATGGAAACAGAACTACATACGTTTTTTTTTGGAGCCGACGCACAAAAACAATGAACGGGCGGCCGTCCCGTAAAAACGCAGAGCCTGGAAGCGGCGCAAGCAATCGAATCGCAGCTTGCGCGAACGAGTAAGCAGCAACGCAACAACAGTAGATGCTGCTCCTGCTGCGGTGAGCTGCGTGTGCGCTTAGGATTCCGTCGGGGTCGAGGCTGCAGCTCGCTCACGGCAGCATAGCAAACGACAGCGACTTGCGGCTGCTGCTGTAGGTTAGCCCGCTACGATCGAGACGACAGACAGGTGCGCCGAGGTCGATGCGCGCAAAGGGGCGATGGGTGGATAAGATGGAACAGTTGAGAGGTGCCGGAGCGAGAGCTCGTGCAGGAGCAGCGATGTGCGACGACGGAGCCCGCAGCGCAGCAGCAGCAGCAAGCAAGGCAGACAGACGACGGGACGCTGTTCGCTCGCTTCTCTGGCGGCCGGGAGTAGGCCTGCCTATGGGAGGCTTTGTTATTGTCCAGAAGGGGCTGGGATTGCTTGATGTGCTGGCGGTGCTTGGTCGGCGCTGGCCAATTGCGCTGAGGAGCTGGGGTCGATGCTGCAGCGAGATGCAGATGGAACGGCGGGAGCAGCGTTACCTCAGAACGAGGCTCAGAACGCTACCTACAATGTGCCCGCCCAGGTGCCAAACGCCGAGCTGCAGTTGGCAGATCCGACTGGGAGGTCGCCTACGGACAACCAGGAGAGACCTGTAAAAAGATTCTCTGGGGTAAAGGTAGCTGCGCGATGCAAGGCACGGATACCTTCCTACCTGAGCTGGGAACCTGGCGATGGACGAAAGAAGCGCTTTGATGAGACAACGTTGCGGGTTCGAGGTGGGACCTTTCCTTTTTTGGCGGTTTGTTGACATTGAACAGTTGCCAAGAAAAGAAAAAAAAGCTGGTAAGCCCAGAAGCTCCGGCCGCTGCTGCCCGCAGTACTCGACCCCTCTCCACAGCGCGGGACTCCAGTTTCCTGGCTGGGCGACGGCTGGTGGACGGACCCGACGGCGATCGCTCAGCCCAGGAAAGACGGGAAACGGGCCCACTGCGACGTTCTGCAGTGCCCACTATCACCCAATAGTTTGCGCCTAAAAAGGCCTTAATCCCATCCGTTTCGAACTGTCCCAGGGGCCCGTTTAGTTCTTGCCCAAAGTTCAAACTGACAAAACAGATTCCAGTCCTGTTGGTCTGCCGCAGCATGCATGCAATCAATTCAACAATCGGGCAATGGGAGAGACCAAACAGCCTGGACTCGAATTTTCATGGAGCAAAGGCAGCTCTCATGAAACTTGTCACCCTCTCCCGTCATTGATGACTTACAGGTTACTTGCCATGAATATGCAGCCCATACTACGCATGTGTTTCACAGTACAGATAGATACAATAGGCACTGATGGAACCTCATGTTTGGGTTGTTTGTATTCTATTCGTACATATACCCATCCTATCCCAGGTCGGATACCGTCCCGACCTTTTTCTGTTTGCAGCGCCTACGAACCTGGGAAGTACGACATAATATCCGCACCGGGGATGTGCCATACACACACATCCACCTTCTCGAGAGACCATTCTCAGACGCACATCCGGGCCAGAAATCAACACTCAGTACCGAGTAAAACATCTAGGCCCCGTCCTACCCGCAGTTTCTCCCGCTCTGAAACTAGGTGTCTCACGGGAGACTTCCGTGTCGAGTATGGCCGGGCTTGAGACGTCCAACAAACCCCGAACCTAAGAACCTAAGTGAATTCGCACATTACGTATGTACACAACGTACGTTCCACAGTAGTACTTACTCCCTTCTCTCACAAGCGCAACAGAGACACATATTTCCCATTCCAGCAACTTCCTCGACTCAGTCCCCACCACACTCCCAGACACCCGAACCTTCACGGAAGCGCTTGTCTCGGATTGGGCATCTCTCGCTGCGGGGAGGGGGAGGGGGAGGAGGAGGAGGAGGAGAAGGAGGAGGAGGAGTTGTGCCCAAAGGGAGTAGGGTGGAATGGCGGCGAGGGCGGTGAGACCCCAAAGTGACTGGCCACTCCTCCACTGCCGCTCCCAAACTCGTCTCTTTTCGCCACCCGCAATTCGATAGCCTCCCTCCCCTCCTGGAAGCCTGCAGTTGCACCTGTCTGGCAAAGTCCAATGACTTGTTCCGAGAGGTGCACGAGTTTCCAACCCGTGCCGCTGCTATGTGGTCTTAGTTCCTCGAACAGAAAGTGCAGGAGAGTCCCGATAACAGGCAATTATTTGTGCTCTCTTTAATAAATCCCGTCCGCCTCTCGTAGACTCCAGGTTATTTACCCACAGGGCCACAACACAAATAGGGTCATTGCAATGCCAACTTAGGTTCCATGTTAATATCCAGGTCTAATGCTAGAAACAAAATGAAAATGAAAATACTGGAAATATTGGAGATAATATCCTAGCCATAACTGAAACTGCCCAAAAAGGATGCTGGTTCTAGTACATGCAGAATGCTCTCGCAGCCAGAAGAATGAAACCACGCTCCGGAGATCTGCTGAAAAAAATCAAGGCCTGATTTCGTTTACCAATGCCAATGCATAGAAACTTATCAGCAACGCAGTACTCAATCCTCGTCCTCCTCCGCTATAGAATGTTTTGACTTTTTCGGCTTCCAAAGAAGCTCAACTTCGGCCGAGTCAAGAATGTCTTTGATCACCGGGTTCTCCATGTAATGCTTGCCAATGCCGCCCCCTAGCACAGCCTTGAGAGTCTCGACCCTCGCGTGAAGCGACCAGGTGTTGATGACGACAATCTGGTCGTTGACGCGCAACTTCTCGCGGTACCCAAACTCTTGGAACTCGGCCTGGCCACTCGTCTTGTTCCCGCCTGTGTGCGGGTTGACGGCCCCGCGACCCGCTGTCGAGTAGCCCGGCCCCTTGCCCCGCTCCAGCGAGGTGACGATGCTCGAGAACTTTGACCGCAGCTGCTTTCGCCCCTTCTTCGAGATCGTCTTTGACGAGTCCTTGACAATCTCTGCCATTCGCGTCATGATCCTGTGCTGGTTATACTGAAGGTTGAAGCTCTCGCCCGTCTCCTGTTCGTATTCGCGCGCCGCCTCGAAAAGGAGGGCAATATTGCACCCGGCACCCGTCTGGACATCCGGGTCGGTGCTGTCCAGCTGCTCCATAAACGCCTCTATGGCTTGGTCGCTATGTGCCTCCAAGTCTTCCACATGTGAGGCCACGAATGCCCAGGCTTGAAGGGCGGCCGATACCACCGCGCCGTTGTCGTCTGCGCCGGCTGACCGCCCGTCGCTCTCAATTATTTCGAGAAGATAATCGAGAACCTCATCTGCGGCCGTACTCGAGCCTCCCCCATATGTCACGGCTAGGCTGAGCGCTTGGATAGCTTCAGCCTTGACCGTTGCTTCCTCGTCCTCTTCACATGCGGCCTTAAGCGTTGGTAAAACGTGCTCAAAGACTGTCTCTGACGGAAAGGTGAGGATGGTCATCGTAAGGGCGGCCGTCGCCAGAGTGCGCTCCTCTTCGCTGCCTCCGCCCCTAATGCTCCGGAGAAGCGCAGGGACGACCTCTGAAACGGATTTTTTAATCTCAGAAAGCGCAAAATGGTGGCGTAGTATGTGTAGATATGCCGCCAATGTCTCTTCTCGTGCCTGAATGCTGCGCTTGCGGTCTTTGACTTCGGCGATGTGATCTCGAAGTCGTTCAGACCAGGTGCTGCTGGACAACTCGTCGAACTCGTCGTCATCGGCAGACGCCGAGTTTGTGCTCATAGTCATGATGTCGTCGTCATTGTCAGCATCACTCGCGCCACCCTCATCCTCTGACGCGTAGCGACTGCCTGGTCGCGAGTTGGCTCGAGAGCCTGCCCTAGAGTTTCCCGGTGACTGGTTTGGCGACTGGTTCGCAGACGAACGCGGCGTGTCTGACTTCAGGCGCGAACCGTCGGGCTTCAACCGTGCTTTCCTCGACAAGGTCTTGCCGCTCTCCAGCAAAGCCTTCTTTCGGAGGTCGTGCATGTTGACGGGATGTAGGCCGAAACCTCGAGGGGATTCGATGGGCCCGGTTCTCTCGAAAATTTCGAAAAGAAATGCTCGTCAAGTTCTGAGGTGGCCTGCTCACAGTGCCGGGATCAAGTTTTTGTCTGCTGGCCGTGTATTGGTGGAGAATCTGTCGACTTGAGTGCTGTTTTTGGGCGGTTTAGCTCTCGCGATGACCTAATACTGTTCGGCAAAAAATCCATGGGAAGGGAGCGGTGGCTAGTTATGTAGTGATTAGCAACCTCGCGGTGCTACTGTCGGAGATGGATAGCCCTGGGGGTTGTTCAAGCTGTTCCAAGATTGGTCGACGGAGAAGACGTGGCCGAAGCTTTGTTTGTTGTTAATATTATGCGAATCGAGAAAAGACAACGTGGCCAAGGTAATTTTTTTCAGGTCTACAGAAATTGTGCGGCAAACACGGGACACGCACAGGTGGCACACCTTCTACAATTACATTCACTTCGCACCGTGACATGTTATACATGTTGAACGCAATCAGTATTTCGAAATTTCGAGTCTGAGGCGACCGTAGCTCTGCGCGCATGTATAGAATACGTGTAAATACAGAATATGGATTACGAAGCGAGCGCCCCAGTCCTCGCCCCAGTTCCCCACGTCTCCAGCGGCAAGGTCTCGAACCCTGGGCCTGGTGACTCTTTCCTCAGTGCTTGCAGGAGACCAGACAGGCATCAAAGAGGGGTCATCGTACGGTTAGTAGGTCACCAGAACAATGCAATCCCGATCGACTCTCCAGCTCGCTCGAAGCTCTCAATCCGAGAATAACAGCAGCCAGGTATTTAACTCTGGAGAACTCTGGTAAACCGATAGTAATGGATGCAATATCAATAGCCAGGAAGTCTCTCTGTGAGATTTCTACACCACATAGTTCAGCAAGGAATATTCGTGCTGTACACCATTCCCAGGCAAGGAATGTCGCCCCTCCAAAAGATGGGGTTTCGAACCCCTCCTCGCCAAGCTGTAAGATAACCTAAGATACGGGGCCAGCGATCATCCCTTCCCGCGTTTACGTGGGGCAATGGGAGCTCAGGAATGGGAATAAATACATATATGAAGCTTCAAGCTGGCGCCGTACGTATCATATTGCCATAAAGATAGTACCATAGTTAGGTAGCGGTCGGGTGGGCAGTTGGGCATGTATTGATAAAGTAGCTTTGCAAAGAAAACCTTGGGTTGAATGAATCACACAGTGGGAGAAAGTCGAGGAGACTGTACAGTGCGGACTATTTTGCATTGCTTTCCAGCTAATGGGAGCTCATGTTAACACTGTGTCAGACGGTTTGCTTCAAGGTCGTCCGCAACCGACACTCCAGAAATGATTCTTCGAGGGATGAAAGGCCGGCAACCTACTTAGAGATCTAGGTAATCTCATCCGTACCCGACGCACAAATGAACGTATTAACACGGGACCTAGAGCATCCTTGTGTAATTTGCAAAAGTTTGGCAAAAGGTCAGGTCCTGGTTGTTCGGTCAGGCCAACAATTGCCGTTTCACTGTTGGATCAAAGACCCTCAGAGGCACCACTATCAGTCAGCCCCGCAGCTGAGGCCGGCTGGCGCTGAATTGGAAGCTAACCCCATGACCACACTGCCTAGCACCGCCTAGCTGCTGCCCACCTCCCGTCATTCACATTTCATTACTCCGTATTGTGGAATCGCAACAGAAAGGAAGGGCGCTTCTTGTACGGTGCAATCGACCCAACCCTTGGTCACCACTTCCCGTGCCTCTAAAGTCGACGGACAGAGCTGCTTTTAAGTTCTCGGAGAGGGGACACCACCTACCTAGCTCAGGGCAGGCCCTCCTTACCTAGTACTGCCCGCGTATTACCCTTTCTGCACGCCCTTTCAAGGCTTCCAAGGTTCCCCTCCATCACCCCCTCCAACTCTCAGCGATAAGGGAGCCTGCTGCTTATCGGCCCTCTCGTCTGCCTGATTCGGGGGAGCTTTCTAGGCATTGAATGGCAGCCGTCCTTCCAGGTGCCCCACCTCACCTCTGACACGGCTCCCGGCCGACTCCTTCTAAGTTCTACATGACCTGTCTGCGTCTGCTCCTGTCCTCGCACCCTAAACCTTCACATGAACTAAGGCTCTAGCTGAAGCTAAAATCTGGCAGTTCTCTGCGGGTTCCCTTCCCTTCTCCATTTATTCACCCACTCGGCCATTTGCGGCATACTCACCCGTGCGAGGCGTCTTCATTCTTCGTAGGTGCCGACAAGAATAGTACCCTCGACCACTGCCTAGGCCATTGCCAACCTGCCGTTTCCGACGGCCGTGGCCCAAGCTTTGTCAGACGTCGGGAGCACAACCCCCTCCTCCAGGCCGCCCACTCTGGAAACGTTTCGCTCTTCACTTCGGTTCTCCCGTGGAACAAGCACTTCTCTCGTCGTAACTGCACTCGCCGGGAGAGATCCCCAGACCAGTACATCGCCATGGCTTCTTCCTCTGGAGAGTCGAGCAACAGCAGTAAGTCCAGCTTTGTCTCTTTTGCCTCGAGCTCGAAAGCCCATCCTCACGCCCATTGCTCTTGCTCTCGGCAGTGTCGCGAGAATCCCTCCTGCTTTGACCTGGCACAGCTAACTCGCGTTCTAGTTCTCATCAGCCTGTCTGCGGATGAGTTGGCACCGGCTGACATGCGCTACCCGGAGCGTCGAATTACCATGGACTGGACAAACCTCTTGGTCCCTATCGGCCGCGCCTCGAAGGTTCAGTCAAAGGGATTTGTCGCCGGAAAAGACAACGGATGGTTCGACAGCCCCGTCATGTCCCGATCACATGCCGAGATCACTGCCAATCTGGCTATGAAGGTACGTTTCGCTTTGCTTCAAGTCGTTCAGCTGCACGCTGTGCTAACTAACCCTTTCTAGAAAATCCAAATCAAAGATTTGGGCTCCCTACACGGAACTTATATCAATGACGACACTCATCGCCTCGTGGAAGGCAACCCTCATGAACTCAAGGATGGCGATGTTCTACGATTCGGCGTAGCAATTGCCCGGGGATCCGACTCGTTTGCCCCAACCACACTCAAAGTCGGAATTGCCCACAACGATCGAAAGTTAGTAGATACCCGCAACCCCTGGTTTGTAGATGGAATATGGTTTGCTGACAGAGATTGATATCATAGGTCCACGACAACTTTCCAAGTCCCTGACGACTCGGACAACGGCTCGGAGGACGGCTACCCATCGTCCTCGTCGGAGGAGGATTTCGAGTTCCCCTCAACACGCAACCCCAAGCCTGGAAACGTCAATGGAAAAGTTCAGCAGAATGTCATCGACCTTACTGAACAGACCCGGCCGGTCGACTATAGTGCCAGGCGCTGCGCTAAATTTGAAGTCGTTGACCTCTCGTCGCCCCGCACATCTCCTCCACCTTTGGTAGAGGATGAATACCAGCGAGGCTCTTCAGACCAAGTCATTGAAATTCAAGATGATGAGCCCAAGGACATGGTTGCTGCGAACTCGCCACACCGCATGGCTGGTTCCGACCCCACTCTTAACCACTTGGAAGCTGTTGAGTCCGCTATCTTCCCCCTGGGCGAGGGCTCCGGATTTTCGGAAAACCCTACAAACGGCGGGTTTAATTACGCCAGAGGAGCCTCGATAGAGCTCAGCACCGATGATGAAGAGTTCCTCCATTCAGACTTGGAATCCAACGGCAGCTATAGCGATAGCCAGAGTGAGCACGATTACCCGGATGACGAAGAGGACATGGACGGCGAGGAGGATGACGAAGACGGCGATCACGCGAGCCACGCTAGAAGCAGTGAGGATGAAGAGAATGAGAGCGAGCTCGACCAGGATCTTGGTTGGGCTCCAGACATTTCTGACGATGAGTCGTTCCCTGACCTGCATCTGGATGATGGTAAGACGCGTTCATACCTCTTCCAAAACTGTTTTCATCATCTTACTCATCTTCCAGACACGAAGCCTGTTTTCTGGGAAGTCAAGAGGGCGTCACCTACCCACTCAGTTCACGATTCTCCTCGGAAGCCGAGCCCACTCTACTCTCAATTCCCGGCAGAATCTGAGGATCCGTCATCCTGGAGAAACGCATGGGGAGATTGTTTCCACGGGCCGTTCAACCTTGCTACCACGCAACCTTCAGCTCCGGCAGTGCCTAGCAAAGCACCCAGTGAATCGACATCGGCCGCTGCCAAGAAGACGGCAATCACAATTGGCCGACTCTTGAACGATAGCGTCCCTCTTGTTACCGACCACCCAATGGAGGCTCTCCCGGTCTTTAACGGACCAACTCCTGGTATTGCTCGGCAAGTTAGCCCGTCTGATGCTGTTATGCCAAAGCGGTGCGTCAAGGACGATGCGGCAGAGCTTCAGAATCCGGTAGAGCTGCTTGGCATGAGAACCGGCAAGTACGACTACTTTGCAGCCCGAGAGGAAAACAAGGCGCTCCATGGAAACCTTTCGAAAACCCGTTTGCCGCGTCATTACTCTACCGTCCATGCTCTTTGCAACGGGGATGGTCCGTTTGGCTACCAGAACACGCCTGGAACAGGACCTCTGATGGAGGGCGAGAAACGGGAGATTCCAGTGGCCCCCAAACCTTCCTCGGCCGATCAAGCCACCGCGCAGTGGTTCGACGATTTCCGACACGAAGCGAGCATTATCAATTCACTTCTCCCTCCTGCACCTGCTCCGGCGGTAAGCGGAAAGTCTGAGCACAGCTCTCGCCGGACCCAAGTAGGCATCTCCGATATTGTCGATAGCTGCCAGCATGGATCCGATACGCCCAAGAGCAAGAGGAAGGCAGAGGAGATTTCGGAACTCAGCGAAGTGGAAGAGAAATGGGCTTCTCAGGAGCAAGATGCGTCGCCTGAGACTCCGGATATCGCCTGTTCACTTCCCCCGCCGACCGTCGATGATGCTGCGACAGTTGTAGCCGTTCTACAGCGCTCAGAATCCCCGCTGTTTACCGCACCACGCACTGAGCACTCCGACATGCTTGATAGCGAGAGATCTTCCAAGCGAGTTCGTTTGCGCCACATTGCGGAGCGTGTAGGGTATGTGGCACTTGGCGGTGTTACCGCAGGTGCGATGATCGTCACAACCCTGATCTATACTGCGCCTACATTCGCCTAGACGCTGATCGCATCGACTTTTCCATCTTCTTTTCGGGTCGGTAAACTGGTTACTTTTAAACATCATTTCCATTTTGCATTTCCCAAGGTAGGTCAAGGCGAACTTCCACGTCGAGGTTGATATCGGAATTACGGACGGCGCCAGGAGATCATATTGCATTTATTTCTGAGGTCTTGCGCCTTTTGCAGACACGACGGGACGTTGGGGTGTGCTGGATCGAGCGACGGTGCTCATGCTGGGGTGTTCATTGGGGGTTCAGATGGGGAGCATTTCGGAGGAGCGTGAAGGACTAGCCGGGTTTTCCTTATAACGGTCCGCTTTCTGTCTTGATTTCGGCCTTTGTTCCTGGGCTTTTTTCCCCCTCGTCACTTCAACCTTTTCGGGACAACATTTTTCAACTTTATTTTTCTCGACTCCTTTATTTCCCAAATACTCGACTGGCGGGGTGCGGGTATAGAGCCAGGTCAGCTAGCTGGCAGAGGAGCGACAATGAAACCCATAACTTTCTGACTTGTCCTTATGGTGGCGTGGAACTTTTGTGGCGGTATTGTATAGGTATTTAGGCAGGTCATTGGCACTTTGCTTGTTGGTGGTGCCTTTCGTGATTTGATGTCTTCTTGAAGTGATCATGGATGATGAGGACCGATTTATGAGGATTTGTGTTGGGGCTATTAAATGCTGAAGGGCTAGTTTTATGTCTTCTTGGGCTACTGGGTGGGGGTATCTCGAGATATAGCACGACTTGTGAAAGATGTGTTGTTTGACTGCACAAGTTTGCTTTGGCTTAGGGCGCGGTGCGAGGGTGGTGTTGTTTGCTTGCCCTCACGCGTGAGTTGGCTCCTCTGACAGTCTTGGGAGTCTTAGGAGTCTTGGGAGTCTTGAGAGGTAGCAGTCAGTTGGTTTATTAGTTAGTCAGTCAGTCAGTCTGTTGGTAGCTTTTTCTGGTTGAAACATTTGGCCTTGAGAATTGGGAGGCCTGATGATGAAGAAAAGCACATTAACTAATTATCTATATTTTATTTCGTCTGCCAAACGAGGGACTTCGGTAGTTAGATCTATCACCAAAGTGAAATGGCTTATTTCTATCACCACACACAAACTCAAGTTTTAACTATCGATTTTTTGCTGAGCGAAGCTCGTGAGCGTGAGTCTACATTGTCTCGTCGCTTTGCTATGGCCAAAGTTTGATCTCTCCATAGTCTGAAAATGACCTGACTATGAGCATGGCGAGCTGTTGGTTTGTTGTCTGTTTGTTTGTTGATTCGTTTGTAGTCTTGGGATGTGAAGCACTTGCTGGAACAGGTGCAAGAAAGGGGCTTTGAGGGATGCCGTAATTTCTTTTACCACCTGATTAGGTGTATAACATGTTTGATGGCAGCGCCGCTGGTGTTTTTTTTGTTTAGAATATCAGTATTATAAGCTGATTCACGACACGCCATTAATTAACTGCTAACCGAAAAGGAAATGGATGTGAACTATATACATATGTGTGTTGCGGGATTACTTCATTGCAAATCGGAGCTAAGTTTAGGGTTCTGGGCTAGAGACTACCCCTCTGCTTTGAAAGTCGAATGGCATGCCAGCAGACTACGAATAGAGGCATGCTGTCCACATCGTCCCCTTCGTGGAAGGGGGGACAGCTAGAGATCTATCCCCCGTGGCCGTGTCGTGGTTTGAGGCTCGAGAACAACGGGCTATCTATCTTTCAAAGTTGAGCCAGCCATCCATCCAGAATGGAAGCCACGTGGGATATCAGCCCAATCTCGGTTTAGAGACAGTGAAGATGGTAAGGCCCGATCATCACACCATTTGATTGCTCGAGAGTGATTGACCGGGAGGCGTGTCAATTGGTTTCTTTCACTGCTCAGTTGACATAGCTAGAACCTCACTCTCCAGACGGAAGCCAGAGAGAGCGCATCTTGTACATTTACAAAATAAACAAATATAAACGTATCTTGGATTGTCAAAGGTGAGGGAGTAAGTAAGTAGTCTAGCACCCAAACAAATATTCTATCATCCTGTGTGAGGCATCAGCTGCCACGCTCCTGACTTGACACGATATCCACAAGCCCCACCCCACCCTGCTCTGACAGCCTCGCCATATCGAGTAAGAAAGATGAGTTACCTGGGTACTTATCTACCGGGAGGGATCAATAGACGAACTTCAACCGTCTTGGCCTCTATCCGACCCCTTTCTATACACACCAAAGGAATTATAGATTAGAACGGGATATGCTCAAACATGGGTAAGATAAGAGCATGAATTATATAAACTGCTCAACCGTTCGTTCCTTCTCAGAAAAGCAAGGGGCCCAGATGATTGTATAGATGGGCAGGCAAGACCGCAAAGTGACCTCAAAGCCTCCTTTCATGAGCCCGTCGCCAAAGCCAAGGTGTCTCAAAAAGAAAAACATCGCGTCAATACCCGAAGCCGGACCGGCAGGCCTACGCTTTCGCGACATGGGCAAACAGGAGAAGCAAAATAAAGGAAAAGGAACAACGCAGCCTGTCTGACAGGGTGTAGCGTGTAAAGTAAACACACCTAGATAACCAAGTGGAGGTGGCGGTCGGACTAGTGACAGCCTTACGTCCTCGCCATCTGTGTGTAGCGTGCTGGTTCGGAGGAAGTACTCAACCAAAGGTTGAGCCAAGAGAGATTGTATAATCGTGATGCTGCCCAGTAGATATACAGAAACAACTTATCTGGGGTACCTAGGTGAGAGTGCGAGGGTCTGCCTACCAGCAGTCAAATACAGTACCTAACCCTAAGAAAATACCGAGACAAGAAAAGGGGAGTTGGAGGGTAAGAGGGGAAGTGAGCGAGGACAGTGTCGCGATTGCATCAGGAATCTGGTGAAGAAAGAGACGGGTAGGCAGGTAGGCAGACCATGAGCAGAAGACACGACCTAGATCTACGTCTCGGGGAAACAGGATAGTAGAGGTGCCTATGTACCTGGCTTTATCAACGACCTTACCTTGCCCACGCTAGGTATCGTACTGTACCCCCTTGCCAACTCCCAAACAATTGGCTTACTATTGCGTGGTGTGTATCCCTCCCGGCTCAACTCTCTACGCAGCTTACTTACCCACCAACACTTGAACCTCAGAAGCCGAGAACCAGGCACGCGGTACCAAGGACTTGCTTCTCCGGCAGTATGAACAGCGGACTCGAGAAGAGACGGGAACTCGAGATCGAAGAACGCAAAAAGAGGTCGGCGACACGTCGCCCAGGCAGCCAATAGGAGCTGTTCTCTGAGGTCTTCGTTGCTGTCCGTAAGGTGCTCAAGAAAAAGGCGCCGCCAGCGCTTGGCGTGCCCGACTACTAGGTAATACGTAGTGGTAAAGCCAGACAGAAGCCCCCCTTGTCGGTAGCTGTCTGTCTGTCTGTCTGTCTGTCTGTCTGTCTGTCTGTCTGTCTGTCTGTCTGTCTGTCTGTCTGTCTGTCTGTCTGTCTGTCTGTCTGTCTGTCTGTCTGTCTGTCTGTCTGTCTGTCTGTCTGTCTGTCTGTCTTTCTGTCTGTCTAGACATGTTACCAAGACCATCCGTATGTAAGAGTAAAAATAAAACTCGGTGTGAGAAAGTGAGGCGGGCAGCCGCGGGTGCTACGCTCCCTTATTGGGTTGCGCGAGTTAGTCTTGTGTGAAGGATGGAAGAAAAAGGGAAAAGGGATCTGTGTTTGTAGGGAGGCATTCGTAGTTAGCCTCGCTTGGCGTCGGCTTGTTCAATCATAATATCGTCCATTGGCCTCGAGGGAATTATCGACTGACCGGAGGCTCTGGCACAGCGACAGTGTGGGTGGGTGACCGGTCGGGCAGTGTGGCGTCAATACATACAGCTAGAGAGCTCCTTGCAGTGTGTCAGGGTGTTTGCGGGGCGGGAGGAAGATGCACCCACCACACACCCAAGAAATTCCTGACTGCGAATATCGAGACAGCGAATAGCACAACCTACCTACCCAGACGAGGTAGTTCCCCATGTCTCAAGCTTAAAAGTGAATGCAATTGTACATATACAGACATATGCATGGAAGACGATGCGCCAAAGAAGAATGACTTGGAACAGGGGGACGTCTTGTCAGACAGAAACCAGCATATATAGTGTGGCGTGCTTGCAAGAGGTTGCATCGAGATGTCTGGGAAATACACGAGCTCGATCAAATATGACAGGTCAATAAGGATCGGATAGAGAAAGTGACGGCACCTCTTCTCTCTCGGCCAATCCTGCAGAAATGGTGGGAAGGGCGGAGGGTGGTTGCTGTCGTGAACAGCGGGCCCTTTCTAGCCAAGACAGAAACAAGAAGCCCACTGCTGTGCAAAATTCGAGACCGGTCGCTGTCTCATGCATGGTGTTCACTAGTCTCTGGGGATTTGCAGTCAATCTTTCGCCGAAACCTGTCGGTCTCCAGCGGAAGCAAGCCACGTTTCGGCCTCTTCAGCTTCTTCAACCCTCTCCCCCACCTTTCTTCCTCCACATCCCCATTCTTCCTCCTTCCTCCGCCATCCGCTCTCCGCCCTCCTGCGGCCTGTCTACACCGGTGAACAACTTTCCGGCGGCGGGCACCCGAGACAGACAGCAAGACACGGGCGGAGGTATGTGATGGCCTCCCAATTCTAAAGCGCCTTGTCTTGCGGAAAGGGCCTTCCGACAGAGGCCAATGCACTCCTACCGTCGCATCTTGTTGCCCAAGGTAGTGTTTGAGAGAAGAGGAACGAAATGGCCCGGTCTCGACCGAAGAAGAAAGGCAGGGGAAGGAAGGAACGGAACGGAGCAGGTGGAATCTGGTCGCCAAGATGGCGCCAGTACGACGAAAAAGGAGGCGTGTATCAAAGTCAGACCATCAACTTTCGGAAGAGCGACAAGAAAACGGCTGCCTTTCGACGCCTGCGGAAACTCCGGCTCGTTTTCTTCTTCTGCACCCCGATAGCCTCGATCTCAGAGCCCCTGCACCCCCAGACGGGCGCCAGTCCATCCTCCCTCTTGCCGAGCCATTGCACAAAACTTGATAGTCTAGCAGCGAGACATATGACTAGATGTGCGTATAGAATGGCCTGTTAGACATAGTATAGTGACGCTGGCCATCATCCTGCACAACTCGCCTGCCGTATTCTGCACCGACGATGGGTGGAAGGACAGGCGAGATGAATCCCGAGAGACGTGAGAGTTGCTCTTGGTAGCCGTAAGCGTAGTTGCACCGCTTGGTATGACAAAAGCAAAGATGCCCATGTGGGATGGGAATGGTGACTATGGAGTGAGAGCTGTAGCGAAAGAGAGACAAGAACGAGGTCTGAAAGTTGCCATGGGACACAACACGTCAGGCACAGCCGCGGAACGGAAGATGTCCCCAAGGAATCAGGATGGACAAGCGGAAGCGGGCTCGAAAATCGAGGTCGAGTCCCCAGCGTCTGGGGCCCCTCCTTTCCATTGCTGGGACTGGGAACGGAACAAGCTATTTTCTTCTCGGACTGGTTTCAAACCAAGGCCGGTGTCACCCACCCAGGCGCGCTTTGCAGACACACGGCGTCATTCCATCAAGAACCGAGCAGAAAGGCGCAAGGAAAAACAAAGTTACTAGCGCCGACTTAGTCTAAGTGGCCCCGCTTGGTCGTAAAGGACCTGATGGGGCTCTCCCTAATTATTTGACGTATGTATGTCTTTCCCGAGACAAGAACTCCCGGAGCCATGGGTAAGGCAGGCTCGGCCCATTGCATGAATGGCTGCTTGTCGATAATGTCTGTTAGAAGAAGGCTTAAATTTACAGTTCGAATTTGTCGTAGCTACTGTATGAGTCTAGGAGCGCTGCCTGTGGGCAGAGCCGATGGCAGTCAATGTGCCGACACCGCCTTGAGACCCGGATCCCCAACACGCCTGGACCGACTGTTGATTCTAGAAAAGGCGCAGGTAGCCGTCTAATCCAATATGAGCCATTGTCAAGTGGGAGACAATGGCTGCCATGAGACGCGCGCGGATCAGTGACCTGTACCCTATCACACATGCCTAGGCTCGCTTTGATGGTCAGCGTACGGGTAACTGCAGCGGGCTGCGCGAGCTGCATGATCTCTCGGGGTTCTGTGGGATGCTGGTTATCTCGCGTCTTTTTTTTTTCTTCCACTCATCTCGTCGGGAAGGTTGAAGGTTCCAAGTATCCTGCAAGTGTCCCGCGCTGGGAGCAAAATAAGGCAACCAAGACAGCTGGGAGCTGCCTTCCGAGAGGGGGATCAGAGACATGTAGCCATGTCCAGGAACATGGTCCATCCTTGGTTGTGTGCTTCGTTGGCAACATGGCCCAACTCCTGAATATGTCTCACAACGGGGCTGATCTCTCCCACGAGTCTGTGTAAACACGATGCCGCTCCCGCTCCCCTTTTTGTGGGAGTCATCAGTCGAATCGTCATCCTCGACCGAGCAACCGTGATCACCAGACCCCCTCACAACCGCCTCTAACCCCGAACCGCCCTATTGGTTCTCTTAGTCGCCAATACCACGTCAAGGATGGCCGATATCGTGTCTGGCGGTGAGCTGGTATTTCTTGTGCAGGTCACCCTCGGCAACACGAAAGGACTCGACGCGAAGAGTCCGAGATGACCATGTGTATAAAAGGCCAGGCCAGTTCCCAGCCATATTCGCCTACTGGCCTTTGGAAGACATAACACCTTGTACTCTCTGGCAAATATTAACACGACAGACACCAAAAGGCTCTTGGAGTGTCGGCCTATCCATCTCTCTAACTTCAGCTCTCACAGGCACATCAGCATGGCGAGTCAGCTCCCGCACCCCGAAGTTTGCGGCTGCCTCCTGTACCAAGGGATGCGGTCCGAGCCAATCACTTGCCAGTCTTGCGAGGGAAGCCAACGAGTGTAAGGATGGTACCCAGCTGAGACGCCGTTCGTGGACGTCGCTAATGTGAGCTAGGAACTGCGATTACTGCGGAAACACGAGGATCTGGTGGATCCCTTGCCAACACGGCTCAGCTTCAGCAGAACAGATTCCCGCATACTCGGGCTCAACGGGCTTTGGCGGCTCCGGACACGGTTCCCATGGTTCCCATGGCTCTCATGGCGGAGGACCTGCGGGAGCGTCAGGCCGTTCGCGGAATCGTGTGCCCAGAAGAGCCCGAGGAAGCGGAAGTGGAAGCGGAAATAGGGTGGCGTAAACAACCGTGGGGATGCAACATAAAACTGCCTCTGACTGCTGTCAGCGTGGATCGTCCGCGAGAGCGACAAGATATCGGCGGCGACTAACAATACGGGAGAACAACGGTACACAAATGTGAGACGCATGGTTGTGCTCGTTCCCGTTCCGCCCGGGAGCCTGGGAAGGCGTGGTTTCGTCTGTGCTGTAGCTACACAGAACCTTTTTCTTTTCTCGTCTCGGCAATATCCAGGAGAAGTTGTTTTTTCTTACCAGCCTATCATTTTGTGAGAAGCTTCCGGTGTTGACATGGTTAGATCAGAAGCCGCTCAGGTGCTCAAGGCGAGAATTCTTGTACTGATATTTGTTTCGCGCCTCTCTCTGATTATTTCCAACGGATATATTGTAGCAAGTCTCTTGCGTATTTGATTTCCAAAGAAACACAATCGCTTGACCCGCTGGCGGCACCGACCGCTTCTTGTATCCCGGAGTTCCCGTGTCTTGCCCGTTTCCGGAGCAAGGTGGAGATGGCTCAGCGGATCTTGCCTTCCGGGCGGCAGAGTGAGCGTCATCGTCCATCGTACATGCAGTTCATTGAGAGTCCAATCCCTGCAGTTGCTTGCATTGCTGCCAACTCTGCTCAACCACCGTTCCAGATAGGTGTTTTCTGGGCCGACAGAGCCCGAGGTGCGGAGTCCGCCACAGCGGTGAGGCTCATGGTCCACGGTCAGGCGCTAATTCATATCAGGCACGGGTCCGCAGCTGGTGAAACGAAGATGCTGTGTCCCATAGCCAGGGTTGCGTCCCGGAACGACTTCCGCTCAAACCCTTGTGGCCCGCCTCGGGGTTGACAAGGCCTCCAGGCCCTCGTTCATCTTGTCAGACAGCAGTTCCGATCGAATGCTGCCGTGAATCCAGGCTGCAGCGTCCTTCACCCGTGGGCCCTATGCCTAGTGACTAAAAAAGCAAGGAATTGTCGTATTTCATCGACGTTGAGCCTCTGCTTCGTGTCCAACTCTCGGACTCGGCCGAGCCTGGCAAACCGTGACACGAGATCGGTGATCGATATAGTATATAGCGTGGCCTGCATGCCAATCTGACGCTAGGGCTTTGCAGCGGAGAATTCTGCGTCATGGCCTTGTTGACGTTCCCGAAGCCACCCATCCGGCCAGGTACATGTCGGGACGGCGGGACTGCGGAACATTACAAACTCAAATCCAGGGCGGGACACGGAAGCACGGAAGATTTGCCTGGGCCAGGTGGACTGGGATCACCGACTTCTCGGGCCCGAGGGATAAACTACACCCGGGACTTGTTTGCCTGCCTATCCGCTTGCCAGCTTACAGCAGGACAAGAGACGCACAGCGACTGCCAGCGGATGCAGGACCAAGAGAGTATCGCCATCGCACGGGGGCCAAAGGAGCACACGCGTTTCAACTACCGGAGTATGACATGGAGCCAATGGTGCGTACTCCTGGGTCGCTTATATTCCCTAAGCACGGCGGGCATGATGAGTGAGCGGCTTGTTAAACCAATAGCTGAAGTAGGTGACGAGATGGACCAGGGGGTAAACCGAGGGCGAGCCGAGCAGAATCTCGACTAAGTGTTGTCAGGCCGTTGGGAACTCGGTCGGTCCTGTGACGCCTTCATCAGCAACCCGATGGCAGGACAGCAGCGGGTCACCTACTGGTTCAGCGTCAGGGGCGTGACACTTGGGCACTTGCACGAAACGATGAACACGAGTTTCCCAGTCACACTTGAGAAGGAGCCCGACCGACATAGACCTGGGAAAGAGTCTGTCTCCCTCGAACAGGGGGACAAATCTGGGGTAGTCACAGCATCGAGTCCATGACAGGCTTGCGGTTCGTGGTATATAAGACTTTGGGGGCTGTGACCAGCGCCATCAGGGCCGGGTGCTGAGAACAAGTGCGGGAAGAGGTGCAGGTTCAGGTTTAGGTTCCGGTGCGGCCTGTTGCAGAAAGAGAGAGACATGCTTGAGGAAACAAATTTGCTTTTCTCCGTACCTGTACCTAGGCAGGTACTTGAGGTAGGCAAATAAAAGACTTCAATACGAAGAAAAAACGACTGAAAGAATGCCTTGAACCGCGTGTTCAAGAACCGAAGCTGAAGTGTAGGTATGGAGTATATCAAACATGTAATGCATAGTTAATGGCGGGCCCATAAATTACGTCCTGTCAAGCAACCTGTCGAGATCGCAGAATTTGTGGAGGGAGAGAAAATCCAAATTTGAGTTATGCGATTGGAACATTTTGCTATCAAACAAACGTCCGTTCAAGTAAGTCTGGGTAGGGAAAGGGGTGATATGGACCCCAGCATATCGACTTAGATCGGAGGAAGGTTATTCCATTTGCCGCGCCTTAACCTTGACGCCACGGCTCTCAGAACTTCAGGAGGCTGTCAGGCGGTGGCACATGCGCCAGCCAGACCCCAGGAGCCACGCTATGGGGGGCCTAGCCCCACCCCAAGCAGCTAAAGAAGTACAAGGCCAGGGCAACCAAGGACCCGGACGGTGCCTTAGAAGCGAGCCAGGGCGCCGCGCAGTCGCGAGAATTAGAGGCTCGAGATAGTTCCGCAAAACCGATCTCTCAACACCTCTTTTACCCGGCTCCCCAAAAAACCATGGACTCGTAGCCGTGGCAAAATGTCCGTCATTCTCTGCACAGGTGAGCCCTACCCTCCTATTGCTCTCCCGAGTTGATTGATTGCACGCTGACAACAGCGCTTCTGGATGTGCAGCTGGCTACGACCACACTATCAGGTGCGCTAGACCGCCGAGCATTTGACCTGACCGCGAACCCCTCCGCTCCGAAGAGCAAGCCCACCTTGCCGCACCTTGCCGCACGGCAACACTCTGCCCTGTTGTCGCGTCGTGTGGTGCAGTGTCGCGTCGCGTGTCGCGTTGTGCCGCAACTGGGCCACAATAGCTTCGCTTCGCATGGAGCCTCCCTCTCCAGGTCTCGAATCGGATTGCGAGCAAGATGGATGTGGCTAACCGGCCGTCGTTGCCAGATTCTGGGAGGCTCTATCCGGAATCTGCTCCCGCACAATCCAGCACCCCGATTCCCAGGTGAACCGGCTGTGCATCTCCCCCGACAAGCGCTTCCTCGCCGCTGCGGGCCACCACACGGTCAAGCTCTTTGACATCCGCTCGACCAACCCCGCCCCGCTGCTCGTCTTCGAGGGCCACACGGGCAACATCACAGGCGTTGCCTTCCACTGCGAGGGGAAATGGATGGTGACGAGCTCCGAAGACGGCACCGTCAAAATCTGGGAGACGCGGACGGGCGCCATCCAACGCAGCTATAACCACGGATCGCCGGCCAACGATGTCGTTATCCACCCAAACCAGGGCGAGATCATCAGCTGTGACCGCAGTGGGAGCATCAGACTGTGGGACCTGGCCGAGAACACGTGCTCGCACCAGCTCATTCCTGAAGACGAGGTCTCCGTTTCGAGCGTCACGGTTGCCAGCGACGGCACTCTTCTCTGCGCAGCCAACAATACTGTCTGTTCTCACGTAGATCTTGTTCCTGTCGCCATGGCCGATAGACTGCTGACGTGCCTTCTCTTCTGCAGGGCAATGTGTTTGTGTGGCAGCTCATCCAGGCTTTCGATAGGACGCAACTGGTGCCCCTGACCCACTTCAACGCCCACAACCAGTACATCACGCGCATTCTGCTCTCGCCAGACGTCAAGAAGCTGGCCACCTGCAGCGCCGACCACACCGCCAAGATCTGGGAGGTCAAGGCGATGGAGCCGTCGGGGCTCGAGGCGGAGCCCAGGCCGTTCCCGCTCGAGGCCACGCTGACGAGCCACCAGCGCTGGGTGTGGGACTGTGCATTCAGTGCGGATAGTGCCTACCTGGTCACAGCCTGCAGCGATCACTACGCGCGACTCTGGGAGCTACACAGCCAGCAAATCATCCGCCAGTACAACGGTCACCACCGCGGTGCCGTCTGCGTGGCGCTAAACGACTATTCCGAGTCTCGCTAGGAGGGGTCGCGGCGTCGTAGCCACCGGACCAGCCGGCAATTGCGGTCAAAATCCAACTTGAGCTCGAGACTCGTCACGGGACAACCAAGGGCTCCCTCCTAGGGGCAGCCGCACACGTAACCCGACCCTATGTACCCATTTTAAGCACAAGCAGCCAGTGTCTTGAGAGAGTGATAAACTAGGGAACCCGCCGAACGGTGAAGTCTCGCCTCGCCCAGATACAGGAGCACTTCTGGGAGAACATGGCTTCTTCCTCAACTGGCCCCCTCCGATGCATGCCCCTTTTGGCATTTGCGGGAGGTTTAGGCGGGAATTTGCCACACACAAATAAACAAAACTATGTCTAGCCTTTGGGAGGTTTTCCCCCTTTAATACTTCTGATCGGCGGACTTTTGTATTTCCTTTTTTTTTTTCTTTTTCTACACAACTGTTTTTTATTTATTTATTTCCTTAATCTCTAGTTTTCCGGGACAATCCGGGCAGCCTGGACAGACAGACGACGAAATGCGTATCTCTCATAGTGCCGGTTTGGAGGGATAGACAGAATGGTTGGGCTAGGGGGGAAGGAGGGAGGATGCGGATAAAGGGGGAGGAGGGGGGGCAGATAATAGGCTGACTAATACCCCAGTTTTGGGGGCTGACTGGGACTGAGAAGCGGCCTCACGGCGTTTGCCCTCTACCATAGTTTCTTCTCAGCTCTTCAGACTAGCATTTGTTCCACCAAACGAAGTGGCATAAGATGGAACGTTCTACAGTGCAATGCAGTGGTTGGCGCCAGGTGCAAGTGCATGCCATGAATGAATGACTTGACGGCGGACAATGCCGACTGTCAACCCTGGTGCCCTTTTGGGATTTTAGTGGGTCGGCCTGTCTCCATCGAGAAAGGCCCGACGCATCCATCGTCTCATCACCTACCATCCCGCGAAATAAATAAATACCTTAATTACCTACGATCACTACGCTCTCGCCGATTAGGTAAATACAGTGATCAACTGGGTGAGGTTTGCTTTGCTTTGCGCCTCCCTCTAGTATAGTACCTTCCAGTTCTTCCGTCTTGCTTAGCGAACAAGGCTGTCTGTTTGTTTACCTCAGGATGTCTTATAAGTCATGTAAGGTGCCGGCCTGCCTCCTGTCTCCCCGGTAATTTTGGCCAGGAGTTCAGGTGTCTTGGTTGATACCTAAACAGCCACAATTAGAACTTTTCTTTATTATTGTATTGTGCCACAAAGCACAGAAGTAAATTTCTGTAGTTTTACTTTGCCTTTACCTTCTCTACTCCATGTCCCTTAGTTAATGGCCTTTCGTAATACCTAGTATGTACTTAATCAGGTATCAAAGGTTGTGTGCAATATTCCACTGTCAAAATGACCGCATTATTAGAATGGACTACCTACTATGATGCTTACCTGCCAGTGCAGCACACTCACCGCTTACCCAGTTACCAGGCAGGCAGGCAGGCAGGCAGGCAAACAGAAATCTGAGTAGAAGGGAACGTATATCTGTTGGAATAGCGACATTCCTGACCGCACTTTAGGTGAAGGAAGGGAGGTGCCGTGAGCCACGTGCATACTCACGTGACCGCTTCACGGGCCACGTGATCGCACGGGCCTCGCGCACACACCACAACCATTCCCTTCCTAGAATCGAACAAGACAACCAATCCATTTTACCCCCACCTTGTAGTACCACTACACTCTCTCTTAGGCAAACCATCAGTGGTATGATCTAGATATCACGAACAATATCCTCTGGAAATTGACAGTCCTGAAAAGCTCAAAAGCTCAAGAACAGATAAAGTTACTTGCCAAGGTACTTCGTATCTACCCACAAACCTTCAAAAAGGCGAGACCTCTAAAACCAGGAGGTCATGACAAAGCCGTCTAAGTATCGGCCCCCCAAGACTAAAATGGCTACACATATATAACCAGGCTGGGGGTGGTTAAGGTAGTAATAAGTATTCAGAAGAAAAGAAAGTTGCACAAAAATATTTTCTACCCTTCTCTCCTAGAGTCTGCCCTGTCTCATATTAACCTTACGGGAGCTGTACCTACCAGCCGTCCCCCCAGCCGTCATCTTCGTCCGTCTGTTTTGGCTTCATGTCCAGCTTCTTAGCCGCAACAGGCTGTGTCTTTGGCTTGAACACAGCCACCGGCAAGGGCTTCTTTGCAGGCGCGGCAGCGGTGGTCGACGCCTTGGACAGGCCCTTGGGCAAGCCTTTCCCGCCCAGCCCGCCGCTCTTCTTCTGCGCCTGCGCCGCGAGCCAGCCGGCAAAGTCGGGCTCGGAGCTGTCGTCAAAGGGCACTGCGGGCGCTGCCGAGCTCTTTTTCGAGGGCAGTGTCGTGGATGAGGATAGGGAGTTCGTCTGTGGTGAAGTAGGGGTGTCGTTGGCGTCGCCGAAAAAGTCGTCGGCCTCCCCCGTTCCGTCGTCCATGTCGCCCCAGGCATCGCCGTCGTCATCGACGACTTCCGGGTCGGGGAAGAAGGACTCGCCACCAAAGCCCCCAGACGACGAGGTCCGGGAGAGGGGCGCCGAAGCGGATCCGAGAGGTGGAGACTTGAGGGCCTGGCGGTGCAGTGTGGACGCCGAGGACGAGGCTGGCACGACTGTTGGGACTTGGCGCTTGTTGGCCGTTGCCGATGGCGCCGACGCAGCAGCCCCGTTGGAGGACTCGATATCGCCCGCCGCTGCAGAGAGCTTGTTGGTGAAGGAGGAGATGGCCCATCCAGCCCAAGACGCTGAAGAGGACGCCGGCTGGCCTGACTGGCCCTGCTGCCCTGGCTGAGGCGTGCTCATCCGTGGCACTCCTGGCGAGGTGGATTCTGGCGGGAGGGCCGAGTCGGGCATGGCGGCAGCAGCTTTTCTGACCTTTTGGAAATATACTTCGATCGTCTTGGCCGCCTGGTCTCGGATTTGTTTTTCTTTGTCAACCAGCAGAGGGCAGATGGCAGGTAACACGCGCGTCGCGCAGTCCTCGTCCGAGAAATACTCGCCCGTCACCGCCAGGGCTAAGAGGGCCGCATTGCGGGCATGGACAAAGGGATCGCGAAGTGAGCGGCTGAAAGCCGCTAGTAACACCTTAACTCTTGATGAAGGCCCGAGATTCTTGGCGATCTTGCCAAGACATATCGTGGTGTTAGTCCGGATTCCCGGCTGCTCGTCGTTGGCCGTTTTGGCCAAATATCTCAACAGCTCTCCGTTGATGGTGCGGTCTGAGAGCTTATTGATGAGTGTCAAGACCGACTTCAGTGTCTGCTCTCTCACAACAGGTGCGATATCTGTGAACCCCGTAACCTGCAATTGTGAGTATGAATTCGATTTGGACCGCACGTGACGCGATATCAAAAGCGAGGACAAGTCTAAACTTACTATTTGCGGGAAGATCTTATCGTTCACCACCTTTTGCGAAAGTCTATCGATCATGAGAGGCAAATTGTCTAACAAGCATACTCTATTCGCTCTATCGGGGTTGCCGAATAGCCGAATAAGCACCGGGGTGACTCTCGTATCAAAGTCATCGTTTGATAATTTTGCAGAGATTTTCATAACCACCGCAAAGGCCTTGGGCCCTCCGCCGCCAAATTCAACTGATTTTAGCAGCTCGGGCAAGACTTTCATCTTGAAAAAGTCCTCGGGGAAGTCATCGCTTAGTTGGCCAAGATCACTGCTCGAGTCAGCACCGCAGGTTCAACACGCGAGATAAATTCAAATACGCACTCCAAGAACTCCTCTCGCTCTGATTCTGTCTTTACTCCCAGGTTTTCAACGCCGTCAGTAAGTTTAATTAGGGGGGTATCAAAGAAGGAGCCGCTCCGTAGTCCTTGGTCGAGGAAATGGCCGACGCTAAGCCTCGCTTTGGGGTTTGCATTAGCTAAGCGCTTGTAGCTTGAATGCATGCTAGGAGGAATATTCTTCGTCTGTCCAGCCTGGTCGGTCCCGCTATAGCTGCCGTTGAACACTTCAAAGACCAGCAGGCCAAACCCGAACGAGTCAACGGCCGAATGGGGACTGCGTTTGATAGCATCCCAGCCGGACCTTGCTAGCTCGGGCGGCGTATAGCGGCCCGAGTCGGGAACAAGACTACCATATGTCTAGTCTCACGTTAGTGTCCCTAGTTTTAACGCGTCTTGGGATAGGCCCCAGGCCCCGGGCTAGACCACAGCATGCACAAGACCTACGTAAATGACGGCGTCGTCGTCCTTGACATTGCTCAGCACCTCGAAGCCTCCCAACTTCCATTCGCCGCTTTCAGATGTGAAGATGGAAGCAACTTTGAGGCTGCCGTGGATCGACGACGCCTCGTCGTTGATGAACTTGATGGTACGCTGCAGCTCCACATCAGCCTGCCATGCCATGACAGCAACATGATAATGGCAGACAAACCCCTATGCTGTAGAGACCCCATTTTGTGGTTTCTGGACTCAAGCTCTTTCGTTTAACGTGCCACCGCAGAGGGACCAGTCGCTCGGTGGCAATGTAGATGTACGAATCTGACTTTGGCAAAGCCTCAGCTCGGGACACACGCGTACGCTCGAGGGGCGGGGGGGCCTACCTCGACAGTGTCCAGCACCTTGATGACGCCCGGGTGTCGCAGTGTCCGCAGTTTCTTCAGCGCGTTTCGGGCCAGCGGGAGGGCGGAGCGGTTGGCGGTGATGTCGAAGGAGAAGATGCTGCAGTTGGAACCGTCCTCCTGGTGCGTGAGTGTTAGCAGGTGCTGGTGGTATTGCCGCGCCGGCGCATACCACTGCGGTGCTGGCGACGGCCCGGCCCGGTCTGCAAAGCTGGGGATGGGACTGAAGGAGAGGAAACTCACACGTCGCGTGCCGTTGTAGAGGGCCCAGATGGAGGGGTCGAGGTCGACCTTGTCGCCAAACGTGTATGGAAAGGGCGGCCCTTTGGCAATCGCGGATGCGACAGCCGACTTGAGGAAATCCATAACTCGCAAGTAGTCCGAGGCGCTGGCGCAGGTTCGCAATCTCGGCCGGCTTCGTGGTCTGACCAACGCTGCGAGTGGGATCGGTCGCAAAGCGCAACCTCGAAAGCCGTCGTCGCTGACGCCCTACCCGATCTTAGCACTGGGGGGTGCCTGAAGCAGAGTTCCAGGTTAGGTGGCGTGGCGTGCACGCTAACCCGAGACAGCAGGCGGAGAGCGCAGTTCGCAATGGAAATCCCAGGCCTGCCCCCCGATTCTGCCACAGCCGCAAGGAGGGCTGCGTGCACAGGGCACCTTACTTTTATAGCGGGCTTTGCAAGGATCCAGGTGGATTGGATTGCTCACCGGAAATTTATCCCTTGGACTTCGCTTCTTCTCGGTTCTCTACCCACATCCCTCGCAACTCTGCCCTTGTTATTATCCGCATTTCGTACAAACTTAATTTTTATTATTTTTATCATTAAAATTTTTTTTTCAATCAATATCAGCACGGGCCGAATCCCGGCGTCTACTTCGCCTCTCTTTCGCCATCAAGGTCAGTCCGTGTGCTCTTCCACAGCGAACCTGCCTGCCCACAGCATTTCGGCGCCAGCAGCCTCATGCTCCAAGCCTGCTAGCATTACCCATCCGGGCCTGGCGCTGGCAGCTCAAGGCAGCGCGGTAGATCTGCTTGCTACTGCAGACACCTGCCATCGCATTTCTTTGCCGGCTAGGCACACATTCTGGAATATACCTACCTTGCACGCACGCACATCGAGAAATATACACTCTCGCAATATATACACACTCTTCTCAGGTAAGCATCTCTACCTCGTTGTGTCATGGCTCACGACACTCGTTTTCCTGCATTGAGAATGCTCTACCCCGCGCCGATGATGAGCAAAATGGTAAAAGGTCAGACAGCCTCGTGCTCTTCTAGTGTTGTGGTTCCAAGTGATGGGGGTTGGTTACCTGCGCCTGTGAGCGCGTCCCGTCCGCCTATCACCGTCCCCGCGCGCTGCCTCAAGGCTAGCGGCAGCGTGGGGCGCCTGGCTGGGGGGTATATCAAACGACATTGTCGGCTCGTCTCGACAACACTGCCACATTTCGGAGCCCGGTTTTCAGATCATTTCAAAGAGCCGGGCACAAAGGCCGTGGCAGACATGAAAAAAGGGCTGGGGGGGCTGAGCCATCTCACTTCCCTCGCCGTTCTAGGGCGTTCGTTGGGGGTGTGGAACCTCAGCAACCTAGCCCGCCCCATCACTAGAACCACGAAACCGTTGCAGCTGGCTGGATGATGACCTCTTGATAAACTGAAAAGACCTGAGGCGCTCTCCTGCTTTGATTTTCAAAAACTCATATGAATTTTGCCGCTGGCTCACTTGGGTGGAACACTGCTAACTGTTGATTTGGCCGGACTGGCTTATTAGTCTCCCACACACTTAACTAGATTTCGGCTGCGCCAGCTGCAGGCGCCTTAGGGTACATGATGGCTGCCCAGAGCTTACAATACTAATCCATCCATCCTCACTAGGGCTCTCCACCTCCGCCTCGAGCCGTGAGAAGGAGCGAACGGAAAGGGCTGATGCCTCCGCATTGTAGATACTGCAAGCAAGGCCATAGTTTCGACAAGCCGCTTTTCAGATGCATCGTCTGTAGCAAGAGCTATCACTCGGCGTGCCATACGCCGCAGCCGAAAGAGCCCAAGTAAGTCCCGCCGTCGGGTCGGCTTATCCATCTTGTCTATTCCGTCCGTATCTCAGATTCCTCTGCCTACTTATTACTCCTCACTTTCCATTGCTGCTTGCCATGCCATCCATGCCATGCAATGCATGCCAGGGCCCTGGTGATCAATGCTGTCTCCCAACCCACCCACTCCGTTGCATCCGAACCGATCCAACCAAGTCCAATCCAACGCCAATATTCCACATTTCCTCCAGACCTATTCAGGTTACCACATGATAGGTGTGCATCGTAATAGTGTGCCTCGCCTTGTCACCTAATTGCGCAACTTATTACTTAGAAACTACCTTACCCACCTTACCTTACCTACTAGCCTCACTACCGTACCTTACCTTACCTGGCTATTAATTTTTTTTCTCCTTGCTGCTGCTGCTACTGCTGCTGCTGCGGACGATGGAAAGTCACAAGCGCGCCCCACCTGTAGCCTATTTTGCCGTGCCGCATTGTTCTCTGCCAGGCGGCTACCAACCTGAACCTTTCAATTGCACTTCTCTCTCACTCTCAACTTCAATCCATTATCTACCTGCCCTTCACATTTCAAACGCATCGCCACCTTTTCATCTAGGGCTCCGTCCATCCACCCCACCTCATGCCCAGTAGCAATCAACTATTCCCCGGCCCTGCCACGTGGCCTATAGTTGCCGGCGTCGAGGTCGGCGACGATTGCTGAGCCTGGTCTGCTGAGTCCGAGGCTGCTGCTGACCAACTGTTCCCGCCGTCATTTCAGGGATTGGACGTGCCAACGCTGTGTCGCGCGCAAAACCAGCCAGCCGCTCATAGAGAGACGCTTCAACTACAATGCTCGCGTACCAATAGATATAGCGTCTTTGGGCAAGAAACCCTCATCAGATAAGCCACGGCCTGCAACTCGCCTTCCCAGCCAGGACCCCGGACACGGCCCCGGGCTAGACAAAATGGAGTGTTCGTATCCAAACTGCGCGCAACCCAAAGCGCCCCAGGACATTATGTGTCCCATGCACATGAACGGGTTCACCAATGCTGCCAGCGCCCGCCCACTTGACAGAGAGTCGGATGCGGGGTCTGCTGCACCGTCGCCGTCGACATCGAGATCGGCGTCCTTGACGGCATCCGCGTCCGCGTCCGTGTCCGCGTCCGTGTCAACAACCCTGTCAGCACCTACCGCGCCTGCGCAAGGAGCGTTGCCCGCACCCCACACAAATTCAGTGCCGAGCTCGGGTCGCCCGAGCCATGTGCCACCCGCCATACCTAACAAACTTCTGTCTGAAAACGACAAGTCTCGCCCAATTCTCAGGCGTAAAACAGCAAAGGCCTCCAGTACGCCCACATTCTCCGTTTTCAAGCCTTACACGCCTTATGTCTCGGGCGAGAACACTCCGGCAGCCCCATCTAAGCCGCCTCTTCTTACTCCGTCAGTACACTCTCCGCCGGCCAGCCCAGACGCTCCGCGTGACGGAGAGCCGGCGAGAAAGAAACAGAGATTAACGCCTTCCGTGGATGGCGTGCCTGATGGCCAGCCAAACGGAGCACGAGCATCTGACCCCGCCAAGCCGGAAGAATCTGGTGTCAGAGAAAAGACGGCAAAGGTTCTTTTGAATGCACAATCCGGCCGTCACGCGTCCCACTCCCAAACTCAGAGGCCAGGGAAAACGCTCGAGACTGAGGGCATAAACGGTTTCAAACTGACTGTCAAGCCGGTGAGAAAAATGGCACCTCCCATATCATCTAACGTGAGGTTCTTCCCCGGTTTGGAGGGCTCCTCCTCGGAGCCTGAGCGGCCGCCCAGGGAGCAGCCTCCTCGACAGGAGCCCCCGGTGAACGGGACTTCGGCATCGGTTTCAAGGCGCACGCCTGAAGAGGGCGTCTTTCTTGGCAATAAGGGGCTGCAAGATTTCTGGAAGTCTGGTAAAATCAATCAATCATTGTCCCCAGTTTCACACACGGAACCACGGTCAGCCTCGCCGTATCAGTCAAGGCCGTTTCAACCAATATTACAGAAGACCCCGGCAGTCAACGGCCAGAACCACAATGCCCAAAACCGGCCCGAGAACTCAACTTATCAGGTTTCAGGCTCCGAGAAATCAACGAATGAGAGGCCCTCGACCGACGATTTCCCTTTGACTGTAGATGGGCCAAAAACTATTTTCTTCAGCCCGCCGGAACCCCAGACACAGCCAGTAACCTGGGTGAATGGGGCCCCCACCTTGAAGTTACCGGTGCAACCTAACGGAATTTCGAGGCAAGAGCCGATGCGGCAAATGCCGTTTAACATTCATACGAAGAAGCAGCAGCAAAAGCAGCAGCAGCGTCAGCCGGGTCAGTTCAAAGCGTTGGATCTCGGTTTGCTTGATAGCTTCATCTACAACCAAGAAGGCGCAGCAAAGCCTCCCCCAGGCCTTGTGCTTCGGCCAGCAGTTTCTTTGGCAAAAAAGCCCGAGACTCCGGTCAAGGAGGACGAGCCGCTATATGCCGACATCGACCCCCGCATCCACTGGCCGCAGCCGCGCTCGGAGGCATGGCACGAGGCCAAGCAGAACGAGATCAAGGAACGCGGCGGTCGTAAAGCCCAGTTCGGCAAGGCAGCGCTACGGCTGCGGCAGCAGCGGCTGGAGGAAGGGGAGCCGGACTCTTTCGAGGAAACGCTGCCCGACAAGATTGCGGAAAACCCCGCGTGGGTGCGGATGTTGAAGCGGCTTCATAACATAGAAGGCGAAATCGCGGCTAGCGGCGGTGCAAATGGGGTAGGCAAGCGGGGACGGCGGAGGGCGGGGGATGTTGGGCTGTGAAGCGGCGAGAGAGAAAGCTGCGGTTACTCGGCTCGTCTCTAGCTACAATTTCTCGGAGTGAGATTTGATAGTCGAAGCGAATTTCTAGGAAACTGCACCTTCGAACTTCGAAACCCAAGACGAACGAGCAAGCAAGCAACTTCTCAAACTATCTAGAGACTTAACTAAGCCCGGCAGATTATATTATGTTACAGGAAGGAGCAGCATATGACAAAGATCGTATGAAAGCCAAGAGAAGAGAGAGCAAATAGAAGGAGGAGACCTTTTTTTAAGGTCATGAGCCAGAGGAGTGAGTCAAGGGACAGGAGGAATGTAATAAGAGCATGTGTCAGTTGCTTGTTTTGTATTTTTTGTTTTTATTCTAGCATTATTCTTTTTATTACAAAAGTTGAACGGAGTGATGGAAGGAAAACGCGAAATGGGAAATGGGCTGAAAGGTGGCGGATACCTGTTTAATTCTACTCTTTTTTATTCTCTTTTTATTTTCCTTTGGAAGTGGTAGATGGGTGGTGGGCTCTAGGAGTGACGGCTAGCCGGGCATGATGCCATTCATTTTATCTTTCGAGGCACTATTTTCTTTACTTGTACATAGTTGTTTAGGTTGCTATTATGATTGAAATAGCTGCCCAAACAAGCGTTAGTTAGTTTTGCAAAAAGCAAGAAATAGATCCTCTTTCCATTGCTGCTAACTGGCGGTAGATACCTAATTAGGTGGGAAAACATTTCATGAGAAATGCTATGACAGTAACTTTGGGCTAGGTTGGCGGTTTTCTTTCAGTTCGTTAATTACGCGGAATGGTTACATGTAATTCGGTAATGATCTGTTTTATACTAATTACTGATAGAGTTGCGACTTCAAAAGTGTCCTCTTGTGTTTTTGCAAATGCCTGTGTTATGGGTGGGTGCAGAGCAGTGCACTCTGGATTGGATGTATAGTCCATTTTAGTATTTACAGGGTTCCCTCTTTTTTTTTTTTTTTTTTTTTTTTGGTTGCTGCTGTCCGGTTGTTGTTAGCGGGAGGGAGTGGTAACGGGGTACATGTACCTAGGTATATTAGCGTGGAATTGGCCCGCGCGGCATCATCATGAGCTAGGCTCGGACTCGGACTCGGACTCGGCGGGGTAGGTGGGCAGGTAGGTAGGCAGGTCGGCGGGCTGGTGCATTGTAGTCAATGTTAGATGGAATCTTGTCGTTTGCATCAATTGCGGAATACCGGGATGGTTCGACTGTGCTGTTTTGGCCCGTATTTGTGTATGTGTTTGCTGCTGCATCTACCGCAGCAGCAGCGTTTTGCCGTGTTTGCCCGGCCCGTGTTTTGCTGTCTGTCGATAATTCGACAATAACGGGCAGATGAGCCGAGCTTGCCGTTGCAGTCTGACTATTTCGGTCTGGGTTCGGTTCAGTTGTTGCGTGAGACAGACCTGTGTTAGCCGTTGAATGGGCCAGGTCACGGATAGTGGTCGAATAATTAGTACCAAATCATTCTCTTCTTTTGCACGAAGAGGAACAGCAGGATAATAAACAGCTGGCATTCTCCACGTCTGCCTATCTCGGCCGTATGATGTATCTATCCGCCCCTTTATTCTAGGTATTGGGAGTAGTATACCTTGTTGTGTATATACCACCGGGAAACAGGTATAAATCGGGCGTGGTGGGAGGCAAATTTAGCCTGGGCCGGCGATTAAGCGAGGCGAGGCGAGGGGGAAATCCCAAGAGAAGAAGGGAGGAAAACCCTCCGATCATGTTGTTGGTCTAGTACTTAGGAATAAATCGAGCCAACGCATGGTGGGTGAGATGGGGGAGTGTATAGGCCTCTAGTTGCACAGAGTTGGGTGAGACCGCGGGGGGGGGGGCGGCCAATGAAGTGCTGACCGCACTGCCAACAATCTAGACCCTGGACTGTTTGCAGACGCGAATATAAGCCTTCGGCTGAGTATGTTTATCGGTGAATACATGCACCAGCGAGTTTCTCGGTCTTTGAAACGAAATAAATCCCAATCATTTATGTTGAAGCTTATTCCGCAGGAAACAAGTTCTGCAAATACCAGTAGTTATTTCGGGTCTCCGAGAAGTTGGGACAGATGAGTCACGTGACTGTCAGCTTTCTGATCTTCAGGGGTCGCGAGCCTGGGTATCGATCGATACTCGGGATATTCATTTGGGTTATATTTTCAAGAAACTTGAATAACAGCCGTCCGGCGGACATACCCAGAGTTTTGCGTCGGTCAAGTCATCGAGGTCGGCAGCTGCGGGCATGGCCTGAAAGATTCGTGTTGATTTACCTAGGTAAGGTACCGAAGCTAATCCCTCACGCTGAGCGTAACGCACCGCAAAAAAAAAAAAAACATTGCAACCTCTCGCTGGTTGTATTGTAAGCGTACTGGCATACTCCAGCTCTCTCTCCACAATCACAATTTCAATTGTATATTCCCAGAATACAATCTGGTTCATTTATTTTCTCTAGCAGGTATGGCTTGACATCCGGGATATAGTCGCCAGGGTCAAGCAGACCAAAGATAGGAAGCCAGGATCACGGTTCGTCTTTAGTCGAAACACTCCCAAACAAGTAACACAGTATACATACGCGTAATATCATCACCCTATTTGCATTTTTTCTTCTAATTGTCATGCCGTTTTTACTTAGACACGTAGGTAATACTTCCCTATATGCGTGCAGCCGTTTCGCTCCCGTTCCCGTTCCCGTTCCCGTTCCCGTTCCCGTTCCCGTTCCCATTTCCCAGTGTCCGGTTTCAGTCCCTCTTTCGCTCAGAGTGGAGTCCCCTTTCAATACCGTACGTACCAATAATTACCTGCTGCCCAGCCGCAGTATCGACCCTGGAATTTACAGTTCTCCATTTCTATCTTTGTTTCTCGTGTCTCTTATTTGGTGGTAAATAAGCTGTGAAAGGGGGGCGGAAATGGAAAGGGGGAACTCGTGCGCGCTTTCCTAACCCGTATTGTCGCGAACAATTGATAAAGACTTTCACGTTCTCAACTCTCAACTTAATGTCAATAATACCTCGGACTATACAGGGTATACAGGTACAGGGTATATTTCTTAAAGATTTTATTTACTTATCTATACGACACTCACTCACACACACACAGTATATGTCCATCCATCTATATACATTTTTCTTTCTTATCCTAGAGGGGAAACCCCCAATGGAAGTGGCAACTATGCTCGCTGGCACAGACAGGTCAGGTGAGACAGGTGAACAGTGAAAACACAACTCGAATCTATCAAAACAAACGCGACAAAAACTTTTTGGTACGCCCAAACTATCCGTTCCATTGTATGATTTGCCACTTCCAACTTCATTGCATTGTATAATTTCCACTCACGCCCCCTAAAGCCCCTTGGAGAGCAGGTTTAGGGCGCTGCCGGCGAGGATGAAGTCGGCGTGGTCCTTGCTGACGGCGTGCTTGGTCGGCACCAGGAACTGCTCGCCCGAGCCCTTCTTGGTGACGCGCAGGCTGACATCGCCCTGACCGCCGTTGCGCAGCATGTCGTAGAGGCCGACCGTCGCCACCTCGTCACCGGCGTTGATGCGGTCGTAGTCGGCCTCGTCGGCTAGGGTCAGCGGCACGACGCCCTGCTTCTTGAGGTTTGTCTCGTGGATGCGCGCAAAGCTCTTGCACACAATTAAGCGCGCCCCGAGGTACCGCGGCTGCAGCGCCGCGTGCTCGCGCGCCGAGCCCTCTCCGTAGTTGTGCTCGGCCACGACGAGCCACGGCTGGCTCGCCTCCTTCCACTTGCGCGCTAGCTCTGGGATTGTGTGCTTGTTGCCATCAAGGTCGTACGCCGCGTTGACCTCGCCCGTTTCCGCGTTGACGGCCGTATTGAGAGTGTTGGCGCTGATGTTGGGCAGGTGGCCCTTGTACTTGAGCCAGGGGCCAGCCGCCGAGATGGTGTCGGTGGTGCACTTGCCCGTGATCTTGACAAGCACCCGCAGTCCCGATAGATCCGACGACGGGAAGGCGTCGAAGGGCTCCAGCAGGGCAAGACGCTTAGAGGATGGTGAGATGGCAACTTCGACGTTAGGGTCTGGGGACTGGGATTGAGCCTTGAGAGCATCCTTTCCAAACTCGAAAGGAGTCTCGGGCCCCTCGAGACCGTGAGGCGCAGGGAAGCGGAACTCCTTCCCGTCAGGCGTCGTGAGGCTATCCGTCATGGGGTTGAAGGTCGTCGACCCCGCGAAGGCCATGGCAGTCACGATCTCAGGAGACGCCAAAAAGTTCATGGTTTCCGGGTTGCCGTCGTTGCGACCGCGGAAGTTTCTGTTGTACGAGGTGAAAATGGCATTCAGCGTGCCCTGTTCCACTCCGTCCTGGCGCTTCCACTGCCCAATGCACGGCCCGCACGCGTTGGACAGGACAATGCCGCCGGCATCGGTAAATGTCTCGAGGGTGCCGTCTCTTTCCAGGGTGGCGCGGATCTGCTCACTGCCAGGCGTAATGTAAAAGTCAGCAGCCGGCTTCAGACCCGCCTTCTCGGCCTCCTTGACGATGCTCTCAACACGCGTCATGTCCTCATACGAGCTGTTGGTGCAGCTCCCAATGAGGCCAGCCGAGAGCTTCTCGGGCCAGTTTTGCTCCATCACCGTCTCCTTAAACTTGGAGAGGGGGGTTGACAGGTCAGGCGTGAAAGGGCCGTTGATATGTGGCTCTAGATCCGAGAGGTTGATCTCGATGAGCTCGTCATACTGTGCGCCCTCGTCGGCTTTAAACCTGAAGTGGGCATCCTCAGAGGCACCGGCGCCCGGGAAGCTCTGTAGTAGCGCGGCGTCTCTGCTGGCCTGCTCTCGCCGGGTAGACTTGAGATAGCGGCTCGAAGCCTCGGTAAAGGGGAAGATGGATGTGGTTGCTCCAATCTCGGCACTGGGTGACACTATCAGTAAGCCTGTCTCGAGAGGAAATGACGAAAGGCGAAAGGAAAAGGTGAGAAATGAAATTACCCCATGTTGCAAGCCGTCGACATTCCGGTACAGCTCAGCGAGTCCACTCCGGGGCCGAAATACTCAACAACGTAGCCGGTGCCGCCACGGACGGTGAGCAAGCCGGCAAGGTGGAGGATCATGTCCTTGGGGGACACCCAGTCGCTGAGCTTGCCCGTCAGGCGCACGCCGAGGATGCGCGGGGCCTTGAGCTCCCAGGGGGCGCCTACTAGGGCCTCGACGGCATCGGCGCCACCGACGCCAATGGTTATGGTGCTCAGGCCTCCGGCGTTGGGCGAGTGGCTGTCGGTGCCCAGCATCATCAGGCCGGGCACAGCATAGTTCTCGAGCACGGTCTGGTGGATGATGCCAGCACCGGGGGGCCAGAAGTCTATGCCGTATTTGCGGGCGGCCGACTCGAGGAAGTCAAAGACCTCCTGGTTTGTCTTGATGCCAGTCGATAGATCGTCATCGGCACCGCGCTCGCCGACGATCAAATGGTCACAGTGGATGCTGGCGGGGATGGCCGTCTGGGGCAGGCTGCAGGACATGAACTGCAAGAGGGCCATCTGGGCCGAGGCATCCTGCATGTTGACACGGTCGGGGTTGAGCTTGAGGTTGGCCTTGCCGCGGACATCGCGGCCGCCGTTGGTGTTGGTCAGGAGCGACTCCTCGACATTGTTGAGATGACTGTAGAGGATCTTCTCGGCCAGCGTCAGACGCTGGGTCCCCAACACGCGGCGGACCTCGGAGTACTTTTGGTAGAGCTTCTCGTAGGTTGGCGTGAGGGAGGCCGCCCCGACAGAGGAGAAAAGTCGAGTTCGTGTTTGTGCGACAGACCGAAGCCGCTGGGCTTGGAGCGCCCCCTGCCCGCCACGCCAATTTGAGTTAGTTACTACCGTATTATTATAGCCGAGCGAGGGGGGGCTGGTTGTTAAATACCTTCAGGGCGACGCCCGACCGGCCAGCAAGCTCAATTGACCTCATGGTTGCGATCACCGAGACACGGCGAATGGGGGTTAGGGGGCGCTGGCGGGGCGCTGGACGAGCAAAAAATATACTGAGCGAGGTGCGGTCGCGCCATGCGCCAGGGGTCCGCCTCGTTAGTGTCCGATTTACGGACCCTCCTGTGAAAATCCGGGGAACCAGTGACGCCGGGCGAGCGGTAACGGTAATGGTAATGGCGTTGTGTATTCCGTAACACGTCCTGCAAATGTGTCAAAGGTGTCAGGCAGGCCCTTCGCACAGTCCTAAGGTCCGGGGCATCGCTGTTTCTACAAGCGGAAATCCAACAAGCATGTTTTCGTGATACGGATTTGAAATTCGAGTTTTGTCCAAAGTATTCCGAGGTCTTGGATTGAGCATCCGCTCTGGCGGGTCTTGTGGGCGATTCACTTAGTCCGTCAGGCCAGGGGGACGGGCCAATCAGCATGCACGAGATGGTAATCTGGCTCTGCCAAGCAATTCGTTCCCACTGCGATTTATCAAAGTGCGCGCAAGGCTGAGGCTCACCTTTGAAAACAGAATATGGGCAAGACTGTGACCCAGCTGCCAGGTCTGTCCAGTCCTTCAGTCCTCAATCTGAAATAGAAATTTTGGTATTGAAGTATTTTGAATTTCTGCCTTGCTGACCTTGCCCCACTGGCACTGCTTATTCGTTTGGCTGACTGGTCTTGTTTGACTGCTCCCGACCGTTGCGGTAGGACTTGAATTTGGAGGCCATAGTCACTGCTCGGCGCCCACGCCTTCATCTACTCCTATTGCTCGCTATCTTTGATATGATTCAGAATTCCAGCATCTTATTAGACGAATCTTCACGTGGGCCTAAGTATTGTTGGGCTGTCTGATTAATTGAGGCTACATTAAGACGGCTGGCATAAGCGAGCACCTCTGAACGATGCCGAATTGTAAGACCATATCGTTTGTGCAGTAACGGCTAACAAACAATAGCAGGTGGGAAGCCGGTTGTATTGTACTACTTTTCAGTCAGGGTGAGGTTCAATTAACGATTATCAGTATGGCGTACATTATGTGACAATTCAAAACCGCGTGTAATCCAAGCCTGTAAAGTTGTGTTTAAAGCCAAACGAAATACCGAACTCGTAGCTGAGAAGGAAACAACGCAAGGAAGCGAGACCCACCGGCATCTCTAGACTCAGCAGGGCCATTGCATTGCAACGTGCAAAGGGATATCCGCCGACGTTCTTCAGAACCTCGGCACAGAACCCAGAACCCATGTTTTTTTTCATTCTCTTGGCTTCCCTTCTGTCATCGGAGGAAGGCGTATCGAACAGGCTTCTCACGGGCAAGACAGAAATACAGAGCAATCCAGGGACACTATTAGGCTCCCATAATCATATTTGATCAGAAAGCTATTGGGGTGGACCTTTGGACCTGACCGCAGAGGTCATATTGAGCTACATCGTTGGCCCGGAGGCAAATTGGCCTCTGACCATATCGATCCAATAACCAATTCCTTCCAGGGCCACAATAGAAGCCAAGGCAATTGGCCAATGTCTACAACATAAACACTGCAGCTTGTTTAGGTGACTGTCTTACCCAGCTCGCGACCTCCTAATTAGGTAGTCTCGAGAAGTAAGTACGTCGTTCAACCAGTCTCAAAACAAGAAGACTAGTCTATCTCATGAGACAGGCAGCACACCCGCTGTCTCACCTCAGCACACTGTCCCATGTAAAATCTAGCTGGGGGTTTTCTGCTAATTACCGCTGGTATTTTCTTATTCTAACCAACACCTGGTCAAAAGTAGCTTACGTAATTACATTACCTGATCAAGAACGACAGACAGACAAATAATAAAGAGAATTAGGTAACTTCTCCCTGCTATTTTCCACTCTAGGTGTCGTCTCATGTCCTTGAATTACCTGGGCAGCGGGCCCGAATTGTTCTAGCTCGCGTGATTACCTAGAACCAGTTAATTACCTACCTAGCAATACCTCGTTTTTCACCGGCGCAGAGGACGAGGCCTAGTTTTACAGTCATTAGCTAGGACATCAGCTCGCATATCGCACAGCTTCAAGCAGACAAATAGATATGGAGACAAGGAGACAAGGAGACAAGCGGGCTCCTCCCAGCCGAATCCTCCCTTAGCCTTCTCGCGCCTCGTTCCTCTGTCAGCTCGGCTGTTGAAGCTCGACGTCGACAACACAACAAATCCATGGCTAGCATTCTCCCATGTCACTACTTAAAGTCCCCCTTTTTGCATTTATTTTCTTTACTTCAGGGGGGACTTCGACAGTGAGATCTATACCAAGCACTAATTAAGGAAAGGTATATTATCCCCAAAACTGTCATGGTATTGCTCATGTTGTCTACCAAGTCAAAGCGTCGCGTCGCTTCATCAACAGGTAGCGACACGATATCAACACCCATATCCCCCTTCAACACGCCTCATCATCCATCTCGCTTTATCTCTGGCAAAACCGTTATCGCCATTAGTGGCTAAGGCATTTCTATTACAGGAACGCATCGTCGTTACAACAAGCAGAGTCATATCCCCCCTCTCGTTATTTCATAGTTTCGCCAACACTGAGACAAGTAGCCTTCAAATCGCATAAATAAAGAAAGTAAGAAAAAAAAAGAACACACCCTTAACACGAGAAAGGATGAAACAAGCCGGCACCGTACCCTCTTGGCCAATGAATATAGCAACTAGCGACAATAACAGTCTATCGCAATGGCCGGGGGCGGACAGTTGCAGCTGTCTAGCAAATCTGAAAAGTATCAATCTAACAAAGCAACAAGCTCCCGAGAAGAAAAAGCTTCTAGAATAAAGTGATATATATAAGAATAAGCTCCCCTGATAGCGCCTGTCTGTCTCCCTGCACTCCAGTCATTGCCGACCCGAACAGTGCCAAAACCCTCTCACCGGGGCAGGGCCACCCTTTACGCACGCCACGCAGCCTCCCAAGTCCCAGATATAGATCTGGCACGATCAAGATATCCTCTGCCTTTTAGAATCTGGCTCCGGGTTTCCCACCTTGCCTCCTTCAGCACTGGCTAACGGTGGATTATTCGAGATATCCGATAACGGCGGTCTTGCTCCGCCGGCAGCCGCCACGCCTGATCCCAAGCCAAGATCCCCTGCAGCGCCCGATCCTGCTCCCACGGGCACTGCTGGACGCTTCATAGTTGGCGGACGGTACTGGCCGCGGTTCGAGAGGGGGCTAGCCGCGCCCGGCGCTCCAATTCGCCTGGCGTGGTCGAACTGCGGGTTGATTACGTTGCCTCTGGCCATTGGCGGGCCGGATCGCGTTAGAGGTGGCGCACTACCTCCTGCTATTGCAATTCCCACACCAGGTGAGCCGGCACTGGCGCCCTCTACAGCACTTACCGACGGAGGAACATGTTGTCCCGTCCTGGATAGTGGCTTTGACTTGGTATGGTCGATGCCGGGCGTCTTGCGGATCGAGGGACTCTCGGCGTGGGGGTTAAAGACCTGCCCAGCTTTTGGGGCAACTTGTCCGCCGTTGAGCGTATCCTCAGGAAGCTCCTTCACTGCCCGCGCGGAAAAGAAGCCCACGGCTTCGCCCGGCGGTGCAGCAGTCCCACCGTTTTGGCCTCCGGGTTGCGGAGGCGGTGTCATTTGCGCTTGAGCATTCTGGTGGTTGCCATGCTGCTGTTGTAGTACAGGTGGCTGGGGCCTGTTCTGATTGAACTGCTGAGGCTGCTGAGGCCGTGGAGCACCGCCTTGGGGTACATTGTTTTGCGCGGCATTGAAAGACCTGAAATTGTTAGGCTGAGGTGATTGCTGGTTAGGGTTGGGCGTGTGAGGCTGATATCGCGAAGGAGGGTTCCCTGCCGAGGTTGACCTGGTCAAGGCCCGGGACGGGGGCTGCATAGACGCATTGTTATTGTTCGCTGCGTGGGCTATAGATCTGTTGCCAGGAATGGCCTGGTTTGAGTTTGAATTTCCTTGATTGGAGTTGGTCAACACAACTTCATCAGGATGGCCTTCCTCGGCGATGTTGAAGTCGGCTTCATCGAACTCTACGATCAAAACATCAGCAAGCCTCCAACGGCCCGACTTGGGCAAGACATACCTCCAAGCAAGTCCTCGAATGAATCAGCCGAGATTACTATGTCACGGTTAGTCTATGATTTTGCCGTGAAAGATCTCCAGCCAGCTCATCAGCTTACATTGTGGTGGTGGTGGCGGTGGCGGTGGAACGGCACTGTTGTTGGGCTTGGCGACGTTTTCAACCTTGGCAGGCGGAGCACTCTTGATAGCGAAGTCTGAATGGCGATGCAGGCGGTCGGTATCAAACTTAGTGGGATCGACCTTCATCTTGGTGACTTTGGCCAGGTAGGCCTTGTCGTAGATGCAGTTGCCTAGCACGTTGCCAAAGTTGCGCAGGGCACGCTTGAGCGCGTCCGTGGTACCCTCTTTCTTGGCCTTCTCAAAGGCGGCCGCCTTGCCCTTGCAGTTTTCGATGTGGCCATAGCCAACGTCTTCGTGGTAGGTGCCATCGCGCAGCGTGACGCGGACCACCACCGACAGGCCCAGGCTGATTTTAAATGTCTGCTCGTGCTCGTCGACAAAGTCGACCTGGATGTTCTGGATGCTGGAGGACCAGCCGTTGAACCCAAAGACTTCATTGGCGAGGGCAATGCACTTTTCGGCAGTGATGTAGTGCACCTTTTGGCCTGATGGGCCTTGCCGCGACGAGATGTACTCGGGGCCCAGTTGCTTCTGGAGTCTGCTCTGGAGAGTCGCAATCTCTTGCGCCGTGTATTGAGACACACGGTTTGTTTGCTCCTGGAAGGGGTTGGCAATCACGCTGTGCTGGTCGCCGGGGCTAGAACGACACATTGATGGTCAGCTTGGTCACCATGGGCATTGGCACGGGCGGGGCGTTGGCTTGAGTCGGCACATCCAGAGAGACGCGCGACGACGGCAAACACGAGGGCTAAAAACGTACGCAGGCATCTTGACGGATTCAAGACCACCCTTCTATCATTTGAATTGTAAAATGTAAATGCCAATTACTGAGGGTCGGAGAATCCGGGTGTTGGGCGGGCCAGGTTCGTTGGAAATGAGCACAAGATGATGGCAGCGTGCTGCTTCACGGTGCGGTGCTGCGCGGCACTGGCAACCGCGACCAACCTAGCAACACGTCTCGCACAGGCTGTCACGTGGGGCCATGCCAGCTGCTGCCTGCCGCTACTAGCCCATTTCGCGTTTCCCCGCCATCCAGGACCTCTTGGGCGGTACGTACTCACCCCACCAAGGCTGGTTCATAATGAAATGCAGAACTGAAGCTGAAATGGACGTCAAACAAGTTGCTATGCAGAAATAGTCGATTTCGCCAAATCTACTCAAGATCTAGACGAGCAATTCTTGGCTTGTTTTCATCGACTCGTGGTGTTGTGTGTGTAGCACGATGGATCTACCTTACCTGCATAGTAGATTCTCCACCTACCCAGAGACCATCGCGGCCTAACCAACGGCTCCCTGTGTTGTACAAGATAAATAAATCCCACGTGGACATGCCTCGTAATTAAATTGCGTTTGTGTAACCGCGTAAAGTGGCAGTGGCACTGCTTCATGTGCAGTCCTTTGACTATTCCCGTGGTTGAATCCGAGTTTTGTTTGGGGCAATTGTGATCGCAAGTCACCCGTGCACTGCGCCAGCATGCGGGATTCAACATGACGAATGGTTCAAGCTATAGATTAGAGTCTCGCAGTGGCAAAAAACATGGAACAGCTTGCCACCAAAGCTAATGTGAAAAACCGGGTAAATGCAGTTCAAATGTTTCTCCTGAGAACCGAAGCCATGGCGGATAGGTCGATCCGTTCATGACATAGAACAGAGGCCTGTTCGGTTGCCGGCGATCAGGGGCATAAAACGTAGCCTTAGCTTTGCGTCTGAACCAGAGCTTCGACCATGTGCTTGTCCAGAGAGCTTGGGAACCATGTTCACACAACGACGCAGTGACCTTGATCGTCTCGAGGAAGGATTGTCATGAAACACTTTATAGTAAATACCCTGGCACTTCTCAGCCGGTGCGGATTTCTGGTTGGTTTGTTGGACAAACCGCCCAACTACACCGCGTGACTGCGCTACCTATGGCTCCGGCTGGCTCCCTCCCCCTCCCGATCAACTGGAACAGAATGTCGGAAGAAGCCAGCCCCAAGCACCCATCCTACTCCAGTGGCGCTCTAAATGTAAAGAAGAAGAAAACAGAAAGCCCAGTTGTGTGCCTGAATACTAAAAACGAAAGAAATTGTTTCCATGAAAAAGCCTCCCAGGTAAAGAGTTCCGAGACAATACACACCACAAAGCTGCATTCGCTTTCAACAAACGTACGGTTGCCGGAATGAGAGGGGGTGCCCCTCAAAGGCCGCGTAAGCAAACACTGTCGAAAACAGGCGCCCCGAGCGCCTTGAGCGAGTGAGAGTGCTCTCCGTGACTCGGAAGCTCTGGAAAATGGGGGATGTCAGAAAACATGAACGCCGTTGAACATTTCGCCGAATCTCAAGGTCTATGCCAGCCGCCCGATGCTTGATAAAGGGAAAATCGTCATGCTGTTTGTCATGTCCGTGCCCACCTCTCGGGTCGAAGCCCGGACCCGATATTGCCACATGTCTATCCAAGTCTACCATGGACCAACTCGGACTGGTGAGCCGTATGTGCCGTTCATGAGTTGGTTCAGAATCGAATTGGGGTCTGAAGATGCAGAGGAATGAGAATTTGGGTTGCCGCCCATCCAGCCCAGTTCGGCTATGACGTTCATCGCTTGTTGTAAGCGTCCTCCTGATTGTTGATTGTGTTTTGCCAGGCTCTGGTCCCAGCCGCCGGTGTGCAATAAGAAGCCACCTCCTCTCTTGGAAGATTCTGTAATCACCAGTGCCCACGCCCGGGAGATTTCATCGTATGCGTTGTCCTTGTGGATGCGCTGGTCCGGGCCTTCCCAGTCCGGCAATTCATGAATGATCTTTGTCGCGCCGTCCAGGTATTGTAATGAGAGGTTTGCTTGTTGCTCGGTAGGCGGGAGATATTGCGGTGTGAAGTCGGCGATGGCCTCGACAAGGGCGACGAGCGGTTGCTTGACCCGGAAATATGTGTAGTTGGAGCTCGATGATCCAAAGGGGACAGCGTCCTGTAGCTTCTGCCGGTAGTCGCCCAGAACCTCGAGCGCAGAAGCGACCGAAGGCCGCGGCGTCTGCGTCACAACTTCGTGACCGATATCCGGATACCGCTCGCAGATGGTCTGGAGCACTGTTCTCAATTGCGTTATGTCGAACGTCTCCAGTAATCGCGGGAGGGAAACCGGGCGCCCGGTCATGTCATTCCCAGCGCGAGCCTTCTTGGAGGGCCTCGCAAGTTGCCTCGACGAGATGGCGGGTGAGCTCTGGGGCGACACCGACATTTCGTCGACATCATCGTCGGCTTTCCGCTTCTTGGATGCCACGCTGTATGGCGACACTTAAACGGGAGTTGGTTAGCACATGTACTCGGTAAGTTTTCCTGCATAATGAACCAAGAATGACGCATTTCCATTACTCGCGCGACCTCGTTTGCATCCCGACAAGATAGGTGGTGCACGTCAAAGTAGGAGCGAGGGGAACCTACTGGACCGAGGCGGCGAGAGCCGGGCGGCTTCGTGTTGATGAGGAAAAAGCGGAGGTTGAGGAGGCAGAAGGACGTTCATTCTGGACGGTGACGGCGGCTGTCCGAGTAGTGTCACGGCGATGGATGGGGTTGCAGCTCAGCGATCAGGTGGTGTCGGGAACAGAGGCAGAAATGGTAAAGAGGAAGGTGAGAGGCGCAGTTGTGGAGATGGATGGGAAAAATGAGGAGGTGCGGCCAAAGGCACGAAGCAGCATCCAAGGCGACCCCGGTTTGATGTCGGACCAGTCAGGATGTGATGGGTGGTCAGGGTTTGGGTGTGCCAGTGCAGCGGGCGACAACAACCTGCTAAAGTGGGGGCGCCGAGGATTCTCGCCGGCGGTTTGCTGCGTACTCTAGCCCGACAAAGATTTCGGTTCTAGTGGAGAAGAGCGTTACCGCTTTAGTGGTGTGGTCGACGGGCCAGCTGCAAGCTACACAGCTGTGCAGTAAGCGGCTTGGGCTTGGGCTTGGGCCTGGTGGTTGTCAGGCGGCTGCCACACATCACGAAAGAAGTGCAAGTGTTCGGTTCTTTTTTTCTGGTGAACAAGAGCGGTCAAGGGATCAAGGCATAAATTCAGGCGCCACTGGGCCCCGGCACAAAGACAGCCCGCCCAGAAGAAGCGACCCTGGTCGTACAAAGCACGTGAGGCTCAGGCCCCAAGAAGTTACTTTGTTCAGCAGTTTAGAGGCTCCATCTGGGCTCTGGAGGGGCGTGACAACTAAACCTCCAGTCAATTGCCCCATCCCTCCCACCCACCTTTCCATCGCCTGGGCAGCTGTCAACGACAACAAATGAAAGCTGACCTATGGCCGATTCCTGGGATTCATTATCTATGCCTAGCCTGTTGTGATTGCCCGGCCTGCCTGCCAGTGAGAGTCGCAATCGGTAATTTCGAAGTGACTGCCCAGCCAAATCACCATCCCAAGAACCGCCTTTGGTTCCCGCTATTGCCAGGCGTGCCAGGCCGGGCTGCGTGGCGAGCAATGATCGGTCCGGGGGCTTCCCTCCTTCACCTCAGGCACCGTTCGCCGGTAGCGATTGGCTCGGACGACCCAAAATGCCATCCCAGCCTGGCCTCGCAAAATGGCCGCTTTCCCCCCGCTCCCCGCCCAGCGCCCATCCGTCCCGTTCTTTACCGGAATTTCCAATAGCAAGTCGTGCAGCTGTGCAACGTACTGTCTAAATCGCTCCAATTAGCCCACACTTTCGCCCGAGATTGAATCTTGAGTCTAAATACTCACAAGTGCCTACCTTACTTCACTAATCCTCTCGTCATACTAGCGTTACCCCTCCGTTAGAAGGAAGGCGGGGAGGGGATCCATCGCATACAACACGGAACATGTATTGGGTTTAAAAAGGAAGAGACAGTTGCGCATCACTCCCAGGTGCACAAGGCTAGGATAGGACAATACTAAATAGACGTCCCAGCTAATTATGATTATCAGCGTAGCACCGAGCCAGACTCTGAGCAGGAGATAGGTTTTGCCCGCCCCGACTTAATGAACTGTCCTAAGATGCGCGGTGTGGAGAAGCTGTTCCCGCCCCACATTGAGAATTGAGCTGAATATGGGCGGCATGGCTTTTCAAGCTTATCGCTTATCGCCAAGTAAATTTTCCAGGGTAGAGAAAAGTTTGTGCAGTCTCCCAATGGAGTTTGGAGTCTCGGACTGCCGCCGGACGCCCGTCGAAAGCTGCTGTGATTCCGCAAATAACAACCAACCCAAACTTACAGCAAAGCAACGAAAAATGGGGGCAAAATCTATCGACTCGTCGTCTCCGGCGCCCGAGTTTCCTCAAGAGCAGCACCAGACGGCAACATCACCGTCCAAGAAGCGCAAGTCAACCATCGACGAGATCGCCGTCGACCTCACTCTCCCCGAGCCGCCATCCAAGAAGGCCCGCCGCCTGCTCAAGAAGGGCAAGCCCTTGCCCGTTAAAGCGCACTCTAGTGACGAAGAGAGCGATGACGATAACGACAAGGCTGCCGCTGGGACGGTCGAAGATGCCAAAAAGAAGAAAGAGCGCTCACCCTATGGCGTCTGGATTGGTAACCTGCGATTCACCGTCACCAGGGGGGATTTGAGGAAATGGCTGGTCGACAACTCTGGGGGCGTCATTAATGACGAGGACATTACCCGCGTGCACCTGCCCACTGTCAAGCCGGCAGCGGGCGACCCCAAGAGAGACAAGGACACGCCGTCAGAAAACCGAGGCTTCGCATACGTCGACTTTGCGACTCTCGAGGCCAACGTGGCAGCCATTGCGCTCTCGGAAACCGAGTGGAACCGGCGCAAGGTCCTGATTAAGGACAACAAGAGCTTCGATGGGCGGCCGAAGAAGGAGGAACCCGCCGACGAGGACGGCAAGGACGGAGCTGCGGCACCGGTCAAGAAAAAGAACATGCGCACCAAGGTCTTTGTCGGAAACCTGGCCTTCACCGTGACCGAGGACGACCTGCGTGCGCACTTTGACAAGTGCGGCAAGATCCGCTGGATCAAGGTTGCCACGTTCGAGGACACAGGCAAGTGCAAGGGCTACGGCTGGGTGAACTTCGAGGAGGCTGAAGCGGCCGGGTGGGCAGTCAAGGGCTTTGTCAAGATACGCGAGACCATTGAAACGTTAGAAGACTTTATGGACGACGATGAGGCGGACGGAAATGACGAAGTAGACGACAGTGATGCCGAGGAGGGCGAGAGCGCCAAAAAGACCAAAAAGCCAGCCGCGAAACAAGCCGCGGAGCCCGTGAGGGTAAAGACACGCAAGTGGTGGGTGAACCAGCTCCAGGGCCGAAACCTCAAGATCGAGCTGGCCGAGGACGACCAGCTGCGCTACACCAAGCGCTTCAAGAAGGGCGGGTCAAAGAACCCCAGCACTGCAGAGGGGGCTGAGGGAGCACCTGCCAAGGAGGGTGAGGCGAGGGCCTACAGCAAGCCGAAGAAGGCAATCGCCTACGCGACCGACATCAGCGTCGCCAGGCTTACTGGCGCGCCGGTCAAGAGCGAAGGAAAGAAGACCACGTTTGAGTACGAGAGGGGCGGGCGTTGATACCCTTGCGCATATGTTTCTCGCAGCAGCAGGAGCAGCGGTCTGGCCTTGTGCTTTGCGCTGCTCGGACACCACGTTTCTTTGACGAGTCGTTCCAGGCAAGCTGAATATAGTCTCGCGTGGTTGTTTCTTAGTTCCAGAAGGTGTTTTACAGAATCCTCAACGCCAGACGACGATTCACATGCCTTGTGCTCTCTGACCCCATTTAGCTGTTCAGCCTTTCATGAAAACACGAATCGTTAAGCTGCTGTCCTGTCTCTACACCGGTTGAACACGCACGCACGATTCACAATGCTTGGGTTGGGTCTCTCCTCGCTTTCTGACATGCTCCGTCGTTTGCATGTTGATCACTGCCACATACACAAACTCTTCGGAATCTGCTCCTCCAAGCTCTAGGTCTCCTCTTGGTTCCTCTTGAAACTAAAACTAGCCGTTATGATCAAGCCTACAGACACCCATACTTATTGAGATATGCATGTCGCCGACTTAATGACATTACTCGGTTATTTACCACATGAAGCAGGAATTCAAAGAGACATGACATGTCACCTGCGAAACATAGACATCATCCAAAAAGGAACAACAGGCCAGACATCAAGGTCAACAAATGACACATAAATCTCAACAATATTAGCACCAACAAAATTGCGATGTCTCTTTTTAAGAGATTTGACGAACAAATAAATACCGACTAACAAATACACAAGTGCTCCATACAGACCGCAAAGCTACAAGCATCACTCTCACAGATCAATAACCACACGAGCACGTATCTGTCCAAACTCATATCCCTAACCTAAGACCTAGCTAGACTCAATCTGGGCAATACATAGGCAGGCCGGAGTTGCGGGAAGTGCAGGAATAATAGTGAGATGGGAAAAAGAAAGCGTCAACCACTATGATTGGCGGGCAATGATCTTCCGGCCACATTGGAGTTACATAGCAGAAAGATATCGCACAGGTTTTACGTTGAGATGTGTCAAACCCACCGCCTGTGTGCATGTAGAGTCACCGAGAGAAGTATACTAACTGCTCGGTCCGACTTCTCGAAAAGCGGTAAGGAGAGTAGGAAGACGAGAAGGAATTCCCAGTAAGAGAAAGTTACATCATTTCAAAACATAAAAGGGGAAGAATATAGAAAGGGTGACCGATTGTTCCGAAATACCAGCCCGACTGATCCGGTGCTCCTGTGTCCATGATATTTGCCGCGTAAGAGAGTTAAACAAGGCCGATCAAAGGCACGCGCCCGGCGCGTTGGTGCCCTAAGGTTGCTGAGCCTCCTTATTTCTTAAGGAGCCGTTTGTGCTGCTCGTCGAGATACTCCTCGTCGGAGGCGTCAAGGATGTCGTACTCCTCGTCAGTCAAGAAGCCCTCGTCGGAGGCATCCTGTTCCCACTCGTCGTCGCAATCCTCGTAGTCTTCCTCGTGGGGAGAAGACTCTGATGTGGCGTCCTCGTGGACAGTAGACACCGGGGACTCGGCATCGAGCTTAAAGAATGTGAACCGGCTTGGCTCAAGGGCAGTAGCCGGGTCGGCCTGCTTAGCCTCATCCTCGATAGTCTCGACTTCTTGAACGGGCTCAACTTGGTGGCCGAGGACTTCTTGAGCTGAGGATTCTTCTAGAACAGGAACTTCCTCATCGGCTGGTACAAGGTCAGGGAGATCGTCGTTGGTCTCCTCCTTCTCAACTTCCTTCTCGGCCTCGACAACCGGAATTTTACGCTCAACAACAACGTCGCACCACAGGCGGTGGCCGAACTTGAGGCCGTCCTTGGTGGAGAGGCGCCAGTTCGAGACGAACCTTCCGTTGCGTTGAGGGGTCCTCAACAGAACCGAGAAGGGGAACGTCTCACCAGGGAGGATGGTATGGTAGCAGATGCTAGATTCGGAAGACGACTCGAGGTCCTCGGTCGCAGCTGGGCGGGTAGGGTTCATATGACCCATCCAGTCACCACCGACATACTTGACAGAGCAGCCGGCCGGCCATTGAACATTACCCTCGTTGCGGAGAACCCATGTCTGCTCGAAAACATGGTCGGGTCCGAAAACAGTACCATCAGCAATAGTGTCGTGCACAAAGACGGCAACAGGTTCTTCGATAACGACAGGCTCCTCTTCAGGCACTTCAGGCACCTCTTCGTCGAGTTCTTTCTCGGCCTCAACAGGTGCGGTTGGCTCGGACGGCTTGACATCGACGACGGTCAAGACGTTGGTTGCAAGCATGCTGGGGCTAGTGGTCTCGGTCGATCGGGAACTGGTACCAGCCGACTGAGGTGGCACGCGGTCGCCCATAGCCGGCATCTGGCGGCCATTCTCATTCTCGCCGGTAGTGGTGACGCTGACGTGGCGGACAGGGGTCTTGAACTTGATAAGGGGGTGGGTCCGGTTGTGCGTGTTAGCCGGGCTCGCCTCACAGTTGGCGCAGAAATCGGTGTCGTGGCAGACTGCACACTTGTAGCGGTCGCCCACAATGTAGGTGCCGCCGCTCCGTTGGGTGGCGCACAGCGGGCCGTCGCAGCAAATGCCAGGGTGCGTGGCGCGGCAGAAGGCGCGCGCCCGAGTGCCGTCGCTAGTCTCGAGCGGTTCGTAGATAGGCACAAAGCGATGGCCGGGGTGGATGAACGAAGCGTTAACCACACAGCTGGCACAGTAATCCCAGTCAGGGCAGTCCAGGCACTTGTGGCGGATGCCCTTGATGGCCGCATCGCATCCGTCGCAGAATGCATTGTGCGGCTGGCTGCGGCCGGGTGCGAGACGGCGAGACACGTCCTGCTCCAAACGGGTTCCCTCGACGGCGGGCACAAAGCCGTGCTTGGGGTGATGGCCGTGGCGGTTCTTGGCAAAGCAAGCTCGGCAGAGGTCGTAGTCCTCGCACGAAGTGCAATGAACAAACTCAACTTCGGGCAGTTCCTGCACGCAGCAGTTGCAGGTGCGGATGCTGGAGTAGAGGAAGTCGTTGAAGATGGGAATGATCCTCTCCGATGCGGCCGCAGCCGGGGCGTGAGTGGCGTCGCCGCCAGTAACAGGTGGCTTCGCCGCCCTCGACTTTGGAGCAATACGCTCGGTAGTGCTGTTGATAACTGCGCCATTCTTGACGAACCTCTTGATCAACCAGTGATCATTGCCGTGGCACGTGACACCCAGGCCGACGCACTCTTGGCAAAGATCAAAGTCGCCATCATCACAAGTCGAGCAATGATAGTGAACATCGGGGATAGTCCGCTCGCACGTGTTGCAGCACACGGCGTAGTTTGAGCGATGAATGGTGCTGGCAGCAGCCGATACAGGGGCGGCGGCCACTTCCGGAGCCACAGGGTTCAACGGAATGGAGCGAAGCGACTCCTTCAGAGCTTCACGCAGGCTAATCTGATTCTTAGCGACAATCTCGTGGAGCGCCTTGAGATCCTCGATTTCTTGCGGGATAACATCGATGCCGCCCATAATGTTGTGGAGTCGCTTCATTGCCTTCGACTTGTGCTCTTCAAATTGCTGTTGTTCGGATGGGTCCAAAGCAGCCCAAGGGTCGGGTAGCTCCCGCCCGCATCGAGGCTCCTGGGCCAAAGTGGATGATGAGGGAGACGCCACGGGCGATTCGGCATCATTGGGGGCGTCGACCGACGAATCGATCAAGGGTGTCACCACCTCTTCAGCCTCGTCCTCGACTGATGCGGGCTTGGGGCCGGTCTTCTCCTCTTCCTCTGCGATGACCTCCTTGACGGTGACGCGGAGCTTCAACTTCTGCTTCGCCTTGGCAGCACGGTAGAGCTGCTTATAGACAGCAGTATTGAGCTGATCGAGGACAACGTAAGATCCGGCCGAGTCCGAATAGCGCTCGAAAACAGCCTCGGCATCGGGGGAGATTGAGAGAAGGCCCCGCAGCTAATTGGAAAAGGCCGTGTCAACCTCGAGTACTGGGCACACGGTTACATGGCTCGGGGGACGGGTGTTTCCCAAGCGTCCAGACATCAAAAACTACAGGCGCGATTGACGTACCTTGTTCTCAAGGACATTGATTCCAAGATCGCGAAGCGGAAGCTTGAAGCGGCGGCTATTGCCGTCTATGTTCACCTTGAGGGTGACCAAGGTGTCGGGCGACGTCGACGAGGACGCCATTGTGGATGATAATAAATCGGTAGCTGGCAAGAGATAAAGCAAAGCGGTTAGTGATCGATGGTGGGCGAAGTGTAGGTTTATGTGTTGGCGGTCAGCTGGCGGATTGAGGGGTAGAGAAGGGAGAGTGGAGGACGGGCGGCAAGGTAAGATAGGTAGGTTTAGGTAGAGAGGTGCTGCGGCGTTTCAGCTGACGGGCACTCACAGACGCTGTTGGCTAAGAAATCCGATTTTAGCTCCCAAAGCAGAGAGGTATGATGCCTCCCTCGATGGGCCTTAGCACCTAGCAGCAAAAGCAGTAGGCGAGGGTTATGGGAGACAGTGCCGCAATAGAATGCTGGTATTGAGTTTGTTGGATTGCGGGCGCCGAGCGTCGAGAGTCGAAGTCGACGGAGGATTGATGAGGTGTTTGGTGTGGTGGGAGGAGAAATCGGGTTGGCAGGAGCCTGCGGTAATGAGGAGAGCAGGAGAGGGGAGGCAGCGGCCAAAGCCAAACGGACCTCGAAGGTGGCAGCCGGTGCTCAATGCTCAACGCCGCACGGGACAGGCGGCCGGACCAAGGTTAGGATGTATGGTGTACTTAAACGTGATAAGGCGATGCTCCAGGCTGACCACTGCTCGCGCAATTCCCATGCAACGCTGGAGGCAAAAGAGGTGAGCTGGGGCGAATTTGCGCTAACAGGCGATGGGACGCAGTACCCGCGGGGGGCTTGTGGACCTGGTGAAGGACCAGGCTCGAGGTGGGACCAGAGGTGCCCACCTGTCTAACACGGGCTCGGTACCTGCTGGGCGAGGCCTTCAGTCTACGTATGCAGTCCTGAGTCCTGAGTCCTTGAGTGCCGGAGCTTGGCCAGATACCTTGTCCTGTCTGATTAGGCGAGGCGGCGTGGCTTCCAATGTTCTGATTTCCAAGTCGGCCTCTCCCAACCAACCGCCTCTCTTTGTTTGCCTGGCTGGGGCGAGTTGATGTGCTAGGCACTCTAGTGCACACGTGTGCCCGAGAATATCGTCACTCGTCAGCCTTGGGAGACAAGGGGGGCCGGCACCAGCCTGGAACTTTGTCGAAGGTTCTTGACACTTTCGCGGGGCGAACTGTCTCCACGGTTTACATTGATGTGCACGGAAGCTAAGGTGCCTAGAGACTTCTATAGAGTTTAATTGCCTCTCTGGGACCGAGGTAACTGCCAGTTTCAGGCGGCTAGTCATGCCCAAGATTTCGCCTAGGTAGACCGTAGAACGGTAGAAGTGCCACTTGGTCTTGGTTTGCCTTTTTTTCAGCGCACCAGGCGCGCCGGAAAGGCAGAACGCGAACATGACCACTGCGTCTGCGTCCGCATATTTTGAGCCCGAGTCTCCGACCCATCATAGCGTGGAAATGGCCGTGGTTGGCCCCACTGCGCCGCGGGGAGTGGAGAGTGGGGTATGGCAGAGGAAGGTACAAGACGGCTGTTAGTGTCATGAGAGCAAGCTGACCCCTCACGTGGAGCCGCCAACCTTAGCAAGCCGTCGCATCCTTGGGATCACCTCTTGGTTCCCTGTCCAGCTCCCCGCTTCTGTGCTGCATTGATCAGCAGCCCAGATGCAATTCAAGCAATCAACGCCCAGGTGCCCAGGTGAGGGGAGGTGGCAGCATTACGTCGATGGTCCAAAGGCCGACGTCGTTATGGCTCACATATTTTACACCACGTACGTGCAGTGCTATGTGCTGCGGACCGCGTTCGCTGTATTTCCCTGTTCCCCTCCCGTCACGCTGGAACTGGGACGACTGGCGTGGAGAGGCTGAGAGTTGGTGGTGTGGGGTTTTCTTCCTGTCCCAGCTCGTCGTTCGTCGTTCGTCGTCCGTCGTTCGTCGTTCGTCGCTCGTTGCTCGTTTCTTTGTGTGTGAAGCTAGCTGGCTGTGACCCCTAGAATAGACCGCTTCTGCCTTCCACCCCTTGCTGCAGGCCTGCGGACATAACCTCGGCTTGGGTTCGGAGTAGGTTCCATTGTTGCTTTTTTGTTCTCGCCCGTGCCTGCAACGAATGGCTGCGTGCAACCACTGACACGCACGCACACAGGCAGGCAGGCAACCTAACGCATGCGCACGCACACGCACGCCTCGCATTTCCAAAACATTTACGCACTTACACCACACCACACACCACACCACATATACGATCGATCTGCTCTTCTCTTTATTAACTAGCAGTCCCGGTCCACGCCCGGCTGACCTTGCCATTAATCATCCATTCTCTCAACCCTGGAACAGAACCAAAGAGAGCGACGTCAGGGCACGCGCCCGGTACCTTACCCTAGATAAAACACTGTCTGGCCTTGCCCCTCCTGGCGGCCACGATCGCCAGACAGTCGGTATAGTGAGCGTGCTTATTTACTAATCAGCAGAGAGCATACGCAATGTGGCACAGAAGAGGAGGGCCAGCAGCAGCGGTGGGAGTGGTCTGCGTGCAGCAAAGCACTCTGATATTGCATGACGGTCACGCTTCCTGTCGGGAATCATCGGAGGCAAAAAAAGGGCGGCGCGCGGCAACGAGAGAGCCCACAGGACTGGTTGGACGGCTGGAGGGAGGGAGAGCTGGGGGGGAGGGTCCTACCTTGGCCTGCCCGCCAGGCCATATCGCCATCCCGTCCCGGTAAGTAGTGCACTGCACCTATAGGTAAGTTCAGGTAGGTAGGTCCGGAACATCATAGCCCTATATGGGAGCGGTCGGTCAGTCTGTCGGGATCTTGCAATTGGCAACCCTTGAACAGCATTTGGTAGCACCCATTTCCTGCCGACGGGCGATATGTATATGAGGTGGGACGTATACGTGCAGATAGTCCCTAGGATCTAAACCCCAACCGATCCTTTCCGATTTCGCCGCCTCATTATTATTTATTTATTATCACCGCATCCCGACCTGGGAAGGGGAAGCTTGCTTTTTGCCCTTCTCCGCAGCGACGTGCAGGCGGGCGGCGGGGCGGATGCAGGTCTCTTGTGTCTCTGTCTTGCTCCTCTACTCTCGCGCACGTCTCTCGGGCGCCAAGGGAGGGATTGAATACCACCCCACCCCCTCCTTTGCACAAAACACAAACACATATACCTCTATCCGTAAAACTGCGACCTTGACCTGCCGCTTGCCGTCTCGCGAACCGAAAGGTGGCGTCTAGGTATATCCTGTTGCTGCCGCCACCCGCCCACGCCCAATTAACACTTTGAAAACCGTATTTAAATAAAAATAAAAAGGGTGTTCGTTGGTCCTGTCCTCGCATTTAAAAGGCTGCTGCTACCTTCCCGCTAAAGGAGGAGGAGGAGGGGTGCCGTAGGGCTGGTTTGGAGAGAATTACATATGTGTGTGTATCCGTACCTACCTCACCTCACATAGGTTTCGTTTTTCACAACCCAACCTTTCCCGCAAAAAGGAGGTTAGATCAGGCAGGTAGGTTGTCCATTGAAACCATGATGCATCACCGCATCATCACGTTGTGCCCCCCCTCTCCCTCTTTGGCGTTTAAGAACTGTTATCAACGTTGAAAACTGGTTACCTCCTTGACTTGAGAAAGGAGCAAAAAACCACTGCTGCCACTTATAGTGTAAATAGGGTGCCTGCCTGCCGACCTGGGTAGACTGATGCCGAGATGCTAACTCCCAAGGCTACATACCTACAGTACAGAGACCTCAGGAATGTATGCACAGTACCTTCTTTTTTCCCAGCACCAAAGCCTTACGAACTGATGAGGCGATGACATACTAAACATGCACTATCTTACATAGGTCTGTCTACGGAGGTCTAGGCCTGTATGCCTAACAAAATTCCCTTTTTCGCCTTCGCTCTTTTTTTTATTACAGGAGAGCTGAGGCTTATTTTTGTCTCTGCTGCCCAGGTCCTCCTGTATGTACGCTTGGCATCCGTCTTCGATTTCGTCATCCTGCGCAAGGGCTGACCAGTCATCTGATGGTGAATAGAGTTTTGCGGATGCTTGCACCGCCTTGGTTTTTTTCTTTCCTCTGACTACTTATAAACCTATCTAATTTGCCTTCGATATCTACCTATCCGTGCCTAAGATAGGTATCCTACACCGCTCATATTTTTAGAAGCGAAACGAGGCGGCAAAACCAAGGGGAGGAAAAGTAATGATAGCAAACAGAATAGAAAAAGAAAAAAACGCTCTACAGGAGGAGTACAGGCTCTCGGCCCAAATTCTTTCTATTTGTAGAAGAGGAAAATAAAAGAAAAAAAGCTCCGGTCAAGAAAGTGCAGCGCTGATCAAACTACCCAGAAAAAGGCTATGTGCTCTGCTAAGCCCCTCAACCCCCCTTTTCTCCCGCTCTCCGGATTTCCGCTCCTCACGAGTCAATGATGGCCTCGAGCGCCTCGCCCAGGGCACCCTCGTCGTATCTCAGCATGGGCGTCTTGTCCTGCAGCAGTACGGTCCTGGCCGCGACCTTGACGCACACGACGCCCAGCCGCTGCAGCTCGGCGACGTCGACGTGGGGCGCGCCCGATGTCCTGGCCTCGTCGAGGCCGGCCGGGTAGACGAGGTGACTGACATAGGTGCTCAACAGGGCGTCGAGCCCGCCCTGCCGCCGGAGGGCCTCGGGCAGCGTCCAGCTCTCGGCAGCGGCGCGCGCAATGGCGACCACAAAGTCGCGCGCCGTCATGGGGTCCGTCCCGACGGGCCCTGTCTCGCGGTCCAGCCGGCTGTTGAGGAGCAGGATCTTGTGGCAGGGCGTTGTTGCCGTGACGGCGATGCGCTCGCCGACGCCCCGCAGCACCAGGCTCGGGACGATGCTCGTGTACAGGCTGCCTATGCAGTAGACGATGACCGACGACGCCTGCAGCGCATCGAGCACCTTTGGGTTGGCGACGGGCCATATTTCATGGCCGTACTGGTTAATGTACCACAGGCGCTGGATGCGCGCGGGCAGTTCCTCCTCATCCTGCTTGCTGAAGGTGATGTGCTGCCGCCGTAGGACTGGCAAGCTTCCCGGCAGGCTGGCATCCTCTATCCTGTCGTGATCTTCCGCAGTCAGTGCCGGAGCCACCAGCGTCTCGTCCGGGAGCGCCGTCGGGGCTGACGGGTGCGAGATCATGACCTGGCCCGTGATCTGTGTGCCGTCGGCCAACCCAGCAGAGATGTGGTGTGTATGATTTGAGTTTATGGCGGGTAGGACGTTCACAGACGACGGCATGGCGCAGACGATGGAGAGCAGGTAGATAGCAGACTCGAACGATCCCGAGAAGATGCGAGCGCTTTTGGGGCGCGAAGGCAGGTAATTAGCTAGACAGAAATCCTAGACAGACCCAAGCCTTATCAAGTCATAGTGAGAGCCAAGATGTCTTACCCAGTCAAGAACATGTTGCCAATACTGGCGTTAGCAAAGTTGAAGACAGAACCCGGCCTGACCCGCTTGACGAGTTCGAGGTTCAGCGTGTTGAGGAAGGACCGGATCAGCTCGCGCTTAGGGCTAGAGATAAAGCCCCATAGCAGGTTCCGGCCCTCGACGATTTCCGACCACTCTTCGCGAGCTTTGGCGGCGTCGGAGTTGAGGCGGTGTTCGAAGAGCACCTTGAGCGCCTTCATCTCCTCGTCGCCCTCGCAGTTGGGGATCAGTCTGACAAGACGGCCTTGAATAGTGGGGGAAAACTGCGTTAGAACAGGGACTATGCACTCGACAAGACACGATCAAGATAGAATGCCCTTACTGCGGATGTCTCCCACGCCTGTGGTGATTCCATTATGTTAGTCTCTGTTGGTGTTGTGGTTTATAGCGAGTGCTTGCTGGGTGAGACTTACTAGGGCCGCCGACGAATCTGATCAGCTCGGAACTGCTTCCCCCATTGTCACTGATAGGTATGACATAGTGGAGCTCGCGGTTCTTTCTCTCGATGATCCTGTTGAAGACGTCGACGAGGCTATTTGCAGCAGTGCCTGGGGCGGTTGAGAGTTGGCCGTCTAAGTTTAGCCAATTGACCAATGGGATAACACGCACACATAATGTATGTGTTACGTGTTGTGGGTTATGGGGGTATGTACGTACCTCCAGAGAAAACTGTAATGTTCAGTTTCTGGCTCCTGGCTTTCACGCCTCCATTGCTGCGGCGGTTGACATCATCCATAATTCTTGCTATCGTCCAATCCGAGCGCTATGAATGCGGGCCGAGGAACAATGGCAACGTCTAGGTGAGCATTGGGACGTGTGAGCCTTGGGAAAGAAGGAAGCAAAAAGATGCCGGCAAAAGAGAGAAATAAAGACAAAGAATATAGTATCGCTCCTAACGAATGCAGGTGGATTCGAATCTTTGCGAAGCCGTCCGCAAATGTAAGGTAGGTTGTCTCTGGTAAGATGGCGATGCAAGGCCAAGGTGACAGTTTAGTGGTGGGCAATGGATTGGGGCCCGCTGCCAAGAATCTGTCTGGTGAGCCTTGGGGTGGGTTGCGCCAGTGTCAAGGGAGCGTACTAGTGATACAGGACGGTACACATGTACTGAGGTGATTTATCCCTTTTCTGCTTCTTTCCTTATTTGCTTCCTGAGGACAAAAGGTTCTGTCGGCAGGTATTTAAGCTTGCTTCCTTCCTAGGTTGGCGCAGCTTGCATTCTCGCCGTCGCGTCTCAGCAACATAAGGTAACCTCCAAACGTCACGTCACCTCCATAGTCAAGATTGTACGTAAAACGAAAGTGACTCACTAGCTCAAGCGACACACGACCAACAGGAAGAAACGTGTCAACTTCGTATTCAAGACCAAGGTCTAGCAACTAGAATAATTTAAAACTCTTATCACCAACATCGCAGGTTGTTGCGTGTTTGCATGTGCAAATACCAAAACGTGTCCCCTTCGTCAGGAACCTTGAAGGCTCATCCTCGCTCGGCTGTGGTGTTTGTGTGATAACAAACAACAAACCGACAACTTGAAACGACAAGGAAATTAAAAACGACTGAGTCACTGAAAGGTAGACGCAATGCTTTTTTCGCCCCCATTGTTTTTTGTGCCCCCTTTTTCCCTCCCGTCCTAGGTGCAAGCCCGCCCTAGCAGCTGGTATGGCCAGGAACATCGGGCCCCTAAGCCGAACACCACAACGTCGAGGACCGGCCAACCATGAGATGCACGTATAGATAAAGACATTACAAACATAATCTCAATAGAGAATGCTACCTAAAGGGGCCTATGGATGGGTGAACCTCGTCTCTCCCAACTCCGCCAAACGCCAAGCATGTAAAACGACCGATATCAGCACACGCACACAAGACACCCAAAAAGAGGAAAATATAAGACCTAAGCAACTACGACACGGCAGCCAGCGGGTTAATGGAGCCGGGCTGCCAACGAGGCAAAAGTCAAAAGTCATACAACAGCATACAAGCAACCCTTCCACACACGCCATCGTCAGAGCCAGGGGACACGGTAATCTCTTTTCTTGATTCTGCATCCCGCAAGTGTGAAGTATCGGCCGGCTCTGTTTCTTTCTCTCTCTTGTGCGTGATGTGTTTTAGTAGAGCTGTTCTGCTTTAGTCCATAGTCGTGCCTGGGCTTCCTCGCTGCAGCCCAAAACCCAGTCGAACAATCCCTGCCATTGATTGTGGTCATCTTCTTGCAGCCAGAACGAAAGTGACAGAAGGCAGAAAGACTCCCTAAGACTGTTTTCACTGAAACGTGCTTCTCCTCGGACCTGTTCGGCACCCTTCTTCGTATCTTCTCCCGCCATCAACACTATCATAGGCCTCCTCGCGCGGACCGAGGCCTATGTCCACCAATCCTCGGGATTTCCAGGCCAACCGTATCGCACCGTGTGTGCGGCCTTTCTCTCTTGCCCAAACACGAGTTGTTTAGTAGCAAGACAAACCATAAAACAGCCCATCCTGCGCAGCGTGTAGAAGAGATTTCCACCCTTGTAAAGTATTAAAACATAAATATCAACAGACAGCAACCACAAAGAATAGTTAATGGCAACGGCAGTACCAGAAACGACAGTGACAGGCAGCGCGCAGGTAGTTGGAATAGAGACACACAGAGGCAGTGTACCGAGAAGAGACCGCAAACAACATCACTTTCAGCGTTTAAGAAAAAAGAGTTTTAAAAACGCTTAACACACAAAAAATAGTGAGAATAGAATAAGAATAAGAATCAATGGAACAAGAAGAAAAAAAACCCGAAGCAATACAAAAACGAGCCAACCATTTCTCGACCATAGTCGAAAGTTTAACAAAAAAAGTGTGAGATTTAACAGAAAAAAGCAACAAGAGTCCTCTCCGACGGAAAAATCCATCGCATTCCTAGCCACACGCACGCACGCACACCCGATGGTTCCCAAGAAGCGAGAGAGGGAGAAATATCTGACCGTAGCCTAACTCCAGTGCAAGATGAATACCGACAAGGCTCGCGATCGCCAAAGCAAGAGCGAAAAAGCAAATAAAGAAAGCCGTATCGTTGATTAAGAGGTAGGTAAATGATTTTTAGTAGGTAAGTAAAACGTGGCTTGGTCGTGGGGTTTTCTTAAAAAGCGAGTTTTGGATAATCCTCTGCGCCGCACCCTTTTGGTGTCTCTGTCCCACAGCTTCCCTGTGACATTTCTCCACCTCTTTCTATCGTTCCAGATAAGTCGAGGAGCGCCTAATCCTTTCCTTCTCCAAATCTTCCAGGCCCATATGAGTGTTGATAAGTAGACACTGCTTCTGGTATTAATCTCATCGAAGAGACTGATAACTGCAGGATCAGTCGCCTTGCTCGGCGGTTTCATCCGTCTGGGCTATCAGAGACTGCTCATTAGGGTGCCAGAGTCTATCCCACACACCCTACTGAGAGTAATAGACCATAGGCTGTGCAGGCGTTTGGTAGTAGAATGTATCCGGGCTGGGTGGCATCATACCACCCACATTGACCATGCCAGTGGCGTAAGGCTGCGCGGCAGGAAACGGAGGAAACCCTGTCATGGCAGGAAGTTGGGCAGGATCGTAATAGTAGACCATTCCATTCATCTCCTGGGCTACAAGGCCTTGGGAAGGAGCCGCTTGGGTATTGGCCTGGCCGACTGAGACGTCCTCCGGCCCGGATGGGTTGTATGCCACGGGTGGGCCTGGCTGCCCTATCGGAATAAAGGCGGGAGCGCTGGCATTCGGCGCCATGTTGGTCCCGAAAGCTTGCGGATAATAAAATCCTTGCTGCGGTTGCATCATCGGATACGGCTGGTTGTAGAAGCCCGGTTGCGTATACGTATTGGGCTGGAACGGAGCGGCGTGGATAGCACGCTCCGGGATTTGCGAAAGGGGTGTGCCAGACGATAGCTGATGTGGGTGCGATGGGTTGCGCGAGTGTGAGTCTTGCATGAAACCGTTCGACACCTGGAGTGGGACCTGCTGATGGAAAGCTTGCTGATATGGCGGCGGGGCATTCATTGCTTGCTGGACGGGGGACTCGATGTTCTCGACAGAAACCGTCTTCTGGGGGCGGGGCTGGTGCATGGGGATCGTGGTGGGCCTGTTCTCCTGGAAAGTCGGTTTCTGCGGCAGCGGGTGTGTTTGCGGCTGCGGGAAGTCGTTGATAGACGATTCGGCTAGAGCCTTTTCTGACACATCGGGCTGTAGAACCACGGGCATGACAACAACTGGAGGCTGAGTGAGCGGCGGCAGGCGGACGACGGGCCTGGTGTTGTCCATGGGCAGAGGAGGGCGTGAAATGGTGGATCCTGCGGGCGAGATAAGAAACTCGCGTCCCATGTCGTGGGCGGCAATCGACGACCGCCGGCTCATGGCAATGCTGGGGGAGTACGTGCTACCCCCGTACATGCTTCCGCCGAACACGCTTGTCCTCCTGGACATGGCACCTATCGATCCCAGAACAGATCGGGGGCCCCTACCCCGGACCCTCTGCTGGTTAGGGCGCATAGCCCGCGGGATGAAGATGAAGGACCGGTCGTTCGCCGGGAAAATGTAGCGAGGCATCAGAGGCTGCTTGTGATATGGGAGATTCACCCGAACGGGCTTGTCCCGGCGGAGGGGCGGCCTATGGTCAGGGAGCTTGGTGTACTGCTTAAGAGGTATCCCAGAGAAGAGCTTGGGAATCTTCATTGTCGGCGGAATAAACACCCGGATGGTGACGTTGCCGGTGTGCCTGTCTAGAGACATGGCTCGGTTGATGGCAGTCTTGCTCGGACTCGCAGTATGGATGACGCCGTTGCCGTTGGGCGGCCCTTCATGGTCGGGTTGGTAGCGAGGAGGCCGGTGGTGGGACACAGGCTCGGCAATGACTTCGTGCATGTCGTGGGCCCACGGCCCATTTGTCGTAGGGTCAGAAACGTGCTGCAACTGGCTGGAAGGAGCAATCAGCATGGGACAGGAGGCGGAAGGCATGGGAAAGAGCGGGACATACTTGATTGGGGCGAAGGGGCCTCCTCCAAAAGCACCTCGGCCTCGACCCCGTGAACCGCGAGGGAATGGCCGGAAGCCATTTGCGGCGGGCCCAGCATGTCGGTGGTCGTGCAGGAAGAAAGCCCCTCTGTTGGGTACGAAGGTCGGGTCTTCGTCTCGCTTCCGCCTGTACTCTTCGTGCTCCCGGCGTTTCTGCTCCTGCGGAGCCACACGCGCTTGTTTCGCCACCGAGTCTGAGCTCACAATGACAGGAGCATTGTCCCTAGCAACCGTCTCTTGTAGCACATCGTCAAAGTTCATCTCCCGCGCCCCGTCGTCCTTGTCGGAGAGGGTCATCCGGCCGAGCAGGGCCTCGGCATCGGCGAGGGCGGGGAGGGCCTGCTTCGCAGCAGGAGCATCGCCACCCGAGGGGCCTTCTGCTTGGCGTCGGAGGCCCGGCTTTGCAGACCCGTTCCCTACTACCGACTTCTGAGCGTTGGGCAGGGTGGGGGAAGAAGCATCGTCGAGGTTGCTCGTGTCGCTGTCGTCGGCCGGGTCGTTCTCGCCACTGGCGATGGAGCCGTCGGTCAGCGAGTCGTCATCGAGATCGAGAACCTCGGGGCCGCCGTCCTCGTCACCCTCGTCCTCGACACGGCGGCGATGACCGATGATCTTTCTGCGTCGGGGAGCTGCAGCGGCCATTGTGTTGACTAGGGCTGCGCTGGGCGTCGTGGCGGCAGCGAGATGGCGGGTGCAGCTGGGGGAAGGGGGTGCAGGAAGCTGCGATGGGGCCGGATCAGCGAGATCATGCGTTCGTTGCGGTTGTTGGTGGCGGAGAATGTCGAGCCGCTCGATTTTTGTTGGGTTTTGGTTTGATCGGGACAAGGCGAGCGAACAATGTCCGGTAGCCGGATCGAACCGCTGCTGAACCTGAACCGCCCTGCGGTGCAGAATCGGGCCTGACGAGACGCGAGGCCGGCCAAAACCGAGCACAGCAGGTCCAACGAAGATGGAGGCCGCAAGAAATTAGAAGTTGGTAAAAACAGCCAGAATGCAAGAAGAGGCTCGATGGGGGAATGCTGGGCCGCCCCTAGGTGCGAGGTGGTGGTGCACACAGAGACCCAGATGGATGCAGGGCCGTCCACAATCTGACCCAACTTTCCCAGCAGCAAGCAGCCGCGTTGCAGGAACACCAACTAGTAAAAGCAGTGTCTACTAGCCTAGAGAAACAGAAACAGGGGAAAAAAGAGTAAGGAAACCAGAAAAAGAAAAAAACCGAAGAAAAATTAAGGTCCAAACTCGGTCGAGTTCCCAGCAGAGGCGAACTAACCCCTCTAGCACCCTTTGACAGACGAGAGTGGCAGACGACAGGTTGGGCAATCTGTAGCTAGTGGCGCGCCGATGGAGATCAAGGCGGATGCCGTCTTTGTCTAAAACGGGTTGCAGTTGAATTGGGATTGGGGGAGCGATGGAAGCAGGCCGCTCTGGTGTCAAGGCTCTCAGGCCCCGTGTAATTTTTCCTAACAGGGACAGGGGTCCTAACTGGCTGCCGTCGTCATTGAACGTCTTCAAGGCCTCACTCACCCCGACAGCCCGACGGCCGCAGCATTCATCACTGAATGGCCACCATCAACCCTGAGCCCGTTTCCAACACACACTTCAGCACCTCAATCGGCAGGCTCATTGCCCACTCGCTCCGGCCTGGGCTTTTTGCCCACGCCCACGCCCACGCCCGTGCTGATGCCGAGATGCTGATGCTAACACCTCCGTCCAGTACTACTATGTACTGCCGGTAGCCACTCCATACCTTCCACCATCTAACCTTAGTTCCACAGCGCACAGTTACCCTTGAGACTGGATGGATGGTGGTGATGATGATGATGATGATGGTGGTGGTGATGATGATGATGATGATGATGATGATGATGATGATGATGATGATGATGATGATGATGGTGATGATGATGGTGACTGAAGATGGTGATAATGGATGGACCGTCGGGTGCAAACCTACTACGGATAGTGGCGCTCACGACCTCCCTGTACGAATACTTCGTACCCTTTTTTTTCTCATATGCAGCGCATGTCCGTCGACCAGTCGTCCATCCCGTTTCCCGTAGCTGTTTGGCCTCTGGCAAGCTCCCCACCACGCCCGCCACGCAGCTCAACAGGCAGAGAACCTCGAACGCGGCAGGAGCGACAACAGGAGCGATGATGCACATGCGGGCCTAGCTTGGCAGGCGAACCAGAGGATGGAGCTTCCCTACCCAAATACCTCCAAGGAAGTTCCCGCCTTAGCTACCCGTTTCATGGCAGCTTTGGCGAGTCGAGCAGAACACGCCGGCTTTTAAGCTCTGTTAAGGATTAAGCTTCCGACCGAATTCGGGTGCCCATCCCTCCCACGGCAACGTGAACTCTTGGACCAACAAACTCTGGCGATAAGGCCACACACAGGCAGGCATGGCACGGCATGGCGGGTAAGCACATCTGATGAAATCTGGAAGTCCTATCCGGCCCGGGATCATTTTCTTCGCTTCCGTCACCTCGCCCTGCCACCATTCTTGCCCGAACCTAAATAATTACCAAAGTCCGCACGACCATGATGCAATACCGATCCCGGTCCCCTTTATTCTTGGGAGTGTTGGTGTTTCTTTGAACCTCGGTCCTAGACAAGCAGGAAAACACTATGCCGCCACGGGCCGTGTTTGGTGTGACACAGAATGATGCTTGTTACGGGCCCATAGCATTTGATCGCGATCGCTCACTACTTACACACGCAGCTCCTCTCCGGACAGCGAAAGAGGGTTTACTATGCTTCGTGCCAACCAAGAGATCACGCAAGGCGTCCCCCGCCCTCCATCAGCACCTCGTGTAAGGAAAGGTATGAGGATGGGAGGTTGCTGAGCTCACCTCTGCGTCCTTGTCAGCCTACCTATCTGCTGTCTGCAACGCTAGACACAGTAAGCAGGTAGGTATCATCTGTTTCCATAACACAGCAGCAGGCGGCAATATTTATCCTGACGTGCCCTCCCCTCTGTGTGGTTCGACGCCCAGCCTGATTTGCATGTAGTCTCAGCTTAACGCGGCATGCCACTTTTGGTTGGCGCTCGGGTTTCCACGCCACCTTCAATCGGGTTCCAGTTCGCTCTGCCAGTGGTTGGTTCTCCTCAGTCGGGTCCCACTACGTACGCATAACAAGCTACATACTTAGAACAACGTCTGTCCCGACGGTGCATTCATATCTTCGTACATACCTATCTCCATTAAAGTCTTTTACTTTAGATAGCTTACTTCCCTGCCTCAATCGCTTTCTTGATCAAGGGGGACTCTGGTATTCTTGTGGGGCCAGGGAAAGCTAACAGAAAGGGGGATACCGCTCAGGGAATATATCAGGGAGCACTCTGGGAGCGAGCGGCGAACGGGCAAATTTACCGACGGTCTGGTTCGTCTGGGGAGCTTTCGCTTTGACCCCCACACATGGATATCCCGGACCCTCCCTTGGCTCAACCCAAGTGCAAACGGCTGCTACATTGGAGATCGCTGCCCAATCATCATCGACGTCCACCTACGCCTGGTGTCTCTTGAGTCCCCGATGGAAAAGGCAACTAGAATGTAATCTACAACGTAATCCATGAATATTTGTTGGCGTGGCACCTAAGGTACTTGTGAAGAATAAAGATTATTAAATAAGCCGGCTAGATAATACCCTGACTAGGTATTGCAAGGAGAGAGATACCTAGGCATTTACGATTCTATAATAGAGATTCTAATAGCTATTGCCTCCCTCGGTGAAAAAACCATTCAGGGAGCGGCAAGGTATCAAAGCCTTTCAAATCTCGGAAATCCTTCCCCCGTTATTAAACGTTCCGGGATTGGGTTGTAGTTCCCCCAAAGATTAGCTTTCCCCAGATCTTCCCATCTAACTTTGGATATGGGTGTGGGGGAGGGAGTGCCGCTTTACAACACAGACACACCAGATACGAGGATGCCGAGGGCCGCACGGAACATTTCCTTCTGGCAATGGGTGAGGCGTTTGTTGGGTACTTTATCCTTCTGGTACTGGATCAGCCTGGTTTGATGGCGGAAACTGTGACCGTCGAAACATTGGCCTCAAGCTAAGGTAGGAAGTTCTCAATCCTGAAAACTCCCCACACACCCCCCCAAGTACCCTACTAGTAGTAGTAATTATCTATGTTTTTGAGTCACTCACAATTCTTATTCCACACCCTAGAAGCTAAATCTATTTGCCTCGGTTTCCCAGTAGTACAAAGGCTACCTACTATTCTCTAGAAATTATTTTTGAGGGCTTACCCCACACTGTTGGCTTCTTGTTAGTATAACGGATATTTTACTCTTAAAGTGGTATGATTCAACAGATCTTGAAGACATTTAGGTTAGGTTTGTAGGTACTTGAGCTTCTCCTTCTGTGCCGTTGGTGCCGAGATACTTTCCTTTTACTTGTTATTAATATTAAGTATATACCGAGGAACCTGTAATTAGCTCCAACCATTTATGACATACGGTCCACTTCAACATAGAATGATATTCTACTTACAATTTTATCATCACACGCTTCGTAGCAGGTAAAATTAGCCAGAGTAGTTATACATGACAACTTTACTTCAGATACTGTTCCTCTGTGAGAGCTGTGATAGAACTCTACTGCAAGGCCATGTATTTTTTGAGTTTTCTCCCTCGGAGACATGCCCAGGTACTTTTCTTCCTCGGCTCATTAGAATTAATACGTAACCCGCTCTAGAGTCGAAACCAACAGCCTTCGGCAACTCGGAAGATAACCACGCTCTGCTCAAACCAGAGTGGCAATTCATTAGGGGTCTCTTTATCCAAGCAAAGTCAATTGGTAAAATATCCAAGCAGTGAAAAGTGCCTGGCCATATCTCGAATCGATTATCATTTAAAGCTCTTTAACTTGTCTAATAAATAAGAAGCAACCCGAGTACCGAGAGTTTCTCTAGTTTCTGAGACATGCAACTATCTATCTTTAACAGATATCAGACATATTTTTCGGAATTCTCTAGTCTAACCAGAATAACAACAACGCATCTACCTAAATCTTCCGCCTACGTACCTGACTTACTACACAAAATCCACGTCACCTGGCTCAATCTCATATTAAAAAACACGCAGGAGCTGCAGCTAAACGAAACAAGTACCAGCAAGAAACAAAATAATACATCTACAAGACTACGGAGTCTCCGCAGTTGAAGGACCAACAGTGGTTCTATGTCTAATAACACAGCAGATAGTAAGGTAATTAGCTATATTCTTGCTTCTCACCGTCAGTAGAGTCTCTCTGGCTATGTTATTTACCTGTTCTTCGCCTATGAAACATGTACCGCGATGAGCTACTGAACTGTGTGAGATTTCAAGTAAGGCCGTCTACCTAGACTCAGCTTGAGAGCCAGCCTCAAGTTTCTAACAAAGCTTTAAATTCCTAGCCATCTCGGACCGTAGACGCATAGATGGGAGGGTGTCCAGCATCGGCCGTCTTAGCTCGTTGGTCAATATTGGCCAAATAGTTTCAATAGGTCTCCAAAGTTAGCCTCGGATTTCCCAGTGAGTCGTGCACACAAATTTTGGACGAGAGCTGACCGGAGTTGTAAGGCAACAAACTGCGAGGGGACGCTTTTGAGTTTTAACACGGCTGATGATCTCAGCTTGTGTCAGCATCCGTTTAAAAGGTGAGATTACTCAGAATCAACACATCTCGTGTCTTGGTATGGTACGGGATTGAAAATTCGTGACTTCTCCAAACTACTTGGTAACATGCCTCTAGTAGAGCTTGGTTCACTTCAAGGTGCCTAACGAAGCTTTACTGTGAACGTCATCATAGTTTATTGAAAAAGGCACCAAAAAAGATGTTTGTATTTTATGATTCTAGTAGAAGCACTAAAGGAAGACCATGCGGCGGAACTCCGCCTAAGGCATCACCAATCAAGTTAAGAACCTGACTCTTACTCGTTTCAAGAGAGCACCAAAACAATCTTATACCCCCTCAATGCTCACCATGAAACAGAGGGAAGTTCTTCAAGGATTTCAGACCTTGGCAGATCTACTTGCCAGAGTCATCCGGCGAGGGAGCGATGACTTGGGTCTCCTCAATCTTTGGAACCGCACCGAAGCGGGTGCGACCCTGATCCCAGATCTTCACAAACGTTAGCATGGATTGCTGAAAAGAAAGGAGTGACGTGTTGGCACATACCGCATAAACAGACTTGAGCAGTGTATCGCCCAAAATATCAAACGGGTTCTCACCCCGTGACTGGACGCCACCGTACCAGTTCTTGTCATCGGCCTGGGCGAAGACAAGATCCTGCTTCTGAATGACAAACTCCTTGCCTCCAATGGCCACACTGAAGTCAGGAAGATTATCAACCGTGACGGTGTTGGGGATGATGTAGCCCTGGTATTCCTCACTGTACGAGGCGCCCTCGATTTGCTTATAGAGGGCTTCGCAGATCTTGTCCGAGACGAGGGCAAGCGTCGTGCCAGTGTCAGCGATTGCCTTGTTGCTCGACTGCTCGATCTTTTGGCCGTTGATGGTGGCGCTCTCGCTGGGGAACATCCAGAAGCCCTCTGAGTTGTCAATGTCAGTCCAGGCAATGTCCTCGCCCGATGCCTTCACGAGATCCTCATCAATCCAGCCAAATGTGTAGAAAGACTTCTCCTGTGCGTCGCGGGAGCTGTAGAAAGCGGAAGTGAACAACTCGGCTTCCTTGGGGATGTCGGACTGGGTGATCATGTTGGTAACGGGGGTCGGCTGGGGGTCGGATTTGCCGTTCGTGGTGACCGTGTTGATTGATGGGAAGGCAAGGCCGAGGAGTCCGTCTCCCGTGCCGTCGCTAAACTGCTTGGACATGGTCTTGGCGAGCTCTACGGCCTGGTTCTTGATCGAGAGACCGCCAATCGAAATAACGTCTGTTCCGACATCACCAGAAGCTGAGCTTCCGTCGCCATAAGTGATCTTCCAGGCCTTGCCCTTAGCTTTCTTGAAAGTGGAAGACTTGGCGGCATTGAACGTGTTGTGGCCCTTGGACGAAGAAAGCCAAGAAGACTGCTCAGTGGAGCGGACCTAGCAATATGGTTTGTCAGCTCATGTGCATGTCATCCCAGGGGCTGTTCAGCATACCCAAAGGTCCGAAGAGCCAGTGTCAAAGTCCAGCAGGAGCTTCTGTGCAGGAGTGCCGATGTCGACTTCGCAGAGGTACTCGGAATCATTCTGCTGGTCTTGCGCAGTCACTTCTCCTGTCTGGTCTCCGCCAGTCTTCTTGACCAGCTCCGTGTACTTCCGAGGGCGACCGGAGTACGAGTTGCCATTCACATCGTCTTGGATGAATGTCTTGTGGTAATAGGGACCAGGCTTGGTGGGCTGGAAGCCGAACCGGTTCAGCAGGTAGACGTACGACTTGGTGCCATGGCGCTTGTAGTTCTTGTTAGAGATGGCGATGACCTTCTTCAAGCCAAGCTCCTGTCGCAGCTTAGCCTGGGCGTGGAAGAGAGACTCCATGGTGATGGGAGAGGCTCGCTTGACGAGACAACTTATTGCCAGGCTTCAAGGAGAACTCTTGGAGGGTTGATATGATACTGAGATAGAAAAGAGAGGTATCGGGGTGAGAGAAGTTGGGTTGGAAGAGAAGCTGAATAGTAGCGGAAGGGTGTAGATAACTGAAAGCGGAAGAAAGGAAGAGAACAGGGAAGCAATGTGCCCAGCGAGGGATGTGGATATTGCTCAATGACATGCCGGTACTTATAGCTCAGGGAAGGATCGAGGCAGCCGGGCGACTCACCTTCGGGGCGGCTGGACCATGTTTCAATCCATTCCCTGAAAGGCAAACACCCCACGACTTGCGTCATATTAAAAAGGGTGGATGGGAAGTGCGGCTGGACATGGAGGCCCCGACAGAAGGCATGAGCGACCCCCTACACCGAATTGGGTAGCAGCAGACAAGACTGGAAGGGACGAACCAGGAACCGAGGAGCAGGAACGGAAATAAGGTAGGTATGCGGGCATTGATGCCCCCCACGACACCCAAGTTTCTGGAGGGCAGCTCCTGACCAAGCCAGCTGAGTGACTCCAGCCTGGAACTGCTCGTGACGTGTTGTTCGCGATGACAATCCAATGGAAAGCTGGGGTGGCAGATGGGACGGAGCCTTCTAGGCGTGCAGGCGCCGACATGGACGGTGCACGATCTCGAAAGGGGTGACAGCCCAAAAAAGGTCGAAATCAACATATGTAAAGGACATTGACAAGAAGGTTCTGACAGCACAAGAGATATTGCCTATTGCGGATAGCTCTGGCGAGGCACATACTACGTATGATGGGAATAGGCGAGCTTGACAGACGTAGCCCCAGGCGCAATATTAGTAACATTACCCCGTTTAGAGCCGTTCGAATCCGGCCGTAAAACGAACAAACTACCTAACCTAGACCAAAGCCAGGAGCCAGTGCCTGATCACTGTCCATAGATCAATAACACATCTCCTATTAGCGGCGTTGATAAGGCGCCAACGCCCGGCTGTGTCAACCACGCAAACGAAGCCTCCGGGATAGTCACACCTCCATCGTCGCACGAGACCCTTCATACTACGGCCTGCGCAACGCACATCGGCCGGCGGCATGACTTGCAGCCCAGCGCATGTCACTCTATTTGTAAGTACGGGAAAGCGCAAGCACGTGAAAGCGGGCGGTTGAGCTACCTCTTCAACATTGGGGCAGGAGGTGTTTTGGGTATTGGTTGATAGCAGGAGTAGGTGAAGTGGAGGTTGTGCGATTGGCCCGGAGTGGCGTTACCGGCTCCGGGCCCGAAATTCTTGAGAAAGAAAAGACCGAAAATAAATAGGAAAGAGCAATGAAAGACCATATCAGAAGCAGCGCGCAGTCGCCATGAGATGAGAAGAAGTTGGAACGAGGTAAGTGAGGCGGTTAATCAGGCACTATTCTTATGTCTAAAAACGGTGCAAAACTGCCCCAGAAGACAGGGGTCTCGGGCATCTGCCGAGCGACGCATGCAGGCACTCCCGCGATGCCAAGGCCTAGGGCTCTTGGATCTACAGAGCCTCAATAGGGACTTGGCGGTGGTTTCTCACCAAAGACTGTTGAGCGTCCATTTTCTATCTTTTTGCTCGAAGAGTCTTTGGGAGCGGGCAACGAACGGCGTACCTACCTAGCTGCCCAAGCTAAAATCATCCAGACCCCGCCTGAGTCTCTCGTATTTGAAGAAATCCATTGCGGCGTTTGTGGAACACCTACAAATGCTCCCCTATGGCCGTTTACGTATGTACTGTACTGTACATGGGTGAATGCATACAAACAGGAAAACAAGCCTGCCTTCCCTGCTGAGTTTCGCAGTTGAGAATCCGTCTATACCATAAAATAACGGTCATCTTGTCAGACAATGCCTGGTCCTTGGTAGGTACACTCTGACTTCCCAGTTTTGATGCCAGTCCCAACGAATCGAATGACTGCATGAAACGGCTTTTCCTGGAAAAGCCACTTGTTTGATGGCGGCAGTACCCCACAGCTTGGCACCCGAGACCGACAACCACCCCACAGACATGACCACCCTGACGTAGACCCGGACGATCGTAAACAGTGCCTTGGCAGTTGATGAGTTTTGGAAGGCAGGTTTCACCTTGGATGGCGAATGGCGAAAGAGCTCGCGTTGCGCTCGGCTGGTGGCGTTGACGGAATGTCCAAGCTTGGTGATTATCTTACAAAGTAAGACGCAATAAATCAAGAGATGCCCTAAGATTGTAGTGTATCCGCATCGTTAGATCTACTGTTTTAAAGTAGCCGCCGCTCAACGTCTGTGGGTGTATGGATTCGCTGCTAATGTGTAGGTATTGTAAGTTGCATTTCGAAAGTCCACTCCGTTCAAGACGCCTAGGTAGGAGAGGGAGCACTGCATGATGGTTCTTGATCTACTGGGGTAGAATGGGTTTGCCGCGAGGGTGCCCAAGCTAATGCGACTACATCTCAGGTGTCATGATGCAACTTGATCCTCCCAAACATAAACCCCCTCACCCCATTGCTTAGCCAGCACTCTTCACCATCTACGAGGGAGCTGGCCAAGATGACATCTTCAAAAGCGAGGCCCCTATGAAAGTTAGACATGGGACTCAGATGCGTCGCCGAGACTGGCACGTACTTCTCCAAGATCCACCTCCTCGTCGTTCCGTCCTGTCCCCCGCTTCCGCTGTCGAGGCTGTACTGGGAACTCACAGCCGGCGTGACCCACCTCCCGCCTCTCCAGAAGTAGGGCGTGGTTGTTGAGCCTTCCATGACATGGCCGTCCACGTCGTAGACGATGAGCACCTCCTTCGCGTCGGTGGGACTGATCCGCGCCCGTTGCCGTGCGACGTCGTACATGGCCCGTTTCGTCGTCTTGAAGTGCGTGTACTCGGACCGGGCCGTCCCCGATTCGTCCACAACGACCTCGTAAGTCGGTACTTTAGAGGGCGTGGTTGTTTGCCTACTGTTAGGTTCGCTAGGCCCCGTCGGCGCCTCCCCAGGCACGGGGAGCTTTGCTGGGTACAGGTTCGAGAGCGTCGTCTCCAGAACCTTGCCCGTGACTATTTCTATGGCGCCCTGTTCCGAGATAACTACCCTCACTCGTAATGGTGCACTCTGTTTTTCCCCTATAGCACCCGCGAGGGCTTCTTCGAGCCTTTGCAGCCCTGCATCGCCGCTCAGCGCCTCGACGGCGGCGTCCCAGCCCCAGTGAGTGGCCGCTCTGAGCATGCGGTCCCGGTGGAAGTCCAGCATGTAAAAGGGGGACTTGTTTACGCGGTTCCAGCCGCTGTCGTTGAGTGGGCTGTCTGCCACTTGGAGGAGCGCTGCATCATAGCGAAGGGACGAAAACAACTGGAAGTTTGCCACCATGGCTATGAATCGCGACTTTTCCTAGGTAGTTGGGTATACGATTGTCTCAAACTTGACATAAAAATTGTACCAAGTTGAGGGAAACTAAAAGCCTTGAAGAAAACCTAGAACAAGCTGAAAGTTACCAAAGGCAGTGAGTTGAGGTTGCTTTGCTAGGACGGGCACTGTTGAAATTTGAATTCGACAATTGTCCAGGGCAATAATAACAAATATCCTCAGCTGAGTTTCTCCAGGTGGAAGGAGTAAACGAGTACTAAAAGATAGGGGTGTTCGTGGTTACATAATCACCTTGAATCAAATCAAACTGTTGCGTCCTGAGGCACCCCACATGGAGATTGGAGCAAGACTGTTCAATTCTGGAGTCCCCACCCTGAACAACCTGGCTGCTCGAGACTACTGGCAATCCCTGCCTGAACCTGCCCTGCCAGGTTCGGAAAAACCGCGTGGGTCACTGATGCTTTGGCGCGCCCGAGCTTTATAATTTTTTTTTGTTCGCGAGCTCGAGGTGGTTTGTTGGCAAGGTCGTTGTGCAAATTTGCATCATCAAAAGGACCAAATCTTGATCGATTGATCCGCCATCACCATCCTTTTCAGGTGCATTCTTTTTTCCCAAAGTCCTTCTTTCCGAGGATCTCTTATCGATTTCATTAATACTCAAGCCATGGCTCCCACTCCTCCCTCAACTCCTATGGCAACCACCCCCGTGGTTGTCACGCCAAACTCGTCACTCTGGGACCGGGTCACGACATGGTTCTCGGAGAACAAGGCAGTTGTATATACGATTGCCGGCGTCGTCGTTGTTGTCACAGGCGCCGGTGCCGTGTACTATCTACGGACCAGCTCAAGTGACGTAAGTCAGCGTCCCCAGTCCATTTGCCACTACCGGCCCCGACACGACGGTTGCTTGCCCGCTTCTTCCTGCTAGGCCGGCGATTATATCTTGCGCTAACACTCATCCCTTTTGCAACAGTCGAAGGACGGCACACCCAGACTCAGCAAGAAGGAGAGGCGGAAACAGAAACAGGCCGAGAGGGAAGCAGAAGCCGAAGCCGAAAAGGCCGCCGCTGCGGCAGCAAAGCAGCCACAAACTGGACCCCCTCAGCCAAAGCCTGCCGCCGTCGCATCTGAACCCTCGGACGAGCTTCTAGAGATCGATGAAACCACTGTGCTGAGTCTATCTGACCAGGAGCGGAAGGAATACTCCGCCAAGCTTAAGGAGGCTGGAAATAAGGCGTACGGGGCGAAGGACTTTACCAAGGCCATCGAGCTCTACTCCAAGGCAATTCTCTGCAAGCCGGACCCGGTCTACTACTCTAACCGCGCCGCCTGCTACAATGCGTTGGCCGACTGGGAAAAGGTAGTCGAAGACACGACCGCGGCAATTGGCCTGGATCCCGAGTATATCAAGGCTCTGAACCGCCGTGCCAATGCCTATGACCACCTGGGCAAGTACAGCGAGGCGCTGCTGGATTTTACTGCGAGCTGCATCATCGATGGGTTTAGGAACGAGCAGAGTGCACAAGCCGTAGAGCGGTTGCTCAAGAAGTTCGCCGACTCGCGAGCGAAAGAAATCCTTGCTTCCAAGCCACCGAGGTTGCCGAGCGCTACTTTCGTGAGCAACTATCTGCAAAGCTTCAGGCCGAAGCCCCGCCCGGCTGGGTTGGAAGACTCGGTCGAGATTCCCGAGGATACCGGAAAAGGCCTGCTGCAGCTTGGTCTTAAGCACCTCGACAACAAGGCTGGCTCGGGATACGAGACCGCTGCTAAGGCGTTCGAGAACGCGCTTGAGCGTGGCGACCTGGGTGAGTTTGAAGCACTGGCCTACAACATGCGCGGAACATTCCGCTGCCTGAAGGGAAACCACGAAGATGCTCTATCCGACCTCAGCAAGAGCATCGAGCTGGACCCTGCAATGACGCAGAGCTACATTAAGCGAGCGAGTATGAATCTCGAGCTAGGTACGTCTCATGTCGTGTTTTCTTTACCGTCGTACGAACTGTCCGACTAACTATTCTCAGGTGCTCCTGAAAAGGCCGAGGAAGATTTCGAGAAGGCGTTGCAACAGAACGAGGCAGATCCTGACATTTATTATCACCGGGCGCAGCTTCATTTCATCAAGGGAGCGTTCCCTGAGGCGAGCAAGGACTACCAAAAGTCGATCGATCTCGACCCCGACTTCATCTTTTCACACATCCAACTTGGCGTCACCCAGTACAAGATGGGGTCGATAGCGTCGTCGATGGCTACGTTCCGACGATGCATGAAGAAGTTCGACAAGGTCCCAGACGTCTACAACTATTATGGCGAAATTCTCCTCGACCAGAGCAAGTATCAGGAGGCCATCGACAAGTTCGATATGGCCATCGAGCTTGAGAAGGAGACCAAGCCCATGTGTATGAACGTGCTGCCCCTGATCAACAAGTCCCTGGCCCTCTTTCAATGGAAACAGGACTTTGCGGAGGCCGAGAAACTCTGCGAGAAAGCCCTGATCAGTATGTCCCCTCCCCTGAAGCCTACCAACAGAAATATTTTTAACACTGCATGTCTTGCTACAGTCGATCCCGAATGCGATATTGCCGTTGCCACAATGGCTCAGTTGCTGCTCCAGCAAGGCAAGGTTACTGAGGCCCTCAAGTACTTTGAACGGACGGCGGAGCTGGCAAGGACCGAGGGAGAACTTGTCAACGCCTTGTCGTACGCTGAGGCCACCAGAACTCAAATCCAAGTCCAGGAGAAGTACCCAAAGCTAGCCAGCAAACTCTCTGGGGCCGGCAACCCGGGCATGATGCGGTAGTGCGCCTAGTTCGAGCAAATCGCGTATCAATTGGAAATGATGTTCCGGTCGAAGACGAGGACCAGTCGGCAGCATGGGTTTTTGGGTTGGTATTGTAAAAAGAGGTTTCCAATGATTGGCGGCTTATGCCCGCTTGCCCGGGCAAAGCTGCTGGCATTTGGAGGGGAACTACCGGATAAAGCAGACAAGAGGGAGCCTATTATCCATTCAGCAGCTGACCAGAAGCTTGGAGAACAGCTTCAGGAACAGTTGGTAAATAGTGAAAACGGCATTGCCGCTGAGGAGAAGGGGAGAAAGCTGAGGATACTAGACGACAGCATCACGAGGAAAAGGGATCGGTGGTTGAAGATCGTTCGCCAGCTAGGAGACGACGCAGAAAATATTATCGGGAGAGAGAGGGAGAGGAGGCTGAAGAAGCTTGAGAAGCGCATCGCGGTAGATGAGGGGATGAGGTCGGATTTACTTCGAGAGGAAGAGGAAGAGGAGAAGGCTAATAAGGAAAGAAGAGGAAGACGGAGTGAAAATCTTCCTATATACGACTAGCACGGTCACTCCCCGTCTTTTCTTTTTATTTGTTCTTTTTCATTTTCGGTCTTGGGGACACTGGGACGGCACTTATACACTGGTCGGAGATTGGCGGGGGGGCAGGCCGGTTGGAAGCGGATATTGCAGCGAATCTGAGCTGCGAAAAGCGCATGTCCTCACAGCGAAGGGTATTCTTGTATCTCTCCAGCCCGTGCTGGTTGATTTGTATAGATTGGAAGGGGATGGAAGGTGGTTTTGGGGGGAAAGGGGGCGGGAGGGGAGGTTGCAACGCTTCTTTGGGATTCGCGTCTCTCCCTCCCCCCCAACCTTTTGTGTAAGTTGCGCGCGCGAGCTGTATATATGCATATAATAACACGTCCTCTCATTGTAACTTGTTTCGTTTTCGTTGTCCGTTGACTGTGTCGTGTTGTGTTGCCACTGGCGCTCAAGAGATAAATTGGTAGTGGAGGGAGGTGTGGAACTTGGGAAGACGGTGAATTGGCGTCCCCTGATCTATGCTGTGATTGTGTACCGTTATGCTTCGTAATAGTAATAAACACTTCTGTGTGACGTGGGTAAGTGCCCTCCAGCCCGAGATTTCTACTTGAGGCGGTTGTTAGGAGATGAGCGTATAGGAAGAATGAGGTTCATCTGATTGAAAAGGCCGGTTACTTAGGTAGTAGTAGATACCTACACAAGTTAGTTGTCAGAGAGACAGAAGAGAGAATTCGATTTTAGACACAACATTGTGCTCTTTCAATCCCCTACACTTCTACAGTCCAATCTCTTGAATGTTTATCAGCGGGGGACTTTCTGGGATCCGAATAGCCTCAATACCTCCTCACTCGTCGCCCTAATTAACGGGTTTTTTACCCAGGAGGTAGGTAAGGTAATAACTATTGGAATCCCTATCATTCTTGAATCCCAGAGGCCTATATCTCCCCCAAAATACCTACTTTTTAAAGGCGTATCCTAGCCAGGTAGATAGGCATTGGCTTGCAGGGCTCCTGTCTGCATTCTCGCCATCGAGCAGCGAGCGACAGGGACGGGGTGTCCAAGTTATAGAAAGAGGTTACATATGGTGAGTATGCGGTTACAAGCGAGCTATCTATCTGTGTGCATACCTACGTCATAAATAAATAGATAAATAAATCACAATCTGAAGGTGTTGAAGTAGCTAGGAAGACAAATAGGTAGGCAGGCAAGTTGCGTCGAGCGTCCATTTTCCGTTTATATTTTCTCCCGTTTATTTCCTTCCGTCCTCGCTTTTGCCGTTTCTTCCAGCCGGAGGGCAAGCATCAGAAACAATAACATGTAACTAGAAACAAAACCCCCCAACGGGAAGAGAAATAAAGAGAGCGAAAGCCGCGACATAAATCAAGCAAATACACTTCATTTAGTAGCAAGCAAACAGCAAGCGAAGAGAAAGAACCGAGCAGAGTCACAGGAGAGCACAAAAACAGAGACAAGAAATGAAAAAAAGCAAAAAGCAAATATAGAACAGATAATAATCCATTATGACAAAAAGGAACTTGCAATGACCGAAAACTATGCTAAGAAGAAGGTAGCAACAGTAATAGTGGCAGAGTAATTAAAGAGAGTGTGTGAAAGAAGACCACATTTCAGTTGTGTATCATCATGCTTCCGAACCAACCGCTCATCGCTACGCAGCCTTTCCATATCACACCGACAGCGCGCCTGTTAGCTGGTCTAATATTCCTCCCTCTGACGCCCCCTCCTTGATCGCTCTAGTAGTAGTCGTTGTCGTCCCCGTAGTACCTCCTCCTGTAGACCCTCCTGAGTCACTGCTTCTTGTTATTACCGCTTATATTAAAAAAGTTTCGCTAACTTTTCCCTTCTGCACGCGCTGGGGAGGGAGGGGGAATAAAGTGGAAACATAGAGGATAAACACATCCCCGCTTGGAGACTCGGACACACGCTCAGAGAAAACATCATATATCCACACAGGGACACAATACAGCTTAAACACTCCGATCCTGTCTATGGCAGACAGGATTGGGTCCACCCGTGCCACTCCCGCCAGAAAACAGTCCAAGCCAATAAAAAACAAAGAAAAATGAGAAAATGGGCGAAAGTTACGTTTTGTTCTTGTTCTGGTTGGTCAAAGCGATGCCGAGGCCCACGCCGAGGGCAATGGCGAGAACGATGAGGAAGACGACGAGTGCGCACCACCACTTGAGCCTGCGGCGGCGGCGGGCGTGGTCGACGCCCTTGCCCAGTTGGACGTTGGCGTTGTCGAGGTGGTCAGTAGTCTCCTCGGCCTTTTGCGCCGCCTGCTGGACCATGGCGCTCTGCTCCACCACCTGCGTGCTCAGGTACTGCATGAGGTCCATCAAATCCCGGATTTGCCGCTCGATGTTTAGCAGCTCTGTGTGCCGGGCCTGCACGTTCCGGAGAACCTCGGACGCGTGGCCGGAGCGGTTGCTCTTAAGCTGTAAGGCAGACAAAGCTGGGTCAGCGCTGTGTACTAAAGAGAACAAAATAAGATGAAAATGGGCCATCATACCGCAGTCTGGAAGACGCCCTCATTACCCCAGTCGGCATCCTGGGCCTGCTGTACCTCGGCCTCGGTGGCTGACGGGTTGACGATGCGGTACTGGCGGGCGATCTGCTCGCGGTAGCGCTCACGGTACTCCTGCTCCTCGCGCAGGTACTTTTGGATCTCGTCCTTGTACTCCTTGTTGAGCGACTCGAACTGGCGCTTCTTGAGGCCGAAGCTGCCGTCCGACGTGCGCTCGGCGTCGCCCTTGAGGGTCTGGATCTGGTCGCGGATTGCCGTGTTCTTTATTTGCGTGTGGGCCACTAACGCGTCGAGCTGCTCGCGCGCGCTGCCATCGCTGCTGGTCAGCGCGCGCTGGTGCAGCTGCACAATGTCGTCCACCCTCTTGCTAAGCTCCCGCATGTCCTCCCGGATCCCCGACACCCGCGATAGGAAGTCCGCCGTCGGCAGCACATTGGCGGACTGCACTGCGGCAGGGCTGCCGTACGGCTGCTGAGGCTGGGCCGGACTGCTGTATGCTTGTTGCGGCTGGGCAGGACTGTTATACGACTGCTGCTGAGGGCTTCCATACTGGTGTGACTGCTGAGGGGTGCCATGTGGTTGTTGGCTGTATGGCTGGCTGTTGTATGGCTGCCCGTAAGGCTCCAACTCGTGCTCCTATCAAGACCGCAAAGCGATTGTGTCAGCCGTTTCTAGTCTCTGTCTTCATGCCTTCTCGTCTGTCTTCTTCCCAGCCGGCCAACCCGCCACCCCGCGAAACAGCTGGGTTCGCGTTTCTGGCTGCGCGCGCAATCAATACATCTTGAACTTTATTCATTGGGAGCATCAAAAGTCCCTGCAGACTTGTTGCTGCCCACATTTTTCTGCCTGCGATGCGCCACCCCCTCCAGAGGCTCTGTGCTGCTCTCCGGCGGTGGGAAGCCCGCGTCGCGGAAGCTGCGGGAGGGAGCTCTAAGCGGCGATTGTGTGGCGAAGGAAGGACACAACACTCACTTGCTGGCCGTAGCCATAACCAGCCTCGGCATTCGGCGCCTGGCCGTAGGGATTGTAAGACATGTCTGCTAGAGGTGCTGCTTCGGTCGCTCGGTTCGGCCGTCAATTGATGGTGTTTTTCTGCGATATCGTCGATTGCTGGTTGTGGGACGACTTGGTCGTTGTTTCGTGACCGTCGTAGCTTTTTTTTGTTAACACGCTGCGGCAGGGCGGCGGGCGGCGATTGGAGGCGGGAGATTGCAAGCACACTGGATGGACGCCTGGACTGAGTCGCTTCTCGACCTGATTTAGGGCGGTGTCAAATTTACTGCGGGGCTAGTCGTCGCGATTTCCTCAGTGGGCAGTCGCTCCAGGCCCGCAAATTTCCCCTAAGGTTAGGTTGCTTTCATCCGCCAAGCCAGACTGATCATCCGAACCCGCCCGCATACGTACCGCAGCCGCGACACAGCCCGGAGCAGTTTCTTGAAGAATTTATGTTTTCAAGCTGCCGACTCACTCAGCCAGCGCCTGAGATTATTGGCGAATGGAATGGCAGTCTGCCACAGCGTTGACTAGGGGCGGACAATCACAAATCAGGAAGGAAATCGCGGGGCCTCAAACATGGCAGCCCGGTTCTCATTTCACTTATTTTTTGCCTTTGAAATACGTCCGTTTTGAGGCGGCGTTCAGTCCGCGGAGTCGGACGGATCCCAAGCCCAACAGAGCTGGAACTTCAGCGGCGCGAGCTGGCGGCACGTTGGCCAGAGGTCCAGCCCAAAATAAGCAACAAGCGTTTCCAGTCAGATACCTTCCTCACCAACCAGGCACAGCTCAGCAACTCAGGCAAGGGTATGCCTCTGTTGGTACTCGCCAAACCGCGGGAGAATTTTGCGCTACGGAGCACACGGCATTCTTGATGATCACGGGTTTGCTTGATGGTATTGCTCTTCGCTCTTGTTCTACGTCCTGTTTGCCCCTCGGTTACGTACCATGTGTGGCTGTGCGACTGCTGCCGGGCATCCAGACGTCCGCTTACTTCTTCTCTCGGACCGTTCTGCAACCTTACCAGACCACTGCGCGATGATGCACGGGCGGGGAGGCTGAACCGGCGGGGAGGCTGAACCGGCGGGGAGGCTGAACCGGCGGGGAGAGCTGCCACCTTCTCGCGCAAGCCTTCACTGCCGAGTACGCCCCAAGCCTGCTTGCTGGGTGCGGCGTGGCGGCAATTCCACCCACCCAACAACGCCTTACTACCTGGACGAATTTGAGGCGTATTATGTGAACTGTTGGGCTGCTAGCTTGGCCCACTTGAATCAGAGTCGGCTCCAATCTCCAGGTAAGGTAAGAGGCAGCGGGGGCGCTGCAGTTCAGACGGCTCAGGAATAATGTATATGGAGAGAATAAATCATTTTAGCCTCTCTCAAGTATTGCCGACACGACATCCGGAAACGTTGCCTTGTCTGCCTAACACATGTCTAGCTCGAATCCGATTCCGTGGAAAGCACCGAATCCGGCACTCGAATTCGCATCATATCTCATCTAGGTATAAATAACGCCTGACCAACCCTCAAATCCCAAAGTCGGATTCTATCCCCCCGCATTGCTCCAGGAAACGGAGCTGCTTTTGATGCCATAATGCACATAATACATACTGGCCACTACATCCTCCCGAATCCTACGACGGGGCCAGAGTCGTACCGCCTCTCGGCAGCTCTTTACTTGACTGATCAAGTTCGAGACAGAAAGCCTAGAGTGAAAGAACGATAACAACTTGTCCTAGACCTGGCCTGTGGGTCGGCCCTACATCACAGTTGGACTCCGTCATTCTCTCCGGTTGGCCTGCAGTCGTTCTGCAACCCGTAGTTGCCAAGAAATATGCCAAGAACATAACCCCCTTTTATTACCCTGCGCGCCACCAACTGGTTCTTAAAAGAAATTCTTTTTTCGGCTTGTGCGCGTATATTGATTCAAATGCCACTCGGAATCGGCGTCCTTTTGCTCAAGAGTACCCATGGCGATGGAGAAAGGTCGCATGGTGAACCGGGGCCCAACCTCACTCAGCTCCACTGAGTCGTAACTCGTCCGGACATAGACGTGGTGGCGCACTTCTATGCAGTCGTCTTGATTCACAAAAGTGATGACACGATTGCCTTCAATCTTGTTGACGGTAGCATCTCGGGGTGGGAAAAGATGCTTCAGGATTTTCGCTAGTCGGCGTCCCAGTTGTGTGTTGAAATTCTCGAGTATCAGATGTGGATAGCTCTCGCTGACTGTCCCCTTGATAGAACGTGGTATATCGGCCCTCAGAACTACGTTGTGCAAAGACGCTATAAGTGTAGGTCCGTGAGGAAGATGGCTGCTTGAGCATTAGCCAGACTAAACAGTGCACTGGATGATACTTCACTCGACATGCGTACCTGATAGTGATTGCAGTCGGTGTTCCTCTGGTTCCGGTTAGTGAATGACCTTCAATACGGAAAGCCAGAAACGGCAGTGGCTGGTTCGCTCTGGACTCAAGTCGGGGTTGAACAAGCCGTTGGATAACATACCGATGCTCGTGCAGAAGAATGACGTCCGTGAGGCCCTCGCTCTGAGCAGACTTAACGAGATCTGGGAGCACGAGGTTGCCGCGATTAAGGCGAATTGCAGTTGGGAACAAAAGTCTCATCTCCTTGGAAAACGACTGTAACCTCGAACTAGGATCGCGTGATGTTGTGACCAGCACGCGCGGATCTTTCGACATAGTCAGCAAATGGACAATAACAACCGTAGAGACGGGGCTCCGTTTCAGTCGGTCTCTCTAAAGATGCTATAGCGCATCTTCCTTCCTGGATACTCTACTACTACGGTCTAGGCTGTAAGGGGACGGGGTACCTATTACACCAGAGAGCTCCGAGTATTCATCATCGATGTCGATCGTCTCATCGGGGTTCATGTCGCGGGATACATCGTAATCGTAGTCTTTCCGCAGCTGTTTGTCGTTTGCAATTTCTGGGGCCAATGGCTTTCCCGAGGCCAAACTAGACCTCAGTTGCGCCCGCTTCTCGCTAACTTCGGCATCGCGCAGGAGAACCGCCCGGCGATAGAGGTAGTCTCTCCGCTGTCTTGCTTGTTTCCGCTGCATTGATGGTTAGCGGGCATTGATTGGGTGGGTGATTTAACAGAGCTCAAGGGCCACTTACAATCATTTTTGGGCTTCTTCAAATTGCGGGTTGAGGCGCAAATCTTGAAAACGGGGAGAGATTACGATTGTCAGGAGAAGGATGTGCAAAACCTCCGACGACATGCAAGGCTGACGGCGTTAGTGGAGGGGCTCGCAAGCAGAACAAAGAAAGTAAAGAAAAAGTTGTAGTGCACGGACCAGTTCTTAGATTCTGCAGCCTCCTCCTCCGCCACTTTCCCATTTTGGTAGCGTAGCGGCTCGAGGTTCTGGTTGAGGTCCAATTCCATCCACATTACAGTGCCCGCCAAAAAATCGCAACCCACGGCAACGATAAACTCAGGCAAGCAACTTACAAGACTACAACATTCCGCGAAGCCGAAATCAGCCTGTAAAACTGCAGGTCCTGCAAACTTCAGTCCAGCGATGATGTGACCTTCAACCATACGGAATTTCAATTCTCCCTCGTTTCCAGGTTCCCCACCACCAAACGGAAGCCGCGCTCGGCTCAGATATTGAATTATTCCACCCAAAAGGCGTGCCAACCGACTGCGAGTCTCGGCCTGTCCCAGCCGAACCGGTACGCCGCCCTTCTCCGTCCTGCCTCTTTATGTCTGCTTGCTGCCCTGCCCTGCTGAGCTTCTTTTCTCTGAGCTATGCGCGGCGATACCCAGATCTGGGACAGCATTTGCCGCCATCGTTGCTGACCCGTCTTGCGCGCTCCCTCCAGTCTAGTCTGCGACGCCACTTACCCGCTCTCTGCCCACTATGGAGGGCGCTTTCACCCACCTCGGAAATCACCTCGTTTCTGACTCTGCTGCTGCCATTAAGGCCGGCGGCGCTGACGAACTCTCTAACATCGATCCGGACGAGAACCTGCTGTATGGGGTCTACGGGGGTCGCGGCCCCCGCGGAGCTCTGGGCAACGCTCGACGACGCCACGATGACGATGATAACGAGACCGAGGTTTTTGATGACGACGATGAGGAGAGCTTGGCAAGCGTACCCGTCGACGGCCTCAAAGGCATGAAGCTGAGCGCTCCTGAGGAGGAGAAGGAGCTGCCCGCCCACGCCTGCGCGTAAGTCTTGGGTCCCCCTCCTAGCCGCCGCGCTGCCCAACTAACTTTGCTTTCCAGGTACTGCGGCATCCATACTCCGGCTAGTGTCGTGAAGTGTCTCGCATGCAGCAAATGGTTTTGCAGTGCCCGCGGCAATTCCATTTCCTCTCATATCGTTAATCACCTTGTCCGAGCGCGTCACAAGGAGGTCCAGCTTCATCCACAATCGGCTCTTGGCGACACGGTCCTAGAATGCTACAATTGCGGTACCAAAAACGTCTTCATTCTTGGATTCATTCCCGCCAAGTCCGATACCGTAGTTGTGCTTCTCTGCCGCCAGCCTTGCGCTGCCAATACCTCGACCAAAGACATGAGCTGGGATATTTCGAGATGGCAGCCTCTTATCGAAGATCGTTCATTCCTTCCCTGGCTTGTCCAGCCCCCGACCGATGCCGAACAGCTGCGGGCGCGACATTTGACCCCTCCCATGATTGCGAAGCTTGAAGAGATGTGGAAGGAGGCCCCCGGTGCCACCATTGCCGATCTCGAGAACGGCACTGGCGTCGACGACGATCCGCACCCCGTCCTCCTGAAGTACGACGACCCATACCACTACCAGAACATATTCGGCCCCCTAGTCAAGATGGAGTCCGACTATGATAAGAAGCTCAAGGAAGCGCAGTCTGAAGACGGGCTGCAGGTCAAATGGGATATGGGACTCAACAACAAGCACTTGGCTAGCTTTGTCCTCCCCAAGATCGAGTCGGGCGATGTAAAGTTGGCTGTCGGCGACGAAATGCGGCTCAAGTACAAGGGAGAACTTCGCCCCCCTTGGGAAGGTGTTGGCTATGTCATCAAAATCCCGAACAACCAGTCAGACGACGTCACGCTCGAGCTGCGAAAGTCGGCTAACGATAAGTCTGTGCCGACGGAATGCACCCACAACTTCTCGGCAGACTACGTCTGGAAGGCCACGTCTTACGATCGAATGCAGTTCGCTATGAAGACGTTTGCCGTTGACGAGCTGAGCGTCTCGGGATACATCTTCCACAAGCTGCTTGGCCACGAGGTTGCTGTGGCTCCCATGAAGACGCAGATGCCTAAGAAGTTTCACGTCCCGGGCCTGCCAGAGCTGAACCACAGCCAGATCACGGCCATCAAGACAGTTTTGTCGACCCCTCTCAGTCTAATCCAAGGGCCTCCGGGAACAGGAAAGACAGTTACTTCGGCCACCATTATTTACCATCTAGCCAAGATGAACAACAGTCAAGTTCTTGTATGCGCGCCATCCAACGTCGCCGTCGACCAGCTATGCGAGCGAATTCATCGGACTGGCCTAAAGGTTGTTCGCCTGACTGCCAAGTCACGCGAGGATGTCGAGTCATCCGTTGGCTTCCTGGCACTGCACGAGCAGGTGCGCATGAACGACACTAACACCGAGCTCGCAGGCTACATGAAGCTCAAGAGCGACCAGGGCGAGCTGTCGTCCCAGGATGAGAAAAAGTTCAAGCAGCTGACTCGTGCTGCCGAGCGTGAGATCCTCAGCAACGCCGATGTGGTATGCTGCACCTGTGTGGGCGCTGGTGACCCCAGACTTTCAAAAATGAAATTCCGCAACGTCTTGATCGACGAGTCGACGCAGTCTGCCGAGCCCGAGTGTATGATTCCTCTGGTCCTCGGATGCAAGCAGGTAGTGCTGGTCGGAGATCACAAGCAGCTTGGTCCCGTCATCATGAACAAGAAGGCCGCCAAGGCTGGTCTGAACCAATCGCTATTTGAGAGATTGGTGAAGCTGAACTTCGTGCCCATCCGGCTGAAGATCCAGTACCGCATGCACCCGTGTCTTTCCGAGTTCCCCTCGAACATGTTCTACGAGGGATCTCTACAAAACGGCGTCACTATCAGCGAGAGACTCCGCAAGGATGTTGACTTCCCCTGGCCCGTGGCCGAGACGCCAATGATGTTCTGGTCGAATTTGGGCAACGAAGAAATCTCGGCATCGGGAACCTCTTACCTCAACCGCACTGAAGCCTCCAACGTAGAGAAGATCGTGACCCGGTTCTTCAAAGCGGGCGTCAAGCCTGCCGATATCGGCGTCATCACCCCGTACGAAGGTCAACGCAGCTACATTGTCAGCACCATGCAAAACACAGGCACATTCAAAAAGGAGAGCTACAAGGAGGTTGAGGTGGCTTCTGTCGATGCCTTCCAGGGCCGAGAGAAGGACTTTATCGTTCTCTCTTGCGTTCGCTCCAACGACAACCAAGGCATCGGTTTCCTGTCCGACCCACGCCGACTCAATGTTGCGCTGACCCGTGCCAAGTACGGCCTGGTCATCATTGGAAATCCCAAGGTTTTATCGAAACACGAGCTCTGGCACCACCTGCTAGTTCACTTCAAGGATAGGAACTGTCTTGTTGAAGGGCCTCTTACGAACCTCCAGGCCTCGCTTCTACAGTTCGGCAGGCCAAAGATGAGCCTGCGTCCCCAGCGCTCCCAGCAAAGCCAGCATGGAGCGACCGGCTATCCAAACGGCCGCTATGGCGCGGGCTTGAACGGCTCGACTCGAGACTACGAGACAGGGTCGATGGTGTCGTCGTACATTCCCGACGATGTTTCTTCGATCCACAGCTCTGCGTTGGGTGGCGCTGGGCTCAGCTCGGCGTATCCCCAGATGTTTTCCAACTTCCATCCTGAGCAGTGGCCCGGCCTCCCCGGCGCCGTTCCAACTGGCCGTCCTGGCACAAAGAGCCGTGGTCGCGCGACGGAGAGCATTGCCGGCGAAAGCGTGGCCAACAGCGAGTTCACGGATGCAAGCGCCAGCGTGATTGGCGGAAAAGGCGTCGGTCAGGGTGGTGCCAGTCTGGGCGCGGGCCTGAGTGAGGCGATTGGCTCGTCTCGCCCTACTTCTTACAGCCAGAGCGACCGTCTCAAGCAATACGTCGAGAGTGGCGGACGTGTGGGCGTGGGCAACGGGTATGGACGGCGGTTTGACGACGACGAGAAGAGCGTCAGCACGGCTTTCGCAAGCCAAATCGGATCCGGGTTCGACTGAGCAACTAGACTACAGCATTGTTGGTTGGCTTGATTTCTCTGCAAAACAAACGACGAAGCAGCAACGGCATCAGGCTCGTAGATGGCCAGCCTGTTTGCCTCAGCTCTCGAGGACTCGGTCGAGCACCCGCTCTCGGACCGCGGCAACCGCCCTAGACGTCCAAGCATTGGATGAGCATGGGAGGTTTCTCTCCAGAAGGACCAACCGTCCAGCAGACAGCGTACTGGCTGGAGGTATCCAGCAAATGTCGGTACAATGTGTAGTCTGTCCCCATGTTGCCTGTCGTCCTCGGGCAAATGTAGCACTCGTCTGTGTCCGTTGGACCGGAGTGTTGGCACGCTAGGGTCCTCGAGAATCATTAGGATGTTTTGTTTAACGTTGGGATGTGACATGGAGGGAATTGGGGAAAGAGAGTATGGAGAAGAGAGGAGAGCCATCCAGCGAGAAGAGGGGGCTATCCAGTGAAGAGGTGGTTGACGCTTTCCGAAGAGGAACAAAAGCAAGTACTCTGTGCCCCAAAGGGCTCGGAGATTAGCTTTTTCCGCGGATGGGTTACGAAGAGCCTGTATGGCTAGAGAGGCCACTCGTTTGGGCTCGGCCCTCTGTGTTTACCTTCTTAGATCGAGATGTCTAGAGTGTCTCAGCTCAGGGCTCTCGTGATTTGCAGCTGCCTTCAAAGTCACTCGTTCTTTTAGGTAGTTGTTTTTTTTTTTTTTTTTTTTTTTTTTTTTTAAAAAAAAAAAAAACGATATAAGCGAAGACGGCGGACAGTAGTAAGAGAACTCATTCGTTCAGAAAATTATATTAAAGACTTTCTCTGGTCGGGGTCTTGGAAATGGATGCTACGGTTGACATGGACCACTTAGCCCGCTTGCGCCCAAGGGGGATCAAGCCACTGTCCCGCGATAGCTTAGCGGAGCTTATTGTTGGGTTCACACATAAAGCTGTCGGATGGCACTTTCAAGGCGCTTGTTAAAAAACCCAGAAGCTCAAGCCAGGAGGATTGACTACCTTAGGGACCTTATCTTGACTGCCTTATTCGTAGGCCGAGCGATTCTGGCCTGGCGCTCTGGCCCAGGACCGTTGCTGAGGTTCGTTGGCTCTTTCCCAATCATTCCCAAGAACCCTTGTCCTGGGAGGCGCTGGCGGTAGGGGGCTGATGGGCTGTGCTCCGAAACCCATTAGTGCCTCCTGGACTTTGGATGGGGGGAATTCTGTAATCATTTAAAGGCGTGTAGGGTGAGGCGAGGTAGGTTTAGCTTTTGTCTGAAGCCGACGTTGTTTCTTATTCTGTTTGTAATAATCCGTACGCAATATAATAAGATAACCTCATCTTTTACAACTTTGGATTTTCTGGGATTTCGCACTCGGCTTGCCGCTCACTGCGCTTTCTAGGCACTGGGGCTTTGTGCAAACCTGAGACGACAACCGCAACATCTCCTTCGTGCCTTGCGCCGCCTTGGACTTCCCCTCCATCCCCCTGTGACGTGACCTCTCACCTGTTTGCCTCCATGCATCAGCTCAGCTCCGGCAGTGATTAGTAGTAGCTGCCCTGCAACCCAAAGCTGCTGCCCATACCCTAGGTACCCTACACACCGCTTCCCGTCTTCCAAGTCTCCGCCTGGCTTTCTTAATCGCGGTTGCTAAGGCTCTTTTGGAATTCAGATTAACCCCTCCACCCCAAAACACTATATCCAGACCTCCAACCTCAGCTATCCGCACTTTATAGACTAAGCACGGAGTAAATTGCCTCGATATTAACTGGGAGGGTCGCGCATCTATCAGCCATGGCTGCATCCTCGGATCCGCCCGCCACTACAAGCGCCGCAGCTCCAGCGTCAGTTGACGCAGCACCAGCCGCCGTCGAAATACCCGCCTCTCAACAAGCCCCACTGTCACCAGAATCCCATCTCACCCCAGATGCAATCGCCTCACGCCAAGGCGACTCTGATGCGACCGCCAAGCTCGAACCCGCACCCGTCCTCGACGCTGCTGCCGAGGCGGACGAGAGCAAACCTGCGCCTCTGCCTAACAGCAGCGCGACATCGCCGTCGGCAGACGGGGCTCCTGCTATCGCAGCCGCAGCTGCTGCCATTTCTTCGACTGGCTTTGATGGAACTCATGACGACCACGATGGCGTCAACCCTCTCGATTTCCAGGGCGCCGTGGACAGCAACAACGAGCTGCCCAGCGCCGAGACCATGGCTAAGATCGAGAACTACGTAGTGCTCGACCGCGATGGCAAGTCGCATACCTTCAAAAGTCTATACGCGGGGAAGCACACGGCGCGGAGGGTGCTGATCATCTTTGTGCGGCACTTCTTTTGCGGAGTAAGTCTGCGAGATCTAAACCTACAATCTTGGTGGCTCCTCGTTTGAGATTGGTAGTATAGCAGTGAAAATGCTTACCCAGTCTTTCTGTTACGCTAGATCTGTCAGGAGTACCTCCGATCGCTGTCGGCGTCCATCACGCCCGAGGCGCTGCTGCGCCTGCCCATCAGCACCTTCATCGCGGTGATTGGGTGCGGCGACCCGGGGCTAATCGAGATGTACGCCAACGAGACCAAGTGCCCGTTCCCAATCTACTCGGACCCAACGCGCAAACTGTACTCGGAGCTGGGCATGATCCGCACGCTCGCCATGGGGGCTCGGCCGGCCTATATGACGCAGAACATGATAAAGTCGTCGATCGACTCGGTATTCCAGGGCCTGAAGCAGATCCGCCGCGGGCTGGCCACCAAGGCCGGCGACGCCCGCCAGATCGGCGGCGAGTTCCTGTTCGAACCCTTTGACGTGCAAAGCCCCGTCACGACGCCGTGGTACGAGGTGGAGCGGAGGATGGGCGACTTTGCCATCAGCGAAAAGGAGAAGAGCAACGGGACCGCCAACGGCCACCATCGCGTGTCGGAGACGAGCCTGGACGGCAAGAACGAGGCCGGCGACAGCGGCGAGCAGAAGCACGTCACGTGGTGCCACCGCATGAAGACGACGCGCGACCACGCCGAGATCCCTGAGCTCATGGAGATTCTAGGCCTTGACGGCCAGGGCATGCCCATCAAGGACAAGAAGCGCTGGTCGCGCGCCCTCGAGCAGCGCAAGGGCACCGGCCTCTCCATGGCGAGCCAGATGAGCGCCATGAAGGCCGAGGCAGGAGGCGTTGTGCCACCCACCGCGGCGGATACTACGGGGGCCGCTTAGAAGGCGCCGCCACTGCCGCTGTTGTTGCGACGGCTGAATCGTCAGCGCGGGAGGCCATGAAGAAAGAAGATATGGAACTGACGATGAGACGAATCATGACTCCTTTTTTAGCTTATGGGAGGCTTTGGCGTCTGTGTGCATGTACGAGGTACGCATTTGTTGTTTTCTGTATTTTCCAAGTCTAAGTCTAGGGATGCTGTTCTGCTGCTTCTTGTACAGAACAAAGGCCGAGTAAGTGGGCTGTAGGGAGTAGTATGTATGTCCGCGGTAGTGTAAATGCGCAGGCAGATGGCGTGGGTGACTTCTTTGGGGAAGGAAGATGCAGTTTGTCGAGACAGTGCAAAACAAACCTCACGAGACAGGCAGGGGAAGTGATGGGTAAGAACTTGTTAAGAAACCAATCACCAACTTACTGGATCAATGTGACCTGTTCTCACTTGCGCTCATAGTGATAGTTCTTGCAGAGCCGGTGAGACGGGTCATTCCGCTTATGGAGACAGAGTAGAGAGGAAATCATCGTCGTGGTCTTATTATTCTGGGGGCTGGCCTGTGTGATTCTAATCATCAAATGCTCTGGGGCGTCCCGGATTGTATATTATCGCTCGCCGTATGGAATAGAAACCGGTGAGAATGGAACTACAATGACGTTCCGATGGGTAAGTAAGTACCTTGCGAAAGTGAGGCGTACACACAAGGTTCCTTGTAGGCTAGTAGGGACGTTCTTTTTCTCTCTTAGCCTTCTTAATCATGCTGTTCATTACTGGCTAAGATACCTATAAGGTAAGTTGGGTGAGGTGTTGTTTCATTGCTGGGCTGGCTGATTTTGCTGCCGGGATATAATTACGTACCTACTTTCCCCACTGACTTGGTGCTTGAAGGCAGGGTGTTGTCCTGGAGTGGGGGTTGTGTCGTTGTACCACTACTACCACTGCCACCGTGTGCTCTTATATGGTTTCTTATCGTATCTGGTTTATTTTCCGATTTCTTTATGTTTATCGTAGTATAATCCGTCGAGCCGTGTAAGGCACATATTTTGGACATTTATTTACTCCGAGGTACGAATATACAGATCTTTCCTGTGTCATGTTTTCAGACCTGAAATGGCTGCCTCCTTTTTCCCTTCTTGAATCGCAAGTAAAGGTCTTGGGAGCGTGTGCTTGTTCACCTACTCAAACTCGTAGGAACGTGTATTTACATTTACTCGGGTATACGAGAGGGCTGATTCTAGTCCACACCAGCTATTATGCTCATGGCCAATTGATTTGTCAAAGAAAGTACCTGGGCACTGTTTTGACCGGTCAGCGTTGAGCATCGCCCGGTATTGTGCTTGGGAGAGGCTCACCGGGTCGTGGGGGACGCGCTGGTCGGTCGGTTGTTGCAGTTGTGGGTGTTTACTCTGAAAGAAACTGTCTAAGCTTGATGTTTCCAGAATCATCGAGGCAAAAACGAATCTTAGATACGCTAGCTATTTCTTATTCAGAGAAACGGAAGGGAAACCATCCACACAGCCAGGCCGCAAAAAGTCAATGTGGAAACCACAGGAAAAAAGAAGTTCGGATACCGGGAATCGAACCCGGGGCTAGTGAGTGAGAGTCACTGATGTTACCGTTACACCATACCCGATTGTTGCTTGTTGTAGAAGTGGGTAGTTACTCGGGAGTATATACGCCTGGTGGAAACACAAGTGGATGGAACAAGGACTTGGGGGGTTCTTTTTGGAGCTTTGGTTGGTGACACCAAGCAAGGAAACACGGGACAGGTAAACCGAGGATAAGATGCTAGCAGACAAGCTTTTCCCATCTGGGTCGCTTTGCGGTCGCAGGCATGGTCGGAGGAAACGTGAACTCTGGCCAACTAGCGCTGCCAAGGAGGTGTCTCTTCGTAAAGTAAACTCTTGCCTATTTTGGACAACCAGCCAGGATTGGCGCCTCTGATTGGCTGGTCAATAATACAGCCAGCCGTGTCGTTCTCTCCTCGTCTTAACATTGCATTGCTGGCAGAAAGAGTCGCGACTTCCTTTCCAGCTTGCTGCCCGGTCAGGGTTTTCAAGTCGGTTGTTAATCCTTGTGCTGCGTGTCTAAAATTACGCTTGTTGGAGCTTACGATGCTGTATTCTATCCATCTTCAAAGCATTCATTCCTTGCCAACGATTAACCCGCACCCTGACGCTCATCATTCGATATTTGAATTATTGTTGCAGTACCCGAGAGCCCAAGCTTAGACAACAACACATATACAGTATGATTACTGTCATCCATCCATTTTACTAGAAATGTCTCCCGACGCTGAGAAGGGTCAAGATCTGAAGTCGCACCCGCGCCCGCAGTCTGATAAGCTACGGCTGAAGAAGCCGCGCGACAGAAACAGGCAGACAAAAGCCGAGAGGGTACAGCATACAACTCCCCCTCTGCTGTCTCCCAGGGTGACAAGCACCGACAATCCTGCGTCGTCTTCATCTGCTGCCCTCCTAGAACTCAAGGCAGAGCAGCTAGTCCAGCCCTTCCGTGATCGTCTCTTTCCACCGGCGAAGAGCATTCCAGATGCCAAATCATCAACGAATGCACGCCAGAGAAACTCTCGCGGCAAGACATCCATCGCCCCTTTCTTCAAAACGCTCGAGGCTGCTTTCCGGGATGAACAAGAAGCGTCAAGCGGCGCAACGCCCCCCGGCCAACAGCCGCGGAGGGAGACGTCCCCCGACACCGACCCAGAAGACATCATCAAGCAGCTCAAGGGTACTGTTTCCCCATGCCATGAATGCCTCGAGGGGCAAAGTGGATCTCCATTCCTCGTCCGGCTGACTCCAGCGCAACAGACCACTACCTGCAGACAGCCAAGACGCTGCACGAGCGCGCAGCCATGCAGATGCAGCTGACGCACTCCGAGCTGGCGCGCAAGCTGCGCGAGCTGAGCAAGGGCGAGGCAGCGTTCCTGGCGGTGGCGGAGCAGCACGGTGAGAGCGTGTTCGGGGCGCCGCTGTCGCAGTTCAGCATCCGGTCGCGGCAGCGCGGCGTCGACGGCACGGCGCGCGTCGAGAAGAACACGGTCGGCGAGCTCGACGCCGCGGCCCAGTGCCACCTGGCAGAGTTCGAGACGCACGTCGCCCAGCTGTTCAAGGAGTATGCCCTCGCCGATGCCGAGGTCGCCAAGGCCTACCGCGCCCTGGATCCGGAGGAGGCGGTGGTGACGGCCGCGGCCGACGGGACCGACGATGATGACGTCGGAGGGCTGCCACCTTGCGCAAGCAGCGACGATGACTTGGCCGCCACGGCGGCCGCAGCGAGCGACATTCCGTCCAAGTTTCGGGCTGCCATTGAGACGAAGATTGAAGGAGCCGAGGCCAAGGCAGAAAAACTTTGTGAGGCTGCCGCTGCGTTGTTGAATGAGATTGAAACAGTGAGTTTTCAGTAGTCTTTTGAAACTAACTATCGCGGACCGCTAAGAGACTTTCTAACGCGTTTCCAGGAATATAGAAAGAAAGTCACACCGGACTTTCATGTTCTTTTCAAATATATTTGAAGAGTGAGGGAGGCTGGTGGGACCTGAGACACTGGTGGTTTGAATTGAGTGCTGAGGATTTAACTAACATCCCCAAGATCTCACCTCATCTTGCAGGCATTTGCTGCCAGAGCTGCTATTTAGCTTGGACGACGGTGCTGCGCCGCTGGAAGGATTCTCGTTGCAATTGGTTTGAGGGCTGGCTTGATACGCACGCAGCAAATGGGTATGTGTCATGATACAGGAGAGGACGTGTTGATTTCGGAAGTGGAACTCGCAGCTATTCAGAGCCTATTCTAATTAATAAATCAAACGACGAGACGTGCCACGGATGGAATTAACATCGTTGGCCCCTCTAATACGATGCTAATACGGACCATGTCTATCTGAGATGTGCTCCAGCTACGCAGTCTATCCGTTGTTTGTCATTTGCTCATTCTCATGTCGATAACCCATGATCTTGGCCCTAACCCAGCAGCAGCAGCAACAGCAGCAGCAGCAGCAGCAGCAGTTTTGATTCCCGGACGCCAAATGCAATAATGAAGAGGAAGAAACAAATAGACCAAAACAAGACTTCTGAGTGAGTTGGTGTGGATAAGAGAAGCGCTTTATGCTTGATGCTTGATGGCGGTGCTCAATCCTTCCCCAAACAAAAAAAAGAACCGCAATTCAAACACAAGAATGAATGAAACTGGAGAGTTTGGGGGAAGGAAACTAATTAATCCATGCTGGCGACGACGCCCCACGGGTGCTGCTCGTTGCCGTACATGATGTCGCCCATCAAGCCCTTGATCTTGGCCGTGTACTGGCCCGAGTCGCCCTTGCCGAGGGGGATCTGAACGTCTTTGCCGCGGTGGTGGACCAGAGACACGGGGCAGATGAAGTACTGGGAGGATGTTAGTTAAGTTGAGCGATATGCTTTTTAGATGTGGGAAGAGGGGCAACACGTACAGCAGTGCCTGCGGCAAAGGCCTCGACGAGGCGGCCCTCCCTGTCGGCGTCGAGCAGCTCGTCAATGGTGTACTTGCGCTCGACCATCTCAAGCTCGCCGGCTAGCCTCTCGCGGGCGAGCTCGACGATGCTGCGGCGCGTGACGCCGTCGAGGATGAGGCGGTCGTCGAGCGGGGCCGTGACGAGCTGCAGCTTGCCGCCGTCGGCGTCGCGGGCGCGCCACACGACAAAGAAGTTGCTGGCACCGGCCTCGGTGCAGTAGCCTTCGGGCCCGTACAGCCAGAGGATCTGGCCGAAGCCGCGGGCGCGGGCCTCGTTGGTAGCGAGCAGGCTGGGGCCGTAATTGGCGCCGACCTTGGCATAGCCGAAGCCGCCGACCCAGGCGCGCACCATGTCCTCGGGGCTCGTGTGCAGCTTGAGGCCGCCGGGCATGCTGTCCATGCGCGGCATGAAGCTTGCCGTGATGAAGAGCAGGGCCTCCTTGGGGGCCTGCACGCCCAGCTGCGGCTGGGTGCCGATCATGGCGGGGCGCAGGTACAGGAACGAGCCGGGGCGGTCGGCTGGGAGCCACTTGGGGCCGTCGACGGCGACGAGGGTGGAGATGAGGCGCTCGACCTGCTTGGGGTTGAAGCCGGGGAGGGAGATGCGCAGCGTCGACATGAGCATGCGCTTAGCGTTCAGGTCGGGGCGGAAGAGGCGCAGCTTGCCGTCGAAGCCACGGTAGGCCTTGAGGCCCTCAAAGCACTCGGTGGCGTAGTGCAGCACCGAGGCCGTGGGCATGAGGCTGAGGGGCCCGTAGGGCTTGAGCTCGGGGGCGGCCCAGCCCCTCGACGCGTCCCAGGCACATGTGATCATGTGGTCGGTGCAGATGGTCTCGTTGCCGGAGCAGGCTGTAGCCTCATCGGGCACGGCGCGGGCGGCGGGGTCGGCTCGGCGGATGGTGAGCTTGGAGGCGTCAAGCTCTGCGGGCGCGGCGGCGTGTCCGTTGGCGTGGTGGCCATTGGCGCCATTGGTGCCGTTGGCGGCCTGTTCCGCTATTCTGTGGTTGAGAGCCGACGATGTAAGGTCTACGTCTTGCTCGCCCGCATGGCCGTTGGTGGGGGTGTGAGTCACCATAGTTTAGTAAGGGTGGGTGTGGGATGGGATGAGGGGTGACAGTCACTGTGAAGGTAAAGGTGAAGGTGCGTTGAGGAGGGAAACCTCGCGGATAGGGTTATGTGGGTCCGCAAACTAGCACAAAGGTCTGGGTTAGTGCCTCTGTTATCCTAGCGTATCAAGCGCACCACGAACAGACGAAGATTGAGTTGAACGGAAAGAGAACGGGTAAAAAAAGCGAGACAAAAACCGGCGGCGGAGGAATCTTCAAGCTCTTTTAAGCTTTCCGGGTGCCGGATGCCAACTCTTTCTAGAACGAGAAATGAAACCTGGAGGCAGGTGACCAATTGGCCAATTGGGACCCTCCCTGCAGAAGGGGTTAATGATTATATCCCGGTCCCCAGGTCAAGCGGAGGGCGCGTCTTCTCGGACTGGGAACGACATGACATCCACGACCAGTGTACCCAAGACATGGTTTGGCTTGCCTAGGTTTGCTCTGCACTTGCACTTCCTTGGCTCCCCGGGCGGGCATTTCCCTTCATTCTTGAACAAGACGAGAGCTACCTTATCTTTCCTAAGATACGAGACGGATACTTACAGTGTGCGAATCCAAGGTGCTAAAGCACATTTACGTAGCACTCACTTCCCGTACACAGACCTATCCAGAGTAAGCAGTCCAGCACGCTGCCGAACGGAAAACGGACAGTGATCAACTCGTTGGCTGCGGCTCTGATGCAGATGCGGGCGATTCCGGCCACGAGTCGTTCTTGTCGACCTGTCCTGATTGCCGTAAAAGTCCGTCTGCGGCTCAAGCATGGGGGCGTCGCTGCTGTTGGACGCCGCTCCACGCCGCTCCACGCCGCTCGTACCATATACCCACCCATTCACTCGGCAACGCTTAAGGTATGTTGCATGTACATGTAAGTAGGTACCTTGGAGTTTGGGGTTCCAGGATGACGGCGGGCATAAGAAATCATGTCCAACCGTCTCGCACCCCCAGAAGTTGTCGCCGCCTCGTCCATCCTGACTCGCAGATCGCGAAAAGGGAGAGCTCCATTTGTGGATAATGGGGGCCGTCCATCGTTCGCCGAAGTCGCAGATTCCCGGGTTCCCACTGGAGAACCCGCCGTGGCCGATTCAGGCCTCAGGGAGAACGAGAACCGGGGAGGGGGCGTTAGCAGAGCAAGCTCTGCAGGCTGGGGAGTCCACTTCTGCAGGTCAAGCGATCAGATATCAGATCGATGGCGTAGGGGACTGAAAGGGGAAGGGGCGTCCTCGGCCGATAGAACGCGTATGCGGGCGGTTTGACGAAGTAAAAAGCAACGCGGAACGTGAGGTTCAATCGTCAATTGGGCCGAGGGTAGCCGCTGGAAGGCGTCTTGATTGGCCTTTGATAAGACGAGCGAGACCCTCGAATCCACACCGTCGAGGGGCCCAATCAGCGATTACCGTTTTTCCTCATTCCCATCCTCTACCTTCGGCTTGGCAACTCCAGTCTCTTGACGAAGCCGCCGTCAGCACTCTAGTCTCTGGCATTGCTCGTGTGACGCGATCGGAAACCGGGACTGGGGCAGCTCGGAAGGCGGGACTAGGGCAGCTCGGAAGGCGGGACTGGGGCAGCTCGGAAGGCGGGACTGGATCGGCTGTGGCTGGTTTATAAGAGGGCGGCTACGGCCTGGTCCTGACGACGTCAGCTGCCCTAGCCGTCGGTCGGGTTCTCCTCGAGGTGCCATTGCCGGCCTGCTCTCACGACGTCGACGTCGACTCCGTGTCCGTATTGGGTTGTCGAGCTTGCACGTGGACTCGAGTTGCTCAGGCCGGAATCGACCATTACATACCTCATGTATACTGCACCGCACTGGCCTGCCCAAATTTGCCCGAGAGGTCAGTCTGCAAGAGAGTGAAAGAGCAGGCGTTGTCTGCCTTCATCCCCAGCGCTGCCACCCTTTTTGACACGCTGTCGCTGTCAAACGTGGGGAATCCCGCGCGCCGCAGTACTGCCAACTCAACCCAAACCCCATCGGCAACCTCAGCCTTGACTTGTTAATGGCTTGCCCAAGCGACGACCCGCCTGCATGAACCGCCGGCCACTTGGCTTCGTGTCCCGCGCCGTGCCCCCAGAGCGAGCCTCCATGGCCGCCTAGCAATAGCATTTCCGTGTCGCTTGCTAGTCTCTCGGACTAGTGTCTCCTTGGCAGGTTACACAAATTGCATTAGGTCGTGTTCCCAGAATCTTGGCACTCGACGAGCAATGCGGAAACGAGAGAGTCTCCGACCTCAGGACCCGGCACGGCGTCATCGCACCGGGTTGGGCTGCGAGGTCGGCGCCGACACCGACGCCACGGCGGTGGAGGCACTCAGTCAAGCCGCTGTGCGCTCCGTTGATTATCCTGTTTCTGCCCTCCCTCTGTGGTGCACTGCACCGCGGGTAATTAATTCCCGTCCTGTCATCGAGCGATGGCAGATGGCACAACGCACTGCAAGCACGCATGCTGAATGCGCTGCTGCAAGGTTGCCGTCCTGTCCTGCCGCCGTGATTGGGCCCCTCCCCAGAGTCCAACCATGGCGACGTCGACCGGTTGTGGCCCAACCTGCCCGAACCCCAACCCCGAGCGTGCACATGGCCAGGAGCCAGCTCCTCGTCCGAGGTCAATCGCGGCCTGCCTGCCGTGCCTTGCAAGGTCTCGTTTGTGCTATTTTCTGTTTTAAATGAGCGAGTGAGTGATTGAGTAAGCGAGCGTGTGAGCAATTGCCAATGATTCCGACACATGTCTATCTTACCTACTTTGCTGCATCATCTCCTGTCCTATTTCCTCATTGTCCTGCCAGAAGCGCCCTGCCCGCGAGCGAGAGTGGGAGAAAAGAGATAGAGAGGCGACCATGTCGAAAGAAGTCAAGGATCCGAAGTCCCAGACCGAAAGACTGCGTCAGCCCCAGAGGAAAGACTCTCTCTCCTCGGTCCTGTCGTGGGCCGGTCTACAGGCCAAGGGCATCTCTCCCAAGGCCCCCTCTGCTTCCTCGGGCTTGACCCAATCGTCAACGGCGACCCTCTCGAGCAGTGGCGTTGCCAAATCTCGGAGACACAGCCATGGTCCCGATATCAAGAAGAAGGCACGTAGAGACTCAACAACACCTCGCAGCACAGCAACCCAGGAGGGATCAAGTACTAAGACAACACGTGAAAAGGCGACCCATTCCGCGACGGCGGACCTCAGGACAGCTGACAGCGTGTCCAAGACATCCAAGACTGCCTCGATAGAGAAGCTCCCCAAGCTGGCAGCCGATGGGCCCGAAGCTGGCAAAGAGGCGGCCCAGCCCCAGACCCGGTCCAGAGACTCTGGCCAAACAAAATCTCAAAGGTAAAGGCCGATTGGGTCACTAGCGACGTCCCCCGTCGGCATTGGCCATGCTAACACATGTTCGCCTATACAGCACCCCTGAGCCGCCGTTATCCCCCAAGCCAAAGTCAATCCTCCGAGTCTCGAGCCCGGATGGCCATAGGCGGCCGAGACCCATCCCTTCCTATTCGACCTCGGCCCCAAACCCTCTGCCAGCACAGCTCAATAGCCCAGAACCCAGCCCTGTCATACCCCCCGAGCCAGTGGCAACTCCCATGAGTCCAGATCTGAACCCAATCTCGCCCCCTACCTCGCCAATATCCCGGCCGCTGTCGCCCGGCGCAACCGTCAGGTTTGCCAAGGCAACAATACACAGAGTCGAAGTTGGTCCGGGCCGCCGCTTTCTCCCAGTGAAGCGAAAGAGCAAGAGTACCATCACTTACATCTCCCCGCTTGACCCGGGAAAGCAACAGACCACTCCCAAGGTCACGCTCGGCAGCCCTACCAAGATGCGGAGACACCAGGAGAACCAGGCTGCCATGGGTCGTTACTGGCTTCGAACCGAGGAAGAGGAGGCTCTGTGGAGAGCCGAGGCCGAAAGGAAGGCTGAAGAGGAAGCCGAAAGATACCGCAACGAGCCGGCCAGCCCGCCCGGTCTTTCAAACCCCGCGAAGCCAGCTGTCTCAGCACTGCCGCTGCAAAGAATGCCCTGGACCACAAATCTTGCCGTCATTAACAAGCTGCCTCCGCTGGAAAGTCTATCGACACTCGACACGGAGGCCGAGGTGGACAGGTTAGAGACTGAAGTGTCGGAGAAGATAGAAACCGAGCTGTCAGACTCGGAAGATTCAAACTCGGACAGCGAGGCAGATGTGAAGCCTGGTCCGGAGCCCACCGAAGGGGCTGAGAACTTGAAGGCTGAACTAGCAGTGGAAGAGTCGGCGGATTCCGGAAGGGCAGGAGTAGCTCGATTGGAGCCAGACAAGTCTGCTGAAAATGTGTCGTCGGAGAGGCAACAGGCTGCTGGGAATTCTGAAGTAGCGGGTGATGGACCTGGACAAGAGTCTCGGTCAAAAGCTAACCCGCAACAGACAGGACAAAAGGAGTCTCAACCCCAAGAAAAAGGGGCTGAGCCCCTCTCTTCCAAAACCGACAAACAGGTGCCCTCAACAGTTGCAACAAAGACCACAACATCAACACCAAAGGGCACAGAAATGTCCCGCATCCAATCATCAATGCCGTCAAAACCAGCAGTAACAAAGCCTGGGGCAGAAATGTCGATGCAGGAGCAGGTTTCGGAAATGAAGCCAACCCTAGAGAAGCTAGCAGAGAAGACACCAAAAGCGAAGACTACGACAGAGGCTAAACCATCGGTGGCAAAGGCAACCGCAGACAAGGTGCCGGTAGCCAAGTCCACCCCTGAAGCACTGGCCCAAGCTGGGAAAACACCAGCAAAATTGGGGACTGTAGGCGCGACAGCTTTGCTCGGATCGACGGCAACAAAAACGGCAGAGGCGCCGAAGACAAGGGCTACCCCCGTACAACCACCAGCACCGGTACCGGCAAACACGAAGGTGGCAACGGAGAAGGGAACATCGCTGGTGACGCCGTCGTCAGCACCATCGGCGGGACTCACGACTGTTGAGAAGAAGAAAGAAGCGGGCGGGGTTGTACCGCTACAGGCACGCCCACCGACGGCAGCATCAACAACACTGGCGGCTGCATCGCCGACCGCCGTGGAGGTAGCTACACGGGCGCCATTGTCCCCTCCACCTTTGCCAAAGCCAGTAGTAGCAGTGGCCGCGGCAAAGACAGCGGTGGTAGCAGCGGCAGTCACAACAGCAGCGGCAACGGCAACAACAGCATCAATAGCAGTAGCTAAGAACCAAGAGTCAACATCAGGAGAGCTACGGAAGGAACAGGAGAAAGAAAAGGAGAAGGAAAAGGAAAAAGAAAAAAACAAGCTTACGGCAGCTCTTGTCACGACGAGCTTTGTGAGCGAAAAACTGGGACTCGCTGAGCGTACAACAACAAAAACAACAACAACAAAAACAACAACAACAACATCAGTACCTGCAATTCCAGCCGCCGCAGTACCAACTACAGGAGCAGAGCCACCAGCCAGCAGGCCTGGCTCGCCGCCGCCGGTCAAGAACAACCACCTGCACCTGGCGCGGAGGACGCGCCGGTATTTCAACGACCACAAGCAGGAGATTGCCGCGTCGTGACGTACTCGGGCCAGGTAGACTAGGCATGGGTTTGGGTGGATTAGTCGGGCATTCATAGGGAAATAGGCCAAAAAAGAAGAGAAAAGAAAAGAAAAGAAAAGAAAAGAAAAGATACATAAATAGGTCCAGCGCCGTCTAGGCCGCGAATGCCGCTGCGTCGTCAGTCGAGGACTTGGCCAGAAAGGGGTTTCTTTGTTTTGTATAATTAAGACAGGAAAAGAAGAAAACGGTGTTTTGTGTGTAGTGTTATGAATTACTTTAGTTACTATTGCTGTTTAGGCTACGCCGCCGTCACTCTACCCAAATCCAGCAGCGCAGATGAACACATATTGAGACTCATTTATTCGCAAAAGAGAGATAGAGAAAGAGAGAGATAGAGTAAGAGAGAGAAAGAGAGAGATGTCTATAAAAACACTCAGTTATATATATCGTATCTACAACGATACAGAACCGAACTAGACTAGGACAAGACAGGCCAGCCTCGCGAGCTACCTAACACGCTAGGCAAGGTAACAGATCATACATAGCATCATCGCCAACCCCGTCTCCTTTCCATTTCTCCTCTCGTATGCCTGAACATTGCCGTCGTCCGCCAGTTCTAAGCCACCAAACCATCAAGCCACCAAGCCACCAAGCCACCAAGTAAGTAAGTACAATAAGTACGAGGACGCAGAGGATAAACGATGAATATATAACAGTGAAATTAAATGAAATGGAAAAAGAATATCGTGAATCCCACATCCAACCAAGCCCATCATCCAGCGGTGTTCCTCTGCGTAGAGGATATTCAATGAATGGGGGGGGGGAAGCAAAAGGAGGTTCATTCAGAGGAGAAAAAAAGACAAAATGTGTCTATAAAACCCCTAAAACCCACCCTTTCCCCTCTCCACAATAGTATATGGTTCTTGTCGTGGGACATTTCATAGTGTTTCGCTGCTGCCGCTTATTTACATACGCACAGTACGCGACTCTCCTTTTTTTGTTATAGCTAGGGTAGGTACCTAGGAAGGTAGGGGTAAGTAGCATATCCATCAACGTCAAAAAGAACGCCGTTCGTTGACTTGACTTGACTTGACTTGGCCAGGAAGGGAGGTGGGAAATCACATCAGGCCGCCGAGGACGACCTTGCCGACGTTTGCGACTTCGGTCTTTGCGCCGGCGCGGCTGGCGTCCTCAAAGTCCTTGACGATACCCTGGACGATGATCTTGCGGACGCGAGCGTCAGCCTTAGCGAAGAGATCAGCGACAGGGCCCGAGCACTCGCGCGGCGTCGGCACGAGGCTCAGCAGCCGCGTGTACGTGTCGATGAGCACGTCGCACAGCGTCGCGAACGTCTCGAAGAAGTCCGGGTCGAATGGCAGCGTCGGCGTTAGCAGGTGCGTGTACTCTTCGCCCGGCAGCAGGTCGATCTCGGACGACGCGAAGTTGATGATGCTTGCCGGGGCGGCGGCGGCGGCGGCGGCGGCAGACGAGGACGAGACTGCCGCGGCTGATGCTGAGGAGGTGGAGGATGCTGTGGCGGCCGCCGTGGTCGCCGTGTTGCTTATGGTGGTTGTGAGCATGTTAGAGGTGGTAGTGGTGGTGGTGGCGGCCGGAGAAGAGGTGTGGGTGGTGGCCGATGTGGCGCTGCTGATGGCGGCCGAGGAGTTAATAGTGCCCATACTGCCGTCGGCTGGGAATACGCCGCCGCCGTTGGGCAGCAGCAGGGCGTCACTGCTGCCGTTGCCGCTGAAGCTACCGTCGAGGGCCGTCTCAAACACGCCTGCCGAGGCATCGCCAGTGGCACTGCTCGATCGGCGCCCCTTGGTGCCGGGGGTGGCGCGGCGGAACATCTGCGGGATGCGCGCGCGCGAGAGCGAGCTCGAAGACCCCCCATTCTCCGAGTGCAGCTGCTGGAAGCTCTCGAACTCGGAAAGCAGCGTGTTGAGACTCCGCAGGAATTCGAGGGGCGTGTTGGAGTTGAGGTCGATGACGGTGGGCAGGGAGATTCCCAGCAGCAAGTAGTTTGTGGCGCGACGGGCCAGCTTCCGGCTGTCGAAGTAGGGCATGCGCGCCAGGTCGGGCTTGTCGAAGAGCAGCGTGTTGAACCAGTAGACGCGGCCCTCGTGGGCCTTGCGCAGGTAGTCGAGGGTGGATATCCTCTTGTTGGCCGTTTCCTGGATCTGGTGGTGGGCGGCGGTCAGCTCGGTGGGCTGGCCCGGGGCAACGACGGCCGGGGGGGCCAGCTGGCCGCTGGATGAGGCAGGGAAGCCGTTCACGGGCGTCGGGGCGGTTCGGTTCAGCATCCTGGGGAAGCTGTCGGCCGAGGCGGGAGAGGCGATGGCGTCTGTTTCGCGGGAGAGCTTGGCGGCGGCGGCGAGGGTGAACTCGGGCACGGGCGGGATCGAGTCGGCGTCGAAGAGACCCAGACCTAGAGCAGCGGCGGAACCCGATCCTGGTCCACCGCCATTGGTATTGGTATTGATAGGGGCTGTTGAGGCGGACGAGTCTGCGCGGCGGCGGGCCTTGCTGGGCGACGACGACGAAAAGGAGGCTTTCCGGCCGAACGAGGGGCGGCGGCCGCGATCTCGGTCTTTGTGGAGGACGTTTGGCTGCCGCGGACTTGAGGTGTCGCCTGTACCTGAACCTGCGCCAGCGCCAGCGCCTGCACCTAGTCCAGTCGCCTGCTGCTGATCGCCTGAGCTCGTCCCGGGGCGTGACTTGCTGGGCGACTTGTTGTGCGACTTGCTGGCGGTTCTGCGATGCGACTTGCTTGGCGATGACGACCCGCCGCTTGTGCTGTCGCCTCCACTGAAGAGGGACGCGAAAAAGGCTGCAGCGGGCTGCGTCGGTGTAGCCCCAGTTCTCTGCATGTCTTACTTCCCCTCTTTTATTTCCCAAGTACGGCCTGTACGGGCACTGGACCCTCTTCCGGAATGGCACGTCCTTTCCAGGTTGTAACCCCCAAAGTTGGAAATTAGTGCACCCATTCGGCAGGGCAGACTGGGCAGGTAGGGCGATAAAACGTGGTAGATGCGACTCGGTAGGGATCGCACTGTCGGTGGCGCAATGGATCGGGAAGGCGTGAGAGACCCAGGTCCGTTGACGGCATGTGTAAATGCGTGCAGCAATTAAACCATATATGGATGGCTGGTCCGATATCAATAACTTACAGAAGCTAGACATGCACTCGTCAGTGCACAAAGACGGCAAAGTTGAGCGACCTGACACCTGAAAGGAAGGCGGGACGTGGGGGAGGGAATATTTAGGTTGACCTGATGCGGTCTCAAAAACCATCCATTGACTGCGCGCTCCTTGCTATTAAAGTTTGCCCGCCCATTTTTTCCATCTCGGGCACATGGGACCTAGTCGGCAGACGAGAAACCGGCAACGGGAGGCGCCCGCAGGGTCAAGGGGCGCGTTACTACGGATCCATCTCATCTAATGGCCGCTGCTGCAGAGATGTTCCCAGTTCAATGGAGGTCGGCTGTTGATGGTCTCAGCGGGCAGATCTGGAGCCTCAGGGCATTGACGGCAGGCAAGCCCGTTCGCTATCACGTCGCCAGCCCGGGCTGCGCTGCAGCAAAATCCTACCTACTCGGGTATTCAGCCGCGAGCCAACCTAAAGCCAGTTTGAAGATAGGTGCTTGGACGAGAGTTAGACAATCTAGTAGACCCGTACGGTTGACCTTAGGACTCAAAACCTGAGTATCCATATGAGTGGTATTTTTGGGTTGCAGTTTCGCAACGCCTGATCCCCCGCCAGGCAACCACCAATGCCGTTGCGGGGGAGGGGCACACGGCTGGCAGCCCACCTCAGTCCAACTGCCCCCTGCGTGCCCGTCCGTTGAGGGGTTCTAGCGCATGCTCCGAGTCCTAAACCCCTGCCGCTGCTGCCGCTGCAGCACTCAAAGTCTCCCGAGGAAGGTGGTCAACTCAACCGTCCGGTCTCGCAACCATGCTCGTTGAAGCTTGTGATTTCTCTTTAATTGGCTGTGGCTCTAACGTCAAAGTGGAAGCCAAGCTGGAATGCGAATTTCTCATATCTCGCTTCATTCTGGACTCGCATTTTTGTTGACCGGAGGTTGGGCATAACACATTTCACATTGTAATACCGAAACCTGAGCTGGCTTCTACCTTTCTACTTTTAGGTTTTCTACTTTGCCGTCTTGTTCGTCTGTCTAACCTAAGGAACATAGGTACCGAGTGTTCCTCGACCCGCGCAGCACATCAGCTCTTCTATCTCAGCACCCCAAAACCGCTTGGGCTTCTTCATAAATGGCTGCCACAGATGACGGTGCGCCCCCTGGCGACCCCGCACCCGAGCTGCTAGAGGGACGGCTCTGGGTCGACGGCTGCTTTGATTTCTTCCACCACGGTGCGTTGCGTCCCCTCCCCCCTCCCCCTTGGCCCTGCGCCGCCGCCATCCATGGGGTCAGCGGGGCCCATCTCGCCTACCTTACCTAAGGTAGGTACTGTGCATACGTACCGTACATCATAAATGCGGCCGAACTTTGCTGACGCCCTACACCCGGAGCAGGACATGCTGGCGCCGTGGTCCAGGCTCGCCAGCTGGGCGATGAGCTCTACGTCGGGGTCCATTCCGACGAGGACATCCTCGAGCACAAGGGCCCGACCGTCATGACCCTGCAGGAACGGTAGGTAGTGCCCCCTCAATGATCGTCTCGAATCTTGTGCTAACTCTTCCCCCCAGGCTGCTTGCTACGGACGCGTGCCGATGGGTGACCAAGTCGATCCCCAATGCTCCCTACGTCACCCAGCTAGACTGGATCAGCCACTACGGCTGCAAGTACGTGGTCCATGGAGACGACATCACCTCGGACGGCAGCGGCGAGGACTGCTACCGCTTCGTCAAGGCTGCCGACCGCTTCAAGGTTGTTAAGAGAACCCCGAGCATCTCTACAACTGATCTCGTCGGACGCATGCTGCTTTGCACTAGGAGCCATTTCATCAAGTCCCTCGAGAAGATGCTGGCTGGCGACGAGGGTCCCGGCACCCAGGCTGAGCGCAAGGCTGAGGGTGCTGCCATGCGTGAGAGAATTAGACTGTATGCCACCGACGATTCTGCCAAGAAGCCCGGCGCCGAAGTTTGGTTCTGGTCCGCTCCGACGGGCGAGGCCCAAAAGGACGAGTCGGCGAGTGCTGGCCATGCCTGCAAGGAGCTTTTCCGCGGCATAGGCCCCAAGCCCGGACAGAGAGTCGTCTACGTTGACGGCGGCTTTGACCTCTTCTCAAGCGGCCACATCGAGTTCCTGCGCTCGGTGATGCAGACGGAGGAGGAGCTGGCGAGAAAAGAGAACTGGTATTCCCAGCAAGCCATTGACGAGAGAAAAGGAAAGGGCGCCGACTACGGCCCCGTCTTTGTCGTCTCAGGCGTCCACAACGACGAGGTCATCAACCGCTGGCAGGGTGTCAACTACCCCATCATGAACATCTACGAGCGCGGTCTTTGTGTTCTCCAGTGCCGGGTATGAGACCCCGACCCCCGTGACAGCCCAAGGCTTCGTAGAAACTAACTCGGTCTACAGTACACCAACGCCGTCGTGTTCGGCGCACCGTTCACCCCGACCAAGAGCTATCTAACATCGCTTCCATATGGTACCCCTGACGCGGTCTACCACGGACCAACCTCCTTCATGCCGCTCACCACGGACGTTTACGCGGAACCCAAGGCAATGGGCATCTACCGGGAAATCGGGCGCCACGCATTTGATAACGTCAACGCTGGCACCATCGTGCAACGCATCATGAAGAGCAGAGACCTCTACGAGGCACGCCAAAAGGCGAAGGGCGTCAAGGCCGACCTCGAGGCCGCACACAAGGAGCGTGAGTTGCTAGAGGCAGAGCAGGAGAAGAAGGCGCAAGAGTAAGGTGGCCGTGGTAGGCTATATCTCTAGGATCGACGAGACGTCAATTGACTTGGAGACAGGTTGAAAGGACATGTCGGAAATAACAGTAAGGCTTTCAACAGACCTCGTTGTTCTCACATGTTATCACTTAGGAGTACAAAAGGGTATTGGTACGGGATAAATTATAGAATAGCGTTAATTCCTCAATATACAGGGGAAGCCAAAGCCTTCTCTGCTTCCGTCTGCGTGTCCAACTGCCCAGCCGATATATAAAAAAGAATTTGCCAAGTTCATCAGATACCATAACGCATTATTTAGTCATCAATAGCGTTGCTCGACTTTTACGCCGGCTTCGCCTCAGAGCTTGACTCTATAAAGTGGTTTCATCACCTAAACTTGGCAGCCCCCGATGTAGCATGAATCGACCCGTCGGTCCCGCCTTGACAGCAGACACCATGGACAGAGAAGACCTCCTGCGAGGCCAAGAGTGTTCGAGTCCAAATGCCCGCCGCGCCAGACAGAGAGAGAGCACGAATCAGAATGAAGCGCCCCCTCGCACCAAGAATAAGCCCCGTCGAGTAACTTCGCGTGTGCCGCCGCGAGGACGACACACGACGAGCAATCGCATTTCTGTGAGATCTTGACGAATCCTCTCGAGCCAAACCCATGACGCTCTCAGTCCAGACCGACCCAGCGGCGGCCCACCATCAGATACTTCCACGCAACAGAGACATTCCAACGGCAATCATGCCCCAAGACAGCCGGAGCGCGGACTCATATCTTCGTCCATATGGACTCTAGCCCGAGAACAAGAAAGACTGTCGGATGCCTCGAGGGAGGAAGAAGCCCGACTTTGGTATGATGGGCTGGGCTGGATCGAGACGGTCAAGGAACAGGCGGCCGAGATCAGCCGCAATGCTTCTATGGCGGCGCGTTTCCGCAATCCTGCAAGTTTAATTAAAAAAGGGCAGGTGTCCGGGGACTTTCTCCCAAAGCTGGATGCGAAAGAGGCAGAGCCCCGTGAGGAGCCCTGCTCTTTCCGTGTGTGAGCTTCGAAGTGCGATTTGTTGGGCGAGGGGGCGCTTGGGAAGGGAAAGGAAAAGGGAAGAGTCTGGGCCGGCTAAATGGTTTCTTATATAGACCGTGGTCGCCGCAAATTTTTGAGGAAGCTTGAAAAGTGGGGTTAGGGTGTGTGTGCTGTGGGCCCGCTGGGTGGCCAGAGCTTCACCGAAGCTGCAGCCGTTGTGGAGCCGCAGCCTTAGCACCTCAGTTTGACGCCTCGAGGCTTCCGGGCTGTGTGGCGCTTTTCGCGTCAGTGGGAATCACCTCGCAAGTCGCTTGAACCTCGAGAGGGGCTCACCTTGACATAACCACCGCCCCGAATCCAGGAACAAACTTGCTGCTAGTTTTCTACGAGCTAAACAAACAACAATAGTAACGGAAGGTAACCCCATTTTCCTCTACTGACTCGCGTGACGCACTATTGATTTGTTTCACCGAGAGACGGCTTTGTTTCAATTCCGACAGAAGACAGCTCCCGAAAGCGCCACATTGCTGTGACTCTCGACCCTAGACAGAACAAGACACGCAAACATCTACAGCGGAGGCCCCCAAGGGAGACAATATCCAACAGACGAATTTGAGTAGGCGCCCCTCCACTCCGACGGAAACAGAAAGATGGCGGGCTTTGCAGCGAGCAACACGCTCGGCGACCTGAAGCAGGATGTCGAGCTCGGAAGCCCGCCCGAGGACAGCATCTCGGACCTCTGCTTCAACCCGAACCCGACCGACCCCAAGGACTTCCTGGCCGTGGCGAGCTGGGACAAGAAGGTGCGCATCTACGAAATCTTGCCCAATGGCCAGGGCCAGGGCAAGCTCCAGATGGAGCACGACGGGCCGGTGTTTTCGTGTGACTTCTTCAAGGTATGTCTGCAGCCCAGTTCTGTCTGCCTGTCTCCTCCGCCGGCGTTGCTGCCGCGGCAGCTCTAAGCTCTAGCTGGCTAAGCGTTTCCCTTTTCCTCCTGACACAGGACGGCTCAAAGGTCATTGCGGGCGGGGCCGACAAACAAGCCAAGGTGCTGGACCTGGTTAGCGGGCAGACGGCCCAAGTAGCGCAGCACGACGCGCCGGTGCGGTGCGTGCGGTACTTTGAGAACAACGGCACGCCCATGGCCGTGACGGGCTCGTGGGACAAGACGGTCAAATACTGGGACTTCCGCTCCCCCCAGCCCGCCGGCGTGCTGCCGTGCCAGGAGAGGGTCTACAGCATGGACGTGCGCGACAACCTGCTAGTGGTTGGCACGGCGGACCGCTACATTAACGTGGTCAACCTGAAAGAACCCACCAAGTTCTACAAGACGATGCAGAGCCCACTCAAGTGGCAGACACGCGTCGTCAGTTGCTTCACCGACTCTCAGGGCTTTGCTATTGGCAGCATTGAGGGCCGCTGCGCCATCCAGTACGTCGAGGACAAGGACGCTAGGTAAGCCAAGACCATCGCAACTTTTCAGTTATTTACGATGCTGCTGACACATCTCCGTCTAGTCTGAACTTCTCGTTCAAGTGCCACCGAGATCCCCCTCAGGGCAACGTGACCAACGTGCACGCGGTGAACGACATCTCCTTCCACCCGCAGCACGGCACCTTCAGCACCGCCGGCAGCGACGGCACGTTCCACTTCTGGGACAAGGACGCCAAGCACCGGCTGAAGGGGTACCCCAACGTCGGAGGCAGCATCACGTCGACCAAGTTCAACAAGACGGGCTCCATCTTTGCCTACGCCATCAGCTACGACTGGAGCAGGGGGTTCCAGGGCAACGCCAGCACGTACCCGACCAAAGTGGTGCTGCACCCGGTGCAGCAAGACGAGTGCAAGCCGCGGCCAAATCCTAAGAAGAGGTAGAGCCCTCCTTCTCTTCGGCTTCGCCGTTATCGCTATTAAGTGCGGACGGAGATGTGTGTGTGTTTATTAATTACGGCTGTGGGCGGCTGGTTATTAAATTGGCGACAGCTGCCTGTCGTTCAGCCAGGGAAGGAGTGGCAGCTCGGTGCTTCCGCTGTGAAGCCCGGGCTGAGCCAGATAGATGATGAGATGATGGATGCAGCGGGCACGCCAGGGTTTAGCGAGGCGCGCCTAGGGAACATGGGAGAAGGCACGGCAAAGTGATACCAGTTGACAATGGCGGCGCAAGGGCTATGAGCTCATAAACAATACAATACCTAAATGGTAGCTAGAGTCGTAGTTGATATTTTCAGTCTTTCTTTTATGTTTGTTTTAGCGTAGCAAAATGGAGACACCTTAGGTAGTAGTTTAGGCACATTCGCGTGCCAAAAACCCCCCCAAAAGAGCAGTAATCCGACCATTCCGATCACCAAATCCAACGCCTAGGCTGGCTCGCTGATCACCAGTAGGCCTAGTCCAACACAGTCGCTCACTAGTTAACCGTAAGAAATTCATCGTCGCTTCCTTACAATCTTTTAATTTGCTTCGTAAGGTACTACGTACTGTCAAATGCCTTCATTCTGCATCCTAACAGCCGGCTTCCTAGTTGTTATTATCAGTTATCATATACTGTAAGGGGTAAGAGGTAAGGGATGGAGGGTTGTATTATAGAGGAGAAGCTTGGCGGAATAAACATGCATGAGAATACTTGCTCCCTTCTTATCGTACACCAAGGTCGCATTGCAATAATGTCTCGTAAGTTCATTGAAAAAAACATTTGCATCAAGGCCATGGACAATCCCAACCGGAGTGTAACTCAACAGTACAAACGAGAAAAATATGGTGGCGACGAAGAACGTCGGGAGAACAATGATGATGGGCACTGACACGGTGATGATATCGGGGCTCCATACAACGAATTCACCGATACCATCCGGCGGGGATTGTTGGTGAGACTCGTCGCCCCTAGCAAAGTTCCTCACTTGCTGCTCGGCCGTGGTAGGGTACAGAGTTGTGTCGGTCAAAACATTGGCGGTCGCAACAAAAGCCGCCGTGATCAAGTAATCGAGATCGGCATGCACACTGCTGTTGCCGGCGTCGAAGATGTGTTTGTCGGTGGTGGTTTCAGCCGATAACAGAGGCAGGCCGATGTGTAATCCCACCTAGTAGACCATAGGAGAGGCAAGACGCTCGGCGAGTATGGTCTGCAGGTGAGGCGACCGCGCCAGGCCGGGCAGAGCTTCGCTTGCCTGGCTCACTCTCGTCCTTCGCCGTAGTTCGTCGCTCGGGGACATCAACTGCGCGCTAGCAAATGAGCGAAAAGCCCGAGGCACTTCCAAGACGAACCGGTTTGCAGCGGTGGACGAATAATTGAGTGAAGGGTTCGGGGATGTAGATGGCCATGGGATCTACAGGTGCTGCGTTGCCCATGATGTGTGGAGGGACGAGGACTCCCAGAGCGGTTTGTCCAACCCACACAGCAAAAATCAGGGCCATTAGAGCAAGAACCCATAAATGTCTCCAGTAACTATATGCGAAAGTAATGGTTTCGACAATGGCACGAAGCGGATCCGCTCGTCGATCCCAGAGAGAGGCGGCAGGAGGGTGGAGGTCATAAGGTTTCACCTTATGTTTTTTTAAGGAAATAATAGGTATAATGGCAATGGCAGAGGACAAAAAATAGAGCATTGTCAGTGACAGCATGACAGAATAAGCAGCGTTGAGCTGGTTGGCGACCGAGCTGGGTATAGCGAAGGCGTCTTTGGATCCGTTTTCTGTCGGGAAGCTAAACCGTCGCCATGTTTGATAGCTCTTTGGAGGCTGTGACGCCAACGGTACAACCATTATGAGATTTGGCGGTCATGCCTTTGCTACCTACGCTCGCGGACCGGTCCGTCCAAGATGTCGGGCGAGAGGGTGTATAGGTAGATATTTGTAAGTATGGAAAGGGAAGACTTGGGTTTTGGCCGAGGCTGAAGGTTGGGCAGCGTTCAAGTTACCTCAGCCTTTCAAGGCCTCATAATTAAAACGCCCCGCCGCTCATCCTGCGTACGACACGGGGATGATAACGAAAGTATATATCCTCAAATCCGTGTTTGGCGGCATAGAGAGAGAGAAAGAGGGGGAAAGCCGCCGGCGCCAGTAGTTAAACAAACAAATATCATATCCAAAAGACGTTTCAGTCGTCAGAGCCCCTTTCTCTCTGTGGGGCGGGCGTGTTTTTTGTTTGCCGTGGCAGCTTGGTAGTATGCAAGCAGCTGAGAATACAGTCAACTCCTTGAGAAAGAATCCACTCCGCCCCAAAAAAAATAATAACAATATGTAGGCATCTAGAACTCGTTGTAACAGCACGAGAGGAAGAAAAGACATGGTGATGCCACCCGCCGCAGCTTACCAGGAGGGGCTGGATAGATAGCCCGACAGTCTGGCACTGCAGGTTATATAAGGAAATCCCGGGATTTCAGGCTCCTTTTCTCAAGACACTCGCACACGGCTCATGCGTGCGAGAGAGGCGGACGGTGCTAAGCTGGCGCCGGCGCTGCCCTGCTCTTGCTACCCGCTTTGGCCGCACCACTCGCGCCAGGGCCGCCAAAAACATCATCCATCAGCCCCTTCCACAGATCGCGTAGCATGCCGCCCTGCACGTCAACACTCGCCGCATCCGATGTCTCTCCATGATGTGCAAACCGCAGCTCGACACCATCGACGCCCATGCCCTCGACCTCCGTCAGCGCGGCCGGGAGCACCGTGTCCGGGTTCGCCGCCACGACGAGGATCTGCGGCGCTGCCAGCGGCGCGTCCAGCGCCTCGGGCAGCCGCGTCCCCGGCGGCGGCGACGTGTTGTCCGGCAGCAGCGGCACGTGCACGAACTCGGCCAGCCGGCTGGTCTCTTCGTTTGCGAGCGCTTGTAGGTTTGGAAGGTAGAGTAGGTCCATTGTGCGGTCTGCGTGCGCGGCGGGGCGCGGCGCGGACGTGCGGAAGCCTTGCATTAGTGGCATCTTGCGCGCTGCCGAGGGCGGCGTGGGCCGGTGCGGCGACGCGGCGCGCGTCGAGTGGTGGCGTGTTCCCTAGCGGGTGGTGGTGTTAGTGGGTTGCTTGTTTGTGTAGTGATAGTTATTAGATAGGTAAGGGGGTGGCATACATCGACGATCTCGGCGGCCGGCTCCTCAGCGGCGGCTTTCCGGGCCTGCCGTTTCCTAGTCCCGGCGGCGGTGGTTGTGGCAGAGGCTGAGGCGGCCGGCTTGTTCTTGCTGTTGTTTAGGACATTGCTCGGGCGAGAGGTGGAGGCCGTCGAGCTGATGGACCGCGTGAACTTCGAGACGGGAGTTGTGAGCCGGGACGACATGGCGGTTTGGTTTGGTGTAACAAGTTTCGACCAGTGCGTACGGTAGGTCGGTAGGTGTCTAGGTTGAGGAGACGTCGGCAGGCTTGTTCCTTTACACCTTTACACGAAGCGAGCTGGGTTTATAGGAGCGTACACGGTGGTATCAGATAGGTGTTGACCGAAACAGCAATTGGGATTCCCAGCTGGAATGCGTGGGTGCTGGGCTAGGTGCAGACGGAGCGGGCGGGTAGAATTACAAAAGCCGCGAGCTACGAAAGGAGGGCAACGGGCTCTCTTTCATGGAGGAGGTGGAGGTGGTGGTGCGAGGGGGGGAGGGAGGAGAGTTCCCGGACCTCCGATCGTCCCATCCCATCCCATCCCATCCATCCATTTAGCTTCCTCCTAGCTAGGGGGCGCATTGGAAATGTGTTGAAGAACAAGAGCAGACCCAAGACACCCTCTAGTCTTGGGCTCCCCCGCGCCTCTCCCATTCGGGCAGTGACAGTCCTGATGTGTAATAACTCGCCCAAGCCAGTACCATGTACGTCTTGCGCTCCCGTGCTTCCCACCTGGCACTTAAAGTTTTGGCAGTTATTTCAAAAGTGCAGCCATGCCAACTATACTGCCGTTCTTCCCTCGCATGGTCTGTGAATATGCTTCGTGGATTCTAAGCCGTGGCTTGTTGTACCTACCTTACGTCGACTTCGTACTATGTAATGGAAGGTAGGTACTGTGCTGTTATCACGTCTCTCACGGCATTCTCAACCGACCAGACTTGGCTCGCAATTGGAGGAAAGAGCTAACCACATCCCCGAAGTTCACACCCCAGTCAGCCCACTTGTTGAGCTTGAGCTTGGGCCAACTGCCGTCCCGCCTGCATGGGAAGGCCAATTCGTGCAGGGCTTCAGGGGACATCGGGGATCGGCAATTCCTGGTTGGAGTTTAGCGCTCCGGTCAACAAAAAAAGGCGGTCTCGGGGGTGAATTGCCGAACCACTGGTCAACCTGTGTAGTGTGCACACTGCACGTGTATCGAGTCTCCGTGCGGAATACAGAGTGGTCGGCACGTAGAAACTGGTGATGAATCAGTGGAAAGCTTGATTCGGGGTTCTTGCCCGTTTTCGTTCTGCCTTTTCATGTTCGCAGACACTCGTACACGTTGGACACCGAGACAGGAACGGCCTTTCCGTTGTTTGTATTTGTACACTACGGAGTATTCGTACATGCCAGTTATCGGTACAACCCGACGATCCTAGCGGTTGACGCACTATTGTTTTTCAGATAATTATTTTTCGTCTCCATTCTCGTCCTTGTCCCCCGCTCTTTTTCCTCCGGGCTAACCACCGACCGCGGATGGCGGTCCTGGGCAAACTCTGCCAGCACCAGTTTCGTCAGGTGCAAGTCATTCCTGCCTTAGTGCGGTGATAGAGTTTCTACGCAGCAAGCTTCTGCACGTCCACCACGTTTAAACGGGACATGGTTGACGCTACGGAACAATAAGGCAATAGCAGTCACGGCAGTCTGCGCGAGTCACACTCGGTGGCCAGCAGCATCTCGGGCTTAGAGCCATTGGCTCCCGCCATGACTCCACTCGGTTTCCGGTTTCGCCGTCACCGAACCCAACCTTTCTCTGCCGTCCTTTTTCTGCAGGGAGGACATGGTTGATTCTTGGTTTACCGAGATGACATTGGGTGCATGAATGCGGGATAATGAATCATGGCCACCTTCTAGAAGCACCTGCAGCTATCTCACACAGCTTTACCGTGGCTGACTGTCGTGTCTAGCCGACCGCGCTGCCACGGCCGGTGGACAGGCGGCACAGGCGGCGGACATTCCGCGTCTCGGTACTCGTTTGTGCCGCAGCGGCGGTCCAAGTCCGCGATGTCTTCAAATGGAGAGCCCACGTCGAACTCCGGCTCCGTCTCCCCTAAAGACTATTAGCGCGGTGCTTGAGATGGATAGTATGACTTTCGGCACATAAAAAGCGGGCGAAAAAAAACCTCTGCTAGGCCTGGCACTTTTCCGAGGGAGACACGGCTCTGGAATTAAATATTAGGAGCTACACCCTGGCTTGGGAGAAACCCTTAATGGCCAAGGTACGGATAGGGAGGGCATTCACGTCGTGGAGTCCGCGCTAACAAAGATTCGGCATCTAGACTGTGTGAAAGCTTGAGCCATGGCCCGTCAAGGACAACATGTCTCTGCCAAGAGTCGCCAATAAGACTTATGAAACCTTCAAGACGGCCGTAGCCTTCAGCTATCGACTGACCTAGGTGTGCAAAGACGATATTTGACTAGCGCCTACCTTGGTTACTTCACCTCTAGCTTATTCTCGGCTATGTTCATGTCCACCAAGTGATCTGCCTCGAGTTTATCGCTGCCGCGCCGTGCCGCCCATGCCATGGCTCTTTCCTACAAAACTAGGCAAAAATGGAAAGCACCAGACATACCGTGGCATACCGTGGCTCTGTTCGCCGACCCCGAGGTTTTCCATTGTCCCGAGCTAGCTTGAAGCAAAATTCCAGACCTTCCCCAGATTATTTTTCATTATTTAATTAGCAGAAGCCTGCGATCGACCAACCTGGCAAGCATTCTTCTCTGGGCAGACATTAAACCACCAAGATGGCTCCCTCTGCCTCTGAAACACCCGAAACCAAGCACGGTGTGGGCGAAACGATTAGAACAGTCACCGTTCACGGGTCCGCTTTTGAGTGTGGCAAGATGTATGGAGAACAGGTCGCCCCGTTGATCCACAGGAACCTCACGGCTTCGACGGATAGGTTGAGGGGGATCGGACAACTATGGTGAGTGCAATGGCAGTTCGTGTCGCCGTACTGGTCGCTCGAGACAAACAAAGCTAACCGCGTCGCCAGGAGTACTTGCATGGCCATCGTCAACGAAGTCTATATTCCGGGATTGCAGAAATACTGGCCCCGCGGCTATGAGGAGCTCTCCGGCATGGCTGAAGGAGCCGACGTGGATCTCGACGACCTTGTGCTACTCAATGCCCGCGACGATCTCAACCAAATTCTGCCTCAGATTGCTCATGGTGACGTTTGGTGGGAAGACATGGACCCTGATGATCCACACGGATATGGAAAATTCCTTCTCGGACAGGGTCCAGTCGTAAAACCCATTTGGCAGCCCGACGGTGATAACCGTTCAAGCCGCGCTCGCCATGGCGTTGTACTGGGCCCCGTCAAGCCTGAAAGGTGCCCAGACGAATGCACTACGGCCTTCTTTCTCAGCCCGGCAACGCAGAACCGCAATGTCATCTCGGCACAAAACTGGGACAAGGCGCGGCGTTTTGACGATCCAGATTTCATTATCAACCTGGAGGTGCAACCGACGGACGGCAGGCCGGCCATGCTCATCACGACCGAGGCCGGCATGCTGATGGGGAGCGGCATGAATTCTGCTGGAATGGCGGTCACATGGAGCTCAATGAAGTCGCAGCGGGACTTTGTCCCCGTTGACCACGAGGACCCGCAAGGCAACAAGATTCGATGCAAGCCACGGCCCATGTTGCCCTTCCCCTTCCTTCGACGCATGCTTCTCGAGGGGTGGAACATGAAAGATGTTGTGGACGGCTTCACCGAAATCCCGCGCCACCTATCTGGAAACATGACGGTCGCGGACAAACACGGAACCGCGTTCACCCTTGAGATTATACCGAATGAAATATACCGCGTTGAACCAATCACGGTGCCATTTTTACTCCACACAAACCACTTCTTGAACCACCATACCTACCGCGTCCCAGGCACGGCAGATAGGATGAACATGACTGACAGCGCGCGGAGGCTCAACGCTGCCGAGGCAGAATTGGTGTGCTCGAAATTTCTGGGCAACATTACCCCAGACCGCGTCGTCGAGATCTTCTCGGGCCACCGCGAGGGGCCTCTCAGCTTGTGCAAGCACGGAAGAGAAGACGACCTGTCCGCAGTCAAGACAGTAGCCTTCGTCATGTACAACCTCGTAAAAATGGAAGCCTTTGTCTGCAAAGGCCCGCCATGCTCGGGCGTCATAACCAAGTCAGACCTCTAGCGGATGCCTGGTTTCGGAAACAAGTTGAGGAGCTTAGCACTAGACGTGGAGGTCGAGTCCCCGGATAAGACCCTTAGCGGCTTAGACGAGAGTCTCGACGGCTCGGACGAGACTCTAAGCGGCTTAGAGGAGGCTGATACCAACGATTCAAAAGATCTATTGTCGGGTGCAGTGAATAGCAAGTCCCCGGACAAGACTCTCGACAGCCTAGACACGCCTAATGCTAAGGGCCCTAAAGATGTATCATTGAGTGAGGTGAGGAGCAATTTCCTGGGCATGATTCTCAAGGACTCAGATATGCCTGACGCCAACGGCTCCGATGGTGTGTCATTGAATGCAGTGAACGTCAAGTCTCTGGAGAAGCCTCCCAACGGCCCAGAGACGCCTGAGGCCAACGGCCCCGACGATGTGTCATCGAGTGACGATAATCTTATCGTCTTCAAGACACCTCTTACCAACGACTTCAAGAATTTCTTTTCGATTGTAGTGAACAGCATGCCTCTGGATAAGCCTCTCAGCGGCCTAGACAAGCCTGACAATAATACTATCGTCTTCAAGAAGTCTATTACAAACGGCTTTAAGCATGCTTCGCCGAACGCAGTGAGTGGCAAGTCTCTGGACAAGCCTTTCAATGGCCCAGACACGCCTGGCGCCAGCGGCTCTGATGATGTACCATGGCCAGTTTTGTTAGGGGTTCTAAAGAGCGTCGCGTCAACAGGTTCCGAAAGGGGCGATGTAAAGTGAGAGGAGCTAGGGATGGTGCCTCGGGGGGGGGGGGGGGGGGGGGGGGGGGGGGGCGCAACGCAAGCGTTTGTTTGTTTTCCTGGATTCTCGTGAGATTACAAAAACCAAAGCGTTGTGAATTCTTTTCGAGCAGTAATAGTTTGGATAGGTACCTAGCCAATCGTGGGAAAATAAATCCAGATATTCTTTCTCTGATCAGGGCACCATGTGGACTCTGAGTCTTTTACACAGTACAAAGTTTAATAAACGGATCAGATATCCTCTCTCCTGGGAACTGAAATGGTGAGCAAGGCAATAATAGACCATACATCAAATAGCCTTGGTCTAATTACTCGATTCGGATAGATAATAGGTCATGGCACCCCTTACACACAATTCTCGCCGTATGATGATTGCCTGCACCAGAATTGTGGTCAAGGAGTCACCGTTCGCAATAGCGAAACAGGCAAGAGAAAACGCATCTTATTTGTTGACAACTGGATTGTAGCTAAATGATACAATTCTTGGATTCAACGTGCACGCTGGACCACATTAGGTTGTCAACCCCCGATAAAAAACGAGGAGATGCCTATCTCGAGTGCTACGAAGTTTGTAAATACATGCATGCATGGGTATCTACCTAGATACTAGTCAAAGCTGGACAGGCGATACATTATCTTCTATTTCTTCATTTTGATTTAGTGTGTGTGTGGTGATGGGTATCAGCCATTTCACTTTGGTGATATATCTAACTGTGGAAGTTGTTCCTGAAGTAGACGAAAGAAAACAAAACTTTAGGTTATCTTCTATAGAAATACTTGGCCAGACAACCAAACAGCAAAGCAACAAAACGCCGCCTCTGGCTCAAATCCAAAGACACCTGGGTGAACGATAAACAGACCCGCAAATCCATTTCATGCAATGCATCTACCAAATGACAAGAAAGTCACCTCTGCAAGATGCTCGTGTCGAGAACCTGGCACTCCCAGGGCGCCTCGTCGTCCTTTCGGCTCTCGTCGTCTTCGTCCTCTGGCAGCTGGCCCTCAGCAAAGCTCTCCGGTACCTTCTCTGCTAGCGTTTTCCGTCGAAACCCCCGCCACACGGTCATTCCCCCCCTCGATAGCTTCCCCAGGAGTCCGCCCCAACCCCGACTCTCCTTTGCCTCCGCCGTCTCTCCTTGACACCGTTCCCGCCCTTGTGGGAAAAAGTCGTGGTCCCCCTCTCCCTCGGCGGCAGGGCCGGTATGCTGCCGCCGCGCGAGTCTGTTCTTTTCGGCAAACGAGGAGATGTGGTAGTCGGCCATGGCACTGGCGTCCTTGACAAAGGTCAAGAACAGCGGAAACGCCAGAGAAGCGGCGACGAGCCCGATGACGATGACAAGCGACGTCTGGATGCTGCCGCCGGCCTTCTGGATGGCGTACGACACAAACGGCCAGAAGGCAGGGCCGGAGCCGCCCATGGTCAGCCAGGCAGCGGCGCGCTTCGTCTGGCTGCCCTGGCCGCGCAGACCCAGAGAGAATATGAGGGGCCAGATGGGGCCCTCGGCGAGGAAGAAGAGGACGACGGGGATGGCCATCAGGTTGGGGTTCTCGGTGGGGCGCATTGAGACGGCGGTGAGCATAAACACGCCCGAGAGCACGACACAGGCCGTGAGGCTTGTACGCGGCGTGGGCACAAAACGGTAGGTGGGATGCCTCGCTGACAGGAAGGCGAGGTAGGCGGCTGTGAATCGAGATAGGGCAAAGGCGCTGTGGGCCACCAAGAGGTAGTTCCAGACGGAAAGGATAAAGCCTGGCGGTTGGTAGTCGGAGGCGCTCAACTGGGGCTCGACAAAGGCCGTGATAAGGTCGTGCGAGTAGATGCTCATGTTCTCCTGCGCAGCCACGTAGAACCACTGCGAAGTAACGGCCAGCAAAATGCACCACGACTTCAGCCGCCGGCCGCCAACGGACCGTTTGTTTGGATCGACTGGCAGCTGTTCGGCGAGCCTTTCAAGTTCCTTGTCGCTGACCTCGGGCAGGGGCATGTAGTAAAAGAAGAGGGCTAGTAAGACGCAGAGGAGCGTGATGGCGAGATATGTCCACTGCACATCTAGCAGCGTCGTAGAATCAACCTCTCGCGCCTCGATCCTGTTGAAGAAGACCTTGTTAGCCAACAGGCCGCTCAAAACACTTCCGACGGCTGTCACGGCCGAGGCTACGAGCAGCCTAGCGTCGGCATAGTCGGGCGGCCCGCAGAGGACTAGAAAGGGATTGGCGGCAGTTTCGAGGACGGCAAGCCCAAAGCCGACAACAAAACTGCTCACCATGAACCCGCCGTAGGCCGTCGTCACCGCTCCAGGCCAGAACATGATGGTGCCGGTCCCATAGATCAGCAGACCCGCTATGAATGTTGCCTTGAATCCGCCCACGGGATCGGGGTTCTTGCGGTTGTCATCGCTTTTGATACGGCGATGCTCGTCGTGACGAAGGAGCCACTCGCCCACCAACAGGGGGCCGAAAAAATAGCCGCCCCCAAAGTAGACGCTGGTGAGTCCCAGGGCCTGGGCCGTGGTCATATGGGCGACATTGGCCACGGCATTGTTTAGAGTGTTGAGGAAGCCATACGAGACACCCCAGAGAAAGAAGAGAATGACGACTATAACGCAGTACTTGAACGACTCGGTGGCCGAGGTCCTGACCATGCTCTGGGGTCTTGCCATGTTGACAAAACCAAAGTAGATGGAACGGTCATTCGGCGGAGCGGCGGGTGGCGGGACGCCATTTCCTGGCACCAGTGAAGGCCGATGCTGTCTTGAGGTGTGGGTCACTGAAATCTCGAGATCAGAAGTGATTGCCAGAAACTCGCCGAAGGAGACTTCTTCGGAGATTCTAGCTTCTACATGGGCCAGCGGCGGGACTGGTGGCACTAGGGGCGGCTCGACACTGCACGCAGCGGCGCTGGGTTGGTGATCTTCGCCCACGTCCTGCTTTGTGATGTGCTTGCCCAAGAGGTGGGCTCTAGGGACCTGGGCGCTACCTGTTCGGGCGCCATGCGGGTCAAGGATCATGGCCGGAAGGATTTTCATGATCAGGGGCTTGAGGGTCGGAATGCAGGCACAAGCAATGCCGATGTTGACCTCGACGGCCGACCACATCAAGGAAAGCGAGGCATTCCAAGAGAATCCGGCGCTCTGTCCGTATATGGCCGAGGGGTTTTGCGAGGCACCCATGGGGCTGAAGGCAATGGCCTGCTGGAGGTAGTATATCCTGACCACGTCGACGACCGTGACAAAGATGCCAAAGGCGAAGGTGATGACGAGGATGATCTTTTGGCGGGAGGGGAGCTGCATGCCCGTGAGCACGGGGATTGGAAGGGCCAGGATTGCCAGGTCGGTGATGACGTTGACGGGGGCGGAGCAGATGAACTCGGTGAGGAGGGGGATGCAGCGGATGGCTTGGACCCTGATGTCCCATGCCGCCTTTACGGGGTGGCACTGGAAGATGTTCATGAAGGTCAGGATGGTGCCTGCCGTGTTGACAATGACGAGCGCTGCCCACGAGGCCAGACGCAGTATTCTTTGGGTATTCTTGGCTAGGCGGAGATAAAAGACCAGAATGGACGTCTTGGTGGCCATGAGAGCTGGGTTCTTCAGGGTATCAGTTTACCTGGGTGAGGGTGAGAGGTGAGTTGAGTGAGCTCACATATAGAACGGAGAAGACGTATTCGCACATTCTCAGGGCAGGCTCGTCCTTGGGGTCGATGTTCTCGTCGTGGCGGCCTAGGCCCCTCTTAGTGCCGATATCAATGGTGGCACTCAGGAACATGGAAATGAGCCAGGCCAGAACGATGATGTAGTCGTCTAGGCCGACCTTGCGGACGATGCCAATGCGCGACACGAGGCGAGCGAGGACAAAGGCCGAGGCCAGCAGAGAGGTGATAGTGGTGATGCCGAAGACGGTTGGCCCTCGGTCCGGGAAGCTGGCATCCCGGGCAGCCGTCGAGGCAGCCATGGCGATACGGTGCATACCTAGGGTACGTAGGTATGCTATGGTGGTTTGCAGCAGCAAGCCAAGTCCTTGCCCTTTCCTGGCTTTGAATCTATCGCCATCTTCTGTCGCGTCAAGACATTGGGGCGAGAACGAGCGAGGCGGCGGCCGACGGAGAAGGTTAAGTCATGTCGGCCAGTCGGTCGGTCAATCGTCAAATAGTCACTCGACCAGATCACGCTCAACGGGCTCAGCAGGGTAGGCAGTGTCAAATCTAATACTCGGCACCACGAATGGCTATTTCCTAGCCCGAAACCATTTGGTTTAAGCTCGAGGAAACGCACAAACCCAATGCGCAGGGGGATTAAGGCCGTTTCTAAGAGACGCTTGAGCTGGGTAGGTGCGAGAGACCTGGCCGTCTTTAAGTTTCCCATACCTGCCTACTCTAGTGCGTACATAACGGCCACCTCGGTATAGGTGACGAATGACATCGTCGGTCTACCTTGCAATAACCTAGCCAATCAAGCACCAGGAGGTGTTCCACCCGCGGCTCCGGGGTTCTTTGCTTAGCGGCTGTCCGGTGATGTAATGCGGCAGCCAGGTCCCAGGATCAAGGCTTGGGGAAGCGAGACAAGGAGAGGCCGAGTTGATCCAACCGCTCGCCCAACACCCGATTTCTATTGCAGGATGTCCCAACTTGGCAACTTGGAGGTTTCGCGGCTCCGGCCCCAAGGAGATGGTTCAAGGCACCGGCTGCATATCTAGAGGTGGCATTCAGCAGCAGGCACAGAGCTGCAAAGGGAAAAGGGGTGACGTCGTTTGGGTTTCACTGCACTGTAGGGGACCTTGAGGCTTGGCGAGCGGACTAAGGCCGTTGCTTTGCACGCAAACGCGGCCTTGCTTGTGCACGGGGCGCGTGCAATAAAAGGTTTGCGTCCTCTGCACATGGAGGCGAAGACATGAAGATACGGAATAAGGACAAATTTTGTGACTAGACCCAGACCTAAGTAAATTGGAAATGGCCTCGAGTATCTGATCTGAGGGTTAGGGTTGCCGTGGCGGTTACCGTTCGGATACAGTGCGATTAGGCCGTCGCCCATTAATGATGCCGCGATCTCTTGCAACTTATTCGTACACCAAAAGTTTATCACAACTTGGATTTTCCTGGCCATCGTAGGCCCTCTACGAAATGGCACCGCCGCCCGTTGTGAGTTTATTTGTCCCGTCCCCAGGAATTGAGTTTTTGGTGATACTAATAGTCAATTTTTTCTCGCGCAAAGACACAAGCTCCGTCCCGGTTCCTACTCTCAAAGAGGCAGTCGCAACCCCAGTCTCAATCTCATTTTCAGTCTCAAAACCCAACTCCCAGAAACCAGCAACAAGAACAAAACCTACCCGCGCAAAATGCCGGCGCACTCGTAGGGACGACCAAGTTCCAAGCCACGCCCCGTTTCTCGTCAACCGCCACACCCCGGCCCTCGTCGAACCACGCCCTCACTCAGCCGCTCGCCATTAAGACGAGGACCTCGAGCGCGCGGCCCGCTACGCAGCACCCGGACATCATCGACGACAGCTCCCCCGTCTCGCCGTCGGCCTCCCCCACCGGCAGGATTTTATCTCTGCCCGAGCCCATCGAGTTTGACTCGTCGCTCGATTACCGCGAGCCCGGCTCCGGCCGCAACCCCAAGCGCCGCCGCATCTCCATCGCGTCCTCGGCCGTGGACGCTGATGCCGAGGCCGATGCCAACGTGGTGATTACCAGCAGCTCCCAGTTGTCATCGCCACCCCCGCTAGATGTTGCCGTCGACGACGACGACGACGACGAGGCCGAAGACCGCATCCTCTCAAGCCTGTCAGACGACGACGGCGGCGGCGGCAGCGGCAATGATGATGGTGACGATGCAGAAGGCGCTATAATGGCTGACATTGACTCCCTGGGCGCCACTTCAAGCAGATATCTCAGCTCTCTTAGCCACCATGACGATGACGATGACGACGGCAGCGGCGGCGGCAGCGACTCCGACCCCGACCCCGACTCTTCTTCACTAGACGAGGACGCTAGGGCACCCTTCCAAGACCACAGCCACCCGACCTTCCTCCGAGCCCCGCGCTTCAGAGCCACCGCCGCCCCTGACCAAGGCCATCACCCCCAGCACCGCAACCACTCTGTGCCGGACCAGCTGCTGCCTGAGATCTTCTCGCCCCAGCGCCGCGGCGGCGACAAGTACGTGTCTGGTGGGCTGGCCGCCGAGCTGCGCGACTGGCTGGTCGGGATCAAGCGGTCCGAGTTCGTAGACGACGACGACGACGACGACGACGACGCCGGCGGCCGCAGCGGCCGCGGCGAGCAGAAGCAACCGGCCGCGGCGGCAGCTGTGCGGGTGGGGATCGACAAAGTGCATCCCGGCGGGCCGGGGCTGACTCTGGTCGCGGGGCGGGTCCTTCCCGCAGGCGGCGGCGGCGGCGGCGGCAGCAGCAACGTCGTCCATGCCATCTTGGCTGGGGAGGGCCGCCACCCTGAAGGGCTCAACACCGCCAGCGGTAGCAGCAGCAGAAGCAGCAGTAGTCATGGCGTCGTCACTCCTGGCGCTGTCGTGGCAATTTCGCCCCCGGCTTGGGACGTGGAGCTGCTCCATCGCCGCTGGGCCGTGGCCTACCGCTGGAAGGTGGCAGGGAGGGATCCTGCGGGTGGTGGTGGCGGCGGTGGTGGCTAGCTAGGATTTCTTTTGAGAGCCTGTGTTTTCGTGAGCCTTGTGTGAGATACCAAACTCTTCAAAGAGCTATTTTCGTCTATAAACTGTGAAGATTTGCGCGGCACGGTACCGTGACGGGCTTCTGTCCATAGCAGGGTGTAGACTTTGCGATACCACTGGGATAGGGGCACACGGTAGCGTGCATCGCTTGGATTGGCTGAGATATGCATAAACCGTGCATATGCTTATCCAAAGAACCTGCTGCGTGTCATAGACTTGGCTTAAATGGCATTCTGTTAGCAAACAACTGTTATTTCACTTCTTCCCAGTGTTAGTCCATTGTCACAGCAGCAACCTTCGCAAGGAGAGCAGGAAAGCTAGCCTTGTAAAGCCTGCCTACTTTAGATTAAAGCAGTAAGCGTGAACTATTTGATAAGACGAATGCTAGGCTTTAACAGGGCCAAGGACCTATATAAGCAAGCAAACCAGCAAGCAAGCAAACAAGCAAATTAAGCCTCACTTGCCTATGGGAAGAAGCGAGGCAAAAAGTTGACTGGGAGCGATGGCGAACCAAGAGAGTTGCCGCACACGCTACGGACGCAGACATAATTCCACCCATTCACCCACGTAACTCAATATACAACCAATTTGACAGATTCGGGCTCGTATTATGTATGAAGCTAGGCGGCGACTAGGCACGTGTGGCCCCTTGTCCGTGATCATGGATGTCCTTGGTGTAGTCCCCGTCCTGCGTGAGTAACTTACCAACCTAAGACACCTGTCAAGACCGGAACCAACCAGCTCACCCGACAAGTTCTATGCTAGCCACGCCAGACAACAGGAGAGCATGTACAAGTACTTGGCTAGGTGGCTAAAATCAAAGTCAACACGCTTCGCGTTGCCCAGGTAACCAACGTTCCCTTCGGAGAGTGCCTAGCCCCGAGCTTGGCGGGAGATAAAGGGACGCCAAAATAAGAGCAACTTGGCAAGCTGGCCGAGGAAAGCATGCAGGTTGTAATAAGTTTGTAGTCTTTCTTCTGTGCAACACGTTGGTAGGTATGTCTCGGCTATTCCGCCAGTTTAGGTAGTAGAGGGCGGCATTGTAGCATCATGGAGTGCTCGCTCGCTGTATTTACAGGGGGCTTGGCGCTGGGGTTGGGGAGAGAATGTCGTCGACCGCGAGCCGGAGTTCAACCGCCGCTTCGTGCAGGTGCAGGGGGGTCAGTCAGCCCTGTGGATTCTCACCTCAGTTCGGCCATTTAATTTTTGGCGAGCTCTAGGTTGAAGTCCACGACATGACGGCACTCGCCTCTCACCTCTCACCTCTCACCTCAGAGCTTACCCTCGTTTCTGCCGCCGAGGGTGACGTGCATGTGGGATTTCAATCGCTTCAAATAATCTTGCATCACCTTCCCTCACACCATCCACAACTTACAGGGACCTCTTTGCGACGACAGGGAAAAAAAGGGAAGGGACGGCCATGAGGTGACAAGCTGTGTGCCTCCCCACACCTTGCCCGGTCACCGAGACACCCACCCCCTTATCCGGCGACGGCCATGATGCGCCGGCTGTCGCCGTTCCTGCGGGCCGCAACGGCGGCGACTGCACGGCGGCAACTCCAACCCCGACACCAACCCATATCCCATTTCAAGAGCTGCTATAGCTACAGCACCGTCTCGGGCGAGGCGCCGCTGTCTTCATGGCCGCCCAAGCCGTCGAAGCCGCTGCGCATCCTGTTCTGCGGGTCCGACGACTTTAGCTGCGAGGCGCTGCGCGCCCTGCACGCCGAGCACCGGCGCAACGCCGACCTGATCCGCTCCATCGACGTCCTGGTCCGCCCCGCCAAGCCCACCGGCCGCGGGCTCAAAGTCGTCCGCCAGCGTGAGCATCCTCTCTCTGTGGTCCAAGACAGACTCTGACTGGCAACCAGCGCCGTCTCGCATCCTGGCCCAAGAGCTCGGGCTTGCCGTGCACGAGCGCGACACCTTCACGGGCTGGGAGGTACGTGGTCTTCTTGCCGCCCCCTTTCCGTTGTCCTCTCACACTAACTGACACACCACAGATGCCCCACCCCGGCGGCGAGCCCATCAACCTCATCGTGGCCGTCTCGTTTGGCCTGCTCGTGCCCAAGCGCCTGCTGCGAGCCGCACACTATGGCGGCCTGAACGTGCACCCGTCGCTGCTGCCCGAGTATATATCCCCCTAAGTCCCCATTCTTTGTCTACGTCCTAACAAATCCCACAGCCTCCGCGGGCCCGCACCGCTACACCACGCGCTGCTAGCAGGGCGCACGCACACAGGCGTCTCGCTGCAGACGCTGGCCGAGGACAAGTTCGACGCGGGGGCGATTCTCGCCCAAACTTCGCGGCCGGGCCTGGCAATCCCAGCAGGCTGCACAGTCGAGCAGCTGCACGCGCTCCTCGCACCGCTCGGCGCGTCGATGCTGGTGTCCGGGCTGCGCGCGGGCGTGCACGTGCCGCCGGTGATCGCCGTGGTACCGCCGGAGCGGCGCACGGGGCTGATCCCGCGGGCGCCGCTGCTGCACGCGCCCAAGATCACGGCCGCGCACCGCCAGGTGCCGTGGGTGCCCATCCCCTCTGGTGGTCCAGGACCGAGTGCGCAGGATATGGCTCGCCGTGCGCATGTACTCGGCCAGCTGTGGACGCACGCCCGGCCCAGCCACACGGGGCTCAAGATGCGCATGATCCTCGACGGCGTCGACGTGGCGCCGCGGGACGAGTGGCCGGCCGACGCGGCGGCGTTTGCGCGCCTCGCGGCCGCCCAGCTGCGCGAGAAGCAGCAGCGGCAGCGCGAAACCAACCCATCCCAGACCCAACCCCAAAGCAAGAAAAAGAAGAAGGACCGCGTGCCCGAGATCGAAATCGACCTCGACCAGATCCGCGCCGCGGGCGGCAGTCTGGCCGACAAACCGCTCAAGACAGTGACATGGCTACAGATGCCCGTGGCCGACCTGACAGGGAGTACGAACGACGCGCGCGACGAGGCGCTCGTCAAGGTGCGGACGCCGTACTTTGTCGACGACGCAGCGGGCAGCAGGCAGCGCAGCGCAGTGCTAGTGCCCATGGCGGGCGGCGGCGGCGGGTTTCTACGGATCCGGGCCATCAAGGTCGAGGGCGACAGGAGCCGGGCGGCGGCCGAGGCGATCCGGGCGTTCACCGAGGAGGAGCCCGTCGACAGCGGGCTCGTGTCCTTCTTTGACGGCGACGTGTTCCAGCTGCTCGACCCGCTGACGTCGTGGTTCGAGGATTTGGATGTTTTCTAGACGAGACATGATTGACTACCAATGCAAGACGGCAGTATGGTTCACTTCGTTGTGTAATATGATAGTACAACACTGTAGACATACCCTCTTGTATAATAGAATAAATCTCGTCTCAAAGGTCCCTCTCATCCAACCGTATTAGCTCTCGTGAAGTGGGGCACTTTGTGGCTCAAATGTTCTCACACCCACTACAGCAATACTTGGTGGTCGTGGGTATCAAGCATCACAACACATTGATGACATCAGGCAATTAAATCGTAAATTAACTACTGTACAGGCGGCGTGCTAACCGCGACGCAATTACTATTGAAAAGCAAAGCACAATCCCCAGGCCTAGAGGCAGCCAGATAGAAGATGTCCCGGCCAGATCGCCCAGCCAGAAATAACCCTCCGCCAAGATAATGGAGTCCCGCCGCAGCAGCAGCGTGCATGCGGGTGACTGCCTCGCATATAGATATCCGCTACATCGCTTACATATCCTTGACCCCCTTCTCGCCGTCGACGCTGGCGCCACTCGACGAGCTCTCCGTCTTGAGCTCGTCGTCGCCCTCGGGGCCGTGAAGCGACTCCTCAAAGACGGGCTCGGGCTCGTTGAACTCGAACTTGGTGCGCAGGTTCTCGGGGTGGGTTGAGAAGCCGCTGCTGTTGGAGCGGCGGCGCGAGTTGGTGAAGTTGAACGGTTCGTCAATCACCTCCTCACCAGCGTTGCCCCTGAGTAGCAGAGCGTCAGCACGAGTACCAGACTAAAGCGGCGTATATAACGCAAGGTTGGCCCAAAGCAGACCAGACAAAAGGTTGCCGTGCCGGGTGTGTTCGGGTGCAATGGGAGTTGGAAGAGTGTAGGAATGAGTCTCCGCCACGTACCAGTTGCCCTTTCCTCCGCCGTTCTTCTTGGTCTTCTTAGGGTCGACATCGGCAAACCCGTTCTTGGCAAAGAACTTTGGCACATTCTCCTGCGGGAGAACTGTACCGTCGGCTAGGCCGGCGTGATCCTTGTCGTTGAACTTGTGAGAGCGAGTCACTGGCAGCAGGACTAGTTAGCGGGTGTGATGATGTCACGGCGAGGACCGTCGAGTTGCATGCTTAGTTGCTTACTGTTGATGGATTTGTGTGTGTGTGTGTGTGTGTGTGTGTGCGAGTATGGGTAAGAGTTGAGCGTTAAGACGAGCGAGGCTCAGGAAAAAGGTAGTAGAGCTGGTCCCGTTTGACAAAGGTCAGCGTCACACAGGCCATGATGCGGGGTCGGGGACGGAAGGAGTGGAGGGAGATGCCAACGTTGGTCGAGTGACGTACCTTGTTTGCTATGTCCGTGCGGGAGCTGCTGTCTCCAACCCAGTTGGGGTTCACCGAGAGTTGCACTTTGGGAGCACGAGGTGATGTGGGATAGCTGTAGTCTGGAAGACTGATGGTTTGTTTGATGGATTGAGATGGAAGAAATGGTGGAAGTCAAGTCTGGCGGTTGATTGATGCAGACGGGATGTAGTGTATGAGTGGCCGAAGAAAGCAAAGGAATGGTTGGGAGCTCCTGGCTTTTTAAGGGCAGCTACCTCACGGATACAAGCTGCAAGTCACTCAATTCAATGAGCCAGCCAGTCAACACTCGAATTGGTCAGACGATCAGCCCCAAGAGGAAAGAGCAAGGGGGCTGTGGCGCGCTGTGGAGGACGCCGCGACGGGGATGGAGTGGAGGGGCGCGGAGGTGTCGGATTGGCAGTCGCGTGACTTTGAAGTAAGAAGGCATGAGACTGGGCCGACAGCTCCAATTCTCGCCGAAGCTCACCTCTGGCCCCTGTACCCCTACAGTCTGCGCGATTCTGTCGATAGCTTCTCATGGAATCAATCACAGAGCTCGCAGCGGCCGTCCCAGACGTCCAATTTACCCATATTGGGATTTGGGCATCTCTTCCGTGCCAATTGACACGTACTCTGCCGTCTCGTGTCGCGGGTTTGCCTCTCTGTAGCTCCTTCCCTTTCACGATGACTGACGTTTGTTCCCCCACGGCCGGAGAGTAGCGTGTGACATCAGAAGCCCCGCTTGCTGCAAGTCTCAGGGACTCCAGGGCACCCTAGTGCAACTAGCATTTTGCGGGGTATGGAGTACAGGCCCGGAACCATGCTCTTACCGGTTAGCGCCAGTTAGCGCCTTTCTGGGGTAGCTCTTAGCTTCCATTCTGGTTAGGGGGCTGAAAGTCTGTGCACAGACCTGGAAGCAGAAGCAGAAGCAGCTTAAACCTTTCTCTGGAACTGTCCTTTCCTCGTCTGTATCGCGAAGGGGCGGGTGGTGAGCGAAGGCTGCCGCCGGGGCATGGCATGGGATGGCGCCCGCAAGCTTCCGATGCAATCGGGTCTGCTGCCCTTTCCCCGGCAAGGAAGGCTCCACCCGGCATCCGCCTCTTACGCTCGCTAATTCGGGAGCACATCACGCAACCGCGTGCGCACATTCCTCAATGACTCAAACATGGACAAGGTTGGGCGAACGTGTACACCCGGACACGGCACCGAAAGGCGCAGAAGCCCGATGAGCCCTCTACACGTAGGTCCACTCGACGACATGCGCACAATACGCCTTGGGCCATGCGTGCTCTTGCCGTGTGTGCGGTGTTGCAATAACACGTGTGTTGATGATGGGCCGCGACCCAAGCAAGCCGGGAGGTCAGAGGCAGAGGAACAAGCCGGCAGTGAATCATGGACATGGTGCAGGTGATTGGAGTTGCGAATACACATGTGCAGCGTCAAAAAGGGGCATCAATTATACACTGTTTGACATTTCTAGATCCTGCCATCACATTCGTTTCAACAAAACTGTCATTTTGGCCTCGCCCTCAAATTTGACCTCGCCTTTGCTTGTCTTTTCTTCTTCTGGGTTGTCTCCTTGTATAGGCTGACTTGAATGGCCGTTTCCCTTTCCCCGCGTCTTTATTGGCGGCCGTCCGATGTCACTTTGAGGCGTTGCGCGCATCAGGATGGCCCGGCAGCCGGCTCGCGGCCGCATTGGCAGCACCGTTGCCGGTCCCTCGCCGGCCCTCAAACGGCCGTGTTTCCGAAAACGCGCAAGGCTGGGCCCCTCCGATCTGCGAGTATGGTCTCACTTGAATCTATAAGAGGAGTCGTCCCATATTTCTCGTCATAGCGCCGTGGCCGTCACATTGCACAACCTCTCTGCAACAAGCCCACGCTCGCAATCCGAGGAACCCTAGAGATCCAATCTTGCCTCGTCACACACTCAGCAGCGAACATCCTCAAAGGTGCAAGACTAGCGTCAAAATAATGGGGGTCGCCCTTCAACGCCGCCAGTATGGCGCCACAGGCACATATAGCAACCAGCCCCACGGAAACTGTATCCTCTTCACCTGCACACTCCAGAAGTGGTATTACAAACACCAGTGGCCTTTGTTTGCCGTTTTCGCAACCATCATCATAATAATTATCATCGTTGTCATCTGGAAGCAGAGAAACCAGGAAGAAGAAGGCTGATCCAGTTCGGCTTGCGGAACGGCCGGGGGGACCCGTTGTTACACACGTTACACAGAGTCGACTTGGGGGCCGCCAAGGCATCTTCGACCAGAGATTAATGGCTGTCACGACTCCCGATGTCTGCCTCGATACCCGGGGCAGAATCGTTTCAGCGGACAGAACGAGGCTACACGCACCATATAGAGATCAGCCACGGTCTCGCGGTCTTGGACAAGATATACTTGATCTCCAACGACGAGAGCATGCGGAGTGGCGGTGTTAGGGGCTATGTCTGGGTTGCATTTATTTTCATCATCATTATTGCCGTTGGTGCAGCATTTCTTGTCCTAGGCCTTGACCTGTTGGAAGAATTGGGCACCATTATTTCTCTATTAGTCTTGACAATTAGAGCCTGTCTGTATAATAATAATAATAGATATTTTGTCTTCACTTTTTTGCTGATGAAGTTGGAGGAGATGCAATGGTTACTAAAACATCATCCACCGGCCACTAAATAGGCGAACCGCACTTTGTTTACTCTCCAGCCTCATCTTCACATGTATTTCCCCTGATTTGCACCTTGGAATTTGAGTGATCACCGGCCAGCCCGGCGGCCTGGTCACGGCCTGCGTCAGCACGAGCCGAGCGATGGGGGGCCGACCTCCACAGCCATGTTTCGAAACAACCCGAATTAGACTCTGGAAAGCCTGATATTTCTCAACCCGACGGAGAAGTCCAAACGACGTCACCAGCCTCAGGTGCTGTATCCACGCAATATATATACTGTGCTACCGTCGCAGCCTTCCCCGTCTGTGACTAGCACTCACCCGCAAAATCTCCACCTTGTTTACTGCCGTCAGTCTCCTTCGACTTACAAAGAAACCCGACTCGAAAAAAAGTCTTCGGCAGAACGCACTTCAAAACCCACCATCAAAACAGATAGTCAGTGCCTTGCCTCGAACCTTTGTCGCTCTCCTCATATCACAACGGTCCCAGTCCGGCAACAACAGAGTGCCGCTGCACCATGAATCATTACGTGGACGGGCTTTCCCCAAGGCAGGAGGCGTCGATCGGTGCTTTTTTATCGCTTCTGTTTGTGGCATCTATAATTGTATGTGTCGTGGTAAGACGCCGAAGGAGGTAGTTGTTTGGTTGCCTTGCTTGGTTGGGAAGAGAGGCGCTCATGGACCGAGAACCCGGCCCCGGAATCTACCCAAGGCAGTTGTTGAAGAGAAATTTGGCTTGCTTCTGGGCAGTTGGTTCTTTGTCAGTCCGGAATTTGTTTTTGCGAGACAATATATCCACTGTTTTGATCGACAGATTGCTGCACAATAATATTAAGCCTGTGCGGGTGATGGGCGGTCCCGGCGGGCGGCCGCCCTCCGGCCACCCTCGGGGCCGGAACGGGGTGGGGGCCGGCCTTCGACGGCCAAGCTTATGAAACGGTCAGCACGAAACCCTCGTATCTTGCTCGGAAAACAACGCCGGCCGCCTCAGGCACTGTATCTACCCATTACATATACCGTGCCGCTGTCCATCCCATCCAACCCTTTTCCCTCTTGGTCAGTCCTTTTCCCATTTGGTTCATCAATTCACACTTGGTCTGTCCTTCTCTCGCTTGGTCTGTCCTTCTCTCGCTTGGTCTGTCCTTCTCTCGCCGTGGTCCATCCTTCTCTCGCCTTGGTCCCGCTGTCCACGACGCTCAACCCACAAACCCTACCTACCTACCTCACATACCTTGGCGCCAGCCTCTATTTGTAGACAGCTAAAGTAAAACCAGTCTCTGACACATCCCGCCACTGAAAAAAAAAAAAAAAAGGTACTTAGTTTAGTGTCCTGCCTCCTGCGGGGGTGCCGCCCTATAGATAGCCAACTTATACCTCGTACAGTATAGAAACCGTTGCAACCCAGCCCAACCTAACCCAACCCTACAAACAAACAAAACAAAACAAAAGAGACATGGCGGACCTCTTCGACTTTGAGTTCCTCCAGCAGTTTCCCGAAGGGGAGCGAAGCGTGTATAAAATTCTAATTGGCGCTTTTGCGGTCGCTATCTTTCTCTTGATCATATTCTTTCTTTACATATGTGTCGGCAAATGTTGCCGCAGAAGAAGGAGGTGATCTTGCCCTGGACTACGAACTCGTGGCAAGCAGGGGATAAGGTCGTTGTAAGTGTGAATGTATATAGTGTAGACTAATTGTTGGGTTAGGAAGGATATACCTTCAGTGTTTAGTTTTTGGGAGGTTTGTTTACTTCATTTTCTTTATGTACTTATTACTCGCCTCTGAAAAGCGGTGTCCTAGTCTTTAGATGGCAATAAATGCATGGCTTTTCCCCCCCACAGTGTGCCAAAACCGCTAGTAGATGGCTGGAGCGTGATGTATTGACGTACAGCGCATGTTGGAGAATGTAAACAGCGCCGACCGAGGCATATCGCCCGGCTCGCGAGACCCCCTTTTCCCGGCAACCACGATACTGAAATTCCTGGATATTGTTGAAAACTCGTGCCAAGATGCAATGTGGCCGGGTTTCCAACTTGTTTGGTTGTTCGCACTGTCCAAAATGACACACAACCCCCGCCATGGTGCAGTTTCAGCTAAGCCTCACTCCAGGGCTGGCAGTCGCGTCTCGGTTAACTCTCTTTCTAGGAAACAGACCTGTGGCCTCGTCTATCTCGCCGCATCCCCGCCTTGACTCTTGAATGGGCAGAACCCCACTGGACTAGCCCCGGTCGGCACCCCCGCGGGGAAGGCCTCGGCCACCTGTATCACCCCGGGGCGGTCTTGGACGGCCGTGTTTCACGAAAGCACGCGATAGTTGCAGATGGAGCCAGTGAACATGCCCAATAAAAGACCGCGTTGTTCATTCGTGGATTATAAAACAGCGCGGTCGTCTCATCTTCTCTTCCTCTCATAAGCTCTGATCTTCAACCGGGGCCCGCTACAGGCAAACAAACAAGCAAGCAAGCCGAAAAGAAGAACGACAAGACCAGAATAACCTTGCCCACCTTCACTTACTGCTCGGGATCGATCATACACAACAAGACTTTGGACTTTCGCCGTGTAAAAAACAGGCAGGCACCAGTCAAGCAGCAATGCCCAATCCACTACAGCTTCGTGCAGATTCCAACTCGGCTAGCGGTTGGACCCCAGGCGTAATTGCTGGCGCCGTCCTGGGCATTCTGGCTTTGGGGATATTTGTCACCATTGTTGCTCGTGGAGCGGAGGGTTGGGATGAATGCATGGGGTTCCTTGGCAAGAGGTGCTGTTGCAAGGACAAGAATAAAAACAACAAGAACTCTGGCAGCCGATAAAGGAAGAAGACATTATACTCAATTTCTACCTAAGCTATATACCTAGCCATTCATGTTCATAGGTTATTCTTCCCGTTTCTGCTCTTGCTCTTGGGGCATGTGGTGATCCACTCGGTGTGCCTGCTCCCGTCGTGGCACGCGTGCCTCCAGAGGGGGGCGCGGCCCGGGCCATCCGGCCAGCGTCATCGGTGGGGCGGCGGCCCTTGAAACAACCGATATTGTGCTGAGGCCGGTCCTCAGAGGCCATGCTTATGAAACCAAGACCCTCGACAACGAAACTGTGTGACTGACTGTTGTGCAGGACGGGGGTTGGATCGAGCCAAAAGAAAAGGAAGGGAAAGGGAAAGGGAAAGGGAAAGGGAAAGGGGAAAGGGGAAAGGGGAAAGGGGAAAGGGGAAAGGGGAAAGGGGAAAGGGGAAAGGGGAAAGGGGAAAGGGGAAAGGGGAAAGGGGAAAGGGGAAAGGGGAAAGGGGAAAAGGGAAAAGGGAAAGGGAAAACTTGGCTGGATGATACGCAGATAGATTATAAAGCCTTACTAGCCTCCGTCCCCTGTTGTTCGCGTCACCACTTATGCCACCATCCCCATCCCATCTCTAGCGTATTTCTCGTTCTCGGCCCAACAGATCGTCGATCGGGCCTGCCGCAACAGAGAGGATTGACACAGCCCTGTCCCGTCACCCCTACGGACACGGTAACTTATCGCCGGTGCCGGGCACCCTTCAAGTCTCTCGACGTTTATTGTATAAACAAAGACAATAGAATGCTCCCAGCCGTAGAAATGCCTAGTCTACTATTGATGGTACGGAAGAGCAGTGGGAAGGTGACTAATAATTACTCTGGTATGTCGGGGTTCGTCATTGGTATTTTTGTCGTCGGAATAGTCGGAGAGGTTGCGGGTGCAAAGCAGCAAATGACGCAAGCAGGGAATTCCGGGGTTATTCCTAGTTACTCCGTAGGTAGTGGTCGAGAGCGAAGATGGAAGATGTCGTGATCTCACCCTCAATCATTCTGTAATCCTTCGCTAATGAGCCAGAGAGGCATCCCGGCTGGCGACCTATGACTGGCGTTTTTCTGTTTCTTTTTCTTCGGTTGGGGATCTTCACCAGTCTTCCTCTGCGAAATTACATGCGCCCTAACGCGCACGACGCGGTAGGGAAATTTAATCAGGAATTTCTATAGGAAAACACTCTGCTCGTTCCAAGTTGAACCTGCAATGTGCGTGCGGTCCGGCCGGTGTCGTTGAGGGGCGGCGACCTTCAGACACAGACCATATAACAGCAAAGCCAGCCGGTCTTCAGCGGCTATGTCAACGAAACGAAACTACCACCCTCGATAACGAAACTGTGCAACTGTTGTACAGCAAGCCTATGAATCAGGGAAGGGAAAGAAGAAAGGGAATGAAGCTTCGCTGGATGATTTGCGGATTGATATAAAACAATGCGAGCCTCCGACCTGTGGTTCTATTGTTATGTTTTGCTAGCCATCCCGTCTCTAGCATCTTACTCGCCCTTGGCCACTCCATTTTTCGAGAAGAACCCAGCAGGCCGTCGACCCGGGCCGTCACTAAAACAGAAAATATCAACAATCAGACACGGAAACTCATCGCCGGTGACGGGCACACACCCTTCAAGACTCTCGACGTTACCCCCCCTAGTCACACCCAAAATGCCCCTCAGTGTGTCGGTCCCCCACAGTGGCAGTTTCCCACCCGCCACGTCTGGCTTGTCGAATGGTGCTCGAAGAAGAGGCGTGATAAGAAGGACGGCATAAACCCGCAAGCGGCATATGTAGGCCGTTCCAGGGTCTAGGTATTCCTACCTTGGGTTCTCTGTTGTGGTCGAGAAAGAAGATGGAAGATGTGGTTGACATCACCCTGAGTAAATTTGTCGTTCTCGGCTTGTCTGAGTAAGAGGGGCAGCCTAGTGGGCAACATATGGCCATCCGTGATATTCCCCCTTGGGTAGGGAAATGTACAGTACCTCTTCAGGAATTATATATTTTTATTAGAAAAGAACGTTTTGTATTTGATGCCCGTATCTACATCGTATTTGTCTGATCTTTCCTGCCTCGTCCACTTCTGTGCCTCCGCGTCTTGTCTACTACCCTTCGACTTTTCCTTTCGGGAAACCAGCCAAGAAGACGTTGACGGCTCGCCCGCGCCTCGTAAGCCGTATTGGCCTATATCTACCTAGCTCTTGCTCAGAAGAAGCCTTGGTGGATTTGGCGATAACATTCATTGTAATTTGAATCTGCAATGTGCAGCCCGGCCGGCGTCGTCGAGAAGCGGTGACCCTCAAAGCCCCCAGCATCACATTGAGGGCCCGGTCGGCTTTCCAGCCGCCGTATTCACGAAACAACAACCATTGATAAAGAAACCGTGTGACTGTTGTATAGGCAGGAAGCCCGTGAGTGGAACTAAGGGGAAAGAAAGAAATGAGAGAAAGAGAAGACTAAACTTGGGCTAGATGGTTCGCGGATTATAAAAGAGACGCTAGCGTCGGTCCCGTCTTTTATTTTATTCTATCACTTTTGCCAAGAACCCCGTCCTATCCTGTCGCTAGTGTCTTACTCGTTCTCGGCCGTCCACCCCTTTTCGAGAAGAAGCAAATAGGTCGTCGATCCAGCCCCACCGCTGCAGCAAAACAGAAAGATCAACACACCACAGGCACGCGGGAGCGAGCCTACCACCGGTGCCGGGCCCTCCTTCAAGGCTCTCAACACTACCAACATAGAACAAGGACAACAGATCCCTTTAGCCCCCCCGGTCACACAAAAAAAATGCCTAGCAGTGTATCAATCCCCCACACTGACGGCTCGCCAGCTACCATTAACAGTCCTTGTTCGCCGGGTCTCATAATTGCTGTGTGCATCGTTGTAGGAATAGTCGGATTGATGGTGCTTGCTTTTGCCATTCTTCCTGTTTTCAGATGTACAAGATAATGGGTGAGAAGCGGAGGGAAAAACGGCAAGGGAGGGCGGCGCAGGCAGCGAACTCCAAGGGCTATTCCTGACCTGCCTACCTAAGGTACTCCGTGGTGGCTGAGAAAGAAGAAGATGCATACCTACCATGGGAAGATGTCGTTGACCTCGCCCTGAACCAATTCTTTGTCGTCTTTCTCTGATCAGCAAAACAAGGGAGGGGGGGTGGTTGGGAAATATGTTACAGTACCTAAATCGGGAATTATATTTTTTTCTCAAAAAAAAAAAAAAAGAGAAAAAAGAAAAAACAGTCCTTCCTGATCCGTCTTTACTGCCCATGCCTGCCTTGTCTTTTATCTCTCTTTGATCTTTCTAGTGAGACTTCGCTCTCTAGAAACCAGCCAAAGTAGAAGACTTTAATACACCCGCGCCTCCACGTAGGTGCCTACGTCTTTCTGAGAAACCCCGGTGGATTTGGCGATAACCTGAGAGTTGCAAGCCGAACCTGATTTATGGGGCCGGGCAGATTCTGGCGGCCCGGCCGGCGTCGTCGAGGGGAGGCGACCGTCTTACCAGCCAGCATCACAATAAGGGCCGGCCGGCTTTTCAGCCAGCAGCCGTATTTACAAAACCACAAACCCCCGATAACGAAACTGTATTACCGTTGTACAGCAAGCCGCTAGATCGAGCCGAGAGAAGAGAAATAATGGAAGTAAAATGGAAAAGACACCCCACTAGATAATTCGTAGGTTATAAAAGCAATGCTAGTGTCCGTCCCGTCTTTTTCGTATCATTACTTTTACTAATAAACCCATCTTATCTCATCTCTGGCGTCTTATTCGGTCTCGGCCAACCCCTTTTCGAGTAAAAAATAAAAATACCAATAAGCTTGACGCGGAAACTCATCGCCGGTGGCGGGCAGAAACCCCCCCCCCCCCCAGGTGACACAAAAAAATGGCGCTGGGCGCCGGTGGGATCACCTACAATCACCACAGTACCGGCTCGTCAACCACCGGTCCTGGCGCAATTGTTGGGTACGTCGTCGCAGGATTAGTCGTATCGATTATGGTTGCTGCTTTCATTTAGTGTGTTGTCAAGCACCGGAAGGAGAAGAAGAAGGATAGGAACGGGGTTGCAAGTCAGTCAATGACGCGGGCAGGGAATAATTCCCGGGCTTCTTCCCAAGGCAGCCTACCTACCTTACCTTACCTTGGGCGCTCCATGGTGGTTGAGAAAAGAGCATGGAAGATGGAAAGATGTGCATCGACCTTGCCCGAAACCAAGTTGTCGTCCTGCTCTGATGAGTAGGAGTGGGAGGATAGGCACCTAATCGGGAATTGTACTTAAAAAGAGAAGATTCTTCTCGTTCCATATTTGCTTCGTTACCCGTCCTGACTCGTCTTTGTGTTATGTTACATTTCTTGCCTCGCCCAGCTCTGCGTCTCCGCGTCTTGGGTATCTTGTTTACTATCCCGTAAAATTTGCTCTCCAGAAACCAGCCAAGATTTTGACAACACATCCGCCCCTCCACCTAGGTCTTTCTGAGAAACCCCGGTGGATTTGGCGATAACCTGAGCTGCAAGCTGAACCTGAAATGTGGGGCCGGGGAGGTCCCCGGCGGCCCGGCCGGTGGGCGCCGTCGAGGGGCGGCGGCCCTCAAACCGGCCAACGTGACGGTGAGGCCGGGTGTTCAGCGGCCGTGGTTACGAAACCAAAACCCCGCAATAGCGAAACTGTGCGGTGAATCGAGCCAAGCGCGGAAGAAAAGTGCCCCAAAAAGAAAGGAAGGTGGAAAAAGAAGGCTGATGTATCCGCGGCTTGTGAATCATAAAACAATGCCATGGCCCCGCCGTCCCAACTTTCTTTTTTTTCTTTTCGCCGTCATCGTCATCATCGTCATCATCATCATCTTCATCGTCTAATCTTTGTGTGTCCCCATCCATGTTCCGCCGCTTCTTTATCCAGAGCGCAACTGACTCGTCAGCCTCAACAACACAGCCCGCTGCAGAGGAAATAGGACTAGAAAAGACGAGGAACCCTGCTGCCGGTGGCGGCACCTCTAGCTACCACCACCGACCACCACCACTGCCGATCACCGCCGACCCTTTCGACGTGCGTCTCAAAAAAGTCAGCCCCAGGCAGGCGGCAATGGACGCAGACGCGATCATGATGGCTAGCCTCTCCGGCGGACCCCTTCTCCTGGGCCTCCTGTTCGGCATTGCCATCTTCCGTCGCAGCAGGGCGATCCAGAAGCTCAGGGCGCAGAGGGCTACTTAGTTGGGAGAGAAAAGACGTTGTTCAACTCGCCCTCGAACATTTGGTCGTCCTCGCCCCTTGCATAGAGACGGGGTCAGTCCGGCGGGCAGCGTACAGCCGGCGTTGTCTTCATTCCTATGTTTCTTTTGGTGGGGAGTTCTTTAACATGCATGGGCATCGGGGCATACAAATCAGGAGTTTATTGAAACATTTAATCATTCTTGCCTCGACTCGGCCCTGCACTTCTTACCTCCCCTTCCCCGGGACCTCGATCTTCAGCAAAACCAACCAAGAAAGCTTTGACACGCCCAACGCCTTGTAGCCAATGGACCTACCCCTTTTGTATCCGTTGTTCACAAACGTGGCCCGGAAAATAGTGGAATCACACATATTGCAATTTTTTTTCCCGACTGACAGGAGTGAGTAAATGATCATCGTCATTAATAATAGGGGACGTCGTCACTGTCGTCACATACGTAAATTTCCCAAGGTATGTATGTACTTTAGCGTATTTGGTCACTTTCTGAGCAATGGGAGCATAACAGACAGAACACACATACCGTCACCTAGACAGCCATGGCCCCTTGATCGTCGACGGAGTTGTTTTTTTAGAACAAAAATCGCTCACTGTTGGCCTTCTTTGCCTTTGGCAACAGGCCGGCCGGCCGTGTCGTCCATCTCGCATGTCGGCGTATCCGCCATTTTTGCGTATTCCGAATCTTGGTGCGTATCCCACACATTCGCGTATAACTAACTAGGCAGCCCGGCAGCCGACGATTGGCCGGTGTCATCGCGAAGGAAGCCGCCTGTCTCCAAAATTTTAACGGACCGTGTTTCTGAAAGAAATCGGATGAACAGAGAGTCCGTGATAAGGAATGAGGCTCTCCGTTCTGTATAATAGGGGTGCTTCCCCAATGCATCCCGGCCTGATCAGCGCATCTTCATCTGCGCATTCTCCACTGCAGCCAAGTTCCATTCATTGAAAGACCAAAAAGAAAGCCTTCCGCCCTCCGCAAAGGACTGTTCTAAATTTAATCTGCCTGCATCGTCACTGGTTGCCGCCAGCTACCAACGTTCGGGATGCACACCTCCGCTCCTCAAGATAACATTGCTCCCGTTCGCAGCAAGTGATGGATCCGACACGGTTCTGGGGCGCAGGACCAATAAGGGCGCGCCATCCGGCGTTTTGTTTATCAGCTTGGCTCCAACGATGGGGGCCCCTGAATTCGGATTGGAACCTGTAAATTTTTATAGTTAAGGAACTGGCAGAGACGGCGTTATTAAAACTAGCAATGGCGGAGAATGCTATTTTGTCTCGAGTGGAAAGAGATACACACGAATGATGATGCTCCGAACGCCGTTCGTACTCCAAAACAGCCCCCCTTTTAGTCTTCGGCAGGGGCAACCGGGCAGCCAAGTCCACGGAACTTGATACAGCGGTAAGGGGCGTTGAACGAGAAAATTTTTTCTGAAACTACCAAAAGGAATTACAGAGCCCTACGGCAAGAACGTAAACAATTGCCGGGCGTGAGAAATCACCGTCTAATGTTGTCTACAAACATCACATCGCAACTCCACACCGTCATCACACTCGAGAATCTTATAATCTCTGATTAGGGGCTCCAGTTTTGCTCATTTACTTGCGAGAATGCTTTGCGCAAGCTGTATTTTTTCTTTTTTCTTTTTGCTCTTTCTCTTCCCTCAGAAAAGGCGGGCATTTTGTTTGGCGAGGGTGCTGAATGGGAGGTTGGCCGGGCTCAAGGCCTCCCCATGGTCTGGCACATCGCGCCCCTTTTCCACCCCTCGCGAGCCGGGCAGGTGGCCATCCCCACGCCTCATCATTACATCACATCGAGGCCCGGGGGCTCTCAACCGTCAATTATTCTCAAAATTCTGCAAGACGTAAACAATGAAACCGAAATGGGTAAACAACCGAGACAAGTTTGCGATTCACTTCATCGCCTTTCTAGGTATAAGAACATTCTCGTCGTCCCATTTGTCCCACCCGAATATCCATCCGCGCCTTACTCAACACATATTCTTATCAAGGTACCCAGCTGAGATTTCAACTCGAACGCCTCGCACGCCTCCTACTAAAGCCTACCTGTCTGCCAATATACTCATCGCTCTCCAAGAGACGATACGCAACGCACGCAAACACACGCACAATGACAACGGCCATATTTCACCGAGCACCATCGACTCTATCGTCGGGAGATTCGCCTAAATAGGGGTCGACGGGGGGTGGGTAGTGGCCGGTATTGCTATTGGTATTGCTATTGTCGTGGGAATTCTTATCGCTCCGTGTCCCAAGTTCCTTGGCACGCTGAAGGACCAACGCAGAGAAAACTCTACAGAACCCTCCCGTGTTTAGTCCATCAACAATAATAGGTCTGCTATCCGAGATACTATGCCCTTGGGCCAGTTGCTGATTTGTAACACGTCCCAGGCGCGTGAAACAGAGGGAGAGGGCCGAGGGGGCCGTTTGTTTGTTTTGTTGACAGGGGCGAATCGAAAAAACTAGCGGGGCTTTTGGTCTTGGGGGGGAAGAAACTGCCGTGCCTTTCCGGCTGCACTCGGAGAGAGAAAACACCATCGGGGGAGGGGAGAGATTGGACGGGCCAGGATTAGGGGCGGCCCGGCCGGCCGGCAGCGGGGATGGCGGCCGGCGTCGCATCGGTGAGGGGCCCGGCCGGCGGCCGCGTGTCCGAAACTTGAAGGAAGACTTAGCTCCTTGGCGCAGAGCAGACAACAGGCCCGGAAACATGCGCGGTCCAGGCCCTAGCGCTCACGTACCTAGGTATAAGAACAGCCTTGTCATCCCATCTCTCCCCGGAATCCACGGAATCCCGCCAATCCCGCGTATCACTCGACCCCTTTTCACAGCCGGCCCACACCTGACAGAAACGAAGTCATACGCCTCTTCTTTGTGATACCTAAATGGGACAATAAACAGACACACACCTACACGCAAGTAGCGGCTCCCATTCAGCGCAGAACAATGAAATTGGATGCAAAGTTCCTGATTGAGCCCCGCGTGGTGACTGGGTTCGGAGGCGGGGTGAGATACCGTAGCTGAGAAATTCCATGATTGTGCTTGGCGGTGCATTTGGTTTCTTGTTCCTTCTTGGCGGAGTTATTTTGCTTGTCAAGTGCATTAGGAGGCGTGAACAGGAGTGAGGGCATGATCACGGCTAGGCGGCCGTCGATGACCTGCAAGCGAGCGAGCGAGAGGTGAGAGAAGCGAACGGCGAGCTAGCAGCACTGGCATTGTGGGTTGATTATCTTTTGTACGGAGTTTTTGGGGGGTTTTTAGAGGATAGAGAATGGCAAACGGTTCTTCCGGTACCAGGTGAGCAGCTAGCCCCGCGTGAATTCTGAATGCCGCCGACACGGACGGGGCAGCCCGGCAGCCGGTCCGCGGCTGGTATCCATTCGCGTGTCACGGCGGTGAAGGGGGGCCCCGTTAGCCCGGCCTTGTTTCCTGAACCTCTTCGCACCTAACATAGTACATAGTACAAAAAGTCGAGAAACATCCACGACCTGTCCACCAGTGCTTGTCTCGTACTAAGGTATAAAAGAACGGCCTTGTTATCCCATCTCTACCTATCCGCATATCACTCAGCCCCTTTTTGCACCCGCACGACAAAGCAAAGTCGCACGCCTCTGGTCTGGCCACCTACCTGATAAGGAGACGCCATAGTCAGACACAAACAAAAACACACACATATATATACATGCTCATCCGAGGAACAGCCCCCGTTCATTGCAAAGATAACGACAATGTAGTCAAGCCTACTGATTCAGCCTCGGCGTCAACCTGTTCAACCAGGGAGTCCGGTGATAATGAACAGATCAAGACGGGTGCCCTGATTGGAATTCCTAATGCAGTGCCTATTACGTTCATTATTGGCGGTGTGATGATTTGGCGTTCACGGCGGAGGAAGAGGCCTTGACCTGCGCCTATGGTCGAGAGAGGGAGGGACTAGTGAACCAGAAACACCGACTCTGTTGAGGGAGGGGCTTCTTTATATCCTTCTGTATGGGTTTGGCGTTTTGAGCCGCAACCTAGTTTCTCGCGTACAGCGAGCAGCTAGCCCTACCGACAACGTGCTAACATGGACGTGCAGTGCGGCGGCCGGTTTCACGGCCGGTATCCGTTCGGGCGTCAAGGTCGCTGGGGGGACCCGTTAGCCGGCCTTGTTTCCAGAACCGCTTTGCAACTCAAGTAAGATAGCACGACAAATCGAGAAACACTGACGGCCCAGCCACCAGCGCTCGCGCTTAGGTATAAGAACTGCCCTGGCGTCCCATCTCTATCCGCGCGTCAGTCAGCCCCCTTTTACACCACAAACGAAAATCGCACGCCTCCGCTCTGGCCCCTGATGAGGGAACGCCACAATTACACACAGACACACAAACAATCACACAAACAAACACACATATATATTTACACGCTCATACGGAGAACAGCCCACCGTTTATTACAAAGACAGCAACAATGGTGATTGAGCCCCGGGCTGTGGTTTGGCCAGACGCTCATCAGATGAAAGAAAATGCCAAACTGGCTGCCAAGATTGGAGTTCCTGCAGTAATCTTTCTCGTGATCGCCATGATCTGTTTGTCATTTTTCCATTCACGGAGGAGCACGGCTCGATCTTGATGAGGGCATTCTAACGGCTAGGAAGCTGTTGATCGATCCCCTGTCCTGTGGTCGAGAGAGCGAGAAACTTGCGGACCGGCAGCAGTGGCGCTATATGGGGAGGTTTCTTTGGATTCTGTACCTATGGGTTCGGCGTTTTATCAACAGACTGGGAACGGAGTTTTCCGGCGCACAGTCCGCAGCCCTACCGGCCACGTGCCGACATGGACGTGCAGACCGGCGGCCGGTTTCACGGCCGGTATCCGTTCACGTATCACGGCAGTGGGCGGCCCGCTCGCCGGCCTAGCGTTCGAAACTATAAAACATTTCAGGCCCCTGACTACGAAACAAGTAAACAAATAGAACAAAACAAAGAAGGATCTTGCTTACCTAGGAACAATCCGCGGGTTGTCACATACCCATCCTATATAACACCGTACCCAGCTATTTACTCGGCCGTTTGCCCCCTTTTGCTTACACTAATCCACATCTCACGGACATCCCCCTTGCCCACCTGGCCACCACCTACAAGACGTCACTCACTCAAATACACATGCACACGTCCCTTTAGCCACTTGGGATCCACCTACTAGGGAGACGTCGCCGCACACACACTTAAATAAGTATATACACACACACACACAACAACAACAATACCACCAACTGCGGAAGCCACTCGTTGAGTAAGGTAGACAACCCCAAACTCACAGATCAACACGCACACACGTCTGTGCGCAGACCAACAACGGCTTCCATATAGCACCAAACAGAAACCCAAAGAGAATAGAAAAATGGAGTTGACCCGGCTCATCGCGCGCGGCGTCCTCGAGGCGCGGAAAAAGCGCAAGGGCAAGACCCAAGTCACGGGGATCTTGGGCGTTCTCCTGGTCATTTTCGTCTTCTCGGTGTTCCTCGGCGTGGGCATCTACTTGCTGTACCGGTGCTGGAGGGGGAGGAGGAAGGAGTAGTCTAGAAAATGAAAGGTGAGAGGTGGGTGAAGATGCCTACCTAGGTGGCTACCTTACCCACCCGCTCAGGTGCAAGGGAGAGAGGTATGGTGGACGGGGCGGGGCGCCGATGAGGTGGTGGACTATCCCGGCGGTGTTATTATGGTTTATTATTTTTTATTCTTGTTTCGTGTGGATCTGGCGGATTTTTACCTCTCTCCTTTGATTTCTTTCCTTTTTCTCCTTTTTGCAAAGGAGAGCGAGTTCTAGGCTGGAGGAAAGTGAGATAGAGGAGGGAAAGAACCGGTTGGCTCTGCACTTGTTTGCAAGACGAACATCTTTTTGTTATCCGGCATTTTAATTAGTTACCTGGGTAGCAGTGAAAGCGTTTAGGCAACTCAGACGACGCTGCCTTGCTTTGGGTTTACATGGTTGCTTGTTCCTGGCGCGTGAGTCTGACATGGGGAACAGCTGGGTGTTGATTCCCTTATTTTCCATGTACACAGAGTTGTCGTGCTTTTTGTGGCCACCCTGTGCCAAGCGGCCCGACACGTCTTGCGCATGCCTATGTGAGCAACAACGTCTCGCATTGCTGGGCATAAGAGCAGCGTTAGTCGTCCCACCGATCTCACTTGGGCCCCTTTTCACGGCCAGACCTTAACCTAGGTGCTAGAACAATAAGCTTACCTACACACCTACTTTTCCCCCCTAGAACTAGTTGGACGACGCCACACACAAATAAACATAAGGAAGCGCCAGTTCAGAACAACAATAAAGTCAAGCCTGCAAGTCAACCCAGTGAAGGAGTGGACCAGCACATCGGCGTTGTTGACAAATATGCTTTCTCCCCTTTTCTCTTTTTCTTTCTAACCTCCTTTCCATTCTCTGCCTTTATTACTGCATGGATGTGACATTTGCTGGTTCCAGGGGGGATTTCAAGGCCGGTATGACGTGAGAAGCTTGAAATGGCGGGGGTGGGGGGTTGCAACTTTTGTTTGCAAAACGACAGTCTGTCCCTGTGTTGCCTGTTATAGTGAAGCTCATGTTTTTGGTGCCCCCTACCCATTCATGTTGGCAATCACAGGCTCTGTCTGCTCTGATCAGCCGTCCTTTTCTTTAGATCCCTCCGCAACTTCGGCGACGGCGACATGCCCTGTGCGGCAGGCACACACAGCTCTTCTGAGTCCGTGCAAGCTCGGCAGGCAGCTGGACAGGCGGGCGGACAGGGCCAGACCGGGTGGGGCCGGGCTGGCCAGGTTGGCCAGCGGCCAGAGAGGTCGGCCAGTCAATCTACCCTACCCACCCTAGTCCGAGGAAATGTTTCCCATTGGGGGCCGCAATAGATCATGCGCCCTCCGATTCCTTCCCGGGCAATCTACCGCGACCAGATGCCCGACATCGGCAAGGGAGTTTGGGGGGGAAGGGGGCCCGACTTCAACAGGCTCAAACACGCGACCTGTTTGGCAATGCTGCTAAGCTACTGCCAAGCCTTAACAGCTTCACGGCCGGCCCTTGAAGACATTACACCTTGTTTGCGTGGAATGTTCCATGTGGCATGTGGCATGTGGCGTGTTGCATGTGGCATGTCATGGCCAGGATTTTGTAAAAAAAAAAAAAAAAAAGAAAAAAGAAAAAAGAAAAAGAAAAAGAAAAAGAAAAAGAAAAAGAAAAAGAAAAAGAAAAAGAAAAAGAAAAAGAAAAAGAAAAAGAAAAAGAAAAAGAAAAAGAAAAAGAAAAAAGCGTCTAGTCGTGTGAGTTCCCGATCATTCCCGGTTCACCCCTTTTCCGTTTATATCCAGTCGTTTTTGAGTGACAAACATCAAAACGTATATATATTCACATTTAGCCCCCGTTTTACATCGTAGACAGTGCTATTGCCACTCTACGCCCCAGGTCGTCTCGCCGGCGCGGAACGGCACAATCTCGGCGCCGTCGCCCTTGAGAGACTGGGCAATGACCTGGCCGCCGCGGGTCAGGAGGATCTTGCGGTCCGCCGCCTCGGCGCCGTAGAACCGCCGCCCGTACGTGCCAAAGAAGCCGACCAGCGCGTCCTCCGTGACGTCGTCCTCGCTGATGTCGCCCCTCTGGATGGCCTCCTCGAGGGCCATGAGGACCTGCGTTGCTGTCAATCATCTTGTTGCACGAGACCGGATGGAAGCCACTTACGTATCCCAGCGCGTACGGCTGAGTGAAGACGCCGGCGGCCGTGTTGCCTTTGCCTTTCTTTGCGCCGATGTCGTGCGCTGGAATGGTATCGTGAGTGAACATTAGACTGTAATGGGAGCGAAAGGAGTGGGCGGGTTCACATACGTGCGCTGTCTGTGCCGAGGAAAAACTTTCCGTTACTACGAACCACGGCGTCAAGCAGAGCCTGCCTGTCCTCGGGGCTCTTGGCCGATGGTTTGCAGTAGTTGTTCTAGCCTTGTCAGCGTGATCTCTTGATGGGGCGAAGCAAATAAACCTACCACATTGGCCGACCAGTCGTCGACGAGCAGAGATAGATGATGAGCTGTCTGTGTCTCGAGGTAAGCATCAAGTATCAATCCCGCCCACGTCGAGGAAGGCACGTACGATGGTGCCGACGACAATCTCGCCAAACGACCTGACGGCGTCGACGGCGGCAGCGGTGGTGCAGTGCTCGAGGACAATGTGCAGGCGAGGGTACTTTGCGATGAGCTCGCCGAGGACGGGGAGGAACTTGGCCTCGGCGTTCATGACGGTGACGCCGTCGGCGGCGCTGCTGGGGACCTCGCCGTGGAGGTTGAGGACAACGCCCTCCTGCTCCATAGCGGCCAGCACGTCGTGGAAGGGCTCGAACGAGACGACGCCCCACTGCGAGTTGGTGGTCGCGCCCCGGGGATAGGCCTTGACGCCCGCGATGCCGGCCTTCCTGGCCTTGCGGATCTCGTCGGGCGTGAGGCTCTCGTGCATGTACAGCGACATAAGGTATGTGACGCTGGGGTCGAGAGCCTGCAGGCGGCGCTGGTACTCGAGCGCCTCGTCGACCGTGACAATGGGCCGCGGCGCCAGGTTGGGCATGACGAAGACGCAGTCGACGCCCGCCTGCCGAATCATCGGCGTCACCAGCTGCGATATGGGCCCCGGCGCGTTCCTGAGATGCACATGCATGTCGGCCGCCGCCGGCAGCAGGTACGAGTCTTTGAGGGGCATTTTTTTCTCTTCTTTTGAAACAGCTTAGACTAGATAGAACCGAGTTGATTTGCTCGCTCTTGTTTACTCTGAAAGTATCGCGTTGAACCGACACGTACTCAGGATGTTGAAGACGTCAAGTGATGTCTGGAGATACAAGGTCTGGTGTAAGTATTTTAGGGAGGATGTCCTGTCAATGTGGATTCGAATGGATGCCTTCCAGAAATGTGCAAATGCAGAGTCGCTGATAGGCTGCCCGCGGCAACCCACATTGCCATGGTTCAGCATCACGGACGCAATCGGCTGCAGAAATAGCGGTTTAAAATTTGAAGAAACTCGAGACTAATAAGGCTATCGGCTTGAATCCGTTCCACATAGTCGCTGATAAATTGAGGGCTGTCAAGACCAAAACGACGCATCTTGACATCGGGATAAACCCAGTCGCGCTTTTGTGGTTGCGGGGTATTCCCAGCCTCGGAGATGGATGCTGGAGGGGTAAAAGGTATTTCGAGCGCCAGTGACCAACACGCTACGCCAAGGCAGTTGTTGACACTGTGCATACGACAGCAAACTAGCCCATGGGACAGTGCGAAGCCTCAAAACTGCACGCCTGCGATTTCGGTGGCGAGGCTTTGTATTTCAAATCAGAGCCTGGGGAAGACTTTTGACATTTTCTCCCACAAGCCCGCAAACCGCCCAACCTCGAGAGTCTAAGAAGGAAGAACATCCTGCATTAATTGCTCACTCTATCTTAATCCCCCGCCATCCAAGAAGAGAAAAGCGACCGGATAACCGCCGCCCACCGGCCTCCGTCACGATGGCGCCCATTTCGATCGATTTCACGTCCGACTTCGACGACCCCACCATCTTCACCCCCCAGTCTTCGTCCAGCACCAACAATGGCCCGCGGACCCTCCTGCTGGCGCCGCCCTCGATCGCCTCGCGCGAGGAGCGCATCAGCTCCCTCTTCACCACCTTCAGCCGCGCCACCACAGAACTGCAGATGCTAGACCGCCTCGCCGTCGGACTCGTGACGCTGCCCGCCGCCACCTACGACCTGGTCTTGGTGCTGACCGACCCCGACGGCAGCCGCCGCGCAGAGGCTGCGGGTCTGCTGGGCGGGCGCGACGTGTGGGCGCGCCTGGTGCCTGCGCTCAAGGCCGGCGGCGCGCTGCGCAGCGAGGATGGAAGTCTAGGGTCGTCCCCCAGCAACACCACCGCGGGGACAGAAGTGGCGGCGGCGGCCCGCGAGGCCGTGCTGGCGGGCCTGGTAGCCGACAGCGGCGGCTTCACCAAGCCAGAGTACGCCGAGGAGGAGGCCGTGCCGTTGCGGTTTGGGCTGAAGAGGAAGGGCGCGAACGGGAGTATGACGACGGCCCCCCCCCCCGCCGCAGCCCCGGCAGTGGTGCCGACAGGAGTTGGATTCGTCCGCTTCAGCGACGACCTCGACCTAGATGCCGAAGACGACGACGAACTCGACGACGACGCGCTCATAGACGAGGATACGCTGCTGACCGAGGAGGACCTACGGCGTCCGGTGCCGCTCGCGCCCGAGTGCCAGCCCAAGCCGGGCAAGAAGCGACGGGCGTGCAAGGGTGGGTTACTGCGCAGCTGAGCTCCATTCTAGTCGCAAACTAACATCGCGGTGACAGACTGTACCTGCGGCTTGGCAGAGCGGCTCGAGGCCGAGGACAAGGCGCGGAGAGCCAAGGCGGATAAGGACCTGAACGCGCTGAAGCTGAACGTGGCAGACCTGAACGAGCTGGAGCTCGATCTCACCGTGCCAGGCAAGACGGGCTCCTGCGGGAACTGCGCATTGGGCGACGCCTTCCGATGCGATGGGGTGAGTTGCCGCCCCCTTTCAAACCCTACCCCTTCCACACGAGCCTATTCCATCTCCTTGCTAGACTAACAGCGCTGACCGTGATTCTCTAAAAGTGCCCGTACGTCGGCTTGCCCCCGTTCAAGCTAGGCGAAGAAGTCATGATCCTCAACAATGCCGCGCAGCTGTGAGGAGACCCTCACACTCGGGACGGGAACACACACTGAGACTTGAAACCAAAAGCCGCTGGCCTGCCGCTTTAGCTGCGAATGACACGCTCCGGGTTCTTCGCGGGCAGTATAGACGTGCAGTTGGGGAAGGATTATTGGTAGAAGTCCACCGGGCAAGGTGGGGAAGAAACCGGTAGGCGTGCATGGCCACACATGGAGGAAGAACTGCCAAAGCCTGTTGAGCGAGCAAGCAGTAAGTGTGCGCGTTACGTGCCTTGGGGGAAATTATTAGACACCTACAGTAAGCAATAGACAGACAACAGCCAGAGAGCTACGTAGTCGGGTAAACGGATAGGAAAACGGGCAGGTAGGCAAAAAAACGAGACATGACCCCCTTTTCATCAACGGACGAGACTGGAATCTACTGCAGTGGTGACATGCTCGCTATCTAAACACCTTATATAAGGCAGCAACCTACCCTCACAATTTCACTAAAAAAAACTAATCAAAGCAGATGTTCTAGTTTATATAATGTTGTATTTTCATTCATCTTTATATACAAAATATCGTGTCTCGACATGCTTGCTTGCTTGCTTACTTACTCGCTTGTTTGCATGAAAAGACAGCAAAGAAACATACCCTTCCTTCTAAAATATCTGTCCCCCCTTATAAACGCCATGCCACACACGCATCTTGCCCTTTGAAACCGCATCCCGTCCTCCCCCCTACCATACCAAAGATACCATACCGTACCATACTATGCTTTGCTTTGCATGACAAGACAAGAAATATCCTTGGACGGAATGGAAACACGCGTGGCCCATGCTCTCACTCTCACCACAAGGAGATGCGCATGCTATTAGATGGGTTTGTCTTGTTTTGTTAGTTTTTTGAACAATTCCCCTTGGTATAGATATTTTTGATGTGTTTTTTTTTTGTTTTCGCGAGAATGTTATGCAATGCCATGCAAATCACACCCCTCCCCGCTTCACCTGATTTAAAAAAAAGAGACAGGCCAAATCAGGTTTTCTAATTCCGGCTTGTCGTGCCATTCCGATGACCGCCACCGCGAGCAGCCCCCTTTTCGACCGCGACGTCCGCTTCGTCGTCGCTCGCGCCGCCCACGCTGTACCGGTCGTCGTGGGCGAGGTCCGTCGGGACGTGGAGGTCGTCGAGCTCGCCCTCGTCAAAGTCGCCTGTCTCGACGTCGGTGTTGGTGCGCTTATTACGGAAGTTCTCGAGGCCCGAGGCAGCGGCGCCGCCACGGCGCCTGCCTCCCGATGGGGTAGTGCTGCCGCCGGGGGCAGCGGCAGCCAGGCCGAGGTAGCCGCGGCGGCGGCGGCGGTCGCGCCAGACGTAGTAGCCCCAGGCGGCGGCGGCGATGGCGACGATGACCAGCACGAGCTCGCCCGACTTGCGGTAGGCCTCCCATTTGGCGGCGTCGAGCTTGGCCTTGGCGGCCTCCTGCTCGGTGGTGCCGTTGCCGGCGGCGCCGCCGACCGTGGTCTCGGGGCCGAGCTTCTCGCCGTCGAGCCGGCTATCGGTGGGTTGGCCGCCGATGCTGCTGATGTCGACGTCCATGAAGCGGTCTAGCATGTCGCGGGTGCGCCGCGCGTAGTCGAAGGGGACCATGTGGCTGCTGTTGTAGAAGAGCACGTACGTCAGGTTGCGCGCCTCCTGCCAGAAGCCCGCGGGCTGGCCCTCAAAGGTCCAGTCGCGCCGCGGCGCCCAGGTCCCCGGGGACAGCTCGAAGCCGCGCCTGCCGTTCCAGGCCATGTTGCCGATCAGCGCCTCGGTGCCCAGGTGGTTGCAGATCAGGTCCTCGGCGCCCGAGAACAGGACGATGGGCACCTCGCTCAGGAGGTCCGGCAGGAACTCGCCCGAGGGCCTCGACTTGCTGGGCTTGAACTGCTGGCCGACCATGCCGTTGCACTCAGTCCAGCCCGTGTTCTTGTTGGCGTTGATGTGCAGGGCATCCACCACGTCCTTGCGGCGCAGATACGGCGTCACGGAGTCCAGGTCAGGCGGCCAGGCCATGCCGCACGAGGGGAAGTCGTCGCGAAGGCGCACGTCGTACATGTTGTAGCACTCTTGCTTGCCGTCCCCTTTCGGCTTCGCCGTCAGTTGGAGGAGGTTTTGAAGCACGGCTTCGCAGTCGCCGTTGTCGATAGCTCCAGGGCTGACGGCCAACTCCTTCTGGCAAATGCGGTTCTGAGCCTCGAGCTTGCTGCCAATCTCGCTTCCCTTCTCGACCAAGCCCTTTTCGTATGCGAATTGGAGGTATGCTTCGTACTGTTCTCGCGGCGAGATCCATCCGTTGCCGATCAATAGGCCCATCAAATTCCACTTGTGCTGAATTTGCGGCTGCTTGTTCCTGGCCAGAAGGTGCTTTGCGATGTAAGGGATGTGTTGACCGGCGTAAGACTCTCCGGCAATGTAAAGCTGGAGAAAGGCATAGGTTAGATCGCATGCAACAGCACGAATACTGCCAATGGGGAACCGCAGATCAACTCACATCATCGTTTTCGTACTCGGGGAACAAGGCGAACCACTTCTCCAAGAAGATGATGAACTGGTCGGCCATCTCGTCCAGCTCGTGCACATAGCTGTCGGTGTTGACATAGCTGTACCCGGTGCCGACAGGGTTGTCGACAAACATGACGTTTGCGAATTCGTTCCACGAGCCGTTGTTGTACACGAGGGTGTGGTCGTCCTTGAGGCGGTACGGGCCAATCTCCATCAACGCGCCATCCTCGGAGCTGCACCCGGGGCCGCCGTTCAGCCAGATGATGGTCCTTTGCTTGTTCGCAATGTGCTTGTTCTGGAAATGCCAGAAGAATAGGTTGCCATTATGTTCGGGGTTGACCTCGATGTGTCTGCGCAGGAGCGACAGCCGCGTCAGCGTAAGTTTGACGGCCTAGGGAACGACGATTGAGACACTTACCCGGCATGCATCTTTACTAGGGGTCCTGGAGGGGCGCCCGGCAGCGAGTGGACAAAGTAGTCGCCGGCAGTCTTGTCGGCAACAGCCGGGGCGGCCGGCCATGTGAGCGCGAGGGCGGCGGCGATAGCTGGGAGCCGCCTCCAGCTTGGCAAGAAGTGACCGGCAGCCATTGCGATTCCTCCCCCGGTTCGCGCCGGAGTTAATACAGCGGCCCCGACAGTGGAAAAGAGATAGAAGCCCAAAAATGGTGAGCGGCGATTGCTTGCTACCGAGTAGCACCAAAACCAGTCATTGGGAGTGAAAGGGAGAGATCGTAACCAAATGGGGAAGGAAGATGAAATTCGAGGCGACACGAAACAAGGATTGCAACCGACAGATCTGTCCTTGAGTACGAATACGTACGACACGATGGTGGTGGGGGGACGGACGGTTGAGGGCGCAGGAGGCGGCTGACGACTCACTGGGGCTCGGCCCGCCAGCTACAGGGCAGTCGAGGACAGTGCGACCTGAGTGGTTTAGCCTACAGGGCCCATTCAGGAACAGCGCCACCAGCAACCGCTAGACACTGGCGAGACGGGCGCTAGAGCAGCCCAACGTTTGGAGCAGAAGTCTGGAACTCTAAGGCTGAGTATCCCTGTATTCCTTGTATTCTTGGGGTGGCTTCCATCCCATTATGTTGGTATTCCAAGTTCGCACTTGGGAATTTGATTTCGGGCATTTGGACCGTTCCTCTGCCTCGAGCTTGTTTCACGAGGCCGGCGTAGTCGCGGGGACCCTCCAGTCTTCAGGCCAACCCCAAGCAGCCCAGGAATTGCTGAGTAACACCTCTAGCTCAAAGCTGGGGAACTTCAACCCGTGCCGTGTTGCCGGATCGAGTCTTGAATAGAGCGGCCCATCCGTATTACTAAGAGTCGCAAGCGGTAATCATGTACTACGTACCGCTGTACGGATTACATCCGGAGTACATACAGATACGTGCCTCAATCGGTTGCCTGGGTTTGCATGTTGATGTGTCTGTTCTGTAGCTCTCTCTGGGAGGCTCATCAATGACTATGAAAGTTTTCATGCAAGAAGAGACTCAAGGGCTCGAGACGACGCACTCTAGAAATGGCAACGGCGAGAGTAGATCTAGCTCATCCCCGCTAGACTTTTTATCTATGCGGTATCCGTACTTAGGGAGCAGTGCCCGATCCCATAGGTCGCAGCCTCGCAGCCTGCAAAGCCTGGCAGAGTTTAAGCTTTTTTAATTTTTTTTTGCACAAGCTGCCTGTTTCAAGATATTTTAGTCTCGAGTCCCAGTTACACGGAATAATAATAAGCAACCTTGCTAAGGGATCTTAACGCGATGGCTTCAGCCGGCGACAAAACGTACATTGTCGAGCATTTGGACGAGGAGCTGGGGCCGTGGTCGGAGCTGGAATACATCGCCATCGCGCAGGAGTCGCACGATACTGGCGCAAAGTTCTGCCTCTCGTCGCTGGCCCCGGCCTTCAAGGTCCCCGACGCCCTGAGGGCCGTCCCCTCCTTCACCCCCGAGCCGCGCAGCGTCGAGGAGATATACGCAGACAACAAGGCACGAGTGTGCCTGCTTGATCCCGCCGCGGCCAAGGACCTGTCGCCCGAAGACGGAGACACATTTGACGTCTTCCTGTTTGGAGGCATCCTGGGTATGTAAACGAGCAGACGATCAACCAGCCCAAGTCCATGTCGATTTCGCGCGAGGCGAGCGACCACATTGACGCGTGTCCGCAGGAGATGACCCCCCTAGAGGTAAACCCGCTCTGGAAACCCGCGCCTGGCTAGCCTGAGTCTAACAGACCGCACGCACGCACGCAGACAGGACGTCCGAACTGAGGAAAAAGGGCTTCGAGGGCCGCCGACTGGGGCCGGTGCAAATGACCACCGACACAGCAGTGCGTGTCACGCGCATGGTCGTCGAGGGCAAAAGTTTGTCTCTTCCAGCCATCACCTCGACCAGTTGACTGGATTGCGTCTTGTCTAACATGCCCCGAATATGTCTCTCAGTTCCTGTCGCAGAGGTGCCGTACCTGGACTTCCCAGAGATTCGGTTCAACGAGCACGAGTGCACCGAAATGCCCTTCCGCTATGTCAAGGGCGACGACGGCAAGCCCATCATGCCTAAGGTGAGAGCGTGCTGCCGTGCCTGGGACTGGCCCGGACCTCTTGCTGACTGCTTCCTAGGGGATGGTGGAGTTGATCGGGAAAGATGCCGACAAGGCCATTGACGATCTTTTCTAGTCGAGGACGGTCAGAATGGAGGCGATGCCGACAGTACAGTACTGACAGCGAACAAGGTATAAGTCTCTCGGGTAGCTTCCCTGTTCTCGCCGTCTCCGTCTATCATGTCATTGCTTCCTCCCTCTCACTCTCTTCTCTCCGCAGCCCCTCAAGCGGGGTCTCCAGCTAGATCTATTTGTTATCTTATCAACGGCCCATCAACGGCCCAAGAACCCCGCCCCAGTCGAGAGGGAACGGTAAAGCAGAGCAGAGCATCTCATTCTCGCGGAAAGGGTGTTCTACATCTTTCACATAGACAAGTGTAATATTTGGTATCCGGGCGATTGGAACCTTCAGGCAGTCAGAAGAAATAAAAGGAGGGAGCGCGTGACGTATAACAAAAGCCACCATGGTGAACAACAAGCCCCCGGTGTTAGACATTGATCCGCCCCTTGTCAACTCTGCAAACCCCTGGGCAACCACGCTGGATGACCTCCGAAGCCTTTACTCTTGTACATCGACAGGTGCTGTCACCACTCGGACCTCGCTCATCGGCGGCTTCGACCACGATCCCAGCAAGCATCAGTACGTGCTCTTCGACGCCGCCACACACGCGGCGTCCAGCCCAGACGTCACGGCGGCCCAGCTCGCCAAGAGCCACGACAGCGCCAAAAACGCAAGCCTCAACTGCCTCGGCTACAGCCCGCACACTTTGGAAACGTATCTAAGCTTCATCAAGACGATATCAGACGAGCAGCAACAAGAGGGCCAGCAAAGGACAGCCAGGCCGACAAAGGGCTTCATCGTCTCAGTGACCGGCACCCCGGCCGAGGTGGCCGCCAGCTACTGGCTCGTGGCCGCCGCGCAGCGCCACGTCGCGCTCCCGCTCGCCGTCGAGGTCAACCTCAGCTGCCCCAACATCCCCGACAAGCCGCCGCCGGCCTACTCGCGCGACGCCCTGGCCGAGTACCTCGCCGCGCTCTCTACCGCTACCGCCGCCACCAGCACCAACAATGGACCAGCAGCAGACCTCCCGCGCATCCCCTTCGGCCTCAAAACGCCCCCGTACACGCACGCCGCGCAGTTCTCCGCGTTGATGGACGCGCTGGCCGCCACGGGCACCGATGCCGGCCGCGTGTCGCCCGTCAGCTTCCTCACCGCGACCAACACGCTCGGCTCGTGCCTCGTGCTATCCGCTACTGGTCTTAATCCTGTGCTCCCGGCGCCAGGCGTCGGCGGTCTTGGCGGTGCGCCGCTGCACCCGCTCGCCCTTGGCAACGTGGCCACGCTGCGGCGGATGCTGGACGCGGACCCTGCGCTTGTTCACGTGCAGGTCGTGGGCGTTGGTGGCGTGCTCGATGCTGACGGCTACCGCCGCATGCGCAGTGTTGGTGCTGCTGTTGTGGGCGTCGGCACGGGCCTGGGACTCAGGGGCGTAAGTGTCTTTGGGGAGATCGAGGCTAGGCTTGGGGGGCTGTGGTGAGAGAGGCGTGTGTCATTTTTGGGTTTGGGTTTGGTTCTGAACTTCTGGGGAAAGATGGAGACGGAGCCGTTCCTCCCTGTTTACTTTACTCAGGGCTCAGGGGCCTAGTTGGCTGGCTGGCTACCTGCCTGCCTATCTACCCGCTTGCATACCTACATTGGCTGTTGGGAAGAGGATACCTGAAAAAGGGGCAAAGAATGTGAGAACGGGTTTGGCGGGGGACGTCTTGCGCCCGTCCGATCCGGGTAGGTGGCTTTGCATTTCTCCGTGTTGTCGGGCTTGTTTGTGTTTGTGACTGTAGGTTGCTAGCGAGCAGTGTCGTCGTCTAGTTGTTCCGTTCGTGCGAGTGTGGTCCGTCCGTCTCACATGGTGTTCGCTACTGTTCGTTTCGTTTCGCCTCTTATCTTCAAGTCTAATTATACGATACATACGTACATATATCACATCCTTGCAAACTTGGAACCGAGAATTGCGTTTTCCGCAAATGTCTTGTCCGCCGGTTATGGTTGCCAGTTTATTACATGGTCTGCTATAATCGTATGTGTTATGCGCGTTGTGTTCGGCTGGCGAGGTTGAGTATGGCTTGTAGAGGGTAGATAACCTCGTTTGTTTACGGGTTCGGCGTGGCGAACAGCTAAACACTTGCCATAACTTCTACACTGACCGAGGCAGAATGCAGATGAAACAGGCACATCGTACTCATATTTGACGTATGTGAACACTTCTAGACTGCCCTATGAGCTTTATGAGGCCAGTCACGCCCACCTTGTTCTACAAAGCGTTGAACGAGACCCCCCTACCCTACAGGTATCTCCAGGGCTTGTTTCTGTCTGGCCGCAGAAAGGCTTCGCTCGACATTTTTCCGGCAGTAACGTGCCCTCGCCAGACTGGCAATGGCAAATGCGTAAGCGATGACATACAGAGAGAGGGGCATCAGTGGTCTCTTCGCCCAAGCGAAGCCAATGAAGCCAAGCTGCACGCAGCGACTGCCCTGTAGAATCGCCCATTTCGGAGAATTACCCGCACCCAGCGCTGCAAGGCAATATGGGGATATCCGGGTAGATCTTTCCCAGCCCTCCTTCTCCCTTCGAGCGATCGCCTTCCCTTGTTCTTTGCATTCAGCCTGAACGCGGCATGCCAAACGGCAGGAATCCGAGGGTGCTATTCTCGGGATGGGGCCAAGGCTTGGAAGAGACGCGCATGCCACGGCGGGGGAAAAGGCGGGTTGAACACCTCCAAGGGGTCCTCGAGTATACCACTAGGCCTGTTGGGAGCCTCGTTTTCTGTTCTACAGTGTTCTGTCCATGTTAAAGAGGCGATTGGGTGTTGCTTGCCTAGCTCCTGATGGAAGTCAAGCCATGGCATGGGATCGGTCGACAAAAGCATCAAGAGATCTGCCATTGGCGGAATTCTGCAAGAGATTCTCCAGAGATGGAGAAAATGTGGAGGTGCTGCGGGGACACCCCTGCTACTGCCCGCTGTCTGTGGACGTTCCTTCCAACTTGCCTCTGTGGCCCGGATTCTGGTAGCCTAGAGCTGGCAGGAGCATACCACCTCACCTCAACCTACCAACATATTTGGCAGGCACGATTCGGGGGCTTTAGGGTAGCTTCAACTCGAAGTCGACGGCCAAATTTGCTCTAGCGGATCCCGTTTGACACCTGATTACTTCGTGCCTTAGATTCGGGTCTTACCCGTCGGTAGATAAGCCGAGGACCTTGGTCATAAGGTATCCCGTCTCTTTTGAGGTCGCTTTCCGCCTCGGTAGCCTCCACCTCTAGGTCTAGGGGTTACGCCCATCCTGACCGAGTTCTCAAAGACTTGGAATCGTTTGGGTCTGTCCGGAACCGTCCCATTTGCCAGCTTCATGCGAGACGAGTCGGGGCAGCAGCAGAGTGCATCCGATAAGCAGTCGAGGCGCGTGCAAGTGTCACTGCGGCGCCGACACTGGAGGGAGCAGCTGTCCCTACCTTGCCTGCCTTGCCTATCGATGCGATGCGATGAGTAGGAACAGGAGCTGCACTTGTCGTCCATGTCGATAGGCTCGGGCTCAGGCTCAGGCTCTCAAGCACCTATAGGACACAGCTATTGGCGGCCAGCCAGTCCTACCTCGGGCTGCTTCCCGCCCCCAGCAGTGGCACCCAGCACAGCACCCTGGCCCGCAGAGGTGGCATGCCATGCCGATAGCCCTCGCGGCTTATTGCATCGTCTGGGTCGGCCCTCTCAGTTCCAGCCGCCTGCCTAACTGACGGTAAAACAAACATCGGGGAAATTCAGCACGGCTTGGCGCTCTCCGCGGCCACAGAGCCCAATATACCCTATCTATCGCCCAGTTGCCGTCCTCGCGCTGCATCGCGCTGCTCTTGCCCTTGCCTTGACCTTGCCCTTCCATGCTCTAGATATTCAAGACTGCTGCCCGGTGCCATGACGCCCAGTCCGCCCCTGTGGCAATACACCTGATGCTACCACCGGCCTCAACGCCCCTTGCCTTGAGCCTTGACCTGCTTTGCTTCGCACCCCTGATTTGCTTGCGGACTTCGCGGCTAATCTGTGAGGCTCTGCTGCGCATTGCTGGATCTCTGACGTTGTGGGAGCGTAGCACTCTGTCTGCTCGTACCATCAACCCCCCTCGATCGAACCATTCACAGCCTTCTCTGGTTGCACCACGTCGGTTGGCTGGAGAGACGCCCCAAAATCGCCGCCGTTTTCTCTGAACCGCTGCTTCCGCATCAAGGGCTACAGAACCACTCGCTCTAACTCGCAAGATACCAAGGGCCGTACAGTACACCTACTGCGATAAGGGCCATCCGGTATCCTGGACATAGCTTCGGCACCTTCGCACTCGCCCGCCCCCAAGCTTTCTCCTGGCTACTCCTTTCCATAAACTAAGCTTTCGTCGAGACACCGGTCGCCGCAGAGGTGTATCTTCTCGTCGTCGAAATAGTCGACGAGAATTCTTTTCCGGGATCTTCAGACCATCTCTCGTTCCAGGGGCCGGGGCCATGCACAGCGGACTCTTAGACGAGATCTTGCTTATTACTGGCTGGCACCCTGGGAATACGAGGCTAAGGCGGAAATTGAACTTCTAGGCACTACCTTGAGTCCCTGGGGAGGGGTCGCAACGGCAGTTTACGGCTTCTTGTCACCCTATCGAGGATCAGAACATCTAGATGATGGCGGCAGTCCAGCATTTGGAGCCAATGGCCACGCCGGCAAGGCCGCAGAGCATCAACGGCCCCACGCGAACCTTGGACGTTGACGTTGGAGGAATGGCATCACTCGTCTCAGGCGATCTCACCTTTGGAAGAGGACCTCAAAGAGGAGATACGAGAACTGTGGTTATCATGTACGGCCAGGGGCAAGACAAGATTGTGGCGGTATTTGCCGAAGTCTTGGGGAAACCCTACCGCCTAAACAACAGCTTCACAGAGGCGAGTCGAGAGGACCAGGGTCTGGTTGTCGGTGTCTTCGCAACAGGAGCAAAGGCTGATATCGCGATACGAAACACGGCATCCGTTGTTGCCATCAACGCGCACTGCGTCAATCTCGGCATGCCCCCTGACGTCTACCTCTCGGAACACTGCGACTACGAGTTTCTCTATACAGATGCGCCCTTTTTTCGGCGGGATTTATCCCGATTCATCTCACACACGCTCGGACAGTTGAATCACCACGAGACTCTGATGGCAAAACCGAGGACCTACTTCATATCAACGACATTCCCAGATGTCCACGCCGCGCTTCCAAACATAGACATCTTGACTGTGGGGTCAGATGCCGTCGAACTCAGGGTTGACCTTCTCAAGGAGCCGCTTAGCGACGGAACATTCTCTGCAATCCCCAGCCTCAGCTACGTCGGTGAGCAGGTGATGCTACTCCGCCAGAGAACCGAGTTGCCCATCATTTTCACGACAAGGTGTACCAAGGAGAACGGCCGGTTTCCCATGGACAACCTGGATTTGTACTACGAGTATCTCTATCGCGCCATCCAGTGGGGTGTTGAGTACATCGACGTTGAGCTTTGGCTCCCCGAGACGATTAGGCGGAAGCTCTACGAGAAGCGAGGCAACAGCCGGATCATGTCTGCTTTTCACGACTTCTCCGGCAACTTCAAGTGGCCGTCAAAACAGGCCGAGTCCGTTTTTCTGGAATCCAGGCGCTACGCAGACATTGTGAAGATGATTGCGATAATCAAAGACCACAACGAGAATTTCGAGTTGGAGTACTTTCGGTCCAGCATGAGGGCTCAGTACCCCGACTCGCCTCCGCTATCAGCTGTAAACATGGGCGAGACGGGGCAGTTCTCCCGGACCCTCAACCGAGTCTTTACACCAATCACACATCCACTCTTACCTATCATTGCAGCACCGGGCCAGATGAGCGCATCCGAGATTAACCAGGCGTTGGCGTTGCTGGGGCAGCTGCCCAAGAAGAATATTTACGGCATCGGCAGCCCTTCAACCCGAAGCGCTACGCCTCAGGCACCATTCTACGAGAAATGTTTCAACGAGTTAGGCTTGCCACATCACTTCTCTATGGTTGAGCGGCAGCTTAAGGGGCCAAGCTTCATAGAGATGTGGTGCAACCAGAAGGATTTTGGCGGTGCTTATCTCAACCCGGCCGTCTCGTTCGCGAGCCTCATGGCAAGCAGCAGCCTTTTGACAACTCCTAACTCTGGCGCGGGGCCGGTTCTCAGCGAAGCGGCCCAGCTGATTGGTATGGTTGATACGATCATATTGCGGCCGAGCTCTACTGGATCCTCGTCTTCGGCGCCGGCATCGATGCCGTCAAGCCCTTCTCGTCACGAGAATGGAGACTCGTTTGGTCCTCTTGCCTCGGCACAAACCGGCCTTCCACCGAACACGTCTCTCGTATTTGAAAACGCGTCGTGGAAGGGAATTCTAAGCACATTAACCAGAGACCTTGCCCCCTCGGCCTATTTTGGGCGCGCTGCCGTCGTTCTAGCATCGTCGGGTGATGACGCGGCCAGCGCCATCTTTGCCCTCAAAGCTCTCAAGGTTGGGAAGGTGTACACAGTTGGCTTCAAAGTCCCGCCAGCACTTGCGAGAGATCTTCTCATTGAGCCATTTAATAGCCTCGAGAGCCTTCAGAGAGCGCGCATGGTCAGCTCAAATGGTGCAGGTTCGGGGGCAGGCTCGCCATTTGTGGTTGTAAGCGCTCTTGGGCCGGAAAAGAGCACTCTAGTCAGCATGCTGGTTCGGGTTTTTGGATCCCGAGGATCTGGAAACTCTCGCAAAGTTTTCCTCGACCTCGCAGACGGCTCGGTCCCTCGCAAGGGAGATCCCGGTCTAATTGCGCAGCAGAGCGGCTTTGCTGCGTACGGTTCCGCAGATGTCACGGCGTTCACTACCGTCGAGACTCTCCGGCTTCTAGTCGGCCAGAATGTACCATACAGTTTTGTCCGGCTCGCGAGCGGAAGGGCATTATTCTGATGTGGCTCAAGCTTTGGAAGCAATAGAGAGGGCCCCGCGGCCAGGATAGCTGAACCGGCAACCAGCTTGCTATCGCCAATTACATAGTTAGACCATTTGGTGCGTATCTAATTAGCTGTGACGGGGGTTGGGCGCTATTCAACCGCCGGTATAAGTTCGAGCTGACATTGGTTGAAGTTCAGCTCGAGCCTTATCGAATATCTACGGGAGCTGATATGATCTCTTGTAGACTACATCAAATTCTACGAGAATGCCCCGAGAGCAGCTGGTGTTGGACCAGGTCTTGTATAGATTTGACAACCATCGGCCTTTATAACGACATTGACGTATCACGACATGATGGGTGTGGGGGGTGGCGGCATAGATTCTAAAGCATGATATGGGTCTGGTGGCATTAGATGCCATTGTTCGCTAGACAATACCCCTATGTACATGGCAGGAACTGAACAGTATATAGGTGTAAGGGGGCAGGGAAAGGGAGCAACAAAAGGAGATATCATCCCCGGCTTGGATTTAGCTAGGGCTCCATACTATCAAAGACTTAAAATGAGATTATTTTTGTGTTTATACGGGCCAAATCCCCAAGACATACCATAACTGCAAGTTTGACGTCCATGTTTACTTACCGGTGCCTTGGAATATCCTGTCTCGCCATTATGGGGCCAGCAGGTCTAAAGCGCTGGGTATGTTGATACTACTAGCTCGCTTCATGGGGATCAACACTCATGAAATCGAATCGGCAGTGTATATTAGGTATGTATGCAAACCGTGGTTGGTCAGGTGTCTTGGCTCCATTTGTGGCCGCGAGGTGATCAGGTGACATCCGGAGATGGCTAATAGTCTTTTCATATGATATACACAGTGATGATGTCAACTCCTCATTTTGAAGGCACGTTCATAGGTTTGTTTGTTTCTACGGCTATGTACAGAATACTATTGATCAGATAATCCAGGCTCGTATTTGACGTCCAAGACATGAATGTCTAAGATGTATAAATTGGGACATTATCTCAGCGGCGGGGAGAGTGGGGCTATACATTGACGACGAGCCTCGAGAAGACGAGGAGGTCTTTTGCTGGTAGTAGATGATAGATACGAGCAAGAGGCGGACACTGTAGACGCCACTGAGTGGTGTGGCTCTCGGTATGAAGCAGAACCAGGGCCTTTCCGGGGCGGTACTAGCAGAAGGCTTCCCGTCTCTAGGCCACAAACCGCGCAGTGTCACTGACCTTCTATCCACCCAAGCATGTTCGATGACGCATCTCGACGCCTCGAGCCGATGAAACGGCGCTGTCCAGGCTCTTTACCTGACAATTGGGGAGCTCAGTCAGGTTAGCTAGCCACAACCGAGATGAACCTCGACCCGGCACCTGATCTCCATCTGGAAGTCCCCACGCGGATGGACGACGTGCCGTTTAACAGTAGCGAGTGGCGCTGGGCCAACTACCGGAGCTAATGGACGTGGGGAAGTGAAAGGGGGGCTGACGAAATGACGGGGTAGCTACAAAGCCTAGGCAGAGCTCATTCATACCGCGTTATTATATAACTGAGTCGGCGATCATAGCAATGTAGAATCGGGCCTATGTTGATGCGGGTATTGTTGGCGAGGATATGCAGCCGGGATGTATCCGCGTGCTCCTAAGATGCGCAATTAGGGCAGTGGATGGAAAGCATTTGCCTACAGTTGGGTGGCTTGGAGCTCAAGCTCACTGAGAGGGCTGAGAATTCAGCGTCCGTCCACTTCCCGCATCCAGTGCGTTTGTGTCTGCATGAATCCTTGTCTTCCTTTGTATAAGTGAAGTCTGGAAGATCTACTTAGTTTTGCCGTTAGAATTGTGGGCTGTGCGCAGTCACATCCTTCGGCTCCGAGTTCCCAGAAGTCGATATGACAGCAGACTAGATAGACATGCTTCGTGAAGTCATTTGCTTGTAGGCCGCATGGCGACTGGGGACTTCTGTGAGACATCGATGCTTCTCATAAAACACAAGGAGGTAAAACGCTTGATTTCCAGCTTGTTTGGGTTTTGAGGGCTATGTTGAGAACTGACACCGAAAGGTCACGCCGTGTCCATCAACTAAATCTACTGGTTGAATCAACTAGGAAAACTTGTGCGCTATTCTGGATTCTTGCTGGGATCGACCCGCTGCCAGAGAATATTTGGATTGGTGATCAGAACCGTGAGAGCCATCAGCTCGGTTTCTTCTAAGCATTTGGATCGCGGAGGGGAGGGAGGGGAGGGAGCAAGTCGGCCGGAAACCATTGCCAAAATCATCGGGGCAGCCGATACCATGTAAGATTTGTTGCTTGGCGCCTTCCGGCTCCTAGTTCCCCGTTTAAAGCATTTCACTCTTTCCCTTTGTGGACTTGGTGACGGTTCATGCCATTCTGCAGCTATATCCTGGAAAGGCGCTCGGGTATAGGGCTCAAAATTGCGGGGGGACTTGGATCCCCCAGAACCGCTTGATTTAGCGAGTGGCTCAGGTGCCCGTGCCACTGTAGTCAGAGCCAAGAAAGGATTTTCAGATCCAATCGACGGTTCTTAGTGCTGCGCTGATCTCGAATGAGGGGAAGCTAGACGAGAGGTAAGTGTAAAATCTCGGAAGGTTCATAGCCGTAACTTGATTGCAATTTGCTTCCAACCCAAGGTATTTCTACTCATGGTAGTTCCCGAGTATTGTAAAGCACTGTACCAGTACGGATACTTTAGTTGAGAGGTAGAGTGTCCAGCAACAGTTGCGGGCCCGAAACCTTGGACAGACTTCTCCAATTGCTATAAGATGTCCACTGGCAGGTTGTCGATGCAAGAAAGAATTAGGGTACCTTAGGTGTGCTGCAAAAGCCGGATGTCGGGTCCTTTCCACATGACAGAACGACCAACCTATGTACCTAGATGAAAACTGTCAGGAGGCGCTGCCTTGGCTGGTCGGGGAGGCAGGCGGCGCCCAGCCGGGAAAGGCAGCGCGGTATATCGACAGGCCAGATTGATGGCACCCCATTGGCGCGGCAAACAGAAGCTTATTGAGCTTCGAGATGCTCGGGCAAACTCACGGGCCTTGGGGCCGTATTCCGCGAAGTGGCCCGAGAGACAGCGGCGGTGGGCCAACCCAGTAGTGGTATCTGAAGGCGACAGGGACATGTCCACTAGAAGTAGAGACAATGGTCGCCAGCTCAACGCGGCTCATTCCATTGGAATACAGTCTACCGATGGCACAGACTGTGATGTGCACACTGAATAAGGCCGCCGAGAAGAAATCCAATATAAGCCATATAGCCCAGGCAGGGCCTTGGTCCCAGACGGGGAGGGAGCTATCCGTATAGCGGTGTGTATTCTATTGAATCAGTTGCACGCCCAGCCAGCAAGCCCTTTGTGGTTTTTGTGTGAGGGGGAGATGATGGCTGAATTACCACAAATCATGATGCGGTGTTGTAGCGCAGAGCAGTTTTGCGAAACTTTTTTGTCTGAGTTTCTGGTTCGCGTCTGATGCTGAAGCACTCTTTGCATCGTCGGGAATTTCCTAAAGCCAAAGCAGCGAACGAGCCGAACATCGTCCTATTCTTTAACCAAATACGCCCCACTTCGAGCCACGATCTGCGTTTTCGTCTGCGTCTGCGTCCATAACTTACTTGCGTGCTGGAAAAGGATACCTACTTACCTAATTTCGAACTGGGGAGCCGAGTAAGGCTGCTTCCGTTTTCGTTATGGCCAAAGTCATGGCCGAAGGAAGGAGCGAGCTGACAAAATTCACGGAACGAAATGCGGTCTCACGGTGACTTGGCGCCTGTAAAGCCGGGAGGAAACGACCAGACCCCTTATTTCGGTAAATAAGGCGAGGTACTGTGGCGTACTGTAAAGTGGGGATTCAAGCATCGATTGGAAGTTCAATATTTACACAACTTCCTTATTTGAGGAAGGAGTTGTGGACTATCTATCTAAGCTTCAACTAGCATGTACTCAGAACCAACCCCCGAGGCCGGGCAGACATCACATAACGGTTGTTGGAGATAAGAAGGGCTGCACGGAATGGTTCTGGACCTCCACAACCCAACGGAGACAGATCTAACTAAAAGATGTCCTGGTAAGATGACGGGCCTAGAGCCCGCCAACCCCACACCACCCGGCTCCTCTGAAAGTAGAATCCCAGGTTCTGTAGAGCGTAAACCTTGCAAATAGTGCGGAAGCCCTAGCCATTGCAACCCCTATTCGTACCCAGAGCCCTCTACTTCAGACACAGTCCGTCAAAGTCGTCCCATGAGCGGCAGCAGGGGGCCGGAAACCTCACAGATCCCACGGTATCGGCCGCGAAAGATGTACGAATAGACCAAGTAGAGAGCCTCGGTTCGTTCTACTGGCTGTATTCCGCACGTTCGGTTGGGTGACGAATTCTCGCTTAAGGCAATTGCATGCAACGCCCGATGGACTGCATGCGCATCTGGGCACCCGCCCTCCTCAAACGTGCAACTTCGGAGCTCTCTCTCATTGCTAGCCGTCCCCACTCGACCTGCGTCCCCTCTTCTCCCCGCATCCCACCATGGCTCCGCTCCAAGCTATGGGTAGGAGGTTGACATGTCCGGGGTGGGTGTCCATCGTGCCTGCCCTCCAAGATACAGATTGGTCCGTCCTCTTGCCATCTTCACTGTCGTGGAGCTTACCTGTATCGTTCCTGCCCCCAAGATGCGAGGTCCAGATTTGACTTTGCCCTCTTAAGAAGGATGTCCTGGCTCGGTGAGGTCACCTATCAAGACTTCCATCTTTGTGCGTACATGCCCAGTAGCACTTTTGCAGGCTCTTTTCGTCCTCGACTTGTTCAAGTTTATTCCCGGCTGTGAGCTGCAGTTGGCCAAAGAAACACCGGCCGGAGCTCTACAAAGAATCCATCTAAAGTCCCAAAGGCATTTCTCAGGACGCACAAGCACCTCAGCCAACTGCCTACCTATATATTTGTTCAAGGCTAGGGGATGGGCAGTGGGGTTTCTGGAAGCCGTTGAGATCCGCCAACCAGTAAGGTGGACGGTGCCCCATGACCGAACCCGGGTTGGGGATGAATATGGGAGTTTCGCGTTTAAATCCAAGGACAACTCGACACCTCATCAACCGTATCTCGGAAGCCGCAGTTGTGGCCAATTTAGGCCTGGCTGTTTCCCTACCCACCTACCTGCCGTTCCGTCTCGAAACTAAGGTGCCTAACCTACCTTGACTTCCATACCTTGGTCTATCACCACGACTACCCTAGTACTGCTCGGGGAGCTTGAGCCAACTCCATCGTCCCCATCATCCCCATTCTTGTTCATGCTCTGCTTTCACAAGCGCCCCCTGGCCAAATACTCTGCACTTACCTCTCCCCACCCCGCCGCCTCGGTTCTCAAGTTCCGCAGGGCTATCCTGGGAGTCGGTTCGACTTGACGCATCCCAGCTTGGCTTGGCCAGCCGGTCTCGATATATGTCCCATGCTCAACGTCATCCGCCGCTCACTGGCTCGGCCCCGATTTCCTCAGTAGAGTACTTGACCGTCACCCAAACTCTCTCACAGGCCGCGAATGATTCTGACGACGAGAAAGTCGGGCCTGCTCATCTTAATACCTACCTACCTACCTACCTACCTATCCAAGTTGGCTCATTGGAATACTTGACACGATTACCTTCGCCAAAGGTGCATCCATGACGGGCCAGACTTCAATTTAAGCAGTCTTGTAGACCAGTCTCTCAGTCGCCGCTATCCCCCAAAATCGCCCTCGAGACGTAGACAGATGTCTTCAGCTTGGATCAAATGCTTCGCCATTGCTTCCGCTTAGCATCTCGAGAAAGCTGCCCCCCTCCTCTCTGGTAGCACCTATTTCCACCAAACGTCACGTCAACGAAAGGCCATGCTCCACCGCCAAATTGATGCAGGATTAGGGGCTTTCTAGACAAGCCGGCGCGGATACGCTCGCCGTCGTCTTCTTCGCCGTTTATCGCTCACCAGCTGTTCCGAGCATGATGGTCCAGGCCTACGACCCCGGAACCACGGCGGCCCTATCTGGGATTTATCCATCAATCATGTCCCGCCCACAGGTTAGCATCGAGAGGTTGCCCACTCGCCGTTTGAGCAACGAACCTCGCGAGTCGATGAACTGCAAGTCATGTCGGAAACGCAAGGTGCGTTAGACTTACGATGCCAAGTCGTTCAAACAGAGATCCCTTGTGTTTCTCCGGTATCAGTCAACTAATGCTTGAATGGTGTGTTAGATTAAATGTAACCGTCTTCGCCCTGCTTGTGAAGCATGTCAGGTCTTTCAATGTCCATGTATATACGGTAGGTGATTGTGGTTGAAAGACAATTGCCCTTTACACAATTCAAGTTGGTGGGGGTGCACCCCGGCCTTTTAGGGGAGCTTGCAACAGTCCATGCCTTGCTAACTTAAACATTTAGATGCTGTTCCCAAGAAGAGAGGACCGAAGACCGATGTGTTAGAGGCATTGCTCAAAAGAGTGGATGGTCTGGAGGCTCGACTAAAAGACAAAAAGTCTGAGCCCGAGACACCCATGTCTGAGAATGCTCCTGCCAATGCCAATGACGAACCGTCTTCTGCGATATCAACATCCAACGCAGGCTTGGGTGACAACCCGCCAAACTTCCCGCCGATAGACACTACTGGTGCTCAAGACGTAGGAGAATCTGCTCTCTACTCTCCCACGGTTCCAAAGTGAGTTGATGGAGCTTTCCTGTCTATTTCTAGAGTTTCGACCACCACACAACGTGAAGACCTAACAGACCGATTCAATGCAGCGAGCCGCCATCTGGGATAGAACCCGATGCCCTGCTTGACACGTATTTCACCCGCTTCAACGCCAAACCATTCCATATCTTGGACGAATCTACCTTACGGCAACGTCTGCAACTGAAACAGGTTCCCAACTACCTCATTCACGCCATTTATGCCGTGGCCTCGAGGTGGGTTGAGAATCCTACCAACCCTAGACCCTTTAGCTGACTAGCCGGTCAGGTACACACCGCACCCCGGCGGTTACCAGTCTGCGGTGAGACTCGGCGAGGAATACACAGCGCAATCACGATGCGAAATCGACACAGACGAGCCATCCGTCGATGCCCTCCAGGCTTTGGTTCTCTTGGTGGCGGCTTATACAGCTGCCGGGAAGGGGAAAAAAGCGTACATGCTGCTGGGTATGATAGATCTATACAAATCTTGACGTGGAAAAAAAGAACTAATATCACATTCTAGCAAATGCTGTCGGCATGGCTATAGCTTTAGAACTTCATCGAGAAATGGATATCAGTGTGCGGGTCCCGCCCGTTGAGCGAGAGATGCGGCGGAGACTTTTCTGGACATGCTACTTGCTTGACCGGTTCATGGCCTGCGGCTCGAAACGGCCTTCTCTCATTGGAGACAAGACGATTATCTTGCGACTGCCGTGCTGGTCGCCCCATCCGACCTCAATGCTTGTGGAGGGTGACTTTTTCCAGAGCAGCTCAAACCTACAGTACCTTCAGGGAAGCGGAAAGAAATCTCAAGGGAGCAGCGGGATGCTTATCGATATAAGCCGCATACTGGGTACGACGAACCGGTACCTAGCAGCTGGGGGTGTGAAGGGCGACTCCCACTTTCCGTGGCATTCGCTATCGAACCTCTCCAAGATACGCCACGAACTCGACGTTTGGGCTTCAGGGACGGATGATGTCTTTTCGAGTTTGGAAACCTTGTTCGGCCAGGCAGATTCCACGGTGCTTGTGCTAAGCAAGCTAATCTACCACCTAATCCATTGCCTTATATACCGGCCGTTTCTTCCCATCGACCTCTCGGAACTTTCCGGATCGGGGCAACATCAGTCGTGGCAAATCGAAGCCACAAATATGTGTTTCTTACACGCCAATGCCATCGCCGAGCTCGTGGAACTTGGGAAGCAAGCAGCATCTATCGAGTGGCCTGCATTTGTGGGGTACTGTATCTGCACAGCTGGGACGGTGCATATTCACGGCGCTCATTACACGAGAAATGGAAGCACGGCCGAAATGAACGTCTTCAGTTTGTCCACTGACTTCTTGTCGAGGGAGATGCAACAGCTGAGCGAGTTACGATACGCCTGGGCAAGTGTTCAGCACCAGAGGGAAACACTTCAGGGGATCTATCAAGCCCACTCGGAGCTTGTTAAGAGCCTGGCAAATGATTCGATTCGGTATTCGCCAGTTTTTCACCTGGACGATTTCTTCGACCGTTATTCCAGTATCGGTGGCCCTGGGGGGCAAACTTTCAGCTTTGACGCCGCAAACCTAAGCCTTTCTGATGTCGTCGTCGACTTCGCCACAGATGCATACACTGGTCACGACCTTTACGCTCCCCGCCTCAGTGGCACTGACTCTGGCAATAGCCGGCTAGGCCTTAAACGAAAGAGCACGGGTCCTACTGGGCGGAAGAGGCCTGATTTCAAGGGTCTCTCATTCTCGAGAAGCAGCTTGAACACGATATCCGACCCAGGTCCTCCAGCACCTTCACATAACCACCGCCACTCTTTCTCGATGTCATCCCAATCGTCTTCTTCAATACTACACACACCGGCATCCCTCACATCTCACCACGACACACATCAACAGCGGCAACGGCCGGGAGCGACCCGGCCAACAAACGCGACAGGGGCTATCACCGCGGGTCCGTCTATCGCAGCCAAGCCACATGCGCACTTGAATGGCTCAGGTCAAGGTATCTCGAGCAACTTACTTGGTGCATCATTGAGTCCGGCATTCAACTTCGCGCAGCTTCGACCCTCAACACCAGGCCCAAGCGGCTCGCAAGGCTATGACCCCATGTTTGGAGACGTACCGACAAACGCCTTTTCGAGCCCAACCCCCTGGCATGGCAATGATGATGGAAGTGCCAGACCACCAGATTCAGTATCAAGTCCTAGGAGCAATGGACCAGGAGAGGAGAAGGATCCTTTCCTCAGCCTTCTTGAACAACTGGCCGAGAACGAGTCATCAATGGGCCTAGAGAGTGAGCTAGACTTTTTTTTAGCGGGAGCTCCGAATACCGGCTAGGACACACCTTCCGGGCTGGTATTCCCAGTTTGACTAGAAATTATCGGTCCCTAGAGCCAACCGCTCTGGAAAACTAGTATATGCGCTTCATCCAGATCACCGCCAGACAGGAACGTTTTTATGTAATGTCATAAACGCTCTAGCCTCCCCCGTCTGGGAGCCATGGCATGAGACAGGGAGGGTGTAGAATTTGGATTCCCACAAGCTGAATATGTGCGCGGCTATTTGACCTGTCAGTGATGAAACGCAGCTCCTAAGAGCTCGTGGCTTCGAGAAATGAGCAGAGGCACTGAAGAGTCCGGTATATCAAGCAAATCGCGCCCAGAAATACTCCAACAACTGTACTTCAGCTGAGTAACAAAGCCCCTACGGCCACGAAAAATCGTGGCCTCTTAGCCTAAACAGGAGTCTAAGACCAAACGCTTGAAAGAATCGATGCCCGTCATCAACCGACCAATGGACCATGGGTTGGAGGCCTGAGACGAGCAATAGTTGGGAGTTGGGGAAGGCGAGGAAGGTGGAAGGTAAGGAGGGCTGTCCTGGTTAGGGTGTGCTATAAGGAGAAAGCCGACGTTCATCACGACTTCGGGTTATTAGGCAGGCACCAGGCACAACGCAGACCAGCGTCACTGTCACGGTACAAAAACAGATTCTAGCTTACTCAATTCCTGCGGTGATTTTGGTGCCCAGACCTTGGCGCGGAATCACTCAGAGCATCTACCCTACCCCTGACGAGCGGCCTCCCAAGCCCCTGGCAGATACAAGCTTCGGTATTCTTCCGTCCGTCTCGTTCCTGATAAATCTAGTCGAGAGATTACATCCCGGCTGAGCATAACGTGGTTGGCATGTCTGTTGCGTCCGGCTCGGGGTTTTGTGTCCGGTTCGGGGTTTGTAATGTACGGCTCGGCGATTAGTGTGAATTTACCGGCCTCGTCCCGGGGGGGAAAGGGGGGCGCGAATTCACCGACAACGGGCTACCGCCGGCTTGGCCTCGAATTACTCCCTACTTGGCCTCTCCCCTGGGAGTATAGCTCTCATGTATATATGGATGTCCATGAAGCACGCCAATATGCGGCTTTCTTCTTGTATTGTTGATACAAGGAGACTCCATCCCGTCTTGACTAGCCCCATGGCACCACTCAAGATCCTCATCTGCGGCAGCGGCATTGCCGGCCCGGCAACGGCCTTCTGGCTTAGTCGGATCGGGTGCAGAGTCACAGTCATCGAAAAGGCCACCGAGCATCGCCACAGCGGACAGCAGATCGACATCAGAGGCGTGGGCGTGACAGCCATGCGCAGAATGGGCATCGAGGCCGCCGTCCGCGCGTGCCTCGTCTCGGAGCAGGGCACGCTGCTCGTCGACACCACCGGCCGCCGGCGCGCCTTCTTCCCCGTCCTGGCCACGGGCACGGGGGACCAGAGCATCACATCCGAGTTTGAGATTATGCGCGGCGATCTCTCGCGCGTCATGTACAACGCCAACAAGGACACGACTGTCTACAGGCACGGCGTCACCGTTGAGTCGTTGGAGCAGCAGCAGCAGCCGCAGCCCGGCAACGATGAGAGCGGCGGCGGCGGCGTGCACGTTGTCTTCTCCGACGGCGTCCAGGACACGTTCGACTTGGTGGTGGGCTGCGACGGCATGTACTCGGCGACGCGGAAGCTGCTGCTCGGCCCCGACGCGCCCGACGCCTTCCACGGCTCGGGCGCCGCCATCGCCTGGGCCACGGTCCCCGCCGAGCCCGCCGACACCAACCACTTCACGTGGTGCCTCGCGCCGGGCCGCCGCGTGCTCGGCTCGCGCATGGACCGCCCCGACTGCCTGCGCGCCTACTTCATAGCTTCCATCGCCGGCTTACCCGCCGACCACCCCATGCGCGCGACGCTGCGCGGCGGCAGCCCAGCAGCCCAGCGGCGGGCGTGGGCCGACCACTTCCGCGACGCCGGGTGGCACTCGGCGCGCTTCGCCCGCGACATCGTCGCGTCGCCGCTAGCCGACGACTGGCACGCCTGCGAGATGGGCCTGGTCAAGATGGACGCCTGGTCGCGGGGGCGCGTCGTGCTGCTGGGCGACGCGGCGTGGTGCCCGTCGCCCGCCGGCTGGGGCACGTCGGCCGCGCTCGCCGGCGCGTACGTGCTGGCGGGGGAGATGGCGCGGCACTGCGGGCCTGTCGGGGATGAGCCGCGGCGCGAGGGCATCGCGGCCGCTCTGCTGGCGTACGAGACGGCGCTGCGGCCGTTCGTCACCAAGATCCAGAATGCGTCGAATGCTAGCGGCAACATGCTGCCTAGCTCGCGGCTCGCCATCTCGGCCATCGAGCTCGTTGCCAGCTGGATGCGCACCCTGCGGCTTGACAGGATTCTAGCGCGCTTGGCTATGAGCGGCGGCCTTGGCTGGGAACTACCGGAGTATCCTGAGCTCAGGGCGCTGGAGACAGAGGAGATGTGAGCAGTGCAGGAAGTGTGTGCTTGGACTAGCTACATTGGAGCCGTAGGGCGCGAGTAAACAGCACAAGGACTCGCATATATTGTATCATAGTTGTTAGGGAGGATAGTCTATATAACACGCATGCACTATCAAGACTACCTATTTTCTAATCAACAGCAATGCCTCTAAAGAACCTCGTCATCTCCCAACTAGTTATAACTGAGGTAAATGCCTGGGCTCGTCTATAACGTTCCAAGACAGGATCAGATCGGCATTATATGACTGGATGCCTTTGGTTCAGACCCATGTGATGTCCTCGATTTTTTTTTTACACTCCCTCTCCTCAAACCAGGCCAGGCCACTCTCCCTATGCTGAAGTAGGTAGTAGGTACTGCCCCTTATCATACTACCTACCTACCTTGCTAATCACCCCGTCGTTAGCAAATATTTCCCTTTTCGTCCTGGCTTTTGTTCGTGGGCAGCTTGCCTTTGATCTTACTTTTGATCTTGCCTACATAGGTGCCTAGGCATCAGCTCTTTGAATTCGATGCTTCAAGTAAACAACAACCAGCAGCATCCGTCAGAGAATGAAATACCTAGCAGCTGATATTCTGCTCCGCTTAGTTGCGTTTCTGTTAGTGGAGGGAGGAGTCCTGCTCTGTTGAAGGGGTGCTTCTTCCATTCGTTTTCCTAATTGGTACATGGAGGTCATTTGTTATTTTTCACCATGTTTTGTTCTCCCCCACGAATCAGGTTACTCTAGGTGAGCTCCCATGGGTCATGTGCCTTACTGTCGTTATTTTGCCTCCCTACGGCTCGCTTTCAGTTCGCCTTCGTGTTGTTTTGGTCGGTTTGGTGGAAGTCGAAGCTTCCGCCTCATCACTGTAAAATGGCCTGTCCCAAACTAGCGCCGGGCGTTTCTGATGAACCACCGGGTTCCTGGCAAACTGGGGGCCGACTTCCAGGGGGGCCAGAAAGGGGAAATAAGAGGAGAAATGAAGAAGAATGAATAGGGATGAGGGAAAGGGGGAAACTACCTAGACACGATAACAATATCCCCCGAAACGGGCTCACAGGCTGTCACTATTTATTCCAACGGCATTTTCGTTCGGCAGACATGGCACATCCAGGTCCAAGGGCTGGGTAGCCAACCGGGGACTTCTCTACCAGGACAGATGTATTGATGTATTGATGTGACCGACACAATTTACCAGAGCGAGTCCAAGATAATGCAGAAAGAATAGCACTTCGAAATCGGTATGAACAAGTCCCAGCAATCCTAGTTGTGTGCTACGTCGACGCAGATGCATGCATGCTTGAACGGAACAGAGACGCTGTTGTCTATGTACACAAGACAGATAAATAGTATTATTTGACTCTCCCCCCCCCCTTCTATTTCTATTTCTATCTTTACATCTACGATGCAATTACATGCTTTTCGCTCCCCCCAAATTCCAAAGAGGGTTTCCGGGGCCCAAAGACGCGCTTCACGGCTAGCCACGTCTCAAAGACCTCGAGCTTGAGCTCGACCCTCACAAAGCCAAGCCAGGCGGCCAGCAGGCGCAGGGCGTTGGGGGGCCAGCACAGGGAGCCGGCGCGGCGACGGATGGCGTCGAGCTGCTCGCGGAAGACGGTGCGCGAGCAGTAGCGGGCAAGAATAAGAAACTGGCGCACGGGGCCTTGGCGCGTGTGTAGGTTCTCGTCGAGGCTGCGCGTGAGGTCGTTCGTCTTGAGGATAAGCAGGATGATGCGCGGCACCTGGCCGAGCATCTGCACCAGGTCGGCGATCAGCCCGTCCTGCAGCGCGGCGCTCATCGTCTTCTGCTCGTCGGCGTCGCGCGGCCGCGTGATGCTGCCGGCTGTCGGCGAGCTCACGACGCTGAAGTCGCGGCCCGTGATGGCCGACGCGAAGAGCGGGAACTTGTCGTCGTCGATGCCTGCCACCTCGTGCACGTACTTCTTCATGCGCGGCACGTCGCCGTCAATGATGGCTAGCCACATCTTGGCGTACGACCGCCGCAGGTCCTCGGGGATGTCACGGTACAGCCCGTGGTCGTAGAGCACGATGTCGAAGTTGGCGGCCCCGCGCGACGGCGCCGTCGTCTTCTTGCGGATGGCGATGTTGCCGCCGTGGGGGTCACAGTGCAGGGGCGCGCCCTCGCCGAAGATCATCTCGTTGAAGATGCGGGCCAGCGTGGCCGACACCTCGTCGCGGTCGATGCCGGCGGCGTCCATGTAGGCTAGGTCGTCGAGGCGGTGGCCCGTCTCGCAGGCCATGACGAGCAGGCGCTTCTTGGCCCAGATGACGTCGGGCACGACGAGCGGCAGCTCGGGGATGCGGGCGAAGTGGGCCTTTGTGCGCAGGGCGTTCTCGGCCTCGCACTGGAAGTCGAGCTCCTGCGGGAGCGACGACTCGATCTCGGACGACAGCCACTCGAGGTCGTACTCGGGGAAAAAGCGTTTGAGGGTGGAGAAGGTGAACTTGGTGAGGGCCATGTCTAGCGGCGCCCATTTCTGGAGATTGGGGTGCTGCACCTTAACGGCCACCTTCTGGCCCGTCTCCTTGATGGCGGCCAGGTGCACCTGGGCAAGCGAGGCAGCGCCTATAGGCTCGCTAGAGAATTCCGAAAAGTAGTCGGCCAGGTCCTCGCCCGTGTCGGCCTTGAACATGTTCTCGATGGACTCGAGCGACGAGACGGGGCAGCGGTCCTGCAGGGGTATGAAGGTGGTCGTCCACTCGTTGGGTAGGAGGTAGTTCATGGCGCTCTGCGGGCAGTCGGTTAGCAAGGTAGGTATTCTGTGGGGAATGCATATCTCGTACAAGGTGTTGCCCCAGCTTGATGAAGATGCCGCCATTCTTCTCGAGCACCCGCAGCGTCCTCACGGCGCATCGCTTGTGGCAGGCCTTTAGGACGAGGTCGCTCTCGTCCCTGTCGTCCAGCTTTTCTCGCTGATTCAGGGCGGTCCGGTAACTGTCGCATGCTCAGCACCAGTACTTGTACGTGTTCCAACCGCTAAAGGGGCGCGAGAAGGGGGGTATTACTCGTTGATGCAGACAATGAGGGCGCCGGCGACTCTGCCAGACCTCTCGAGGGCTTCGTAGGCACTCCTGACATCGTCGCCAACGGCCAGCAGCCCCAACGTGGCAGCCCCTCCTGTCGCTGCGAGGAGCACGGCGCGCCGGCGGCGTGGGCGTGGTGGTTTCGGGAGCGCAAACGGGGAGGACTTGGGTTTTGCGCTCGAATACTGCCGGGAATACGGCCGGGAAGAGGATGAGTAGGGGGAGGAAGACGAGGGAGGTCGAGGCAGCAGCGTCGTCGGACGTCGGGGAGGGGGCCGGTAGCGGCAGCTGGCGCATGTCCAGCCCGAGCCGAGGCCGAGGCCGCTATTCAGGCGCCGGGCGACCAGGGCGGGAAGGGTTGAGGTTGAGGTTGAAGCACTCATGGTCATTCGTTGTCAACGTCAGCAACAGACGGCATTGGACATGCCGCTGGCTGGCATCTCACAGGAAGCGTGCAATGCAATAGGTAATAGTCCTCTGCGAAGAATGGATGTTGTTTCAGCTAGAACTAGGTAATAACATGGCATTGCGCGACAATCGCCACAAGATTTTGGTGGAACTGGCCCAGACCGAGGTAGACATTGACATATCCCTGCTGCGGAAAAAAATGTTGAGTGCGGGACAAGGCACAGTGCATCAAATGACATGGCCGCTCCCGAGATTTTTCTAGCGTCATGTCGTGTCGTCACGGGCTGTCAATCGGACAAGCTCGGGACACATGCATGAGCCCTTCCATTGTTGAATCAGGGTTAGGGTTAGACGTCCGCCTTCTCCTCTCGAGATTCGAGAATCATTCGAGAGAATGTCGACATCTCTTGAGTCTTAACGAGTGAAAACCGGCGCAACGGCAGTACTTCGGAGAAAGACTCGCCAGGCCGCTAGGGTCCACTCTACTTTACCTTGGAGGTCTGGGAGCGGGAGACCAACACTCGCAGTTCAATCAAGTTTTTGAGAGTCAATTGACAGCCATTCCCATGTTTCCGAAGAAATTACCCACTCGATCTCCAATCCGTGACCCCCGTCCCATCCGCCACCTCGAGCCCGAGTCGACATGATAACTTGATCCCTACCGAAAACGCAGAGTTTAATGTTTTGTTTCTGCACCGCCGCCGACCAAGACTATCATGTCAACCGATGGGATCTTTTCCGTTTTGCCTCTCTGCGTATTCGCTACGCGATCGACCCAATCACCTTACCGCTGCCAGGTACGGCCAGTAGGGGAGATACCCGACATGTATATTCCGTACCCAACCCAGTGGCCGGAGATTACGCAGTGCACTTCGTTCAGCATGACGTCGGTTGGCGGCTCCGTCCCAATGTTCAAGGTGACCTGGAGCTGTTCACGTAACCCGATCTGACCTCAGTGTCTATCTCTGACTCTTAGGTTAGGTTAGGTTAGGTTATTACCTAGCTTGCTAGCCGCTAACCGCCCAAGTCAGAGCGTATAGCACGGCCGATCAACTGGCATGCAAAACTCCGAAATCTGTTAAGTCCGCTGCATCACCAGCTAGTTAAGTCCGACCTGGCGGGGTATAAATGGCTTCAAGTACCACTCCTTGGCAAGCGCTTTCACAGGAGCTGTCCCCAGATAAAACAGACTCGAAAAATCACACGTCCTCGAGGCAGCAAGCGCTGGCAAGAAGCACCAACCCCAGAAGAAAAAACGAAACCCCAAAATGTCATCGTTTTTCGAGGAAGCGCCGGAGCCCCCCACCGAGCTTGGCCGGTACCGGGTGCTCGCTCCCACAGCCGGCGTGAGGGTCTCGCCGCTATGTCTCGGCGGCATGTCCATCGGCGAGGCCTGGGCGTCGGCCATGGGGTCCATGAGCAAGGCCGACTCATTCAAGCTACTCGACGCCTTCGTCGAGGCTGGCGGCAACTTTGTCGACACGTCTAACAACTACCAGAACGAGGAGTCGGAGAAGTGGATTGGTGAGTGGATAGCCGAGCGTAACAACCGCGACCAGATCGTGCTGGCCACAAAGTACACCTCCGACTACCACTCCCACGCCGTCGGCAAGGGCAAAGGGCCCAACTACGCCGGCAACCACAAGAAGAGCCTGCACATGAGCGTCCGCGAGTCCCTCAAGAAGCTGCAGACCGACTACATCGATATCCTCTACATACACTGGTGGGACTGGACCACGTCGATCAAGGAGGTCGTCGACTCGCTGCACATCCTCGTTGAGCAGGGCAAGGTCCTGTACCTCGGCGCCTCGGACTGCCCGGCCTGGGTGGTCAGCGCCGCCAACACGTACGCCGTCGACCACGGCAAGACGCCCTTCAGCATCTACCAGGGCCGGTGGAACGTCATGGTGCGCGACTTTGAGCGCGAGATCCTGCCTATGGCCCGCACCTTCGGCATGGCCCTGGCGCCGTGGGATGTGCTGGGCAGCGGCAAGTTCCAGAGCAAGGCGGCGCTCGAGGCGCGGCGCGCCACGGGCGAGCCTCTCCGCGCCTTCACGTCGGCCGCCGAGCAGACCCCCGACGAGGCTAAGACCAGCGATGCCTTGTACGCCGTCGCCCAACAGCACGGCATCGAGTCCGTCACCGCCATCGCCCTCGCCTACGTCCGCAGCAAGGCCCAGAACGTCTTCCCCATCGTCGGCGGCCGCAAGGTCGAGCACCTACACGACAACATCCAGGCCCTCAGCATCCAGCTCACCCCCGAGCAGATCAAGTACCTCGAGAGCGTCAAGCCGTTTGATTTAGGGTTCCCCGTCGGCTTCCTCGGCGAGGACCCCTACGTCACCGGTACCAGCTTCCGCCTGCACCGCACCGCGCAGATGGCCTGGCCTAACGGCCAGAAGTAGATTATTCGTTGTCTTTGGATATTGGTGCGGGTAGCCTGGTGATGAGTTAGCGATAAGACCGCTGAAAAATAGCCGAAATAGCAATGAGTTCCAGTTCAAGCGTGCAGCAACCGAGCCAATCTATGCGATAATCCATTCCTTCTGCTTAAGCTTATGTGCTCATACTTGTTTTGTTCTGTTTGTTTTGCTCTTGTGACAAGGAGGAATGCAGACACGGGCACCCCAGCCCGCCCCCCTGACCAGCAGCCGTGGCAACAGCATTCCTGTCCTGACTGGATCAATAACAACAAAGAAAGGTCGCCACCCCTTTTTTCTTTCGTCTTTCTGATTATTTAGCGCCGATCTTTGAACAGCCAGCATGAGTTGATTAGCCTGTCTTCTGACCTAGCTTTTCAACCACTTGATCTACCAACAACACTTTTTCTCCCTTCTTGTGGCTATTAATCACCCACTGCGCTTCTAGGCGATATCTCGCGATAATCAACATCTGCCTTCTCCCATATTCGTTCGATGCCTTACTACGCTGCCGCCTTATTTATGTACTCCGCTGTCAACGGGGCGAGGTCCGAACCGAATTCGAGATGCAGTTAGCCGCCTTAATGTCCCAACCCGACGCCTCTACCCGACGTCGTCGTTACTGGACTGCTTGGAAGGAGATGTTGGAGATCTGCACCATTCGGGGGTTTCGGGACTCAGGAGGTGATTGTGTTCGATGTTTTTCTAGGGGAGGTTGGGCGGAACTTTCGTAGGCCTTCTTTTTGCTTTCCGTTGGCCATGATCGTGTGTAAGCCATGCTTCTGCCGCTGGCAGCCATAGGCACACCGGCACGATGTTCTCTTCCTGTTCCAGTCCCACTGTTAGCTCTCTCCTCTCTCCAGTCGAGCCTCGGGAGTATTCAAGAAAATGCGCAAACCGATAATCTGACAAGCTTGTGTGTGGTTGGTTGGTAAGCATCAGGTTGTTCGCGAATATCGGTGGTTTTCGTCTTCCTTTTCCCCCAATACCTTCACGGCAAGCTCCCGGACTGCAGGATCGTAACCTGCACCGTGGGCGTGGAAAAGTTCGGCGACTGGACTACCACATAATTAGTTCTTGCACCCGAGGCCAAATTCCTTGTCCGAGGCGCTAGCGATGTTCCACAACTACCCAGTCGGAAGCAACCGGGTCTTCAGCTGGCCGTATCGACGGCCGTGAATCCACGAGGTACAGCCTAGAAGGGCTCCTCAAGAGAAGTAAGCATCGTTGGACCCGACGGCAACGTTGAAGGCCGCCACCTTCCCTATAAAGTCTTCCGCTGTGTCTAGAACCCAGGCCTTTAGGGGCGGGGCCCATGTACGAAGGAGGAGCTGTACCGATCGCTCGGCTGGCCTTACCGACGGCCGCGAAGGCGTAAGTAATAATCCTCGAGGCCCGGAATCGATTCATGTTCGCGTCACTGATTTGCATTTACGCCTCCAGGGCTGCCCGAGACGCCAACATCTTTTGCCTGTTTTGAAACTCGTAAGTGCCGCATTTTCTAGCTCATTTTTCTCTTCCTCTTCCTCTTCCTCTTCCTCTTCCTCTTCCTTCTCTTTTCTTTCTGTCTTTCTTTCTTTCTTTCTGTGAATCTGTCGTTTACTTGCAACCGCTTCTCCATAGTTCGTCGCCGCAAGTTCAGGTTTGCGGAGCGGCCCGGTCTGTGATGAGCCGGCTGAAGTCGAGCCCTAGAACAGTCCATGATGGACTGCAGTACTCTTGCTGGGTATTGGCGTGTTGTTTTGTTTTGCAGTCAACCCTTCTTTTGCCGCCCCCCCCGTTTCGGGTTTCTCCGTTGCTACACACACCGGCTTCCATTCTCGTGGTCCTCTAAATTCCAAGCCGTGTCCTGAGTACTAGGGATCAAGAGCTCGGAGGAGCCGAAGAATGAAGGCAGAACTTCCTGTCCTCTGCTTCGTTTCTTGGGTTTGTAGTATCGCAGGTCGACTTTGTAACGCGTGTTTGATTTTGTATCGAGCAACAGCACTGGTAGTGGAAATTAGTTAGTTCGGCTGTACTCTCAATCACATTCTCTTCGCTCTCTCTCTCAGGCATCCCTTGTTCTCTCTGAAAATCTCTGCTCTGTATTGGCGTCGGAGCTTTGACAGGTGGCCCCTTCGATTTCAACAGCAGAATGTAGCCACATAAGATGCGGCTTGGGATGTATTCTCGAAATCTTCCTCTTTTCCAGCTCGGAGATGTAAATTCGTTTAAATACAAGAACTTGGTTCTCTACTCTCGCTTCTTTTGAATCAAGGTGGTTTGTTGAGACATACTTCTTCTTTGAATCGGCTGTCTCTAAATCCAGCGTTTGTGGGTGGTCCTTGAGACTGGTGTCGTCTGTTCGTTGATGACGCTGTCATCTGTTTTGGAGCGAACCTGATGCAAGTTCCCCGTTTTCCGTTTGCATTGTTCTTGGTGGGGGTATTGAGACCGGAAGCTTCCTCTCTTCGGAAAAGAAGATATGTGCCGTAAGGATGAAGAGAAGTAGCTTTACCGGGAGTGCCTTCGGCCGCCGGTCGGGGAGTTTTCTGGATTGTTCAACCGCGATTGGCGAGGGTCTCATCTTTCTCTTCGCTGTTCTGTTCTCTCTGCCAACGTGTTCGTCTTATCACGGCGAGCGTTGGCTGCACTTGCAGTTCGGATCTTCAAGATGTGTCCTGAATCCGCGATCTGTGACGACCAAAAAAAACTTGTCCGGATGGCGTTTCAAAACACATTGTGCTGTGTCACTGTTGGAATTTGTCAAGCAGAAGGGCCTCGAAGGTTCTAGATAGAGACTTCGCCACCCACTTCGCCACCACAATAGTAGTATAAGAACGGGCTTTCTGGCACTGCCAGAAAGCTAGAGAGAAGAACAGACGTCTACAATCCATCACTTGAACCACCAGTTTTCGGCGTGCAGCCACGCCCTGTTGAGTCCAGTACCGGTACCCTGGTGAATCCAACAGTCACAATATTGGGATTAGTGAGCAAGAAAGACCTAGAAGCTGCTATGTGAATCTTCGCCACCAGCTTTTGCCACTATTCATAACTATAAAAAAGAGACTTTTGGCCCTGCCAAAGGAAACAAGAGATTAGACCTTTTCAGACAATTCAAGCCTTACCTCCCTGCATCAAATGCTTCATTTCTGTTGCCCTGTGAATGCGCGTGACATGCTGTTTGTGACGCCGATCTCTTAGGGTTTCGTTAGATCTGCGTGCTGATTCATTCCACGTCATTACTATTTGTCTCCGTGTTACGGCATGCCTCTCTTGGGCGACTTTCTCTTGCTCGCTGCTCCTGCTTCAGAGGGACGTTCCAGAATGGTCCACACTCTTGTTCCTGAGTAGACGAGTAGGAACGGGCTGGCTCTTCCCGCTTGGGTAAATGGTGGCCTTCCCGAGTGGGTTGACCACGTCGAGAAATCATTTGACGATCCAGCCTTTTCAGCTCCGGAAGGCACAACACGCCGGAACAGGGTAATTAAGCAAGTACGGGCCCGAGTACCCGCGGTGGTGAAATCAAATACCCCGCTGAATAATAGAATGAGAGTTAGAGCGCTCATTCCCATCGTTGAACTCGTCGTAGCTTGTCGACTCATCATGGAAATAAAAAAAAGAGAGGGAGCATCGAGTGCGAGAGTCTTGGCGTGCCGAGAAATCGAGTCCTCCCATCCCATGTGCTGCAACGGTTTTTGGCGAGGTAGTGGGGCTCCCAGGCGTTGAGTGCTACCTAGGGCCTTAATTCAACCCCCAGGGCAATTTAGGGGCTTCATCTGCCCCAAATACACCTTACCAGTACCTGACCTCAATAGGGGACCTTAGAGTACTACCTAGCGGCTTTTTACTCTGCAGGATAACCCTCTTTATATTGATCCTTACATACTCTACAACAAATTCAATAAAAGTACCCGCCTTAGGTGAAGTAAAGCAGCCTTCTGTCGACGTGGAATAGTGTTACAAAACTGCTACCTATCTAGAAAGTCCCTCCGCCACAGTCCGCGATCAGTGTGCAAAAGTACAACCCATTTCGAATGCCACCGGAGCATTTCGACGAGCCACGTAGCCTCCGTGTTTTTCGACTCGGCTCAGTTAAAATATTCACGTGCACCACAACCAGGCGTGCCGTCAACGCCAGCCATCCCCTGAACACATGTTGTCGACAAAACAAAGCATCCTTCAGTTTATGAGCCCCCATGCACTTCCGCTGACCGTTTACTCGTTTTCCAGCTCCATTGAAGTCGAAAACCCCATCGGCCCGGCTCGTGAGCAGGTACTCGCATTCACGGCATCGAACTGACGTTCAGCAACCATCTATGGGCGTGACAGCACCAAAACAAGCACATTCAGACGCTAGCCATGGGACTAGTCCGTCAGCACCGCCCACGGTCGCGTGGGGCCTTTTACCCAAGCAAGATCTTTCCCTTGGCCACCGGGGTAGAGGGTGGCCTCGACGCTCCCTGAATGGCCTGCAGTCAATCTGGCCATATAAGATACACAACACATCGTCGAGAGAAACATGAAAGCCGTCTTCTGCATCCTGAGAACAAATCTTTGCTACAAGGCACGGGATTATGATTGGGCTTGATTCCGGAAGACCATGAACAAGCCTTTGATTCTATCTGGACAAAAACTATCGGTAGCCGAGCAAAAAATACTCCAAGAAGCCGGCAGGTCGTTCTTTCTAGCAGGATGACCTTTTTGAGTCTTTGGGGTTTTCAATACCGGCCTGGAAGCTAGCATGTCGGCGAGGCAACGCCAGCAGCTCAGGGGGAGGCTTCTGGCTTGCTTCCTTACGAGACTCAAGGACTCCGTTTGAAACCAGAGCCTGCTATCCAAGGCTGCCAAGATTGGAATGCCTTGTTCCCGTTCTGATATGACCCAAGCTTCCCTTCCTTCAGGAATCCTGCCAGACGAACATCACGCCCTTCTGCTATGAGCCTCAGGTTCTAGGGTTTTCACCTCTGATTCCGGGCGTAAAAATGCCGAGAGCAACAGGAAAA